GAGGAATTGACCAAGCTGTTGGGTGATGTCACCATTGCTCAAGGTGGTGTTTTGCCAAACATTCACCAGAACTTGTTGCCAAAGAAGTCAGCAAAGTCTAAGGCTTCCCAAGAATTGTAAATTTGAAATTACGATTTCTATTTTTGTTCTTGTTAGTGGTTTATACTAGTGTACATTAGTTCGGTTTAATGTTAAACATTTTAAAGGGAATCTTTCGAAACTGGCGCTAGATTATGATGTAAATTAAAAACCGGCGTAAACATCAACGATGATCTAGAATTGGGGTTAGTATAAGACTGGCAAATTGTGAATGGCGAAGGCAAAATACTCACGTTAATGATGGAAACTACCACCTCTGCTCCTATCAAAAGGATGACGATCAGCTCGAGATATTCATCGTTTGAATGTCCCAGCTGTTCTTTCAGAATCTGCAACAAATCTGAAATGACTTCCAAGCGTTGGTTCAACAGAGACACTCTCTGATTGATCTCCAGATACCCTCTGGTGGCTTGGTAAATAGGCTCAAGTTGTGGTTCGGACCACATGAGCTCCGGCGAATCCAAAACGGATCCATGCAAATTGATGTTGATTCTGAGAATGAAGAGCTCACCTATACTCTTCATGATTTCCTCTCTGGTCATCTCCACCTTACCAGTGTGTGCTATCTGTTGAGGGATGTCCTGCGTATCCTCGATTGTGTTATCGACCAGTTCCTCAAACAGGGAAATTTTCACCGATTGCGAAATGGCAAATGAGATAGACAACTTCAACATGTAGTTAGAATCGTCTCTTAGAGTGATAAAATCGTTGTAGATTCTGGGCTGGTAACTCTTCGTGACATAATAGTTCAACTCCTCAACTTGAACGTCTTCGTCAGCCAATTTCTCGTCCTCAAAACGTGCTAAATCTACCAAAATGTTCTTCTCTTCCTTCGGCGAGAAGCCCCACATAACCACCACACCATATTCGAATATAAACAGGTCCGAGGACCGTTTACGGACGTCAATCTCACCACCCTCGTCATCCAGTCTTATCAGATCCGATCCATCCTTCGCGCTCGGCAAATCTGAAGAGGACTTTTTCTTCGACCGTTCCAGGTTACCGGAACCTGACGCCCTCCAGTCCTTGTATGCGAAGGGAGTGTATATGCATTCATCGAACAATTTGGGAGACGTCCCGTGTATCCTTTTCTTGTCCTTGAGCCATCTGATCAAGTCTTTCACTCTATAGGAACCAGCAGTGCAATAGGCCGTGACTCTTGGAAGAACAGAGCGATGTTTTTTCCCTAGTCTCTCTGCGTCTATCCGAGCGGGTCTGTCCTTAATCCGAGTAAGCTGCGAATACACGTCTCTACCGCTCTCTTCCGTGGTATAATCCAAAGTTTCAGGCAGCAATTTTAGCTTCTGTGATGTCTTCGAAGTTCTCTGAGGCACTATTTTTGGGCCGAGTTCTTTTGCCAGTTTGGCTGATGCCTTTCCTGCCGTAGCTGGGTTTGGCGAAGACGGCGTGCTTTTGGGAACAGGTTCATTTGAGACAGCCAATCCTGAGGCGTACGGATTATCCGTATATGGAGCCGCTGATCGTCCTTCCATGAAGGCTTTATGGCAAATATAATATGGTGGTTCTAGTAGATTGCAGCCATAATTTACATCAAAAAGACCAAGGCATGTCCTGTTTAGGTGGGCGAGGTCGTGCTCAACCGGAAAATTTATTTCACAAAAATTTATTTCTCAATACAAAATAATGTGCATGGTAGAAAGACCACGAATTTTCTGTACCACAATCACACCTAGCTGGCCGAACTATCAAGTCATGGCGAAGAAGCAGCATACCACCAGCTCGACCAAAAGGTTTGCATATACCTCCTTCAGGGACAGGGTCGAGTCTATCGATGTGGGAGTGGCCTTACGAACTGGCTCAAGAGTGATAGATAGCGATGCAGGCTCCTATTTCTTGACCTCTTTGGCGCATTGGCAAGAGGTTAATATGGCCAAAGATTTTACCAAGTTGTCGGAAGACATCGAAGAATACACAGCATCTTACACAGTTTTGATATACTACCAGAAGGATGTGTTCAAGGCTCTCCTGCAAAGCATATCTGAGTGCGATACTCTGTCACTAGAACCAGAGCTCGAACTGCTTTCGCAGTTTTGTCATGATCTGGGTCCAGACTTTATGCCCTATTTTGATCAAAGCATTGAAAGACTGGTTGAAATAGCATTGCGGGGCTTGGACTCGAATTGCTTGGAGTGGATCTTCAACTGCATAGCTTTCATCTTCAAATATCTCTCGAGGGAACTCAAGACTGACATTGTCCGATGTTACAAAGCTCTGATGCCATTGCTAGATCAAGGATCCAAAGACTTTCTGGGAAGATTCTCCGCACAAGCTCTCTCTTTTTTAGTGCGGAAGGCGCCGAGTTCATCTTTAAAAGAGTTCGTCCACCAAGCTTTTCAGGAACTTTCAAACACTAAGTCAGAGTTTTTTGCGCGAAGTCTAAACGTTATTTTTGAGGAGTCTCTCAAGGGAGCTTCTGGAAACTTGTTTTCCAAAGCAAAAACAATCATCCACGCACTGATATGGTGTGAAGATGTTCATCATGGTCTGGGACCCGCAGTCGCATCGAGCATATTCATAGGTACAGTTGAACACATCGAAGTTGAAGAGGCATTCACAGTTTTTCATGAGGCAATTATCGGCGAAATTTCTAGCCTTGTTGATTCCCCAAATTTCTCAGAGCCCCAGTTCGTTTTGCAAGTCGCTTCATCACTTGCATTTGCACAGAGTGGAAGGAAAGTTCCAGACTGGGCTCCGTTGTTCGATATATGTACGAAAGTGATCGAAAAGTCAGGAAAATCAATCATTGCCGACAACCAGGCAAGTAAGTTGCTTGGATACTATATTGTGGTTCTCACCAGAAACTCCGATGTTGTATTGCTGAATTCTCGCTTGCCCAAGATCTTGGACCAGATCTTGAGTCTGGGCAATCTCAAAGCATTCCTTGGACTAGTAGATTCCTGTCTTTTCATTGCCTACGATAAGTCCTCTGTTCTCTGTGAGAAATTCTTACAACGAATTTTACGTGATTTCTGGCAAGAAGCAGAGGTTGAGATCTCATACTTGTTGATATCGTTGCACGGAAGAGATCTGATATGCTGGGGTGACTCAGCATCAGGTAAGATATCGTTGAGCTTGCCAAAGGAGATGATTGATAAATTCTATTCCGCAGTTGAAACATTGGATCTTACTTCTGAAGAACAGATATTGGAATTATATTGGAGGCTGAGTGTGATTTCATTTACCCCACAGAAAGAGAAGGCTCGCTTGGTATTGAAGCTGATCATAAAGATATTTGCATGTCCTCCCAGCATTATTTCCAGAAAAGCGCTAGGAGCTGCGTTTTACTCCATCTGGCTGTCCTCATTGAATGAGAATGATTTAAACGAGCTTTTGCTCGTAGCAATGGACTCGGATGCTCTGTTCTGGACAAGTGATTCTATGTTGAAGGGCTTTACACAGTGTCTTCGCTCTTCGAAGGATAGTGATCATCTCTTGCGTCCATTTCAAAACAATGAAAATGCCATCATTGAGCGCCTGACAAAGAATCTTGCCCATTACTCACATGACGTCAGATTGTCATCTCTTGATTTACTCATTGTTCTCCAAACAATTCTTGGGAAGACCGTTCCTCGCACCATAATCCAATGTCAGATGATTGAGCTTCTTCCATTAACGCTTCAAACAGAAAGGGAGATTGGATCTCGGTATCGTCAACTCGGTCCCATATACTCTTCTGAAAACAAAGATGCCTTGGTTAGAAGCGTTCTGGCGCATTTCCTCGTTGGTCAAATGTGCGTGAAATTTCGCCCAACATGGGATGCGGCTCTTGAGCTATTTCCACAGGCTATTTCGTCCAACTTTGAACTTTGCTGGACTCTCATATTTAGCATGATTGACGGCTCATTTTTGCCTGAATCTGATGTCGAGACCACAGATTCTTTCTCTGCTTTTGCCGAGGAAACTGAGTCAATTTCGCATATGTTCATGGAACAACGTATCAACTCCAGTTTCTTCAACTTTGTGAATCTGTTTTTGGTGTACAACAAAATCAACGTTGCTCTTAACAATGAGCTAAGAAAAGATGTTCTTGGAATTGACTCCAAGTACATCCAATCTCAGGGATTAAAAGTCCTGCATCGTTCCCCACAGTTGGCTGAGAAACACTTCACACACGTTGTTCCATTTATTCTAGCACCAGATGGACAAGGAGCTGGTCATGAAATCACAAATGATCTCATCAGACTGCTTCCAAAGTTTAACAACCTTCCGGTGGTGGCCAGAGCCGATGAGCTATACCAGTTCATGCTGACCTTACTTACCAATAAGTTTGCAGACTCTCAGAAAATGGCACTGGATGCACTATTGAACTGGAAGATACCAACCCTCTCAAAGTATAAGGACAACCTGAAAAACCTTCTTGATGAGTCCATATTCAGAGACGAAATTGCTAAGCTTTTTTCCAAGTCGGAGAATGTTCTTGAGGAAGACGACAAAAAGATCGTGATTCCACTGGTGCTTAGAATTTTGTTTGGAAAAATGCAATCCGGTCACAATGTGGCTGCCAAACACAGCAGAAGGTCAACTGCTGTTGGAGTTCTCATGTCCATTGACGAGGAGTATGTTAGACAGTTTTTGGACTTTGGAAGTGAAAGAATTGATCCAGGCTCTTTCATGACTGACCAGGATGTGGACGTCTCGACTATAACTGAACGAGAACTCAATAAGCAAAAGGGATTCTTGGGATTTTTGAAGGAAGTCACAAGCTCTCTGGGATCAAGAAAGGGCCATTTATTTGCCGATATGGTTGAGCCTTTGGTCTTCAGTATGCTCGTTGCTCAAAAGATTTTGGACTCTCCAGAATCATCTTCTACCGATAGTCTTCAAAAGGTTGCCCAAATCAACAGACAGACGGGATTTGTGTGTCTCAATGAGATGATGGAGCTACTGGTGACGTTTGACTGGAGTCCATACGTCTCTTTGATATACCACAAAATCATAGCTCCAAGGTTGGACAAGTTCAGTGACGAAAATGCCCAGCAGCCGAGTAGCATGCTGAAATTGCTGTGTCTATGGTGCAAACCACAGTTTCGTGATTTCCTCTTTGAAGGAGATCATGGATGTGTTTTGGCATTGCTGGAGTTGATGGCTAACGTTCATGCCAAACCGGCTGTCATAGTGTTCTGCTTAAACTTCTTCATTTCAATAATCTCAGAAAAGACTGTTGAGACAGAATTTCTGGATGTTCTTGCTCAAAGTATTGCCGGACTATTGAACGTACTGCCTCAACTAACTGCCCGTTCCACTTCATCTGATGTTAGCCAACTTATAGTTAACTTGATTTCGATACTGACATCCAAGGGCTTTGTGGATGAGGCCGACGAACGCAAAGTGATTGCCCAGATATTGAACGAGGCTCTGGCAAAGAACCACAATGAACTGGAACTTTCATCGAGAATCCTGGCTTTGCAGACTTACTCTTCATTGCTGTCTGATCTGAGTCTGTCGTTGAATGAGGTCCAACCTCTATATGAGTTCAGTTCAAAAGCTTTGAGGAATTGTGCTTCAAATGAGATGAGAAACGAGATTGTCAACTTACTTGTGAGCATTGGAAACAGATTCCAAGAATTCGAGAATGCTGCCACATTGGCAGCCGACCTAAATTCTTTTTCTGGAAACCAATTCAAGGAATTGGATCTGGGAAGAAGAGTTAATGCTTTTGCGGTTGTTAATGACGTTCAATATCAAAGCCTCTCATTTTTGGAGTGGTTGCCGATTGTCGAGACATCCATGTACTATATCAATAACGAGGAAGAGTTCTCGATCAGAACTTGCTCTCAACTTTGTCTTTCCAGATTTATTGACGCTGCCGTTCTCTGTCAGTCTGATGAACAAATTCCACTGTATATATCTTACATCAAAACGGCTCTGCTGCCTGGTGTCAAGTCTGGTCTTAAGAAGAAGCTGGAATCGGTGCAAACCGAATATCTCAAAGTGCTCCAACATATTGTTGAAAGTTCCCAAAAACGTGAATTGGTGCCTGGTTTCACCGATCTTCAGTTTTTGCTGTTTAACGGAGACGAAGAGGCTGATTTCTTTGCCAATGTTAACCACATTCAACTCCATCGTCGTCAAAGAGCTCTGTGGAGGTTGAGGGAAAATGCCTCGAAATTCACCAGTTCTAGTATCGTCAACTATCTGCTTCCTATTGCTGAAAGATATGCATTGTCAAAGGAGGAAAAGTTCGGTGGAATCTCTGCTTCTGCTGTTGAAGCCATTGGTGCCTTGATGAAGTATGTGGAATGGGGCCAGTGGAAAATGGTCATGAAGAAGTATACCTTCATGCTCAATCACCAAACCAAAGATCTCGCCAGCAAGGACTCTCTGCTGAAAAATGCCATTTCTCTGGTTGTGTGTTTATGTCAATCGCTCAGATTCAGAGTTTCGGCCAATGAGACGAATAGCCAAATCCACCTTGTTCTTCCAGATCAGAAATCTTTGAACTCCTACATCTTGAACTCGTTGTTTCCTCCGTTGAGAAAGGTTCTTGCTCTACGAGATGAGAATACTTCGTCGCAGAGAATCGCGCTTTCAGAAGGTATGGTGAGTCTTGCAGTGTGTCTGGACGAGGAGTCTCTTAACACTGAATTGCCCGGAATCTTAACCAACGTGTGCCAGGTCTTAAGAGCAAGGTCTGATGAACTTCGTGATAATACCAGAAAGCATTTGGGAAATTGTGCTTTGATATTGGGACCCAAGTACATGAAGTTTATCATCAAAGAGCTGAAAGGTGCATTGACCAGAGGACCTCAGGTCCACATTCTCAGTTTCACAGCTCATTTTTTGCTGGTAAAAATGGAGGACCAACTATCTTCTGGGGATCTGAGTGATTCTGTCGAACTTTTAGCCGATATTATAATGGAGGACATTTTTGGAACCGCAGGTCAAGAAAAGGATGCTGATGGTTACAGAAGCAAGATGAAGGAAACGAGATTCAACAAAAGTTATGACACGGCTGAAATTCTTGCTGGTAAGGTATACTTGAAAGATTTCAACGCTTTGCTTGCTCCTGTAAAATTGTTGATGATGGAAAAACTTAGCAAGAAGACTCAAATCAGTCTCACCGAGCTGATGAGAAGGTATTCAGTTGGTCTTATCTCCAACTCTGCAAGTGGTTCATTGGATGCCTTTGCATTCTGCTTTGAACTCATGCAAGAGGATGGAGTTTCATTTGCAGAACAGTCAGCTAAAAAAGATTTGGTTGCTGATCATTTCCGCGTGAAATTAGACAGAAAGGCCAATGAGAAAGCAAAAGAGGATGGTTCTGCATTTACCCTTCTTCTACACAGATTTGCTCTGGAATATGTCAGAGGTATAATATCGAGAAATCAAGAGTTGATGCAGACTCAAAATTTGGAACCTTTTGTTCCTAGACTGGAGCAATTTCTGGAAAGTGATGATGAGTCAATCATCTGCTTATCGTTCAGGGTTCTCTCTCTTATCATCAGATTACCTTTCTCAAAAGAAGTTGTCACTTTATTCAAGTCAGCTTCTAGAGATGCCATGAAGATCATCAAAGAAAGTCTTTCTACCAACACTGAAATGTGTCAACAGGCCCTCAGATATATTTCAACTGTTCTTCGTCAGCGTCCAGAAATCGAGTTCAAGACCTCTTCATTGTCGTTCGTTCTGAAAAAGGTTGTTCCTGATCTAGACGAAAAGAGCAAGCAATCGGCTGCCTTTGGTCTACTTAGAGCTTTGCTCTCGCGTCATGTTATGCTCCCGGAGATTTACGATATCATGGATAAGGTGTCTGAGATCATGATCACCAATCACTCAGATATCGTCAGAGAGTCTGCAAGAAGCTCATTCCTGACATTTTTGATGGAGTACGATCAAGGTAAGGGCAGATTGGCCAATAGTCTGAAGACATTGATCAAGAATTTAAATTATCCTACGCCCGAAGGTAAACAGTCGGTCATGGAGATTATGAATCAACTTTTGAGCAAGTCTGGTGAGAATCTCGTCAAAGGCTTATCTTCGTCGTTTTTCCTTCCTCTATGTATCGTTGCTGTGACTGACAACTCTGCTTCTTGTAGAGAGATGGCCACAACCCTGATCACCCTCATTATCCAAAGGCTAGGACCTGGAGAATGCAGTTTCATAGAGAGCTGTGCGACTACCTGGTTGACTCAGACGAAAAACGAGAGTCTCACCAGATGTGGACTGTTGGTGTTTAGATTGCTGTTTGCCGAGACTGGCCTGGAAGACAACTCTGAACTGCGGACTCTTGGGTTCAAGTTCATTGCCAATGTTATCCAAAAAGCTGGAGATTCGGACCAGGACACCAATCAAGAGGATAGTTGGGAATTGGTGTATTCTGTGCTGACGTCTTTCAGCGAGATTGTTAAGTCAGAACACTCGTTTCCTCAGAAAGACCTCTGGCCATTGATAATGGGGACTCTTCTTTTCCCTCATGGATGGGTGCGTTTAGTCTCAGTCAAGCTTCTGAGAGACTTCTTTGCCGGTAATCCAGAACAGGACGTCTTCAAAGCCAAGGAATTACAGAGTATTGGATCTCGAGTGTTTCGCCAATTTGGTGCCAACTCCATAACCGAAGATTTGGCCAACCAGGCAATGGCATTGTTGCTGATACTGTTCAAAAATTTCAGTGAAAAAAGCACTGTAATGGTTAACGATCAGGATTCCGAGGCCGAGACTGGAGCCTCCAAACTAGCCACTAACTGGATGACCGAAAGAGCTGCTCTGATCATCAGATTGGAGAACTCGTCTCAAAGGGCAAAACAACAGATGATCAAGTTTGTTCAGTTCTCGCTGGAACTGGCAGATGTTGAGAGTGCAGAAGAAGTTGCAGAAACGATCATTTTGGCTCTCTTCAGTATTACCGAGCCAGTCGCAGAGGTCTTCGATGAGGACATGAAAAATGCAGGATTGGAGTGTCTGGACTCGCTCTCGAAGAAGCTGGGTGTCCAGAAATATCAAGGAATATTCCTCAATGCTAAAAAGCTTGTGGATGAGAGAAGAATGCAGAGAAAGTCCAAGAGAGCCCAGATGGCTATCAGCATGCCAGACGTGGCTTCCAGAAGGAAGCTCAAGAAGCATGCCAACTACAGAGAAAAGAGAAAACATGAGAAGGATGAGAATGGGTTCTACCATAAAAGAAAACGTGTATAAAACCAACAAGTCATTAATGTCAGATACTTTTATTTGATCTAATCTTCAGCCTTGGTATCCTCGGACTCAACCTTGGGCTCAACCTTTGGTTCAGCAACTTCTGTAGAAGCCTCGGACATCTGAACGTCTGACTTGGGTTCTTCTTGCTGTTCTGTTTTCAGCTCGCTCGCAGCAGGTACTATTTCAGTCTGATCAGCTGGCTCAATTGCTTCCGCTGCTTTAGACGACTCAGCAGCCTCGGCAGATGCCTTATTCTCAATCGGCTCGACGGGCTCGTTGGGCTCAACTGGCTCCGTGACTGGAGTGCTTGGGGGCTCGGAAGTAGCCAATTGCGAGTCGGCACTGGCACTCTTCTTCTTCTGGTACGCTTCCAGCTCTCTGTGATACCTCAGCCTGTCTTCCTCGTATAACTTGTAATATGGCTTTCTAGCCTCTTCATCCAACTTCTTCCACGCTTCGGTGAGCCCCTTTGACAAATCCATCACCACTCCTGGGTTGTTGGAGTCCAGGTCCTTCTTGACGTTCTCCTTCTCCAGATCGCAGAAGATCAGATATGCATTCGTTGGTCTTTTCGGGATACTTGGATCTTTCTCTCTGGCTTTGCGAAGCGCTCCAACTCCCCCGCGCTTTTTCTTAGCGCTCACGGGGGCGCTCTGTTTCGTTTTCGACGGTGTTGATGCGAGGAGATGGTTTAGACCACTAAAGTCATCAATATCTGGCTATAGATGGTTAGTATCTTGGCAACAAACACCAATAACAAATAATATTCATCAACAAGCACACTTACCCCATTTAATCCATCAGCTTCTGTCTGGTCTTCCTCGGCAACGACGGTTTTCTGTTCCAATACCTCTAACAGTAAAGTGTACTCAGAGCGTAATCTACGAACAGCCAATTTCGCCCTCGACACGGCAATCGTCACGATCTCACTGCTGTCTTCAATTTCGCGTATTTTCCTCTTGAGGTCTTTGCATTTTTGTTTCAACTTTTGTTCTGAGAGAGGTGTTAATAGTCAGTATGAGTTGTATACGCGGTCCACGTATTGGCACGTATTGGAGATACATAAGGAGCATCTGCTTACCTTCCGTTTGCATTTTTGCAGTTGTAGCAATGGCAAGTCTTTCAACAACGGACTCAGTGTCTGATAGATTCACCTGGTTTGAGGGAATAGTAACCTCGTTGAGAGTTGATTGAGTGAACTCTTGCAGGAATGCATGCTCGAGCGACGCTGGAGAATCCGGTTAGTTCACACTTAGGGTGATGATAAGATGAGCTGGATCTAGATTCGGAAATTGTTAACTTTTTGAGAGTTGAGGGGATGAAATATCGGTCTTGTTTTGGGAAAATTTAATCGTATTTGAGATATTAAGCGATATATTTTTGGATATAATGTCGACACGTTTTTTTGTTTTGAATATTGGCTTCGATTGGTCCTCGAACCAGGAGTAGAAGTCTACAAGTGAGACTTTTCAGGGTGCCGCAGTTATATGTTTTGGGAACTATTTTGAAAATTCTGGTAATTCTGGAGATTCCTGATTCTACTCTGAAATTATGCATTGAAAAGAACAATTTCTTGAATACAGAACTGACTATTATATTTGCTTCTTCAAAGCCGAACTTATAAAAGCTGGGAACTCAGTTAGAAGCGGGCCCTTTCATGGTATCGCTCGATCTCTTATACTCTCATACTCCCATAGTCTCCAGTCCAACGCCACAAATTGCAAAAGAAAAATTGCAAATTGCCGCCATGTGAACGCAGAAAATCGCTTTGAACACTTTTCCCCGTGTTCTGTAGCCCACATTTGTTATATTTTAGTTTCTAATGAGTCGTTACATACTCCGCATTACATAAGCATTTGAGTGTGGGGGAACCGATAAAATGAGGTCCTGTGCTACAGCTGAGAAGCGTCTCCACCACAACGTCTGAAATATCCCCGTTCCTACCGCCACCGCCAAAATGTCTGCTGCTGAGCAAAGGGAACTTCTGGAACAGCTTATGGGCAAAGATCTCCTAGTGAGATTGCCCAAAGACTACAACAAAACCAGAGACCCTATCGAGGTGTTGAAGGATCCCAAAATCTGCAAATCGTTCTTGGTTGGAACATGTCCGACCACATTGTTTGTGGGAACCAAAGAAGACCTAGGAAGATGTCCCAAGCTTCATCTGGAAAAGCACAAAATCCTTTACGAGATTGAACTGCAGAAAGGAGTCGATTTCACGGTTTTCCAGATGGAGTATTACAGAGACCTTGAGAGACTCGTGAACGACTGCAATAGAAAGGTCAGAAATGCAAATCTGAAACTGAACCAAACCCCCGAAGATACCTCCAGGCTCGACGACATAAGTCAGCAACTAGACGAAGTGGACCTGAAAATTGGTCTGATGGTGCAGGAAATCCAGCTTCTGATAGAACAGGCGAAATTCTTCAACAAGTCTATCGAGCAGCTGAAGGAATTGAACAGATTATTACAGTTGCGCAAGGATCTGAGCTCCAGATATACAGTCATACTGGAGAGTTTGGATCAGGCAGCACAACAAAAGCTACAGGTTTGCAGTACATGCTCCGCATATCTGTCGAGACTGGATAGCGACAGAAGACTGGCAGACCATTTTGTGGGAAAAATCCATTTGGGCTATTATCTTATCAAAAACGAGTACAATGAGTGGCGAAAGAAGCTTTTTGAAAAGATATAGCAATGGAGATGAAAAATAGAGTATAGCAAAGGGTTGGATTGTGAAAAGCTCCAAACCAGGCAAGACTGCTCTCAATAATGTATACTATAGGGTCAACATGTGATGATGATAAATACTAATTCATGCAAGGAAGTGATCGACAACGATAGCAAAGTGCAGTCTCGTGAAAAAAGGTAGAAAAATAAAAGATGGACTATTCATCCAATGCTAAAACAATCGCAGTTCTAGAAGGTATGTAGACCTGAACAAAATTTCTCCTATTGTTCCAAGGGAAATCGGTGGTGAAGAACTCGGACTTGGACTCGTCAATCCTGCCATGGCCACCAAGCTCCGTGCGGTCGCTATTCAGAATGATCCTGTACCTTCCAGGTTTATCAACACCAACTCTGTAATCCGCAAAACTGTTTGTTGGGTGGAAGTTGAAGACAAACAAGAGGTTGTGTCTTTCGAACACAATGACCTTGTCTCCCTCATGCTTCAAAGAAACATATGCCGGAGGATAGTTCAGCCACCCGTATTTCGCTTCAGTGGCATTCATGGCACAGTCAAACTTGTATAAAAATTTGTATCTCAACAAATCATCATCGATGAGGTTAAACTGCCTTCTTGCGTAGTGGTAAGAGTCTCCGTTACCAACACGAGGAAAGTCAAGCCATTCAGGATGGCCGAATTCGTTGCCCTCAAAGTTGAGATAGGCCTCACCACCCAACGCATGCGTGATCAGTCTGATCATCTTATGCAAAGCAATTCCACGATCAATGACCGGGGTTAACTCAGTTGTAACAGACATGTTGGTGTACATCTCTTTGTCCATGAGCCAGAAGGCCAGAGTCTTATCACCAACCAAAGCCTGGTCATGGGACTCTGCATAAGCAATGCATTTCTCGCCATATCTTCTGTTGGTCAAAGTATGCACGATGTTGCCCATGTTCCAGTCGTCATCCTGCAAATGCTTGATGACCTTAATCCACATGTCTGGAATGGACATGGACAACCGGAAATCAAACCCAACTCCACCTTGTTTCCTCAAACAACAAAGAGTTGGGTACCCAGAAACATCCTCGGCCACCGTGGTGAACGAGGTTTGCTCCACTTCACCAAGTTTGGCGCAAAGGTCGTTCGCCAACATCAGGTAGGAAATGGCTTCTTTGTCCACGGCAGCATGCGAGTTCATGTATTCATTGTAGTCACCGCTAAACCCTTCACCTAGACCATGGTGAAGGTAGAGCATGCTTGTGACACCATCGAATCTGAAGCCATCAAACTGGTACTCCTCCAAATAGAATCTTAGGTTGGAGAGGAGGAAACGAAGCGTCTCATAGTTACCATAGTTGAACAATCTAGAATCCCATTGGTCGTGATTACCTCTGCCTCCAGAATGGAACAGGTAGTAATCAGTTCCATCGAACATGTTCAGCCCATCATCAACGTTCTTGGAAGCATGTGAATGCACAATGTCCAGCAATACACGAATACCCAGACCATGGGCCGTGTCGATGAGCTCCTTCAACTCTTCGGGAGTTCCGAATCTCGAGCTGATTGCAAAAAAACTGGTAATCTGATAACCAAATGAGGCGTAGTAGGCATGCTCCATGATGGACATGAGTTGGACGGTGTTATAGCCCAACTCTTTGATGCGAGGAAGTACGTTCTTGGCGAACTCCAAATAAGTTCCAATTCGTGGCTCTGGCGTTGAGATTCCGACATGAGCCTCGTAAATTTTCAGCGATTGAGGTTCTTTGGGCCTGGGGTTCTTGAACTGGTAAACTTGGTCTTTGGGTGGATTCCAGAACCTAGCCTCGTAGTTCCTGTTATCGTACCAATCAGGAGGAGCAGTACACCTCCTTATCCACACAGGCAACCTGGCCACCTTTTCACCGGATGGAAGTGTCAACAAAATCTTGACCCTGGTGTCATGCGGGATAGCACACTTCCCATTAGAGAGAGGAGGAACAGTAATGGTGAATTTTCCGAAAGCGTCCTTCGTCATAACATGCGAATCGTGGGACCAATTGTTGAATTCTCCAATTAGAGAAGCCGCAATGGCATTTGGGGCATACTCTGTGTAGATAACACTGTTGTCATCAGCACAGTGTAGACCGTAAGTCTTGTATGAGCCTGCAAAGTTTAAAATGCCTCCTTCAGCTTCGTCAAACTTTTGATTCCATTTATCCGCCAATCCTCTTCTATAGAGCAACTCATCCTTGAAAGGATCAAGATAGCCATCTAAGGCAAGCACACCTTTTATAGACTCGTATTTGTCTGGTTCGTTGGAGCCTGGCATGTTTGGTGGAGTAGCAGATGATGTCCAAAGCGGGGGTGATGATGATAATTGATAAGGGATTTAAAGACAGAATTCGTAGCACAGATCCAGCTGAAACCAAACGATCTCAATTAACTATCAAAACTCAACACAATTGTACAGTTGCTGTGACTGTGGACTGCGGGGTGGGACCTTAGGATGGGAAAGGCAACAGAATTGAGGGGCATTATATGACAATAGCTATCCTCACCAGATTAGCACCGCCTGATGGCATCCTCGAATGCACCAGCCACCATTACCCGATACGTCCAGACAGGTGGTGGTGCACCGCCAATGTTTAGTGCAATGACCATTATCTTAAACGGTAACCCTTGCCCTCTATGTTCTCACGTGATGTAAGTTAGTGCTCCTATCAAAATATTTTGCTTTGACCCTTTGCTGAAAAATTTCGATCGGATTAGTTCGACACCTCTACTGCTCCTTCTATACTATACTAACATTTACAGCAAAAATGTCTACCCGCCCAACTGTTTCCGTCGTCTCCGTCTCCGGTGAGACCACCTCTGCCGCTTTGCCGCTCCCAGCCGTCTTCAAGGCCCCAATCAGAGGTGACATTGTCCACTCTGTCTTCACCAAGGTGAACAAGAACAAGCGTCAAGCTTACGCCGTTGCCGAGAACGCCGGTCACCAGACCTCTGCCGAGTCCTGGGGTACTGGTAGAGCTGTTGCCCGTATTCCAAGAGTTGGTGGTGGTGGAACCCACCGTTCGGGCCAGGCCGCCTTCGGTAACATGTGCCGTGGAGGTCGTATGTTCGCTCCAACCAAGATCTGGAGAAGATGGCACATCAAGGTGAACCACAATGAGAAGCGTTACGCTACTGCTTCTGCCATTGCTGCCACCGCCGTCCAATCCCTTGTTTTGGCCAGAGGCCACAGAATCGAGCAGATCTCTGAGATCCCATTGGTTGTCTCCTCCGACTTGGAGTCCGTCAAGAAGACCAAGGAGGCTGTCGCCGCCTTGAAGGCTGTTGGTGCCCACAAGGACATCATCAAGGTGTTGAAGTCCAAGAAGTTGCGTGCCGGTAAGGGTAAGTTGAGAGGCAGAAGATTCACCCAGAGAAAGGGACCTTTGGTTGTCTACTCTGAGGACAACGGTTTGGTCAAGGCCTTCAGAAACATTCCAGGTGTCGAGACCGCCAACGTCAAGTCCTTGGGTTTGTTGCAATTGGCTCCAGGTGCTCACTTGGGTAGATTCATCATCTGGACCGAGGGTGCCTTTGCTGCCTTGGACTCTGTCTACGGTTCCGAGACCACCACCTCCTCCAAGTCTGGCTACACCTTGCCATCCAACATCATCTCCAACACCGATGTCACCAGATTGATCAACTCTGCTGAAATCCAGGCTGTTGTCAGACCAGCTGGCCAGGCCACCCAGAAGCGTACCCACGTCTTGAAGAAGAACCCATTGAAGAACAAGCAGGTTCTTTTGCGTCTTAACCCATACGCCAAGGCTTTCTCCGAGAAGAAGCTTGGTTCCGTTAAGGTTGCTGCCTCCAAGGAGAAGCCATCCAAGGGTGCCTTCACTGAGGTCTTGAAGTCTGCTTAAGCGATTCGTAGAATTGTTTTGACTACAAGATAAATCATATTGGGGATCGCATTGTTTGCGTACATAATTAGTTATCTTACAAAAATAATACGTCTTCGATTGTGCAGCCACAGAGCCTAAACAATTTTTAATTAATTGCCTGCAGACCTATCCCGGATTTCGGAATAATTTACCGTCGTGCACCTGCAGAATATAATCTTGCCGATGGCATCACAGGAAAGTCCGATAATCCATCGAGAAACTTGGCAAATTTCACGTGCCATTGCCATTTTTTGTCTTCATATTCTCCATATCAGTTTCCATTCTTTTCGTCCCTGCAGCCCGTTTCGGATATGCTAATTTGGAAGTTGGCACAGACGACGGATATTCAGCCCACTTATTAAAGTGGCAACAGAGTGGCATTTCCGCTCATAAGGCCGGCATACCGGATCATCATTACCGGAACGGTTAACGTGCGGCTCATTCCGCCACACCCAAACCGTGATTACCTACAACAAACCGAGCTTTGTAGAATACTCCTGGACTGAACCACAGTTTGGACCCCAAACACTTTACTATCGGTCTCTTTTGAAGGGTTGGATTTCTTGATCGTTGTCTTTAATTAGTTTCCTCCGGATATAACTGTATTGAATATTGCAAAACAGATTTTGATCAGTGAAGCGGGACTTGGGATTGACAGTATCAGTAGGAATACTGAAGCACGGCAATACACGCCTCACCAATTACACCATTTTACAAACCTCAGCAGGGGAGCGGAATCAATCACCAAAACCGAGTCAAATTCTCGCTTCGTTGAAAAATTGGCCAAACGCTAGACTTCTTTGCCTGATAACGACGTTGGTATCACACTTCGATACCAAGGGACATTCTCACCAGATTACGATACGATCGCACAAGAGCAAGTCTGCAGGAACGATTTGCACACGAGCTCGGATATAACCAGCACAAGTTAGAAGTTTTCACGAGAACTTAAGGCAAGTCCATAACTTGCCCATAACAGGAACCGTCTATTCTGCATAGAGCATGAACACGTGAATGTATACGCCCGAATCACAAACAATGGAAAACATGGGCCAGGGAAATTTCAACGACCTGGATCCCAAACTGCTCGTGGATTTACTGAGCGGAGGAAGCACGGGAAGGCCGCCCACATTTACCACGGAACAGGTCTCTTCGATACTACAATCTATTCTGGCCGGGTCGACTCCTTCACCACTGGCCACCCCGAACTCGAGCTCTGGATCACCAGAGAAGATCACGGACGAGGATCGCAAGTTCCTCAAGTTGGCCGAGCAGGTGGCCCGGACCCATAACGTTGATCCCACAATCAGGTCTGTTTTGGAGAGGCTACAGTACTTTGGATCTCCGCATGGAGGGGCCCCCATATCCCCCAGGGCTGCTAATAAGAGCAGCAATTTAAACTCCAATTACCAGCTGGGCAGCGCGAAAGCAACGAAAGAGAGCGACAGGGTCAATGGTTCTCGATGGAACGTGCAAAATGCTTTCACGCCCTCGTCGCAACTCCAGCAGCAACTTCAACCGCAACAGGACTGGAGCCCGCATAGTTTCCCGGACCTGATATCGAACGTGTTCGATCCAAACTTCCGCAATTCTCATTCAGCGCAGGATGATCAGTTCCAGCGACTATTGAAGAAAGTGGCCGAAACTGCTCAGAAATTGGACTATGCCGAGCAACAGAAGCTGTACCGAAAGGTGGAGGAGATTCTGGGCAGCTCGTTGCTCTCCTCAACCTCAGACCTCTTGAGTTCCAGAAACCAACATGATTTCTCCGAGCAACCTGGTCTTCTAGAATACTCGCTGGCAACTTCGAATTCCAGCCGAGTGTCGTCGTCGCCGCAACACGTTCAGGTCACCAAAGCCCAGCGAAGAAGTCTGGTGTCCACACCCAGTTCCTCTTCCTCGGTGGGAACGCCATATTTATCTCCACGAATGGTACACCGCCAAAGCTATTCGGGATCGACTGGACTACTCGGAGACAACACTGCGCCAACTTCTCCTGGGATGTTCACTCCTCCGGCTGTTGCCCAAACACCCCAAGACCTGAATCCGGTGGACCATCCGACCACGGCTTCGACGTCTTCCACCACGTCGTCGGGATCCAATGAGAGGAGCTTTGTATGCGAGACGTGCTCTATTTCGTTCCGGAGATCCTCCGACCTCAAGCGTCACGAAAAAACACATCTGGAGGTGCTGCCCAACACATGCCCACTGTGCCAAAAGGGCTTTGCCCGGAAGGATGCTCTGAAGAGACACATAGACACACTCACATGCAAACGGAACCGGGAGAAACTTCTCATTGGAATGAACAATCATAAGACCCAGGAAGAAGACACCAACCGCAATAGTGATCAGGGAAGTAAAGTGTATGGAGATGTGGTTCAGAACATCCTCTCGCAATTTGGGTATGGAAACGGCAAAACTTAGCGAGGCCAAAAGTTCGTTTTAATTTGTTGAGTGTGGCTAGCTCGGGCTCCTGCACTCATTCATAATCACGTATTTATGTATTTCAATCGTTTGGGAGGAATAACTTGACAGCTCTTTGTAAAAAAATAATAGTCTCGGGCCCTTAGATAAGGTCTTGCAGATTGGTCTTAGCACGCGGGGAATCCTGGGCGATGAGCTCAGGAGATGGTGCCTCGGGCTTGGCTAAGAGTTTGGCTTTCTTGGTGTTTTCCAAGGTTCAAATCAACTTCAACAATAGACATTATAATTCTACTCATATCATTTACATCATGCCACAATTTTATGACCTACCGCTATCTTTTGACAGTCTGAGTGAGTCCTCGAAAGAACTGCTCTGTAGAGTGCCGGACTACCCACTGGACTACAACCTGTTCATATTCAAGGGGATCCACAAAGTGAGGCCGCAGATGAAAGCTGATCTTTGCGAATTCCGAGTCCAGGCTGCAGAGAATACTCCGAGGGGGGACAATGCCGACAAAGCTGTGCATTTGGGGATACTGAAACCAGCTGATAAGGATGCGGACGCGAACGACTACGAGCTGGAACTCACCACAACCTCGAAGCTCCAGGACAGATTGATGAAGATTCTGATTCTGGAGAGACACAGAAGAGATATCGCCATGTTGAACAGGGTTCTGGAACAGGAGAACAAAAGCATCACTCCAATTGCACTTACTGATCCCCTGGTGTACAAAATCAAGTCTCCGTTATTCGCCACATTATGGAGCCAGCATTACGATAATCACGAGCAAAGTTTCAAGAAGTTTGCGATACTACAGAACCTGGAGTACGAGTTTGAAAGAGATCTCAGTGAAAACCCCGAGGTTAACGATGTCACCGATGACGACTCGTTGATCCGCCTGTTCTGCGACTCCAAGGATGTGATGGAGTTTGACATAAAGGACCAAATTGACCAGGATCTGTTGGACAAACAAGTTTTGGACGATTCTAAAATTGTTCAGATCATGATTCCGTTAGCTGCACAGGCAATTCTGATGGGTGTGTCATTTTGAGAAGGGGATCCGGGAGTGCAACCTGCTAGGGTGATGAAATTTGTGATGTAACTCAATATATCTGAAAAGGTGACCCAGGAAGTATTCTCAAAAGTGTAGTTCAGAATAGAGAGGGTTGTCTTGCTAGAAGTCTCTCCCCAAGACTTTCATTGGGTTATGCCTGAAGCAAGTACCTCCTCAAGAAGTCTCCAGATCGTATAGTAGTCCTCATAAGTTTGTTTTGCAGTCTCTTGAGACTATCTACTAATTGGCTGGCTTCGAATGTTGTATTTTTCGGAGATTCAAGAGCCCTCTAAGAGCTACAGCCTCTCTACCTGCATCGCACTAGTGCGATGCCTATTATACATCACACAGGGCTTCTTAACCGCCCATCTGGAAAATCGTCGACGACATTTTCACCTGGCTGAATTTTTCCGCCTCCGGAAGACCCCATAGAAACCAAATTTTTAGCTTGTACCAAGTTTGAATCTCATTTTTCGAAAATGCCAATTGACCCAGAAAAGCTCGCCAAGTTGCAAAAAGCCAGCGGCCCAAAGAAGGTGGGTGGCTCCAGAATAAAGGTCAAGAAGGGTTCCAAGAACACTGAGGCCGATGACACCAAGCTGCAAGCCACTTTGAAGAAGCTTAACGCCGTTACCTTGGACGGTGTCGATGAGGCCAACTTCTTCAAGAACGACGGTAATGTTTTGCACTTCAACAGAGTTGGTGTCCAACAGGCTGCTCAGTACAACACCCACACTTTCACAGGTTACGCCCAGGAGAAGCCTCTCAACGAATTGATCCCAGGTATCTTGCCACAAATGGGTGCCGAGAACTTGAACATGCTGCAACAGCTTGCCGAGAGACTCCAGAACAACAAGGCTGCCTTGAACGAGTTGAACCAAGAGGCCAATGCCGGTGCTGCTGGTGCTGACGACGAGGAGGTCCCAACTTTGGTTGAGAACTTTGACGATGTCGAGTAAGGGACCCAATTGGTCCAGAATTCATGAAAAAAGTGAGGAGTTTGGAGTCGACTGAGGGATCCTAATTTTGACTTTTATCCTGCAGATGTGCCTTTCATGTTACGGGTGGAGTCTAGGTAGTTCAATACTGGCAATAGTTAGAAGAAACTCATCCTTAAAGTCTCAGAAATATCAAACATTACAAATCATGTCATAGTTTACAAATCTTACAATTTCAACCATTCTCATCTCTTTCAGCACGCCTCATTCATCGTTCTCAACTTCTCCAGACTCAGCGATTGACTGAAAAATGGAAGAAAGCGCTGGCACATGATTATTGTGTAGTACACGCAGAAAGCGAAACGGCGGGGTCCTGTTGCCATTCTAGGCTATTAACCATGAGCTACCATTAGATAGTCAGTTCAAAGAAGCCACAAAGTTTCGAAACAGTTCAGCTATTATCGCAGATGTCACAAATACCAGCCCGAAAACTGCCTGTGCTGGCATTTCCCGAGAATTTGCCAGAATCAGCGCTGATTCCACCCAAGCCAAGGACCCTGATCTACCTGATACGATTGCTATACTCTACTGGTGCTTTGCTAACGGCGTTTTATGCACTTGCAATTTTCGTGCTCAAGCCTTGTTTGGAGAGACAACATTCGCTGAGACATGAATATTTGACCTATTTGTGCGGAGGACTGAGAGGAATGGTGAGTGCCATTTCGAGTCGGCTGGACTTTGTGCCGAACATCGCCGTTAAGTATGGAGATAGGATATATTCGGATGCTTATTGTCAAACAGAAATTAATGGTGATGGCACAATACTGAAGTTGGGACAAAAAGCAGACGAACAGTTACAAGAGAACAAAGCTTCAGAAGAGGAGAACGGAGAGCACGAAGACCAAGAACTGGAGCAACACGAAACGGACCATGGTTCCCTAATCACAAGGCCGATGGGAACGGTCCGTTTTGCCGATGAAGAGGAAGTGAGAGAGGCTGAAGCAACAGAAAAACTAAAGAAAAAAGCCCATGTTTCAAGCAGTTTGAACAACCTCAAGAACTGTCTCGATTCCCTAACAGTGACTGCGTACAAACGTGGCGATTCACCAATGTCGATGATAAATCATCGCGCAAATATCAGTGAAATGCAGCCTCTTCTGTTCCAGGTAAAGCAGTTCCAGAACTACTTGGATATCATGAATAGGGATCATCCTCGTGATATGTTCTTCAAGAGGAACTACATGTTGGGGGGAAACACCGGGAAGAAAACGAATAACATGATCGACGATATACAGAATCAAGTGAGGGAGCTGATGGAGTTGACAAAGAAGTTGTGAACTGGTAACAGATAGTGCTTACGTTGTTTCTTAAGGTCTTTGTAATCATTAGTTAATCGTAGTCTTTAGCCTCGCTGGTTACTCCAATCGTCGAATTTCAATATCCGCCTCGAGCACCAACTGCAAGTATCGACACTCTGTATTTTTGCTTGGTATAAGCTCTCAATATTCACAAGTTTTCATTTCATATCTCATATCGTCACTTGAACTCTTGAAGATGCCTCAACAGCGACGAGTTTGTCTTGATTTGCTGAAGAAGTTCGCTTTTGATCAGCTCTTTATCACTGTCAGGTATCTCTACACCAAGTTCCTTCTCTTTTGCATTCAAATAGTTGTTGGCAATTCGAACTGCAAGCTTATCTCTGGTTTCATACGGCTTGCGATTCACATTGTACTTCATTTCTTTCTCCTCCACTAACTCCACAGTAGGGGTCCAGTTGGATTTTAAAATTCTCCGGATCGATTCCGGAGAAACTCCGTAGAGCTCGGCAAAATGGTCAGGCTTCAACCCCGGGTATTGTCTTTTTGTGTCTTTGATTTCCTCAATAGCGGCCCTGGGCAATTTCGTAATAGGTCTCCACGGTTGTGCATTCAGTTTCTCCTTTATGGCGTACTTCTGTCTTTGCCATGAGTCCAGATTGCTTCGAGATCTCCAGTCTTTGGGCACACCTGAAACTTCTTTCTTGGCAGTAGGTGTTGTGGATTCAGATAGTCTAGGTAGGTCCCACGTCTTTGGCCTGCCAGATCTACCAAAGTTCATCCGGCAAGAGGAGAGTGACCTCAACCCTGACAGTGAAGGGATCCGAGATTTCATTTAAAGTAAGATAGTGACCTTGCAATATTCAAAGAAGGATATCTTTTAACCTCCCAAAGTTATTTCTCTGGGGTCTCACTTTTCGCTTTTCACTTTGATATTACCCTCTCTGAAATATGCGATGCCGTCTGCCATGTAGTCGGGTCAGTAACGAAGGCAAGGGAAAAATCAAAACAAAGCTGATGTGATAAGTGACAATAACAGTTGTGGCGAATCATATTGAAGCACAGAAGCCTAATTGAGGTTTCTACATAAGCGCTTTTGTTTCCCCACTCGTGTGATTATTCTCTGCGAAGTTCTTCACACGTCGAACTAGGAGGTCCACTATGAACTTCATCCGCAAGCTACTAAGCAGCTCGCCCAAGGATGAGTTGGTGGTGATACCTAGTGGTCAGCTCTACTTAGTGAGATCGCCCACGTCACCGAAGGGGGAGTCTGAGTGTCTTTATAATGATGTTGTAGCCAGCATTAGGGAAACATCCATACAATACAACTACCAGCTCATAATACAGAAGGCCTTCGAGGAAGGCGAGGTTTCAGATCGCGAGGAGGATAACGACGAGTCGTCTGTGTTTGATGATCTGGAAGAGGGCAAAGATGACGACTGGACCTTCTTGATAGACGAAACCTTGAAGTTCTCCAGGTCTGTGAACAAGGAGGGAGACACCGTGATAAGATGGAAGGATAACACGGGAGACATGGGAGACTATCTGCAGTTGCTCTGCGATCGCTCGGTGAAGCCCTCGTTGTTAGATCAGTTTATGACTACTCTTTACAAATGTCAGTTTGAGAGGAAGTATAAGAGATCTGCTCTTTCAGCTTCGGAAAGCGATCTTGAAGAGTTCAAGGTTGGTGCTTCACAGGCTAAATTGCACATTCCTGGATACAGCAATGACGCTGATGGTGAAGACGATTCAGAGGACGAATTTCACGATGCTAACGATGTCAACGATGAAGAAGACCTGAAAGACCCACATCCAATGAGGTTACCTGCCGGGAAAGTACTAAGCCAGGGAGAATGTCAGTTGCACCTCTACGACCCCGTCAAGAACTCTTTTATTCTCCAAAACGAGACAGTCATTGCCAAAATCATTGATCTTGGAAACTGGAACTACTGGCTTTCTGTGGTTGACAGGTCCTCCAAGGGAAGACAGGCGATTACAGGAAGTTTTATTACCCCTGATCTAAATCCGGTTTGCAATGACGATGCACTGGCCTTTATATTCAACTACGTGGGTGAGAACTTGGCACTTTCATGGCTGCTCAAGTTCGAAAATCTCCAGAAACTGGAGGAGTTCAACTCTAATGTGAAAACTGCGTTGTGGGAATCACTGAACAGGACAAAGCTGGATAGTGTCTCAGAATCGGACTCCGAATACGTTCTCAGGGCGTTCGACAATTTGAATGTGAACGACGACATGGATGCAGAATTTGAAGAAGAAAGTGAGGATGAGTTTGATTCAGCGGAGGAATCGCTGCTTGATAACGTGAGGGTTTCCAATTTAAGACAGGGAACTACCAGGAGGAATTTCTCCGATGACGACGACGACTCTGACAGAGACGAAACTAAAGAGAGATTCGAAGGCTCTGAATCAAACAAGGGACTCAAAGTAGGCTACAAAAATGACAGAACCTACGTTGCTAGAGGCAATCGCCTCGGAGTTTTTACTTCTACTGAAGACAATGATCTGAAGTTTTACACAGCGATTGAAAACATCAAAAACTCCAAGGGACAATATATCGATCCCTCGAAGATGATGCTTCACCAGGAGGATAGGGCCATGATTATACAGGATGACTCGAAGCCTTTCGAGCTCTACAAGATGGATCTGGAGTATGGTAAGATTGTGGAAGACTGGCAAGTATCCAAAGACAACAATGTTCCAGTTGTCGAATTTGGTCCCTCTCAAAAGTTTTCCCAGATGACAGGGGAACAAACTTTCATGGGAATATCTAGCAATGGTCTATTTAAGTTGGATCCTCGGTTGTCTGGTAGTAAGCTTGTGGAAGGTTTGCGGAAGACATACAAGACAAAGGTTAATTTCACAGCTCTGGCAACTACTGAGCTCGGGTTCATGGCTGTTGCGAACGAGAGTGGTGAGATCCGTCTGTACGACAAGCTCGGAGGAAATGCTAAGACCCAACTGCCGGGATTGGGAGAACGCATTATTGGCATAGATACCTCCAATGATGGTCGCTGGTTGTTAGCCACCTGCAAGACTTATCTGCTATTGATTGACACCAAGATCACTGACGGCAAGAATGCCGGAGCTTTTGGATTCACCAGGTCTTTTGGTAAGGACTCTAAACCTCGTCCAAGGAGATTGCAGCTGACTCCTGAAAATGTGGCTTTCATAAGAAATGAAACCGGCACGGGTGTTGTCTTCACAAAGGCCCGTTTCAACACGGGCGTCAATGTGGACACTCCACAGACCATTGTTTCCTCCACAGGGCCTTACGTGATAACATGGTCATTCAACAAGGTGCTTCGCAACGACCCACAGCCATATCTTGTTAACAGATATGAGGATACGGTGATGGCAGAAGATTTCAGATTTGGATCGGACAGCAATGTTATTCTGGCATTGAAGGACGATGTTGCAATGGCCAATAAGAAGTCTTTCAAGAAGCCCACCAACGTATCTCTGACTGGCAAAAAGAAGGCTTTGTCAAAGACAGAGGTTGTTTATTCACCATACTAGTTGGTTTTGAAGAATTTCTGGTGGACATACTGAGAGGGTTTATTCATCATACTGAGCTGGATGTGTCTCACCATACCCCCCAACTAATTTGGGAGACCAATCCGGGTTTACATAGTTAGCTTTGTAGGTAAATTAAATCGAATAATGCGTTAATCGGCTATTTCTGTAATCCAAATCAATACAATTTTGAAGTCAAGCGGGTGACTTACGCTATCTCTATTCAACTACTAATACAAATGAGCTCAAGACTCACATACGCCCACTGCCCAATAACATCCCGATGTGCTCACTGATCAGTTCATCCGTATAGTAATCACTTCTTCTAACAATCTCCTCATCCACAAGATCTGTTTGGCCAAAGCCGACCGAATCGGAAGCGAGTATGTTCAAGTATTCGGAATTCTTCTTGTGCAGCTTCTCGAGGAATTCAACAGGGTTTTCGATGATACCCTTGTAGAAATCGTATTTCAACTTGTTGAAGTTGAGGAGTTGGAGGTTCAAAGTCAAGCCATCGTTAAGCTTGGCGATATCGGCCGCTGAGGACTGATTATCAAGCAGCTCTGATATAAGCTTGGAAACATCATTATTGGAAGAGGTCGATGGTCCGTTGATGAGATCAGGGTTGACCTTGAGATCGATAACGACATCTCCCAGCGTGGAGTTGGTCAATGTGTTGATGGTGTAGTTGATCCTAATTGGGTCGACAGGTTTTAGAAGCTTCGTGGAAATGGCATCCATCATCCTCGACACAGTGAAGCTGTTGAGCTCAAAAATTCTGAAGAGGAAATCATCGCTTTTGATCACGATGTTCTCAGGGGCTTGTTGAATGGAATGGCCATCTTGCTGAGGGTACTCCGCAACTTCAAACAAATTGTTAACCTTGATGTAGTTGAAAAGTTTGATCACACAATCGTGCTGCGTGATTTCACTGCAACCCAAAAGCTCGATCAGACTCTCGTTCTTCACTGCAAGCTTCACCGGAAACGACTTGGGCTGTATCAAAATCTCACAAGTGATCTCTTTTTCTTCCGCAGTGGGCTCAATTCCGTGAAGAGCAGATGCTGGGATCGAAGAGCCTGGCCTCTTAACATCCAACCCATCAAATTGGGTCTGCTCCCTTTCAGCTTCGCTCTTCGGACGTTGCTGGTCATCGTGCCATTCAACGATGTCCGGGTTGGGCTGGTTTGGAACAATGACTGTTTCCGTGTTTTTCTTTCCATCTTTGAAGAGCTGAATGGAAACACTGGAAAGAAACGAGCTAAACTTCTTTCTATTAGGCACGTCAAGAGCTTGATCGCTCAACAACCGACCTTCCACTCTCAAGGTCCAGCTTGGTGGTTGCAAGGAAGGCTGGCCAACAGCCTGCTGCCATGGTTGATTTTCAGATATATTGTAGATGAAGATTCTTAGAATTTCGTTCTTTCTTGAGTCCTCATTGAGCTTGTTATTGATGTCGTTTTGGTGGTCTTGCAAATCCAGCAGTTTCCTGTTGATAATCAGATCAAGCTGCTTTTCCTTGTTCTGCAGCTTTCTGAAAAGTTCCACCTGATCTGGGAACAATCTCTCCAAGGATTGCGAAATGGCCACATCTGTGGGTTTGAAAGAGATGGCTTGTGGGACGCGAGCTGAAGCTTGTTGATTGACAGGTGGTGGCACTCCCGAGGAGGGCACTCTGGCACGAACCTGTGTCTTCGGTTTCTTCACCTGCTTGGAAGATATAGTAGACATTATTCTGGAAGGATATATATATATATATTTGGGAATAATCAACCGAAGTTAGATTGGTAAAACATCACCGAGTTGTGAGATTGCGATGGAAGGAGGAACCTCGCAGGGCATATCGCCATCGCTCCTTAACCATGGCGATTGCACCTCATATCTTCCAGGCTGTCACGATAGTTGAACGCGATCTGATCCCATCAAGACAGTCATTCTTGTTTCGATAGAGCATGGGCGTGGAACTGGAACGCTTTTCGTTTGAGGCATTGAAGCCTGCCTTACTCCAGGAAAATGTCGAAAACAACTCCAAAACTGCCGACGCGCTAAACGCTCAGCTATCTTTCCTTACTGAGTTTCTACTAGCCCTGGATGCAAAAGATATACTTCCCGAAGACGCCAGTTTTCTTCTGGATCAGTTGAATCTCTTAGTGGATCATTATAAAGAGACTTTCACCAAGGATGGTGAGGAAATACTGCAATTGACCAGGCCGATCATCAGACTCCTATCTAAGGCCTATGCAGTGGTCTTTCAAACTCTTCTCGAAACTGGAAACAGCAAGTTCAGTATTAAATTGATCGATCTGAGCACAAATCTGAGTGAAATTTTGTTGAAAAACGTCAAGAAGTTATCTTTGAAAACCAATTGGTATTCCACCCTGAAGCATATGGCCACCATCATCCTGCAGTTTATCTTCACACGTTTCAATGGGTTTCTGAATTCATTCAAGGCGTCGATTCTCAATTCTCTTTATAAGCATTTGTCCAAGTGCTATGACAATTACAATTCCAGCGTGGAACACTCCAGATTCAATGCTAGTTATTTTTGTGATCTTCTATTGCTGATTGACATCATTCTTGCCAACGACACTGGAAGCAATGTGTTGGATGACAAGCTCCTGAACAGACTCGTGAAACTATCCAAGAACATAACCGCCAAGCACAACTCAAACCTTTCAATCCCTTCCAAAGAGGGTTACACCTTTCCAATTCTCAGTGTTGTGTTTGCGAACAACTACTTGGTTCACCTTCTGAAATCAGACAGGTTTATTTCAGCGATCCCGAAATCTTCAAGAACAGCGAAGACAGGAAGCTATCTAAATTACACCACCTCCTATTTGCATCGTTATGTGGATGCCATGGATACCTCCTACAAGAAGCTGAGATTATCTCTTGCAAAGAACCTTGCCGATTTGCTGATCTTCAACTACATATCCTATGGAGTGAATACGAATGATGCTTCTGGATCTCTTGACATGACTCTCGAGTTCATATTCGATGGTTTCCTGAAGAACTCGCACAGTCCAAGGATACGTGTTGGTTTGCTCGAAACGTTCTCGACGTTTGTGTTAAAGATGAACCTATATCACCAAACTAACAGCATCTCCACAGGCACTCAACAAGGAAACAACTTTGCCAGTGTGAGTTTCTTCAAGATCTTCAATTTCATTCAGTCTACACTATTTCTTTCTGAAGGCGAAGCAGTCACAGAGAATAGTCTCGCTTCTCACAAGATAGCCCGGAATTCAAATTTCAACGAGGCTTTAACTTTGCTCGACCAACTGGAGTCGTTGTATAAGTTGCTACTGCGTGAGGTTGATTGCGACATCAACAAGCTTATAATTTTGAGCAAGCTCCTGCTGGGCGATGTGGATGCGAATTCTGACTTGAACGTGCAATATCTTGATGATCTCTCCAACCCTTTCCGCGTGCTTTCCGCACTGAAGCTTGCACAACTGCTGATAAAGGACCTGGATCAGTACATATTGTCACAACAGGAGGGATTCTTTGATGGAAGTTCGGACTTGGTCACTGCTGCTTCGCAAAAGCTGTTTCATCTTTGCAAAGTTTCAAACTTTGAAATTCGCGTGACTGCCACCGAAACGCTTTCGTTGCTCATAAAGGTAAAACCTGAGCTGACTTTTGGTATTCTGAACGATTCTTTGGGAAGTCTGATACGCTCCCTGGATGACTCATCCAATGATAACAGTTTTGTATTTAACGAGAACCAGGGACTGGCGTTTCTTATCTCAACGATACTCACAAGGGCACCAAAGGATTATATCAACTCTGATTTCATCTTGCGAGTCTTCTCCACAACCACAAACTTTCTGAAGAAGTTCAACTCCACAGTTATCACGAATAATGTACTCAGCACAAGTTCTGGCAGCTTTATCTCGAATACTGGTTATGACAAACAACTAATCAGTTGGATCATGCTAATGGGTCTATTCAACTTTGCTTCAACCGGCCCCTCCAACAGCAGCTTTTTCCTTATGGAATCCTCTCTATTCTTGAATATTTGGAAGACCCTACTTGGACATACTATCCCGTCGACCTTTGTGAAAGTTTCGCCCAACAATCAAATTAGCAATCTGAATGAAATAATGAAACTGGTGGAGATAAAAAACCATTCCCTTGCTTGTTTGCTGAGCTATATCAACTACCTCGCTTCTACAAAAAACACGAGCGCCCTTGCGACTCACTTGAGTGGCCAGGCTAGCATTAGCTTGCTGACACCTGAGTTGGCAAAGCAATTGAATCAGATTTTGAACAAAAGTTTCACTTTTGTGGGTAATTTGGAGAGCCAGGTTGGAAAGGCAGAGGTGCCAGGGTTGACTGACCAACTCAAAGTCACGAAACTACGCATGCTGCAGAGTTTGTTGAAACTGCTTCCTTACATGAATATCAGAAGCGAGTTCAACTCCTCGCTGTTGATCCAAATTGTGAACACATTCAGTGATCCCAAGGTTTATTCTTACGTTTTGAAGGCCGAAGCAACCAAATTTCACAAAACGAAAAAGAGAGCGGATAGCTCGGAGGAGGATGAGTTGGAGATTTATGGAATAAACGACGGTCTCACGTTTGGCCTTACCAGCAAAATGAACATGTTCAAAGTTGACGAGCTAATGGTCAAGGCTACTGACCTGGAGAAGCAATCGGAAATTGATGATTATGAACTGGACTATTTGCCATCTCCCTTCTCCAATTCATCCGTCATTGCGATAGAGTCTTACCGCACGCGAAGCCACCTTGCTTCAGTAACAGACTTTGACGAATACTTTGAGAACAAGCTTTTCCAGCCTATCCAGCACAGTATGCTACTGGACTACCTTATGGTGTTGGTTCAGAACTCAGACGTATACGGCTATACTGACGTGCATAACGCCCCTGTTAGCATTGATACGATGTCCGTGGATGTTTGCATTGAGCTGTTTGCCATCACTTTCCCAAGCATTCCCTTGAAGATTCAACAGTCCATATTGGAGACCCTGCGTGCTCCTATCTTTTATGCCAACAAAGGCTCACTGAAGAATGAAAGTGCCTCAGAAAGTACCACTGAAGGGGTTAACCTCAGGAGACAGGCCGCCTCAATTAATACAGCCGTTGCAATTCATGGCATGCTGAATTATATGAGCAATCACAACAACAGTACCTCTTCGAAGAGTAAGCTTTATCTCCCCAAAGTGATAGTCTCAGTCCTGGTGGACACTTTGCACTTGATGAAGAGGAAGGATCATTTCATGCTAGCACTAAACTCGGAAAGTATAGGACTCTGTTGTTCCCTGCTGTCGGACAGTGAAAAAGACTTTGTGAGTCAACAGACTGCAATTTTGATCAACAAAATTGTCGAAGACAATGATCCATATTCCAGGTCTTTTCATGTGCAATCACTGGCGAAGATTTGCGAGTTCGGAAACGTTGCTAATCCCTCTTCAATTGTCAATGTCGCATTCAGTTTGATTGCCGATCCACATCCAATAGTGCACCAATGGTCAATGGATGCTTTGGTTACAATATTGGGTAGTCAAACTCAATTTGAGTTTGGAACTGCCATATGCTCAAAAGTGCTGTCGCATCTTGTGAGAATGAGTGTGAAGGATGAGTTCGGTCTTTCGTCAAAGGTGACCATTTTCTCCAATATGAGCTTTGACAGCAAGTACTATTCCAGCAACTCACTGGCTAGAATGGTAAGGTCTGTGGTGAACGTTCTCGGACCAACAGTTGTTCTCCTTGACGAGACAAGTAAGAAAAACCTGTCATTTCTCCTGTTTGGACTGATGTATATGGAGAACAATGATTTTGAAATCATTCTCCGTGAATTGATCAAGACGTTGGAAGAGCTGCAAGTGTTTGACAAAAGTTTGGTGTCAAACGATCAATATGCCAAGTTGCTGAAGTTTGCCATAGTGAACAATTTCAGAACAGGATTCTACAACAACTCGATGTCTTTCCTTCCTCTTGACGACCAGTATGCCTCAGGAATAAGTTCTACCTCTGAGTTCTACCCAGTGAGCACAAGTCGCCTGAACTGGGGTATTGCAGTCAATACCTACCATCAGATGCTCAAACTGCATCCAAATGGCAGCTACTCTTCTGAGGTGTTCACTGAAGATGTTCAGAAACTACTGTGGATATGTTACGAGTCCGACCCCGATAATCGCAGCATTCAAAGCACCTGTAATGACTGGCTCGATTACTCTATGGGACTGCCAGCTTCATCAAAGGAGAAGTACTTGTGGTTTGACAAACTGGTTGGATATTTCAACATTCCCAAAGCCGAGTTGTATGCAGCCTTGTTAGCTGTTTTCAAGAAAAGGATCAACAACAGTGGAATGTTCTTTGACCTCAAGAACAGGTCAGCTACCGTTGCCGTGTCCAAAAAGGAGCCATCAAGCAAGAACGAACAGAACGCCAATGACGAGGAAGACTCTCAGAGTGGTAACGATGGAGACTCGGTGCAAGCAGACGACGAGGAGGCTTTAGCTGGAGACGACAGCGTTGCAGTTGTTGATCATGGAGAGCAAGAGGAGACAGATAAGCCTAAGTCCAACGCGTACACAGCAAATGATGCATTGCACCAAATGGTAGAGAATGAGCCCACAAGCTGGAAGTTCAAATTGCGAGTTCTCGGGTTGCTCACGAAGTTACTTCAGTACACCAGGAGAGATCAGAAACTAAAGTTGTTCATATCCACGAAGATATCCGAGTTTGTGAGGATTGCGTTTGTTTGTGCTACATCCAACATCATGTATCTGAGACTGAGTGGGCTGAAACTTCTAGGCGACATAATCGAGATCTATGCTGATATGAAAGATCCACTGTACCCAGAGTCATCTATCATGGATCAGCAGCAGGCTCAAATGATCAGCGCAATTGTGCCTGCATTTGGAAAAGACTCCAGCCTTGATTTAGCAGGTGAGGCCATCGTTATTGCGAGTAAGCTTGTGACCAGCCACATATCACATATTACCAAAATGTCAAGGGTGGTGAAGATCTTAACAACGTCTTTGGAGGAGTTCTCCTTATCGGAGAACACAAGCATTAACGACGACGGGAACGACACCTCGAATACCAAGACCATGAAGATTGGAGAAATACCAATCTTGACATCAAAGAACAAAAATAAGGTGAAGTTGTCAGTTCTTGATGCCTGGGCCAAACTGAAGATCAATTCAACAGAGAATGATGAAGATCTCAACCAGATGATCAGCAAGTATCTTGGGATCCTGGTCCCCATGTGGATCTATTCCATGAGAGAATTTGCCATGCTCAAGTTTGGTTCTGATTTCACTCCAAACTCAACTGATGACGTTGAGCTGGAAACCTACGAAAACCATTGGATCGATTTCCTTGAAGTTTTGTCGTTGGTACTAAGAGAAGACGAAGAGCAGTTTACAGCCCTCCTTGGAGGAGACATCTCCAATTTTGCCTTTGTGCTATTTGGCCAGTGTATTGAGTTTCTGGTGAAATCTTCGTCTAACACGACCAGGATGAGGGAAGGAGGTGAGAAGCAAATCAAGGTTCTTGCTTCGTTGAATAGGTTGCTAATGCTCGACACAGTTGCCGAGACTATCTTCAAGGACTCGGTTTTCATTGAGTTCATAGACCTGCTCAACAGACTTGTACTGGTCGTCCCGACGGATGCGGTTTCTCACGTGGTTGAAATTTCAACGAACGCTTTCATGGGATACTTCAAGACTGCTGGAACAAGAACCGTTGAAGAGCTGCATAATGACGTCGATAAGCTGTTCGAACTTCTGAGAGTCAACATGCATGTCATCACCACCGTATTGCCCATGGTTGCTGACGGGGAAGTCAACATAGACAAAGTCCGCCGTTTATCCGAAACGGACCTGGTTCTCGTCAGAACCTGTTTCTCTGCGTTGGTTGAAATGATAGAGAAGTTACCTGAAATCATCAAGGTGGATCTTTACACTTGCTTACTGTTTGTGCTCAAGCTGATTTATGAGCTGAACGACTCAGAGTTGATCACAATAGCTCTTCCTACGTTGCGTAAGGTCTTTTCCGGATTGTTGTCAATCGACAGACCTGAAGTGATTGATGCTATCACCAACTTTTATTTCGATCTTAGTCCAGTGATTTCGAACAGAGATGACAAGAACACCCTAGTGACGGTGCTGATTCTTCTGACGTCTTGTCGCGAGAAGCTTGTGCTGACAAAGGATGAATCTTCGAAGGTTGCTACGGTATTTATTAATGGACTGGTGTCTTCAGATCATCTGGCCCTCACAATTCAGTCGATCAAAAACCTGATCAATCAGGCTTCAACTAACAAAAACGGGTGCATTGGTTCTGTGGTGGAGCAACTCATTCCAAAATTGATCATCCTCTTGGTCAGTACGCTGGAAGGATCTGCTGAAAAGGCTATCAGAGACCCAAGATTGGTTCTCGAAATGCTGGTCATTTTCAGCAAGAGCTTGAAAGAAGAAAGTGACATTGAAATGTTCTACTCGATTCTGATTCCTTTACTTGTATGGTTTGATACGGCATCTGGTGGCTCATCTGACCCAATTACAAGAAAGTATACTCATTTGAAACTGATTGACCTTATTGCGTTCAATCCAGAGTTGTTCAAGAAAGTCATCAATGATGGTAATACATTGAACGCTGATGGGTCCACACGGTTGGAGATATTGGTCAGGTTTGATGCATCGTCAGTTCAAGGTGGTGATGAAATTGATGGGAACAGCCATGCTGCTAGCACAGCGGCTCATATTGAATTGAAAACATTCGGTTGAACGATTTGCAGTCATGCTGCTGTTTCAGTATTGTACATTATATCATTAAAAAGTTATAAATCATTTTGTTTTACGAAAAAGACAGTAGTCATGGTACACCATCTTTGTCCGCGTAAGGTCATGGAATCGGGACGGAATGTAGAGTAAACGACCCACGCCTTTGCTCTCGTCCGGGTCTATGATGTTATGACAAAGTACCGATTCCCATCCATCCAGCTTGGCCACATTGACCTCATCCATATCTGCATCTACTGGTATATTGACGTCCACGTAGTAGTCACAAGCATCCTGGAAACCAGCAACTGGCAGCACCTTGTCTTCCATATAAAGATTCTCATTGTTGAAGACATTTGTAGATGAAATCAGGGAATCCACTTTATCGAAAAAGGCATTTTTTTCGGGCTCATGGAAGTCATCAGGAAGTAAGCCTCTAAATCCTGAAGGCACAAACTTGAGCCTAGCATTGTCCGGCAGAAAGAACGATGATGGGTAATGGTACCACTCCCTCCCCACACAAACATTCAATGTCTCATTAGTCTGTGGCAGGGCAGCATAAACTGCCAACGGAGCCCGGTAGTTATGCATCAAAGATGTGATTCTCAAAACGGACACGAACGACACCACAATGGCAAAGAGGGTAACCGAAAGGCGAGCAATATGTTTTCCAGTCAACAATCTCACGATCTTGAATAACTGCCCGGCTAAGATTGCCGCAGATAACGAGATCATGGGATATATCGGATACAAAAATCTCTCCTCCTTATGTGGTTGGGCAAAGAAAATAAGGGACCATATCAGCACAGGAAGATTCGCGTTGGTGACTATGCTTAATACATTGATGTCTCCCAGGACAACCCATTCTATCAACGGAGACATCACACATCCAACATACGCAAGAACCGCAATAATGTTGAAATTCAAAAGCAAGTTCAAGACGTAGTAGCTCAAGGGTTCAGTCCCAAAGATGTTTGGGCCACTTGTTTCGCTGGAATTGACCACGTTGTATAGAACAATGTTCAAAGGAACGAACTCGTACTTTCCGTAGAAAACAGACTCGAAAAGAACCAGACCTAGGGCCAGAGGCAAGACTGCAAGTGATGGCAGAATCAAGTTCTTCGCAGCGACAAGCACGCCAAATTGGAGCGCAACACCAACTGCGAACGGAATTGCCAAAACAAGTGAGAAAGGCCAACCCAATAAACCTCCCAAACTAGTCCAGATCACCACTTTGGCAAATGACCACGCCTTTTTGCTTGTCGAGCTTTCCCTAAAGCATCGTATGGAACTTGATATGGCAAACATCTCACAGATCATGGCAAAACTCGAAGGCAAAAATGCAATCGAGGCATGAGACATGCCAGGAGCCACTGTGGAAAATAACAAAAACCAATTTGCAATATCGTGGTTGAGACAAGAGTAAACGGACTCGTACAAAGCCAGTTCTCCAAGCAGAGACGCCGCTGCAATAGCCAACCTAGCAACATAGAACTCGAAATACACTGGAAATTGAAATTGAGCTCGCAAAAAGTCCAGAGGGATCAATAGCACATTCAATGGCATCAAGAACGCCCATGATCGGATAGCATATATAGGCGAGTATTCCCATGTCTGTTTTCCAAAGCCTCTCACCATGAAGTTCAACGGCTCCCAGTAGTTGAACACCTCATCACAGTCTGAAATGATTCCGTAAAAGACACACAATATTCTGATGGACACCAGAAATCGCTTCAGCACTTGTTTTTGCTTCATTTTGTATATTTCCTCGGAATCCCTCCATGTGCTTCCAGTGCGGAGACACTCAGTGTAAAGAGATCAATACGTGAAGGATATCGTGGCCTTAGTAGTGTACTGTGCACTATTAGTGTCTCAATTCTCAACCCCGGTTATTGTTAGAAAGTACCAATCAACGAAATTTATCAAATTTACAACTTGTTCTTCAATCTAAACGACAATCGTGTATTTAGTACTGCACTGATAAATAAATAAGATACGCCATGGCGCGAGATTTTCGGCCTGGAGTGGAGTCTTAGCAGTGCAGGTACGCCTTTTGTTCCTATTTGTGTGGTTCATTGTGCCATCTGGTGAAGAAAACTTGCTGATTTTGTGAAAAGACTCTGCTGTGCAAATCCTCTGCATAGCTTTTCACCAACACATCTCATTCTCGTTAATGCGGCAGTGACTTCCTCTATTTCTCCTCATCTGGACCAAATCTGTTTCTCGACTTAGCATCCGTCCAGAACCCGTCTCTGTCAAGCTGCTTGCCCATGATAGTTGTCTGTGGGGGCCTGAATACATCGTCTGTGTGGTATGGGGATTTGACTTCCCACCATGGAATATCCTTCATGATCTCACCCTCACGCTTGTAGTAGGCAAAAGTACGACGCACAACATCACGGTCAGTCTCAGACTGCAGCAAAGGAATGAGGTGAATTCTGGCCCAAAGCTTTTCTCTCTTGAGCTCAGCCTTCTCACGGTTTCCCTGGCAAACGTGGTAGAAGCCGTATGCGGTCATACCAACGAGGCCTGCAAACCAGATGGTTGGGCGGAAACCTCTCGAAGGCAAATTACGCTTCCATTGGATGCTCTCATAACCTCCAATGGGTGGCAGGTCTTGGTTGGCCATTGTTGATCTTGATAGGTGTTGTGGATAAATCTAACGTGAAATGGAACGAAAAGTTCACATCCTCCAATCACATCAAGCTCAAGTTCAATCAAGGTCAAAAGGAAGTGCGTAGCACAATATCTCCAAACAAATCTGCGTGTACACGCAAAACTTTTCAGCTTGCGCACTCCACAGCATGACGCATCTCTAGGATGACGGCCTACTTCAGTCCATAAAGGTGTGTTTGATTCTTTTGGAGTTTCTGCTTTTGTGACTCAGTGGTGACAGACAACTAAAATTAGACAGCCTCGGACAATATAGGATTACTAGAATTATGTCACAAAAGTTAACAACAAAGCAAGAGGTAGAACAATTCCTCAGCCAATATGATACTTTTCTGTTTGACTGCGATGGAGTTCTGTGGTTAGGCACTCACATACTGCCAAAGGTGGTCGAGACTCTGACTCTGCTCAGATCGCTAGGAAAGAAGCTTATCTTTGTCACAAATAACTCCACCAAGTCCAGACGCGAATACACACAAAAGTTTGAGAAGTTCGGCTTGACCGTTACTGCCGAGGAGATCTTTGGATCTGCGTTTGCGTCCGCTGTATACCTTAAGAACGTTGCCAAACTTCCAAAGGAGAAGAGCAAAGTGTGGGTTTTGGGCCAGTCAGGAATCGAAGAAGAGTTGGCAGAAGTGGGCATAGAATCGCTGGGTGGCTCGAACCAGGCGCTGGATGAAGAGTTCACCACCGAGTCTCCCTTCCTGAAGCTGGATCCAGAGGTTGGCGCTGTGATCGCGGGATTGGACACCAAGGTAAACTATCACAGACTGGCCATCACTCTTCAATATTTGCTGCAGCCAGATGTGAAGTTCATTGCCACGAACATCGATTCCACCTATCCCCAGAAAGGCATGATTCTCCCGGGGGCCGGGTCCATCATCGAGAGCGTTGCATTCGCAAGTGGACGCACGCCTGTGGCATGCGGTAAACCCAACCAGGCTATGATGGAGGCTATCGTGGCTCAACACGGCTTCGACAAGAAGAGAGCATGTATGGTTGGAGACCGTTTGAACACAGACATGAAGTTTGGTAGGGATGGTGGTTTGGGAACGTTGCTGGTGCTCACTGGAATCGAGACCGTCGACAAGATTCACGCTCTCGAGGCTTCAGAACAGCCTCTTTATTTCGCAGACAAATTAGGTGACATCTTCGAACTGTTGCAGTAAACTCCGTCCACTTCATGCACCTTGCACGCACGTCTCACACACCCAATTGAGATAGACATTTCAGCAATAGGCGACTATATTATTGAACAACTAAGAATAGATCATTTGCAGATATTCTACACTCTTGCGATTAAACCCAATGCCATTTAAAACTCAGCACCAAGAGTAATTCTCGGACCATGTACCTAGACTGAACCCTGTAACCTATGATGTCATGCCAATCTATTCGTCTGGTCCAGCCCAAAAAAAATCATCGCACGCCCATTCCCAGCGCAGATTAGATCTCACGCTGTTTCCATCCTCCACGTTGAGATCTAATTTAGAAGCAATATCTTTGTTGGGTTATAGCATCGCATCATCATCGAAGGTTGTTTCAGTTCTTTAAGACGATTTGTGTGTTTGTGTGGTACTATTATCTCCATAGTGATCGTCCTTTATCAACACTGTTACAACCAGTCTTCATCAGCTAAGACAGTTGCTCATTCGCTTCAATTGTCCTGACCATATCACATTTCTGGCCTCATTGCACCATTCATACATCATCTTCTAGGTGTGCCTGAAAAGTCACGGTACTAGGACCATTTGGCACACACAACATAGAAACATACAGTCGCGCGTTCCGAAGGCGACTGGCTTCCTAAATCAATCGCAAAAAGAAGATTAAAATGTCCACAGATACGAAGCAGGAGACGCTGGAAAATTCGGAGTTGATAAATTGGGTGATTTTTTCAGAGCTTTTGTTAATGGATGAAGATGAGGAGGGCTTCGCACAATCTCTGATAACCACCTTTGTCGAGCAGGCATTGGGCATCTTCAAGGAGATGGATGAGCTTCTGTCCAAATCGTCCGAAAAGAACGACGCCAACCTGACAAAGCTCTCAAACTTGGGTCATTACCTGAAGGGTTCAGCAGCGGCGCTGGGATTGCACAAGATACAGGAGGAGTGCGAGAGGATTCAAAACTACGGTGCCAAAATCTCCGATGGGTTTGAGCAGAGCGAGGCCGCCAAGAATGTTCAAGATTGGTTTGATTGCTGTGCCAATGCTTTGACTGAGGCCAAGAAGTACTTCAAGGAGTCAGGGAACTTGCTGAGCGATTACTTTGACGAGGACTTTTTTGCCACAAGCGACGAACCTGATGCCGAGAAAGACACGGAGGAGCCAGAAGAAGCAAAACCAGAAGCTCAATCTTAACCGGATAGTGATTAATGACATTGACAAGGAGTGGACTCGGTGACCACGAGGGTGTTTGATTGATGTGTTCTCTCCACACAGCACCAACAGATATGCTTTTATTGACGACGCTGTTGCGATTAACTATACAGTTTCACTTGCGCTTGAACTTTCACATTTTTCTATTTTTGCGTCGTTATTTATTCGTTTGGCTAGTTATGAGGCAACAGTATTCTGTCTTTGGCTGTGCGTAGACAACAATGCCATGCTTGACCACGAACGCAAGTTATCCTAAAGGTATACCGTATTCGCAGTCCATTGTTATGGCTTTCCCGCTAAGATTGTCTGATAACCGAACAAAAACACCCTCTTTTGCTCAGAACAGATGATGCTTCTCAACCATAACCACCTTCTTTAGCATCTTCACCCTTTCACCCTTTCACACCAGTACCATTCTTTTAAGGTACTTCCCCTTTATTCACTTTTGAAATTCCCTTTTGGAACCATCCAATTCATACATTCGGCACACCTACTCCTTGTCAGACGCAAAGTTCGACTCGACGAACTGATACACCACAATAAGTGATACAGACACGAGACCAAACGTGATGGCAATGGTATTCAGTTGATCGTCTGTAATCATATCCGTTCACTGACAGTTTTTCAATATTACCGGGATATTCGCAGATGGAGCTAAGGTGAGTGCTTTCGAGTCAAATGACACCGTGCTCGAGAGCTCAACGCGAGAATGCTGATGTAGTGTACCAGCAAATTTATTATCGCTGGATAACAGCTCCGTGCGAGTTGCTACATTAACCATGTTTAGCTATTAGCCGCATAGATAAGCAGCTGATCAACTCCAAGAAACCACGGCTTCAAGATGGCTGGCCTAGAAGAACTACTATATAGAGAGGTGAGTTCGTGATTCCAAAAGAATTTGGGAAAAATGCTTGGATTTGCGATGCTAACTCCAGACTAGCTTATGAAAAGTGCGGCCTTCCATAGGTTTGTGAGATCTATCCATGCAAAGATAAATGGCTTGCCTAATCCAAGGGTGCAGGATTACAGAATGAAGCATAATGCAAGTACAGGGCATTGTAAGTATCTGGGGTGGTTTTAAGCGCTTGCTCAGAGTTTTTTTCAAGCTAACCAATAGACCTGCCAACCGCATCACACAAGCTCAATGCGTTTCGTATATTATTTAAGGAAGAGTTTGGAAAGAGCATAGGACTGAGGAGGAGATGACAATAGAATTATCTACGTGTGTTTTGGCACTTTTTCGCATTTTTTTACTGCAGATATCAACCAATGGAATTATAATAGACTATGAACCAACATTACAGTAAGCACACGTTTTGCGATCACAGCTCATTCCTCTGGGGGTTCGCTTTTGACACTGCGATTGTCGACAGGACTGTTTCTTGCGATTGGCCTGACCGAGCCTTTTTTGGAGGCTGGCCTGGGAGAAGACACCGACCTCGGAGAAGAGCCAGCTCCATTGACGGCAGTAACACTATTTTGTCTCATCCTTTGTTGCTGCTGCTGTTGAAACTGAACGGTTCCACCCGACTGCTGCGTTGCCAGAGGAGAGTTTACCTGTGAGGGATGGTGGTTGGGTGTTGAAACGTTGGAACCGTTGCCTAGATTGGCGTTTCCACCACTGGCGGGCGCAGGGGTATTGTGAGCTGTGCTGGAAGTTCCAGAAGTTGGCATGCTGGAACCCGGTCTCACAGAGCTATTTCCGTCAAAGATCTGCGGTCCAGTGAGGTAATTTCCGTTGATCTGCGGTGGTCTCTGCGATTGCACCAGCGGACCGCCCTGCATTGAAGGACTGTTATCCAACAAACCCGGAATATGCATCAGGATAGTGTCCAGCTTCTCCAAAGCATCATTGGCCTGGTCGAATCCCTTAGCGCTGACTCTCAGAGTCCAACGGTAGTTCTGCACTTGGTCCTTATACAGAACAGCCTCTTCAGGAGTCTCCGAAGTGACAAATAATATAGCAGCAAACGTTCCAATCAGCGTGAAGTTTGTCGTTGCCGAAGAGTGCCAGAATGAGTGGATATGCTCTGGTTTAAGCTCACGTGCAAAGTCTACCGCTGCAACGAGTCTGGTCTTTGCAGCGTTTCGACAAACCTTCACCAGCTCGGGTGGAGTATCTGGAGTCAAACTGGATATGATTTTTCTGTGTAAGGTGATCTCTGCGGCAAAGTAGGCCAATTGCAGATAGCCATTTGAGTTCAGCTTGCGGGGCTGAATGGAGGTCATCTGCAGGTCTTGGGGCAGTGAGTGATACCACGTCCTCAGCTTCAGCTGTAAGGGCTTGGCCAGTTTCAAGACATAGTCTATTCTAGACACATTCTCCATTGCTGAAATTGTGAAGAAAGTATCCAAAATCTCGCTCACAATTTCGCTCAACGAGATCATCTCCTTGAACAAATGCTTGCCATTTTCGATATCCATGGATCCCTCCTTATTGCTGTCAGCCTCGTTGTTTTTCTCTGGGAAATCTTCGTCTGTGACTCTCTTCACAAGCCAGTTCTTTCCCTCGATGATATGCGATGGCCGGCTCTCCACTAGGGCCAGCCATTTATCCTGCACATACACTGCCCAGGCTAAACGCCTTCTCAGACCCCTCTCCCATTTGGGCAAGGTCCAAGTGGCACAATCAAGTCCTAGACCCAGCTCTTCTGCAAGGGCCACTACCTGCGAGCACAGAACCCAGTTTCGTGCATGATCAGGGCGGCATTGCAACAACAGCAAACCAGCTTGCACCGCAGACAACTTAGGGCGCTCAATTACATCCGAGAACGTTCGTATTGCCAGTTTATTCAGAGCAGCAACATTGGGCTTGGGATGCTGCGAAAGGTTCGGATCGTAATCCCACCACTGGATAGCCAAACAGTACACAGCAGCCAAAAGAGGAGCACCAAATTCTCTGTGGGTTCTTGAATATTTCTCCAGAAATACCCTTTTGTGTAACACAGGAAAAGAAGGATGCACGATTCTGAAGTAGAGATCGATCAAGGTCTGGCCGTGTGGAGCAACGTACCTCTCCACGGCATCCACGTCCTTTTCAGTTCTTTCGTACAAATCTTCCGTGAAATCGTCACGCAATGTAAACTGGACATTGGAAGCCACTTTTCGAAGACTCGTGGTTGGACTCAGCTGGAATTGATCGATCTTGTCCAGCTTGATCTTTTCCAGAAGAACTGGGTCGTACACCGATGTAGGACCCACGTAGAAACTCGACCTTGGATATTGCAAACTCAGAGTCTTTTTCAAAAGTGAATGACCCGGCATCGCGGCATAATCCGTTATCGGCTGAACCTCCCTGATCGGCATATTGGGAGGAGGCTGCAACGAAGGATCGTCATTGTATCTGATCTTTTTCACACCAGAGCCGTCGTCCAGCCCTGAACCACTGGTCCTCTTTAAAGGATCACTGAAAGTACATTTGATGTTCTTCTGCTCGCACATGTTACAGCTGGTCATGAGCGAGTTCATCACACATCTGGTCTTTCTCCGGCGACAGTGGTCACACGGCCTCACCTTGACACGCGGCTGTGGAGGGTCTGGTTTCTTCGTATTTTTTGGCGAGGTTGCTGGGTTTGAACCGTGAGTTCCATCTGAGGGGTTGGCGGGTGCAGATATGAACGGTGGTATCATCTTGGGACTGTTGACCATTGGCCCATGCTGCGAGACGACTGAAGCAGTGCCAGATCCTGGATTCACCTGGTAGGGATGGCTCCCACTATTGAAGTGTGGGTCCATCTGGTACTGTGGAAGGTTGTGATGTTGCGGATACAGCTGATCAGACTTCATTCGGACTGCTGGAGGATGCTGCCCCGAGGGACTATGTCCGAACATCTGCGGGATAGTCGGCGAAGGACCGACTCCATTGTTCAGCATATTGTGGTATTGCGATTGAACGTAGAACTCATTCGGCGAGTTTATGTTATTCACGGGGCTTGCTGATGGAGGCCCTGCCATGCTGGCCCCATCGGACCCATTGTTGTTGGAGGAGTGGAATAGATGATTGCCCGTCTGGTGTTGATTCGGCCTCGGTTCGGCATTGGCAACATACTGAGGCATTGAATCGTTCAAGAACTCAAAATCCGTCTCGGTTCCTTGCGCCCAGGAATTGTAGTCAAATTGGAACGCAGCCGACTCGTCATTGTTGTTTCCATGGGGGTTTTTGGAGACGGCCGAACCAGCAAGTGTCGGGTGTTCGTCCCCGTTGGACGCCGACATTATGTGACAATATTATGAGAAAGAACTTCGAAAAAAAAAGATCTTCAGGTTTGAAGTCAACAACTAAAAAAGGCTGAAGCACCAAATTGTCTTGTTGTCTGGACCGAGCTGACAATGGTCGTTGGGCAATTCTTTTCACAGCGAGTAAAACAAATCAGTTATCAGTAGCCAATGGGCTCTTGCGATTGAAAAGCAAAATCTAGGAAACTCTTGCAAATATTAGCTTGAGTGATTTCTCAGTAAAACGTCCAGTGGTCCTTGTCAGCTAAAGTTCTCGACAAAGCCATCTACCCACGAAACCTATCGTCTCCCTCTTTCCTGTATCTCCAGTGATGCAGAAAAAGCATTCCCAAAACCCTGCCGAAACGGGCCACTTACATAATCCGATTTCCTATCTGCATCCACTTAGATTTGAGCATTTCTGGCAATCGACCCCCTTTCCCAGATAGAGAGGATCTATAGATTGAATTGGTGTAATATTATGGCATTTGTCGGATACAATGGGTAGAGAACAGGGCTAAAAGCCCAATAATAGGAGCCCTATTGCCATATTGTCTTGACTTACTCTTCTTCACTGTGATTTTCCCCGACCTTCTGATCACAGGGGGTCAGGGCGTTTACAGTTAACCCTGCATTGTCTAGTAACCGAGAAATGGTTTAGCTTAAACCGTTTTTTGAACTCTCAGAAGACCATTACGCCTCACTCTATTTAATCATCAGGCCTTTCGTCTACGATCAGGTCATATTGAGTGAAGATCTAAATTACAGTTAATCTGCTTTCTTTATTTTGACCTCCATTTTCTGCGTAACCTATCAATCCATGGAGGGGTATGATACCCATGCGAGATAAACCTCTTTCACCCCTATTCGAAGGATTATGCCGAATTCAAGGTGGAGGATTTTTTTCTTGGACCACCATTGGTTTGACGTAAGTTCTTTAGGTTGGAAAAATTCAGTCTCTCATAACTGCCATTCCAGCTTTCTCTCTAGTACAAATAGACCTCAGCCTCTACTATTGTCCAATGCCATAGTTAGCCAGTACAGGGCACATCCTCCGCCTAACGCGACTACCCCAGTAACTTCCATGGGGCTTATTCATGAAAATAAACATTTTCCAGAAAAGTCAACCCCCTCAATCAATTCAAAGCTAAGTTTTTCAATTCTAGTCTTTTTCATTCAGTAAAGTATACATTTTGTATGGACCCCATTCCCCTCAATCAAACACTGTCAAATAGGTCTCTGCAACGAATCTGGCACGAGAGTTCAAAAACAACTTCATCTCACTGATCTCCTTGTCCACATCTTCCATGAACTCAATTATAAAGTCCACCAATTTGTTTTTCAACATGATTTCGTTATGATAGTTTGTCAGCAAGAAACTGACGTCGTAGCCTTCAATGGGGACCCTTCTCAGGATGAGGAAGTTCTCAGCTCTCTTGGTCAAAAACCCCACGAACTTATCCACCAGAATGGTTTCGATCTCATCACTTTGCTTGATCTTTATGGACACTCTCACCGAGTTGATACTTGGCTCAATCAACACCCTTTCATTCTCGTTTCTGGATATCGTCATTGGGTTGAGCAACACCTCTGCGGTCTTCTTATTTTCGATCTCTGGGTAGTTATGTCTCTCAACAATCTGCGATGAAAAAGGCTCCAAACACAGCGCTGCATTGAGCGACGATCTGACCGCTGTCAAATATGGACGTAGAGATTGTGACTATGATAAATAGGTTTTGAGAAGTCCATCATTGAATTGATAGAGTATGCCGGACATGGTCATTTCTCTGTCAATTCATGACAAAACTCGAGCAACCAATAAGTTAGTATTAAGAAACAAAAACACAACGAGTTTGATGACTTTTGTGTAAGTTTGTCTAGTCTGAAATCGTAAACCACGGCGATCAACACTTGTGAGGGGCACCGGATCAGCGCATGGAGAGGCCAAATAGATTACAGACGTGCACTTTTAAATTGAAATCAAGACATACCATGATTTTAGTGGTTCAGATTTCACACGAAACCGAATTGGAAACGATGAATTGTTGGATTTGTACAACGATTAAAGTTAGTTCCGAATGTTCCCTTCCAGCCTGGCCTGGCTAAAAGAGGGAGTAAAAGACGTGTACCAACCATCCAACTTACACACGACCCGTTGGTGATAATTTGAGAGACTTCAAGGCATGTTGTATTTCGTGGAGAGCAACGAAACCATATCCATTCGTCCTGATGTCTTGGGAGGAAGTTACAGACGAGGAAGGCAGAGTTTACTACTACAACTCTGTTACACAGGAAACTACATGGGATAGACCCGATGAACTGGATACACCGCTTGATAGGGCATTAGCAGAGACCGTCTGGCAACGGTTCACTTCTGATGATGGAAAACCGTATTACTACAACAAAGAGACACAGGAGAGTGTGTGGGATGTTCCCCAAGAGGTGAAAACGGCACTGGAGGCTGCTGGTATCGAACTACCAGAGGCCGCTGTGCCGACTGAAGAAGCAGATGAAGTTGTGGACAACGATGGACAAGACCAGCGAGAGTCCAATCGTCAGGAAACTGTTGAAGCAGAAGAGAGTGAGCAAGTGGGAAACAAGTTAATTGATCTGGAGTCTCTAATAAGTGAGATCCCGGAGGAGAAAACCGAGATAGATAGCGTTTCAAGTTCACCAAGCCAGGCCCAGGAGCATTTCGTAGAGATGCTCGAAGAAAATAATGTTGATTCCAGTTGGTCTTTCAACAAAGTGATGGAGTCATTTATTGGAGAGCCAAGGTACTGGGGCGTGGGTGATTCACTAATGCGCAAACAGATCTTTGAGTCTTATCTGATCAACAGAGCTGATAGGGAATTCAGAGAGACAGAGGATTCTAAAGAAGCATTCAAACAGAGTTTCTTGAAAGTCCTGGCCAATTACGATATCAAGTACTACACCAGATGGAAGACTTGCCAGAAGATGATCATGGACGAACCCATGTTCTCGCTGGGATCCGATAGTGTGAAAAAGCAAATCTTTGAATCGTACACTGCGGAATTGAGATCGAAGAACGACGAGGAAGTGAAACAGCGGAAGAAACAAGCAATATCGGAGCTTGATGATTATCTGAGAAACACATTCAAATTGTCGATGAAAGACCAATGGGATGACATAATAAGCAAGCTGGAGAATGATAAGAGGTTCAAAGACAACAAAAATTTCACTGTGCTGAGCAAGCTCGACATGCTCACGGTTTATGAGTCGATAATGCGCGAGTTCGAACGTGATTTTGACCTAAAGGTACGTGCTGAGAGAAAGATAAACTACCGATCTGATAGAAAAGCCAGAGACGGCTTCAAGCAGTTACTCGAAGAACTGACTACATCCGGCAAGTTGAAGGTGAACGCAAAGACTAAATGGTACCAGATAGTTGCTGCTATGAAAGACGAGAAGCGATTTGTGGATCTCTGTGGGAGACGTGGATCCTCAGCAATTGACTTCTATTGGGATCTGATAGACAACGAGAACCAGACTTTAAGGGCTAAAAAGGATATTGTCAAGCAAACAATTGTCGAGTATAATCTGACAACCAGCGTCAAGTACGTTGTTTCTGAAGAGCCTTACGACAAGTTTGTGGAAGTTTGCCAGACCAATCCTGTTTGCAGAGACTATCGCGGAGACGACTTCAGGTTGATCTACGAGTCTCTCACTTCTGACGAGTCAGCTGAGGTTACAAAACGCAGGAATGAACAGAAGAGACATGATGAAGCTAAGAAGAGAAAGGTGACGAGTTCATCCATTGGTGGTCCTCCTAAGAAGCTGCAGACTCTTGGTTACGGGTCGTTGCCCACGTTGTGAGGGAAGGGTGCAGAAATGCTATGTACAGTATAACAGGGATTGATATATATATATATATGTATATATGAACTATTTCATTACAGGAAAGTAAAATCGAAGTAAGCCAACATCGGGCCAGTGAGGTATGTTTCGATGGTATTCACAAAAATTTCACAGGAGCCTTCACCGAATCTTGCGTAGAAACAGCTAATCTTTGGCCCTTTGCAGCCGATTTCCCGGTGTCTTCCGTCTTGACCGAGTAATCAATACCTTCGAAATAGCTGCCCTTTAATCCCAACACCTCTGCTCTGTCGTTAACCTTACGGAGTTGCTCCCTTACATCGTCTGGTCCAGCCTCAGAAGAAGCCAGTTCTTCCTTTAGTTCTCTCAGGGACTTCTTCTGCCACTCCAAACCTCTCAGTACATCCTCTTGGAAATTCTTTTCCTTCATGATATTCAGAACAGTGGATCCCAAGACCAGCACCAAGAGCAACTGAACCGACGAGTTTTTGAAGGAAGCTTTTAGTTCGGTTCCCAAGCTTTTCGTTTCTGCCGTGGAGTAACTTCTAGCTGACGACGTCGGGAAATTCAAAGGCTTGTAGCTTCGCCTCCTCAAAATGTGGCCAAACATGTGATATTTTTGAGATTATTTCGTGATGTGGGTGTATTTGATTGACAGGATCAGGTAACAATCTGTTATTAGGAACTCAGAGAAATGCTGGAATCTAACCGATGCCTCATCGGCACACTCCCCAAGGGCATTATCTAAGCATGAAGTTGGCAATACAATTGCAATAATCAGTTTTACCATTGGGAATTACCAAATTTCGCAATCTGCACTGTTCAGCCTCTGGAAGGTTTATGAAGATATGATATAAGAAGAGAAACCAGGAAAAAGACAAAAAAGATCCTCCAACAGCAAAAAAGCAAACTAATGTACAACTTCTAGAGCAATGAGCAGGCGGATGAATTCTTGTGCTAGCCTCTAGCTAGCATTGACAGTAGCACATCACGACTTCCTAAACTCACTCAACACAGGGTAAATAGCCTCGAACGCCTTGTAAATCTCCTCTCTCTGTTTCGCACCTGTCAACACAATCTTTCCGGAAACGAAGATCAACAGCACGATCTTCGGTTTCACCATTCTATAAATTAAGCCAGGGAACAACTCTGGTTCGTACGAACTGAAAGTTCCGTGGGAAAACGCAAGACCCTCCAATCTTATTGGAAATTTCACATCACATGACCCCACGATATTCTGAATCTTGAAGTCGGTGAACTTGGCGTCGAATCCCAGTTTCTGTATTATTCTAGCGTATTTTCTGGATGCAAGCTTGGAATCGTCCTCAGACTTGGCACCCGTCACCACCATTTTACCCGACGCGAAAATCAAGGCAGTGGTCTTTGGCTCTCTGATTCTCATAATCACAGCGGCAAAACGCTTGGGATTGTACTCAGCGTTACGAGCATGCAAGGCAATTGTCTTCAGCTCCAGACGGCACTCCAAATTCACCGTGGCAACGATATTTTGCAATGTTGGCACGATTCCGGAGGCTGCGCTCTCTGTGTCTTCTTGCTGCAATTGCACATCTTCCTCCGGAGACTTGATGATTGGATCCACAGAAGTTGTCGTGGCCGACTCCTGCTTGAAGGTCTGCATCTCATTTTGATTCATTGGAAACGCCAGCGAGCCCTGCGCGGTAAACGCCTTGGCCTGGGCAGCCGTGGTTGGCAGTTTCAAAGAGTCCATATTTGTGTGTGTATGTGATATAGATTAACTATCCAAATGTACGTAATCAAGGTCAGAAAAGACAAGCAAATGTCTCCTCTGGTAACTCGGACTGATGAGAGAAACGGTCGGCGCGATGTTTACTACAGGACTCCTCGTAAAATAGAGACGTGTAGTACCGGTATTTGAACACTGAGTTTTGCCATCCCATTTTTCAAGAGGGGGGATGCCGAGCTATTTATACTTCTTGGGTGATGTCCGGGTAACCCGACTTTTCGAGTCTGGGGATTTGTGAATGCGGCTTTAGAAACAATACTTGGAGAAAAAGGGATGTGTTTTTATACGTGCAAACAGCCTTGATCAAATAATCCTGGATTCAAAAGGAATAATAGAGGTCTACAGAGATACGATCAGGTGGAAATAGTTACGTGTGGGCCAATACGGGTCTTCACAGGAGTACAGCTATCTGAGGATATATAGCGTATAGCATATTGTTACGGATCCATGCACCTATATGAACATATTGATCAAAACCCTCGGTGTGTTTATTGCTACTGTATCCAAGTACTGTGAATGGTGAATTGAAGTTTTTATTCATTCAGTCTAGTCTGTTGAAACAGAACCCTGGCTGTTGCGGCGTGCATCTCTATCGATGATTATCTGGAACTGTAACGAGGAAAACCGCTCGTAATGTTATTGAATGCAATGCAAATGGTTACCTCGCAATCCTGTTCTGGCTCATGTTGGCCGTGGCATTCCTCAACACAGCCAAGTCCTCGTTCACCTCCTCAACCTTCAAGCCTGGCACCCCAGCAAAACTCTTGGTGGAGTGCCTGGTGGTAGGTTTCTCCCTCTTCGGATCATAATCGGCTCCATACAAAAGCTGGTTCAAAGATTGGTTGTCAGTGAAGTAGAAGGCCTCGTCACCAGAAGAGTTGTTTCTAGAAGACCCAGAACCAGCACCATGAGATGCCACTTTGCGACTGCGACCACCTACACCAGAACCTCTGGCTCCCGTTGCCGAAGTGGCTCCACCTCCGGTAGCAGAGTCGTTGCTCTCATCGCCTCCGGAATTGGCCCCCACCATGCCATCGTTTCTCTTCCGCCTCGTCCTACGCTCCGCGTTAAAAAAGGATGAGGAATTCTGGCCATCTGCGGAGTCGTATGCCGATGTGCCATTGAAGTGATATCTGGAAGGTGAAACAGAGTTGCTGGCGATATCCATCAAGGCCTTGTCTTCCTTTAATTGTTTGATCTTCTTCTGAATTCTTTCATATAGTTTCTCCTTTATCATCTTGATCACCTTATCATAGTCCTCCTTCGATTTCTCATAGTCTTCCTTGAAAGATCGAGTCACACAGCCCACCTGGTACTCCTCCCAAAGTCTGAGTCTAACCAACTCATGGTCTCTGTCCTCCTCGAAATCAACCACTTTGCCTAAAAATTCCTCATTTTCTTCGGAGTGTAGGGTAGAAAGCCTTTTCTGTGAATGGTTAAGACTTCTTCTGTAATAGTAGTCTTTATTTGTCAGAAACTGTTCATCCATCTTCTGGAGCTTTGAAGATATCTGTTGACGTCTCTTGTCCTTTTTGGAAAGAGCCATAACCTGAGGGTTGTTCACGACCACGCTAACAGGAGCTTAATCAGGTTAATAAAACGAAAGTAAAGACAAAAAACACCAAAAATTCCAACAAGTGTACTTGTCGTTTTTTGGCCGTCTCAGATTGAGGAAACAGAACATACCGTATTCAGGGACCCGTTGGAACATTTGGTTTTCCATTCTGATGTTGTAGTTTCAAAACAATCCAGACCTCCAATACTCCAATAAACTCTCGATAGAAGTTTTAGTCTCCAACAAACTTGCAATATGAAATGAATGACCGGCGCAAACACAAGTTAGGGCTGGTATCGGTTAATAGCTAATTAACACAGGGAGATGCTTGGCAGGGTAACCTTCATCTGTTATCTGTGAATATAGACACGAGTGAAATTTGGCAGACTATTTAAAAATTACGTTGTACGAATAGCTCTAAATAAAACACGGAAGGGAAACGGAGTTCTTTTGTTGAGCAGAGTCGTTGAACTGGTTTAGGTTAAGTACTTGGTTTTGGCATGGATCGACTGGTCGTGGTACTGCAAAGCTCTCGAAACGTGAAGGCAGTGAAGACTATACTTGAAGTCCGAGGTTTACTCGATAGAACTCGAAAAATATCAAGAACTGAAGATGGGAACTTCGAGTTAACTACTTTGGTTGAATTAGGCAATAAGGATGAGCTCACTGAGGTTTTGAAAACAGCTGGGATCCCAACGGAATTAACGATTGAATCGAGGGCAATCAATACCCAGGACCTGCAGATGGCGGACACTAGCATAGCAGAAATATTAGAAAGTTTCTTCTTGACTACCGGGAATGAGACTCTCTCCTCATTATTAAGGTCTGATCTGTTTCAAAAATGCCTGGAAACCATACCGAAAAGATGGTCCTCATACCCACCGCTGCTGCTATGTCCACCTGGCACCTTCGAGACAGAATGCTGGAAGCAACTGCTGCAGGATCACCATGGACGATTTTTTGAATACCTTCTGGAAAGAAAATTCAAAGCTCACACTCATGTTGCTGTGAACAATCCCATAGTGGAGCACGACGTAATGAGAAGGCCGTTCAATCTCGTTCCGGTGCTGGGAGACTTTGGACCAGTGATCACGAACTCTGCTTATGATAATCCTTCGGAGTCAGACTTTGAGCAGGAATTCTGGTGTCACTGTACACAGAATGGTATCTTTCAGACATGGGCACCAAGGTTTACGATGTTTTCCCGAGGAAACATACGAGAAAAATCGAGAATCCTCGAGACTTTCACAGACATAAAGGATAAGGTGGTTCTTGATCTGTATGCTGGTATTGGCTACTTCACTCTGTGCTACCTGAAAAAAGGTGCAAAAACACTTTTTTGCTGGGAGATAAATCCATGGAGTGTGAGAGGATTGATACAAGGTGCAATAAAGAACAAATTCAAACATAAACTCATCAAGCATGATGACGTTCTTACACAGCTAGATGAAGGCATCAAGCTGTACATATTTCAGGAAAGCAATGAGCATGCTCCCGAACGACTACAGACCTTGTTGAGAAACAAAAAGATGCCCATTTCACACGTCAATCTAGGCCTCCTGCCAAGCTCATCTCCTAGTTGGAATTTGGCCGTTTCTGTTGTTTCAAAATTCAACGATTTTGACGAGAATGACCACACTGACTTGCACATTCATGAGAATGTAGGAATCTCCAACCTCACCGACTTTTACGAATCTACACCTAAAGAACTACAGCTCATGAACACTTCGTTGTCATTTGAAGGCAAACATCTGGAAAAAATCAAGACGTTTGCTCCTGACGTCTGGCACATCTGTGCGGATGTTCGGGTTTCACGAAAAGAAAATGAATAATGATACAGATATATAATGCACACACGCGCGAAAATTATATAGAACCAAGGTAAAATAAAACAGATATCACAGAATCAGAGGCGCGGCAAAATAGATAAACAGGGGAGCGTCAAGCCGCGAGACAAAAGTCACTAGACTGCAATAAGCTCTCTCTTAAAACGAACTGATCAACAATAAAACAGGTGAATATTCAACACAATCTGATGAATGGAAGCTCATTCTGATTTCAGCTTCTGGTCAGTTTCACTTAAAATTCAGCGTTAATAGTTGGAAGCCCTCATTTGAAGTTCAACTCTTGGTTGCTGATGAGTTTATCCAACAGGGCCGAATCTGTAAGGCTCATATCAAACTGACTTGAGTCTGCAGTCACGCCGTTGGTGGAATTTTGTGGACGATAAATGCTTGTAGCGCTGCCCTTCTCGACCTCCTGGATTACAGGTGCAATACACTGTTTTCCACTTTCAGTTTGGAAATGTCGCCTGAGAGCATCTGTCCGCGCAAACTTGCGACCGCATCCCCATATCGAACCGTTTTCCAACTCTCCACGACACTGATACCGTTTTTCACCACTGTGCAAATCTTCATGACGCTTGCGATCGTGTTGTCTCGCAAAGGGCTTGCCACAGATCTTACAGATGTACGGCCTCTCGTTGGTGTGAGTTCTCTTGTGAGACTTCAGGTTGTACGGCCTTGTAAACCTCTTATCGCACTGATCACAAGGAAAGACGCTGGGATTCTTCTGGGCTCTCTTGTTCTTGGAGTTTGGAGATGCCAGCTCGGCCATTCTCTTATTGTGGTCCGCATCTGTATCGTCTCCAGACTCTTCTTCAAAATCATCGTCTCCTGAGGTGTAATAGGAATCCGATCTTTCGGAGTCCCTCGATCTTGAGCGCGATCTAGAGGTGGATCTTGAATTGGATCGGGAATTCGACCTGGACCCAGACGACTCCACCTTCAGTCTCTGGCGACCCAGCCTCATTTGGGTATGGGTATCCTCTGGTGATAGATATGAGGTCTCAGCATTATCAACTTGCTGCTGCAAAGGAAGAGGCTGGGCAGCTAGTTTCGGAGATGCCGAAGGAGTGTTGTGGGCAGAGGAGAACAGAGAAGCCGGACGTTTGCTCTCCAAGCCCACGGTATCATCACCATTGATGGTAATTGTTGGAGGAGGCGTTTCAATCTGTATGTTTGAGGGTGAGTTTCCCGACAAGCTGAATTCGTTTTCTAGTCTCAAAGTTCCCAGAGTGCTAGATACATATGCACTGTCCTCGTCGTCTGCAAAAGGAGCCATCATAGGAGACAGTATCTCATTCACATCATATGAAGAGCCCCTACTAGGAGCAAGATACGGACTCGTGGATGAAGCCTCTGATAGATTAGTGTTGGAAATATTCCTCGTGATCTTGAACTGATCACCCTCGTACAAATTCGGATCCAAATATGAGGCCGAAGGTACGAATCCGGTGGCCGTATCACGGCTCAATTCATCATATCCCCCAGAGAATTCAGTTGATAAATTCACAGATAAGAAGCCAGGGTTGTCGAAATTCGACATTTGTTGAGCTCCATTGTCCTGGTTGAATTCGCGGAGAGACACCTGAACAGACGTCGATAACTGAGATGGAGATTCGGGGTCAGGACCTGCAAAAGCTCCATTTGGTCCACTAAACCCATAAAATTGGCTAACATTGGAACCGTTGAACGGGTCTTCGAGGACACTCAATAATTCCTTGTCATATTGACTGGCTGCTCCCACAGCAGGAGGTGTAGATGTTTCCTGTGACGTCGAACCAGGTGTACTCATGTCCAAATAGCTATACAAGTCCTGCGAATCCGCCGGCGTGCTATTTTGTTTTTGCTCCATGTCCAATGGAAATCAACAAAATAAAAATTAAAATGTTTCGGTCAAGTGTCTTGTTCAATCCAGGCGTATTAGTAAATGGTAAGTCTTTACTCCAGACCACGGATGTTGCGGTAGGTATCCGGCAATAGCCTTATTAAGAGTGAGTCAAAAGCCCTCCAGTTGCGAGGGCACAAGGTCAGTTCTGGCCTAAATCTAAGGCTCTAGCAGCGTTGTTGCAGTTGTGATGTAGATTATTATATTTGCACCGTTTTTTTGCCCTCTACAATACCATGAAACTACCCGAACCTTAGTGTCCGACTCAACGGCCGAAAATATGCGCAGCCTTCTTTTCGGGCTGTTAGCACGGATTTAATAAAACGCGACTATATATAGACACCCGGCTAATCATCGTCACTTTCGTCAAAGTCTGTAGCGGGGAACCAGCCGTATTCGCTAAGAGAAACTCGGTTTTGATCGGTAACAACTATTGCTTCCTCTTCCAGTTTTTGTTTCTGTAGTCTGACGCCATCGGTGCGGTCTCTAGGAGATATAATTCCGCTGGAGGATATCACTCTCCACCAAGGCACGTTCGACACATTGAACTCTTGTGATAATTCGTTGCCTTCGATCGCTTCGCGAGGCAAATATTTCAGACATTGGCCCACTTGTCTGGAATTTTGGGGCCGATATATGAGTTTTGCGATGTGGCCTGTGTTATCCGATATTCGTTAGCATTGGCTCTTAAGAGGGCGGAATTTCAGCCTCGTGGGACTCACCATAGGACGTTACTTTACCCGCAGGAATCTTCTGGACTTCTTCGTAAACGGCTATGTAGAATGCCTTTGATTCATCAGAGAGCTGGCGCATTTCTTTTCCGCAAAGCGTCCTCGGTTGATCCTCTCCGATCACACCTGCTATAAAGGCTTTCCGTAGCGTTGAGGAAACATGCGTCTCGAGGCGGCAGGACCGGTTCGGGATGACGCATCGAGGGCCAAGAAGGCATTATTCCGGGGATTTGGAAAGCGAAGCAATGGCGCGCATTCCAGTCTAAATCCGCATCACTCTTTCGGGTTCCCCATTCTCGAGGGCGCATCTCGGCTTCTTTCCGGTCTCTCCCGACCTATGTCGCACCGGATCTTGTCATTCATATTGTGGGACACGATTTTCCAAAAACCCCGTTGGTTTCCATTTAACTCATTTCCTTCTAAACGTTGGAAACTGCCAGGACCATATCCAAAACACAAACAAGACCAACGGTCTATTCCCCATCCATTCCACATCCATAACCCGGATCTGGATTTCGCGTTTTCAAAGCAACTGTGAATATTTCAGTGCAGTTTAAAATCCACCATCTCGTTATTCAAAGTTTGGATCAACGCGAGTTGTACAAGTTTTTCCCCCTTGTTGCAAGGACATTCTTACAATCAACGCGGTGAAAAATCCGGGTGTATCATCATATTATCAGGATCATTCCACCAATAGAATCACATCAAACACGTCAATATGGTAAGTGTTTTCTATTACATGCTTTTGGTGCTTGTTCTTATCGGGTGCATACTAACAACTACTCTCTTCAGACGGTTCAGCCCAAAGAGTCACTCCAGGACAGAAAACGGAGGTTTTTACTTGAAAAAGATGCAAAAACAGAGAGACTCAAGGACGTGGACGATTCCACTAAAAGATTCAAATATTTGCTTGGACTGACGGATCTCTTCCGTCACTTCATCGATCTTAACGCCTCAAAGGACAAGAGCCTGTTGAAACTGATCAGGTCGATCGATATGAAGAAGAGCAACGCAGCCTCAGCCAAAAAATCAAAGAAGCAAACAGGTCGTCGTCGTAAGACCGAAAGAGAAGAGGACGAGGAGTTAATGCATGATGAGGAGTTCGAGGAGGAGACCACCGTAATCACCGAGTCTCCTTCTTACATCCACGGAACTCTGAGAGAATACCAGGTGCAAGGTCTCAATTGGCTGATTTCGCTTTATGAGAACAGGCTTTCAGGGATACTTGCTGATGAAATGGGTCTTGGTAAGACTTTGCAGACCATCTCTTTCTTAGGGCATTTGAGATACAACAAGCAGATAGACGGTCCGTTCTTGGTGCTTGTGCCGAAATCTACTCTTGACAACTGGAGAAGAGAATTTGCCAAATGGACTCCTGATGTGAACGTTTTGGTGCTTCAAGGCACCAAGGAGGAGAGAGCAGAGTTGATCGCAAACAGGCTTTTGCAAGCAGATTTTGACGTCTGTATCACCTCCTTCGAGATGGTATTAAGAGAAAAGTCCAAGCTCGGAAAGATTAGATGGGAATACGTGGTGATCGATGAAGCACACAGAATCAAGAACGAAGAGAGCTCCCTTTCGCAGATCATCCGTCTCTTTTATTCGCGTAACAGACTTCTCATTACTGGAACCCCACTCCAGAACAATCTCCATGAGTTGTGGGCTCTGTTGAACTTCATTTTGCCTGATGTCTTCGGTGATTCTGAAGCTTTTGACCAATGGTTTGAGACCCAAGATCAGGACCAGGATCAAGTAGTTCAGCAGCTGCACAAAGTTTTGGCTCCATTTTTACTGAGAAGAGTCAAAGCAGATGTCGAGAAGTCCCTTTTGCCCAAGAAGGAGGTCAACGTTTACGTTGGAATGAGTGATATGCAGGTGAAATGGTACAAGAACCTTCTTGAGAAAGACATTGATGCTGTCAACGGTATCGTGGGAAAGAGGGAAGGCAAAACCAGACTTTTGAACATTGTAATGCAATTGAGAAAATGTTGCAATCATCCATATCTATTCGAAGGAGCCGAACCAGGCCCTCCATATACTACAGACGAACATCTGGTGTTCAACTCTGGTAAGATGGTTGTTTTGGACAAGCTGTTGAAACGTTTGAAAGAGCAAGGCTCAAGAGTTTTGATATTTTCCCAGATGAGTCGGTTGCTGGATATATTAGAAGATTACTGTTTCTTCAGAGAGTATGAGTATTCCCGGATTGATGGTTCGACATCTCACGAGGATAGAATCCAGGCCATTGACGATTACAACGATCCGGATTCGAAAAAGTTTATCTTCTTGCTGACCACGAGAGCAGGTGGTTTAGGTATCAACTTGACATCTGCGGATTGCGTGGTTTTGTACGATTCTGACTGGAACCCTCAAGCCGATTTGCAAGCAATGGACAGAGCCCATAGAATCGGCCAGAAAAAGCAGGTCAAAGTTTTCAGATTTGTGACGGAAAATGCCATCGAAGAGAAAGTCTTAGAGCGTGCTGCTCAAAAGCTGAGACTGGACCAACTGGTTATTCAGCAAGGCCGGTCTAACAACGCCAAGAGCGGAGCCACTATCGGCAATAACAAGGACGATCTGCTGGGAATGATCCAGCATGGTGCCCAGAAAGTATTTGAGTCAAACGGCTCTACAATGCAAGAGGACGATATTGATAAGATTTTGTCCAAGGGTGAGGAGAAGACAGCCACTTTGAATGCCAAATACTCCAAGCTCGGTCTTGACGATCTCCAGAACTTTACATCTGACTCTGCATATGAATGGAATGGAGAAAACTTTGCAAAGAAGCAGCATGGTCCGTTGTTGCCATGGATGAACCCGACCAAAAGAGAGCGCAAAGAACATCAATACTCTGTTGACGGTTATTACAAGGACGTGATGCAATCTTTCAAGGGAACACCAGGAGCAAGAGGCCAAAGGAATCCAAGAGCACCTAAACAGGTTTTAACTCTGGACTTCCAGTTCTATCCTCCAGAATTGGCCAAACTTCTGGAGAAGGAGCAACTTTGGTATAAGAAAAAGATTGGATACAAAGTGCCATCTCCAGAAAGCGATTCTGATGATGATGAATTTCTCGTATCTGAGGACGAAGCGGAAAAGCTACCAAAGACGAAGGAATCCAAGAATTCCAAAGCCGAAAGGCGCAAGAGAGAGCAGAAGAAGATAGACAGTGCCGAAGAGTTTACTGAAGAGGACGGTGAATTGAAGGAGAAGCTACTCTTGCAAGGTTTTGGTGATTGGTCCAAGAGAGACTTCACCAACTTTGTGCATGTGTGTGCCAGGTATGGACGTGGTAACATCGGAGCCATAGCCTCAGAGATGAAGGGCAAGAGTGTCGCGGACGTGAAAAGATACGCAGAGACCTTCAAGGAAAGATTCAAGGAAATCGAAGGTTATGACAGATACATTTCGCAGATTGAACAAGGCGAACAGAAGTTGAACAAGCTCCAACACCAGGAGCAGCTTTTGGCAGTCAAGATCAAACAGTATGAAGCCCCACTCCAAGAGCTCACTATCCAATATCCTCCCAACAATTCCAAGAGGGTCTACTCTGATCTAGAAGATAGATTTTTGCTGGTGACTGTGAACAAATACGGACTTTCAAGACATAATCTTTATGAACTCGTGAAGGAAGAGATTGTGGATAGTGGACTTTTCAGGTTTGATTGGTTCTTTCTATCGAGAACACCCCAGGAGCTGGGTAGGAGGTGTACCACCCTGCTTCTTGCCATTACCAGAGAGATTGAAGGTCCAGATGCTTTCAAAAGAAGAAAGAATGGAAGCTCGTTATTGGCTACAAATGCCAACAGCAACGAGCCTAGTCGTCAGCAGTCAATGGAGGTTGACGATGAGTCTCTAGACGTTGAGTCGACTTTTGATGAGAAAGAGAACGAGGATTCCAAGCAGAAGCCCTCTAGGAAGCGTCTGATTGTTCGCAGCAACACCAGCACTCCCGTCTCTAAGAGAATCAAGGTATAATGTACGCCATGGATGATTTTTCAATGGTTTGTGCCTAGTCTGGCCAACACTGCGTGCGTACTCAACGCCACAGCTGCAAACCAGTTGTACACGGTAACACTGTTTTCTTTATAGCCCCCATAGACGGTATTCCAAAAAAAAACACCCAATTCAACGCAAAAAATAATAATCCCTCCTGTTGCTTTCAGTTTAGCCAGACCTGGTTGGCTTCGTGTACCACACAAATCCCCCGGATTGTGGTCGTTCCCCACCAAAACAAACCTTCCAATCACGTTGCGATGATTTTTAAAAGTCAGCTCGTGTAGAAAACCAAACCCAGCTGGACTTTCAATCACAAACCTTCCTAACAGTCTCCTTTTGTCCACTTTTCCCCCACAATTAAAATGTTGGCAATGAGATCTGCGCTGAGGCGCTCATTCAGGAGTAGTCGCAGTTTCGCCACGAACCCCCCAAGATTGGCTAATGTGACTTTGAAGGTCGATGGTATTCCAGTCGAGATCGAAGCTGGTTCCTCCATCATTCAAGCCGCCGACAAGGCTGGAGTGGTCATCCCAAGATACTGTTATCACGATAAGCTGGCGATTGCTGGTAACTGTCGTATGTGTCTGGTTGAGATTGAAAAATCGCCAAAACTGGCTGCGTCTTGTGCCATGCCTGTCCAAAACGGGATGTCTGTGTTGACCAACACGGACAAAATCACCAAGGCTAGAGAGGGTGTCACTGAGATGCTTTTAGAGAACCACCCTCTTGACTGTCCAGTTTGTGACCAGGGTGGAGAGTGTGATTTGCAAGAGCAATCGCAGAGATACGGCTCTGACCGTGGTAGATTCCAGGAGATTACTGGAAAGAGAGCCGTTGAAAACAAGGCCATCGGTCCATTGGTCAAGACTTCCATGAACAGATGTATCCACTGTACCAGATGTGTGAGATTCTTGAACGATATTGCTGGAGCACCAGAGTTTGGTACTGCTGGACGTGGTAACGACATGCAAATCGGTACCTATGTTGAGAGAAACATCAACTCCGAGCTGTCAGGTAACATTATAGACTTGTGTCCCGTTGGAGCGCTCACTTCGAAACCATACGCTTTTAGAGCCAGACCCTGGGAACTCAACAAGAGAACCGAGACCATCGATGTGATGGACGGTTTGGGATCTGCCATCAGAGTTGATGCCAGAGGCCCTGAGGTCATGAGAGTTTTGCCTCTGCTCAACGACGAAGTCAACGAAGAATGGATCTCTGACAAGACCAGATTTGCATGCGATGGTTTGAAAAACCAACGTCTCACCAAGCCTCTGATCAAGAGCGGAGACTCGTTCGTGGATGCCACCTGGGATGAGGCTCTCACAACGGTCGCTACTGCTTACAAAAAGCTTGCCCCAACCGGCAACGAGGTCAAGGCTATTGCTGGTGCTTTGACTGATGTCGAGGCTATGGTTGCGCTCAAGGACTTGGTCAACAGACTGGGCTCCGAGAACGTCACCACCGATGTGCCAGCTGCTCCTTCTGTGGACTTCAGATCCAACTACATCTTCAACTCTACCATTGAAGGTATCAGCGAAGCGGACCAGATACTCTTGGTTGGTTCCAACCCAAGACACGAGGCTGCTGTTTTGAATGCCAGAATCAGAGGCAGGTGGTTGTCCTCCGAGCTTGAGGTTCACCATGTCGGTGAAAAATTCGACTCCACTGTCAATTTGAACCACGTTGGTGAGGATGCCAACTCCTTGAAGAGAGCCCTCAATGGTGAGGTTGGTAAGAAGTTGGCTGCTGCTAAGAGACCACTGATCATCGTGGGTTCTGGTGTCCAGGAGCACAAGGACAGTAAGGCTATCTACGAGATTGTGTCCAAGTTCGCTACCGCAAAGGAGAACTTCCTGACACCAGAATGGAACGGTTTCAACGTTTTGCAGCGTGATGCTTCCCGTACCGGTGCTTTTGACATTGGATTCTACACCCAATCCGAGGCCGTTGCAGCCACCAAGCCAAAATTCGTCTTCCTGTTGGGAGCCGATGAGATCAAGCCAGAAGATATTCCAGCCGATTCGTTCGTCGTATATCAGGGTCACCACGGTGATGTTGGAGCTACGTATGCTGACGTGATCCTGCCAGGATCTGCTTTCACCGAAAAGGCTGCCACATACGTGAACACCGAAGGAAGAGTCCAGGTGACAAGAGCTGCCACTAATGCTCCAGGTGTTGCCAGAGAAGACTGGATGGTGATCAGGGCTCTTTCTGAGTACTTGGATGCCACTTTGCCATACGAAAACAGCTTCCAGGTGAGATCAAGACTTGCCGAAATCGCCCCACATCTGCTTCGTCACGACGTTATAGAACCAGTCTCCAGCGAAATTGCAAAGGTTGCCTTTGCCAATTCGTTTGCTAAGGCTGGTCCTTTGAGTGGAGGTGCCCTCAAGAACCCAATCGAAAACTTTTACTTCACAGATGCCATCTCCAGATCGTCGCCAACCATGGCCAAATGTATTGTTAGTTTTGGAGCCAAGGTGGACAAGATCAAGGATCCAAACGCTCATGCTCAAATAGGCATGGCTTAGAGATGAAAATGTGAGGGTAATGGTCAAAAACCTTGGAAAGAGTAATGTTTATTTATTCCTATATACAACTACAAAGTTTGGACAAAGCAAAGAAGAATGAAGTCAATTAGATCATGGAGTTATGCAGAAACGCGTAGAAATAAAGGCTGTAAGCGGGTTGAAAAGAGAATATTTATGTACAAAAACTCGTTTCACTAGTTTCACTTTGTTCTCTTAAAAGTTTAATTCCACGATATTGGAGCCTATACCAGTAGTACTCTCAAAGCCTGCGTCCAGGAACTAGAGCAAACACAACGCTCAAAGCAGCGGCAACAATACAAATCAGGAAAAGCACCCATATTGCCCTGGACCTCAGTAACTTTGCCACGAAGGGCTCTCGTATAGGGATGAAGCCTTTATGAGCCGCTTTCGACTCGCTGTAACCGAGGAACACTAAGAATGGATCCAAAAAGTAGAGTGAGGAAAGCATCAAATAGCTGGCGAGGAAGAATGGAACCACAACAACAGCCCTTTGTGGTTTTGGATGCCAGTCCAGGAAAATCAGCACATAGCCAACCCAAAATCCAACAAAAGCGAAAAATATAGAAAGAAAAAACCGAACAGCTGAAGACATGGATGTGACGTTGGATATAGCATGCGACGAAAGGAAGCCAGGAAATGCTTCGTTCTCCATTGCCCTGAACACAAAGTTGCGGGGCTCATCAAACACTTCCGGATCGTCTCTTCCTTCCTGCTCAACGTAACGGAGAACACGATTGACTATATGATCTGGAATCACTATCCTCTTGTCAGAGTTGTTGGCAAAGTAAGTATTGATCAACTTTTGGGATGACTTCCTCAATGTCAGTCGCGTCACAAACTGGTTTTTTCCATTGGGCCCCACCATGCCATTTTTGTCCTCTTCCTCAATCAAATACTCCAACATTTCGGGGTTGATTGTGGAAACCCTATTTCTGGCTTTGGTCTCCTGTTGTGTGTCAAACTGGCTGAAGTTAAAGTCTCCCGAAGTGGATTCAGATCTCCTCTTCAGCTCCTCAATCCTGTTGATCACTGCAGGATCATTCGTCTGTACTTTTCCCTCCCCTCTCAAAAAAGCACTAAGTCTGTGGGAATCATCCTCTCCTAGTAGCTCCTGCTGGTTGATCAGATCAAGCAATACTGACGAATCCACAGATTTCATCGTATCTCTTTTCAAAGGGTCTGCAGAAATTCCCAACGACTCCGTAGAAGGCCCATGTAATCTTTGAATAGCAATCTCAGCAACTTGGGGAGCATTTCTGATCCTGTCGTTAACGTGTAACGATCTCCTCAATCCCTTCACATAGTTTTTGCACAGATTCAGGTGTTGAACGCAATCAATCCAAAAGTCAAGATAATCAATTGCTTGTTGGCTATCTCTCATGTAAACGTAAAAACTCCATAAGTCAACCGGTGCTTGTGTTTTCCTGTTCAGAACCTCATAAAGTGTGGGTAATCTATCCAAATGTGAGCTACTATCTCCAATCAGCCTCGTGGCTGACGCGTTCAATTCCACTTGATACGGCGTATCATTCATAGCCGTTGATTTATCCATTGGATTAAAAGCGTAATAATCGAGCCAAAATTTGCAGGAAGCAAAAGTTTTGAGAACAGCCACGGTGATATCAACTCTGTTCTGCATTGAGGCCCATTGTTTACTTTTCGGGTTTTGATAAGGTAGTGTGTCAAACATATTATATCTGGGGCCAGGGCTACTAATGCTGTAGACGTGGTTGACATGAACGTTTCGATCTCGTGGTTATCGTAAAGCAGTGCGATTAGATCGGATTCAAACTGGAAGTTTTGAATTTGGAGCATTGGCATTGTCTGAGGCAGCGCTTGTCGAGATTGCTCGTCGTATTTGTATTTTCCACAATTGTCAAGCAACTACTAGATCCCCCGTCTTGAATAAACCGAAGATTCCAAACCTCAATGAATTTACGACAACAACTCATACAGGGGCTGAACATAGCTATGGTGGTTTGCTCTGCATTTATGTTCTGGAAGGGATTGGCTCTGGTCACCGGTTCCAGCTCGCCAATCGTGGTGGTGTTATCGGGCTCTATGGAACCGGCATTCCAGAGAGGCGATATATTATTTCTGTGGAATAGAAACCAATACGTTGATGTTGGTGACATAGTTGTTTACAATATCAAGGAGAAGGAGATTCCGATTGTGCATCGGGTAATGAGAGAACACAAAGTGATACCGGAGGTCAAGACGAAAAAGAGATCTGCCAGATCGAAGAAACCGGTTCACGAACCAGGAAAAGTGAGGCAGCTGCTATTGACCAAGGGTGATAATAACCCAACTGATGATTTGCCACTCTACGCATATGGCCAGACTTATTTGGACAGGGAGGACGATATAGTCGGAAAGGTAATGGGGTATATTCCCAAGTTGGGCTATGTGACGATTCTGATTACGGAGAATGTGTACTTCAAGTATGCCCTGCTGGGATTACTTGGACTAAGCACTTTGCTGCAGAAAGAGTGAAGGGAAGATGGCATATTGTCTTCACAAAAAGTAAGAAGTACGGGGCTAAGACGAAATTGACGAGCTGATGGGTGCTTCCTGAACTAGACAATCGCTAGATGTTTGACCTAAGTGTTCCAGCTCAATGAGTAACCTGAATGCTTCTATCGCATACTTTTTCGTATTTCGTGTAGGCGTTTTTTTGACACTTCTGCCCGTCCAGGTTAAACAGCTCGGTACTTCCCAGCCATCGCGTGCGGCTATAATTTGGAATGGCCCACTACTATAACTCACCCCAATACTACAACAATCTTCGCAGTTGCCACATTCATCTCCAATAAACCACATCAAGGACAACATGAACAGGCAAATCATGCTGAGGACCACTTCTAGATGGTTTTTCAGCGGTAACCTGGTGAGATTATCATCCACGGCTAAAAAGGATGGTGCCTCCATGGTCTTCCCATTTTTCCAAAGAGGTGTCAGTTTCGCCAATCATTTCAACAAGATCCAAAGGGCCACCAAGACCCCCATGTCACACCTTGGGGTTAAAAGATTGACAATTCCATATGGAATAGTCACTAGATACGGCCAAATCAGCAATTTGCGCTCTGTTCTCTCAAACTGGAGGACATTCGCTACCCATAGACAATTGAACTTCAGCTACAGTCGATTCGGAGGGTCCAGATTCAACAGCTTGGTGGGCCCTTTGGTGTTCACAATTGCGTTTGGCTTGGGAACTCATTTTTTGGCTCCATATGCGGTCCAGTTAGTGCCTGCTCGGTTGAGGCAACCGGTGGTGTTGTACTCAATTATCGGGCTGAACGTTCTAGTTTTCATGGCCTGGAGAAGTAATCAGTTTGGAAGGGTCTTGTACAGATACTTTTTGTTGGATAAACAAGCCATGTGGAGCAATTGGTCGATGCTAGGCTCTGCTTTCTCGCACCAGGATTTCTGGCACATTCTGTTCAACCTGTGGTGTCTGTACTCTTTCTCCACTACTCTGATCCAGGTCCTGGGCCCAGCCAACTTCCTTGAGGTTTATCTCAACGGAGCTGTCATATCGTCTTTGGCTTCTCTGGCATATCCAAAGGTGTTTAGACTAGCCACCAACTCTGTGAGTTTGGGTGCCTCTGGAGCGGTTTGTGCTATCTTCGGTGTATTCACAGCGTTGTTCCCTACCGCTAATGTTAGCTTGTGGTTCGTACCGATATGGGGAGGAGCATCCACTGCTTTCGGTGGATTTGCGATTTATAACATTTTGGGCTGTATTTTCAAGTTTGGTTCGTTGGACTATGCAGCCCATCTTGGGGGCATGGCCGCTGGACTAGTTTACGGATATTACTATAAGCAGAAGGCGCAGAAGAGACGTCAGCGTGCCACGGTCTGGGGTTTTTGACAGGCCAAGCCATTGACTCAATATCAGATTGATATCCACTTATACATAGATTGAATGCTCACAAGAGTGCTCCCTCACAACCTCAGATACATACCGCAGGAGACGCCTTCTCGGACATTTCCAAATTCCTATATTTAGACTGAAATTACAGCACCTCATTCGGTATCCCCAGAGCCAGTTCTACCTTCTTCTCTTCTGGCGTAGCTCCTTTTATCGAAGACCGCCATGTGAACAGAGCCTTATGTTGCATCAACGGCCTTCTTGGTTTGTCCAATATCCTGGAAGCACCTCGATGCGATCTCTCGTCTTCTTCTTCGTACTCGGTCTGTAAAGCACTTTTTGTCTTCACCTTGGTAGCTCTCTTCTTCAGGAGCTTGTTCAATGTGTCTCTCTTCTCTTCCTCCAGTCTCTTTTCGTTGAAATTTTTCCTCTTACGCGCGTTTTCGGCCCTTCTGGATTGGATTTCCTCTTCTGTCAATATCTTTTTCTTGATCGGCTCATTCGAAAGAGCCAATAGCTCCTGTGAGATTCTTGGTCTGGGAGCAGCAGCCGAGGAAGTCGCCGTTGCGGCCGAGGGCGGAATCACATAAACCGGCTCCGCAACAGGCTCTTCGCTAGTGGTACCAAAATATTTGGCCTTCTGTCTTCCAGTCATACGAGAAACGTCAGCCACGGGAGTGGCAGACTCCCAGTCTTCCTCGAAATCGTCATCGCCCAATCCCGTTCCATCGTCGTCTTCTTGGTCGTCATCTTGATCGTCTTGGTCCAAAAGGTCGTCATAGCCTACCTCTGCGTAGTTAGGCTTTCCACGGGCGCGCTGACCCCTTCCTGACTTTTCTTCTATCAAAGAAGTATCTAAACCTTGGGTGGTGTTCCTGGCAGGCCTTCTCGAAGCCTGTGCTGGCTTGGCTTTGGGAATAGGCGTCTCTTCTTCCTCTTCTTCTTCGTCCTCATCATCAATGGCAGCAATTTCTTCGTCGTCGTCAACAGGCAGCTTGAGATCCACGTCGTATTCATCAGGGTTATAATCCTCCTCCTCCTCCAACTCCTCCTCTTCGTCGTCCTCATCGTCGTCATTGTCTTCTCCGTCTCCGTCCTCCTCATCCTCTTCTTCACTCGAAACAACGGTATTTCCCTTGCTGAGTTTTGAATTCGACACGTTTTCTGAGTCGCTTTCGTCTATCATCAAACTATCATCCACTTCTTGAGAACGTGTTAGTAACCACTAGCCTGCGTGTACTTGCAAACTCAATACATACCATCGTCGGCAACATCAGACAACTCGCTCATCGAATCCGATTCGGACATCTTGTATTGTGTTTTCTTATATAATGCAACACGCTTGCGCTCGACTATTCACCGTCAACTACACCGTTTCCTGATTCCGTTCGACTCCACCTCTAGTAGTGTCCAACTCACTTTGGATGTCGTGCCCACCCAAAAAAAGCCGACCAATCTGTCAACAAAAACCCGTGAGCTTCTTCAACTTCTCCTGAGGCAACAGACTTTGCTAACAAACAGTTTAGTGACACTGCTCAAATTGACTGTTTGGCTACTGACGCGTTGTTGAGCACTCCGTTACTGTTATTCCGTCCCGGCAAAAAAAGGGGCATTGATAGATTGATCTGGATCGTGCGAGTTTAATTTGCCACCAGTTGCTTTGGTTTTTTGGAAAATCAGATTGCAAGAAAAACAACAATGCAGGCAGTTCCGTCTCACTTCGCATCCTTGGATGCGGCTCAGAAAGATCCGGTCAGAAAGTGCTCGCGGTGCAGAGTGAAGAGAGATCGCGAGACTCCGGAAATGCTTGAAAAATACCAGACTTGTTTGTCTTGCAGGGAGAAGAGAAAAATTGAGTCTAGGGCCGTTAAAGAGTAAGTTGAGTGTCTTCCACTATTCTAGTTTTCCAGTTTACTAACCGTTGATTCAACAATAGTTATAGCACTTTGCCCAATTTGTTTACAGATTTTCATGATTTTTTGGAGAGAATCAAGTTCAACCAGGCTATCGATATTTTGGAGCACAATTTCAGAGGGCCTGCTCCCATCGAGTTCCGAAGGTTTGCACCAGAAGAGGTCACTCTAGAGATTTTCCAGGTCACCTCCAAAATGCTGGTGCAGGCATATATGGATCCTTTGATGAATGCCACGGGTTTTAAATTTCCTGTTCGTGACTACCACAAGGGTGGTAGCAAGACCAAGAAGATCTCGTTCATGTTTATCTGCAGCCAGGATTCTTCCAGACAGCGCAAGTCGAGATCCGAGCACAAGAGATCCGTTCCCAACAAGCTCAAGGTTGAACGGTGTGAATCGAAAATTACCCTTAGCTACGATCTGACGGATGGAATGGTGATGATCTATTACAACCACAAGCACCATGCTCCCTACGATTGGAAGAAGATCCCCAGCGACAACGCCTACCCTGATCTGTCGCAGTTGGGCAGGCTCATACAGAAGGAGACTGAGAACGCCAACGAGGCACAGGCCCAGGCTCAGGCCCAGGCGGCAGTGGAACTAGCAGCAAGGACGGTGGCCTATCGCCAACCTACCAACACGGGTTCCAGTTCGGGTTCTACAGGTGAGGTTTTGCCGGAAGATATGGCCAATCTGCTGCAACTGTCTTCTTACTTGCCCGAAAGTCACCAAGGCCACTCGCATGGATCGAACTCGAAGTCCGAGTCAAATGTGGACGACGAGTTGAAGAAACAAGACTCGCAGGCCAGCGGGTTCATCGACAACATTGACCATGAGCTGATTAGAGAGAGCATTCCAAAATGAGGAGTTAGCGGATTTTACCCGCGAGTGCCGCAATTGGCGCTATTTTGTGTATTTTTTTTCGTTGTATAGTAGTATGAAAATGTATTTTAAGCTTGACTTGTTTGCCTAATTTTTCAAGCCGCAGTAGGTCGTGCGGCTCAGGGATAAAGAGGCTGATCAGCATCGCCACCTCTGCCTTAGGACATGACCTTTTCATTCTTTATTCACTTCTTCCTCTTCTTCTTTCTCATTAGAAGTTTACTTTTTTATTGATTATGACAGATTCTCTGGTGCCTAGAAGGTCTGCAAATAATCCGTTTAAGTTTCCGGCAGGGAAATCCCAATTGCTGTTTGCTAAATCTAAGGTATACATCCACCCCACGAAATCATCCAAGGACAACATCCCAGGCTATCTGACCATCACAAGACCGTTCAAGGACTGTTCAAATTCTGATTTATTGGTGGCATTTCTTCCAGAAGAGGGCTTGAATAAAGATGATAAAAGTACTCTCGACTGGTTTGACTTATATGGCTTGCATGGAGAAGATGAAGGTTTGCTCAGGCCTCGTCGGATAGCAGGAACCGAAGTTACAGAGAGCAGGCTGGATTCTTCCAATGAGCCTGTGAAGAAGGTATTCATTAATAGACCACCCCTTTCGTCGCTTATGACCTACGCCTTTGGTGTGAGTATCTCGAACATGTTCAGCATCCAGGTCAGACCCAAGGCAGATGGAATGTGGTGGGGATCGATAGTGATTCACACCTCAGCCGGTGAAAAGGTACCTGTACTGTTTTTTCATGATGACGAGTCTCCCGGAACGATGAGAGAGGAGAAACTGAGAAGGCAAAACTTTGAGCCGTTTGCCACGAATAGTTCCTCCACGGGAAATTCGGTTGTGTTTTACTGGGGTGGTGATAGCTTTGTGACTGTTCTGAAAAACTTCTGTGTTCTGGAAGAGTCTACATTGGAGCGGGGTGTGTTATTGGTCAATCCAACAAGTGAGGATCTGAGGAATTTCATTCCCCAAAATGTGGCAGATGCCAAGGTGAAAGATCCCTTCAAGCAGGCTAGTCAGAATTTCGAGAGTTTCATCACGGATGCTAAGTGGAAGATTTTGGGTGGCTTGGCTTCTGTTACTAAACTAGCCAGGAGGAAAGTTCACGACGTAAAGTCTGATATTCCAGAGCCCATATTGAAGCTGTTAAGCAAACCTGAAGTTAAAGCCATCGGTGACGAATTCGACAGTGCCAACGTTTTCCTTGCAAAATGGGCCCTTCAATTACAGGAGCAGGCGGAGCAAACACGCAAGGTGGTCATATTGGATGATGCATATCGAAAACTGATCCAGGAGGAACTGGGCGAGAGTCTAACCAGTTTGACTCCGCAAGAGTTGTCCAAGGCAACCAGGCGGAAAGCTGTGTCCAAAGTAGAGTGGGACTCGTTTTTCGACCATACTGGTAGTCTTCTGATCACAGTTGATGAAGTCAAGGAGAGAGTGTTTCATGGGTGTCTGGAGGACAAAGAAGTTCGCAAAGAAGCATGGCTGTTCCTATTGGGTGTATATCCATGGGACACCTCGAGGCACGAAAGGAAAATGCTTGACCAAACCTTCCTGAGTACCTATAATGGCTTCAAGGAAATTTGGACAACAGACTTAAAGAGGCAACAAGAAGACGAGTTCTGGAAGGATCAAAAATTTCGAATTGAAAAAGACATTAAGAGAACGGATCGCGATATTTCAATCTACAAAGGCAATGGTCCTGCGTCAGAAGAGCGTACTACCCCTGATAGCACCGAGGATGGAGCAACTGCACCTGAAACCACTAATGATGATGACGATGATAGCGATGTTTCCATCATCCGCAACCCTCATCTAGACATACTGAGATCCATCTTGATCTCGTACAATGAACTGAATACGAACCTCGGTTACGTGCAAGGTATGACTGACCTTCTATCTCCTATATACTTTGTCTTAGAAGACGAGTCGTTGGCTTTCTGGGGCTTTTCAAGGTTCATGGAAAGGATGGAGAGAAACTTTGTGAGAGATCTGTCAGGAATGAAGAATCAGATGGAGGTTTTGAACGAATTGGTCCAATTCATGTTGCCCGATTTATATATCCATTTGGTGAAGTGCGAGTCTAACAATCTGTTCTTCTTCTTCAGAATGCTGCTCGTTTGGTTCAAACGGGAGTTGTCCTATGAAGACACCATGAGATTATGGGAGGTGTTGTGGACAGACTACTATTCATCGCAGTTTTTCCTGTTCTGTGCTCTGGCAGTATTGGACCAGCACTCCAGGATCATGATTAACAATCTCCATGCTTTTGACGAGGTGTTGAAGTATATGAACGATATATCAGGCCACATCAATCTGGAACAGATTTTGCTGAGAGCAGAGTTGCTGTTCTTGAAGTTCAGAAATATGGTTGCCATTGTGGAAAGAGAAAATGCACATGAAGGAATTCATGGCCTACAGAATTCAAATGGTGAAGGTCTCACGCCTGTCAGTCCTCAATTGAGAAAGCTGTTGTCTCGGGAATTGGTGATTCAGAAGGAAGTTCCCAGGCCGGCTGGTGTTGGTGGTGGCTAGTTGTTGTTGGCTGCTGCTTTTTATATTTTGTCGCGATTTGGGTTGATGAAGAAACTTGGTGTCTATAATTTTTGAGTGGTTTTTTTTATTGTGGTTATGATTTCTGAAAGTTTTTGGTTGAACTTGGTCTGCTCATAAGTTATCTGCATACGTTATTTGCATGCTATATATTGAAGTACATGATTCTCTTTTGCGCCAGTTGCATGTTTTTAGACTGAATACCTGGTGTTTTGAATATCATTCGAGTAGTCTCGTCAGTTTCAAAAGTTTGTAAAACTGAAATTAGCTTTTTCAGCAACTTGGATTTTTCACAGATAACGCTTTCAAATTGTCAAGCCGCACGTTCAGCTTGGGGAAGGTAGTGTGTATCCATATAAATTTGATGTTTGTTTTTGTTTCCGTAGATTATCAAGGGGCTTTTGATCCTGGCTCTTGTCACTCTTTTCGCCTCCAAACTCTCCAATCAGACCAATGAACAGGCTAATCAGGTCGCTGGGATTTGGAGCATCCAGGCAGAGTGATGCTCCGAAAAAAAATAACAATGAGCGGTTTTCGCGCTCGCTAAAGGGAAAGGCCATTTTCGTGATGGGGAAACGCGATGACTACGAGCTGATCAGAGCCGCAGTAAGAACTTTGGGTGGGAAAATGGTGAATTCCTCGGAGAATGATATTTTTCCAGACACTGACGTTCTAGAAAATGATGAGTTGCTCCTTTTTGCAGATTCGAAGGATGAATTTTCAAGTGCACACGATGGCTATGATGTGTATAGCACTAGCTTCTTGTTTGATTCGCTGAAATCCAGAGGTCGCACACCGTTGGAAAGTTACAAGTTTGTTCCTCCCAACGAGACACATGCACATTTCAAGACAGACAGGACTGCGAAAGCCGCTATCAGCAGTTTGGCTCCTTTGGCAAGGAAGAGAAAGGAACCTCCAGTTTCTGCCCCAGAGGCAGAAGCTGATAACGTGGAGTCGAAACGCGTGAAGCCGAAAAGAGCATATGTGCCGTTCACCAAGGCGGATGATGTGATCATACTGGATATGATCAGACTCAGGCCGGACAAGTGCAAGTCCAAGAGCTACTACAAGGAGATCGCCGAGGCGCTTTTGATACATAATGGGACAGAACATTCATCTTCGTCTATTCGTACGCGATTTCGATATACTCTTGCCAGAGACCTCGAGTGGGTGTACCAGTTAGACCCTGCAACTGGAACTATCAGACATGACATACATGGAGAGTTATTGAAGGAGATTGTTGGTGATTCGTTTTGGGAGAGCAAGCTGCGGTTTACGGCCGAAGACGACTACACGTTGAGTGTGGAGATTTTAGAAGCAACTGAGGGTGATGAGCAGGTTAATTCGACGACTTTTTTTGAACTGTTCGCGCAAAAATATTCGTCGCACAAGCCTGAGGCATGGAGGAACAGATGGCTGAAGTTCGTAAGTCCATATGGAGCGCAAAAGTACAAGGACTTCTACGAGTACACCCAGAGTATCGGTAAGACGCCTATGGCTCTGGGAATAAGGCCATTGCAGCTAGCTGATCCGAAGAACTGTATTCGACTCCACCCTCATGATTATAATGCTCCTGCTCTTGAGGAGGGCCATTCGACTTACAGGGATGGTGCCCCCGATTTAGATGAAGCGGACGACGCTGAGACCGAGGAGGCCAAGAGTTTATTAAGTGTCATGACCGAGCATGCATCTGCCAGCCAATTACATGTTCAAGACGAAGAAGATAACAACGAGCCCATATCTCTTGCTGAGAAACCAGTACCCAAAAGTGTACAGTTCGCTATAGAGCCATTATTGAACAGTCACGAGCCCGAAGTTAGCAATGACGACGCGAATGAAACCGAGGGCGAAGGTGGCTCGTTTTCAAAATTGGCATCACAACCATATACCCAGACCCAGCTACCTCTTGGCGAAACTTTCACACCTCCAATTGCGCCGCAGGTCATGGAGAACTTCACGGAGGAAGAGTACGTTGCAAAGGTAAGGACAATAACAAAGAAACTAGGCAAAAATCCAAAGAAACTTATTGCTGGTCTCAAGGAATTAGGGATGGATGGTGTCTGGGCAGAAAGCATGTTAGTATCATGCAGTGCTGATCCCGTTGCGTTTGGCAATTGCGTCTCGTTCTTTTTTCAACACGATGAAGCTATACCTACGGGTGTAAGGGGCTATTGGTCTGCAGACGAAGATATGTGTCTGATGCTTGGGCAGAAGTTGGCCTTCCTTGAAGAAGTTCATGGAAAAGAGTATGTGGAAATGCGCAGGAAATTTCTTCGGATGCTTGGTGAGGATGTTGTCAAGCCTACCAGGTCGGGAAGGTCCAAGAGTTGAAGGCTACAGGTCATATTTAAGGTAAAACTCAAGATGAGATTTACGACGAAAGTTGTAGTCACTTTCAGAATGAACTGCAGATGAAGTGGGGGCCGAGACCTGGTGATGATCATTATAGGTGGCCCCAGTATGAACCCCAGAGTACTCTTCCAAGTGAAATTTGAGATAAAATTCAAAATAAACTCCAATTTGCGCACAAGTATAAAAGAAAACAAATTGACTAAGAATATTGTCTCACACTATGGACGACCAATGAGCTGTTTGTCCTCGATCATTCATCTAACACGAAACTTGTACTGACTGTCTCTGATAAACAACTTTACTCGTACCATCTGCCTTGGTTTGAGCTTCACTCCATATAACCTCTGCACTCAGCTTCCCGCCATAAACACACCCCGAATCCAACCCGGTGGTGTACTCTTTATACTTAAGCCCACGCTTAGCATCATGGCCATATAACACCATGGTTCCAACAGGTTTACCACTCTTGAGGTCTTCTTTCGGGGCCGACTTGTACACCAATCTCTGGTGCTTGTTCCAATACCGCGACCACGGTTGACTACCCTGGTCATGCGGATCATCTGTTGCAACAACAAAGTCTGGGGGCAGCAACGATCTAACAGTAGTCACCACATCAGGATCCTGGTTTTCCAAAGTCATGTTCCAGATCAACCCTCCATGAACAGCAACTCCATTCAATGGATTGGCCAGATAATGGGTCTGCTTTTTGTTCATATGCGGAACTGGGCCCAATTGGTTGATCACGGGGCACGAGGCGAGGAAACTGACATGTTCAGGCCGAAGTCTCTTGGCTATTCTCATCTCTTCATCCAAATCAAACAGCTGTGTAGACACACGAGTATCCAACCCAAAGTTAGGAGGCGAAACACCGTGAAACTGAGCATATCTCTCCAACACGCTCAGTTCGTGATTTCCCAAAACACAACCCGAGTTGTGCATGATCGCCCAATCAAGAACGCCGATGGAGTCCTTTCCCTTCGCTACAAAGTCTCCAAGAAGTATCACTTCGTCTTCTTTTCCACCGTCATACTGCACTTTGTCCAAGAGCTTGGTCAATTGTTTCAACGATGCGTGAACATCCCCAATGATGATGAGTCTCCTAACCGGCTTTTTAGCGTGCTTTTCCAAAGCTATTGACTTCAAATGCTCTTCCAACAGAGGGTCGTTTGAATCGAGAAACTCAAACTCGTCGAATTGGGGTGGACTTTGGCGGAACGGCTCGAGGCCAAGTGTTTGAGTCTCTTCATCTTCATCTTTGTCAAACACTTGGGCACTTTGGGACACAAGAGGATGTAAATACACTTTGGATTCGCCCACCTTGGTCATTTGAGGTATCGTGACGCCGGGAGGCGCCAGGTTGGGGAGATATATCAGCAGGAAATAAAGCAACGGCAAACCGACCAGGAATCCGACTGCATAAATCGCATATCTCAGTACTTGTTTCCTCTTGGTTGTGTTTTCGGAATATATGGAATACCCATCTTCATCGTAGTATGGGTATGACTGCGTTTCTAACAGAGCCTCGTTCTCGCCGCCAGCCATTGTGGGCATATACGCTAGTCAATCTGAAAATCACCAATCACCAAGAACTGAAAGCAATAACTGGAGCGGTAATATCACAACAATCGGCCTCCAAATCCGGGAAGAGAGTTGTTCTGATTAGCTGAAGCTCAAACAAGACAAAAGAAAATGTTCTCTGGAGGTCTGTCAGAACCAAAACATGTGGGTTTCCCGTTTCCGTTTTTTTTTCCAATTCCGTTTCCCGGTCGGGGTGCATGGAAACCGGCGACCGCATTCTTCTTGGTACACGCACGGCGTTTCTCCAGTTCCACTTAAGGTCTGGCAAAGATACGACAAGGTTCTTCCGCAAGGTTATTCGTCAAGGGATTTTTGTTGTGGTTTGCGGGTCATTCAGACGACACCCAGTTGCGGGTTTGTACAATATAATGCTCGATCTTGATAAGTAAGTTGCGATTGAGTGCATATGTAACACGCACACGCGTTCTGGTGTGCAACAAGACAGATATGCCAAGTCTATCGACGGTACTAACAGCAACTAGAATAATCCAAGACGTCAAACGATGCATCGTTATTCCGGAAAATGATGTTCGCCAGCTTTGTTTTTTATCTCAGGAACTGTTGATGCAGGAGTCCAACATACAACTCATAGACACGCCCATAACGATATGTGGTGATATCCACGGCCAGCTTCACGACCTGCTGACGTTGTTCAGGATTGCTAAAGACCCACCGGAAACAAAATATTTGTTTCTGGGTGATTTTGTGGACCGAGGCTTCTACTCTCTGGAGACGTTCTTGTTGCTTTTGTGCTACAAGGTGCGGTATCCAGACCGGATTTTTTTGATTAGAGGAAACCACGAGTCGCGGCAAATCACCTCTGTTTACGGATTTTACGACGAATGCTTGAGAAAATACGGGAACGCGAACGTGTGGCGGTACTGCTGTGATGTTTTCGATTACATATCTCTCGGGGCCTACATAATGGGTGCTTCTGGCGAGTCTGGTGGTGTATTCTGCATTCATGGAGGTCTGAGTCCAGCTGTGGAGAAGATCGACGAAATCAGGCTTATCGACAGAAAACAGGAGGTACCGCACGACGGTTCCATGTGTGATCTACTATGGAGTGACCCCGAGGAAAATATTCCTGCGTGGGCAATTTCCCCGAGAGGTGCTGGCTATCTCTTTGGATACGACGAGACCAAAAAGTTCCTGCATAGGAACAACCTCAGTCTAATTGCGCGCGCCCACCAGCTGGTGATGGAGGGATATAAAGAGGTATTTGACCACGGTCTGGTGACTGTGTGGTCTGCGCCGAATTACTGCTATCGATGTGGAAACGTGGCTGCTGTGTTGACGCTGAGCGATGATCTTGAGAGGACCTACACAGTATTTGACAGTGTTCTTCAGGATTGCAATGAGATACCTTCCAAGAAGCCTGTTGCGGACTATTTTATATAGCGAAATAGCCACTTGTTCATGTTCGATGATGATAATGAGAAAGCGGAGTGCAATTGGGGTTGCGACGAAAAAAGCATGGATGAAGTTTTATATAGCCATACAGGCAATAAGCATCATAAGCATCATAAGCATCGTAATCTAATCCAAACCCAATAACTCAACCTAGCAACCAATTGAGCCCGTTTTTCCTAAAATATTAAATGCAAATTATCCCTATATCCCTATATCCCTACCTTACTACACGTCCATATAATATTTTTATTCTCACTCAAAATCCCTATATTCAACTCAAATTCCCCATTTAGACCGTTGCGCATTATCTAAGCATTGTCTGTTGTTAGGCAAAATTAAGATTCGAAACGGGCCCATCTCATCGCATCACATTCTGTGTTGTGGTTCTGTCATAGCAACTTAGCCAAATTTTATTCTGATACTCGGATCTGTTTCAGACCAAGAGCTGTTACTTTGGTGGCGTGGCTTGTTTTTTTTGTTCTTTGTCTTTTATCTGTTGCTCTTATTTATCACCAGCTCCATATGACCGACTCCAAAAACACATCTACCCAGGACGTGCTCACTTCCATAGCTGCCAACGGCGCCCTCTTTGGCACGTTCATTGCTATCTTTATCACGTTCAGACTCAAGTTCAGCAGGATATACCAGCCCAAATCCGATCCGTTGGTGAATACCACGTTGCGACCGACCCCACTGCCGAGAGACCCGATCACGTGGCTTTGGGTGCTGTTGAGGAAACCACCCAAGTTTGTGATAGAGCAGGCCGGGCTGGATGGCTACTTTTTTCTGCGGTTCCTGACTATGGTGGGATTTGTCAGTGCTGGTGGAATGCTCATGATGATTGTTTTGTTTCCGGTTAACGCTATTCATGGAAAACTGTCGCATGGCCTGGATCAGCTTTCCATCTCCAATGTCAAAGGTACTGACAAGTACTACGCCCATGTGTTCATGTCCTGGTTTTTCTACGGGTCTGTTCTGTTTGTGATATTCAGGGAGATGTACTTTTACAACTCGTTAAGACAGGCTGCACTGGCCTCCCCTCATTATGCGAAAAAATTGAGTTCCAGAACTGTCATCTTCCAGACCGTGCCCGAGCAATATCTCGATGAGAGGGAGTTTTTCAAGTTATTTGACGGTGTTAAGACGGTCTGGATTGCGCGAGGTCAGCGGAGATTGGCTGGAAAGGTCAAGAGACGCCAGATGCTCGCAATGCAACTGGAAACCGCTTTAACCAAGCTGTTGCTGAGAGCCATGAAAGCCAAGATCAAAGCCGAGAAGAAGCAGGAACCAATAGACCCCTCGAGCCAGATGATTGACTATGTTCCCACAAAGAAAAGACCGACATTCCGCCTGCTTCCCCTCTTTGGTCACAAGTACGACACGATAGAGTACTGCAAGGAGGAGATCCCAAAGATCGATAAGGAGATCAAGGAATTGCAGGCCAAGTTTAGATCAGCCAGACCTATGAACTCCGTAACTGTGGAATTCACCAACCAATACTATGCCCAAGTTGCCTTCCAGACTTGTGGAAACCATACTCCATTGCACCTGGAAGCCAAGTATATTGGTGTTGAACCGGCAGATATCTTTTGGCCGAACATGAGACTGTTCTGGTGGGAAAGGATGGTGAGATCTGTCTTAGCTGGGTCAGCCATCATTGTGCTGATCTTGACATGGTCGATTCCAACCGCTTTTATTGGTGTGATCTCTAATCTGACTTATTTGACAAATAAACTGCATTTCTTGCGGTTTGTCTACAATCTGCCCGATGATCTTCTTGGACTTATTACTTCTCTTCTTCCCACGGTCTTACTTGCCCTCTTGATGCTTCTCTTGCCAATTTTCATCAGGACTATGGCAAAGATAGCTGGAAGAGCCACCACCCAGTCCATCGAATACTATACACAGAGCGCATATTTTGCATTCCAACTGATTCAGGTGTTTCTAGTGACCGCGTTGTCATCATCAGCAGCAGCTACAGTCACCCAAATCGTGGACGATCCGGGAAATGCAATGGAGTTGCTTGCCTCAAACCTTCCAAAATCCTCAAACTTCTACATATCTTACCTGGTGCTCCAAGGTTTTTCCATCGCAGGTGGTGCCCTAGTTCAGATTGTTGGTTTCGTCATGTTTTACATCATGGGCTTCCTGGCGGACATAACGGCTAGACAGAAATGGACCAGATACACTGCGTTAGGTGGTTATGCTTGGGGAACCATGTATCCTGTCTACGCAAACCTTTTTGCGATCTCATTGGCCTATGCTGTCATCTCCCCAATGATGATGCTGTTTTCATTCGCGGGTTTTGCCTTCCTCTACGTTGCCTATCTCCATAATCTCACTTACGTCTCCGGCCAATCCGCGGATAATAGAGGTGCTTACTATCCAAGGGCTCTTCGCCAAAGCATAGTTGGTTTGTATCTTGGAGAGATTTGTCTCACGGGTATATTTGCCGTTGGTAAGTCGTGGGGTTGTGTGGTTCTGGAGCTAATCATGTTGGGGTTCACGGTGTTCGTACACGTTCAAATCGACAAGTCGTTCGACGGACAACTCAATCTTTTGCCCACTGATTGTATGAGGCCATTGGACGGTTTTAGCTCAACTGTATCGTATCAACCTCTGAATCAACGTGCTCTTTTCGAGACAGACCGTGCATTCGAAGAGTACTCTGTCAAGATGGAAAATGGGCTGGGTGTTCGTCTTCTGGCAGACGATTACGAGGAAGAAACCCGGGACGTACATGGAAATGCTTTACAGAGGTATCTGCAACCCTGGAAATTCTATTCTTTCAACCAAGTGAGGCACTATCTTCCCGGTAGCTACTGGCATATTCCAGAATCTGATCCCGATGCTGACGAGTATGCGTATGATTATCCGGACGTTTCTGCCAAATCTCCAACCGTGTGGATCCCCAGAGATCCCATGGGCCTGAGCAGGGTTGAAATTGAGAATTTAAAAGGCGTCATTGAGGTGAGTGATGAAAATGCCATATTCGATAATCGTGGGAGAGTCGTCTGGCTGGCTGGACCTCCTGCTGGAAATCAAACTTCAGATAACACTCCTGCTGAGAAAAATGTTTCAGACACCATAGACTCTAATCGAGAGACTGTCTTCAAAATGGAGACTGATACTAGTCTCTGAGCCAGAGCTCATACTTTGCATGGATGCTTTAAAGCCTACTAATATATAGCATAATAAACTAAGCTTTTGTGTCAAGAACTGCAATAATCTACAACAATCTACAACAATCTGCAATAATCCAATGGGACTATAATTCGGTCGATACCGATCTATCTCACAAGATTTTCAGAGAAAGTTCATTATTACCCATATAATCTTTCAGTAACCGCACCCTCCTAGCCCATCTCCAAGTTCGTGCATCCTTCAATTCTGCGAGCTGAAAAAATGGTAAACAGCTTCATCGTGTTGTTCCGAATCAAAGCTGGAACAAACCGATAATCCGTGTAAAATTCCTCAATTTGTTTCTGGTTCATTGACTGGTGCTGTTATTCACCATGTCTTTTACAAATACTGGTGATACTCAATGCTGGTAAGTATAGGCTCAAGGCAGCTGTTGAAACTTCAAAGCACTAACACGAAGACCATCGATTAGGACCATTGAAAATGCTCTGCTATTGTTGACCCACAACACTGGAGAGACCGAAATTTTGGACTTGGTAAAGAAGTTTCTTGTTCAAAACAAATCACTTTGGATCGGATCAACATTACCGTTCAAAAAAACCAAGGCTTCGAAGGACGTTGACTTTAGCGATAACGCCAAGTTCCAATTGCGTAGTGCTGAATACAGCATTGGGACCAACAGTTTGAAATTCAAAAAATACACAGACAAAATAACAGAGGGACTCAATGTTGATGAGCAAGAGGTCGTGAGAGTGATTATACAGACATCAGAGAGAGTGCCAGAAGAGCTTGGTGAGAGTTCAGACTCTGGTACTCAATTATTCAAGGACAGGGATGATCTAGAGAAAACCACATTCTATGCCTCCAAACTTCTTAGAGAAAGGCGATTTGTTCTTCAGATCATGAGTCTGCTATTGAGGGAAAGCGATTCCGAGGAAATGTCCAACTTCTTGGAGATTTCAGAGTCTATTGCTAGTGGAGCTTCTCAGATAGTTTCCGGTCTTGTCGACGAGCTTGAAACTCTGATGGGTTTCATCAAGAATTTAGACTCCTCTTCATCTTCTCTGTCGAGAGCGACTTTCCAGGAAAATGTTAATACTATCATTGATCTAGCAAAGTTATTGGCGACTCTCATCGTTGGCAGTGACAATAGGGTGGGCCTCTCTTCACAAAACATAGTGAAATGGTTCAAACTCATGGATCGCACGGATTATGGTTCTAGTTTGTCTAAAAGGATTCCCGGCGCTACTCTCACTACTTGCCAAGCTCTATTCACCATCATCTCTCTTCTGTTCATTGATCTTGACTATAACTACGGAAGCCTGGAAGACGATGCCACATACATGAACAAACCGCAGATTATCACAGAAATAACGCATTGTTTGGACTCTTCGCCTACTAACCCTATTGTCCTCTATGCATGGGCAATAGTAATGCATAGGAAATGGGCTGTCATTCAAGAGTATCCTGATCACGAACTCTCGCTCAGCTTCAGACAGGCTGTAAAACCCGACTTTCTGACGATCAGCAACACTTGTGCTGCTAAGGCTGCGGAGCTTGACGTTTTCTCTGCTCTGTTGAAATGCCACTCAACTCTGGAGTTTGACTATTTCTATCCCTCGATCATTGCGTCGTTTGTGATTTCGATGGTTCCATACGCACGTTTGAGCGACGGTATGGCCAGTGCCGTACTTAAGATCATGGGTGATGCTCCTGACTCTGTTATAGAACGCTTTTTTGCTGAGCAAAGTACTGAGAATGCGCTTATCGTTGCAAGAGCAAAGGTGCCGTTGTCGCTGACGCGTTTTCTTCAACTCATTGGCATCAACGCTTCACTTGCCATGGAGGAACTGTGCACTTTACGATCTTATATGGAGGTGTTTCAGGAAGACGAGTTTTACTATAAATACAAAACTGATGAGGTGACGCCAGGTCTGATCAGACTGACTCAAGACATTGACGTTTACCCTCCATTCGAAGAGTTGCATGATCTTTCTCTGCTGTTGAAGGATGGTACAAGAGGACAGCTTATCCCCTCGCAGGATAAATCAAAGAGTGTCGTGACTTTCCTGTACGAGTACAATGGCTGGTCACTGATGGGAAGAATTTTGCAAAACATATCAAGGCATTACAACAAAGATGATAAGGAAAAGCTTGAAACCATATCCAGTATTTTGGCAGCAATGACTCGTGTTACAAATGAGCTGGATGAGCAGACTTCTTCTGAGGTATATGGCTATATGAGCGCATTCATTGATGAGACCGACGTGATTGAGGTGATATTCCGTGTTTTTGACCAGGCCCTGGCATCCAGAAATATGGAGACGATGGTTTCTTGTGTCACTTTCTTCTCTGCCCTGGCTCTAAGACACCCAAACAGAATCTGGCCTTACTTGTCGCTGTCACTCTTCTTGGGAGGAAAACTTAATGGTGGTCTTGCTACTACTTTGCTTGGTTCAGTAGAGATGGCCGAAGGTGACTTTTCGTTGACGCTAGCATTCATCGACCTGACGAAAGCCTTGATCAAGGACTGCTTCACTTTGAAGAACGATGTGGCTGAAAGACTCAAATCTGATGTCCTGGCTAAGGCTGTGACACATCTGATTCATGTCTTTGAGGGTTTCTCATTTTGGAGGTACAATGAGGGACATCAGAAAATGGAGATTGGAACCGGCATCATCCAAATATTCAGAGAGATCTTACTCTCTATGTATGGTGTTGATGAGAACAGTTCTCTTGATTCAAAGGTTACCAGATTATTTGTTCCGTCTGCGAAGAAGATAGTTGAAACATTCTTAGTTTCTGACCTTAAGGACGTCAGGTCCACCAAGTCTTTATTCTTGATGATTCAAAATTTGGCAGCATTTCCATCCCAGTATCAAACATCTGACAAGACGGGATATTGGTACGATAAATGGGTGTCCTCTGTCTTTGATTTTGCGGTTCTTTTGGTTGATATCAGACCTGTTGTCCAGAGTATGCAACCTTCAACGTTCGAGCTTTCTCTCTTCATTGAGTTGCCCAGATTGGTGGAGATTTATTGTCAATACAACTCCCTTAGATCCAGAGTGATTGCGCTGATGACTAGTCTCGTGAGTGGTTCATGGCCCGAAGAACCTCCCTCATTATTGGCACATCTTGGACAAGAGCATGCAAATGTCTTACTGAGGAGCATGGCATATGATCTGAATAATGCATTTGAGGATTACCCTCTGAGAATCGCATTGTACGATTTTTTCTCCGCAGTGATGCAGGGGAACCAGGAAGGACTATCAATTGTGCTTATTACTGGAAAAGATATCAAGGATTGGCTCTTAGAAGAAAGACAGAAAGCACCAAAGGATACCCCCAGGTACTCTCTTTCGTTACTCAGCATATTCAAGAAGTCTGTCTCCCAGATTGGGAAGCTACCTGACTATGTCGCGCTCCATCTTGTTGAAGCTATCGCGTTAGCATTCAATTCGTGGGCGGCGGTCAGGGAAGGGGGAGATGATACACCATTTCTCAAGCAGCTTATTGATGAACTTAAAGCCCGTTCGGCAAAATCAAGCAAAGCTCTTAATGAGAACTCTGACTACATCTCAAAATGCTATGAACTAAGGTTGGTTTCGAAGATTGCCGAAATTCTTTCTCTGTATCTATTTGTGTCTCAGGAATCCAGCTCAAGAAAGCTGATCGCTGATCTCATACACTCCAAGGAATTCATCAATATTGCCAAAGAACAGTTCAAGATTGATGGTTATCGGAGCTCATTACATGCAAACTTGGAGAACAATTTTGAGAAGAAGTACAGTGGCTTATCGTTGAAACAGTTTACCAAGGCATCCTTTCTGGTCAGAAGCAAATTTGCAGAGAGTGCGACGTACGCTTTGCCCCTCATGGATCAGCTTTTTGACACCGACGCTTATTGGGCAAATTATCGTGAAGAGATTGTCCTCGCGAGTGTTAATCTCCAGTATGTTTCTGCACAAATTACCAGCGCAAAGGCATATGGGGCTCTTTTGACGTCATACTGCAACACAAATGATACCTTGGTCGACCAGACCTTCATAGATCTGGTTACACATTTGCTGAAGTTGAATAGCGAGCAGGACCTGCCGATTGAAATGTTCAAGGGTTTATACAAAGAAAGGATGGAGTTGGCGTTTTTGATGTCGTTTGCGTTCTCGAAATCTCTCAAATCTGGTTCTGATGATACTACTGCTTTTGCGCTCATCAATGCGGTTTCTTTGATCTTATTCTCCACAGAATTGGGAATGACCGATTACTGGGGCAAATATGAGGTTGCCTACTACACTCCGTTGTTGAGGATACTGCTTATTGGTCTCAATCTTCTGGACCCAAACACAAAGCTCTTCGTCGAGCATTCGGGCAAGTTCATTGATATCTTCAGCATTGTCGTTTCGCGCTCTGCCAAAACTGTGTTTTACTCTGTCTTGAACGAGGCTGTCAACTCAACTTCAGCAAAGGACTTGAGTGGCTCCACCACTGTGACCTCTGAGATTGCTGATCTCTCATTGACCTTTTCGATATTGAAGGCCTATTTGAGACTCAACTTGCCTTCATCGATGTCATCGGCCATTTCCAATTCTCTGTCTTCGAACGGAACATTGAAGGCGGGACTGAGCTTGTACTCATGCTCACATCTGATAAAGGTTGACAACGAGGAAATCTTTGCTGACTTGACTTTGATGTTCATCTACGAGCTGGTATCGGTGCGTCCAATTGCTGAACAGCTGATTAGGCAAGGTTTGCTTTCTGTGTTGACTGAGAGTCCAATCTCAGTTCGCATTCGCAATGGAGGTATTTCTCCAACAACTTCACCGAGGTTGCACCATGTGTGGAGTAATGGACTTTTATCGGTTATCTTGACATTGCTGTGCACTTTCAAGGAAAGACTTCTCCCAGAAGCCCTGTTTTTCGTCTCGTCGTTCTCAAATCAAATCACTTCCACCATGCAGAATTGGAAGTCGGACTCCATAGTCATCAGTACCCCGGTGATACAAGAGACTGCGCAGATCATACTCTTGCATAAACTGTTGAACTCCATGAACGCAGACGAGGTATTCAAGACGCAATACGCCCAGCCGCAGAGAAGCTTTCAGTCGATCTTTGAGCTTGACACCAAGGACCAGAAGAACGACTTTGTTGGGGTCATGAACTATCTGATATCGCATCCAAAATTCCTTTCGATCAGATTCTTCCCAACATCACCAGAAGAGCAACGTCTGTTGAACTCGGATGGTAAGGCAGTGCTTATAGAGAGGCTGATACAGGAGTTCAGGGGACTCAAGGAATCGATATTGACTTGATCGTACTTAATATTTACAAATCACAAGTTATTCATTAGTTTTCTATCGTAGTCACTTTTTCAAGAACATCTTCCTGAAATCATCGTTGGACTTGGCTTGGGTCTTTTCGGCCAACTGTGAAGAATCTCCGTTGGTACCTACCGAAGTTGTAGAAGAAGCCACTGGTTTAGACCTCAGCATTGCACCTCTTGGAACGAACAAGCCAGCAGCTGGTCTGAGGGCTGTTCTTGGTTTAGCGGGTTCAAGCCTCGAACGTACCTTCAGAATAGAGCCTGCCATATGCTTGCCGTTCAAGGCTATTTCGGCCTTTGCAGCGTCTTCCTGGTTCTCAAACTCAGCGACAGCAGTACCTCTGTCAGATTGAACAACCAGCTTTGCTAAAGGCCCGAATTCCCCAAGTAAAGTGGCCAGACTCTCTGCATTTGTAGTATCAGGAAAATTCTGTAGTTCCAGGGACTTTGCCAAGATCTCTGTCCTAGAGTGTGTTTCCGTTTTCTCTGCTTTATTTTCTACCACCACCACCTTTTTGCCCTTTGGCTGAGCTGTGCTGACCTGGATGATTCTTCCTTCCAGTATCGATCCGTCCAATTCAAGCGCTTTAGTAGCATCATCCGCAGAAACAAAAGTGACAAATCCAAACCCATCGTGCTCTCTGTGTGCTTCTCTTCCCTTACTGCTCAAAGGTAAGTTCACTCTTTCTATAACACCAAATCTCTCGAATATCCTTTCAACCGTGTCCTTCTTGACCTTTTTAAAATCTAGGCCCCTAACGAACAGTTCCCTTCCTTCCTCAACTGCGCCAGACCTCGCAGACCTGCGTCCCGGATTTGACACTTTGGCAACAAGCGTATAGGTCCTACCATCTCTTGACTCTAGATTCTTATCATTCATCTCGCTGGCCGCTTCCGATGCGGCCTCAGCACTATCGAACTCCACGTAGCAAAACCTTCTGCGCATATTTGCCTTCAAAGATGGGAACCTGCAGGATGTGATAGTACCAAACTTGGCAAAAATCTGGCGAATTTCGGTTTCCGTGAACTCTGGAGGGAAGTTTGTGACCCAGATCGTGGAATCGATAAACCTCTTGACAGAGACCAGCTCATTGTCTATCTTCTTCTGATCCCTCGTTAGGGCAGCCAGAACCTCCGACTCTTCAGAAAACTCAACCAAGGCCTCCCTCAGCTCGGGGATGAGTCTGATCTCCTTGGTCGTTCCATATCCTTTGAAAAACCTAGCGATGGTTTTTTCAGATGCGGATGCGGGAATTCCCTTAACGGAAACGGTAAGATGTTCTCTGTCTCTGGTTGCCCTATCGCTGATTCTTGGCTTTTTGGATGGCTGGTCATTACTTTGTTCTTCCTGTGCTCGCTTTCCGTGTACTAGCAGTTCCTCTGTGGTCTCATGTGTTACAACTTCTGTGGACTCCGCGTCACGTTTTTCAAGTTGTTTCAAACACCACCTTTGAGATCTGTGAAATCTTGCTATACTTATATCGTTTCCTTCCATATATTCAAAGCGTTTCCACTCGTCCAGCAGCCTTTCTGGCCAATCGAGTTCGGAGATCATCTTGGCTGCATCCTCAAACAGCTTCCTCTTTTTGTCATAGTTACTTCCAACGTCATTATTAAACTGGTAAGCCAGAAGCCACGTCTCGACCTGGTGCTTTGCTTTTTCGGATTTGAGTACCTTCTCAAGAAACTCTTCAGCCATGTAACTCCCAAACTTTCCAAACCTTACGAAACATAGTTGAATGATGAACTTCTCTAAGGTGTGGAAAACGTCGTCTGCCTCAAGAGCTAAGGAGATAATTTTTTTCAATGCTAATTCAACAGCGGCCTCTTCATCTACTGGTATCCTGAATATGCCATTCAGCAATCCGAGAATCATGTCCTTGCCCTCGGAAGAGTTCACTATCTCGGGACATGGTGACAACTTCAAGAGCTCCAGTCGGTCCCTGGCAATAGTAGCATGACTACCTATATGCAGGTAAAATTCGAAAGCTTCCACTTTACCAGGAAAATATTTCAGGAAAAGAAATCTCGCGGAGTCCGATTTTTCTTTTTTCAAAAATGGAAGAGCATGCAACCAAACAGCCTCCCATGCCGGACCAGTGCGGTCTCGAACGGCTTGCAAAAACATCTGAGTAATTTTGAAGTTGGGCTTACTTGCATAAAAATCAATGGCGCGGATCCAGAACTCGGGATCATCCTTCTCTGAGATCTTACGGACTTCCCAGCGTTCCATGAGTGGCTCGAGTCCCTTGAGTCTTTTCAATTCGGCTCTGGCTGGTTCGAGACGATGCTCTGGGTGGTCAATACCAGAAGATTTCACCACCTTCTCGAATTTTTCATATAATTCTTCGTTCCATATGGTTGGATTATCGGGCTGGACTGTGATCCACGCATTGGGATATTCTAGACACATCTCCCAAACTTTGTAACCATGCAAATAGTTATACTTGAAGTCTTGCACTAAATTGGAAAACAATTTCGGGGCAAAAGAGATCGAGTTCTCGGGAAATTGGAGTATAAACTTGCAGAAAACTTTGGCATCCTCAAAATATTTAAACTGAGAGTATTTCAACCATAACAACTTGGCCATGCCTTCTTGACCTTCGGAGAAAGTATCAGGATTGTCTAATAGAGCCTGCTCGTCTTGCCTCCAGATCTCCCACTCGTCCTCAGAGATAATAAACCGGTTCGCCGTGCTCTCTCTCAGTGTTTCGTATTCTTGAGTTATTTTTTTGCGAAAAGTGTCCTTGTCCTTGTCCTCAGTGTCCTTCCTCAATCGCATCAGGTGCCCAAGCAGCGCAAAGTGGGAATCCCTATCCTGAATGTTTAGAATAACACGATTCCTGAGAACACAAAGATCCATCGATACGGATTCATTGTCGCTCATGGTTTCTCGACGGGTTTGCAATTGCTTTGTGGATATAGTAGGTGGTCATATCAACCGTATCTCTGTGTTTGTGCTTCGCGTATTTTTTAAGCAAAAATTGAGGTCACGTGCTGATTAGACTTTTCAGTAAAAAAATCTGGGAAACTTTTCAATCTTGATGAGGGACTCAATTTGGGATCAATAGCCACAGTCAGCGAATTTTTGCGGGTTTTACGGCTGATACGTGACTGGTAGTTTCGTTCAGTTCTAATGGACTCCAGAGAATATTTAAAGTCTTATGGCTGGGTAGAAGGAGAAGCTCTTAGAAGAGGAGGGCTCAAGAAGCCCATCTTGGTGAAGCATAAGAGAGACACCAAAGGTCTGGGCCACGGCAGCGACCAGGTAGAGGCCTGGTGGGAAAGACTATACGATGGACAGTTGAAAGGCATGGATGTGCGATCTGGGTCTTCAACAGATTCTTCTGGAAGTGGTTCCTTGAGTTTCCACCAGACCGAGGTCAAGGCTAGCGCGGTTTCCCAAAGTACGTCTCCGCTGTACAGGATGTTTGTCAGGGGGGAGGGTCTAGAAGGTACACGCAAGATACCACAGAAAGAGAGTGCCAAGGTTGTTAGTGTGAAAAAGTCTCACAAGCGGAAGAGAGAGGAAGATGTTGACCTGGTGGAAAAGAGGAAGGAAAAGAAGGAGAAGACAGAGATGAGGCCAAAGAAGGAAAAGAAGGAGGAGAAACACAGCAAAATAGAGGGGAAAGAAAAGAAGGAAAAGATAGAGAGGAAAGAAAAGAAAGAGAAGAAGGAGAAGAAGGACAAAAAAGACAAGAAGGACAAAAAAGACAAGAAGGACAAGAAGGACAAGAAGGACAAGAAGGAAAAGAAGGAAAAGAGGAAAGATAAGAACGTATAGCATGTATTTATGAATGTTCTGATGAACCGCCGCATTCCATGAGAGATATCTTCGTAGACGAACTTGTTGTTTTGAGGATGGAATTGTCAACCAAATGGTTTTTGTTTGGTCTCAAACTGGAACACAAGATTTGAATCTTACCATATTAGCTGGGTACCAGATCCTCAGTTCGACACTGGTAGTATGAAAAGGGTTCCATGCCTCGCAAAAGTTGAACTCCTGGGACCAGAGAGCAATCTATAGTCTTTGTGATACGGAAATATTAACAAAAAGGTAAAGCAAGCGTATTGAGAGAAAAAAAAAGAGGGTCAAAAAAAATTGATAGAAGCCCTACGGGGGGGTCGAACCCCCAACCTTGTGATATCTTCTGTAACAGAGGTGTTCTCTTAAGAGTCACACGCTCTACCGATTGAGCTAGCAAGGCTTCTTCATGGTGAGGAAGTTCCATACTTCAATATACTGAGATTATTTCATTGTGGTTGATGCACTACTATACTACAGAAAATCGTTTGATTCTAAAAGTGAGGATATAATGTCGGAGTCGAAGAAGGCCAAGAAAGAAAACGAATGGGTGGAAATCAGCTGTGTGGTCTCGGATTTTGCAAAAGTGCTATGAAAATTGTGTGGTCCTGCACTCTCTCTTTACCTTGGGTCCACAATGACGATTTCCAAATGGCACCATAGCATGTAACATCCACAGATTTCACAACAAAACTGATTCACATGAATCACAATGTTGTTTTGCACTGGTCAAATACTCTATCGGGGCAAATTCAATTTACCACAGCAGTTAAAGAAACCTACCGTGGTATTCGCTTCTCATACCCATGCGTTACCTATTGTTCAATGCTTACAAACAACGAATTATTTGATCTGATGTTTGATGTGAATACTATATTATTGTCTTTCTGCTTTGAAAACGGTGTCAGCAGGTCAAAAGTTTTATCGTATTTGGTTTATGCATGCCTGATTATTTTGAAAACTTTTCTGTAAAATTTTCAAAATTCCTGAAAAGTTGTGTATTGCTTTAAAGGCATACTTACTTCTCAGACACCAACCAAGAGAAGATTAGTCAAACACGTGATTATTTCCAAAACATCAGAAACTTCAAGTCTCCCATTCCTCTTCTTTCCTGGACCTAAAAAAAACTTTCATACATTCCCTTCTCATATTGAGCCGCACCGCCGCACATAGTGTTTTGAAGCCCCGCCCAAGGATTTTCTGGATTATGCCTACTTAGACTTAATCACATGCATTCTGTTTCCTCGTTCTCTTCTTCTCTAGTACCTACTAGGTATGGCATGGGAACAACTGGATGTCACAGATGCTCACATTGCGTATGCACTCATTGGTGCGTTTACCACCTTATTCGCGCTATGTTCACTCTTCATTAAGGAGCAGCTCTACATAGGAGAGGCTACTTTGGCTTCGGTCTTCGGAGTCATCTTTGGCCCCCATTGTCTCGGCTGGTTTGACCCTTTATCGTGGGGATCTGGCGGTGGAACTCAGGACTACTTGACCCAGGAAATTTCGAGGATCATTCTGATTATCCAGATCTTTGCGGTGTCTGTAGAGCTTCCACGCAAATACATGAAGCATCATTTCCGTTCAATTGCCATTCTTTTGTTTTTCGGAATGACCGCATCTTGGCTAGTAACGGCTGGGTTCATTTACCTTCTTTTTGGCTCATACCTAAGGTTTGTACACACTCTGTTGATCTCAGCATGCGTTACTGCCACAGACCCGGTCCTAGCAGCTGCTATAGTTGGAAAGGGCAAGTTTGGCCAGCGAATCCCTGGTCATTTGCGCAATCTGATCAGTGCAGAATCTGGGGCAAATGACGGGATGGCTTTTCCGTTTGTGCTGTTGAGTTTAAACCTTGTTCTTCACCAAAACGAAGCAGGTCTAATTGTCAAGAACTTCATCTGTATAGCGGTACTATATGAGGTTTGCTTTGGTATTTTGTTAGGATGTGTCATTGGATTCCTCGGCAGAAAAGCAATCATTTTCTCTGAGAAGCACGATCTAATAGACCGTGAGTCATTTCTCGTATTCTACGTGGTTTTATCGTTGATCTGTACTGGATGTGGTTCAATTCTTGGAGTTGATGATTTGCTTGTATCGTTTGCAGCAGGGGCCGCGTTTTCGTGGGATGGATGGTTTGCAAAGCGAACAGAGGAATCAAACCTTTCCAATATCGTTGATTTGTTGCTAAATGTGACTTATTTCCTGTATTTTGGCTCAATTGTGCCTTGGGCTGATTTCAACAACGCCGCACTGGGATTGGACTGGTGGAGACTAGTGCTGCTTGGTATTGCAGCTGTTCTGTTCAAACGGATCCCAGTGATGCTGGCTCTGAAGCCTGTGACTCCTGATTTGAGATCATGGAAGGAGGCGCTTTTTGCAGGCCATTTTGGGCCAATTGGTGTCGGTGGAATCTTTTGTTCGATTTTGGCCAAGAGTCAAATAGAGAAAAGTTTGGTTAAAAGAGGCGAAGATCAAGAGGTCCCATTCGAGTATTTGCCCACTGACAAAACTTCTGATCATTATTTTTTGTTGAATATGATCTGGCCAATCGTGTCGTTCCTAGTGGTGATTTCAATTCTCATCCACGGTTCGAGTGTGACGGTGATGACTCTCAGCAGTTCCGTAAAAAAGCTGAATTTGGTGAGCAAATTGCCCAAAGCCGTGATAAAAATGCCTTCAAAAGCTGACAGAGACACAGGGATGTCCCTTGAGAAAGACAAGGTTGACGATCTCGAACTGGACGAATTGGAAGAGCTGAATGAACTGCGTGAAGGCCGTGCTCCTCAAGACGGAGAGATGGTGAATCGAACTCAAAAGGCCAAAAGACCAAAACAAACCGCAAGTACGTTATCACAAATTGCTCCTGATTCTCGTGGATTACCACGAATCCCCGAATTCGCTTATATACAGGGAACTAGAGTGATTGTCGAGGACAAGTCTGGTGAGATACTGGACGAATTCGAGTTGGGTCAAGGCCACGAACAGATCACAGGAATAAATAATGCTGACCCAAGAGTGGACGAGCGTAATCGCAGAAGAAACTACAAAGATGATGAAGTGTTGAACGCTTTTCATGTCGACGACCGGATCGTGATCGAAAATAAGGAGGGGGAGCGGATTCGGGAGTATGCAATTCATAAGGAAGCCAGTTCGGTTTGAAAAGGATGAGGGGCAGGAAAGAGAGGAAAAAACGGCTTGCAAATTAGATTCAAAACAAAAAGCAAAAAACGCAGATAACATTCAAGAAAGAGTTCAAAAAAACGTTGCAGTTTCATCAAGCAGTGTAGCATTTATAGAGGTAAAACATGGAGACACCTTCCAGACAGTCCAGCTTTTTCTTTCATAACCTTCTTCATTTCTTATCGGCATATCTAACTGTCCATTCTCTAGCGGTCTCGATGGCATTAGACTCGTCCTTTTTCCAGTCCTCAGCCACTTCGTTGGCGAGTGGATCGTCTGGGTTGGGAGCCCCTAATAAGGCCTGTATCGAAAGCAATATCGTTCTGATTTGAAGAGCGGGTGACCAGTTCGATTTAAGCACATCCAGGCAGATTCGGCCCAGTCTATCGATGTTTGGGTGGTAGATCTTGGTGAGAAATCTTACCTTGGGGGCCACCATAGGGTAGTCTTCTGGCAAAAAAAGCTCCAGTTTGAATACACCGCTTTCATAAGGCGATGACGATGGCCCTTCCATCAAAACGTCAAAATACCGCAAATTATCTTCATGGGGAACAGCCTTTATCCCAGGCACTGGATCTGATACCAGTCTCTCAGTCTCCTACTCGTTGTTAGTGATGCGATTCGATACACGCAATATGTGCGATATGTGCAAAAGCTCACACCAACCACTTACCTTGATGATTCTCTTTGGTAAACTCGCCATTTCACCTTCTGCCTTGAGAAAACACCTGGGGCTTGAAGCTAAAGACAAAGCTCTTGTTCTCTCCTCCTTGCACGGGGCAAAGGCAGGACGATGGTTTGAGCCCTGGCAAGATTAATCAACAAACTACCTCATTGAACCTCTCGAGCCTTTTCAAATAATTGTAGATTCGATAGGCATTTGATAGCGCCTCTTCCTGCTTAGATCCCCGCAATTTCTTGATGATTCCACCAGCAAAACCCACAGGGCTGCAAAGGATCATAGTAATCACTATTGGGCTTGTCGTTGGGTCTGCGATCGGGGTGTACCAACTACGAGACTACGAGCTGGTCAAATATGAGCCGCCTGCGAAGGTTGAGTACAACGAGGACGGCACGCCGAAACCAAGGCCATTGAAGTTGTCGTTTCAGACTACATCACCCCTTCAATTGAAGCCAGAGATCAAGGAAAGGAATGATAGGCTGTTGAGGGAGAAGCAAGCTGAGAAGCAGGTTGAGAAGCAGGCTGACAAGCAGGACTAATATGGTCCAGTCCAAGCGCTAATACATATAGGATACCATCGCACAGTACATAGACATCATAATAACCGTCAAAATAATGTTTAAACCGTCCTAGAACCTCCTTTCATGCTCCATCTGAGCCATCCCTACCGCTCTGGAAAAACAAAATTGCACGTGACAGGATGACATTACGGGCTGTCCTGATTGGCAAGTCGCCTGCGCACGACCCTGTCTTTTTGTCAGACTTATCAGTCGTCTCGGGAATAAGGGTATAACTTTCTCTGGGCTTCACTAGTGCTATAATAACCAGTTTTTTTTGCTGCTTCAAGTATGTCTGTGGTAGAAATTGAATCTGAGGAACAGTTCTCCAAGCTCACCAGCGAGGTTGCTCGCACACGCCTGATTGCACTGTACTTCCATACTCCGTGGGCGTCGCCATGTATCCAGATGAACACAGTGTTTGCCACTCTTGCAGGTGCCAACCCCGAGATTTTGTTTCTTTCGGTGAATGCAGACGATCACTCAGAGATTAGCGAGTTATTTGACGTCTCCTCTGTGCCATATTTTATTCTTATCAGAGACGGAACCATACTGAAGGAGCTTTCCGGCGCCGACCCCAAGGAGTTCGTGAATGCTCTGGCAGAATTTTCCACGGTTTCGACCGAAACGCCCGAGAAGCAAGAATCAAAAGCTGCTGTCACATCTGTTATTCCTGAGGAAGAGTCCGAGGAAGAGCTCAGGGACAGGCTCACCAAGCTGACCTCCGCCACATCCATCATGCTGTTTATGAAGGGAACGCCTTCTGCTCCTCAGTGTGGATTCTCGAGGCAATTGGTGGCAATTCTGAGAGAACACCAGGTGAGGTTCGGATTTTTTGATATTCTAAAGGACGACTCCGTGAGGAGCGGTCTCAAAAAGTTTTCAGATTGGCCCACTTTCCCTCAACTCTACATAAACGGCGAGTTCCAGGGCGGGTTGGATATTATCAAGGAGAACCTTGAGGATGATCCAAACTTTTTCCAGAATGCTCTTGGCGAGCAGTAAGTCTAGGGACTGGGTTTGAGAATCGATTTGAGATGGTGTCAGTGTATACTGTCTGTAGTTATAGTACTAATACAGCGTATTATAGTGTGCACTTCGCATGTGTAGTCGTTTTTGCTATTAAAAATTAACCTTTCGGCTCTATTCAGATCAGCAAAGTATATGGCAATTGAAATTTTAGTTAAATTAGACACCTGCCTCTATACTTATGCAATGATCACAATGATCAGTGCACACTCTTCTTATCAACTGCTCCACCCTACGATCTCTCTTTAAAGTTGAAAAGCCTCTGAAGACCTCTCCAATTGATGATCTAGCCTCTGCACTGGGTCCTTGTCTCATAGTGCGTCCTCTTTACCTCAGTTCCTCAACGCCCGCAATCTCTCGGTTAACTTGTCCTCCTGCTCCTCAGAAGTCTTCACCCTAACATCCTCGACTGCACTGGGTTCCACCTTAGTCTCATTGAGATTTTGGCGCATTTCCAGTCCTGCCTCGTCTGCAATCTTACTCATCAGCAGATCCACCTCCTCCTGTGGCTGCTGAACTGCGTTCATATCGTTCGTCACATTCTCGTAGTAGTTTGTGGCACTATCCAAGTCCTCAAATTGCTGTTCAAACTTGTCCATCACCAGCGAGATCCTTTCCAAGTTCATAGTTTGCATAGCACGGTCCATTCCCTTGATCACATTCGTCATGTTTCCTGTCACAGTTCGCATAGTCACGGCGGTTTGAATCCGACTAGCCACAGCATCAATGCGGGATGCCAGTTTCAAAAGATTGAGCTTCTCTGTTGATTTGCGGATCGCATTCTGGGCGTACAGCTGTGCGATCTCGTTGTTTCCTTGTACCATTGCCTATGACATGTTAGTAATTTTGCCCAAAATTGGCATAAACTCCAAAATCGGTACATCAACAGATCTTGCATGGATCTTGCTCCATTGAATAACTCACTTTCTTTACTTTATTCCTCTCGGCCTGCTCCTCCTTGCCGGCCTTAATGGCCTGTCTGTTCAACTGCTTGGTCGTGAACTTGAGCTGGAACAGCGAGTCTGTAGAGGTTAGTCTTAGCACATATAATAGCAAATACCATACCACGGGTATCTCTTGATTGCAACTCACTCTCCAATCCTGACATTGTTTGCTTTTGTATGAAATCTGCGGTGATGAAGATGGTTGATTGAGAAGTCAATCAAGGAGGCCACCTTAATAAGGGGAGTCTTGTAGAAAGTTAATGAGCCGGTCACATTTGACAGAATAGGTTTTCCGGCAGCTTCGGGATAAGCGCTTATGATTGGTAAACTTTGGAGAAATTATTGGAATTATTTATGGATGGGTAGCTGAAACCAAGGAAATTGTTTGCACAAGCTTAATTAGACCATTTTGGGTTAGCATGGTGACTTGATGACACTTTCCAAAGACTCAACTGTTCCAGCCGCGATAACGGTATGCCGATAAGACTGATATCAATGAGATTGCATTTTTGAAGGGGGTTTTACAAGCCAGTTTGCAAAATACAGATAAAACACATAACTGGTTATGATTAAGACAAATCAGGTGATATTGAAACCTGTATGACAATATATTTGTCAAGATCTAGTGACAATCCGGAGACCCTTCTACTTGAAAAACTGTAGTGTGCGATTCCCAATAGTTATGGTCGTGCACACCAGATCTTTAAGGGGGCAGCCGGATTCATAGTACTGACATAACAAGAAAGGCACCACATCAGGACCTACAGGCACTGCCACATAAGCCTGGAAGCACACAGAAGCTATATAAAGGAATCCAATTCCCGCCTAATTCCGAGATGTCTAGCGATTTTCTGACGAAAGGAATTGACCTAGTCCAGAAGGCAATCGAGGCAGACACCGGGTCCAAGTACGAGGAGGCGTACAAGCTCTATTTCAATGGGCTGGACTACCTGATGCTGGCGATCAAATACGAGAAGAATGAGAAATCAAAAGATCTGATTCGTGGAAAGTTTACCGAGTATTTGACGAGGGCAGAGCAGCTGAAGGAGCATCTTGACAAGAAACAGCAGTCTTCGCAGACAGGCGAATCCAGTTCAACTAGTGGCTCTGTCAAGGCAAAGAAAGCCGGTGATGGCGCTGGTAATGGCGATGATGATGATGCAGAGACAAAAAAGCTGCGTGGAGCCCTCTCGAACTCGATTCTTTCGGAAAAACCCAACGTGAAATGGGAGGATATAGCTGGATTGGAACTAGCAAAAGATGCACTTAAAGAGGCGGTAATCCTTCCGGTCCGTTTCCCTCATCTTTTCACTGGAAAGAGAAAACCGCTCAGCGGAATCTTGCTGTATGGCCCACCAGGAACGGGAAAGTCTTTTCTGGCCAAGGCAGTTGCGACCGAGGCCAACTCCACATTCTTCTCGGTATCTTCGTCTGATCTGGTTTCCAAGTGGATGGGAGAGTCCGAGAGATTGGTGAAGCAGCTTTTCCAGATGGCACGTGAGAACAAGCCTTCGATCATTTTCATCGATGAGGTGGACGCTCTGTGCGGTCCCCGTGGCGAAGGTGAAAGCGAGGCTTCTCGTAGAATCAAGACTGAGCTGCTCGTTCAAATGAACGGGGTGGGAAATGATGCCAGTGGTGTTCTCGTTCTCGGAGCAACCAATATCCCATGGCAGCTCGACGCGGCAATCCGCAGGCGGTTCGAGCGGCGAATCTACATTGCGCTGCCAGATGCGGAAGCGCGAACCGAGATGTTCAAGCTCAATATTGACGACACTCCTTGCCAGCTTGACCAGCATGACTACAAGGTACTTGCGGAGATGACGGATGGTTATTCGGGGCATGACGTTGCTGTTGTCGTGCGGGACGCGTTGATGCAGCCGATCCGTAAGATCCAAAGTGCGACTCATTTCCGCCCAGTTTTGGGCCAAGATCCAGAAACAGGCGAAGAGCTGACTCAGTACACGCCGTGTTCGCCCGGAGATGAGGAGGCAAAGGAGATGAACTGGCTCGAGCTGGAGGGAAACCAGTTGAAAGAACCCGAACTCACAATTAAGGATTTCATCAAGGCAATCAAGACGAATAGGCCCACGGTTAACCAGGCCGATCTTGACAAATTTGTCGAGTTCACGAATGACTTTGGTTCTGAGGGAAGCTGAAAAGGATAGACAAGTTAATAACAAAAGGGTTAAGAAACGTAAACATTAGAGTGCGGCTCACGAGTATTCCGACACGTTGTTTTGTATGTCTGCGACACGCGACTTGGTGAGCGAGACCAAGATAATGGCGACATCATCACCATCGATATATAGCTTGGCATCGGGGTTCGCATGCAGCATCTTGCGTTTGTAGTAGGCCTTTTCCTCACTAGGCTGGAGCAAGATGGTGGCTTCTCCAGCCAAAGTTGCACTCACCGAGCTCAATTCGTTCTGATTTAGTCCTTGGAGCATTTGGAGAAGCTTGGATGGCGCAGTGCTGGAAATGCTGCCATTTCTGCTGGAATTATGAGAACCGGGTTCTTCTTGCTCTTCTTGCTCTTCCTCCTCCTCATCGATGGCCTCTTTGTAGATGGAATTGGCCGTCACCCAATCATGGACTAGCAGAGACACGTGTGGGTTGCTGTAGATATTTTCGTACTTCTGGGTACCTGTGTGCGTGGAAAGCGCGATAATTGGATGTGGGGAAGCGCCGAAGGCGTCATGGGCGTTGATGTAGGTATAGTTCATGAGCGAAACGTGCGGAAACCCATCCTTACACGTCGCCAGGTGTACAAACCTGGCTTTCTTAAGCAGCGAGAGCACACTTTCTGGAAACGGACCTTCTGATGAGACTTGGGTCATTATTTGGGATGAAGCAGAGAGATATGGAGACAAGACCGTGATGATTCGGAGGAGTACTTACAAATCTGGAGGCTAAGGATTGGGGCACGATATAAGGTGGCAGAGAAGCTTTTTTGTGACACGTGGAGTGTTGACAGTAAAACCCAATTGGTGTGACACGCTTCTCTTCTTGTTTCTAGCATTCAGCAAGATCTCAAAACAAGTTGTGTTTCCTTCGATAAAATGGCCTCGATAGCATCATCTCCAGCAAAGAGGCGCAAGACCTACAAGACCCCCTTGGTTTCTCGGGTGGAGGGCTGGATGAAGTTTGCACGTGCCTCGCACGTATCAAGCAGCGAAGAAGATGAAGTGGAGGATGCCGATACCGGGGCAGACAGTGGCACGGAAGACGCGTCAGAAGTGATCAGTACGAAATCTGGGAACAAAACTCCTAAATTGCCCCGGGTTCCTACGAAATGGACGCAACGAGGTCCCGAGTTCGAAGACCATTTTGAAGGAGAGGTGAGGCAACTGGAATCTGCTACCACGGGAAAAGGTGCGGTTCACGAGGCATTGGTGCGAGATCGTGCGGCCAGTGCAAATGAAGGTGTGGCTATTTCAGAATGTAAGACAGACGCGAAAGAGTGGCAGTTGCTACGGAATACAGTTTTATCGCAGCTCAAATCTAGGAAGCCCTGCAAACTGGTTGGTCTGACTGAACAAAAGGATCAACTTGTAACGTTGTTGGAGCATACGATCAGAGATCGTGAGGGTACTTCAGTGATAGTCGTGGGCCCTCGAGGTGCAGGAAAGACGGCGCTCGTCAACTCTGCTCTGGCTAAAATAGATACAGAATATGCTGACGAGTACATCTTGATTCGTATCAATGGGTCAATCCAATTAGACGAAAAGATTGCCATTCGTGAGATACTGAAACAGTTGGAGGTGCGGATTGCGCAATTGGCTGGCGAATCAAGTCTTCTGACAGGGTCTTTTGAGAGAAAGACGTTGAACGAGACAATGTCGCGTTTTCTTCGAATAGTGCAGGAGGCCGGCTCGGGCCAGTACAACATTCCCATTGTATTTGTCATAGATGAGTTTGATGCATTTTTGGCTGATTCTAAGCAAACGCTCCTCTATAATTTGTTTGATTTGTCCCAGGGCGCAGGCCACTCTATCACGCCTGTCTCCGTTATTGGCGTCACCACAAAGACGGACGCTCGTGAGTCGCTGGAGAAACGTGTGAAGTCACGGTTCTCGCAGCAATTGATACGAGTCTCGAGGCCAAAGACGCTTTCGCAGTATCGTGAAATCGTGATGCAGCAGTTGCTGGTCGATAAGACCATATTTGAGTCCAATCTTGGCGTGGAGTTCAACAATTATATTGTCAAACAGCTTACAACTGTTGGAACATATTTGAGACGAAAGGTTACCGCCAATTTCTATACCACGAAGGATTTGCGCGAGCTCAAAAACTGGCTGGTTCCAGCGATCTGTGATATCCCAACGAAGCTTTTTCCGGAGTTCCCTGAGGGATTGTTTCAGAGACGACTGAGTATACAGGAGGTGGTCATGAATTCGCTGAGTGACCTTGAACTGAAATTGTTGATTTGCGGATGTCGGTGTATTGCTAAGAACGAGCTACAGTACGTCAACTTTGGGATGTGCTACGATGAATATTCTGCAATGGCCAAACAGGCCGGCAGCGAGATGCAGTCCAAGTTCACCAATCTCGAGTACAGTGTGGGGCTTCAAGCAAAATTTCCTGTGAGGTCCAAAGAGCTGTGTCAATCCTCGTGGGAGAAACTGATACAGGATGGCCTAATAATGGACGTGGTGACATATCGAGGTGAATTGACAAATGGAGGGAGTAATGCCAATGCTTGGATTGCGCAGGACTCCAAGACGTACTACTTTGAGGTGGATTTGCAAGAGCTGAAGACACTGATGGAGAAGAAGAACGATGCGAATCTTCGGTGGTGTCGGTTGAATTAATTGGACACACAGAAGGATGTGTAAATATCAAGGCTGATGGGGCTTGGATAACCTGTTTTTGCTAGGTTTGTGCAATTATGTGCGGTTGAGTTCTCGCTAAGCTTCATGAGCCGCACGCATAGGAGCCCCGACAGGCAAGTCGCAATTTTTAAGCCTCCGCACACGAGCACAGATTCACACGTGACTCATCTCATCTTGTCAATACACGACTACCCCTCCGCTCAAAAGGAGCCTTGCGAACCGGCGGTCATTGGAAAACATCTGAGCCTCCGATCTTCTTCTCCTTGCTACCGCCTCAGTGCAGGTTCAAACTCCAACAACAAACACAATGGATCCAACGCATGATCCAAATTTCGTTCCTCCGTCTTCGAACCCGCAGATGGAGCCTCCAGCTCCTTCCAACAAGATCCCGCCGCTTGGCCCGATACAACCATACGTGTTAGCCGACTACCTCGAGCCCATTGACCAACCCGCACCTCATCCCTCCAAGGATCACAAGGTGAAGAAACATCATTCCAAGGAGTCAGGACTTTCCTCCGAACACTCGGAGTCGCACTCAAAGATACCGCGTATTCCCACCGAATTGCAGCCTTTGAGCTCCAGCGACAGTGAGAATGATCCTCGCGAACAGCCTCTTTCCACGGCATATAGCAGCTATAGCCAATCTGAGGATGGAATATATATGGCTTCAAATTCAGCGGCTCGGGAGTTGGACGAAAGAGTTTCCGGTAACGGCAATATTGCCAGAGTGCACTCATTCCAGATAGCCGACCTTGAAGAGGTTCCCCACGGTGTCCAGAGACAGTCCAAGAGCCTCACGGGTTACCAGTTCCCGTCCCATAGACTTGCTACGCATCTTGAAGACCAGACGAAATATCCTCTCGTGGTTGTCGCATGCGGATCGTTCTCGCCAATCACCTACCTGCATCTGCGGATGTTTGAGATGGCGCTTGACTCGATTCGCGAGTCTACCCGGTTCGAAGTGGTGGGCGGTTACTACTCTCCCGTTTCGGACAATTACCATAAACAGGGCCTGGCTCCGTCTTATCACCGGGTGCGAATGTGCGAGCTTGCGTGTGAGCGTACCTCGTCATGGCTGATGGTTGATGCCTGGGAGAGTCTCCAACCGAAATACACCCGTACAGCGCTGGTACTGGACCATTTCAATGAAGAGATCAACGTGAAGCGTGGAGGTATCCGCACAGCTGATGGAACCTACAAGGGTGTAAAGATCATGCTGCTTGCAGGAGGAGACCTCATCGAGTCTATGGGAGAACCCAATGTATGGGCCGACCAGGACTTGCACCACATACTGGGCAGATACGGTTGTTTGATAGTAGAAAGAACTGGATCAGATGTGCGGAGCTTTCTTCTTTCTCACGACATCATGTATGAGCATCGAAAGAACATCTTGGTGATCACCCAGTTGATCTACAACGATATCAGTTCCACCAAGGTGCGACTGTTCCTTCGGCGTGGAATGAGTGTGCAGTATCTGTTACCGAACTCGGTCATTCGCTATATCCAGGAGCACAATCTTTATATCAACGACAAGGAGCCTGTAAAGCAGGTGATGAGTGATCGGCTTGATTGAGAGTTACTTCCTAAAGTTTTTTTACGAAGCCGATTGCTAATTTGCGCTAAACCAAGTTTGCGCTTAAAAATAGTAATAATTGTAGTAGAAAGTATATGAGCTGTAGTAACATATTAGTGGGTCTGACTTCTCTCCGAGAAATTTGCAGAAACTGTAGGAATTGTGATTCATGTCTTCAAGTCTGTTTGCATAGCATGCTGCGAAGATGGTGCATGAAGTATGCAACCACGCAGCGCGTACTGCATTTTGGAGTCTTCAAAGAATGTTAGGAACTTGAAGAAAATTATCACAAAAAACGCTTTATTCCAGACCTGATATTACGGACTTCTTGTGATCTCCATTAGTCATAGACGCTAAGTCGCTCCTTCAGAATGATTTGATTATGCTGTAACCTGTAACTGCGAGCATCACCAAATTTCCCTCTCTGATCTGCTCCACTCTCACCTCTACCTCACCTTCTACAATTCACAAACACCCACTTTCTACAGTTCACAAGCACTCACTAGTAACCACATACATGCGCTCTTCTTGATACAAATTCTCCTCACTCCTGGAAACTGACCTTTCGTCAGCTTGTCTCCGCTCTTTTCGTTTTCGTTCACATCTGCTTCACAGCTAATCACCTGTAGAAATCAGGCCTATTAACATTCAACCCATACTCTCCCAGCGCAAGACTCAAGTCCTCCATCGTCAAAACCACCTTCTTATCGTGGTTATTTGAAAAAGACCCTCCTCCTCCACCGCCAGAAGCAGTGGCCGTTTCATCTCCATTGGAAACATTTATCTGCTGCTGGCCAGCAAGCAGCTGTTTGGCACGTGCCTGGGGATTTGTCGAGTTGTAAACCGCACTCTGCGACCGGATTCGCGAATATTCGTAAGCGTTCGTAGCAACATCACTCACGAACTTCTGAGTAGCCAACGCAAGCAGGCGCTTGATCTTCACATCCGACGTCTCGAACCCGTTTTTGGCTAAATAGTAGTCTGTCACCAGATCCGGGATGATGGGTGTGAAATCCTCGTCATCCATCATCTCTAGAATCTCCTCCAAAGTCTTGTCTTTGCGAGTGAACTCCGGTAACTGGGGAGGCGGCACTGCCGACTCCTCACGCGTGTCTTCTGCACCGACACTTCCATCGTTTTCCATCAACTCATCCACATCGTTATTGCTAAAGAGATTATCCGCCATAATGGATGGTTTGTAAGCAACTGTGATGACGACCTGGACCTATCGTTCATTAGTAACAACCGAGGAACATTGACGGAAGTGTGTGAATCAAGTTCTCCAAACTGTTCCACACACGACGACAAGAACCACGGATTAGCCTCCAAAAAGTCTCATTAGAAGAGTAAATCAGTCACAGTTATGTTTTCGCGGAAAAAAGCTATGTAGCAATATCTTTAAATCTCAAGTAATGCCAGTTCGTGCCGCCATAAGTCACAAAACCAAGGAAGTGCGCCAAACAATTTTCATGGTCTGGCTGGAATATGGCACTCCCCCATAAAAATCCGGCGCCGCCCCCTTGGTTCTCTTTCTGCAAAGGCTACATTGTTTTCTTTTCTCCGAATAAAAAGCAGTTTTTTATTTTGTATGCTAAGGGCTATGAAGACACATTACGACTATCTTGTGATAGGTGGCGGCTCCGGTGGAGTGGCCAGCGCCAGAAGAGCAGCTAAGCATGGAGCTTCGGCATTGGTGATTGAGGCCAAAGCCATGGGTGGAACTTGTGTCAACGTTGGATGTGTTCCCAAGAAGATCATGTGGTATACCTCAGATATGGCTTCCAAGTTGAGAATCGCCAAGGAGTACGGTTTTGGGCAGGTCGAGCCGGAGTATGCGAACAGCTTTGATTGGGCCAGAATCAAGCAGAAGCGTGATGCGTACATTGCCAGACTAAATGGTATATACGAGAGAAACATGACCAAGGAAGGTGTCGACTTTGTGTATGGCTATGCCCGCTTCAACAAGGATGGTGCTGTTGAAGTCACTGCAAAGGACAATAGTGTGACCACCTACACTGCCGACAACATCCTGATTGCGACTGGAGGAGCACCTGTTAAGCTAGATGTTCCTGGGGCTGGACTTGGAATTGACTCTGATGGATTCTTTGCCCTTGAAGAACAGCCCAAGAGAGTTGCCGTTGTCGGTGCCGGTTACATTGGAATAGAGTTTGCCGGCGTCTTCAACGGACTCGGATCGGAGACCCACTTGATCATTCGTGGAGACACCGTTCTGCGCAAATTCGACGACCTTATCCAGCAAACCATCACTGACAAATACATCAAATCCGGGATCAACTTGCACAAACGGTCTTCGGTGACCCATGTGACCAAGAACGCCGACGGCTCGCTCAAGGTTGAGCTGAATGGCGGTGCCAGTGAGATTGAGGTGGATACTTTGATCTGGACTGTTGGTCGCAAGTCTTTGATTCCTCTGGGCGTCAAGGAGATCGGGTTGAAACTCAACTCCCACGACCAGGTTCTGGTGGACGAGTACCAGCAAACTAACGTGCCCAAAGTGTTCTCTCTTGGTGATGTTGTTGGCAATGTCGAGCTCACACCCGTTGCCATTGCAACCGGTCGTCGTCTTTCCAACCGTCTATTTGGACCAGAACAGTTTGCCAAACAGAAGATGGACTTTGAGAACATCCCAAGTGTTGTGTTCTCGCACCCCCAATCCGGTACCATTGGTTTGACCGAGAAGGAGGCCATCGAGAAGTACGGTGCTGACGATATCAAGGTGTACACCTCCAAGTTCACATCGATGTACTATGCTATGGTGGAAGACGTTGAGCATAAAGATCCCACTGCATACAAACTGGTTTGTCTTAAGTCTCAGAACGAGAAAGTGATTGGACTCCACATTGTTGGTGACGATTCTGCCGAGATTCTTCAAGGTTTTGGAGTGGCCGTCAAGATGGGTGCTACCAAGCAAGACTTTGACAATTGTGTTGCGATTCATCCAACCTCTGCCGAGGAGCTGGTGACTATGACCTAAACCACAAAGGAAAATAAATTCAGACTAATGCCTGCAGCTGGCGCTTCCCTTTATGGAAGACAAACCTTTCTGCCGCAGACAATCACCCTACATATCATCTTTCTTTCAATGATAACATCAAACTAACCGTGGGAGGACTCACCAAAGCTCTCTGTAGACACCGAACTTACCTCTCAAAAGGACTTGCAGAAGCTCTTCTTTTCCATGTGATCCTTAAGCTTGAGACTGCTCTTTTCAAATTTTCATCAAACCCACATGACTACCTAACGAGCAAAGCCTTTTCATTTTCCCTTTCATTCTTCTTTCACATATATCATTAACCGACCATAAGACATAAACCATTTTTAACAACGCCATAATTTTAACAGACTCCAAAACTAGGGAAACACTTCCGGCCCCAGCAAGCAATGTCCCACTTGATAACCCCCTTAGAACAGCCAATAGCAAGAGAACTGCCTCTGCGAGTCTCCAGCCACTCCAAACCCGACAGCTCTGTGTCACAGAGCTCAAAGAACGCGTTCGGATTTCTGTCCGTGATGTGTGAGAAAGGCTCTCGTTGATCCGGTGCCGTCTGGCTTTGGCTCTGCGCTAGCGTGCGATATCTCCCGGGATCCTGCTGCTGAGCCCGTGGCGGAAGTCTAACTGTGATAAGTCTGTTCACGCGTTGTTCCTGGTTCAAAATTGAGTGACGAGCCCCCCAGCGTGATCTAGAGGGTCCAAAATCGTCGGTTTGCCTAGTGTAATGGTTGAAATCTGCCACAACTTCGCCAAATGGTCGAATCAACGATTCATTGTAGACATCTTTTCCTTGCTGGGAAAGAGGCGAACTTCCTCTTAAAAGCTGCGGCAACATAATCACCTGGTGGTTGGCAAAATCCCGGGTGTCCACCATGTGAACGCGACCAACATGCTCAGAGATGAATAGTAGATCGTCAGTTCCACCAGCGAATTTGCAGCATCTGAAGGCACCATTTTGAGCGTTTCTCCGCGTAGACCACACCGTATGAATCGGCTGTGAAATATTCCGAATGTCGTAAACAAGCGCCACACCTTCCTGGAATGTTGTTGCAAACACAAGCCCGTTTGGGTGGAAAGAAGTGGAAAAGCCATTATCAAAGGTAGTGCAAATTTGTTGGCGAGCACCAGTATGGAGCTCTTCCGGATGCAGCACAAAGAAGTCAGAGTTGTCACCACAAGCGACGATCGTCTTCTGATCAGGGGACAACGAAGCATGATTGAGTGGAATGCCCAGGTTGGCAGACATGTCAGTGGTGACAGCACCAGAAGGCGTGATATCGGCCCAATATAGATACTGGTCATTGTTGCATATGAGCGAAACGTACTTCGCATTGGACTGTTTGTCGATTGAAACACAATTGTTGATCAAACTGCCGACACCGAGATTCTGCGTAACCCCTGTCTCCGACACCATGATTCCGAACTGGCCGCGAGACGTTCCCATCGGACCGCCCGAGTTTTGAACTCCACCGGCAACAAATATCCCATCCAGTTCCTTAATACACCGTGGCGCAAACTCAAACGAACCATGCCTCTGTGTGTGGCCCGTTTCGAGATCGAGCGCGTTGATGTCTTCGCTTGTGGGGTAAAAAACCTGGTCTTGCACCAGAGAATTTTTGCAGACAAGGTCGCGGAGCTGCCAGTGACTATATAATGGCGTTAGTAAGATGAAACGACAAATCAGGTTGTCTGAGAGAAATAGCAAGAGGACAGATGGGAGATGATCCGTAGAGAAGCCGCAGACAAGACAGAAGCCAGTTATAGATAAGCCATGAAATATCGATCAAAAGACCAGTCAAGCATGTAAAACAAGCGCGACAAGTCAAAACATTCCATAAAGCAATTGACAAGCCTGATAAATCATATAAGCATCTCATAGTCATCTCATAGTCATATCGTGATCATCACATGGCTATAGCCCACACCTAATAAACAACACACAGGTCATTAAACCTCTTTGAAGCTTCGCTCAATAAAAAAGAACCTTGATACTCACTTAACGGAAATCTTCACATCATGATACTTGGATCCCGGATGCAGAAAACTGGAGTTCTGATGATATTTGCTTGAGGTCAATCCGAACGGCTCAGCGTCTCTGGGGAGACTTGTTAGTGGCACGGTATTTTCGGAATTGGAGCTGAACGGCCAAAAAACTGGGAGTTCAAACAAAAAATAGCACTTACACTGGAAGAGAGTCAACGGTCATTGCAAACAGCACTCAAGATGATGGAATCGCAGTTTTGTGGAGAAAAGAGTTAGATTGCCCCTTAGTATGCTTTCTCAAGGCGCAAATGACGTCTGTGAGGAGGCAGATAAGGAGAGTGCGCGGCTCAATACGGAGGAACTGCACGTGATAAGCAAGACACTCCCCTGTGGTTGTGAGATCAAATTCCGGTTTTGTGGGGTTCTTCTCCAGCTGGAAACCATGTCCATTTTAGGGCATAATCTTGTCATTTTACTTAAACTCTGATAAAGCGCTATGCCTTCTATGGGGGTATAAATATTGGCCCTACGTCCCACTGGACCTCTTTTTTTTCTTTCTCTTCATTACTCAGATTCAAATATCATCAATTGACTACAAAGATGCCTATGTTATATCAGCCTAAGGAGAAGTGGGGACTCGACTTGGTCCTCCCAGCCATTCCAACCCCAGGTAACAACTCGTTCTTGGGAGACGTTTTCACCTCCGAGGCCGAGCCAGACAAGCAGATCTCGTGTGGATTTTACAGACAGGAGGCCGGTGAGCCATTGGTCTACACCTACGACTACGACGAAATGAAGGTGATTCTTGAGGTTGTTGGTGAATACACCTTGACTGATGAGACTGGCTACAAGGTTAGCGTCAAGCCTGGTGATGTCTTCTACTTTAAGAAGGGATGCACCATTACATTCCAGAACACAGGAGGATACGGGCTAGCCTTCTTCACTGGATTGAGAACCAACGGCACTGCTTAAGTATATAGTTAAGAAGCAAAGTCTCATACAACGTCAGTTCATTGTAGATTGGAGAAATTACCCCAGAGTAGGTGAAAAGTCTGTTTGATATTCGAAATTGAGCTTTCTATTTTCTTCAGCCCAAAGACCAACATAACTTCAAATGCATGCTACAAACTCAATTGGGTCAACGAACCCGTGAACGGCACATTAGTTCATGACTTTCTCAACCATGCCCCTCAGAACCTCAGCTATCGAGGATGTTAGTGGTCGCGACTAAGGCACACAGTCCAAATTCTAAGATAATATACATGGGTTTTAGTTTTAGTCTTGAATCCATCAATTGATTGATCTTTAAGTTAGATTAACTGCCATTGAGCCTTTTTATCGTACAATCATTTAGAAACTGCAGCCGCTTTTCTGTATAGTGATTCGAAAGCCCAGAGCGGAAACTTCGAACCCCACCAGTATGCCCTCAATTGAACTTTAATTGAGCCCAAATTAACTTACAGCTTTTTCATCCATATTCCGATTCGATCTGAATTCCTATCTGAAAGCTTAACGACTCTTCCGAGGTTGCTATCAATTCCGTCTTCAGTAGCGGATCATTGCGCCTATCGAGAGGGTCATACTAAAGGGATCGATGGCCCGCATACAAGACCTGCACCAGACGCTAAGGATATATTACTCAGGATAAACTCAACGGGTCTGACTTGCCATTCCCAGATTTAATCCGGGATTTTTTGACCACCGGACCTCGAATTGGGGAGGTCAGGTAGAGAGCACTAAGCGCAGGAAAGTTTTACCCGATTAGGAAGCCCGATAAGGCTTCTCCAGAATGAGCCCAAAGCGCTGAAAAATCCTCTCCACAAGAACACGAGACGGAGCATATAAGAACCTCGTATTTTCCAACTCCTTTGAACAAATACAAAGGCTCCAACATCAAGTCCGTATTTTTTCCATCACTCACATATTCAAGATGCCTATGACATACAAGCCAGCCGCAGAAGGCAAGGAAGTGCTTCCACCTGCCGTGGCATCTGCCTCATTTTTGGGTGACACCTTCACTTCTGAGGCCGAGCCAGACAAGCAGATCTCGTGTGGTTTTTTCAAACAGGTTGACGGAGAACCCCTGGTGTACACTTACAACTACGATGAAATGAAGGTCATTCTCGAGGTGGTTGGAGAATACACCATCACTGACGAGGAAGGATACACTGTCAAGGCGCACCCAGGCGACGTGTTTTATTTCAAGAAGGGATGCACCATCACCTTTAACACTATTGGTGGATACGGCCTTGCGTGGTTCTGTGGCTTGAGACAGAATGGTGTGCTGTAAATGCACTAGTTATGTAACTACCTGTTAATCAGTGCTGGGCACGACAACTTTTTTCGATGTTATACAGCTTAGTAGTCTAATGGTGGAGACCTTTCATAGACATCCAGTATGTCGATGACGGGATGTCCAGCTAGTCGTATCTCCGATCTAGTTATCTTATCGGACTTATCAGTTCAAGGTTATGAGCCAGGGGAGGGCCTAAACTTATCGACCCGCGAGATATGACAGCTGTTTTGACTCAGAATGCAGTCCATTACAGAATGCTAATTCTAAGGTATGGATCAAGCAGCCTGAGAGCCCTACAATATCATGAGTCTGCAACTGAAGGAGTCCAAACTCAACAGACATCTAGATAGAGTACTGTGGGGAGCATACGGTACACCGGCCTCCCCAACGTGTGTAGCACCATACGGAGCCGCACTATGGTCTAAAAGCCCTATTGTATATCACCTATTATTACCCGAGATCGGCAGACAAAGTGACAATCGGAGGTCTATGGGGTGTTTGCCGAATTTAACACTGGCCGAACCGCAACGGCAAGCAGTGAAAGGACCCGCTGAATAGGCCGCAGAACAGCACGGCACTTCCAGCTTCCCTTACATGATTCAAGTCTGTACCTGAAATGTCCCTTTCTCAGCACAAAAAGCTTAACCTGGAACACAGGTTTGTGAGAACGGGATCCAGGCGACCAAAGCATGTGTATAGAACCAAATCAAGATTTGGAATTCTGGTGGACTATTGGTTAAATTTCACGTTTGTAGCATGTGAGAGGTAGCCAATTTGCCAAGATTCACCGTGTCTACCTTCTAAACCAGGACAAAGTTATGCGATTAGCAGGAAAATGATGAAAAAACTGCGAAATACGGAAAGTTTGCACTGCCACTGGGTGCACATTCAGTGCCCACCGTCTGAAAATAGGAAAGCAACGAGACCTGCATGGTGCACGGCCAAGCGACCGGTTTGCATATCGGGATATCCACAGAGATCCCAAAGCCAACAAGTAGTTTTAAGAGACCTGCAAGAGGCAACAACAACGTTGCGGCGAGGTACAACTCTCAAAGAGTGTCCGTCAATCTTTTACCAATTATTGGCGGATTGGCAGTCCGTGTTCGATCAACAGCAACCAGAATAACAACACCACAAAACAAAACCACAACAAAAACAGGGCTTAAAAATTTGCGTCTAATTTCCTCCATTTTGAGAGGGATGCCAAGCGCACAAGAAAAGCAACGGTCTAAGTCTCCTCCTCTCACCCGGATAATACAGGTTGAATATGTCCCGATTTGAAAGGATGCAGATCCCTAATTTTTTTTCGTCCCCACCTTAGTCCCCTTTTTGTCAATAGCGCGCTTGGTATCTTGTGCTAATTTTCTCTCTAGTTTTTTTGTTATCCTTGAAGCAACATAGACAGCTTGCAAGAAGACAAGGGAGTTTCACCAGGGATTTCGTTTCTCTGCAACTAAACCTCATCCATTCGCTTACCGGGCACAAGGCGTTATCAAAGAATACGTTTTTGTCGTGATTTGTCCAATTAGACGCCACCCACAATCGGACTACGGCGACTACGGCGACTACGGCATACGAGCCCGAGTACCCCTTTCCAGTTACGTCTTGTGATCTACAAACTCGTTTGAAAGATCTACACTGCTGGTGATCTGCTTTTTTTTCTTGCTGACATCGATCTTAAGTTTTGCTCTTTCGCAAAGTCAAACAAGGGAAACTTTTTCAAAAGCCCCTCAAGACAAGGCGATTTTGAAAAAGCATTGAAACGCCTAAAACGACCGATTATCCCATAATCAAATATCGTGGCATTTTTTCTCCTCACCGTTCAAGACTTCGAAACAAGGAAACAACACCCTTGAGTTCAACAAAGGAGCCAAGCGACTGTTTTCGGCTTCATTGATTTTATTTATCATCACATTTGTTGGTTTATTCTCTGCACCTCGCGAGAAGACTCTTCCAAATTCATTGCAAACCACATAGTTTGCACTACTCTCGTTACCTCTTGCTATGTCGAAATCTAGATTCAACGTTAGAAGAGCGGTTCGCCACACCATCCACCGCGTGGCACGGCCCTCGAAGGCTTCTGCGACTGCTCTTGCACTAGCGCTGGTGCTGAATGCGTTCTTGATCAACTACTTTTTTGTTGGCTATCGCGTCGACAAGCCTTCGCTGAGATTGGAGTCGTTCAAGTCTACATTCAACACCTCTACGACGCTTTCGAGCATACTGGACTCCATCTCAAATACCAACCCTCTCGGTGGTTTGCTAGGAAACTCCAACGACACTGTTGGCTCCGAGTCGGACCCATACGCCAACGAGTTCTCCAACAATCCCGCGTATAACCCCGAGACCGGATACACTTACGAAATACCAGCGCTCCCCTTTGAGGAGCTGTCTCTGGCGGATAAGTTGCGCTCCAAGATCAACGCTTTTGACGAGAACGCCCCAGAGAACTGGCTCGCGAACAACAAGGTCAAATACTCTGAGATCAAGATCAGGATCGGCGATTTCCTTGACCTTCCCTCTGTGAAGACCTCTGTCGAGAAGCGTGAAAACATTTTACCTGACGAATACTCTCCCGAAGAGGAAAACAGCAACGAACTGGCGAAGTACACCTCTTTCAAGACTAACAACACTCTCTGGATGGACCCACGTTTCACTCTATCGGTGTACTTGAACTACATCAAGGGGCAGTACTCGGCCAAGAACCCACAAAATGTGGACTCTAAGCGCATAGAGGAGCAGGTTATCGTGCCGTTCTCCTGGAGTGACTGGGTTGACCTGTCAGATTTGAACCATCTGATTGCGAAGCCAGAAGAAGAGAAGATGACTTGCGAGGAGCTTGTTGAGCACACCAAGGAAAAGGTTGCGACAGATGGCTGGTGTATTAACTCCCGCGATATTTCTAGCTCTCAATTACGCGAGATGGGACTCCGTTCCACCAAGCAATTACCTGGTTTTGCAGTCGTGAGACCTCCAGACACCGTTGGAGAGCCTGAATACAAGCTGATTGAAGGTAAGGCTAATCTGCTTTCGTTCGGCAATTTGCCTTTGAACATCATCTTTTTAGCCGAAAAGGGCATTTACGACGTGAAAGTCCAGGAGAAAGCGCGGATTGTGGACACACAGCTTTTTGAAGATTATCTCTCCGCCAAAAAGATTGACTCTAACGACCGTGACTTAGAAATTTTAATGGATCCCGTGCAAGAGTTCAACGATTTGATCGACACTGTGCCTCCGATGATCCCCAACACTGATGGTGCTGTCGATTTCGACACGATGCTTGCTCAGAACCACTACAAGTTTGTGTTTGACAAGGATATGTTTAAACTGGACGAAGAGGTGGTGAACTCGTTTATCCGCGAGTACGAGGAACGTCTCGGAAAGCTCGAGGATATGACCAAGAGTGGTGATGACTATGACGAGTCGGTTTACAACCAGTACAGTCTCACTACCCACGAGTATAACCATTACCAAGGTCTTAAATTCTCGAGTCAGTTCACTCCAGATACCCAGCAGATTTACTACAAGCTCGCGAGAATGCAGACCAATGCTGAGAACAAGGACAAGGGCTGGCACTACGAATGGCGTTTTTTCAACGGCCGTTTGGACTACGCCAGACCAGGTTTCACCATGAAGGAGATGGACGAGCGTAAGAAGATCATTCTGCATCGTTTGCTGAGAAACTGGCTTCATTTCACATACCAGTCAGGTATCGTTCAATGGATGAACCACGGAGCCCTGCTCTCGTGGTACTGGGACGGATTGACGTTCCCATTCGATGACGATCTTGATGTCCAGATGCCTGCTTTGGGTCTTTCGAATTTTGCCAAAAGATATAACCAGACACTCGTTGTCGAGCAGATCGCAGATGGTTTCGGCAAGTTCTTCATCGATTGTAATGCCTTCATGACAATCCGCACTCATGGAAACGGTCTTAACAACATTGACGCGCGTTTCATTGATGTGGATTCAGGAGTGTACATTGACATCACCGGTCTCAGTCTTACGAATGAGCCTAGACCAGAGCGTTACTCAGAGCTCATCGAGCAGTCCGATCCAGATACCGAGGTTCAGCTCTATAACTGCAGAAACAGTCATTTCTACCACTTCAAAGAGCTGTCGCCAGCCCGTTTGAGTATGCTGGAGGGTGTTCCAGTGTTTGTTCCTCGCAATTTCTCTTCTATTCTGAGCGTGGAGTATCCTCGTGGTATCAAAGAGTGGGAGTACGAAGATTACTATTATGTGGAGCCTCTGAGACTTTGGCTTCACCAAGAACGGTTCTCGGAGGTGTTCGTTGAAGCCGACTATATTGGCGAAGATGGACTGACCGACAAAGACAAGTTCTTGGACAACGTAGCGAAGATGACAGACGCGCAGGTTCTGAAGCTGCTCCACAACCGCGAGACCATGAGCGAGTTTTACCTGACTCACGAGCTTACGGACATCCACGAGGAGGAGAAGAAGCTCTTATTCCATAACCGCAGCAAGATGACGAAAGAGGAGACCAAGGCATATATTGATCTTGTCAAGACTTTCAAGAAGAGACCTGCTGTGCGGAAGCCATTGTTCCAGTATGAGAGAGTGGAACGTTTGATTGGTAGGGAGATCGAAGAGGCTGAGGCTCTAGCTGAGAAGAACAAGGAGAGCGATTCAACTTTCGAAAAGGCTGAGAATGAGGAAACCAAGAATGAGGTAAAGGAGGAGGTGAAGGAAGAAGTCAAAGGGGAGGCCAAGGAGGAGGCCAAGGATGAGTCCAAGGAAGAGTCCAAGGAAGAGTCCAAGGAGGAGGCCAAGGAGGAAACCAAAGAAGAGGCCAAGGAACTGGCTACGGAAGAGTAAAGGTTTACTGCTTTCAACTTCTAGGCGACATCTTTCACTTCTCTTTTCATCGCATTAAAGACTGTTTGGCTCCTTACTCTCACTATTGCTCAAAGCTTTCGGTTTTTGCCTATTACTGGTCAACCACTCGACCATCGCCATCATTCATAATTCAAGACGTCATTTTTAATAACTTCCATATTTTAGACAATTTTTTTCTCCAATAGAACTTCAAACCAACACGATGAGGTCATTTCAATTTAGTCTCACTCTGCATGTTTACGACGTGTGCGGCTCAATGCGGCGCAAGCTTTGGGCGCTTACAATCTCAACAGTTCCATCTTTGAATCTTTGAAACGCTCCCAAACATCAGAATAGACACCAGCATGATGAATTCGGCTGCTATTGCGGAGGGAAGAAAGATGATGGCGTACCGCTCGGTTCCAGTTACGGCAGCAACAGAAGAACAGGCGACTGCGCAGCTGGAGTTGGAGACAACATCTGATACTGAGAGCGTGCCACCAATGGTTTCGCGTAATGTATCAGATAACCGCAAGAATCCCTTTGTGATCCCAATAGCCCCAGAGTTGAATAAAATAACCTCGGAAGATCCCGAGACTATTTCTCTCGAAAAACCCGACGAATCAACAGCCAATTTGATTGAGGAATACGGTGAAGACCAGTCCCAAGAACATTCTGACCCTTTCCAACTCAACACAGGTGCCAGAAAAATATCTATCATTGGAAACAGTGCTCCAAATGTCAAATCTTCCAAAGCAGTACAAGAACCAGTCACTTACACCGGGATTGATCCGGAAAATGTTCCCCAATGGCCATTGACTTCGGTCACATTTATGAAGACAGCAGAGGACTCTGCGCAGCCACCACCTCTTTGGATGAACCCAATGCTGAAACAAGGAAAAGATCGCGATTCATCAGTGAGGTATTTGCCTCAAGAGCAGGCCGACAGAATTGATCCCATTCAGATTCTCAACCGTTCAATTGACCAGACCTTGACTAGACCATCTAGACTTAAACGATTCTGGAACCCTTTCAAAAAGGATTCCCCAATTCCAAGTCCAGAGGCATCGTCCTCAACCCATAAGAGTCCCGATGAAGATACGGATAACGATACCATCAGTGCAAGCGATGCGGGAAAAAGCCATCGTGCTTCAGTACCAAAGCGGCATTTCATTCAAACCAAAGAGGGAATGGCGTCCGTGACGTTGATCTTTTTGCTGGTAGCGTCCTGTTTTTCGCTAATAGTTCTCAAGTAAGCCTGAAAAGTGATTTCGTGAACGCCAGAGAGGGTTACCAGTGAGATTTACTAGTGTGATCTAACTGCGATCTAACTGAGTTCACATTTTTTTCAACTTGATCCCTAGACTAACCCAATAGTTATGTGAACTGGAGAGGTACAGAGAGCACAGTCAGTTCTTATATTGAAAGAGCCGGACCGGATGGACGACAACGGCTTCTGGCTATCTTTGGAAACAATTCCGAAAGTGTAGTAGTGAAAAATGATACTGAAGATCTTCGTCCTTTCACAGGACTCAAAGGTTCAGATCTCAGAAAACAGAATACGTTCCTCGGGCTCAACCCAGCATTCCACTCTGATGAACAAATCAAAAGCCTCATGTCGGACGAAAGATTGCACAATACCTTTTATGGAATGGCATACCAACCACAGGGCTCGCTCGAACCCGCCTGCGGCGCAAAGCTTCGCGATGTTACTCTTGATCTCGCTTTGCTTTCAATGGTGACAACCAGAGTGAGACTCTATGGTATGCAATGTAACCAGGCCCATCTCGTTCTCCAGGCTATAGAGGATCTTGGTCTGAATATGACAGTTTCACTGGGAGTATGGCTTGGAAGCGAGCCTCGTCTCAACGATATTCAGCTTGAGTCTATGGAAGAGGTTCTAAGACGATTTCCAAGAAACATGTTTGAAGATGTGTTTGTGGGGAACGAAGTTCTCTTCAGACATGATCAGAACAGCTCTGAAATTGCCCAGAACATACTCAAAGCAAAAAAGATTGCTGCTTCCATTGGCTATGACGACTTGCCCATTGGAATATCCGAAGTCGGCTCCATTGTCGATGCCGTTTTACTGGAGACTGCAGACATAGTTGGGTGCAATATCCATCCATTTTTCAGTGGAGAACCTGTTCAGATGGCAACAAAATGGACACTCGACTGTCTCAAGAACCAAGTCAAAGCTCTAAGAGACGACCTGGGACTCAAAACAGAGTTGTCGATCACAGAGGCTGGATGGCCCTATAATGGCGGATCTTTCGTTGCTTCCGTTGCTGGACCCAAACACTTCCAGTACTTCCTCGACCAATATGTGTGTGAGATGTACCACCAGAACTATTCTTGGTATTTCTTCGAGGCCTTTGATGAGCCATGGAAGGCAACCTGGAATACAGCCGATAGAACCTGGGAGACACAATGGGGATTGTTCACTGCGAACAGAAGTCTGAAGGATGGGGTTGTTCTCCCAAAGTGCTCGCCAAGATCGGCCTAAAGGCCTTTGCTGTGTCATTTGTCATTGGCTAGTCTGCTGAGCTTGACGATGCTCTCATGTGCTCTATCAAGTTCATTATATCGTTGACAGCATGTATTTGCGATCTGTTTTCCGTTATGTTTTGTGTATTTGCGAACTTTGATTCGTTCTTTTTCAAACCATCGCTCTTCTTCTTGAAAATAGTAATGATCCTTTGGAGTCCATGTAGATTTCGTTATGCTTCTCTATGCTTTTGTCACTCCAGTTTGTCTTAATCCCCTGCAATGCTGGATCTGAATCCTCAGCTTAGCAGTGTCTTTGACGTTCATTTGATCCATGCAATCTTCATAGATACACTCCGTAGTGGACATCTCAATAACTGTGGTATCAAGAAGAGTCTTCTTCGTCTTCATTGAGTCTTCAGCTTTTTGTTCCGCATCATGAACAACCTGTAATTAACCCACAACCAGAACAACGTAAAGCACCCAAACGAAAGCGTTACATTCCCAATGACCCAGAGATCCGGGTAATTTCGAGGAGGATCAAGGTAGAACTCAATTGCGTGAAGAGCTGCAATACCAATATAAGACGTAACGACAATAACACTCCACGACCAATGCGTGTGAATCACTGTCTGGGTATCCTGACGGGAAACTTTTTCACCCAGGACTGGCCCTGGTATCAAAAATCCCGGTAACAGCCATTTGCTGATCCAGTTGAGATTTCCAAGTAGCCAATTACTGAGAACTCCAAGAACAAAGTACTGAAGAGCAAGTCCGTCTTTCTGGAGTAATGGCCACAGCGAAAACAACCCAATATTGTTAATCCAAGAAACCATGGACACTGTATTGTGATCTGCCTCAGCTAACAGCAGAGTGGTTGGGAGTAGAGGCAGCAAAACCGATTTCTCGTGGACCTGGAAAGAGAAGAGATAGAAAGACCATGAACATCCGGCCAATGCCCAAGTAAGCAGATGTTTTCTGGGATGCAAAAAAATGATCACTACCGCAGGAAGCAAACCAATCAACGTGAATACTAGAGACAAAAGCTGTAATTGCGCAAGCGAAAACACAGAACGATACTTCACAAAGGTATTGGTTGCACACCAGAAACTGGCAACTTTATCCTCAAAAATTCCCCGGGCAAAAGGAAAAACTCTGTGTAGAATCTGGCCAATCTCAGAAAAGCCTCCAGTAAGCACAAACGGAGCAAGCAGAACCGCAAAGGTTGAAAGAGTAGCAGTACCCACCGCACACAATCTCAAGATATTGAAACCATTTGGTAAAGGCCAACAGCATACACTTAAGAGGTATGCAAAAACCACAGGGGCATAGTAAAGAGCCATCTGTTTGAATCCAAGGGAAAGAACAAAGAAAATGGCCCCAATGGCATAATCGTCATACAAAAGACTCACCCAAGACAGCAAAGCCAGCCCCAACATCACACAATTGTACTGAAAATGTCCATGATCAATTATAATCAGACATGGCTGAAATAAAATTGCTGCAGCCACCACTGTCTGGTCTATGGGTGAAATATGCGTATAGAAGCGACCCATCCAGCGACTATACCATAACACCCCCGGAACATAGCACACCAATTCGCTGAGAATAACAGTAATTCTCATAAATGATTTTAGTCCCTCAGCCTCAATTCCCCGCGACGCGTCAAGCTCAAACCACGACGCGTCTATCAAACCGCCTACCTTACCCAAAAACCACGAATGAAAGGCTGTGAGTGGAGGGTAATCTAGACCCCAGTATCCAAGATCATAGCGATACCACTTCTTGATGGGCAAATGCGTAGTAATTTCCAGCCAATGGCGTTGAGCTTCGAAATCACCGAACATGGGCGGGGTTCCCTTCCCAGAGTAAGGTCCGAGGCCAACGGCACACCGAATGATAACAGCGAACAACACAATGATGTAGCGAGCCACCCATTGGCTTTGGGCCTTTCTGAAGGGCACCAAAAAGTCACTAAGAGGCGAATGTCTGAATGTTGTGACATTCAGTCGCGTACGTGGTTCGGATCCAGGCATTGTTTCGGCTTTTTCAGGAGAAAACCGGCCGAGAAGTGGTGGTGATGGAATTTATGGTGGGGAGAAGTAGTGCTTCCTCATCGTACAGGGCTCAAAACCAATGTCTCAAGAGGTGCGGCGTTGGGAATTGGTAAGTGTTTGCAGCAAAAGAGAAATGAGTAGGAGAGGCATTATATCGGCAACAACACAAAGTTGGAGAAGTAAAAGATGGAGACCCAATTGGAGGTAAATACTCCCGATGTTTTGATGCTTCTTGGGGGGTGGAGTGTCATTATGTAAACCAACAATCTTCTCAGTTCTCTACCAAATATCCAGACAACGCATGTTGTCAACATTCAGTCTTTCCAATCTTTGTATTTATCTCTCCAGTTTTCACTAACGAAACAACTTCTCAGCGAATAACCCTCTATCTATCTTTTCATTACCGAATCCCAAGGTGTGGAGGGCCGACCCCATTTCGGGTCGTTCTCCTTTGAATTGGACTTAACACTACCCAAACCCCTTTTCCAGGGCCATATCAAGAACAAGTTATCACTTTTTCTTCTTTTGCATGCAACACGGTTGACGATGTCGGACGCTTTGATCGAGGCCTCGAACAATGTTCTGATATCCACGGCAAATATTTTGGATCGCATGATGCTTTTATCATCTTCGAGTCTGGTTCTGCCCAACAACTCGCTTGTGGCGCCGCTCTCAAACATTCTTGATCAGGACATTAAGGTTTACAATAAAGTTCTGGATGAGCTTTCTGTTGAGTTTATGGATGCTGAGCACGCTCTTCAGTATTTGAAACAAAAATTGGCAAAGGAAGAGGAGACAAAGAGAACACAGGAACAACAACAGCAACAACAGTTACAGCTACAACAACAACAAGCGCAACAGCAACAACAAAAGGATCAGCAAAAGCAGGTTCCTAAAGAAGCTTCACAACCTAAGCAGGAATTTGGGGATTCAGATATGAATCTGGACATTGCGAACCTCGATTTTGGTCATTTGATTGACAAGGACGAGAGTTTGGAAGGTCAAAAGAATCCCGGGGAATCATCAGATCCGAATGATATGCTGAGCATGGTTTACAAGGACGACAATCAGGATTTCTTGGCCGATTACGCTATTGGAGACGCTGGGGCCAACGATGGAATGGACTATCTGACTGGTCTGGATGCTGACCAGAATCTCGCGCTTCAGGACTTCAATCTGGGAGACTTGTTGACCGAGGAGGGACACGAAGCTGAGCAGGATCTCGGTCTCGTGCCTGACGGTGAGATGAACCATCTGTTTGATGAGTTTGACATCTTATTGGGGAATGATGGCGCGTAATTGATCTGATCTTAGGTGGTCTAGGGCGAGACGCAGTATGTGAGCTGCATATTAATGAAGAATCGAGACGAATACAACAGGAAAATGCTGTAGATTTGGATAGTGATTCACCATCTTATCTTGCTTGGACCACGTAGACTTGGCCAAGGTCGTATGAAAAAGTCCAAAGGTGTACTATACTAACACTCCTCAAGCTTAGCCAATAACCAGTAATTTGATTGAATATTGGCCAATAAGAGAAACCCAACTGCTAATGTACCCAATCACCATTTCAACTACCAAATAGACCCAAACTGCTCATGCCAGTAGTTATCTTCAGCTTTTAGCCGGGTTCTTGAAAAGTCGTGCACCACCATTCCCACCTTCTGAATCTATTGGACTTTTCGAAAACAAGGGTCACCAAGAGGCTCCGAGAACAAAGACGAACAACGCCCAAATAGCCATTTTACTGCGAAAAAGCTGCGAAAACTGCTAGCAATTTTTGAGATAGCCCCATGAAATCAGCAGATAAGATTGGAAAGCTGTTGATAGCGGGCTTTGAAGGGTACACCGTGACCCCGCAGGCCCGCAAGCTGATAACGGTGCATCGGGTCGGCTCCATGATTCTGGGTCGGCAAAACTTCCAGGATTCTGATCAGATTAAGGCATTGATCCAGGATCTACAGCGATTAGCTCAGAAGTCTAATTACGAATATCCACTGATATTGGCAGTTGACCAGGAAGGTGGAATGTGCAATGCCCTTTTTGACGAGGCGAAAATCACCCAATTCCCCGGGAACATGGCACTGGCAGCGTCGGGCTCGGACGAGATCTGCTACAGCGTCGGAAAGGCAATTGGTGAAGAGCTGATGGCCTTAGGATTCAATCTGTTTATGGGGCCAGTGTTAGACATCTGCTCCAAGATGTCCAACCAAATGATAGGAGTGCGGTCTTTTGGTAGCTCCGTCGAAGATGTGTCTAGGTTTGGTGCAGAATTTGCTCGCGGGCTCAAGGATGCTGGGATGATTGTCATCGGCAAGCATTTCCCCGGAATTGGGTCGAGTTTTGTGGATAACTTGCTTGAGCTTCCCATGCTTATGGAGACCGGTTCTCAGCTTGAAAGTTTCAATGTGCTTCCATTCAAAAGTCTAATAGATAAGGGACTTGTGCATGGACTAGCAGCTGGCGGATGTGCCGTTCCAAATATTTCTCCTGACGAAATTCATGCGTGTTTGAGTTCTGTCGTCATCAACAAAATCTTGCGGAAAAAGCTTCAGTTCCAAGGTGTGGTGCTGAGTGAGTGCCTGGAGCTGGAAGCACTCCATAGAAATATGGGCCTCGGACAGGGTGTAATTATGGCTGTTTTTGCGGGCTGTGATATGATCATGATATGCCATGACCTCGCATACCAGGAAGAGGCTCTGGAGAGTCTGCACAAGGCGTATCGGTCCGAAGAATATGCTGAGGTGCTCAAGGTTGCCATCACACGAATTGAAACTCTTCAAAAAGAAGTTCTTACATGGCCAAAGGCGCTGGATCCTCCAAAGATGACTGAAGCAATGTGGCTGGATCACCAGCGACTATCAACCACAGCCTATCAAAAATCGATCTCGTTAGTACGTGACAACAACTCGTGTCTTCCGATAACCAAGTTCTTGAAGAAAAAAGATACCGTGGCCGGTGTTTTGTTGCTAACCCCTCTGGTGACAAATGTTCATCCAGAGGCCCACAACTTGTCATCGCCGTTGCCGGAAGAGGAGGAGAAAGAGCTCGAGGAATTGTACCAGGGTGAAGAGATCTTCCGTGATTTTGGTCAACGATTATCGACCTATGGTGAAGACGAGAAGCTTAAGGTAAACTACAAGGTGTTGCACACCTCCTATACCGCGAACGGACTCACCAACGTCCACGAAGAACTCATCGAGAATTGCAAAGTGATAATTCTCGTGACGTCGGATGCCTCGCGAAACATGTATCAGATTGGGTTGGCTAAACATGTCTCTGTGCTCTGTGGTGCAAACTACAAGTACTCCAGCTCCATCAACTCCAAGCCGTTGATTATTATCTCGGTATCAAGCCCTTATGACTTTCTTTACCACAACGGTATTGGATCTGCATACATCTGTACCTACGATTATACCACGAACGTTTTGAAACATTTGCCTGCTGTTTTGTTTGGACTCCTTCAGCCCACAGGTATGATTCCTGGCGAACATCCACGCGGAGGACCATATACTCCGCCAGAAGACTCCGTGGCAGTCAAAGACGAGGAAGCAGAATCTGCCGATGAGCGTGAGAAGAAAAGGCGCAAGTTTAGCCGTCCCTGGTTGGTGGAACAGTTCGAGCTGGAGCGAGACTTTAGAAGTCTCATTTCGCTACTCAAGAATAACGTGACTGCAGAGGACGGATTCGAACGCAGCACTGGATCTCGCAGCATATCTAAGCTGCACCAGTTACTTGCTAACCGGGACCAGAAGCACTTTGTGGTGAGAAACTCAAGTTTGAACGTGATCTACGGGATATGCATCACGTGGGTGTTTCAAAACCGTCAGACGAAAAATAAGTCAAAGCCGAAGCCAAAGAGAGATGATAATGAAAGCGGCAGTGAAGAAGAAGACGAGCAAGAAGATGAGGAGACACACCCCGAGGAAGAGCAGGAGGATCCCGAAAGAGTTGGTTCGATAGTCCTGGTGGTAGTGGACAGAAATAAGAGACGTCAGTCCATTGGAGAGTTGCTGCACGCCCACGCGATGGCATATCTGGACGAAATGAAGTGCCAAAAGGTGCGCCTAGGTTCAGATTTGCCACTGGTGTATTTCCCAGCGGATGACGTTCAAAGCGAGACGGCATCAAGTTTTTTCAACAGCGTGGGTTGGAAGGGCCATCTCATAACCGGACCGACTGAAAATAAATGTCATATACTGAGACTGGAACTTGGTAATTGGTCGGTTGGTGAGAGACTCGTGCGTCAGCTCCAGGTGGTGGGAATCAGGTTCGAAATCCGTCGAGAATGTGCTGATGTGTTGAAGTTGATAGACTGCACAGGGATAAAGGGCAAAGTATTGAGATACCTCTACTCGGCTGTGGCCCAGCGGCTTGCGAGTAGTGAGACGTCCCACTTGACCGTGATATCGGCCGTCGAGCCTAGCAGGAATTCGGTGGTTGGGTCATTGGTGGTGTATAACAGTCGTTCATGGTTGTCGCAGTTCTATCCGTTTATTGACAGTGCTTTCGAGGACGAGGATGAAGATCTGGGAGTCACTCCCAAACGGCGTGGTGCTGCCCAGAAAACTGTTGGTGGGTTGACAGGGCTTTTCATTGATCCTGAATTTGACAATCTCCGGGATGTGTTCAAGCTAGGGTTGATCTGCACAGGGGTTAGCTATTGTAAGAGACAGACCGGAATGGAGAGATTGGTAGTCGACGGAATTGAGGATGCACAACTTGCAGAGCTGAAGGATAGTGGGTTTGAGGTCTGGAAGACTTATAAGTCTGACTATGGTGAGATGAAGGTGGAAGGAGCTAGAATCGAGACGCAGAAGGTGAGCGCAGAATCAGACTAAGGGTAAGAGAGACAGATCGATGATTTTGAGAGAAAGTAACAGAAGAGATCAGCATGTTGGACTTTCAAAGGTTGAATCGAGAACACCGGTGTGTATCAGAAATAGACAATCATACGAACGGAAAATGACGCAAATGTAGAAATAGCTGGCTAGGCAAGATCAAGCGCTGTTTTGACAGAGTGAGATTGGGTGGCTAGAATGGTTTCAAAATGGTCTCCCTCGTACATCGCCAATGCGGCATCAAATTAGAAAACACACTACTGTGATTTATTGGAGATAAGCCCATGCCTCTCCGTCCCTCGTAAGAATACAAATGGCTACACTCACCCTCGACCTTCCTTCTTGGTGTCTTCAATTCCTTCTCTTGAATTGACTGGCTACTACAGGCCAATGCAAATATGTCTCTCATCAGTGAAATTCAGCTCACAGCAACCATTTGGAGCCCCACAGTACAACAGGGAGAGTGTTGTATCTCACCTGACGACGGCCATGAACGAGATCAATGACTTACGCCACGCTTGACTGAAGCAAAATTATTATCCCACAACTGTTCCGATGTGCATACAATATCGCAAATATTGCAAATATTGCAAATATTTACGAATTTGTTAGCTGGAGAAACACGCCGGCGAACATACCGTGTAATACTCAACTTGGTACCTCACTATGATGCGGCGATCATTGGGTTACACACACTCACTCTATATTGCAACGGAGCAAAATGGAACGTTGCAATGTGTTCGGCACGCAACAGGTCCCGTCAGAATCTCCTGCCTGTTGAACGGGCCGGGGCAACGTCGTGAAAAGCTACAGGGTTCCACTGGCGTCCGTTGGCACCGGGGTTGGGATTATAATTGGATGCGATTTACCACCTGCGCTGCTGTGTTCCTTTCACATATTTAACACCATCATCTGCCGCCCTAGTTGCCTACCTCATCTCCTCCATTAAGCCGCGTTCCTAGGCAACATCACTGTTCTTCCTATCTATGACGGCCGAGTCAGCCTCACTGTCATCTCTCTCAACGCCGTTGTCAGAGGTGGACTCTACAGATATCAAACCGCAACTGGCACTTCCGCGGGCCCTCGATGCCGCACTCTTCTTCGACACCTGTGCTCGCCTCAGCAATGAGCTTGATGAGGCAGTCCACCAATCTCAGGTATCCATGCTTCCTGGTTTTACATTACGCCCAAAAGGTAACGAGAGGGGTCGTTTTCTCGTGATTGACCTTGGCGGTTCCACGCTTCGTATATGTGTTGTGGATCTGACCGGTGATGGCGCATACGCAATGCTTGCTGAGAACTCCTGGGTCATCAGTGATACGGAGAAGGTAATCGACGCGGGTTTCTTCAGGATGATCGCAACCAAGGCCGCTGACACTGTGGGCCATCTCTTTAAGCAAGACGAGTTAGTGCATACGGGCATTACATGGTCGTTTCCGATAGAACAGTCAAACCCAGATAATGGCGTTGTTAATGTTGTCAGCAAGGGCTACACATTGGGAGCCGATATTGCAGGACAAGACCTCAAGCATGTGTTTGAACACGCATTATTGAAAACAGGAGGACTACACGCCCAAGTAGATTCTATTATAAACGATGCAGTGGCGGTATACGTGAGTGGGCTGTACACCCACGGGTGTACGTTTGGCCTTGTACTCGGCACCGGAATCAATGCCTCGATATCAGTGCCCAAGCGCGAGCTTGGGTCGAGGCTTACGCGTGACCATCTCGACCGGCATATTGGCGACGAAGTGGTGCTGAATGCCGAGCTTTCATTCTTTGGTTCCAGCATGGCAAGCCACGCTACACCACTTGACGTGGCAATGCATCGTGCTTGGGAAAGTGATTTAGAAACTTTCCCTGCGCATTTGACTGACACTTTTGGGTGTTTTCAGCCGCTAGAATTCATGTGCTCGGGAAGATACGTATCAGAACTTGTGCGGCTTGCACTCGTGGAAGCGGAGATTTTTTCACCTCTTTCCAAAGGTTTGCTAGTGCCCTACTCACTATCGGGCGAGGTGGTGTGCAAAGTGTACGAGAGCAACGATCTTGTAAAGTCGCGAGAGATATTCCTAGCTGAGTATCCAGACCTCGCCGTGCAACAATATGGAGAGTACGAATACGCGATAATCCGCGATGCCATTGACGCCGTGATTTCGCGGGCAGCTCTCATGCTGGCAGCCGCACTCGTTTCCACGACGGATTTCATTCGCCAGATCCATGGCTCGGACTCTCCACTAGCAGACAAGGTTGGATACGTTGGGTCACTTTTACGCCATTTCAAGAGCTACCGCAGCAAAGTGGACTTCTATCTTGAGCTTGCAGCTGCGCGAAATGGCCGGCCAAAAGTGGACCTCGTACACATTGACAATTCGTCGGTGCTGGGCGCTGCGATTTCAGCTGGAAGTTACCTGGAAACAATCTAGAACCCCCACACGACTTAGTTGGCCCAGAGCTGACCGGAATACCATATACAAAACTACAGAAACAAACAGCATTTTCACCGATAACGGCACGGAGGTGTGTGCATTATGCACTATATAGAGTAAGGAGACGACAAGGAGTGTACCTATCGAGTGATTAGACCTATACAAAATATTCATAAAGGATGCCACAGAAAAGTGAGTAGATTAAGAAGTCCAGTAGAGATGCTGACACAGACACAGCAGAAGGTTCGAATTGATTTCCATCTAGATAAGCTTGAAGATCGCGCGTATCATGCATATTCCAGAAATTTTCCCAATTCTAGATATCCCAAATAATATAGAGAATTCCGAGATTGTAGTCATAACGAAGATTGTATAATCTTCAGATACGACATACATTTAGGATTTTATGAGCTACAGGCAACTTAAAGGCTATAGCTTATTGGCTGCGCTGCCCTTTTCTCTGCTATCTGCACCATGCATGTTCACAACGAAACTACCTCACCGCTGCATGAAGTACAAAATATTGTTGCATATATTTCTACCCATACAATTGACCCAATCGTCCGTTCCATTTATTCTGTTCGCTTTACCGAGTCTATCATCTATCTTCCTCTAGCAAACCGAACCAGTTCCCAAGACCTCCTAACCTCCTATTACCCTACTCAGAGCCGTTCTCTTGACGCCGCACCGCACACGACCTGTGCCCATACTCAAGACAGCCCTTGTTCATTTGGTGAATTGTTTCTCTTGCCCAAGACCAACCAAACGTCCCTAAGCAAAGCGGAAAAACCCCGGAGATAACTAAGAGTGCCACTCTTCAGTGCCATTAGGACCTTCTGTCCTCCATTCCTTTTCATCAGCCTAAAACAATGGACGAAGAGTTTGCCGCCTTGTTTCTCCCCGAACTGCCTTCTCTGCGTTCTACCTCAAACTCCCCGAACGGGCCACAGGATGACAACGGCCCACTGGATGAATCTCAGGCTATGAGGATCCAACGTCGCAGCTCTGTCTTAGCTGCTAGCCAGCCAACAGTTCAGAACCAAGGCCAGAGCAACAAACCAAACCATGCCAATCAGTCCATTCACCCATTCCACCCAAGTATCGCACATGTACAGGACTTTGCCGACCAACTGGCCCTCAATATGCCACGGCGCTATTCAGAACTTTCACCGGCAAATGACGGGTGGAATTATCCCCAGGATTACTACGGAATTCAACGGCAAATCCCCCCGTCGCACTATTCCAATTTGATACCGGCAGAAGCTTCGAGGGCGCGGACGTCCGAGGCCCAACAGCAGGAATCCAATTCTCCGGCATATCGTGGCCATCAACAGCCGTCGCCATCATTGTTTCCGATGCCGGGATTTGCTCCGATAGGAGTGCAGCCGTTCTCACCAGCTCCACCAACTCCAGGAGCAGCTCAGCTCACAGACACGAAGCTGCTAAACGAGCTGTATGCTTTAGGAATGGGTATTTCGCCCGGAATTCCCAGCCCGCAGTCGTTTTTTGCTCCCGCGACGCAATCGCCTCGCCAGTATTCCACCGGGATGACGCCGTTGTTATCTGAGGTCTCTGACCATTCATCGGAAACCCCACAGAACCAGCCACCCAAAAAACCTCGTAAAGAACAGGAACGCTCCGATTCGTTGGGAGGACGAGCGGATGGCTTGGATCTCTTGAAATTCAGCAAGTTGCCGGCAGATCGCCCATTCACGCTACTCGACAAACAGGGAAACCCTGTGGAGATGACTTTTAACGGCCACATTCTTGGCCGGTTTTTTTGGAACGCAAAGAACTGGGACCTCGTGGACCCAGCAGTGGGGCTTTCTACGTGTCCGATTGCTTGCTATCGGCGTAATTCCATTTTGATATGGTGTCTGATAAACTTTTCAGGAACCGTGCACAGTGTGCGACTTGAAAAGACTAAGACCGAGGAAGAACGTGTCGTTGAGCTTGACACCATGAGATTCACGCTCCATGCATCATCATCTGTTTCGCCGCGCGACTCCGTGGAAGTCAACATCTTAACTGATAGGTCGCGAAAGGCCAGTGTTGGCAAGGACGAGGACGACGCTAACGCGGAGGATTCGCCAGAATCCAACGTTGCTGACGAAATCAAAATGCACACCCATACTGTTGAAACGGACTTTCACAAAGGTCCTCGCGCTTTTGTTGTTCGCAAAGCTCAATTTCGCAAGGCCACCCCCAACAACTCCAAGCTCGCGGCTCGGAGTTTCTACTACATGTTGCTGACTCTTGTAGGAGTCGATAGGCATACAAAGCAGCCAGTTCATCTGTTCACAATGACGACCAATCCCATCACTGTTCGCGGACGTAATCCGTCCTTTTACACCGAGTACAACGATATACTGATCACGAAAGACCTGGTTCACCATTTGAAAATGGAGGTTCCGCTAATGCTTCAGCATCTCAAAGACCAGAACAACGAGACCGCCAACAATAAGCGCAAGGCAGACGATTCAGTTCCGGTGGTTCACGAGGAACCGGCACAGAAGCAGGCCAAGCCGATGAGCCGCTCCGCAGATATCGTTACCAAATCGAGACAATACCAGTACTTTCCGATTTCATCAGCTTACTATTTGCCGCCAGTTCAAGTATACTACTTCCCTCATTCATCGGCTCATAATGAGCGTAAGCCGACATCTTTACCAATTTTCAAGCGGAGCACGAGCCAAACACAACCGGTTAGTGCAGCCAGCTTGCTCAACACCATCGGGAATGGACGGCTGCCACGGAAGAGCTTCAAGTCTCAGGGCTACTTTTCCAGTTCCGAGGGGAGGCAGCGTGTCCCCAACATGGGTCGTGTGGACGAAGATGCCATCGCAGAAGACGAGCCGGAATCGTCACCGCCATCGGAGATCCGCAGTTACAGCGGGAGCCAGTCGATTACTTATAAGTATTTTTTGAAGCCCGAGACAACAACATGAGGGAAAGCCCAATACAGCAGGCTTACACTGTTCATAGCCAAGGTGTTATTTCACAGACAAGGAGACGTGAGTTGGTTGATGATCAACCAACTTCTACTCGTCCTAGATGTTTGAATTTACTTCGTTACCCCATCTTGCTGGTCATCTAATCACTGCCAGGATCAGAACACAGAGTGATTGCAGAAGGACATCATTTGGCATCATTACAGAATTGACTATGCAAGTTGATGGTAACAGTTCAGACAATGGCGTACGAGCCACAAGCGCCATATGTGCCGATTGTATATGATCTCTATACGAATATCTATAAAGAGCACAACTTGAGTGGTGTCAAGGAGTATCATAGTATGAGATAGACATGAACTCATAGTGTACCGTTTTACCAGTAGAATGAATGCCAGTGGGATACCAATATCGGTGGAACACCACTTAAACACCTCCAATCCAACCTGTCTACAACCCGTAACAGTATACCATTCTAGCAAGTATACAACTGACACAATACAAAGCGACCATATATTTCGTAGCCTTCCACCTCCACCTCCACCTCCACCTGCAGGTGGGTTCACAAATTCAGCAGCTTCAACGTTTGAGTACGTCGATCATTTTGTATTCATCTTGGCACCTAATATACGAGTAGTGGTCATACCTTCTGGTGCAAAAAACCCTCTAACTCTCCAACCCGCCTCTCTAACGACATCACTTTGCTTTCCAGCAACGCTACATGAGCAAGCATCTCCTGGTCGCCCGAAAACGGCTGGTCCTTTTTGGACCCCGCCTTCTGGTTTTGCTGCATTTGCTTGCTTTGTTGCTGAGGGTGTGATTGCTGGTTCACCGCACGAGAGGCCAACTGCTGCGCATTGCGAGGACTCTGTTTCTCAGAGCGGAATTGGGGCGAAAACGACAACTGCATCCCAAGACCCGGATTATCCAAGAGAGCGGCAGCCTGCTGGTGGATCGACTGCACATTCGATTGCATCATGTCAATCGAATTTGTGCGAACAGGTTTCCACTGGGCCTGGTATCTTCCTGCTAGGGCAGCCGCGTCCGACGCCTCGTGGCGTTGAGTTCCAAACCCGGACATCAACGACTCATCATCCTCATCATCCTCGTCAGGATTTCCAACTGCACATCCAGAATTAGACTTGTTGTGGCGGTCCAACGCGTCACTACGCGCGAACTTGCGGTTGCACTTGTTGCACTTGAACGGCTTCTCGCCGGTGTGCAGCTTGTAGTGGCGCTTGAGATCGTGCTGCCTGCGAAATTTCGAACCACACGAGTCACACACAAACGGCTTCTCCTGAGTGTGAGTCAACATGTGTGATTTCAAGTTGTGTTTCCTTGTAAAGCCAGAGTCGCAGTTGGGACACTGAAAGCGTCTTTGTTCCTTGAGATCAGAACCGAGCAACCGAGCATCCACTTGTTGGTTTGAATGCTCGTGCATCAGACCATTATCCACCATCGGAAGCATTTGAAGCGAGTCCGACATCGCGATTTTGGTGGGATTTTCCAGGATCGAATACGACTTCTGAGACGTGACTTCGAGCCTCACGGTTTGAACTAGATCAACAAAGCCACAGGTGGCGAAGCAAACGAACGAGCCCCTTTTGTCGACGCACGTAAAAAGGACACGCCAAGTGTGGGGCGCACGACTTTGGACTGGCGAGTTGAGCCGCATCTCAAGGCCTGTCGCATTATGGTTTGTGTATTCGTGTTTAGCATAATAAGATATTTGAAAAACAAGCCGAGAGCCTGCAACATGTGCAAATTCTAATTGTGATTCAGGGAGATGGTATAGAGACAAATGAAGTGATGATGCTGTATGGGGAGGGGCCAAGAGAATGCCAAGAGGAAGCATCATTGTGAAGGGCACGGTAGAAATCCAAAATAGGCGTTTAGTTGTTTGGAGCGAAATATTGTGGCTAAGCGGCTTTCGTGATTGGCCATAAAAGTACCGCTCATAATTTTCGAAAAAAAAAGGTCTTTTGAGATAGTGGTTTTGACATCGGCCTAGGTGCTTAGTGACTGCAGCAGTTCGACGCAAAGCAACATTTCAATTGAAATTACGAAAAAGACACAGATACATTCAAACTTAAGTCAGATATTGCTTGAAACTGTTCCAGAATGAGTGCGGAGTTATTTGAAAATCAAAATTGGGAAAGAACCACCTTTTTGTTGTCCGTGTTTTGAACGCTTTCCTCTTAGCTTATCTACTCCGCTTATCTCTACTCTTATCGCTGTCACAATGTTGACACCGCTTCATCTCTGCCGCACCAAAATCTTCCAAATTATACCAAAACAAAGAGTTCTCAGCACAATGATCAGACCCCGAAATCCCCCAGAATATTTGCTGAGTGTTTTTGTGATCAAGCACTGTATTTTTCTGTCGGAATATTGGTGACGCTTATCTTTGGTCCGGTCGTGGTCGGCCCACCCCATAATTGGGCAACTCGAATGCTCGAGTGGTATGCCAGAGATATCGGAAGGAAAGTCAAGTGCAAGTCGGTGATTTTGAAACTTGCACGTGGCTTAGACATTAAAACAATTTTGAGCGAACACTGCATAGCGTGGTATTATTGGGGGCATGTGTGTCGTGTTGTGTACTCCGTTTCACGTACTCAGGTCACATCACCACAAACTACCCTGATTTTTCGGCGAAGAAAAGCTGAATCCAAATTCAATATCTCATTAGCAGTCTAGGCCAGCACCAACTTCGCTTCAGTTTACTTCCTCAGAGAACAGCCTCCATGGATTTCCCGACCCCAGCCGATCGGTTGCGTGCCCCGCTGCGGCTGCATCTGTCACCCAACGATAGGCCAGACCCGATGGGTCAATGAAACGCAGAAAACTACGACAATAACAATAAACACTAGTTATTGAGACCAATAAAGACCACCAGTAACATGCAAGCACTCTAGCCTCTTTATAAAATGTATAAATTCTCCAAACCCCTCTCGCATAAGCCCCGCTTCTAGGCCAAATTTCAAAAATGTCGTGTAATACCCAGCCAATCTCCACCCACGGGGAGAGCAGATTGCTCCTAAGGGCTGTTTCGTATTATCTCTACCAATATCAACCACAACGACCCCGCTCGAATCACGCTAAAACCGTTGCTATTACCTCAACCACTAGCTTTCCTGCCGCCATGTCGATGGTGGATTCCTCTAACAGGAAAAGGCCCCGTGAGTTTGCAGACTCCAACACTGGCCCCACCTCCGCATCCGCACAGTCTCAAACCACAACCACGGCCACGGATGTGTGGAAGAGCCACCCAAAAGCGTTCCACAACCACCGGTACGGATATGGAGCCATTCCTCATGATGAAGATGTGATTAATCTTATTTCCGATGACGAGAACTACGCTTTTGCTGAGAGTCCAAAGGGCTCCAAGGCAGACACAGACACGAATTCGGGGCTGATGCTCCCTGAAGACTTTGCTTATCTTGATAACGACTCGTCCGTTGCTTTACTGGACGATGACGACGATGAAGACATTTTGGAGGCCGGATCGGGCTCCGATTATGGCGCTCAGCGGTTTGCGCCTGTCGCAGACACGGACGAAGACAGTCGCGACTTTATAGCACGCGGAAACGCAAGAACGTTCCGAACTGCATCGGCATCGTCGTATTCCGGGACGAATTTCATGACCAAGCCGGCGAAGCCATTCAAGAAACCAAGAACCAACTCGTTACCACAACTGCCCCACACTCGTGTGAGCTATCAGCCGCCTCCCACCCTTCACGAGGCCGTTACCAAGAAGGTTGGCGATGTCAAGACGAACTTCATACCCTACCAGAACTACACGTTTGGTATTGCTGCCCGGAAGACGTCGTTGGACTCGACGTCGCTGGACTCGGGATCGCCGAAAAGACTAGATTTTGGTCACCAGAAGAAGCAGCAACGCAACTCTCAGAACCCCAACAATCGCCAGCTGACTGAAGAGACCTGTGACGATTCTGATGGCCATTATGTGATCAAACCTGGTGACTTGTTTGCTAACAACAGGTTTAAGTTCCAGAAGCTTCTGGGCCAGGGAACCTTTGGGAAGGTGGTGAGTGCAGTGGATATGCGTTCTCAGTCTGTGTGTGCAATCAAGATCATTCGCGCTATCCCCAAGTACCGCGAAGCAAGCAAGATCGAGCTCAGAGTCCTATCCACTATCAAGAAACACGACCCTATGAACAGAAACCATTGTATCCACTTGCGCGAGTGCTTCGACTACAGGGGCCATATATGTATCGTGACGGACCTATTGAAGGTGTCACTATTTGATTTTCTTGAAAACAACAGGTTCTTTCCATTTCCGGGCTCTCATATCCAGGCTATTGCCAAGCAGCTATTGAGATCTGTGGCTTTTCTTCATGATCTGAACCTTATCCACACCGATCTGAAGCCGGAGAACGTTCTTCTCCAGGACGATTCCTATACCAAAAAGCCGTTTGAGGGTCGTTCTTATCGCAAAGTGCTCACTGATCCTTGTATCTACACCATTGATTTTGGCTCTGCCATCTTCAGCGACGAATACCATTCGGTGGTCGTTTCCACACGGCATTACCGCGCCCCCGAGATCATTCTGGGGATCGGTTGGTCATTCCCGTGCGATTTATGGTCAGTTGGGTGTATTCTAGTGGAGCTAGCGACTGGTGATGCTCTCTTCAAGACTCACTCAAACCTGGAGCACCTAGCATTAATGGAGAAGATTCTCCAACAAAAACTGGACGTTTCGCTGGTAGCGAAATGTAAAGCTAGACGGCGTCGCAACTCTGGCCAACAGAGCCAGGAGAATGTGGCTGATCTGTTCTCGCCCGCTGGAAGACTGGTTTTTCCTGGACGCGAGACCACACCCAAGTCAATTGAAGAGGTTGCCAAGGCTGTCACTTTGGATGAGCTGATCGGTTCGCGGTGTGGCTTCCGGATAGATACAAAGCTTTCTCTCGAGGAGAATTACTCCAGGTTTGGTGTCAAGAGGATTGAACGCGATTCCTTCAAATTTTGGTTCTACTTTATTGATTTGATCAAAAGATTGCTCGCGTATGATCCAGACAGAAGGCTGAAGGCTGTGGATGCGTTGGAACATCGGTGGTTTGACCTTGGGATATATGATGATGGTACGGTATGAATAGGGAGAAAGAGAGGAGAAGAAAGGAATGCGAATGCAGTACGGGAAAAAGGTGGAGGTGATGCTGATTGGCCATCTGCCAGTCGCTATATCGTCTACTGGATCAACTACTGACTCATATATTGACAGCTAGTGAAGTTCACTCTCACGTCTGCTTCACACGTCTGATCTCTCCTCGGGTCTCTTTATTGGTACGGGAATGCTTGATAGTTCGCTGATTATGGATGTTTATTGGTTTGGGAGTGGTGATGTTACCTCTTTTTTGTGTGTTTTTGAATCTTTTGCTCTTTTGCTTTTTTCTATCGTTCTTTTTGGGTTTGCGTTTGATTTTTTTGTGTGTTTTTGACTTTTTTGATTCTCTCCATTCCTCTTTTTTGTGCTATCTATTCGGTCTACGCTAAATACTCTGGGTTCAGGTTAGAAAAACTCTTGCATTTGCTACAAAGTCAGTTATTCGTTAGTCTTCCCGTGGTGCTTTTTCGTTAGCAGTCGGGGTCGGCATAAGCATTAGCTAAAGCCTAAACCTCGGTTCGAGACGCTTCAGCACAGATCTCCACTTATGCCTCGGCTTGAGGCTCAGCTTCAACCGGAGCTGGAGCAGCCTCAGCAGTCTCTTCAACTTCAACCTCATCATCATGATCTCCCAGAGCAGCAAACATGTTGGTAGCAGCCTGGATCGAGTCGGATCTCTTGGACATGTCTCTTCCGGACAATGATGGAGAAGACATTCCTGAACGCGGCGTCGCGGAGGCTGAATGCACCGAGTGGCTCGAAGCAGAGCCCTCTAGTCCGCCCTGCTTGACAGAACGCGATCTCGAAAAGCTGTTCATTGGTCCGGTGCGATCAGAGTTTCTCACGAGGCCAACCCTCCTGATATCGTTCTCGGAAAGCTTGTTACTGGATCCCCAGTTCGACTTGTCGGATTTGTCACCACGATTCGAGCCTGAACGGTCACCCTGGCGGCGACCAGCTCTACGAGCAGCGTTCTCTCTCTCCTCGTCAATACGCTTGCGCTCCTGCTCTTCGTGGATCTCGGTGATGGTCTTGGGGCCCTGGTCTGGTTTGGCATCCTTCCATCCGTTCTTCCTCAGATCAATGAGATCCATGAGCTTGAAGCGAATTCTTGACGAAATCTTGCTCTCCTTGACCATGGTGTGGATTCTGTCAAACAGAGCATTGACTGCACCTCTTGGGGCCTCATCCTGCGAACTGTCCAAGAGCTGACCAACAGTTCTCATCAACTGGGCGAAACTCTCTAGCACATCCTCGTTGGGGTTGGTGTAGTTCTCCGAAAGACGCCACAAACACCTGATGATGATCTTGTCCGAGATCAGACTCAAAGTGTACAGTTCACCAATGAATCTGAGCAACCCAAGGCCTCTTCTCTTGGCCGCAGCCATCTTGTAATACTCATCGGACATCATCTCTGGCTCAATAGGCGAACCATCCTCGTTCGTGGGCAGACTGTCACTCCAGCCCTTTTCATATTCGGCCTGGCATCTCAACACCAAATGTCTTCTCACGAGAGCACCACCGCAGATTGGCTCGTCGGTCTTTGCGTTCTTGGTGGTGATATCCTTGACTTCATCGGGCACCTTCTTCATGAGTCTGAGACAGAAGGCAGCATACATAGACGACCAATGGGGCTCGTCACAAGCCTTTGCAAAGGTTAGCTCAATCACCTGTTTCAGAGTTTCAGCCTGGTCTTCATATCTCGACTGGTTCGAGACGGCAATGATATCGTCAGAAATTTCGTCAAACATCTCCAGAGTCAACTTGTTCAGCAGCGACTTCACCTTTCTCTCCACCTCCGAGGTTGACAGCAGCACTGTTCCGTCTGGAGCCGTCTTAACCTCGACCTCCTTATTCTGCGAACTCTGCGATCTTGGAACCCATCTGGTGGCTGACTTTTCCAGCTTTGGAGCATCAACCTCTGGCGCTGGACTCTCATCATCCTCATCTTCACGGCCCAGTCTCTTGGAACCGGGCTTTCCGCTCTTTTCACGTCCGCTCTTGCGCTTGGACCCGCTTCTCGAGCCATTTCTCTGGTTATGGAAGTCATTTCTCAGGTTCGTGGCAGAGCCCTTCATTGGTGCAGCACCGCCAATGAAGCCCTTACCAAAGCTGCCTCCTCCACCGCCTCTTGAGAAGCCACGGTCACCACCTTTGTTCTCCTTTGGCTTACCATCACCAATCACAATCACCTGACCATGCATGTTGTCCCATTCTTGGTCCAGCGATAGCTCTAGACGGGGCTGGAATTGCATCAGGAAACCAGGATCGTACCTGTACTTGGGGAGTCTGTTCACCTTTGGATCTGGACCATGATTTGGGGCCGAATACTTGAAAGAGAAGGCATCTTTGAGGGGTCTGGTTTCTTTCACTTTTTCGAGGAATGCACTGATGGTGATAGAAGGTCTTGGTATCACTGGGGCGGGAATAGCAGGAGCAGTCTCGACAGGAGCAGCCTCAGGGACTGCAGATTCAGTTGGATCTTCAGCTGGAGTTTCAGTAGCAGTGTCTGTTTCGACTGGTGTCTCTGGAACGGTTTCTGTCTCGCTGAGAGTTTCAGGGTTAGCTTCGGCTGGGGATTCAGTAGCTGGAGTTTCAGCAACTGGGGCAGCAACTGGGGCAGCAACGGGAATAGCGACTGGAATATCAGCCTTGGTCTCAACTGGAATATCGGCCTTAGTCTCAACTGGTGTCTCAGCCTTAACCTCAGCTGGGACCTCAGCCTTCACTGCTGGAACAGCTGGAACTGGAGTCACTGGCTCAGCCTTGACCTCAGTCTTAGTGTCTGGCTTAGATGCAACAACTGGGGCTTCAGTCTTAACCTCTTTCGTCTCAGCTTGAACCTCTTTCGTCTCAGCCTTAACAGCCGGCTTAACTTCAGCCTTAACCTCTGGTGTAGCTTCAACCTTAGTCTCAGGCTTAACCTCAGTCTCAGGCTTAACCTCAGTCCCGTTCTTTTCAGCCTCAAGCTTCTTAGCCGCTAACGCAGCCCGCAACTTGACCTGTGCCAAAAATGCAGCCCTGTTGGCCTCCTTCACTTTGGCCGAGTCTTCGGACTTGGAGTCAGCGACAGCAGGAACCACAGGAGTCTTAACAGGCGAGGCAACACGTGAAATGCTTGAATTTGAAACCGAAGGTGAAACCAACGAGGCATTGGCACCTAATGGAGTGGAGGACGCAGATCCAGAGACGGGCTTCGGCGCCGAAATGGACGCCGACTTACCGTGTCTGGGTGTGAACGTCACTGGCTCTCCGGAAGCATTCTTGATCGAGACTGGAACAGCGGGCTTGTAGGCATATGCTGGAGAACCCTGTGGATTTCCGTGGTAAATGGCCTGCTGTGGAACCATGGGGTTGTAGCCCTGGTAGTACATCTGGGGGTTCACGTATTGCGGCATTCCTGGAGTCTGTGGAGACATATAAGGAGCTCCGTACTGGTACGCATACGGCGACTGAGCATACTGAGCGCCACTGTACATGCTGTTGGTACTTTGGTGGCCTCTGGTGGTGTAGCGGTGTTGGTGTGGAGGATGCGAGTGGTGGCCTGAATTAGGCGTGTTGGAATTGCTCTGCATTGTGGATTGTTGGTCTTGCAAATGCAACGTTGCGGATCTCGGATCTCGTTGAGTCTGTCGTTTCACAGATATTCCTGACTTTTCCGTGGCTTTTCAAGTGTCTTGAAAAGTTTAGAAATGCGAATGTTCCTGAAGCGAAGACCTGGATCGGGGTGGCTAAGTCGCAGTTCGGATAGAACTAAACTTATTTCTCTCCAACAAGATGCGACTGCTTGATTTCAAGAGTCGAAATTGTGGGTATTATACGACACGTGGTGATACAATAGCGCAAGGGGAAACGACCAAGCCTGCGGGAGTCGAAGTGGAAAAAAAAACGGAGGAAAAGGGCGTGTTCTGTTAGTGCTGGAGGTTACGCGTAGGGAGCGTTTTGGCGGGTAAGTTTGGTACTGGATTAGAGAAATGACATAAAGGGACGCCAAAAAGACGAATAAATGGCATGAAAAGAATTTAAAAAGGTTGAGAATAGAGTTTAATTGCGAAAAGTATTTGAACATGTGGAGTTTATCATAGTTTTTTTTATGTGTGTTGGTGTATGGGTTGGCAAGAAAAATGTCAAGCATGAGAGAAGTCTACTGCAGATGCTATGTCATGTAGTTTATGTCAAAGTCGATGAAAAATGGTGAGCTTAGAAAGGGCAAGGAGAATTTCTTGAGTTCAATGAAATTTATACATGTAACTCTATAGATAGTATGGTCACATCTGTGTGTATCCCAAAATTTCGGGAAATTTTTGGATCTATCTGAGTCCGTCAGTGTAATGTGGAGTAGCGAGTCCTAAGGTGATGCCCATCATTATAGAATGAGTGGGTTGGAAGAGTAGAAGAGCATTGTAATGTACACAGATATGAAGAAACACATGGCAAGACGAGATCAGGATGACCTCTGACCTTATAGGAATCAGAAATATATGCTTGAAGTCTGCAAGCCATACTATCTCTGTCAATGAAATTAGTGAGGGAATGTCATCTCAAGTACTTGGACTGGAAAAACCGTCAATTGGAGTTTGAAAATAAATGAATTGGAATTGAGACTCATTATGTTCAAAAAGAACCTACAAGCTCAACACTTTGGGGTTTTCCCGTTACCGACTCTTATTATTGTTTGAGAAAAGATCACACTTGATTGACATCTTGATTTCTCTGATCAACTCCGTTGACACCTGGGCTTCACTTCATCAACCTTTTCAATTTCCTCGAGTTTTTTTGGTTTATCAAACCTTCAAAAACTGCTGACTGATTTCATCAATATCTTCAACGTAAAATGTCTCTTATTTCGTCATCCAGGATTGAACAACAATATACCCCAGCATTCCCAAAACCAGCCAAATGAACCCATAGACAACTACCTTATCCTTTAGCGATTCCCGCGTGAAACATGTCCCAAGCATGTGCTCCTTGTCCTCATCACTTTTACAGGTCTTAGCCAGCTTTTTGAGACAAAAATCGGTGGAGCACAAAGAACAAATAGCAGCTCCGTCGTCTGGCACTGCTAACTCAAACACCCCATAATCAGTCTCACAGTCGCACCTGCAAAACGTCTCATAACCAGCTACAACAGGCAAAACTGCAGCAATGACCACAACCAAGCCCAAAATGCCAAATCCTCGTATCCTGAGCTTCATATTTGGTGTTAATTGGTGGAGATATAGCGGATCTACACTTGGTCTTTCAGCAGAATATGGAGTTCATGAAGGGTGTGCCGACTCAAATAAAGGTAGTGCACAAACATATTTGAATTGAGGTTTACACCCTCCCCTCGAAGGCAAATCCAACAACGTTGTGGCAACATCTAGCCCAGAACTTCCTTCTGGAACTATCCAATTGTTTTGTTTAATTTGTTGAATTTCAACTTAGTTTGGACCATTTTGTGATCACAGATATATCCAATTGATTACAGCAACTCCCAGAGAAAATGGCAGCTGCGTTGACCCATGAGGCTGGTATCAAGCCGGTAAGTGTCTTCATAGACGATATTCCGCCGATTTGCGATTTAATTCCATCGTTTCCCATCAATTTCTCACTGATACTAACTTTTTTATCTGGTTTAGTTCTTTGAACAAAGAATACAAGATACCGAGCTCCAGATTGCCGCCAAAACACAGAACCTCAGAAGACTAGAAGCGCAGCGTAACGCGCTGAACTCCAAGGTGCGTCTGCTCAAAGACGAGCTCAAGTTGCTACAAGAGCCAGGTTCTTATGTAGGAGAGGTGGTGAAGGTTATGGGCAAGAAAAAGGTGCTGGTAAAGGTGCACCCAGAAGGCAAGTACGTGGTAAACCTGGCCGCTGATATCGACATCAAAAAGATCACGCCGAGCTTGCGTGTTTGTTTGAGGAGCGATACGTACGACTTGCACCAGATCCTGCCCAACAAGGTAGACCCATTGGTTTCGCTCATGATGGTCGAAAAGGTGCCAGATTCGACCTACGACATGGTTGGAGGACTCGACAAACAGATCAAGGAGATCAAGGAGGTGATTGAGTTGCCCGTAAAGCACCCGGAGCTATTCGAGTCTTTGGGAATAGCACAGCCCAAGGGAGTTATTCTATATGGACCTCCAGGTACCGGAAAGACGTTGCTTGCTAGAGCTGTCGCTCACCACACAGAGTGCAAGTTTATCAGAGTGTCTGGATCCGAGTTGGTGCAGAAGTACATTGGTGAGGGTTCGCGGATGGTTCGTGAGCTCTTTATCATGGCTAGAGAACATGCTCCTTCGATCATTTTCATGGATGAAATTGATTCTATTGGTTCCTCGCGTGTTGAGAGTTCCAGTGGTTCAGGAGACTCGGAGGTACAGAGAACCATGTTAGAGTTGCTCAACCAGCTTGATGGTTTTGAGAGTTCCAAGGATATCAAGATTATCATGGCCACTAACAGACTGGATATTCTTGACCCTGCGCTTTTGAGACCTGGTCGTATTGACCGTAAGATCGAGTTCCCCCCACCAACGATCAACGCGCGTACGGACATTCTGAAGATCCATTCGAGGTCCATGAACTTGACTAGAGGAATCGACCTCCACCGCATCGCCGAGAAAATGAATGGTTGCTCTGGTGCCGATGTCAAGGGTGTTTGCACTGAAGCCGGTATGTATGCGCTCCGTGAGCGCAGAATCCATGTTACCCAGGAGGACTTTGAGCTTGCGGTTGCGAAGGTGATGTCCAAGAACGACGAGGGTGCGGTGTCTCTTGCTAAGCTGTTCAAGTAAGTTTGGTTACGGGTAGCTACAACTATAGTGACCAGAATCAAACCGAGTTTTTGAAAATGCGTAAGCGTTGTGTAGTGTTTTAGTCGTGAGAACGAAATCGTTATCAAGACACTCATATCAATTTTATCCGTCCTATGCTGATGGTTTTGTTCAAATTTCACTGTGCTTAATATTGCGAACGGCTTGTAAGTTCATATGTTCAAATCATGGAATGTTCGCACAGCGTAAAGTTTTAAGTTATTTTCAAGTCTTCGGATGATAATGCCATCAAGAACCACATTTTATAGCCCAGATGTTCAATGGTCAGCACCGAGACAATCCAAATTTTCAAAGCACAGTGTTCACAATCTCTAGGTCACATGCTCAATGGCACTGTCAAAGCACCATCAGATATTCAACATCGTCTTGCACCGTTCATATACGTAGAACGAACATGCAAACATCGGCACTACCTTGATGAACCCAATCCCAAGTCCAACGTAGAAACCTTTAAGTCCACTTTCGGCATATATTATCCGTGTGATTTTCGTAATCGAGTAGAACTGCCCACCTGCATTCACAACACCGCCCACCTGCATTCTGCGTCTTATCACTTCAAAAGGATATGCTGCTGCCTGAGCAAGCATTCCTGCCGATCCACCAGCAAGCAGTTGGGCCCACGTCTTAAGTGGGGGCCTTTTATCGTGAGAATGGGTGGAGGTCAGACACGAGGCCAACACCTCGGGAGAGCCCTTAACAGTGTACTGACTCCAGACTGGCGATCTGAAAATATCGTGAATCAGATCATGGGTGTAGAAAGATACACCGGCATACGGCACCATTCCCAGTATGGTGGGAGCAAATCCACGGTAGAAGTTGGTGAGTGATTGAAAAACACCGAGGTTTTTGCCCAGAGCACGATACACGGTTCTGGTTATCCACAGTTCATTCTGGAGTTCTCCGCCGGTATTGAAGGTAAATCGTGGTTGCTCATTGTAGATCTGCCTAAGAAGATGACCGAACTGGCCTTTCGTATGGGCCGGCGACCCAGGAGCCGAATGGTGGGTTTGAAACGCCAGTCGCACTCTAATTAGATCCAGAGGATACGTGCAAAATACACTTGCAACTCCGGCAAGTGATCCGGCCAATAGCCGTCTTGCAGCAGTCTCGTGATTGTTGTCCGGAATCAGCACAGTGCGGATTTGCTCGTAGCACACGAACTTGATGGCTGCATACGGAAAGATCCGCAGCAAAGTTGCAGAATGACCCTGGTAGAGCCCTCTAACTCCGTCATTGGAATAAATGTGGTTGACAGCGCGAAACATGCCACGGAAGGATCCTCGGTACTTTTTGTAGTGAGGGTTTGATGTCTGGAACAGGATCTTGACTCTGTCCAACGGCGCAATAAGCGTCTTCGCCGCACTTCCAGCTACTCCACCAGCAAGTCCACTTCTAACGACATATTCCATTGATCTTTTGTCGATCCTTCTATCCTCGACTGCGACTGCACTCTTTTCCTGGATGTCAGGCACCAGAACAGCTCCCAGGTGGTTATCGCCTCGCGGCTGTCGCGAATAGTCCGTTTTCGACATTTATAAATGACTTTAACTGAAGCCACGTGACTATTCTCACAATAAACAGAGTTCCAGTTTGCAAATGCGATATTAGGTGCAAATTCTGTGTGGTCCATTCGAGCAGCACCAGCCAGTGCGGAGAGCTCTGAATTTTTCGCCTGAAGGGAAGGTGTGTCGTGCCGCAATCAATCAAATGGCTGGCTTGATAGGGGTGTTATGAGGGACGGAATATGGAGGGAATAGAGGGGTAGAACGCATGTAATACGGACTGATTTCAAGATAATATTGGCATACGTAAAGCAAAAACAGGTTATCCGGTATTTAAAATGCGTGTGTCCAGTATATCCTCGACGGCCGCCTCCCGAGATCAGTGCCCTCTGAAAATGCTACCTCTCCCAATTTTCCGGGTAAAGTCATCAAGCAGATCCCATGCATCACGTGACAAAATCAGCCCCACTGTGAAATTTCCGCCTGACACACGTTTCGTTGTTCTATTTGTGGAATAGTCTCAAGAATAATCGGATTTCTGGCTTGTGTGCATTTGATTGAGTTGTGGAGGAATAGTTTTAAGCGGCGGTGATCTGAGATCTGCTCCCCTGTTATTCTTTGCTAGCGAGACCGAAATTCAAGCCAAAGGCACGCATTCTTCAAGACCATGGACTACAATGAGTTGCAGTATGGCAAGCCGCCTAGATGGTGGAACCACTGGAGACTACAGTTCAAAAATAATCGCTTTGGGACCTTTGTTAAGCAATTGGTGCTTTTTATTTTGGGGATCTACGCGCTTTCGGCCATTTGGACGGCGTCTTCCTCAGTTACTGCGTCCACAGCCTCGTTGTACAACAGCGACACGTCAAACCCCTCAGATTTCAAATCATTTGGTAAAGATCTGCAGGCCAGATTCAACCATCTTCCGGTGAGCTCAACGGGTCTTCGTGAGCGGCTGGTGTACTATCATCCATACATGCCAGAAAGGCCTATTAGCGATAAGGTCTGGCAGACTTGGAAGGTTGGAATGGACAATGTCAAGTTTCCTTCCAAGTTCAAATCGTTTTCGGAGTCCTGGACTACCGTTAACCCGACTTATAATCACATGATTGTTCCAGATGACGCGGTTCCTGATATGATTGCACAGATGTATGCCACCACTCCCGAGATAAGCAAGACGTTCCATCTGTTGCCTAGTCCTATCATGAAGGCGGATTTTTTCCGATACTTGGTGCTCTTTGCACGCGGCGGTGTATATTCTGATATGGATACTGTGGCATTGAAACCGATCAGCGAATGGCCTCTTTTCAACGCTTCTCTGCTTGGAGTGGACTCGTCGCAAGTTGATGTTACTCGGAGATTGACTCCGATTGGCCTCGCTGTGGGTATAGAGGCCGATCCTGACAGACCAGATTGGTCTGATTGGTATGCTCGCAGACTGCAGTTCTGTCAATGGACGTTACAGGCCAAAAAGGGTCACCCCATGCTGCGAGAACTGATCATACGTATTGTCGAGACAACGGCACGGAGGCTCGCTGAGGGAACTCTTCAAAAAGTGGAAGGAAAGGACAAAGGTGGTGACGTGATGAACTGGACAGGTCCAGCTGTCTTTACAGACACGTTATTTGATTATGTGAACAACGTTGTGTCCGAGGGTAGGACCCGTGATGGAACAGGTATTGGTTCTACCTACCATAACGAGCACAAGTTATACGAGCGCGAGAAACTCAAGGAAGCCGCTACGGTTTCCTCTTCAAAGGATAGAATGGTCACATGGCAATCTTTTACGGGTTTGGAAGAGCCCAAAGCCATTGATGATGTGTTGGTGATGCCAATAACATGTTTCAGCCCTGGTGTAGGTCAGATGGGCTCCCAGCGGGAGACTCACTGGTTGGCCCTAGTGAAGCACATGTTTGAGGGCTCTTGGAAGCCGGAGAAAGAACGAAGAATAGGAAAGAAAGGCAAATAGCAATTACAGAAACCCCGGGCTCCACGGAAGCTCGGAGCGGCCTAACAGCATTGGATAGTCGTCCGTGAGGCTGGCGATCATTATCATGAACTTTTTAAGTATACAATTTGCATTTCTCATTTGAAACGAGGGGAAGCGTAGAATTGGGGGGAGAAGACACAATTGGACAGACGTAGCTAGGCACATGATCTCCAGACTCTTCCAATCTCAATTGGTCTTACGAGCTCTGGTATTCGTGTATCTGAAACGAGTGTAGTGACCCGACTGTCCTGAATTCGGGAATATGGAATCTTCTCAGGTCAAGTGAAAGATTGTGCTTCGATCCTTTGCAAAGTACAAACCTCTTCTCATTCAGCACCAGAACCTTCTTCTTAGGCTACGTCAACCATCTCGATATCCTCATCATCGTCCTCATCGTCATCTTCAGGTCCAATATCCACATCCTGACCTTGCTCCTCCAATCTCTTGCGCCTTTCCTCATCACGAGTAGTTCTATACTCCTGCTTCAATCTGTACTTCAACGCATACGTTCCTCTCTTCATCAACTCAGCAATCGAGTCAAGACACTCTTTAAGATATGTTTCGGGCTGCTTTGTCTTCTCCTTCAAGCCTTTCATGCTCCAGTAATCATACTCGTTGAAGAGCCTGAATAGCAAATCAATAAGCTCGCTCTTGGGCATACGGATGGCACGTCCTTCACCACTCCGGTTGTCTTTCTTATCTTTCTTGATGAACTGGAGTGTGTTACCCTTTTGGATACTTGGACCAGCCGAACCATGAACCACACCGAGATCGTTCTCCATAAAAACAACTTTCGACCTGGGTTTTGCTGCTTGTAGCTTCTTTCTTACATCGAGCAACTTCGAGTAGTCTGTACCCTTAACAGACGGAATCACCTGACATTCGTGAACCACCTTCCCGATTAATGCGGTCTTTTTCGGAATGGTCTTCGCATACGGAATAAACCGCCTGCGAAATCGCTGCTGTTGTCCTGGTTGCTCCTGCACAACATTGCCGTTCTCATCCTTTTTGGTCTCGGTGTTGAGCTTACGATACCACGTCTTCTTGGTCATCTCATTATTCAATGGTTGAAGACGCGGCTGTTCTGGCATCGCCGCCACCTCCGTTCTCTCCGATTTGAAATGCTCCAGCTCCTTCTCGCTGAACACATACTCGTTGTCCACAACCTTCTTGGTCATTGTGATATCATACTCGCGCGGAGTGTCACGGGCCTCGTTTTCATCTAAAATCAATTTAACCTTCAACGGCTCGTTCCCCACTGGCTGTGTGATCCTCACTTTGCCCAACTCGCGTCCATCCAGATTGCTGGGGTCCTTCCACCGGTCTGCAAGGTACTTCGGTAGCCTCACCAGCCACACATTCTGTGCTCCACTATCCAGATTGAGGTCCAAATTCTCACCCGCCGCCTCCTCATCGAACTCCTCGATACCCTCCGGAACAGGCAAGTCATCTTCGTCGTAGTTGTCCGTAAGCATTGGCGAACGGGCTTCGTCCTTGACGTCTACTCCAGCTGAAGGTCTGGAATTGGCACCCAAACTGGCACCGGTGCCGGTAGCCGCTGTATCATGCTCGGTTTTGACTTTGAGATCGCTCATTTGGACAGGTTGTGGAGACGCAGTGGGAGAGGGAGAACAAGAGGCTAATGGGTCTTGTTTAAGTTGTGCGTTTGAAGTTGTTTTGCCGTGCTGAAAGTTGGACTATACACGACATGAGGAATTGGTGTGCTTAAGGAAATGTTCTTGGACACGATAGTGGCTACAGAATCTTTGAATATATATGCGGGAAATGAGAGTGCACAATTAAGTTTAATAAACCAGAATATTGGCGCAAAAAAGAGACAAACGACTGCCTCATACGGTCCAGCGAGAGCGAGCCCGTGCTTCAGTCAAGAGCCCCGGGGCTAATCAATTAGGCCTCACACTATGTTTGATTAAAGATATCGCAGACCACATACAGTTGCGGAGTAGCTTCATTATTACTGGCACTATCCTCACATTTCTTACTAATGAGCAGTTTTTCGTCACTTCTGCAAGAGGAAATCTCAAAAAAAAGGTCACAAGCCGAGGCTGCAAAGCAAAGGGAAACAAAAAGGCCGAAGAAAACCCAAAATGTGGAGGTAGAGCCCGTGTCAGAGTCTGAATCCCAATCCGCGGAGGAAAAATCAGATACCGCGCCGGCAGTACTGCCAGAAGAAGGCATTATATCTGGTGAGGCAGATGTGTCCGAGCCACCTGTGATAGATGAGCCTATAGTGGCGCCTATTGTAATAGCCGAGAAACACACACCAGAGAAAGACGAAATCATAGAAGCACCAAAACAGCAGAAGGACGATCCTTTGGAAATCACGATAGAATCCGAAGACATAGCTAAAGACATCAACAAGGTGATGTTGCAAATAAGAGCTTATCTTAAGCAAATTTTGAACGGATGGCCCACCGCTACGGAAGCAGAGGAACTCACATTGATTGAGACGAAGAGGTGGATAGTGCCGTTATTAGTGCTTCTGAAAAGAGGAACACTTCCGATAGAAATGGCGATCTCTGTTTGCACGATTGCTCAAAATCTTCAGAGAAACGAATATATGAAAGCCAATGAGAATTACATCAAGTTGTCTATTGGAAGCATTGCCTGGCCAATTGGTGTGATGAACGTGGGTATCCATGCCCGAAGTGCTGATGATAAGATAAAGGGGAAGGAGGGTCATGTGAGTAACATCATGAAGGACGATAAGACGAGGCATTGGCTATTAGCGCTGAAGAGGATCATAACGCATGAGGAGTCAAAGGAGGTAAAGGAGAGTCCTGGAGTGTAGGATATAGGGCATATGACCATAAGACCATGCGAGCATACGAGCACATCAACTCATGCATATACAAAAAAAGTATCACAAATTACACAAAACTACCAGTTCAACGATAAAATGTGATAATGGACGAATATATCTGTATATACTGAAAGAGTATCATATAGTATCATATAGTATCATATCTTTGGGTTCGAAATCGGGTGAAAGATCTGGCCTCTTTCATGCTCTTCCAATTCCAAACAACAAAATGTGTATTCAACTGTGTACCTTCCTCTCGTTTTCATTCTTCTCATTGTAAACCCTCCAACCTGTCCAGAGCAGCTTTCGTCTTCATCCCCACTCTGGTACTCAGCTCGTAGTCGTCTCCACCAAAAGCTTGCGATTTCTTCAACCAGTTCTTCACCTCCGCCAACCCATCGATTCCCTGTTCACGCCATGTAAACAGCGCTCGTTCATATAGAGCTGTTGGGTAACACCATGGGTTTTCAGTCAACTTCAGACTCTTGGCATGGACATCAACGGTACCAGACTCGGTGAGATTACAGATGACTCTGGTGTTCAGTAACTCCGAGCCCTCTTCGATCTTGCCCAGCCTTCTTAAAGACATTGTCTGAAGTGTATATCTGATTAAGGACTCTTCCTTGGTTTCACTGAATTTGGCATACACCGTTCCGTCTGGCTTTGTGAGAGCATAAGGGGCCTCTGGGTTGGAGGCACTGTATCCCAACAGTTTGATGGAAAGTTCCAGATGTGGCCCAGGCATACGACCGTATCCGTTCCAGAAGTAGCAGAGCTCGTGAACCAGCGAAGTACCAACAGCATCCACAAATGGGAGGGCCGTTTTGGAAGCAACAGCCTTGATTGCTTTGACCTTTCTTGCCAGAAACTTGTCAAAGGGCATAGTTTTGGCCATGAACTTTCTCTTTCCGATCAGGTCGGGCGCTTCAGAAAGATATCTTTCGGCCTCTTTGGCATACCAGCTCTTCTTTTCGGCGACAATGTTATCCTTTCCTCCTTCTATGAGCAACCCGGTGTGGCACATTCTATAAGCTTCCAGATAGCACGCTCCAGCAAAGTAGAAGTACAGAGCATGGGACCAGCTGTTGATCTCCACCAATTTGATGAACTCCCGTGCAGCTCGCTCGTACTTATGCAAAAATACCAGGATCATGGCCCTATCGAATATCAAGAGAGCGTCGATCTGGACCATCTCAGCCTTCCTACTCGAAGAGTCCATGAGATCTACAGCCTCTTCCAGACGGCCCCTAGAAGCCAGCATCCGGCCCTCCTGAAGAAGCCACAAACTGCTGTTGGGGAAGATAGCCCGAGCATGCAAAAGAGCTGTTGCCAGTCTTGGACCTGGATGGAGAAGTGTAGGCGCTCCAACACCAGCAGACGCTCTGGCCTCCAATGCCATCTTCTTGCGGCTCAACGTTCGCCTCAGACTCTCTCCAGCACTTGTAAGTGTTGAAGACCTTTGCACAGAGAGAGTGGACACTTTCCGGGTGAGTTCCTCCGAGGACGGCACGTCAAAGTCCACGTCCGTGAACTGGAACGGTCCATCGTAAAACACCAATAGCGCCAACAAAGCAATACCACCGTGAATATTGCGTTCTTCAGAAGCTTTCCAACACATCTTGAGCCCTGCCTCTCTAGATCCCTTGAAGCCAACCACCGAAAGAACCTTTCCAATTGCAGGCGGAATCAGTGATAGAACCACCTGCAGAATCCCAAAGCACAGATTCACACCAGAATGAATGAACTCATCGATAGTTGACACATCTGAGTGTCCACTGGACGTTTCCGACTGAGTAGAATCATCAGTGGTCTCGTTCGGAGTGTCACCCGGTGTCATTCCAAGATCAGGCCTTAGTCTCTCGCTTAAGGAAGAATTTCCGATATGAGAACCCTCCATCCGGTTCTTGCGCATGGCATACAACCTCTCGCACCTTCTGATGACAGCCTCATCTTTGAGTTGTTGCTCATCAAGAGGAAGACTGATTTCGGCAAACATCTTAGATGCAGCCGACGAGGCCAAACTAGCGGATGATTCGTTCAATTTGGTGCCCAATCCGGAGCCGTTTTCAACAGTGGCCATGTTGCGACTGATCTCGTCAAGGGTATGGTATGCTTTGCGGAGTTTGAACAAGGCCTTGGCACTCTCGACCACGCTCTCTGAAAGTAGCATCAGCAGCGCACTCAGCAGATTTGCCTCGGCATAGGTCACAGCCCACTCTGTTCCAGGCGGATAAATTGAACTGGAACGAATACGGTATTTCTCGCTTGTTGTCTTTTCCTTCCAACACTTAGATTCAGCCACAGACAGCGTTTCGTGAGCCTTTTTCATAGTCTCTGGCTCAAACCCGAGCGTGGCTTCCAAGAACTGAATCACACCCAAAGCCAATTGGTAAATCGCACCGTCCTCGTTTTTAATCAGATCCATCCCCTCCGATGCCCTGTCATCCAAAAGATAGTCCATTGCTCTTAGAGCCACCTCATACTGCGTGGCCTCCGTGATCACCCGGTCGGTCTTTTCAGCCTGGGACAGATCCGGAATAGATTCAGCCCTTTTGAGCCCTAGTGCGCGCAACATATCAGCGAGGCTCCAGTAGTAACGACGGACTGTGTTGAATCAATACCTTGACACTAAGCGACAACAACCAGACAAGACAATAGCTCACAAAAACCTGAATCTCAAACCCACAACCGTTCTCTTCAAAACCACACTATCCTAGCAATTCAATATCAAACCGATATATTGATCACACAATAGTTGTTTGCTAGAAAGAACTGAAGAAGTGCTTTGCTATAGCCAGAAGCAGTCGGAAGAAGATCCACTCTGTGACGTTTCTCGGATTATGTGGGTGTGGGCGGATTGATTTCGACCCGGCTCATCCTCGCCGATAAGGAAGCGTCCAGGCGATTGGGCAAGTATAGGCGAAGCTTTGGAACTTGAGGTTTCAACGCCAATTTGTGGCAGAAATCAAAATTATTGATAAAAACTGACAGAGATGTAGTATTATTGGTTTGAATTGTTATTTATCATTTTTTGGGAGCATTTAGTTATAAAAAGGCGAGTTTTTCACGGCCTCAACATGCTCTCACAATCTGCCTTGGAAGCATGGCTGGAAGCATGGCCGGGAATGGGTCCAATAGGAGTGGAATTGAGTAAGGTTCTAAGTTTTAAAAGTGGGAATACAATACCAAGGATCAGCTTGTAGAACTGGAGTTTGAAGCTTGCGCATTGCTCGAAAACCGATTGAACCAGAGCTGTGTCCTTAAATCAAAACCATTACTCTGTCAATCGCATGGCACTTAACTATGCTTCAGTATCCATAGGATGAAAAGAAGATAATAAAGAGCCCGACAAATGGACGCCTGCTGCAGAAAACAACTCTCCTATCAATCAAGACCTCTGTGCTTCTAGTAATAACGTTCCTTCATTCAAATGCAGTATCTCACAATTTAACATGGTAGCATATCTCTTCATATATTCGCACACATAATATAACCACCACACTATCACCGACTAACTCCAACAACCTTTTTAACACCGTCCCTTACACTCAAATGCGATTTCAATTTCGGATGAATAGTAACGTTGACAGCAGCACTATTTTCAACACTCATCCAAACAATGTCCCCCACTACCTTAGGCAATTTCTTTCCGTAGAGACACTGGTCCACAAGCCATGTGCCCACTACAAACTCCTGTTTGTTCAGAGCACCTATCTTTTGACGATCCACCAGATTCCAGATTTGCGAGAGCGATTCTTCGTGCAGTCTTGAGCGTTTCCAAATTGCCTTCACTACTATTCCCATGACCAGCTGACTTTTGTCAAGATCTGCATCCAGAAACTCTGTGTAGGAGCCTCTGTTTGCAGCCCAAACTCCCTCGTAGCGCTTTCGTTCAATAGGAGTGACTGTTGTCGAGTCAGCATGGTGCTTCCACGGCTTGGCTTCATTGAACTCCTTCTTCTTGGCCTTGGAGTCTTCCTTTCGTAGAGTCGTCTTGAAGTGTACTGGTTTGGGAGATTGTGCCTGCAAACTATCCCCCAGATCACTGACACTACTCCCGACCGAGCCAGCGACATGACGAGACTCACTGCGTTTTCCAAAGATGCTCTTGAACTTGCTTTTGCTTTTCAGTGGTTGGTGTGCAACAAATGAGCCTCTTTGGACTTTCAAAGGGTACCTTGGCATTGCCTGGATATCCTGAGACTCATGAATTTCCTGGACATTACCATCACCAACATCATACTCTTCTGCAACGGGAGCATCTATATCTGCATCTGCATCTGCATCTACATTCACACGCGAACCCTCTTCGTCATCATCTAGTACAACAGTGGGTCTTCTCCTGTGCCGCATCCGATTAGGAAATTGTGCCTTCTGTATCGTCAAAGAATCTGCACTATTGTCAGGAGAATAGTCCTGCGGAACAAGACTTTCATAAGAGGCTCCACTAAGTCCAGAAGTATCTACCCCAAAAGAAGGTTCCGCACGGTGGATACCCGAGAAGTAATCTTCACCCGCATCTGCTCCTGGAGAAGGTGTAGAGTTTGTCCAAAGATTCTCGTTTGAATTGTCATATGTCAATTGCGCAAACGGTTTCAATAATGTAGAGTCTTCATCTGACTTAGAATCAGGTGATGATCCACGTGGAACATAGGTAAAATTGAACTTTGGAGGTCTTAAAGGATCACTGGAATCATCCAGCAACGAAACATCTGATATTGCTGAGGAATTAGAATGGTTGGTGAACCTGGGAGGCTTCTGTTCCGGACTGCTGCCAGGCGTCAATCCCGGAGAGCTCGGAGAGGATGTCGTCGAATTCACCCGCAACAAAGGCGCTCTAGGCGATTTCAAGCCATTGCTTTCTCTTTTCGGGATTGAAATGGGCTTCTGGGCCGCCCGTAATGTCGGTTTTGACGACTTCGAGCGAGCAATAGTGGCTCTTTGACTAGCGTGCGGCTGCTCCGCAGGTATGGAAACCATCGATTCTGGCTTGGTTTTCGCCACCAAAGACGCTGCAGCTAGCGCAGCAGATGAAGACGTCGCGTTGACATTGTTCCAAGTGGTTGGGGCCTTTTTCTTGGTGTTATCATATTCCGAGTGGTCTGAAGGCAGAACTGCTGAATCCGCTCTCCTGTGAGACTTCGCAGCCTGACCTGATGATCCAGAACTCACTGTCTGTGTCGATTGTGATCGCACCATTTTCGTTATGGAATGACTAGAGGGAGACTTTTTCGCAACAGATACACGTGGCTTAGAGCTTGATCGTGTAGGGAGGCCCAGATAGGTATTAGAAGTGTTTGCTGATTCCACTCCCAAACTTTCTCGTTTCTTAAACATAGATGCAGCAGCCTGTGCAGCAGCCTGACTGGCCTCGTTTTGAACCGGCTGATTGGCATTTCTGTAGGCCGCGCGCGCGGCTGATTCACCAGTGCCCATGTACCGTTGCTTTGTTTGTATGTGCAGGTAATCGACCAATGGAAGTATTTCTTTGCACAATGTTTGCACAGTCAACAAATATCAACAATCCAGTTCCAAAAAAAATCAACTTAACCTCAAATCCCAGTACAACTAGATACAACAGAGAGCCACGGTCAAGCACGTTAATCGCAGTTAGGTTTATGACAGGTGGTGATGGTCGTGCTTGAAACAATCTAAGTGTCGTGTACCTCCGAGATGGATATTTTTTTCCACACGGGAATTTTTTCTTTATGCGTCTCGTTACTTTATCTCCTGTGCTAAGTATTCATATTCAAGCAATTCAAAATGTCCGGAGATTCGTCTGCTACTGATAAGGCCACGCTGCCGTTTAGCGAGCAGCATTATTTTTCATCCTATGACCACTTCGGTATTCACGAAGAGATGCTAAAGGATACGGTCAGGACTCTGAGTTACAGAAATGCCATCATGAAGAACAAGGACCTTTTCAAGGACAAGGTGGTTCTTGATGTTGGCTGTGGAACTGGGATTCTTTCAATGTTTGCCGCCAAAGCTGGTGCCAAACATGTCATCGCCGTCGACATGTCCAACATCATTGAGATGGGTCAGAAGATCGTGGATCTTAACGGACTGGGCGACAAAATCACACTTTTGAGAGGAAAGTTGGAAGATGTTGTGCTTCCATACAAAAAGGTGGATATTATTATCTCTGAGTGGATGGGATACTTTCTCCTCTACGAATCCATGCTTGACACTGTACTGTATGCTAGAGATCACTACCTTGTCGAGGGAGGACTCATTTTCCCAGACAAGGCTTCTATTAAACTTGCCTTGATCGAAGACGGTAACTACAAAGATGAGAAGATTCACTACTGGGAAAACGTGTATGGCTTTGACTATTCTCCGTTCATCGATATTGCCATGGCCGAGCCATTGGTTGATATTGTCGACAACAACTCCGTGGTTACGAATGCTGTGACCGTTTCCGAGATCGACATCAACACTGTCAAGATATCTGATTTGCCATTCGAGACTCCTTTCAAACTCAAGGCCTTTAGAAGCGATCTGGTTCACGCCGTGGTTGCTTGGTTCGACATCGATTTCCCTTTTGACTCTAAAAACGGCGAGAAAGTGACTTTTTCAACTGGTCCACACGCTCATTACACTCACTGGAAACAGACTGTTTTTTACCTGAACCAAGTCCTTGATGTGAAGAAGGACGAGGTCGTTGAGGGTATGATCGCCTCCAGACCTAATGCGCAAAACCCAAGGGAACTCGATCTGGAAATTCAATGGGACTTCAAAGCTCAAGGAGAAGGCGACTCAAGAGCCCAAGCTGGTAAACACAACTATTTCTTGCGCTAAACTCGCTCTAGTTTCTTCCGCAAGCTCTTTTTTCACTCCTCGTGTTGCTGCTACACCGCTTCATTTTTCCCTCTGGCATTGTTTTACTTCAAAAATAAGAGAATGGCTCAAAGCCTCTTTGTAATCAGCATTCTAATGTTCCATTGATAAACTGGTTTAATTGTGATAGAGATGATCCACGTTAATGGGTTCATACCGCCTTAATGGTCAAGTAGACAATCTGCCAATTATCACCGGCATCGCCAAAAGCCGCTCCGGTAGTGTGTTGCACAGGTATTTTTTTTTTCTTTACAGGCAGGATGAAAGGCTTCAGACTTATTTTGAGCTGAGTACAGTTTACACCACCCAGCCAATATAAACCAAAGATGCCTGAAGTACTCAGTGCATTCTCTGAAAGTCCCGAACAGGTGTTCTCCGGGAAAGCAAATTACAAGGATGCGCTGGAAGAGGTAAAGGCGCTACTAGACCCGATCACATCCTCCAACTCGATTCTTGATGAGATCCATGTCAAGGGTCTTGTTGCCTCCCAGGTTTGGGGGCAAGTTAAGATGGTTGTCGATGGAGTTAGTGAGAACCTTTTGTTTGAGCAAATACCCTCGATCAAAGAAAGATTGGGTGAGGAAGAACAGAGTGAAGAGGACGAAGCTCTTAACGAAGTGGAAGAGCAACTGGAACAAGAGAATAACTCTGAAGAAAGCGATTCAGATGAAAGTGACTCCGAAGAATATTTTACCCCTACAGAAGATCCTGAACTGCCAACGAATTCCGAGTTTCACGATGATTATAGCGAGTCTGAAGGGGAGGTTAACGATGAAGCAGAGGAGTTGGTGAGGCCACAACCAGACAAGTTTGGGCTCAATGACGACTTCTTTTCAATTGACGAATTCAACAAGCAATCTATGGCAATGGAGGATCCTGAGTTTGGTCAGGATGACGACAATGACGAAGATGATGTGGATATCTTTGGTGATCTGGATGATGATGACGATGAGGAGGTGGTGATGTACGAGGATTTCTTTGCCGCTGAAAAGGCAAGAAACCAGCAAAATAGTAAACGGAAACACGAGGATGATGATGAAGATGAAGAAGAGGAAGATTTCGGAGGCTACAATGAAGGACTTGCAGAAGAAGACTACGATGCCGCTTTCGAGACCCTCGTTTCGGATTTTAAGGCTCAACCAGCGGAGAACCTCTCTACATTTGAAAAACAGCAGCTCGAGATTCAAAAAGAGATTGCTCAGCTTGAGAAAGAACAAATTGCAGATAAAAAGTGGCAGTTTAAAGGAGAGGTGACCTCCAAACAGCGCGATCACGATACGTTATTGGACGACAGCATCCAGTTCGATAGAAACGCTAAGCCAGTTCCTGTGATCACGAGTGAAACTTCAGAAACTCTCGAAGAGATCATTAGGCGAAGAATCCTGAACTCAGAGTTTGACGAGCTAGAAAAGCGGGTTTTGAACGAGCTCAAGTTTAAGCCATCCGAGAGGGTTGAAGTTTCTGAGAAGAAGGCTGAAAAATCACTGGCAGAGCTATATGAGGATCAGTATAAAGGAGTTGACGGATCAAAGGCCGAGGATGAGCTGAAGGCTGCTCACGACGAGATCTCAGGTCTTTTCAACAACCTCATGTTCAAACTAGATGCTCTCTCGTCTGCTCATTTCAGACCCAAGAACAAACAGGCTACTCTGGACATCAAGGTGGAGACCCCTACTATCAGCATGGAGGATGCACAGCCACTCACCATGGGAAATTCAAGCTCTTTGGCGCCTCAAGAGGTGTATTCCACCAAGACCAGAGTTGGCAAGGACGAGGTCCAGCTGCGTTCTGGTGTGGTGATGTCCAAGGAAGAGCTGAGCCGGTCAGATAAGCAGAGGTTGAGAAGGGCGAAGAAAAGAAAAGTTAGTAAAAAGTAAGCGAATAAAGAAGCGACAATTATGATCCAAAGAGGGAGGACTCTACAATTTCATGACGTAGTTGAATCACAATGCTACAGCGAAATATTGTACACATTTCGAAGAAATGAAAATGGTCTCAAGATAATGCTCAGTGACATATAAATAAAAATAAACAGAATTTTGGTCTAGACAGTGGTCTAAGATAAGAACGTCAATGAGGCCCACAGACGACACCATTCAAAACGAAATGGCTGCAATCGTTCCCAATACGCCCAAAACAGAGGCAACAACGATTGTGAACACACAGAGAGCACGCTCTCTTCTGGAGGTTGGCTGACAGATTTTGAGATAGAAAGAGCATGGCAAAATGAGACAGACGAGGGAACACACAGAAGCTCCTAGGACCCCGATGATTTTGTCAAATTTGGGGAATGCCACGGAAGTAACGACGAAAAGGAGGTTCACTCCAATCTTAACGAGTGCCTTGAGAATTCCAGTGCCAAACGAGCTGTTTTGGGGAGAGTCTTTCAAGCCAAGAACAAACTCAATGATGCTGATGATGGGGCCTGCATTCAACGGCGTTTTCGCCAACGGGACACAGCTGACCAGCGCAGAGATCAACCCATACACAAAAGCTGGATAACCGGGTGTTATAAGCACTGAGTGGGTTACCTCGTCATGGACCGCGTTCCCGAACATGAGAAAGCCAATACAGGCCATTGAGAAGTCAGCCATGAAGGTGATGGCATAGGTAGTTTTCAGACAGCTTTCAAATTTGAGAGGATGTCTCATATCAACCTTGAGGTTTGGAAAAATCGCATGGCCTCCAAATGGGCCCATGAGAATTCCCAATGCAATGAGGATATCGTTCACAGAACGGGGGTATAGGTTGGTTGGCATGAACTGTTGCAGAGAGCCCGGAGAGTCCTGTTTGACGAGACCAAGAACCAATATGGTGAGAATGACGCTCAATGTACAGGCTATTCCGAGCAAACTGATGCTACTAAGAACTCTCAGCGGCATGAACGAGAACGGCGTCAGAACGCAGAAGGCTATGGCCTTGAACTGGTTCACGCTGATCTGGGGAAACAGAGCATTCAGCGAATCGGAGAAAAGAACAATCAGAGAAACACCGGCTCCGAGCAAATCCAGCGAAAACAACACAGAAATCATTAGCCGAGCTTTGGGCCCGAAAGCTGCATATCCGAGGTCGGCATATGTCATCAAAGTCTGGTCAGTATCCATGCATTTGGAGAGTAGCTTTGCCGTCCAAAACGTAGATATGGCACACAGACACAGGATGATGACCCCCAGAACCCAACCAGCATGCGAGAGGCCTAATGGCAGTGCCAAAAGACCAACTCCTATCAGCACATTCACACTATTGAACACGGTCTGGGGAGCCGTGGACTGGCCAGCGATAACGGTGACGAGATTACCATTTGCATCCTCCACCTTCTTCAGCACCAATGGCGTTGATTCGTCTGCAATGTGGTTTGCTGTGGCATATGAGATCAGCGACGGAGCCCTGGATATTGCGTGGTACGATTGCTCTGCAAAAGACATATCGTCAACAGCTTGTTCGTCGTCGTAGTATGGTGCGAAGCTGGTCAATTGTTCTGGGTTGAAAACAGTTGACAACTTTCGACCAAGCGAGTTGGGTGCCAGTGTGTCTGGGTCATATAGCTCCTCGTCATCTTTGAAGTAGGATCTTGAGACTTTGAACCGAGGCTCAATCGACTTGAACGATTGTGCCCTCTGATAAGACGATGCAAAGCGGGAGAGCGAGTTGACTCCCCTAAACGAACCAATTGGAGCATTCAGAAAAGAATCGCGCGGAGGTCTGACAGAGTCCCTCGTTCTGGGAACAGGTATCGAGACAAAAGCCCCTTCTGGAGGTGTGTGCGGTACTTCCATTGGACCGTGACTCCAGGTTAGATCACGATCTTCGAGGCAGAAGCAGCACTTTGAAGGCTTGTAAACAGAGGGGTCGTGGACTGGATCAGAAAAGGCTTATCGGCATAGAGATAACGGGGGAAGGATGGGAGGAGATGAAAGATCAATACGGGAATGGATATTTGCCAGAGAATTTGGAACGATTCTCCTCTTCATTTCCAATTGGTGTTATTGATGAAATTCTGGAAAAATTTGGGCGGTGGTGGTGCAGATGGTGTAGATACTAGTGAAGATGCCTTCAAAAAGGTCTAAAGAGGTCTCTCTTAGATAAGAACTGTGGGGGTTGAAATGGAAAAAAACGCTCAGAAAACTGCTATGGATCATTATATATATCCACGCAAATTTTTTTAGATTCTTAAATATCGTCATTCGTTATAAGCATAGCTGAAATACTGTTGGCCTGAAAAGGGAGACCGTAAGGAAAGATGAAGAAAAGCATTCTCTGTGACATCCACAACCCAATCTTGATGGAATTCAAGCAAAATCAATGATGACCAAACAACTCAAATACATGGCAATTCCAGGCTTCTTCACGAAAAAAACTTCAACAGGTCCTTTAACCACTCGTGATAATCGTCATCCTCCTTCACCCCACTAACCTCCAATATGAACTCCACCAAATGCTGGTTTACACCTACTGTTTCCCTTAGATATCTCTCCATAGCCTCCACAAGATCCTGATTTAGCTCGGAGAAGTCGCGGCCGGTGTAGACAGAATTTTTTTGGAATAGCGACTCAGAACTCATTGACAGAGCCAGATCACTATCAGAATAGGGTATGGCTCTCTGAATGTGTAAAACTTCTGGAGAGTTCAATTGGAGGGCACAGTGGATCCCCAACGCTGTTTGTTTTTTTTCGTCGCTCAGAATCACATTCAGATTGATGTACTCTTCGAGGTCTTCTTCAATAGCTTCAACTTCTACTCCCTCCATCATCTGTTGTCTTTGAATAGCGGAAGCCATGTAATGACTTTCCACCACTCTGCTAACCTCATTCGGGTCAAAGAAAATTGCAGACTTTAGATGAGGCTTCAAGTGCTTGCTCAAAACAAGAATGTTCTCACACAGTTCGTTATCCAGCTCGTACCCAGATTCCTTAAAGCTCTTTACGGCCTCTCTTTCCACCTCGAGGTGGAGATCTGTGTCAATCTCGACGATTTCAATCTCATTGGAAAGTTGTGCTGCCATGTTCAATTTGGCTTCGTCTTTCTCCAGCACTGGACAAGCACTGCTGAAAGAAACGGGTGTATTGAAAATCCCGTATCTGGAAAGGGCCACTCTAGTTACAAGCCTGGGACCGTAAAAAGGCACATTCAGGCGGCTCAGGCGCCCAATGGCAGACCTGGGCAAAATCATTACTTGAGGATCAAATGCTGATATCTGTTGTGAAAACAAAAGATTGTATGGCATGAGGGTCATTGATAACGAGATAAGAAAATGGATTTCCTGTCTGTCAAATACATCAGTGTAAATAACACCCTTCAATTAGAATTACACTTCTTATGATGAACGCCTTGCGAGGCATGATTATGTACAAATACAATGATACAAATAGCGAACAGCGATTGATGACTCAATTGATGTTGTTGTTGTTGTTGTGGGACGCATCACGCTCAGCAGCAGCGACTAGCGCGTCTAGATTGTTGGCTTGAGGCTTCTCCTCCTGAGCCATCTGGGGATTCATGAGACCAGCCAACCCGGGGTTTCTATTATAGTCACTGGACCCATCGTCATCATTCAACAGACTCATGATAGAAGTCTTCTTGGGAGGTATGATATTAGGTCTTGGCGCAGATGGTAACGGGGCTATTGGATGTGGCGGGAAGTTCGGTCTCATAACTGGAGCTTGGTGGTCGTATGAGGTTGATTGTTGGGGCTCGTGATAGTTCAAAAGACTAGTAGCACCCCCTGACGAGTCCGAGGTCATGAAAGTTGGAAGTATTGGAGGTTTTCCGAGTGGAACCATCCCCGATGAAGTTGGAAGAGGAGGCAACGCTGCTCCGTATGAGCCTGAAGGTGGAGGCGGGGGAGGAGGTCTGGCATTCGAATAATAGGACGCCATTGGGAATTGCGGATGAGCATACAGACCGGAAGATGGAGCCGGTCCTGGAGGCAGTTGGTTTCTTCCTTGCAAATAGTCAAGTGGTGCCTGGCCCAAAAGAGGCTTTTGCTCGAACGGCTTCACGGGCATGGCTGGCATATACTGCGGATCGCCTAATTTCTTGTCAACCGGTGCCCGTTGACCATCGTTTGTCTCGTACCAAGCCACACCACCTATATTCCTCAAATAGTAATTTCTCACCATGACAGCAGATTTGGAACCAAGGGCTTTTGAGATTTGCTCCCAATCAGTTCCGTATGTCTCCACTAATTTGGGAAACATGTTGATCTCGTGGACTGACCAATAGCTTGAAATGTGGGGTTTCTTACTGTTGGAAGGATTATTAGGGTCTGTATCATTTCCATCATGAACGGAATCCGTTTCAACCTCCTCAGATCTGCGTTTTGGAACACGAGATTTCTTCTTGCCATTTTCATCTATTTCCTCTTTTCTTCTAAGCTTCTCATTTGGAACACCTGGCAACGCGGAGTTGTTGCCTGAAAATACTGGAGCAGCTGCCCTCTTCCTTCTGCCGGTATCTGTGTATTCGATCTCAGGTTCTGGCGAATCAAAGTTAGAGCCAGAAGGTTCCGCCGTGTCCGTTAATTCAGGAGTGCCAACATGAATACCATTGGCAACTTTTGGTTTCTCAGAGGCTTTCCGACGGTTTGCAGTCGCCTTCCGCGTAGACCTTCTGTTTCTGCTAGCAACCAATTGTTTGTAATTCGTGGTCTTCTTAGTTTTGTAGTAATGCAAAACACATTCCTCAGGTGTTCTCAAACCACCCATAAACTGCGAAACACGACCGAATTTCTTTGGCCACATCGAATACGCTTCGCAGAACTTCTCATGCTCCTCCTCAGTGAACGTGTCGATAGGGTCCGTCTCGATTCTATTGGCAAAGTCATTCTTGTTCAATATCAGATTGTCTGTATCAATGAACCTTATGGCATACCTTTCAACAGGATTTGTCAAAAGGTCTGGAATAGCAGCAGCACCATGCTGAGCACGCATTATGGGGTCTCTTTCACTTTCCCGCTCCAGTGATTCCAGAATTTCCAAAAACTCAGCTTCTGTACGAACGGAATCACCGTGGTGTCTGCTGCGACGACCACCTCTGTCACCTCCTGGAGTCGGTGCCTCTGATTGTTTTTGAGATGGGTCACCAGTTTCAGTCATTGATGGGCGGAAAGATTGGATCTGGGCCTCTCTAGTCTTGCAGTTTTCCCTCCAAAGCTTTCCACGTAACAAATACTCAGCAAGCAACATCTTATTCTTATGCGCTAAGAGCCTCTTAAGCTGAGAAAGTCTGTTGAAGATCTTTGGGCCATCGGCCTGTTTAAACACCAACAAATTGCTATTGTAGAAGCTGTAAGTGGAGAAATCCTTGATCGGATCGTTCTTCCTAAGGTACTTGAGGTTTCGTGTTAGCTCGGCATGATTTGAATGTTTCAAGTCCCACACCTTGCTCTCGACTCTGTTCAACGGGAAGATGCATCCATTTACTTGTGCGACAACTTCTTCCGTCTTGACATGAGTTTCAGATGGCTTGACCGTCTGCTCGAGCTCTTTTGTAGGAGGAGAAATAAATGTTTCAGTTGCTTCCTCAACCTTGGTATCTGGTAAAACTGTTGCAGTAACCACCAGTGTAGATTCAGGCTCAGGCTCAGTCTCAGTTAGTTGAGCTCGTTCGTGCAGTTGATCTGATTTTTCAGTAATCTCAGTATCCAACTCTATATCGTGAGGCTCCAAGGGTACAGGTGCAACTGTTTCTTCGGGTATTTCATCTTTTAAGCTTGCTTCAGAATCGGCATCCTTCATGCTCACGTCTTCATTCTCGGGGAGACTAGAAGCCGTGTCTATTTGCGGCTGCTGCACCGCTGTCGGTGTCTTCAATTCCTCAGATGGCCAAGAAGGCTCAGAGTTATTGATGCTCTTTTCAGGTTTTGATTCAGACTCAACGGTATCAACCATTTGGGTGAGTGTTTCGGCTTCAGTTTTCAATGGCTTCTCAGAATCAGGTTCCTGGAAAGGCTCCGCAGGTTCAGCACGCTCAGCATGCTCAACATGCTCTTCAAGACCTTGGTCCTGTTCCCGCATCAAATCTCCATTGGAGTTTGTTGATTCCCTCTCCTCAGATTTCACCTTTACCTGTGGAAAGGATTCGTGGTTCGGCGTTCCCTCTTTGGATACATGGGGCGAGCTTGGAGATACAGACTTATACCTGTGATTATCCTCTTTCTTGAGGTGCTCCACAGGATTGGAGTTGAAAGATTGAGTCCTTGGGGGTATTCTGTAGGAGTTTAATTTATCAGTTGATCCTCTGTCGGAAGATCCCCGATCCTTTTGTTGGTATCCATACGAGTAGCTCCCAGATTCATCACCATATGGCTGGCGAGGATAGAAGCGACTATCAGAAGAGTTCCTGGATCTGTTGAACGAACCTGAATGCTCCCTCTCACGGTAATCCCGCGAGTTTCTGTACTCCCTAGGTTCTTTGTTAGAGGAAATGATGTCGCCGCTCCTGTGATTCACTGGGCCCCCAATCAAATCATTCCCAGATCGATTCGAAGTCTGGTCGTCATAGGAAGATCTGTAGCTGTTGTTACCGCTGTATGGCCTGCGATTATAACCCGAGCCCGTCTCCGAATTGTTCCTGTATTGCGAATCGTTCTGCGGGGCCTTCGGTATGTGATCGCGCTCATAGTGGTCATCGCGAGAGTCATTGTAGCGCGATTGGTGGGGTCCGTAATAACCGCCTCTCCCACCACGGTAGCCTGAACTGGGTCTTCTGGAGTAGTCACCGGAAGATCCTCTGCCCGAGCCGCTATATCTATGAGGTGGGTAGCGCGAGTCTTGCTGGGGCTGAACATCTGGTCGTCTGGAAGAGTACGGATTGGAACCGTTTCCTTGTTCAAAGCGCCTCCTTCGTTCGTCTCGTATGTTGTTTCTATATGGTTGATTACCCCCACGAGGAGGGTCTGATGATGACATCTTAGAGCAGAAGTCTGTCGAAAGACAAGTTGCTGGACCGAATTCGGGTCAAACAAAAGTCAAACAAAAAGAAGTAACCAAATCAACAAAGTTCGGTTAAACAGACAAGAAATGCAACCAAGCGTAACAGCAGATTCACCAAAGTTAACAATAGATCCAATCAAAGGTCACCTAGTCTTCTCCAAGTTTCCACCACAGCTTCAACAGTCTCAAAATGTTTATCTTCTCTTTGTCAGAGTCGAACGGAATACAATTGAAAGTGGTGTAGCTAAGCGGTTGTCAAACTGCAAGCCACGTGAGAGCGTTTGGTCTCGTCGCCAACAGAACAACTACGAGAATAAATCAACGACCACGATTCAGTGGTCTGATCTTCACTCAGATTTCACTTACAACAATAGAGTAAGTATACGGCTTGTTATTAAGGCGAAGAGCTGTTGTGCTGGGGACGCTTTCAAAAACGGGCCCTTTTTTGTTTCTGAAGGGATGTGCCGGGTAACCCCTTAGAGAATTGAGCCGCACGCGAGCTTTTCTAATCCAGACAAGGGCTACTAAATTGACCAAAATTTCAATGTAATTTTGGTGAATGCGATTTTGTTTTATACAATGCGATTTTCGTTGTCTATTAGTCTTTCGTAATGACTTTTTGCAGAAGGGCGTTATCGGAAACGGCCTCCAAGAGCTCTTTTCTTGATATGGAGCATGACACTGGACTTTGACCATAGTCAAGAGTTTGTGTGCCAGAGCCGATGGTTACTGAACCAGATGATTCCAAAGAATTCAGAATCTCAATGAACTCACCCCTTTTCAATGTGCCCATTAGTTTATCTGTGTTAACATGTTTGGTGTAGAACTCGTATAGTCCATTCACAGTGGAGGACAGTCTTTTCCTTCTTGGAGATCCACCGCTACCTGTAACGGTGGTAATTTTGCCCTTGGATTCAAGAAGATGCGATTCGTAATTAGCCAGAGCACACAAAACCAGTTTGTGCTGCAAATTGTAGCCGCTCAGCTTTGTGGATCCCACGTTTACTCCGAAGATCGAATTGCACACCTTGGCAACGAGTCCAATATTGACCTTGGGGGCAGACTCCAGAGTGAGAGAATCAAACTCTGACTGCGTCACCTTCGATCTGGTGGTTTCCTCGATCACATCCAGCGATCTGTGGATTATATCCAATGCCTTCCTGATATCACCCGTGTTGGAAGCTACCTTTTTAGAGCAAAGGGTGATTGCAACGGGCTGAATCAAAGGAATCGCATCCAAATCTCCACCGGTCATTTTCTGGAGAATGCGAAGCTTGTTCATTATCACCTCCTTAGTTTGCTCAGCTGTGTATGGCATGAATGCAAGAACCTCAGGATTGATCTGATTGTTTTTCAACCGAGGTAAGAACCTATCAGTCAGGTCAAGGGCGTTGGCAATCCCAATAAGTAAGAGATTAGGGCCTCCTTGTTGATGATTTGAGGCCCACGTGAAAAGCTCAAACAAAACCTGTTGGTTTTTGTTCACCAAATTGTCCAATTCGTCCAATACGACAATATTCATGTCACAGATAGACTTGTCTGCCAGCACCTTGCTAAGAGTCTCGGAATCCAGTTTCTGGCGCTTTGAAGACTGCGATATTTCACGATGAATGATCCTATACACATCCTCTGGTCTTGCCACGGCCATGCAATTCACCTTCACCACCGAGACTCTCGAGATTCTACCAGCGATCTGAACGTCGTAGATGCTCCCTCTTTGAGATTTCGCATTATCTGTGTACCAATCCAAAAGCGACATGGTCTGGGCAGTTTTTCCCGTCCCAGGAGGACCACTGATATATATGGATGCCGAGTTGTTTTTTGCCAAATTTGTCTCGATGAAGCTCTGAAGGTGGTCACACTCCTGTTGCCTTGAAACGAGTGTTTTTTGATCGTCCATCTTGTCACATTCAGAGCCCCTGAGGAAAAGCGACTTTCCCAGGGAGTACACCGAGCCAGTTGTATTCCTCTCGACAGTCCCCTCAGCTATAGTAAAGTCGAGACGTCTCTTGGCCTTTCCCAATTCTGATTGGCTCACGTGGACTCCATTTCCTTTTTCAGGGGTCACTGGCGGCGATGCCAGCCCAGTGATTGCTCTGTTCAACTGATCATCACTGACGACTTCCAATGGCTTTCTGGCATGGTGTCTTTTCCTTTCTGATTCCGGACTGAGCAAGCCGATTCTTTTCATGTGTAAAGCGTAATCGATTCAAATTAGGATACTCTGAAGGGATAAACAAAAAAAAGGAAGAAAAAACGAATAATCCAAGAAAGAGAACAAATGGAAAAAAGATAGATATAAAAATTGTAACAAGGGTTGAATCAGGCGCGAAAAAAGGGGGACGCGCCGGAGTGCACCAACAGAAAAGCTCTAGCGCGTGTTTCCTGCGACACGCCTGCGACACCGGGTGAATAAAAACGGACATATCAGGTTGCAGATCATACACGTTTTCGGCAAATATTGTATTTGTCAGTAAGAGTTTATATATCTAAACTATTTATGGTCTATCTGCCTCACAGAAGCCCCAAATCCTTCTTCAATTCGTCATTATATTTGTCGAGAGTGAAATTGATGAATCCTCTGTGAAAGTGGCTCTTTCCAACCTCCTCGATCAGCTTGACGTCTTCATCTTCCAACTCGAACTCAAACACTTTGATCACATCTTGGATTCTCTCCAGCTTTGACGAAGTTGTGAGTGGGAGTGCACCCTTCTGAATGGCGTATCTGAGTAAAATCAATGAATCTGATCTACCATACTTCTCGGCCAGCCGGGGAATAATTGGATCCAGGGGTCCACCCTTCGCCTTCGTAAGAGGCAAAAGAGGGGCATATGCCTCTATAAGTAGTCCATTGTCCTTTGTGGCGCTCAATGATCCGGGAATTTGCTCCGGAAGATAAGGATGATATTCGAACTGATGCGCTGCCGGTTTGATAGTGGAAACCTTCAGAAGAGTTTCAATGCTAACAGTGGAGAAATTAGAGATACCAATGTTCTTTGCCTTGCCCTCCGAGACGAGCTGTTCCATTTCCTTCCAGTACTTTGCCAAAAGCTCCTGGTCTTCTTCAAAGATGTCGTTGTGAATCAGGTACAGGTCCACATAGTCCAGCTTGAGCTCTTCCAGACCAGTAGTAAGCGATTCGTAAGGTCCAGAGGTGAATGGACCACGCAGTCCAATAACTCCAGGGAAAAACTTGTCAGTCAACCAGATATCTTCACGCTTCACGAGCCCGTTGTCGATGGCCTTGTTGATGGCGGCACCGATTTCTGGATGGGTAGTATAGACCTCAGCAGTGTCGAGGTGTCTGAATCCAGTCTCTATGGCTTGGTACACGGAATCCACCAATGGCTGGTGCAACGTATCCTTAAACTCCTCAGGTCTTCCCTTTTTCTCGTGCTGCCAGGCAGTCCCTGAGCCAAAGCCAATTCCGGGAATTTTGTCGCCACTGGGCAAAGTAAAATATTCAAGCTTAACCATTTGGATTTATATGCTGCTGAAACCTCAGAAAATCTCAAAACAATTCTTAGGAACCGTTCAGTGACGGGGAAGAAAGAGGACGAAAATTACGGGAATCAGCGCCCTTTATCCGCATTGCAGGATTAGCCAACAATGTCGTGCTTTTGCTGAAAAATTGGCCTTATCTAGATAAGCCATATGCGATAAGCAAAGTTGGGAGAGCCGAAAGGGATTCTTAATAAGCAGGTTCAATAGTTGGCAAGTTTTGTAACGTTAAACATGTTACTAGTTTATCGTTGAATACTGGTAGAGAACATGTGCTGGGGTGGAGACGTGTCGTATTCTCTCTTAAATAGCCGTGGATAGGAGCCTCCATACTTTTTCTCTAGCAAGAACTCGAATGTATCCATAAACCATGCTCCTTTAACTCTTGTACAGGCTATTAGACCGTTACAATTGTTAAAACTGATACATCTGCTCCGCTGAGGAAAGATATCAATTGAAAACTACGGAGTAAGTCAAAAGTCTACAGCAAATCATTACCGATGCCCACCCGCCACAGTTTAAATCCATACGATATCTTATCCCGACGCTCGATGTCCCTTTGTCACTAAAATATTCTACAACGTCTTCAAACATGAGGGTTACTCTATAAACTCTGGAATCCAACTGTACTAGAAAAAAAACATGACAATCGTAAAAGCCCCTAAAAACCAGCTGAGTTCGAGGGGCTATGAAACATGAATACTTGGGCAAAAAAAGATCATTCGACACAGGAAGGCTGGCACTATAAATACAAACCGTCTACTCTCTACCATCCCCTTGCATGGTAATTATCGTTATCCCAGTCATCGTCGCCTTTAACAGGTACTTCAACATCCACGTAGTGGACGCCCTGCCGCCTATTGGCCGAGTTCACGAGCGGCGAATCAATCTCAATTAAGGGATTCTTCTGGCGCCCTAAAACCCCGCTGACGATTATGTTTGAGGTCTTTTCCTCCTCAACTTCGGCAGCATGCAATCCGGGGCCGTTCAGGGATAGTGCTTCAACTCCTTCGGACTCTTGATGATTATTCTTGAACCCATGCTGCTGCAATTTCGGAGTAACTTTCGGAGTAGCTGGCCTGCGTTCGCGAGATGCCTTTCGCGATGCCGGGGGTCTTGCAGCCGCTGGGTTTTTGTTTTCATCAGAACGCATCATCATACTACGTTCCCAAACGATGGATTTTCGCAAAGACTCAGATAATTCAGTCGAGATCATCTGCCTGCGTTGGGTGCGAGGAGAGAGATTTCCGTTCTCAACCGGTTGGGCTTGGTGATGAGACTGTTGTGGATCCACAACAGGCATCTGCTTTGGCGATTTTATCATGCGAGCTCTCTGTGGAACCGCTGCTGGCGTATGTCCACGATGGTGTTGCTGGGTAGGCAAGAACATATGCGTGGAAAGGGCTGTTGGAAGAAGAGTGGCTGCTGTTGGTGGAGCATTCGATTGGTGTTTGGAGTCGGCATTGTTAGGTCTTCGAGAATTGGCAAAGAAGGAAGCCAGATTGATTGCGCTCTTTGAAACAGACGGCATTGTCGGCGTTGCAGACGCATTAACGTGGGACGAGGAAGTAGTGGTGACTCTGTGAGAGGTGATTTCTAATGAGCTCGCGTGGAACTCCGGAGAAAGAGGTTTATCAGATGATCTTTCAGACGATTTTTCATGCTTCTCAGAATGTTCTGGAGATCTCTCCGATCTTTCAGCACGCCTCTCCTTGCTGCGGGACTTCTCATCCTGGAACAGCTTTTTAGGCAATTCGGGTCCATTTGGATTCACACTTTGCTGATGGCGTGGCTGTTGCTGACTCTGACTCTGACTCTGACTCTGACTCTGACTCTGAGGCTGAGAATGATTCTGATTCTGGGCATTCAAGTCATTCAAGAACAGCCCAGACAACAAACTTCGCCTGATCACCGGCTCCTCCTGCTTCGTTTTCTCAAACTCAAGCTTTGACTGGTTTTCCTCATCGGAATCGTCAAACTCCTCCTCGCTCAAAGACGACCAGTCAGACCCATCCGAGAAGTCGTCGTCAGATGAGAACATTACTTTGGCCTTTGGATCGTTATTGTTGCCGAAAAGCGACTTATTGCTTTGAATTTCAGACCCCGGGCTAATTGGACGGACCGTGCTAGCAGTATTCGCGAAGAGTTGAGACTGGTGGTGATGGTCCTGCTGGTGCTGTTGCTGGTGCTGGTGCTGCTGATGTTGCTGTTGCTGTTGCAACACTCGCAATTTGTCCACGTTGCTTGTAGTTATCCTGTGCTGTTGGTGGTGGGACTCAAAATCCTTCTGCCTCTGCTCAGAAGGTCCTGCTTCCAATGTCAGCCTGTCTATAGAATCAATTAAATCGCTTTCCACAGGAGAGGGAGAACTCTCGATATAGAACATGCTATTACTAGCCCGTGGGGAGAATCCGCGGACTATCGAGGTTGACGTGTTTGTTCTCTCCACTGTAGGCCTCGTCGGCTGGGGACTTTTGGGCCCTGCTTTCGGCGAGAACAGCTGATTCACTCCATGAGTTTGCGCAATCTGTTCAGCAGTCTGGATGTGTGCTCGTGCCTGAGAAGATCGGGTCTGCGTTTGTGAGGGTGAGTCATGATTCTGTAGGGTCTGTGTATGTGCATGCGTAGTGTGCAAGGCTTGGGTATTGTGCGTATTATGTGCATTCTGTGATGCTTGATCATGAGTTTGCACCCCTTGAGGTTGACTCTGCAAAGCCTTCTGTCCATTGTCCAGCTTTTTCTGCTTTGTTCCAGCCAAGAATGGCTGCGAAAAGCCTTTATTTTGTGAAATGGACACTAGTGTGTTGAAATCCTTTGAGTCCAGCCGTGTCTGGTGCAAAAGAACGTTCCGATTGACCACACGCCAGGATATATTTTCTAGTCGCTTGCCATTCTTGATGAAATGTGATGATTTGGTCAAAGTAGTCCACACAGTCAGCAAACTATCAAAGTCAAGATGCTGAAGATTGGCCAACGAAGACTCGGATAGCTCCAGGAACTGAACCTTATCTTTTGACATTTTCTGGAAGCATCTATGGTAGGGTAGGTGGGAGTGTGTTGGATTGTAGTGTGGAGTTCGTGATGCTGGTGGGGAACAAGTGCTTTAACAAGTATAATTGAGACTTGTATATGCGCAATCTTCAACAGTCACGCTGGAATTCCAAAAGGCACAAAATTTAGCTTCGAAGCGCCTTTCAGCGAGTTTTTTTTTGTGATGTTGTAGCACCTTGTTCAAGGCGTTCAAATACGAGTATGGATCACCAAAAAAAGGTTCAAACCAAGGATCTCGGGACTCAAGCAGGAAAGGTTGGCAAACCAGAGATGGAAGTCGGGGCTTTGAATCCAAATAACCGGCAAAAACTGGTAGTATCGAACTCTGAAACTCAACAGAAACCACCTTGTTAAGAACAAGGACTTGTCACGCACGCACACCCATTGCCAGGCCTATACAAGCGACGAGCCCGGAGATTACCGCGTGCGCAGACAAATCTGAAAAAAAATGAATGACCAGGCTCGGGTGCCAACCGGTTCTCCCCGCGATTGTCCGGGACGCCCCATCTTTGGCCCGCGGTTTGGGAGGGCGTGTACCCACGGCACTGAATGAAGGCTCGTCGTCTCGATCGCGGATAAATCTCCGGATTTCGTTACTGTTTTGGTAACAAAGTGCCAGACGAATTTGGCGAAACTCGTGAAGCGCGGTAGCTTATACACGCTTTTCACCCATAAGGTGTTCTATTTCGCACACATTTACTGCCAAATGCACGGAGTTGTCATTTAATGAGGACACGGCCAGTGGTAGTGGCTATCATGGGCTGTGTAGTGCGCTTTGACAGCTCGTAGCAATTCCCCCATAGTACCTGTTTCGCTGGCCGCCTCATTCCCCTTTGTTGTATATCAACTTATTTGTGCGACTTTTCTTATTTCAAGATTCAGTCCACTTTGCTTAATTTCTTTTCTTTGTTTGTCCGATATGCACCAGTTCATTTCTTTTTCTCCAGATAATCCGAACGGTGTTCCGCAGAGCATGCGGCGCTAGTGGAATTCCGTCGACCCCCCACCGAAGTATATAAATCCACACGCTTTTGCCATGATCCCTCTTTTTCGATACTCTGAGAACCTCAGTGTTACTAAAGTGAACCTATCAATTCAAATATAGAATGACCGTTGGCGAGAAAGTCTTTAAGTCCTTCATCTACGTTGACGACACGCCGTTGCCTAGGAAGGCCCCCGAACTGGCCACTAACGTGCTAGATCTGTTCTCACTCAAGGGAAAAGTGGCAGTCGTGACTGGGTCTGCCCGCGGACTCGGACGTGCTATAGTAGAGGCATATGCGCAAGCAGGTGCTGATGTGGCTGTCTGGGACTACAAAGACGCTCCGCAGGTTGCAGAGGAACTGCACAAGAAGTACGGTGTACAGTCACGTTCTTACGGCTGTGATGTCTCCAGCTCGGAGGCTGTAGAGGCCACTATCGCACAGATCGAGCAAGACTTTGGAACAATTGACGTGTTCGTGGCGAACGCCGGCGTGGCTTGGGAGACCGGATCAATCTTAGAGGAGCAAAACCAAGACGATAAAAATTGGCATCGCGTCATGAATGTTGACCTGAATGGAGTCTACTATTGTGCTAAAGCTGTTGGTCGGATTTTCAAGAGCCACTCGTCTGGTTCGTTGGTTATCACTGGCTCCATGTCAGGATCGATTGTGAATGTTCCAAACTTCCAGGCACCTTATAATGCAGCGAAAGCCGCCTGTATCCATTTGGGAAAGTCATTGGCCGTGGAATTTGCACCTTTCAATGCTAGAGTCAACACAGTTTCTCCGGGGTATCTAGATACAGGTCTCTCGGACTTTCTTCCGGATGAAATTAGAGCGAGATGGTGGGCAATCTCGCCGATGGGCAGAGAAGGACTACCTCAGGAGGTGGTTGGAGCCTATCTTTATCTTGCCAGCAATGCCTCGACTTACACTACTGGCTCCAACATGGCTGTTGATGGTGGTTTTACGGCTCCATAGAGGCTCCATAGAGGCTGTGAATGGAGATGGAATGTGGCGAGTGTGAGTATGGCTAGTGGTTGGTGGCTGGGGACTACAGACTCGGCTACAGGCAGCGAAGCCAAACGATTGGCTCAAAAGACTGGCTCAAAGACTCACATGTGACTAGTTTGACTGTTTTCATACGTTTCAAACATTTTTTGTTGCCCAGTACCGATAATACTTAGTTGTGTTTTGCGTAACTTTGCCGTAGCGCAATCGGACAGTCCGCTGGGTACATTTCCTAATCAGGAAACCCTCCGATGGCCCCGGCCCCTTTACTTAAGGCCATGGGCTTCTTTGCTATTCTAAACCCAAAGTTTCAATCTGTTCTACGATCTCAGTTTTTTGTTTTCTTGATCTAACTGTTTCAAAAACATCTCTGTTTATAAACAACCACAATCACCAGTGTGACTGTGTCTTATAGTTGTCTTGTTGTTCATCTGTCGATCCCTCTACAAACGCAACCCTCCGGATTAATATGTCAAATGTCAAGAGCATCATCGTGGATGTCGGCGAACTGCCTACCAAAGATCCGGTCTTGAAGCCAAATATTCTGGAATTATTTTCCTTGAAGGGAAAGGTGGCTTCAATCACAGGCTCGTCTCAAGGAATTGGCTATGCCATTGCTGAATCTTTTGCTCAAGCAGGTGCTGATATTGCCCTGTGGTACAACTCAACTCCCGCAGATGAACTTGCTGCATCTCTTTCAAGCAAGTACGGCGTCACTGTGCGTGCGTACAAATGTCCTATCGACGATTTCTCCGAGGTGCACAAGACCATCAACAAGCAGGTTGAGGATTTCGGCCGTATAGATGTGTTTGTGGCAAATGCAGGTGTGGCCTGGTCAAAGGGTGAAATTCTGGGGATGTCGGACGACGAAGGTCAACGCGAATGGCGCAAAATCTGGTCGCTGGATGTCGATGCCGTATACTACTGTGCCAAGTCGGTTGGAGAAGTGTTCAAGAAACAGGGCTATGGGTCTTTCATCGCGACTGCTTCCATGTCCGGCCATATCGTGAACTTCCCCCAAATGCAATCGCCTTACAATGCAGCCAAGGCTGCAGTTTTGCATCTGATGAAATCCTTTGCTATTGAGTGGGCTGGATTCGCTCGTGTCAATACTGTTTCTCCTGGATACATTAAAACCGAAATGACCAAAAGTATTCCTCTGGAGACGCGTGCACATTGGTGGCCTATTATTCCTATGGGACGTGAGGGCTTACCCCAGGAATTGGCTGGTGCATATCTGTACCTGGCTAGTGATGCTTCGACCTACACAACTGGATCGGATATCAAGGTGGACGGAGGATATTGTGCGGTATAGAAATTCATTTGGAAGACTATTATATGGATTAGACTATATAATGGGACCGCAAAAATTCATCATATAAAGTGCCGTTATAGCCAAGGTATTCTATGAAAAGAGTGCTGTACAGTCTTACCAGGACCACTAGCAGAATTATTTATTTTTCGCCTTTTTGTACACCACCTCAAAGAGGTATTGCTTTATCACATGACCAACAATTTGCAGGTTTTTGGTTCAATTGTTAAGCCCATTTGTTTGATTGGAATGAATCATTTGTCCATGCAGTCAGTATGTATTATGCAGTCAAACTACCCTGTTTCAACTGTTCAGACCTGCTAAACCCTCCAAAAAAAATTCCTCTTCATTCTTCATAAACATCCACCTTCTTCAACACCAACGGTCTTGTTTGCAGTCCATCAATTGACTCGACAAGATCTCCGTTTTGCTTCCTCAGTACTTCGATAGCTCGTCTCAGATCAACACTAGTATCACCAGCCTTTCTAACCATTTCAGCTCCGCTACCCTCATCAATTAACTCCCAATCATGGCTATATTTCTTCAGAAGTGTGGCGGTGTTTGGAAGTTCTAGAAATCCGTATTTCTCCAATGTTGATACATGCAAATCGTATTTCTTTTCAATATCCTCGACTTTCATCCGACTATGACGGGATATGGCACACAGTATCTTATTCAATCTGGCTTGGTTTACCACGCTCGAAAAAACATCGCTTTTAAGTCCGAAAACTGCTTTACGGTAGCTTTCTTCAGGCTGGTGACTGCCTAGGCGGAATTTTCCACTCACAGCTTGTAGCATGGCCGGAATATTGAAGTCAGCAAATGATTGAGATAATCCGTCCACCCATTCGTCATCCACAGAGTTCTCCAGCCGTCTGGTTATGGCACTTTCCATGGCCAGGTTATCGTCATTAAGCATATCATTCACCATCATTAATCCAAAAAGATCCCATTCAGTTCGCACAGAGTCAACAAGCGAAAGTAGAGTCATCAAACTCCTCAACTGGAGGCGAGCAGTCTCAAACTCCAAAGCGTTGAAACAACACACTGAAGCCCAGTAAAAATACTCTGTCGCGCCCTCAATCGAGATCCGATTCGATATTTCTGTTATGGGACCTTTGTTTGCCAAATCGAACGCAAATCGCCAGTTTTCAGTCGCATGAAACACTTCCATGGTCTTCACAACCACCTTATTCAGCACAGGTTTCTCGAAACGGGTGCAAATTTGCCTAAACGACTCATAAGCCATATCATTTGGATATCTGATTGTAAGTTGTGCAAAAATGTCGATTATACCTTCGAAAGGACCGATCAAAACCGTCTCTTCAAACACCTTATCTAGCCTCACCTTGTACAGGTACCTAATCCCGATACGGATCAATTCAGAGCCCAGCTCTTCATCCTGCAAACCGGTTAATCCATACTGATCCAATAGCCAGTGGTATATCTGAGTCCACAGAAATGTGTTCTGCGAAGGACACTTGTGGTTGAACACGTCTCGGTTGGCTAGTTCAATGCATTGTCTTGGAGAGCCTACCGTGGAAACGAGGTAGTTATCAATATATAGGTCAATCGCAGCAACCTTATTGGTCTCACCAGTGTCAGAAGGGAGAAATTCGGGAGTCATAAAGGATACACAAAGGAATTGGTGTTTTAGTCGAATATTGAGTGATATCCATGTGGCTCTTATCGTAATAAAGCTCTAGACATCTGATCGTGATAGGTAGTCCATTTACCAATTTCTAACTTGAGTCTCGCCACATCCTCCGCCACTGATAAACTGCCCCACAAAATGGGCCGATCGGTGCGGTGGAGATCTCTTTAGAATTCACAACAGGTTATATTACCTAAAACATGAGAAACAGTGTTAATATTAAAGATCTTCTTGATCGCATTGCACCTTCACCACTCATTTTGGATGGCGCTATGGGAACAGAGCTCGAGCTGAGAGGTGCTAAGGTCGCTAACAAGTTGTGGGGTGGAATATGTTACTTTGATTCCCCTCAAATGGTGGAGGATATACATCTGGAATATCTAGAAAGTGGTGCAGACATCTTAATTACCAATTCTTATCAGCTGAGCACTTGGGCAATGCTGGAATCAGGCAATACGAAAACCCAGGAAGAGTGCATAGAGGTGTTCAAAGGAACGATCAAGCTAGCGAAAAATGCCAAGGATAGGTTCCTAAGCAAAACAAAAGTTGGTAATCGTCCCATTGAGCCCCTAATTTCCGGCTCTGTAGGACCATACGGTGCATATCTCGCAAATGGAGCGGAGTTTACGGGTGAGTACGGGACCGTATCTGAGCAGAGAATCAGGGACTACCACTACGATAGGCTGAAGGTACAACTAGAGAGTGCGGATTTGGATTTGGTAGCAATGGAAACGATTCCACATTTGCCGGAGATCAAGATTCTGGTAGCCCAATTTGACGAGATGGTAAAGGAGTTGAAGATAGAGGGAGCCTCTTATTTCCTTAGTCTGAGTGTTCGGGATAGCAGTCATCTGGCTGACGGGACTGATTTGGCTGAGGTGGTTGAGTTTTTGGACTCCTCAGAACACCTTTGGGCCGATTACTTAGTTGCATTTGGAGTGAACTGTTGCGATCTTATGGTAGCAGATGAGGCACTTGAATATATCAAGGCTTCAATTGCTAAGTCCAAGCATCTCAAAAACATGTCCCTCATAGCATATCCCAACTCAGGCGAGATCTACGACGGAATCACCAAACTGTGGACTCAGGGAGAAACTGTCAAGTCTGGAAAATCGCTTTCGCTGTTTGCACAAGCCTGGGTAAAGCATGGAGCCAGGTTTATTGGTGGGTGTTGTCGGACCCGGCCAGAGGACATTAAGAAAACTTATGAGGTGGTGAGCAAGCTTTATAGGTGAGACCGAGAAAGAGCGGGAATTCAGCTAAACCGTTCGGGTTGTAGGCCGGATTGTATGTCAGTCCGCAGTCCAATTGGAGCCCTCGTCACAAATCGGATTATCAATGAAGCCAAGCTTTTTACCATATGTCAAATTGTAATCTAAATCATGTCTTAACCCATACCGAAGCTCCTACTTGGAGTGAGTCACGAGCACCGCCGCACCTGGTGCGACACGACCATCAATGCATCATGCGAAAGAAATTTCCGGCCGATATCACACTCATAACAACTCCGATTGTAACTAGGCTCCAAGCTCTTATTTTTCAACATGGCTGAACAAATCGCTAGAAGTGCCCACTTGGCAAGCACTGTGTTGAAGACGCTCTCTGACGAGCAGAGGTCACTGGCTTTGCTGAAGGTCAAGGAGGGTCTCTTGAAGAACAAGACCGAGATTCTAGAAGCAAACAGACTCGACATGGAGGCGGCAACCTCGCAGAATCTATCGTCCTCGTTGATCAAGAGACTTGACTTGTCCAAGAATGACAAATTTGATTCGATGTGTGAAGGTATTTTGGATGTTTCCAACCTGGAGGACCCACTCAATAAAGTCACTTTAGCCACCAAGCTAGACGACGGGCTAAACCTATACAGATTGACGTGTCCGGTCGGAGTTTTGCTCATAATCTTTGAGTCAAGACCAGAAGTAATTGCTAATATCACTGCTCTGGCCATAAAATCGGGAAATGCTGCGATACTGAAGGGCGGTAAGGAGAGTCTCCACACGTTCCAGGCAATGGCCAAGATCATCAACAAGATTCTTCAGGATGACACCAAGGTACCCAAGGATGCAATTCAGTTGATTTCGACTAGGGGTGAAGTGAGTGATCTTTTGAGCCAGGACAGGTACATTGACCTGGTTATTCCAAGAGGTTCTAACGAGCTGGTGAGAAACATCAAGGCCAACACCAAGATCCCTGTTCTGGGCCATGCCGACGGAATATGCTCGATATACGTTGATGAGTACGCCAACATCGAAATGGCCTCAAAAATCATAGTTGATGCCAAAACAAACTACCCTGCAGGATGCAATGCCGTGGAAACTGCGTTGATTAACTCTAGAGTTGTGGCCTCCGAAGGCTTTGCTGAGATCATCAAGTCACTGATAGGTGCTGGAATCACACTTCATGTTGTTCCAGAGTTGTTAAAGCAGATTCCAGCTGAGCTTCTGGAAGCCACTCCTGGCCAGTTCGTGGAGGCAACGGAGTCAGATTTCAGCAAAGAATTCCTATCGCTAGATCTTGCTGTCAAGGCTGTTTCTTCTGTTCAAGATGCTGTTGTTCATATCAACGCCCATTCGTCGAAGCACACAGATGCTATCATCACGGATAATCAGGAGAATGCAGATATTTTCCTCAAGGGAGTGGATTCTGCAGGAGTGTACCACAACTGTTCCACCAGATTTGCTGATGGGTTCAGATACGGATTTGGAACCGAGGTTGGCATTTCCACCAACAAAATCCACGCCAGAGGTCCTGTTGGTCTGGAAGGCCTGGTGTGTTATTATTACCAGTTGAGAGGGGAGGGTCAAATTGCAGGTGAATATAGTGGTGCTGGTGGCTCGCGTGTTTTCAAGCACGAAAAGCTCGACATCGGTAATCTACACCTATAACGAGCATGACAAAAGATACTAAAAAACTTACGAATTGGAGCTGTCTGACGAAACAGACCTATTTTGTAGAATGAAAACTAAATGATTGAATTTTTCCCGTATCTCTGACGGCTATCAGCCAATTGGTGTTTATCATCATAGCTATATTTTTCATCAGTCCTTGTGATTTAGCCTCTACTCTGCTGAAATCTCGATTTCTCACCTTTATGCCTTGATTGGAATTGCAAACTGATCCCATAATCCGAAACAAAACCTGAAAAGTACCCAACTAATGCTCAGGCAAATAACAACAGTAGTGGATGTTCTTTTTATAATTGAACAATAGAAATTATGCAAGCATGCAGCCAAGGATGAGTACTGCATCTGAACTGCTTGAGGTATTATTTTAATGCATTGGCGTGCAGCAAAGGATCAAAAATGACTGCTGTGAAGGCTGAGGAATTTGAAGGGGTATAAGATAATCACAGTTTCAAGTGGATTATAGAATAGATAGATTGTAAATCTAAATTTAGGATATAACTCTTTGACTTATTTTAGAAAGAATGGGTCTCTTCTGATTGATTGGGTATGTTATTTTAGTTTTGAGCACCGTTGTCCACTAACACCATCATTCTCCAGTTGTTTCCAAAACACACTCTGCGGAGCTCTTTGGGCACCCCAGATCAGTCTGAACCACAATCGGAAAAGCACAGAAGGTCTTTCGTTGTTCTATGTTGTACTTAGGCTCTTGGGTGATGTTCTCTACGTACTGGGAGCCTTGTTTCAAGGCTTGATGGCGTTCATGATATTTCAGGCCATTCAGTACACCACGCATGACGCAGCTTTGCTCTTTCAAATTATGTTCTATCGCAACCGCCAGAAACAAAACCAGGGTCGGATCCAATTACTCCAATCAGATGACCTGAGTGACCCTGATACGAGCGACGAAGACGATGATAGTGACAACGAGAAGGATGTCGATAACTCAGTGGACTCTAGCATAACCCGAAAGGTACTGCGCATTATTGTGGCCACCCAATGCTACATCCAAATTAGTATAGTGACGGCAGGTTTGCTAATGCTCTTCAATGTTATCGATCTGATTCGTATTTACGCCTGGGGAGCACGAAGTGACGCTCCTTTCTACTCTGATCATCGCCTGAGGTTTGGCACTCGAGCACAGATTTTTGGCTGGTGTTCTGCCGCATCATACATAGGATCGAGATGTTCCCAGATTCAACTCAATAATAAAAGGAAGTCGTGCGAGGGAATATCACGCATGTTTGTTCTTTTGAAATGTTTGGAGAGCGTTGTGTCAGTGGCTTGTATTTTGAGTCAGAGTACTGGAAAGCACTATATGCTAATATACTCTTCGTGGCTGGTTGGCTATGTAGGGTCTTTGCTTTTAGACTTGGTGATACTTTATCAGTGCTCCATTTACCAAGGCAACCAATGATATCTATCCTAGACGTTGTTGGATAGACTAAATAAACAATTTTTATAATAATGTGATTTATGCTTCACAGGAGCAATGTTGGACAAAATGACTTCAACTCAGTTTGCATTTTGTTTACGATAGCAATGTGATGTCCAGCATTTTCCAAAAACAGTTCACGATTATAATAAAACTCACTATGAAATCAATGATATCGCCATAAATTTACACCAAAAAACCGACCCAACACTAAGTTTGCAGATCTCATATCAGTCCAAATATCAATGACTTCTCACCATATCCTTTTATCGGCCATCTCATACCTCATAACCCCATCCAACTTGTCCTCGGTATCAAACCTGCCTGAGGTTCTTTTGATCAGCTTCGCTCTCCTCAGTTCTTCCAGCGAAGGAGGAATCTTCTCGTCCGCATCATAAAGCTGAGATCTTGCATCCTGGTCCAGCTCCACCAGCGAAGTATTGGGTGGTCCCGGCATGTAATCACCAAGGGCCTGAATCACGGACGATTGGCCGGAAGCCCTCGACCGAGCTAGAGACCGCTTGACAGTTCTGTTGGCCCACCTCAACAGCACAAGCGAAAGGGTTAGCCTCAGGAACAATACTACCAAAAACCCAAAAACCACCAGAAAAAGACCCTGCAAGCTTATCTCCCAAGAGCCATCGCTATCATGGGTCAAAACCAGACTCTTCACCCATGGAAAAACGGTCATCTTGGTGAAAACCACCACCACTGTAGCCAATGGCAGTCCGGTTCTTCGCGTCAGAGTCACATCGGTTGACCCTAGATCAGGATTCTCGCCATTTATGTCAAGACGATGGCTAGACATGTAATCGGAAGAAAGAACCGTGAGGTATTTGCCGTATATTTTGGGCTGAATGCGGTTAAACTTGGTGATGTACAGGTGTTTGAGCCAGTCAACCAATACCTCAGATCCAATCACAATGAATGTGGGGCCCATCAAAACACCAATCCAGTTGTTGAGAGAAGGAGAAAACGTTAATTGCGAAACCCATGAGTTGGGCTTGAGACCCGTGTTGAAGAGATTGCCCACAGACCCGGTGCTGTATAGTTGGAAAAGATTCCTCGAGATAATAATGAATAACTCAACCAACAATTGAAATCTTTCGGTCAGATCAGCGCAACTAATCTGGAACAGGCCCTCTCTTTCGGCCTTCTTGAAAACGGTACTCTTCAGCTCTGAAAACTGGTTGGACAGGATGAGGGTCAGAAGAGCGTTGGAGTAGGAGTTAATGGCAACGTTCAGGGCCATGATCTGGTAAACAAAAATATGGCAATGAAGACACAGGTATGCGATGCATAGACCAAAAACACCAGATAGCTCCAAAAGACGATAAAAATCGATCACCACACACAGCTCCTCCGACTTCTCCTTCCTCTTGGTCTTGGAGATTCTCATTCTGAACAGCAACTTCATTAAATCCTGACCAAGCGCAGAAAGCAGCTTATCAGCAACCTCCAGCACTCCCACCATGAGATAGAGCTTCATGGCCGTGCCTGCACGGATGTTGTGGTAGATCTTGGACGTATCGAGACTGTTCAGCGTGAACAGACTGGCGCCTACCAAGAGCACCCATAGCGTATCCCTTTTCAAATATGAGTATCGCCATCCTGAAGACGAAAGATCTGTGGTTTTCATTTTAAATTGAAATCTCATTACAGAGAGACCGTGTATCAGCACTCGCAAAGGTGTCAGTGTGAGCAGGGTCAGGAACTCATTGAGACTGTACAATAACCCAAATGCCATGAACTTTTCCAGCCATATTGGCACTTTTGCAAAGTTCAACAACTCATTAACTTGAATGGCCCCAGAATCTTCTTCCACGGTGACGGGTTTAGACTGAACGCCATTGTTCAGAATGTGAGGCACGTTCAGTTCCACCAGTAGATACCTCCACAAACTGAACGAGTTATGTTGACTAGCATTTCCATTGGGTGTTGAATGCGACCTGCTCCTAGCAGCTGATGATGTTCTTCTTTCTTCCATCAAAAAATCAACCGAAAAGATCAATTGGTGATTAGATACGAAATCAATCAACCACAACAAGTATCCTGATGCAGATTGAGTATGAGCATCATATCGCATTTTCCGTTTTTGGACACTACCTAATAAGCGCGATGAGGCTCGTGCCAAATTTCAAAAAGCTTGCTTAATGGTAATTGATCCTTGTATAGTATTTGTCAATGTCACAAACGTCAAAATATTCGCCTGAAAATGATCACCCTTCAAGATGTCGATGCCGTGATCACTCCTTACAAATCTCAGCCGATGTTATCTCCTGGTGATGCCAGCAACCTCAGTTATAAGCTGATCGAGCTTCTGATGGAGGGATCCTGCGAGCGGGAAGTCCTGCGTGCTCTATCGAGTCTTTTTTCCACCGATACTTATGAGCAATTGGTGCAGGAGCGCGTGATAAATCACCATTGTGGCTATCCTCTCTGTGGAGTTGTCGATCCACAGAAAATCTACCATAAAGTGCAGAAGAACCCGTTGGTCGCTAAGTTGAAGCTGCCTGGTGCATATAAGACCAGCTACTGCACCCAGCAACATTACCAGGGCTCGGAGTTCTACAAAAAACAACTTTCGCCGGAAGCGATATGGGCCAGGACAGATGTGGTGAACTTGGACGTGAATCCAAAAGACCAATATTACACTTTCCTGCTGGAAGACGTCTTGGATAACAGCGATCGTGTTCCTAGAAACTCGATGGATACGCTACAGCAATCGCTTGATGAACTGCGTTTGAGTGTAACTCAGCAATCAGGGGTTGATCATAATGATATCAAGATTAAAGAACATGATGCTTCTGAGTTATAAAGAGATGGCGGTTACTGTTCAAGATGGTGCATTACTAGGCTCACTGGTTCAAAGAAAAAGGTGCATATAACCATTGGTTCATTCAATATTCAGGGCCGGTAATTTGGTCCCGGACTTCATATAATTATCATTAAGTAGCTTGCTCAAGCTTTCCCCGGCCATATCTGTATAAGGACCGATTTTGCGGTCTTTCGTGGTATTCATGATTCTTCTTAGGAGGCGGGCTTTGGCCTGTAGTTGGCCCTTGTAGTCGGGAAGGATTTTAGAGGTGTAAAGCAATTGTTTCCGGTTATGCTCGGACATTCGCATGTTGTGATATTGAGTCAAACGCTCAACTTCTGCCCTGTACCGAGGAAGGGTCTCTGGCCAAGAAACACTGTTTGAAGGTTCAACTCCCATGAGGCTTTCTTCAGATACGTAATGTGGTCCAAGACTCGTTTTCAGCAAACCTTCCCAATTAGCCTCAAATGAATACATTTCTTCATATTCTGCACTATATTGCTCCATCTGAGGCTTTTCAGCTATCAATCGCTCGTAGTGTCTTCTGAAGGCGATGAAGTTCCTGGTATCATGATAAAGAAGCTTACCCCACGGGGTCTTCGCAAATAAGATCCTTCCTCTCGCTGTGTGTACACCCTTGTAAATGAATCTGAAAGGTCTATTCACTGCTCGTTTGACTCTGCCTAATCTTGTGTTGGCCCTAGCAAATAAAGCTCGCGAGGTGTACACTTGATCCATCCACTTTCTGTCCAGTTTCGACTTGTGTGAAAGAATGTGTTTGCTCTGGTCTTTCTTCATCTGGCACACCACGTAACCTGCTAGTTTTGTTTTCTGGTGTCTTTTTCGGGCCTCTTCCCAATCCTCGGGCTCTTGGTGATTATCGTGTAATTTGCGCGGTGGGGGTGGTGGTGGTTGATGATACAGCACTTCAGACAGTTTGGTGTTCACGTATTCAGAAACATCACGAGATTGTTCAAACGCGCCCAGAAGCTCGCGATCTATGATCCCCGCGTCTATGAGCCTCTTTCGTGTTCGCCAAGAGCTTTTATCCTTCGAAAACCGGCGGAACTCTTCTCGCACCTTGCTGATACACTGCAGCTGTTCCACCTTGGGGCATATCTCGTTTATATGAATAGATGCTCGTAATAACGATCTGTAGATGCTGAGAATAGAATCCTTGTGACATTTTAATTCATAAAACTGCAACACCATTTTGATGACATGAATATTTAAGCCATATCATTTGGGCCACTTGAGGGCCAAAAAGTTTCACTTAGGGAAGGTGATGAGATGAGCAACGAAGCTCTTGCCAAATTCACTTATCAGCCCAGCTACGCGTTAATATTGCGGATTTTGTGCTAACAAGTTTTGTTGACGCGTTCATTGACGATGGTAAGTTATTTCTTGATGTGAATTTATGATTGGTTGGATTTAAAACTAACTAAAGGCCCGCGGCCCAATTCCACAGCCACCTAAGAAAGCGAGCAAGATCCCTCTTACTCTCCGTCTCAAGAGAAAGACATACACGATCTTCGTGTCGATAGCCAGTGATGCAACGGTTTTGCAACTCAAAAAGGAGTTGTGTGAGATGGTTAATGGTACAGGTGGATTGGTGGTGGATGCCGTTCCGGAAATAATGGACGACGAGGATCTGGGAGGTGACGATGTTGATATACCCATTCCCAAACCGTCATTTGCCACTGGATCTGATGATAGTGACGCAGAAGAAACTGCCGAGATAAAGGGAGAGATTCCAGCAGAATCCCAGGTGAAAGGCTTGGTTATACAGCCAAAAGACGTGAAGTTGGCAGTTCCAAAGGACAAGTCCAATATCCACGAAGGTGCCATCGAGGACATAACAGACGAAAAGGAGACTTTGAGCAGCTTTTCGCTCGAGGACAACGATGTGGTGTTATTTGCCCTCAAGGACGAGGACTACGATGTTTTTGAGCCAATTGACTATCGGAATGAGGAATAATGGGAGCGAGACGGTGTGATAGAGCGGAGGTGCATAAGGATGCAAAGACGATCGAAAAACACATCGCTAACACCTCTCAAATTTTGAACAAACAAGCCAGTTGAAATGGCAGCATTGATAGCACTTTTGGGTAAAAAGCAGTGATCGATAGCCTGACTAACAGTGTTTCTAGTTGACGATAGTGCTCAAGCTTACATACGAGCCAGTACTAACTGAGAGTGCCAGCCAATTCTAACACAAGTTAGTGAACATTACTTCAGCACCAATTAATACTGGCTTCACTACACCATTCGTTTCCATTATTTTAATCTTTGAATCGCATAAAATATACAACCTAGTTAACCAAAGCAGAAGCAGTGGCAGACTCGTACTTCCAGTTAGGAGGCAAGACAGACACGGTTCTGTAGTAACGGGCCAATCTGTGGATTCTGGACTCGATCAAAATCAGTCTGAACTTGGAGTCCTTGTCCTTTCTGTTTCTCTCCAAGTGCTTTCTGACAGAGACAGCCTTCTTGATCAAACAGTAAAGGTCCTCTGGGATCTCTGGGGCCAAACCGTTGGCCTTCAAGATACGCAGGATCTTGTTACCGGTGATGAATCTGGTCTGGGAGACTCCGTGGGCATCTCTCAGAATGACACCGATTTGCGATGGGGTCAAACCCTTCTTGGCGTACTTGAGGGCCTGCTCGATAACAGCCTCCTCGGAGAGCTTGAACCAAGCTGGAGTACTTCTAGAGTATGGAATGGCGGACGAGGAAATACCTTTACCCTGATGGAGCTAGTGTTAGTAAACATTCAAAAATTAGACTTAACCAATACAATCGGAATAAATTGGTATCGTGCAGCTGAAGAGTCTCGCCAGAAAGCCGTAGTTGTATCCTTCTTGAATCATGGAGACGATACGTTCCCGTAAACCAGTCACCACCCAAAAGATCAACTTTTCAGCATCGACAAGACCACCGCAACGACCCTAATTTCTAATTCATTCTGTATCAATTTCGAGCATTGCTATATTACACACCTTGCTGTGCATACGACCCATTTTTGTAAGTTGTTTTGTATAATATGAACTGGTGTTGTGAGATGAAAAGAGGTCTAGTACTGAGGTGGAGCATGAATTCTTGAAAGGGTGTTGAAAAAATTTGGGATATTGATCACGTGGTATGAGTGAGGGTTATAAACCCGTTTGGTTGTGGCACGATTATTGGGTGGAGCACGTAGACTTGAGGTCGTGCTCTAATCTATATTAAACAAAGCCTTATGTAATCTAGTCCGTATTGAGCTATACAAACCTAACATTCTTCATTTATCACAGAACTTGGTTTGGAATATCAGCAAAGTCATCCTCGTCGTCTATCTCGATGAACCTGGTTGGGTGTTAGTATAGGTCTGGTGGCACAATGGATTGGCGTGTTGATCCAACCAGTGCATGTAATCTGCCAACCGATAGCATTGGATACTCACTTCGAAACTCCTGCTTTTTCACGTATCAACTCCACGGCTCCAGCATAAAGCATCTTCATGTCCTGTGTAGACGTCTGGGGCCTGTAGTAGATCAAAAGCAAAGGAGACTTGGTCAAGCCGTCCTTGGTCTTTATAGGATACGACAGAACGATGTATCTTGGAGTATTATCTGGGATCTCTTCCACCAGTTCTTCCAGAGACGTGATTATCTCGTCATCGGTCTTGATCTCGTATGTTTTCTTGTCGATTTGATCTACTCAATGGTTAGAATGAATCCAAGTTCGTAGCTAAGAATTGCACTCACAAACAAGGGCCTGCATCGTAGACGCTCTAGCGCTGGCGAAACGAAACTTGCGCAGCTTGCTGAGAGTTTCGTCGTTAAATGAATATAATGTGCTGCTCTGTGGGAGTGTTAGTTGTGGTGTAAGATTGGACAGCACATGAAAGAGTCAAGCTAGGGGGGTGGTCTCTAATCCCATGACCATCCCCACCATACCTCACATGAAATACCAAATAACACATTTCAAATATTCACATACCATTGTAAGGGACCTCGGATTATTAGCAAGTTATCAGAGCAATTGTTGCACATACGTGGAAGGAGAAACTGTGGATAATGCTATCAAAGAAACGTCAGATCCAGATGAGATTGGAGATCGCACGATTGTGCGGCTTGACTCAATTTCAGAGGAGATAAAGAGATAAGAGTGAATAGAGCGATAGCAAACTGGAAGAAGCTTATACAGTTTCCCAAGCAAATATTATTTGATGAAATTGTTTCTATTAACTAGTGTGAGTATTTAAGGCTTCCACATTTCTACAGATTTCTTGGATTCTGCGAGATTTTCCCAAAAAATACCAAAATGTTGGGATATTCCACAGACCCTGCCGTTTAAACTTAATTTGAAACTCATATTCAAGCTTGCTTTCAACCTCATCAAACTATAAACCAGCTAATTCGGCCTCCTCTTCGGCGGTAGCCCTCTTCTTCAACACGAGGTCGTGACCAGTGACACGCTTGTAGATATCCTTAACGTCATCAGTAGTTGTCTCGAAATGGGACGATGGGTCGTAGGACTTGGAAAGAAAGATTCCATCCTTGGAACCGTCTTCAAGAGGCTCATACAACTCTGCAATACCCATCAACACATCCACGGTCTTTCCGATGATTTTGAAAGCAGGCTCCAGCTCCACGTGGGGTCTGTCTGTCTCGACGATAGTGGATATGATGGCCAGGTAGTAACCCTTGGCACACACATTGTGGGCACTCGAAATCACAGCGATGTAAATGTCATTCTTGCGACCCACCTGCTTCTGGGGAATGATGATTTGAAGAGAGTCCAGATCATGAGTACCTGGAATTGGGTGATCAAGAATACACATTGCCCGGATGACCCTTTGACCCAAAGGTTTGACCTTCTCTGGGAAATACGTTGGGTCCGCAATCACAATAGGTGCCTTTGCAGTTCCCTCTTTCGTCTTGACACCAGCAAACTTCTTGACTCCATCAACTTCTTCGTAAAGCACCTCATCGATTGGAGTGTCCAACATGTAGGTACCACCGTAGATAGCCGACAACCGGGCAAAACCCTGAGGCAACTCACCCAGTCCATAAAGAGGATAGATATATGGAGACTTACCGTACCTGGCGACAGAACCAACATACAACACAATTCTTTCGTAGGTCTCCCTAGCAGGTTGTTCCAGGTAGTCATCTGTAGACCACAACGCCATGGCATGACCGATGAAGTCCTTGGTTCCCGACTCCAACCCGTACTTATAGTATATCTCTGCCATAGTGTTCTTGTCCAGGTCTATTCCGTGTTGAGTCGAAACATCGTCCTCCTTGTAGTTGGCGATGAATTCCAAGAAGTTTCTCATTCTTCTCTTCTCAAAGAACCCCATAAGAGAAGAAGAAACCGCTTCCATTTGGGTTGCTGGAACCTTAGAGATCCTTCCATCACGGTAAACGTAAGATCCAGAGATCTGCTTGAACTCTATGTATCTGGTGACTTCGGTGTGGACCAAGATGTTGGTGAGCTCACCGTTGGCCATAAGGAACTTAGGAATCAAATCAACACACCAATCTCTATCCTTTCCTAGAGAAGGATCAAACGTCTTGTTTGGCTTGAATTTTTCATACAGTTGGGTTAAATTCAGGGAAGCACTCTCTCCTCCGTAGAACGACTGTTTGTCAATGTGCAAGACCTTCTTACCGTCAACGGAGAGCAATCCGGAGAGAACACATTCAGTTAAACCTTGAAACGTTAGTAGTGTAATTTTGTAAGAAAATTGAAAGCTTGTTGCTTCTCAAGAAATTTGCATAAAACATACCAGTTCCTAGGGGAATTGTTAGTAAAATGGTTTTTTTGTTGTGAACAGAATTAAGGTGTGCCCCTTATCTGTCATTAGCCCCAGTGCGGGCGCCATGTAGACTGACACCCCAGAGCCTCCCAAAAAACAGGCAAAACAAATCACGTGGGCAAATAGACTTACCAAGAACAATTACGTCGTAGTTTTCATCCATCTTCAACCTAGCAATTCAACAAGAGGTGAACGGTTGTGCACTGTTATGAAGTTGGTGTGGGCGCGCGGACCAGCAAATTGACACAGAGCTGCTTCAGCAATGGCGTGGCAAAACCAAATATGAGCCGCACTATATGAACCTCATAACTAGAGACTATTCGTAATGGCCAATTTCTACACCAATATTACAAATATGTTGAAAAGAATCATCCTGATTATTGATCATTATTCATAACTTCCACTCCAGTGGAAAGCTCAAAAGTGGGGCCCCTTCGTGGGCATCTGTTGGTGTAGTAGAGTGCTGCTTTAGCAGGAGCATTTACTGCTTCGACGTGCTTCCGATCTCAAACACTCCTTCAGGAGCGTTGATCAGTTCAATGTACTTGTCACATGGCAATACCTCCTCTGAAATATGCCCAACGCAAAGGACACACCCATGGCTCCAGTTTTCCATGAGTCCTTTGCACTTGCTGATTGTATCGTCATCCATGGCACTCAGGGCCTCGTCCAGAATGAGCACTTTGGGTTGTTTTACTATGGCACGGAGAAAAAGCGCCAATTTTTGGTCTGAGATGCTGAAATCTCTGAATAATTGGTCCCTCTTATCCCATAGTCCAAAGTGTTTCAGGTAGGCCTCGATCTGAGATTTCATCTCCGGGGTCTGGTCAGCAGGCACTCGGATAAAGCCCTCTGAAAAGCCAGACGCGAGAGTATCGTAGAGAGTAAAGGATTGAGGGAATATTGAGTGCAATTCAGGTGAGGTAATTCCAATAACTTTATTAGTTTTGAAGAAGTTCGTAGACCCTGTTGCTCTGGGTATTCCCAGGAACTCGATGCTGAGATTCCAGGATTGGGGATGGTCCAAGGTGATCAGTGCCAACATGGTGGTTTTTCCAGAACCATTCTTTCCTTTAATGTGCCATTTCTCGCCGTCTTTCACCTCCCATTTGAGTTTATTCAGAACCGACTTTTCACCATATTTGACAGATACATTATCAAACTTGATGAGGGTCACAGAATCTTGTGGAGAACTTGGGGGTTTGACCAGGGGCTGAAATTTCGAGCTTTCTTTCTTCAAAAGCTGCTGATTGCGGTGGTGTTGCTCTCTAATCTCAACTGCTTCATCAATAAGGTCATTTCTAGTGCCTGCCTTGATTAGTCCCGACTTATCCACCAAAGCAATGTTGGTGATCCAATCCGGGATCTCATCCTGAACCCTCTGACCCAAAATCAACAGGCTCTCAGGCCTTTTCTTGGTATAATCAGCCAAAAACGAAGAAACAGTCTCGGTAGCAGAAGGATCAAGTCCCAGAAACACATCGTCCAGTAACCAGACCCTAGGGTCCACATAAGCAGATCTGGCGATTTTGGCCCGCCTGAATTGACCATTACTCAGGGCATTCACAAACTTCCCTTTCAAATGCTCTAAGCGCAATTTCTCCAGCAAAAAGTCCAGCTTTTCCCAGTCCATGGAATCAGTCCTCGGATACGGGACTCTAGAGATGAAATTTTCGAGTCTTTCGTCGACCTCCACATCTTTGAAAAACTCGTATCTAGCACTCATGTGAGTGAATCCAGACCCGGCAGTATTCTTGTCCCTGAAGTGCAGATGCTCAAAAGCGCCATTCGGATCACCAAGTTTGGCCCAATTGAGGTGTTTAGCCCTCGGAGGTGAAACTAGAAACCCACCACTGACAGCCTTCAGAAAGTCAGTCTTTGAAGTTCCTATGACTGCCCATCTTTCAGAGGCGCGTAGAGTCAGCGACAGAGGCTTGGAAAATACAAAGTCAGCCGATCTACTACTTCCCCTGGTAAAGAGGGCCTCAGCAAAAGTAATGAGAGACATATTGTCGAAGAAAACTCAAATTCTATGGAGGTTCTTTCCAAAGCAGGGTATGACTCCTGATCTTATCTCCGCTATGCTCCACTGTGTTTCTCTCATTGATAGATGCCCTTCAAGGTTAGTTCCGTTTTGGGAAGTAGTCTCGAGGCAGAGTAAAAGATTGATTCAGCCACTACCTAATCAATCCTGAAAGGAATCAAAATCAGCATTCCGTTCGACCTTTTCCTTGATTGAAACAGGTTTCGGCTTCATGATTCCAATGCAACACTTCCGAGATGACTCGAAACTCCCCAATTCTTGTTTATGTGGCCGCAATCTTCCAACCCACCGATCCGAGCCAGCAAGCTGCAAACCCTCAGCCTCTTTGGTTGGCGCACAACAAATTCTAACACGCTTACGGATCGAAGAAACTTAAAACCCCCACACCTTCCGTGTTGTTTATTCTACCGTGACATTTGTCTCTGTTGCCTCTTTATCCGAAGGCTCTGAAACACCGATATTGGTATTCCGCGGCATGATGTCCATGATGATGCACATGCCTAGGTCAGGCCCAATTGACTACGCCTCCATGTCTAACAAAGTGCCAGACTTCCCCACGGACGCACATCTCACCGAAAACAAGGAGGAGCGCGAGTTTGGGTCTCTCACCTCGAAGGAATGGCTTTGTGTATCGAAGCACACTCCTGGTCGGCCGTTGCCAAAACCTGTTGTTGATGAGCCTCCATACTACATCCTCATCGCAACCTATCTGAGTTTCCTGATTCTGATCATCATTGGCCATATCAAAGACTTTTTTGGTCGCATTTTCATGCCCAAGCAATTCGAGCCTCTCATGGAGAAGAATGGGTATGCTCCGTGGTATTCGAGATTGGAGAGTTTCTACACTCGTCGCATGAAGGTTAGACTGGACGATTGTTTTGCTCGCAAGACCCACGGGGCACCTGGCAGATACGTCACCTGTTACAACAGATTTTCACCTGATTACAACCATTCGTTTTATTATGATGGCACCACGACAGATTGTTTGAATCTGAGCTCTTACAATTATTTAGGCTTTGGCCAATCTTCTGGAATTTGCACGGATAACGCCGTGGAGGCTCTGGAACAACGCGGTGTTTCTGCCTGTGGGCCCAGACTCGTGATTGGAACTTCTGATTTACACCTCAAATGTGAGAAAGTGGTTGCTGAATTTGTGGGGAAGGAGGATGCAATGGTGTTTGCAATGGGCTATGGTACTAACGCGTTTCTATTCTCTTCTCTGGTGAATTCTAAATGTCTCGTGATCTCCGACTCTTTGAATCATGCATCCACCAGATTTGGTGTCAGACTTTCGGGTGCTGCTGTTAAAATCTTTCCTCACAATGATATCAAAAAACTCGAGAAAATATTGAAAGATGCGATAGCACAGGGCCAACCCAAAACCCATAGGCCATGGAAGAAAATTTTAGTTGCCGTCGAGGGTCTCTTTTCCATGGAGGGTGATCTTTGCAATCTACCCGAGCTGGTGGAATTGCGTGATAAGTACAAGTTCTACTTGTTTGTGGATGAAGCCCACTCCATCGGTGCTTTGGGACCCCACGGTAAAGGTGTATGCGACTATTTCGACGTGGACCCTTCACGAGTGGATCTGTTGATGGGGACCTTTACCAAATCCTTTGGCGCCACTGGTGGTTATGTTGCTGCCAACAAAGACATTATACAGTATTTAAGGAAGGATATACTGACGAACGCGTATGGAGAGACGCCAGCACCAGCTGTTTTGGAACAGATCATCACTTCCTTGGGAATTATTAATGGGGATCTCAACGGAAACGAAGGCCAGGAGCGTTTGCAAAGAATCGCATTTAACTCCAGGTATCTCAGACTAGGATTGAAAAGACTCGGTTTCATTGTATATGGAGCTGATGATTCCCCGGTCATCCCCTTGTTGCTGTATCTTCCAGCTAAAATGCCCGCCATCAGCAGAATGATGTATGAAAGAAACATCGCCATAGTGGTTACCTGCTATCCAGCAACCGATCTTCTTACTGCGAGAGTGAGATTCTGCTTATCTTCATCTTTGATGAAAGAGGACATTGATTATATCTTGAAGGCATGCGACGATATTAGTAAGATATTGCAGATCAAGTACAGCAGTGGAATGGCTGGTGGAGAGAGAAATCCTGGTGACTATAAGAAGGGTATCAAGCCCAGATGGTCTATTGAGGAGGTTCTCGAAAAAACCCCTTACGATTGTAAGGGGGAGATGATTTAGAGGTCTCCAATTAAAAGGAGAAATTATGGTTGCAATTCCAACCTTCGGGCTATCAATCTTCGTTCCAGATGCTCCAAGAGAATCAATCCATATCACAACTCAAGTGCCTAGGATGTCTTTTCAATGATTGAACTCCAGACATTCAAGGATTCCACACCTACAACCCAAGTGGTCACCCAAAGATCAAAAAACATGGCTCTGTCCAAATTAATAATACCAACAAACCTACAGGCATGGTTCTACGGAAACAGACTAATCTTTTTTCCCTTTGTTTCCGCTTTATACTCACCTTTAATATATTTTTCACTTCTACGCCGCATCGAATTTGTTGGGTACACGTCTTCCGAGGAGCCGGGTCCCGAGTGGGGATCAGAAACAGCACGAGACCACGCTTCTTTGCCGAGTATACCAACAAGCGAGTATTTGCACTGCGTTGGTTTTTTTTTTGCACAAGAGTTTGGCCTTTGCCTGTATATACCGGATTTCACTTGGTACTCATTTGAAACTCTCTATCCACACGGAGTTTACGCGGTGTCCACACGGCATTCACTAGGGTCAACAAGCAACAGACTCCAAGTTATAGGAGCAGGTTATCCACAGACATTTGCACGACGCGTTCACTCTCATTAAGCAAACATTGAAGAATTTTAATCAAAGAAACCCAGGAGATCCGGATTTTTTTTTCGTCCATACTTTGCAACATTCCACATACTAGAATCATTACATCATACAAACCATGCCCGTCGTTACCAGCAAGATACCAGATGCACCCATAAGCACATTATCCGCGGAGGAGAAAGCAGAGCAGGAGTTTGGATCCTTGTCTTCTCCTGACTGGTTGTACGTGTCTCAGTTCAATTCGAAGGAGCCTCTGCCAGAGCCGGTAGCTGACGAACCTCCATATTACGTGTTGATCGCAACATATCTGAATTACCTTATTCTTATTATCATTGGCCATGTGAGAGATTACTTCGGCAAAATTTTTGTGCCTGAGGAATTTGAAGCAGTTATGGAGAAAGACGGATATGCCCCATGGTACTCCAACTTTGAGAGTTTCTACCCTCGTCGTTTGAAGAAGAGACTGGACGATTGTTTCGCACGTCCATGCCACGGAGCACCTGGAAGGTTCATCAAACTGTTCAACAGAACGTCTCCGGATTACAACACGACGTTTGAATACGATGGAACGTCCACTCCGTGCTTGAACCTTAGTTCATATAACTATCTTGGATTTGCCCAATCTGTGGGAACCTGCACTGACAATTCAGCCCGTGCCATAGACGAGTACGGAGTCTCGTCATGTGGCCCAAGACTTACGGGTGGATCTACAGACCTCCATGCCAAGTGCGAGAGGGTCGTTGCTGATTTCCTGGGAAAAGACGATTCCTTAGTGTTTTCCATGGGGTATGGAACCAATGCCAGTCTGTTTACGTCTTTGGTGAACTCGAAATGTCTCGTGATCTCCGATTCGTTGAACCACGGGTCCATCAGATTCGGTGTGAGACTTGCAGGTGCCACGGTGAAGGTGTTTCCCCACAACGATATGGACAAACTCGAGAAAATCCTCAAAAACGCCATTTCCCAGGGCCAACCTAAGACTCATAGACCATGGCGGAAGATCCTGGTTGCTGTTGAAGGGCTTTACTCGATGGAGGGTAACCTGTGCAACTTGCCAGCACTGGTGGAGCTCAGGGAGAAGTACAAGTTCTATCTTTTCGTTGATGAAGCGCATTCAATTGGTGCTCTGGGACCTAACGGTAAAGGTGTCTGTGATTATTTCAACGTGGATCCTTCCAAAGTTGATCTGCTGATGGGCACGCTGACGAAGTCATTTGGTGCTACTGGTGGTTACGTGGCTGCTAGTCAGGAGATCATTGACAGACTGAGAGTTGATATCACCACAAACACATACGGTGAGTCGACTCCACCGGCTGTTCTGGAGCAAATCATCACCTCGATCGGAATTATCAATGGTGACTTGAATGGCAACGAGGGAAAGGAGAGACTCCAAAGAATTGCTTTCAACTCAAGATATCTCAGGCTCGGATTGAAGAGACTAGGGTTCATCGTGTATGGTGCTGACGATTCTCCAGTGGTTCCTCTACTAACGTACCTTCCACCAAGGATGCCGGCCTTCAGCAGAATGATGTTGGAGAAGAAGGTGGCAGTTGTCGTTACTGGTTACCCTGCCACAGACCTTGCCACTTCAAGAGTCCGTTACTGTGTTTCTGCCGCTTTGAAGAAGGAAGACATAGACTACATCCTGCGGGCTTCTGACGAGATCGGAGAGAGACTGTTCCTCAAGTTCAGCACTGGAGTGGGCGGTGGAGGAAAGAACCCCGGCGACTATGAGAAGGGTATCAAGCCCAGATGGACCATCGAGGAAGTTTTAGAGAAAACTCCTTACGATTGCAAACAACCTATGTACTAACACCAATACTCATCTAGAAACTATGTAATAAACGAGATAAATTGCATAAAAAGGTAGACCCGAGCTGCACGTGACTTGGAAGAACTGAACCGGTCGCCATTGGCAGAGCCAGACTTCTTCCCGAACTCAAGGTGTTTGTTTCTAATGGTGGGTTGACCTTAAACATTCCCGTTGCATCAACTTTGGAAATAATGTTTTCCCGTGCATTTTTGAACGGTGCAAGAGCCGTAAGTTTTGATTTATTTCTGAGTTTCAGAGCGGGGTTTGGTTGTCCACAGCTTGGAACCCAAAACCAACCAATAGCTTGTCTGGCTTACTAACGAAGTTTCCCCAGACCCGTCCAGCCTTGGCTACGGCCTGGAAAAAGCCACTACTGGCCAGATTCTTATCTGAAGAGACCAAAAATGCCATCGACCAGGCAGTCCACTCTGCGAAAGTTGTTCTGTTCATGAAGGGTACTCCAGAAGCCCCACAGTGTGGATTCTCCAGAGCCACCATCCAGGTCCTGGGCCAACAAGGTGTTGATCCTATGAAGTTTGCCGCATACAACGTTCTGGAGGACCCAGAACTCAGAAACGGAATTAAAGAATATTCACAATGGCCAACGATCCCACAGTTGTATGTGGACAATGAGTTTGTTGGAGGATGCGATATCGTGATGTCCATGAGCCAATCTGGGGAGTTGGCCGAGTTGCTTGAGAGCTCAGACGCTCTGATTCCAGAAGAAGAACCTATAGAGGAGGCCAAGGAGGCAAACATAAAGCCAGCCGAGAGGAATTAAAAGAGGTGAGTCTTAAACCATAAACGGTTGACGCGGGACATCCAGTTCCCCTTTGACCTTTATAGTCTTGTCTATATTGAAGTATGTAATTTATGGCGATGTTTTCCCCTGCCTTATAGCCCAGTTTGTAACATTTTCGGAAACTGATCTTCAGATTGGGGAAGTTGGGGCTGCTGGATTGAAATATCCAATACCACTTACGGCTCTATCTACGTCTTGAACTGATGGAGAAAGCGTGTGGATGTTACATGCAATTACGCAACCGTAAATGCAAGATCACGCTCTCCCTAATGACAAGACGGCTAGAAAAACAACGTAGAATTAAACTGGCAAAACGTATAGAAGCCACATGAAACACCAAAGGACCCACCAAGAAACCACAATAAAAAGAGGCACATAACAAACTTTCCACCTAAACACGGTCGATTAGATCACCGACATCGTTTCTTACCCGATCCTTAATGTCTCCTCTCGTTCTCAGCGAAGGCCTCTTAAAATAACTGCTGGTTTTGGCAAACGACAGTAGTGAATTGTATAGCCCTTCCCCGAAGTGAAGAAACTTTAAAACAGACGAGCCATAACCGCTCTCATCAGTGGAACCAGTGATATTCAGTCTAGATCGGTTAGTCATGGGCATTTAGATCCACTTTCCACAAATTTTTTCTCTCACTTACTCGAAACCCGTGTTCTTCTTTATGCTCGCCAGTATGAGGGAGATAAGAACAAGGTCCAAGGAATAGTGTACTAGTTTTCCGATCTGATGCGTTAGAAAAAGTCGCAAGAAACACGCCAAATGCGAAACACGAAAGTACATATACTCACACCCATGTTCAGTAAGTGAGGTTGATATATATAACGATCAACCAAAGAAAGAACAAACAAGAGAGTCCACGGTAAACACCCCAGCCGTATCCAGAATGTATCACGTGACCGATTCCAAGTTCTGTCAAAAAGTGCCCGGGCACCAGATTGGAGACTACAACCTGGAGTAGTAACCAGTGCGTATCCACGCTTCACACTAAACATACATCCTAGACTTCTGAGCGTATCCAACTTCGATTTGTCTGATGAGCGACCTCAAGGAAAAACCCGAGACTCAAAATGGTCAGCGGGACAAGGAAAAAGGAAAATATAGGTACCGCATAGAAATTCAGCAGATGATGTTTGTGAGTGGTGAATCCAACGACCCACCAGAAATCACTACATCCCTGATTGAGGATATTGTGAGGGAACAAGTCATAGAGATAATAACGCAGTGTACAAAAACTTCGTCTCTGAGAGGTGTCAAGTCGATTGCGCCCGAGGACGTGATCTTCCTTATTCGTCACGATAAGGCGAAGGTCAACAGATTGCGTACTTACTTGAGCTGGAAAGATGTTCGTAAGAATGCCCGGGATCAGGAAAGTGGTGATATCGGAACCGGAAATGACCTGATAGATGACTCTGCTGGAGCGAACGTTGCCGGGACTTCGAGTGGAGCAATTGACAATAAGATGCTAGCCAAGCAGAAGAAGTCCAAGATCAGATTGCCCTGGGAACTACAGTTCATGTTTAGCGAACAGCCTCTTGACGATGGCAAGGATGACAATAATCTTGATGATGGTGAGAGAGAGGCTGCTATTGCTGGTCTAAAGAGATTGAAAGCAAACGACGACAGAACGAAGAACATGACGAAGAAAGAGTACGTTCATTGGTCTGAGTGCAGACAGGCCAGCTTCACATTCCGCAAGGCCAAGAGATTCAAAGATTGGTGTGGGCTTTCGAGTCTGGTAGACTCCAGGCCTCATGACGATGTGATAGATATTCTGGGATTTCTCACGTTTGAGATAGTGTGCTCTCTTACGGAAGAGGCACTCAAGGTGAAAGAACTACAGCGAGCCCAGCTGGAGACCAAGAACGGAATTATACAGGAGTCAAAGAAACGGCAAAGGCATTACCTGTTTGACGAGCCTGAAGAGGCCGCCAAACCAATACAGCCTCACCACGTCGACGAGGCCTGGCGCAGACTGCAGCGAGGAATATTCGCTACAAAGACGTTGGGCAACTTCAATGGGTTCAGATCGCGGTATAGGCCCAGACTGATTTGAAGAGGGTTTGGTGTATAACAAATGCGTGTTTGTGAAATGCTTATTCCCTAATATACAATGGTGTGTCCCATACGAACGTAGGACTTTCGCTGAACCTCTTTTTGTTCATATCGCTTTTTAAAAGATCCACACTGGCCATGCTCCGGATGAAAGGTGCGACTTGAATGGCAAAAGACTCCTGTGATAACGCATTGAACGCAGTTCTTGGATGGCAATCAATGAAGTCGTAACTATCATGAAATCTTCTTTCTTTGGCCCTACTTCCTGATCTGTAAAGCCTGGAAGAGTAGAACGACAGGAACCCTTCTCTGAGGTCAAAGCCTGAAGACAATGTTTCCGGTATTTCACCAGTCAATTCGTCGAAGGAATCGTATTTTTTGTACAATTCTTCCAGAGATTTGCACGAAAATTCAGTGGAACTTTCGGCAGTAGCATCAGCCTGAGACCCAGCTATAATTGGAATCTCTTCATCTTCTTGCGCTCTTACACCAACCTCACAGAGGGAATGTTTTGGCAACCTTCCGCTGCAAAGTAGATTCAATTGCATTAACGCTTTCCTCGTATCTCTGAGACCTGATATCTCCTCCAAAATCTCTGAGTGCACTTTGAATCCCATTATCAGAGCAACAGCATCCAAATACTCTTTCAAAACCCTCTGACTCGGTTTTTTCAGAGTGTATATTGTCGCATGGTCAATGATGCTAGAAGGAATCGAGTCAATTGATTCACACGTCAAAATGACCGGGCGGTGTGAGTACGACATGAGATTTCGAATGGCTGACCAAAAGTCTTTATCCAGTTCTTCAAATACAACGTCACAATCGTCGAACAAAATGACTCCGTTCTTGGTGTTATCGCTCTCTGTTTTTGCGTTGACAGTCTGGGTCGTCCCAATCTGCTTCAGGTGGAAATTGATATCTTTTTTGGCCCTTTCCTGACCTGTGTTTATCTCAAAAACATGGCCATTAAGCTCGTCTTCGGCAATAGCATAGACAGCTGAGGTCTTACCGCAACCATTTTCTCCTTGCAAGATCAACAACGGCACAAACACCTCATCATCAGAAGGTTCATCATAATCAACAATGAAATCCATATCGTCATCATCATGAGTTTTCTTCGTGTTGAGGTACGCCTCTCTGGCTTTAGTGTTGATGGACTTGAGTCTTTTGAACGCATTCACAATCCAGTCATTGATGGAATTTCTCGTGGTTCTAGAAATCAGCAATTCAGAATGTCTGGTTGGAGCGAAAAGATCGCACCATTGTCGGCTCGACTTCCTCATCTCTTTGACAATGAAAGGATCTGCCATTATGTCTTGCAAACGGTTGAATCGTTCATCTTTTTGGAGATCGAGACATGTCAGAATTGCAATATCTCTCAGTAACCTGATATCAAATTCTTCCATGGTGTACGTATAGTGTTTATGCTGATCGTGTTTGACTTTTGCCCTGTCGGATCTCATGAGAGCGGAGGTCTCCTCTGCTGAGACCTCAAAGGGTGCAGGACTCGTGGTGCGGATCTTGAGTCCAGCCAACAGTTCTTTTTCAGTGACCTCGTCCTCCATATTTCTCACCAAGAATTCGTCTTTTTTCAGAACTGGAGCTTTCATTTCCTTCATTTTCCAAGGCCTCTCTATACCCTTCCCTTTTTCAATAGCGGCTTCTTTTGCTCTATTGGATACATCCGAAAAGAAAGAGTAGCCCGAGCTGGGCCTGGAACTTTCAAAAGCCCCAGCAAAATCAATGTTTCCCCTACTGAGCAGCGGATTTGGTTCTGGCTTGATTTTGATGGTCTTGAGCTTCTCTGAGCTGATTGGTATGGTGACCATAAATCCTTTCGTTGGAAGTTTCTTGGACTGCTTGTCCGACTTTGAAGGCTTTTTGGTTTTCTTTGTAAGCGGTCGGCTGCCCAGATCATCATCCGAAGATTCTATGTGGATAACATCAATCTCATCACCAGAGGCCCCAATCACATTCTCCGGAGTCGTCGCGGGTACAGCTTTCTGTGCATCTTTTTCTCTGAAACTCTTAAATATGTCCATTGGAGAAGCTGTGGCAGTAGCACTCAGATCTGGACCGACAGACTTGACTGAGCTGACTGATTCATCTTCATCTATATTGATTGCCTCGTGCGAGGTACCTGCGCCTGTCACACTAGCTAGTCTCTTAGGACTTATCTTCATCACAACAATTCGGCTTTTAATATTTTGCTTCCTATCCTTGTCTCTGAAACTTTTGAATATGTCCATCGGCGAAACCCTTACGGGCTGTATGCTGGAAGCCTCAACCGGAGCGGAGTTCAATTCGCTTACCCCAGGAACTTCTTTTGGGCTAGATGAAACAACAGTATTATCAATTGCATCCGGCTGCGTATTGCTGCTTCCCAGAACTGGAGAAAAGCCCACCAAGGAATCCTCAATAATACTAGATGATACATCCTCTGAATCTTGCCCTTCATTATATGCCAGTATCGTATCGCTGATTGCTCCTTCCAAGTCCTCCTTTTTAAATTCTGTTTCAGTGGTGGCTTGTTCCTTTCTCTCAATGTCCAAATTCTTCTTCTTGTCCTTGTCTCTGACCATTCGAAAAAAGTCCATCGGGGAAACTTTCACCGCGGCCTCTTTATCTGAAGCTGGAGCCTGCGTTTGAGAAGATTCAGCCTCGTCCAACTCCACAATCTCAACCGGGCTTAATGGAACTGAAATATCACTAACAGTCGCTTGTTGCGGATCCGACACGAAGCTCAAAATGTTCCCACGCGAAACCTTTGCCGAACAAGACTTTTGATGTGGCCTGGTAGCAGCTTCCACACTCTTATCTGACCCTTTATCATATGTGTTCGTCCTCAACTTTGCTGGTTTTGTAGCTTCACTTTCTACCGAAAAACTGCTCTTTTCTCGTATCACTGCTGGTCTAAATCTGTCAAACATGCTCACCGAAACGGGCCTCTGTATCACCATGTCTTCTACCATGGATGTGTGAGGGTCGCTACCCGCCGGTATTGACTCCGGAGAACTCGTAATTTCTCGGAAAGACGATTCAGACTCCTTGGCGTCGAGTACACCCTCCATCTGACACAAAAAGCAGTGTTGCACACCGATTGACGTGGCTATTGTGAACCGCGTGTATCAAGAGAACGGGGAAGTGGCATGCCCAAAACGCGCTCCCGCATCGCGTCTGTTTCCACAACCAGGGCCACATAACCAATTTTGAAGTGAAATATTGTATGGCCAAAACATGGTGCAGCAACTTAGGATCTGATGTACAAAATTCTATATTTTATTTGATGTTCTATGCTTCATTACAACCCTAGATCCTTCTTCACCTGAGATCTGCAAATAGGGTGGTATGACATCTCATACTTTCTGAAGGTAGCGATAGCCAGGTCACGGTCGACCCTGTCTAGCAAGACATAGGCTGGTCTCACAAACTTCATTCTTCCCACAGTTCCTAGCCAATCGGCCAGTTCTGTGTAGTAAGAAGTAACTCTTCCGGTGAGTTGCAACCTTAACCATCTGTACAGATATTCGGCATTTTGAGTTTTGGCATAGTAGGAATACACTGATTCCATGACCGACAGTGCCAATTGTCCTCCTTCAGAAGCCCAGGAAAAGCCATGAACTCCTTCTAGAGCGACCAAAGTGTCCAAAAATACCTCGTTCTGGTTTCCTTTGAAGTGCGCAATATCCTTAGCACTGAATTGTTCCGTCAGCAATTTTTTAGTTGGATTCTCGGAGCTGACCTTGACCCATTTTTGCGCAAGAGAGTAACATTCATCTACCAAAGTAGTGTCAAACTTGGGCTTTGGTGGGAGACCTGGAGCGTACAACCAAGTATTCCAGTCAATTGAGTCCAGAAGCTCAGTTTTGTCCGAAAAGAACCCGTACAAAGTGTCTAGGAACTCAAAAGTGTCCAAAGACTTGTACTTGTACTTGGAGAAGTAGAACGACAGAAACGGGTCAAACACCTCAAAACCTCCCAAAGTTTGTTCCAGAGTGTAAAGCAAGCAGAAACCCTTTTCGTAAGGAACGCTGGAGAAAGCATCGTCTGGATGAGTCTGGTCCTTCAAGTCCTGTACCAGAGTTGAGAATCTTTCAGCAGACTTGCCCATTGCCCTGATGGAGTTCTCCAAGTCAGTCCAACCAACAATAGCACTAAGATGTCTGGTCTGTTCGCCATGAAGAGCACCCATTATTCTCCTTTCGAGATAAACTGTCCATCCTTCGTTGAGCCAAAAGTGGTCCCACGAACAATTGGTGACCAGATTTCCAGCCCACGAATGAGCAAGTTCGTGTGCAATGACATCCACATTCTCCCTATTACCAGAAATCAAGGTGGGAGTCACAAACGTCATGTTGGGGTTTTCCATTCCTCCAAAAGGCATTGCCCTGTTCAACACGAGGACATTGTAGGTTTCCCATTCGTAGTCAAACACTAGCTTCTCCGCGGTCTCAATGAAGTTCTCCATGTCCTTCTCGAACTCGTAGGTACACCTATCAATAACGCAAGGTTCGCTGAAAACTTGCGATCTGGGACCAGCTCTAGCTCCCACAAGATCACCTGCAGCCATAGCCACAAGATAAGATGGAATTGGCACAGGTTGCTCGAACTTGTACAGCTTGCGATCACCAGAGACAGCCTCAGGCTCTCCAACTGCACGCGCGGCTACCAGAACTGGCAACGGAGAAGTCACATTATACGCATAGGTAGACTTGATCGAGGGAGTGTCAAAGCATGGGAAAAAAGAACGGGCATGGATAGGCTCACATTGGGAGAAGAGATATGGCAGTTTTCCACCATCCGTCTGAGGAGGGTCCAACCATTGCAAGGCAGTCCCACCCGCAGTTGTCTCAAAATCGATTGAAATAGTAAATAGGGAAGCAGTTTCTGGAAGTGAAACTATCAGTGGAGTTCCGAGTGTTTCGTGTTTGGTTCCAAAGGTGAAGTCAACGGCTCTTCCATTGACATAAGCCGCTTTAACGTCCAAATGGGCAGTATCAAGTATCACAGACTCGACAGCAGAAAGACGACTAATCTGGTAGCCAACCTGTCCAATCAAAGCCTTTTTATCGAAAGAAACCTCCAGGTCCAAAGTCGTCTTTGTAATCTTGAAGTTGTGGTAGTTCGATAAAGTCGAGTAGTCTAGCTCTGGGGATGACTTGGGAAGGTGAGGAAGCAGCACCTTTGCCAACTTGGGCGAGATGTTGGGATATTTGTCCAAAACCATTGTTGAGTAACCTCTGTGAAGATTCAGGGACTTTCTGTGCAAAAATCGGGCAATTCTCACAAGGGTCATAGGCGGTTATATATGTTGGATGTGTTCGTTAGGGGCTCTTCTCATAAAATGCATCCATGCGGTTGTGCGGATATCAAGTTTCCGGCCGCCTTTCTGTTGGGGAACGACTTTGTTTGAAGGGTTTGACGGTTATGGCTGAAAGGCTTTTTAGCTAGGTTTCGAGAAGTCCATAGTTGTTTAGACAGTTCTAATGTCGAATAAGAGCTGTGCTTGGGATATAGTTGAAAGCTTTACAAATGGAGGCCGTTTAAACTTTGCTGGTTTTTTTTCCAGTTCAGAGCCACGCCATCTGACGGATACTTTCTAAACGGCTCTGGTGCCGTGAATATCCACTCCGCGCGGCTCTGGCACACCGTTTGAAAACCGTTATTATGTAGCAAGTGCAGATAAATCGGCCGAAGCGGCTCGCAGAAGGTAGAAACAGGTATTTTTTTTATGGATAAACAGTTTGTTAGTCCTTTGTCCAGTGAATGGCACGTAGGTGTCTAACCAAGACCGGTAATAGCTAAGAGACGTGGGTACAAAGAGCGAGAGTAGTCTAAAGATGTGCAAATTCGAAGATTCGAGAGAAAGCCACCTGTTTTTCTGGCAAAATCGTCACCACTCAACACCACTCAACACCACTCAAGGCTGAAATAGCCCGTGGAAGCTCAACCACCAGGTAGTGTAAAGACAAAATCTATCAACGCCCCGGTCCCGAAGGAGGAGTCACCGTTTTAGGCAATTTTCTCGGAGGTCCCTCCCCATCGGGTGACACTCTACGCGAGAGGTTGTCCATGAAGAGTTCGAGATTTATGACTCCAGATAAGAAATAAAAGCATAAAAAGAATATTTTAACGTGTACCTCATGCTCGTATTTGAGATCCCTTTTTTTCCACCGTTTTAAATTGATTGTGGTGACTATAATCAAAAAAGTTCTAGAAATTTCGCAACCACGACCAATCACACGAAAGCTAGATTTCTCCGTTCGTGCAGCCGACGTACATAAGAGGGGCTGCCCGCACTTCCATTTGTTTTTCTTCTCTTCCTAACACCCCTCTATTTTGATATACTTCTTAAGGTCTGAAAAGTTTAATTTATAAGATGTCTGTTGAGTTGAAGGAACATCGTTCGTCAACGGCGGATATCTCCACCACTTCCGAGGGACTGCCGATCTCAAATATAATACCCAAGAACGACGAGGATGACGCCTCGATGTTGATGGCATTCAACAACGCGAAACCATCGCTTTTGGTGATTTGCCTCACTGTTCTGGCATCTATTTCGGGATTCATGTTTGGATATGATACCGGATACATATCGTCGGCGTTGGTTTCCATTGGAAAGGATTTTGGTAGTGAACTGACCTATGGCCAACAGGAGTTCATCACTGCAGCAACATCCTTAGGTGCTTTGATATCGGCAATTTTTGCTGGAATCTGCGCAGACTTGTTTGGCAGAAAGCCGGTGGTTATGACATCGAACGTGTTGTTCGTGGTGGGTGCTGCTATACAGTGTGGAGCCCATACCGTTTGGACAATGATTGCTGGTAGACTTGTGATGGGGTTTGGAGTGGGTATTGGTTCGCTAATTGCCCCTCTTTACATCTCAGAATTGGCTCCATCTAGATTCAGAGGTAGACTCGTCGTGATTAACTGTCTTGGTATAACAGGTGGCCAACTGATCGCGTACGGCGTTGGTGCTGGTCTGGATCAAGTCCACAATGGCTGGAGAGTTGTGGTTGGATTGTCCATGATTCCACCAGCAATTCAACTTGTGGCTTTCTTCTTCTTGCCAGAAACACCAAGATATCTCATCTCAAAGGGTAAAACGGAGAAGGCTGCCGGAGTTATTTCTAGGACTCACCCTGGTGCTTCCCAAGCCTTGATAGAAACCAAGATTGGCGAGTTCATGCAGCTCAATAACGAATTACCCGGCTCAAACGTGTTTTCCAGAACTTGGGAAGGTATTAAGGAGATTCACAGAGTTCCTTCCAACTTCAGAGCCTTGGTTATTGCATGTGCATTGCAGGGCATTCAACAATTCACCGGATTCAACTCGCTGATGTACTTCTCAAGCACTATTTTTCAAGCTATTGGATTTGATAATTCTACAGCTGTTTCGGTAATTGTTGCTGGTACCAACTTCGTCTTCACTCTGGTGGCCTTTTTCGTCATTGACAGAGTTGGCAGACGTCGCATTTTGCTGATTGGTATTCCAGGAATGATGATATCGCTCATAGTATGTGCTATTTCGTTCCATTATATTAAAATTGAGTTCAAGGATGGCTCTGCAGTTTTGAGGGACACTAAGATCACGGGATGGGGTATTGTTGTGATTGTGGGAATGGTGTGTTTTGTCGCTACTTACGCCGTGGGAATTGGTAATGTTCCATGGCAACAATGTGAGTTGTTTCCTCAATCCGTTCGTGGTATTGGCGCATCATATGCTACTGCTACCAACTGGTCTGGTTCTTTGGTCATTTCTGCTACATTTTTGACGATGTTGGAGAATATAACCCCAACGGGAACGTTCGCTTTCTTTGCTGGTCTATGTTTGGTTGCATATGTGTTTGTGTTTTTCTGTTATCCAGAGCTCTCCAACATGGAGCTAGAAGAGACTCAGGCGGTTTTGACTGGTGGATTCAATATCAAGCAGTCCAAGAAGCTGGCTTCTGCCCGCCGCCGTCAACACGCGAAGGAACTAGCGGAATATTTGGAGAAGAACACCGAGGAGTTGGTGGACAAGGTCTAGAATTAGATAAGAATGTCAATATTGGTATTGACAGTAGCTTTCGAATTTGCTAATAATGATTGACGATTAATTAAAACAGCTTGTGGAATGTAGATATGCCTTAAAACGCAAATTTTGTCCAATAAACCAATATCAATATTGCTGATCGCTTACTCTTTACACTTGAGCGTAGGATTTTGGAATCGAAACCTTGATTCATGTCCGTAGTTCATTAACACCGGATTTAAAGATCATACTTCCTTGCGCTGAGAAGCTATATGCACTTGCGGACAGAGCATTCATGCAAGGCCGGAGCTACGCCGGTAGCACTTAATTTTCACACGACCGAGCCCCCCTTTACTACCCCAATATTGACCTTCTAGCGTTGTATCTCTGGTTCTGAAGATGTAGCTTTCACATAGACTTTTCCTCCCAAAGGATTAATGTCCAACCAAGGGTTCAAGGCCATCCCTTCGAGAGAACGTGGTCTATCTAACTCATCGCTTTTGTCCGGTCGAACATTATTCTCTAGAACCCACCATGACGCATCTGTTTCCCGATCCTCGGCTCTCTCCGAAAACACATCCAGTATACTCAACGGATACGCTGTGAAACCTTCACCTTTGACAATTTTGCTGACTTTCCTGGCTTCTATATCCGGGTTTATGTTTGGTTATGATACGGGCTACATTTCCTCGGTGTTGGTGAGCATAGGCGCTGATCTTGGTGGAGATGGACTCTCTCTGACCAACAGAGAATACATCACGTCTGCCACTTCTTGTGGTGCTTTGTTTGGAGCGATAGTTGCTGGTACGTTGGCAGATGCCTGGGGCCGGAAGCCGGCTATTATGGGATGCAACCTGCTGTTTATAGCTGGTGCTTCCATGCAATGTGTTGCCAAGACAGTGCATTTTATGATAGCGGGGAGGCTGGTGATGGGCATTGGGGTCGGAATAGGATCACTGATTGCACCTCTTTACCTGTCAGAATTGGCACCTTCGAAGTTTCGAGGAAGAATGGTGATTATCAACTGTCTAGCCATCACCGGAGGACAGCTGATTGCGTATGCCTTGGGGGCTCTTTTCAGCTATTTACACATCACTTGGAGATTTCTGGTTGGATTCTCACTGATACCATCTATGGTACAATTGGTGGCTTTTTTGTTTCTTCCAGACACTCCGAGATACCTGATAATGGTTGGAAAGACAAACCAAGCGGCTGAGGTCCTACGGAAGATTTACTTGGATGCTCCTAATGATTTGATAGCGGCAAATATCGCCGAACTTTCTTCGTTCAACTCTGATTTGGACCTAGAAAATGAATCGCGTCTTCACAAAATTTGGAGTAAAATCAAGGAGATCCACACGGTGCCCTCCAATTTACGCGCCTTGATAATAGCCTGTGGTCTACAGGGGATCCAACAACTTACTGGATTCAACGCGCTGATGTATTTCTCTGGGACAATATTCGAGATGATTGGGTTTCAAAACTCTATTGGGGTGTCATGTATCGTTGCGGGAACCAACTTCGTTTTCACGATAGTGGCCTTCCTGGTGATCGATAGGGTTGGCAGAAGGCGGATCATGCTTTGGACGGTTCCGGGAATGTTGGTGTCTCTTTTGGTGTGTGCATGGACATTTTCGCATCTGGATTTCAACACCGATGAAAGTGTTTCTGTGACGGCCTCCAGGGCAGTTTGGAATCTCTTGACCGTTGTGGGAATGATGTCGTTTGTAGCATTTTACGCTAGCGGTCTTGGAAATGTACCATGGCAGCAATCGGAGCTATTTCCTCAATCTGTGCGTGGCTTAGGAACTTCCTACGCTACAGCTACTAACTGGTCGGGATCTTTGATACTATCCATGACCTTCCTTACTATGATGGAGAAACTGACTCCATCAGGGACGTTTATATTTTTTGCCTTTGTCACGCTTGCGTCGGTGGTTTTCATCTACTACTGTTATCCAGAACTTTCGGGATTGGAGTTGGAAGAAACTCAGGACCTGCTCACTGGTGGTTTTAACGTTAAAAAGTCCGTGCAGATGGCTGGAGAGAGAAAGGACATGGCCACCAAACTGGCCTCCTTCCAGGACAATGTGACCCTTGACGTTGTGTGAAGTAATATTCGCACCTTTATGAACATGATATGACAATAGGATTATAAATTCTCAAAAAACACCGCTCATTTTTCATCTATTTTATCGTAGGAGATTCGTTGTAACCCGTCGGTTACCGTAGGCACGAGCCACATTACATGCAGATATTATTTATCTTCATAGATAAACCGTTGGCCGGTTCGCCGGATAACTTGAGTTAAAGACAATATCTAGGGAAATTGATCAATTCCCATTCATATGTACTATAACTCAGCGATTACATTATTACAGTTTGCTATCTTTCTCAGATATTATCGTCATTTTCTGCCGAATCTAACGCACATTGAACGCATCTGATAACAGGCGGCCCGACCAAGCGTGCCGCAACTATCTCCCCACCTCCGCGCAAAAAGTTTCACTTCACCCACTTTTGCGTGAGTCACTGACTAGTATCCCAACAAGTTGGAGACATTTTCTAATTTTTATTGATAAAATCAATATTCCATGGTGTTGGTGGGAATTTCCGAGAAACAAAAAATAATATGAGTGCAATAGAGGTGAAGGCAGTGGATACAGACACAGCCGTACCCTCTAGAGTGGAGGGGAGACGAAGGGACTCTCAATTCGATCACGAAAGTGAGAATGGAGACCTAGATTTCGACAGAAAGAGTGAAAGTACCCAGAAGGAAGATGAAGAAGCAATTTCCTCGGAGACAGATGCGGGTCCCCTCCAATTGGAAGTTCCAGATGGAGGGTATGGTTGGGTCATAGTGTTAGCATGTTTCTTCTTCAACATTAGCACATGGGGATCGAACGCAGGTTACGCTATTTACCTAGCACATTATCTGAATAACAACACTTTTCCGGGAGCAACAAAAATCGATTTCGGAATTGTTGGTGGCATTGTTTTTGGGTGTGGTCTTCCTCTGGCTCCACTGTATAACTACATGGTTGGAAGGATAGGCTTGAAGTCAGTCATCGTGATCGGGATCACCATCCAGCTTGCCGGAACATTATTGGCTAGTTTCAGCACGAAGTACTGGCAAATCCTGCTGACCCAGGGAGCTTGTGAGGGAGTGGGAATGTCGATGGTGGCCCTCACCAACGTCAATCTTCTTCCCCAATGGTTCAGGAAGAAGAGAAGCACAGCTATCGGCTTTGCAGCAGCTGGATCAGGAATGGGAGGTATTATATTCAATTTGCCAATGCAGCAGATAATAAATAAGCATGGTTTCAGATGGTCTCTGCGAGTCCAGGCTATAATGTGTGCTAGTTTGAGCGTCATAGGACTGTTTTTGGCCAGATCCAGAGAAAAACATATCAGACCGGTGTATAAGATCTACGACAGACAGGTTTGGAGGTGTTTTGGCATATGGCTCGAAGTGATTTATTTGATGCTCACCATGTTGGGTTACGTCGTCTTGATGTATAATCTGGCGGATTTTACCAGATCTTTAGGATATACCGCGCAACAGGGCTCGGTGGTCTCCACTATGGTTTCCGTGGGAAGTTTGACCATACGACCCTTTTGCGGAAGAATCCTGGATTACTATGGTCCTGTCAATGTTTCCATTTTTCTTCATGCAATTGTGGGGGTTTTTGCAATTGCAATGTGGATTCCTATCAGAAACTTGGCTTCGGCTATCATATTCGCCTTCATAGAGGGGGGCATGATGGGAACGCTCTGGATAGCAATGCCTCCCGTAACTGCGAAGATTGTTGGTTTGAGGAAGATGGGAGTCGGACTTGCAGTTAACTGGATTTTTCTGGGGGTGGCCGGGTTTGTCTCGCCAATTATTGGCATAGACCTCAAGTCAAAAGATATCGATGGCCACTCGTTTCCTGCCCAATACCGCAATCCGGCAATATTTGTGGGATGTGTATATTTTGGAAGTGCCATTGCCTTGCTGATAATGAGAGGCTGGATCATTGCCAGATCAAAACTCGCGGATGAGCGTTTTGGAGCTCGTGAAGAAGATCAAGATAGTCTGGAAATTTCAGTTCCTCCAATGGCTACCATGCGCAATCTGTTCACCATGTACGGCAAAATCTAAGTCTGAAACTGCAATATTCTAATTTGAATTAATTTTTATGCGACTGTAAAATGTTAAAAATTAGTATTATGATAAACACGAAGAAGACTGGCAATAAGCCTCTGCAGTACATTTCAATGAGTCAAGCTCATTTACAAAAACGCATCATTTCCCTGCTTGACGGCCATCTCCGTATGAGGAACAATGTCACTGAAAAAAGTTAGTAAATCACCCTTCAAACTCCAAAATCAATCCCAAACAAAATACTCACGTGGACTCCCAAGGGTATGCAATCCAGACGTCGGGAACGGTCCTGGCTGCCAGGTATTTTCCAGTGTCCATGATCTTAGCAGGCAAAGCAGCCTTCTTGGGCTTCACCTTATCGTGAAGCACGAATACCAGAAAATTTGTAGAACCTGGGGGCTTTCCCTGTGCTGCAGCCTGGGCATCCGCATCTTTTTGCAACTCCGAAATTGCGTAGTGTAGTGTGGTTCTGGTATCGTCAACCTCATCCACAATCAGAACGTTCTTTCCAACCAGGTCAATCTTGGACTTGAGATAGTCGATCCACTGCACACGCACCACCTCTGTACCTGTCTTCTCTGCATCAGTAGAAACAGAATTAATGTCCTCGTACAGAGAGAGAATAATAGCCATGACTCTCAGATTGGGCTGACCGGGTTCTTTCAGGAAAGATCTCAAGATTCTGGCTGGGATGAAACCTCCCCCACCTGCGAAGTTAGTATGGAAAATTCAACCAAGCGTCCTCCAAACCAGATTTTGCTTCACAGAAACTCAATTCCAGCTCAAATAGTCCCAGACTTACCAATAGCAACAATCAAATCGGGCTTCATGGGCTTGATCTTCTCGGCTGCCTCTTGGCACAGCTGATGAACGTTATTGTACGAGATGTACATCTTGCCCTCATCAACCGAGTCATTTTCTGCAGACATAGTGGCAAAGTTTACAAAGCAAAAATACGTGTCGAGATAGTAGAGAGCAACAAGCAGCAGGCCAGAAAGTGGAACTTAAAGCCAGAGAAGAGTCGAAAAAAAATCTTTGACGTCTTGAAATGCATCCTGTTAGAAATGGCTGCCCGCCAAAATGAAATCTGATGAGGTCGTGCACACACAGATCGATAAGAAAATGGAGGCCTTGGTCAAAGCCAGACTTGAGCCGCTTGTTGAAGGTTTGATGATTCTCATACTACGGTTCTACTGCGGTTTTGTCCAGATTTTCATGCCGTAAACTATTAAACATCGTTTATTCCTCGTCCTTATCACTACCTATGCTTATCTGGTCGCCGACGAGCTGAACAGCTTCTTCCTCGTCGCTATCAACACTATTGTCTTGTTCTTCATCGTCTTCAGACTCAGAGTCGGACTCTGGAGCACTGGACAACTGTTCATCACCTTCAGACATGGAAATATCGTCATCTTCAAGCAAATGAGCATCATCAAGCTCTTCAACATACTCAACCTCATCCTCGTCACTTTCTTCGAAATCATATCTGTCGGTGGAGCCATGCAGAATCTCTCTCTTGAGTTGGATAGAGTCCAGCACCAGACTCACCTTTCCCTTTAACTCCAATAGCCTGTCCAGAGTGTTTGCTCTTCTGTTGAGAGTGGAGTGCAAGGTGGAAAGATCGGCTGTCAGACTTGGATAATTGTTGAGGTAGCCACCATGGATGATCATTATCCATTTGATCCACACGTTCAGGGCACCCTGTCTGTTGTAGTTACGAGCAATTCGCTCCGATAGCCTGTTCAGGAGGGTGACCACCAAACTGGGTGAAAGTTTGGCGATTGTGTTTCTGATGATCCAATCATCCTTATTGTTGATGACGCTTTCCAACAGAGTGTGGTCATTGGAACTAAGAGCCTGGGTCAATACAACCGTGAGAGTGCCGGCATTCATGGCTTTTTTGGACTTTCCGGAAAGACCGTTCGATTGCTGTGTTGACTTGTTCAATGCCTCCAGCTTCTCCGAAAGGGTCTGGGTGTCGGTTTCATCATCAGAGAGGTCCTGGTACTGGTCACCACTAATAACAACGGCATGCGCTTCATTGTATGCCTTGGAGGCAGCAACATCGTGGCCATACAGTCTGTGGTCTGTATGTTTGAGATTTGGACGCTCTTTCACAAGTTCGACATTTTCAGTGAATCCGAAGCTTTTGAGTCCTTCCGCATCTTCCTTCCACCACGCCAGTTTGTCAAAAAATGGAATCACAGCCTCCTCTAACCATGAAATGATGACCTGACGGGCTGATATGGTAACGGCCTGAATAGGCAAAGACTCTAGAGATGGGTTCTTGTCCAGGGGTCTGCTTAATGTCAACACAACGTTGGACTTCTTGGACCTCATTATATGTCTATTTCTCTTGCTGAGTTTGCTGATATCTTTTGCGGGTGGCTTAGTTGGGTCGTTGAAAATCTCCATTTTGCCAGTATCCGTGATCGCTACACACAAGTCCATGCCATGGTCGTTCTTCTCGTGAGCAACAGACCAAATTGGGTCCGAGGCAACCAGTATTATCTCGGGCGAAGTACTACCAGACTTCAAAGAGTAACAGTTGATGAACCTGTCATCTTTGGCACTGGTCAGGAACAGACTATCAGAGATGGGCAACACAGTGTGGATTTCAGATACATGGCCTGGAAATGTTGTGATCACGTCCACTGGGGTCTCCAAGGCAGTCAAGTAGACCGACTCAGAAGCAGCCAAAATGTGTACTTTTCCATTCAAATTCGTGGTCGACACAATCCTCACTCCTGAATCGTTGGCAATGGTGAAAGATCTTATGAGCGAGAAACTGGAAAGGTCCCATTCGTGGATGGTCCCGGAGAAATCGGCAGTGAACCCGGTGCCCGTGTATGTAGAAAAATGAAAATTGGCAACACCCATTCCGCTTGGTGATGTCAATGTCGCAACAACGCTGTTGAGCGTAGGAGAATATAGAACAGTGTTACCGTTGGTGAGACCAATGGCTATAGCTCTAGACTCAATGGATGTCTTTCCCTTCTTCTGTTTTTTGAGCGAAGTACTCAAGCCCAAACTCACCCATGAGAGACATTGTAGCCTCTGTTCCTTCTCCAGAACAAAAATGGTAGAATTTGAGTCCGCAGCAGTGGGATCCACAGGTTGCACTCGCACCTTGTGAGCATCAAGGTCCAGCACGGCACTGGCCAGATACAGCCCCAGTGGGTCAAATGCCGAAGCCAGCAATGTCCTATCCGTAGACATGTAAAATGAGTATCCAAATGTACAAAAAGGAACGAACAATAGGTATATGAATAGACGCAAAAGATACCGCTTCTCATCTCTTTGAAACTTTTCAAAAGTTTGACTAGCACTAGAAAATTTGGCCTTGGTCTCATCGGGGGTGTTACCCGGTCGTCAGCAAAACAGAGCTTACGAAGAGCCACAAACAAACAGAGGGAAACCAACTAACACAGAGCAACACGTCCAATACTCTTTGCCTCAGAAATGTCCGAATATGGTGCTCCTGGAGGTTTGAATGATGACCTCTCGCTACCGAAGGCCACGGTGCAGAAGATAATCAGCGAGATTCTCCCAAACGAGTTCACCTTCACCAAAGATGCCAGAGAGGCTTTGATAGAGTGTTGCATAGAGTTCATCATGATGTTGTCTACAGAATCGAACGATATCGCGGAAAAGGAATCAAAAAAGACCATATCCACAGATCATGTGATAAATGCGTTAAATGAACTGGGGTTCGTTGACTACGTTCCACACATAGAGAAGCTTCTCTCAGAGCATAAGGAAATCTCCAAGGGCAAAGATAGAAGAAACAACAAATTTCAGAATAGCGGGCTTTCTGAAGAGGAGTTGCTCAAACAACAAGAGGAGTTGTTCAGAGCTAGCAGAAATAGGCTACAGCAAAACCAGGTGCCCGTCAAGGATGAGAACGATACCGACTAAGAGACGAACCTATAATGAATGAAATTTCAAACCGATTTCATTGCGTTGCCTATTTTCTTTTCCAATTGTATACAATATCTCCAATCTTAATGAATTCGACAACACATCACGAACGCGTCAACCGCTGTATCAATTTGTCCTCTACGAGTATTTCAGCACATCTTCACGAACTCGTCAACAACTGTATCAACTTCTGCTTGTCCTCTGGAAGAGTCGCGGCCAGATTCTGGGGCGTTTGATTTGCCATAAACTGCTTGAACTCGGCATATATGTTCACCGAATCCAGTGCTGTGTCCCTGGTAAGTTCCTTTGACTCCTGTTCATCAACGTTGTTCCAATCCTCCTCCTCCTCTCCCAGTGCAGCCTCTTTGGTGGTAGCCAGGTCGCTCTTTATGAGCTCCATGCGCTTGGTGAGCACAGAAGGTAAAATCTCAAGACATCTCAGCAGCTTCTCGAATATGCTCTGGGAATGTGATTGCAGTGGTGGAATTTGTTCTATGTTCAGTAGCAGAGACATCAGTGCCATAATCTGCAATTTGAAGTCAAACACTGTGATGAAGTATTCATCTGCATTGTTAAAATACAACTCCACGTATTTGAAGAAGTGTTCTGGTCCAATGGCGACAATAACTTGAGACGGACATACGTACAACGCACTCAGCATCAGTTTCAGAAACGATCTCAATGAGATATCAAAGTCCGGGGCCAGCTCCTCGGACAGCTGCAAATTGGTCTCCACTGTCACCACCAGCTTCCAAATCTCCCCCAAAGCAACCGACACAGAAGGACCGATGGCTAGCACAATACTGTATAATAGTTCGTAGCAGAAATCAACAACTTCGCCTTCCTCCTGTCTCTCGTTTAGTAGCTCCAAAATAGAGGTCACAAACTTCTGCACCCTTTGGTCATTGAACCCAGCATCACGGAACCCATACGTCACACACGTATCAAAAAAGGCTTGGTAATCCTCGTAATACTCATTCCCGTAAAGGTTGAATGCGTTCAGCGTGAGATCGAAGAAATGCCACATCTCCGCAGTCATCTTCTTCAAGGTATAGTTGGCAGTTTCGAGAATCTCCATTGCTTCTGTAGAAAATATGGTCAAAGCATTGTCTAGAACCAATGATATGGCAGGTGAGAATTCTCTCAACAAATTTTGGGTCAGTTCAGCCGAACTGGTCATGGAAAAGATCATGGTGGTCATTGTGTTCATAATGCTTCCAGCCTGGTACTCCTTCTCAGAACCATCCGCAGAGTTTGGGTTTTCGGATTCTAACTGAATGAGCTCAGACCCAAGTCTCAAGAATTGTTGACACAGGTTATTTGCCAACTGAACAGCAAAAGGCTCGAGTTCTTTGGCAAACTTCAGCACAAAGTCGTCAATGATGTTGTTGATGAGATCAATCTCGTAGCGATTGGAGAAGTCCAACAATTGCGACATGATCATTGGAATACGTGGGGCGAGGGCCCTTTCCACAACCTCGTTTCCTACCAAAAATCTCAAAGCATCAGCAGCTTCAACCTGTAATGGCAACGAATTGGTTTTCTCGAGACAATCAGACGTGGACTCAAACAGTTTCGACAATAGGTCCATGTCCGTGAATTTGAGATCGATGAGGGACAGCGTTTCACAGGCTCTTGCCTGCAAAAACGGAAACTTCTTATCTTGAAGTTGGGGCAACACGAACGATTTCACAATATCCTCGAGCTGATGATGAACTGGACTGGTTGTCTTGGAAATGCTATCCCATACGGTTCCCAGAATTCTCAGTCCTGCTTCACTTTGCAATGCGAACTTGGGATCTTCGAGGTTGGACTGTCTGGCTGCAAACAACTCACTCAATAGTTGAATGATCAGAGGTATAGACTCGGAAAACCTGGATCTGGCCAAAGTGTAGACCAAAGTTGATGATGCCACATCTGCTGTATTCTGCTCTCTGCTGAAATCAAAGAAACGTCTGAGATACTCTTCTGGTTCATCTTCGAACAGTTCAACGGTTGCTTCCGTGGCACACAGAGTAGGCACTGCTATGTGGCTCAAGATTGCGCTTAATTTGCTTTCTATCATGGGCCAGGTAGCATCAATGGTGATACACTCGTTCATAAACCCAATGAGATGGTACAGGGCGGCAGAACTGAGCCAGTTCTTGCGGGAGTCCACATGCCATTGACTGATGATATCCCAATAACAGTTGAGAATCAGCGGTGTAAAATGCTCGCAAAACGCCGCCGCCAGCTGAACATCCTCTTTACGAGATGCAATTCCACCACCGTGTCTGCTCTGGAACCTATTGAGATTACCATAGGCCCATTTCTTCGCCTTGGATCGGGAATCCTGTGTCTTCGTGCGATCATCGTCCTCCAAGCCAAGAATTTCATCAGGCAAGGAAGCACTGATAATGTTTAGATGAAAAGTACACCAACTGGACAGCTTATTCAAGTCAGAGGCGAGATAGGGGGGCAGATACGTGAATACACTGTACTTGAAGATCTTCAGAACAGTATAACACATCTCTCCAGACTTTGAATCATGGAAATTTTGCACCAGAGTCGGTAGCAAAGGCTCCAGAATTGGAAACGTGACCTCCACCATTTGGTTCAACTTCTGCCTATGAGCATTAACCTCGTATCTCTCCAGTTTGAGTAGCTCTTTCAAACACAATAGCCCAGTATAGACGTACTTGAGGTCGGAAGCGTTCCTAAGCAATTGGACAGTACCTTCCAACAAATCAGGCCAATCCTTGAGAGCCAATATTATTTGCAAAGATGACGTCAACTGCGAAGAAACATGGCCTTTGGAAAAGCTCACTGAGACTATTGCTGGTATAAGCTGGGCCTTTATGGAGGTCTTCTCCTGAGGATTGATCTCAAATTCTTTCAGGCGATCCGGCACACCACCCTTCACATACCAATATTTCCTTACCACGTTCTTGAAATAAATAGCAGCAGCCGCCTGGACTTCCTGCTTCTGGGACGAGTCGGCGGCCAGTTCAAGACATGCTAGTAGTAGCCCGGACTGCTTCTGAGCGTTCAACAGTACCTGTTCGGCATTCTGTCGGACCTGTTGTTGCGGCGATAGAGTGTCTTGTAGCAATTGCAGCAAACCCTGTTTGTCCATAGCTTCAATAGTTGCCTGTGTCTGATTGACTTCAGATGTAACCACCATCAAAGATTGTCTTGCTAGCTTCCACCCGAAGAGCAGGCCCAGTGGTCGTGTACCGAAATCAAGGTTGATTGAAAAATTCATTAGTCTGCCTTAACTATGGCATTCTAGAATCCAAATAGCTAGCCGGATTAAACGTAGATTTTTGTTAGAAAATATATAGAAAAACATGTCGGGTTGTCGCAACTAGAGCTCCTGTTCTCCTGTAGAGCGAGAACTAGAACCTCCTTCCACCTCTTCCACCACGGTCACCGAAGCCTCCTCTGGATCCACCTCTTCCACCGCCAAAGCCGCCTCTAGAGCCGCCTCTTCCTCCAAAACCGCCTCTTCCGCCACTAAAGCCTCCTCTGGATCCACCACGACCTCCGAAACCGCCTCTGGCAGCACCGAAGCCGCCTCTGGCTCCTCCAATGGTCTTTGGCTTCTTGCTCTTCTTCTTAGTCAGACCTTCTATAGGCTTTGGCTTTGGCAAAAATCTATCTATTGGCAGCAATTTGTCACCTCCGATATAGAATTTGTCACCATCCTTGAAGGACTTGGCTTGGACACCTTCACTTGGCTTGATAGTGAAGTACATGTCGTTCAGTGGACCCAAGATCTCGTCAACCTTCCCCACCTGGGTCTTGTTCTCCAAGTATATAGGGGCATTGAAGTATGGCACCTTCTCCACATTGATTGAACGACACACGATGTCACCCTCGCAATCATGGAGGAATGCTCCCATCTCGAAAACTCTGTCTGGAGGTCCCATTGGTGCGGCAGTACGGCCCCCGAAAGAACCACCACGGCCACCACCACGGCTAAAACCACCGCGCGATCCGCCTCTTGAGAAACCACCTCTTCCGCCTCTATTCATTGCTATAGATGTGGATAATACGTAGTGGTAGAAAGAGGTCCTGTAAGAGGGCCATCGGGAAAAAATTTCATGCCCATAGAAAAAATACACGATGAGATGCCGGTGCTGCGTAACCATTCTCAGCCTATCTATTTTTCAATGAGGATGCAGACTGATAACTTGTAACTGTTGCATTTAAGCTCTAGATCAGTATTTATTTGGTCTCTTGAACCAATTTTGAGCCATGGATTTTCACGAGAAGCTGAAGAAGGTGGAAAAGTTTGCTCACTCGAAATGGAACAGTCCAAAACAAAAAACATTGGACAACACAGTCACCCAAACAATATACAGTGAGCTATCCGCTGAACCTCCAGTGCCGAGAGCTTATCTGGATGTGTTGGTGAGAACCAAGTATGTACAGAATTGGCTCTGGAGATACTTCCACAGAGACATTTCCGAATCGCATTTGTTGTCGTTGGTGATACTTGCAAACTACCATCCACAGTTACTGGTTGTACTGTTAGATGATAAGGTAAAAACAAGGGAACTGCTCGCTCGATTAATTTCCCAGTACAATTCCACAAATTCAATCAATTCAAAAGTTCTTATTTTGGGGTTTTGGTCCAATGTGGTGAGTTTTCCATCGAATTCAGTTCCATGGGATGAGATCTTTGGAGTACTGGCTCTTGATGACTTAGAGTATCATTCTACTGTGTACGAGAAGGAGCTTGAAGAAGCCAAAATACAGTTTGAGAGTCTAGGAGATGACGAAAAGGGTGATTCTTACATGCTCAAAGGTTGGATGTACACCATCATAGAAATCGCATACCATGAGACAGTCTCTCTTACTGATAAGAGGTTGAGACGGGCTCTGTTTGTGTTTTTGTTGGACAGTTTGTCAAATAAAAGGTGTACTTATCTTAGCACTCTGCTTTTTGAAACGAACATTGCCAATCTAAGATGGTGTGGTGAAGTCATGAGAAAAGATTCAGAGCTTATTGCTCTGTACGATGATCTGATATACGGACTCAGTCATTTCAAAAGTCCCCGTGATCAACTCCTCAACATCCAAAAACTTGCCATCCAGGGAAATTTTGACAAAAAACTGGATTTTGTGCTGGACACAAATGATCCAGAGATGATAAACGAATCAAGTCTTTCTAAGCTTACTGAAGGAGAGTTAAAAGAACTGAGTGTCCAGTGCCGCACGAGTTCAAAATTATTTGACTCGATGGATACAAGGAAAGGTTTAATGATTGCATTGTTACCACAAAATGCTAGAGATCGTCTATACGATTTGAGAATATTACCCACTTCGTCCTTGATATACCCTGAGAGCGCTCTCTCCTCGAACAAATGCTACTTTAGCAAAGAGGATCTGTTTTATCGCAAGTTTCTCTCCGAGAAAGCAAATTTCTACTCTGAGATCAGCTCTTATCTGGCAAAGATAATTGGGAAGCCTGCGGGAAAGTCAATCATTAATTTGATTTCAGAGGTTGAAGTCCAAAGAACATCTCGTCCTATCATAGACTCCGAGACCAATTTGAGCGTGATTCTAGAAATAATCTTGGAGAAAGGCAATTACGACACTTTGGATGTCAAAGGGAATTCTTTGAAGGGTTCACCTGTTTTACTACTGGCTGAGTCTGGGGGTGCAGCTAGCATAGCCTTGGGAGGAGAGCTGATTTCTGTGCAGAGAGAGAAGTCCAAGCGCAAAATCAAAGTCAGTGTTGGTTCAGATGTTGATGATGAGTTCGTGAAGAATTTGCATCTCGTTACAAGACTTCCCAAAGCTTTGAAATCAAAATTTGAAGATCTCAAGAGCATAAAGTATTCATTTCAGCATTCTGAAACTGTTGCCATTCCTGATTGGATTGCTGACACAATTCTGGGAGCAGAGAATGCCAGGCCTGTGCCTGGACCCTCTGTGTTTAAGTTTGGTTCCGTTTTTGAATCTTATCCTGAACTGGAAAAGTCGCTTGCTTCTTGGGAAGTTACGCTGGAGACGCAGGAGCAACAACCGGGACAGAAAAAACGAAAAGGAGCCAAATTCGAGGGAAATTCCACTGCTGAATCGCCTTTTCTGGTAAGAATTGGAAAGAGTAAAGCAAAGGTTGTTCCATATGAATCGATTGCGGGCTTCAAGAATGATCTGGAGTTGACGTTGAGTTCTGCCCAGACTGACGCTATGGTTAGCATTCTAAAAGATGGACTTGTTTCTATTGAAGGCCTTCCAGGAACTGGCAAGAATTCGGTGTTGGCTTCTGCAATTTCAATTATCAGTTCTTCTTTCCCCAAAGAACGGGTCTTGATTATTGGTCGTTCGAACGGGTTGCTAGAAAAGATTTCGTCTAGCCTCGAATCTTGTGGACTAACCATATTGAATTTGTGCAAGGCTAGTAACCCTCAGCTGCCATCTTTGTTGGAGCAAGTTGACCATTTAGCAGAAAGTTTGGGCATAGTCGGAGAGTATGGCAATGATCCAACTTCCGCCGCCGCTCTTCTGGAAGAGATCGAAAGAAGGTGGACAAGATTCCTGGAAACTGTGCACAGCCGGGGCATTTCTAACGAGGTGATTAGTGAGGAGTATCCCTTCGTTTATGAATTCGATCCCTCTGTGGAGGCTCGCAAGAATATGCTGCTTGCCATATCGAACTACAATGAGACCATTGATTTGTTCCGAAGGGTGGAACAGTCCAAATTTGAGAATCTTCCAAGTGACTCAGAAACCTTGAGAGCTAATGTTAAGCTAATAGCCTCTGCCAATGTTGTGATCATGAGGCAGTCCCATTTGACCGCGCATATAGAAAACAATATCAAATTCAGGTTTGACTCGTTGTTCATGCTTTCGTCCGAGTCGTTAGAAGAAGTCGATTTTGCAAGGTGCTTCTCAGTATTGAGTTCACAAGCACTGTTGAAAAGAGTTGTGTTTGTTGGTACAGGGTTGAGACATGATGATTCGGCTCTGATTGTCGATAGAATGGACAAGTTCAAGGGTGTGAAGAAGATGAATCTACTCGAGCAGTATGTGCAAAGTGGAGAGATCGGCCGTTTGATCGGCTATTCAAAGGACCAAACTAAGTCCTTAATGACGACCAATCACTTCAATCCAGGATTCGCCCAAATCTGCCAACTTATTGATGTTGCGGAATACAACGGGAGATCGCCAGTTTCCGAGCTGAGCCCAGGCGTCTTTCAGAACGTCGCGGAAGCGGAATACGCGGTTGCCATTTACACGTATATGGCATTGCTCAATTATCCATTGAACCAAATCACCATATTGACCTCCTCGAATGCGCAGAAGAGCCTGATAGATGAGGTAGCCAGCGTAAGACTGGGCGATCAAAATATCGCACTTCCAGAAGTTGCTACTACTTACGAGTTTGAGGGACAACAACAAAATTATGTGATAGTATCGTGTGTTCATGGAGACCTATTGCAATCGCGGATGGAGCTGGAGCGCCTAATTGCAAGTTCCGGATTGGGACTCTACATACTGGGTGACTTCGAGAGGCTTAGGTCTACTGAAGGTATACGTCTAGAACAAACCGCGGCAGAAACAAACCTCAAATTGGTTGAGGGTGAAAAGCATGGAGAGGAGAGACAGGTTAAGAGAAAGGCTCTTGTCATGAAGGATTTGGCTCAATTTGGAAAGCTCGTCCACGATATGTTAGCCTCGAAAATAGACTAGAGAACACTATATATATCTATTTGCATATATAGAGATATGCATCTAGAAACGGCGTGTACCGTCTCAATTCTCCGAAACAAGCAATTCTTCAGCGGGTTAGGCATCCCGTTTCAGATAAGGCCAAGAGAAGATCCGTCTTTTGTTGATAAGAACGGTTATCAGATGACACATTGGAAGCTAAATTCACCATATTTGTGGCAGCGGTGACTGATTCAGTCTATAACGTACAAGTTTATAAATATAATCTAACATTCATCCTCTCCACTAAAACGGAGATCGAATCCCGCGCGTTCCCCGCCTATTCCATGCTGTTCCGCGATAAGTTTGGGGTGCATCCGCGATTCAGTCTACACATACACCGCGCTTCTCTAAGAGGCAATAACGCCTAGAGCCGTTTACTGTTTCCTTTTAATAGCCCGCAAATCCCCTTATTGAGTCTTACAAACTTCAAAAACTCCAAACAAATCAAGCTTTATATTTTCTGCCATGGTTTACTCCAAACTCCAGAACAGTCTCAGAAGAGACTCTTCAATCCAGCGCCACACGGACCTCAACTTCTTTGCCCTCTCCTCCCAAAAAAAGGCCAAAGAACCGGAGAATATTGACGGTCTTCACCCAATCGACCCGGATCAACCTGACCAGACCAGTGCTGGCTCCAGATCCCCCAAACGTCGAGGTGGTGAAGACCTTAAGAATGTACTCTACGAACCAGAGGTTTTTGTTGTTCAACCGGCCGAGTACCAAAGAGCAGCAAAAACCCTGAAAATTGCATTTGGCAAAGATGAATTCGTCAAGTATCTGACTTCTCCAATGCAGTCAAACTTGCTTCTGAAAGAACAGGTTGACGAAGCCTTTTTTGAGGCTACGGTGTACCTGGCCATTTTGGACGGTGTCGTTGTCGCGATTCGTGACGAAGAAGGCGAGAAAACCGACCCGGAATGCCCATTTCTTGCGGTGGCATGTTTTTACAAGCCTGAGAGCGAGCCCATGTCTTTGACAAATTACTTCTACAAAATGTGGAAGTCGGGGTATCTCAAGTTTGCATGGTTGGCCAACCAAGAATGCCGTCGAAGGGTTTTCCAAGAACAGTGGCCACTGCTGAACCAAGCCAAATCCAAGGTATTGGGGTTCAGAGAGAAGAACTCGTGGTATCTCTCCGATATCGGAACGACTCCTCAAGCTCAGGGAAAGGGATGTGCTCGGAAGATGTTGTCGTACATGTACGATAATTACATTGATCCGCAATCCAGTTTCTTGTACTTGGAGTCATCTCATCCTAGAAACAGGAAGATTTATGAGAGATTGGGATTCACTTATATCGAGACAATCGCGGTTTGCAATATGGTTTGCGATTGTTTAGACGAGTGTGAGGTCCACGAACCAAAGCCCTTGACCATGGATCTCATGGTTAGAGGTGTTAGAGGTGGATGTTGGTACGATGGAGAAATTTCTGAGTAAACAAGAACTGAGTTTTTTTGTTCGTCTTCAACACCCTCCTCCTCTGAATACTCAAAAGGGGTTATAACTAACCGCTTACCTGGTCTTTTGGTGCCAAGTTTGGCTCATTGGATTAGATACTGAATTTGTCTGAGTTTTCTATATTTTTTATATTTTTTATACGCGCTTAGACCGATGTTCTCTGTAGTAGATATATTGTGGGATTCTGAATAGAGCCCATGTCCTGCGCCGTTTCAGCATTTTATGGGTGTGAGTTCTCCGCTGGTGCAATTCGCATTTGTGGATTTGTACTTCGGACTATAATTTGCAAGTACGTAGTTGGAGGTGTATTATATTTCGAAGTGCATTACATACTTCCAATTTTTGTATCTCTAAAATTATGACCCCTATAGACTGTACATATGCAATGCATGATGCCTTGCATGCTTACCTTTTACTTCTATCCTTTTGTGCTTATGTTTTGTTGGCTTGATCTTGGTTTGATGTGTTCAGTCAAGCCTTGTTCTCCTCGATTTCGGAATTTCAATCATTCCCCATTCACCCTTTTTTCTCCGTTAGTCACGTCTGTAGATTTTCAAGCACCATGCAGTTTTCTTCAAAATCTGACAAAACCCCACATTTTCATTTGGGCTCTCCATCCCATCCAATAATTCCCTCGTAATATACTTTTTCAATGAGGCCATTATAAGATGCCGTCAAACAACCTGTTACAACATCATAACACCACGATAGTGCCACTCTATCGTCTCTACCGCCTTTGCATCTCGTACGCCGCACACACAATAGAAGCGGCAAGCATCAACGCCCGACCGACATTAGGCCGACTTGGGTTCACACGACGCATCATGGAGATCGCTTGAGCAAAATGCACGCAGAAAAAACATTAAAGACCGAGCTCAATCTGCCGCAGACAACCAAATACTGTTCTGTTCGAAGCTTGGAGGAAAGGTCACTTCCGTCACAGTTGAACTTTAGTCTTCTGGTCTCTTTGGTCATTTGGCTCTATCCTGATATTCTGGTGCGAACAAAGGGTAGGTTTGATACATATTTGCGCTACACATTAACGATTCTTTGTCAATCACAAGGTCACATTTAATGGAGAAATACACAGATAGGTACCATCCAGATTACATCCCTGGCACTTACAGCATCTATGCCTCTTCCTTGAGCAATACGGATAATAAAGATGTGGAGCGACTGAAGACGAGGAATGGGGTGATCCTTCTGCCCCAGCCAACGGACTCACCGAACGACCCTTTGAACTGGCATTATTGGCGAAAAGCGTGGCATTTCTTGCTCGTAACTTTCATAACGGCGTTCTCGGCTGCAATCTCGAACGATGCTGGTGCTGCTCAGGACTCGCTGAATGAGATCTACGGCATTTCGTATGATGCCATGAACACTGGAGCAGGTGTACTGTTTCTGGCCATCGGATACGGAACCTGGCTCATGGCCCCGTTCTCCTCGCTGTATGGCCGCAAACTGACTTATATCATTTGCTGTTTGAGCGGGCTGGCGGGTTGTTGTTGGTTTGCCAGCTCCAAAACTACGGCAGATACGATTTGGTCCCAACTGTTTGTGGGAGCATCTGAGTCGGTTGCAGAGGCCCAGGTCCAGCTTTCGCTTTCGGACTTGTTTTTCCGTCATCAGCTGGGTTCTGTCATGACGGTGTATATTTTGGCTACTTCGATTGGAACGTATTTGGGGCCATTGATTGCTGGGTTCATTTCCAGTAACCAGAATTTCCGCTGGGTTGGCTGGTGGGGCGCGATAATATCCGGTATATTGTTCGTGTTTATTCTGTTTGGATACGAGGATACTATGTTTGATTATAAACGATTTGCACCTACTTTGGACGGAGAATCCGCGCATGCTTACTACTCCAACCAGATAGACGAGGCCTTGAGCAATGCTCTTGCTGATGAACAACAAGGCGAGAAAGGCAGAGCTGTGGTGAAAATACCTTCAGAAAAACTGAAGAATCAGCCGATTGTCAGAAGAAGAGCTCTTGAAATGTTAGACTCCAACCCGCCTACCCGTGTCTACCCGGACAACAATGGAGCAGACGACAAACAGTGGTCGTACTGGAGGAGGATACAAATCATTACCAAAGGTCCAAATTTGAGGGGTTGGGGCATAAAGCAGTACTTTCAGCTTTTGTGGATGAACTGTCGAGTTTTCTTTTTTCCCCCAGTCATTCTGTCGGGTTTAATGTGGGGGTCTCAAGACGCATTCCTCTCTTTCTATCTCACCACTGAGGACACAGAGTTCTACGACGCGCCGTGGAACTATTCGGACGCAGCCGTGGCCATAATGAATGTTCCTTGTCTCATTGGTGCTGTAATTGGCTGTCTCTATGCGGGATCAGCGCTGGACTACTTCGTGTTGTGGATGGCCAGAAGGAACGGTGGAGTCGTCGAAGCCGAATTCAGACTCTACTTTGCGTTTCTATCCGGCATAATTTGTCCCGCCGGTCTTCTCATGTTCGGAATCGGAACAGCGAGACAATTAGACTGGAGGGTAATCTACGTTGGACTAGGATTTGTCGGATTTGGCTGGGGTTGTTCTGGAGATATTGCCATGTCGTATCTCATGGACTCATATCCCGAGATGGTTCTGGAAGGCATGGTAGGTGTTGCCGTGATAAACAACACCATCAGCTGTATTTTCACCTTCACATGCTCTGATTGGCTAAATACATCTGGAACCGAAAAAACCTACATTGCGCTGGCAATTTTGAACTTTACTGTGATGTTTCTCGCGTTGCCATTTATAGTGTGGGGCAGGCGCATGAGGGCCTTCACGAAGAAGTACTATGTGAGTTTTATTGAAATGAGAGATGGAATATAGTCGCACCAGGGAACGGTCAGGGAACGGTCAGGAAACGATCAGAAAACCAGGTTGATAATTGAAATCTTAATTGAAATCAATATATTCAATATATAATAAATAATACCAAGACCTCTTTTTCACATATCCGAATTCGGATGCTCTAGCCGTGCCTTATCGTGCACCGCGCTCAGTGAATTTTTTTTGGGGAGCCCATCCCGATAAGGAGACATCCTTTAAAAACCGCCCTGCGTGGCCTCAAAACTCTGATTGAAACCTCTGAAATTTAGATAGATTGAAACTAAAGACTTTCTGATACTCAAGTGTATTGTATTAACGATGACAAAAGTAGTTGTTATTGGAGCAGGAATAGCAGGCCTTAAGGCAGCCATAGACCTGGAAGCCGCAGGTGTTGAAACGATCATACTTGAAGCCCGCGATAGACTCGGTGGAAGACTGCACACAATACAACCTTTTGGGAATGGATTCAACGCAGATATGGGTGCTTCGTGGTTTCACGATTGCTTGGTCAACCCGTTGCTGAAGAAGAACGTCGGGTCGCCGGACGTCACCTACTACTTCAACGATGGCGATCAACTGTGGATCGGTCCTTCCGGTGTTATAACAAAAAACGACAAAGTGTTGGCTGTCCAGGAAGAAATGGTGACTTTCATGAATGATTATTACCAGGACCCATCCAAATCTGACATGTCATTGAGAAACTTTGCCCATCTCTACTTGGAACACACCCGAGGCTTACTTACTGACAAACAGGTACGATATTCACCCCAGGCCTTCAGGGTGTTTGAATTATGGCTGGGACAGGTCTGGGACACTCTTTCCTCGAAACTTTTGAGTGAGGAGGGCCATGTTGGCAGAAACGCCTATTTGACGAGTGGCTACAAGTCGGTGTTTGAAAAGGAGTTGGAAGAGTATCCAGGTTGGAGAGAAAAAATCAAATTGAACACTGTGGTTTCAAAAATCGCACACAATGACAAAATTCAGAAGGTCAATGTGATAACAACTGGTGGTTCCAGCTATGAATGCGATTACACGGTGGTGACGATTCCTCTGGGTGTGCTGCAGTTGAGTCCACCAGAGAAAGGAGCTGTGCAATGGGATCCACCGCTGCCTTCTTCGTTCTCGAGGAATTTGGAGAAGACCACCTTTGCTGCTCTCGGCAAGATTTTTGTGGAGTTTGAGGAGGTGTTCTGGCCAAAGGACCACGACACGTTCATATTCCTGGGTGAGCCTGATAACGAAATGACCCAGGCATTTGAGTCCAGGTCAAGTTTCAAGGCCCCGTTTCAAGAAAACGACTATAGACTCACAAAAGACCCTAAGAAATGGGAATATCCTCTTTATTGTGTGAATCTGGATCGTGCTTCCGAAAAACCGGTATTGGTACTCTTGACCCAAAACCCATTGACTGCTTGGATAGAAGAAGACCCCACTTCAAGGGCCTGGCCCGTCATCCAACCCATGATGGAGTCACTGGCAAAACTTACAGGAAAGGCATGTCCTTCTTCTCCAAAGGCATTAGTAACTTCTCAATGGACCCAGGACCCGTTTGCACGTGGTTCATACATGGGATGTGCTGTGGGTGATGAGATGACCGAGGCCATCCAAGCATTCATCGATCCGAAGGAGATTTTCGGTGGCTCAAACAGGGTCAGATTTGCTGGTGAACACACTGTTTTTGAGGGAAGTGGATGTGCCCATGGTGCCTGGAACAGTGGAGCCAGAGAGGCCAAGAAGATTGTTGAACTAATTAACGGAAAGGCATCCAAACTTTGACTATCGCAAGTCTAGCGCAAAAATCGGGTAAACTCTGCTGAAAACCAATCGAGTCTCAATTAAAAATACATAGTTTTATTAGAAATATACCACAGTCTACACTTAGTATGGATTGAAACGAGCTCTACCTCTGGAGCCACCTCTGAATCCACCTCTAAAGCCTCCCCTTCCTCTGCCTCTTCCTCTTGCTCTAAATCCACCTCTGCCTCTTCCACGAGCAAAGCCCGGGATATTTGTCCTTTTGGCAGTAACTTTCAGGTTCCTTCCGCGAAATAGAGAGTCGTTAAGATTCAACGCTTCTGTCACATAGGCTGGATCAGAGAACTCGATATAGGCGAACCCCTTTGGATTCCCAGTAAACTTGTCAGTCAATATGGTGACTCTGTTAATACTGCCACATGCCTGGAAATGTTTCTGCAATTCTTCGGGTGTACTGTCGTAGTCTACGTTGCCCACATAGATACTCTTGGAGTCCACCTCTTCCTTGTCGATCAACTCCTGCTGCTGATCCTCCTGCTGCTGTTGCAATTCACGGAGTTTAGCAGCTTCCTGTTCCATTTCAGCCATCTGAGATTGCAAAGCAGCTAGTTCGGTGCTAGTGGTGCCTGCATCTGTTGTGGTGGCTGGTTCTTCCAGAGTGCCTGTTCCAGCTGCCTGTTCCTGCACTGCTGGAGGCACAACTTGATCTGTTTGAGTAGCCGACTCTGTTTCAGACATGTCTGTTTTTCAAAGACCTTGAATATACACGTTGGTTAGGGAAGAGTGTGCCCTTTCTTTGCTATGATTATTTTCTTCATAGCTACTCACCAAATGCGAATGCCCATATTAGTCCACACACTACCATCACCATATCAGACGTTTTTTGGCATGAATATGTCACAACCAAGTAGTGAGAACTTCGGACTGGGAGTTGGAAGGGTTTTAAGGACAGGATGAGCTTATTCCAGAATTTATGGTAAAAGAAATGGCCAAACTTTGGAGAGATATTTCTACGTACGGTACAGATTTTTCTGCCTACTATCATGTTTCTCGCAATCATTAATGTGACCTATGAATAATCCACCACAACTAATACCTTTCCTTCATTCTAGAAGCCACTGTTCTCAAATTTCCATAAACCTTACCTGGTGGAGAACCCAGGATCAGGGCCATGACCGCCTCTCTGGCCATCCTTATATGGCTGAAACCACCTAAGATGTGAATCTTACTATCCGCAAGTACAATTCTGGTTCTCGTGGCGTTTTCTATGGCGAACTTGGTCCTACCGTCCTTACCGGCAATACGACCAATAGCTCTCGACAAATGGTCTCCATTTAGCGTCTTCACATCCTTGATTTCGAAAGATTCGATATACAAGTCATCCAGCCTCAACAAGGCAATTGCATCGTCTATGTCAAAGCCCAAAGTAAAGGCCTTCATGAAATCCGCACCCTTCTGAAGAGCACCTGGGTCGGTGGTTTTCGAGCACGTCCTCATTTCGACTGTTCTTGTCTTCAAGTTCATTCTGACCTGAAGCTTCAGATGTTGCACCAAAGGTGGATATATTTTGGGCCATGCGCCCTTTAATGGAGTCATTCTATGTGGAGGCACGGAAACCTTTCTGGTCTCCGTCTTCACTTTCCCAGTTGCTTTTGCAACAGAGGCGAACTTTGGCTTACCAGCATCATCAAATTCAACCTCACCCAGTGGAATTAATTTCTGGTTCTTTGCCTCAGTTTCTTCAGTGAGTTCGGACAGTTCTGTGTCTATGAGCATTTCGTCTTCTGCAACGGCAGCGGCTGGGACAGGTTCCTCCACCGAGGATGTCTGTTTCCTCGCAGTTGGTGCAACCATGGTTTTATTGTGAGGATAATGCTAAAAGAAAGTAAATACAACTCGATTTTTGGCCGAATATAGGTATATCAAAACACTTCTTGATGTGGTATTATTGATCAAGCCATGAAGCTAAAAAAATTTATTTTTCAAAAAGCATATCGGTGAAAACACGACTTTTTAGATAAAGCGCAAGGCGAGAAAAATTCGGAGCCGAAAGACGCCTTCAAGATTATTTGATCCAACTACTCTTTCGACAAAGAATCAGGTTTAATACGAGATGTTGAAGTCGGTAACTCGAGCGCCAATACGGCGACTGCTAGAGGTTTCCGTTCGGCGGTATTCTTTACAAACAGGTTTTGTTCCGGGATTGGCTTCGCTTAACTGCCGCGCAATAGGAGTGCACCCATATCCCTGGGCTCGTTTGCCTTTTGATCGTGTCAAATACGTACCAATAGTGCGTAATTTTCATGTATTTTCCAGGAGGCTTGCTGAGGCCGAGGGAAAGAACAGGAATTCGAGAGACCAGATGATAGCTCAAGGGTCAAATTTCATCCAGAGGATCTATTACAGGATGAAGTGGGTTTTGCTCCGTCAGAATAGGCCTTTTAATGTGGATGAAATTTCAGCCTTTATATCATGGGTATTGATGGGTCATTTTGCATGGATTGCGATTGGAACTACGACATTTTTTGGGTTGATATTCTACGCCTTAAACTCAATCTTCGACAATAACGATGGGTTGAAGGATAACCGTTTGGCCCAAAGTTTACTGAAAAGACTCATTTCGTTTGACACGAACCTGAACATAACGTTCAATGACGATACTTTCAAGTCGAGCTGGAAAAACGGAATGATCTGTCTTGACGACTTGAAGGTGACGGCCCAGCTTCCCTCTACCAAGTTTGATGTTACACTAGACACACTCAGACTCAATCTTTCCTTCCGCAAGTGGTCTGAGGGTAGGGGTCTGATTCACGATGTTGAACTGATAGGACTCAGGGGAGATGTCACGAGAATTTATGAGGAAACAGGTATGGTTGAAGAGGTATTGTCTTCTAAGTATGAGTTGAAATCGGTAAAGATCAGAGACTCTTATTTGAATATTCAGTCTGAAAACTCACAGAAGAAGATAAAGGTATCTATTTTCAACAGCGAGTTACCACGTCTAAGACTTCGCTGGCTCACCTACGATTTCTTCAGCGCGGACAGTTGCACTGGAGCCATTGATGGCTCTCTGTTCACGATACACAAGCGTCAAGACAGCTTTGCACATTTCAAGGCTCTGGATGGGTCTGGAGCAAAGGAAGCCGACTTGAACAATCCTTGGAAGAAGATATCTCGTCTGAGAATAGATCAGCTGGATCTTTCTGAGCTAGACAAAAAGTCCAAGCTTAATTGGATCCAAAAAGGCAAGGTAGAGGTCACTGCAGATATGATGCTTCCTAACGAAGAAGACATGGAAGCAATGGGTTCAAGCGGAGATAGGTCAATATTCGGAGATATCATGTCTGGATTTACATCCATGTGGTCTGATCATGAATCGCCAGAAACAATTTTGGCAGTACAACCGTCTTCCAACAAATACGTTGTGTTTGACATTAAAGTTCAGTTCCAAGACCTGAAGGCAGGATATCCACTGGAGACCCCAACTTCTGGGGTGACCGGGCTTCCATACGTATCCTCGGATGATCTTAGGTCCTTGATCACTTTTATCAATGATAAGTCCTTGGGTCAAGCCATGGATGAGATCAACCACAATGACATAAATCCATTTGACAGTTCTGATATCGAAGTGGATGGAGTTGAAAACCCAATGACAGAGTCCCTGATCACGTCCTCGTCCTCCATGCCTGTCATGGGATCGAAAGCGTCTTTCCCTCCCATTAAATTCAAACTGGTTAAAAACTTGAACCAATTTGAACAGTTTGATCCGGTCAGTCTAGTCAAACTCAAGAGCTCTGGCCGGAGCAAAAAAACCGCCGATCCTGTTCATAGCATACACCAAGACGGTACCGACGAGTTTGTGGATAGTGTGATGCAAGAGATACTGTCGCAAATGCTTCTTTTTAAAGAAGAGACACAGTCTAGGCTCATAAACAATTATTCAAAAAGAAGCAACATGGAGATTCTTTTCAGCAATCTTATCTTCGGAAACTTGATCTTGGTGGGCCTAGGAGCTTTTATGATATAGCTTCAGCCCTAGGCATTACGAAACGCATTTTTTTTATTGGTTAGTTTTATATTTTTATTCTTGTGGGTTATTTTAAAGAGCGGTCTCGTTTGACTCAAAATTCATATTCATATTAATTTTATTTTCTATCCCTGTAGCTTTGATTCCTTCCTGCTGGAGAGCGCTCTCTTTCTCGTGATTGTTCCTTCTCATTAACAATTTCTCCAGTTTCTTTATTTCTTATAATCACGGGCGAATAAACCTCATTTCGCGAGACCTCCATTCCAGGCAAAGCTTTTGCGCCTATTCCCAGTAGAGGTGGTCGTTTAGTCACAGTGGTAGTAGACTTAGACGGCCTCTGAGTATTGTCTTTCCATCCCATTCCTCTCAACAATGCTGCCCCAAACTCCTCAACTGGAACTTTCTCATAGTCTTCTAACGAGGATGATTCTGGCATCTCTTTCAATTCGTTATCGAGCCGGTGCTGGTCATCATCCATCACAATAACCCTCTGGGAAGTTGTCTTAACTCCATTGCGCAGCGATTCCCTGGCTTGTTCTTCCACACTCTTCGAGAAAGCAACTGGTATTGTGTCTTCGTTTTTGCTGTCCGATTTGGTTGAGACAGCCTCAAATGTGTTCAAGCCATATTTCAAAGTGTCTTCACTAACTGTGACTTCTTGGTCCCGCCTTTCCAATGCTTCAGCCCTCCAGTCTTTTTTGGACTTGGGCCGTATCACTAACAATCCAGGCTTTGAGCCAAAAGTGTTTTCATCAAAGGAACTAATTTCAACTTCTTTCACTTCGTCGTCATTTCCTCGTGAATCATCCGTCAACACAGGCTTTGCCAGCTTCTTTGGAACGCCTAGGGTCTTCTGTCCGTTCGCTGGTTTTTTTATCTGAAATCCACCAAAAGATTTTTTCGGCTGATCCGAAGGGTCTGAAGACTTTTTCAGGGAAAACCCTTTCATAATACGTTGCGGTGTGTCCTTTCGTGTATGGTGTTATTTGATAAAACGCATGAAATGCAGAGAAATCGCTGTGAGCATGCGATGAGGTACACCCGTGATTAGAATTTGTGCTAGTATTAGCTAAGATTGCTAGCATTAGTGGCTGAAAAACTGAAAAAAGCCGATAAATAGCTGCGAAATAACTAGAAAATATCTTTCAAATAATTAGAAATTATTATTTTACAGAACCGACCTCAAAAAAAGAACAAGACAACCCAATGGCAACCATGCTTTTGGGTAAATACCTGATAGCATATTGAATGACATTTGGATGTTCACATAATCAAATAGCAACTCAACACCCATAGCTCTACTTAGCCGAGAACAAACAGCATTTAATCCTCATATCCCTCGCTCATCTCGATCCCAAAACCCGCTCATCCTTAGTTTTATTCGAATCACGAGAAGTACCCGCGCTTGCGGCCTCAAAATTCTGGTTTGCCCTCTTCTGCTCGTCCGTGCCCGTGATCATATTGTACGCCTCCTGTCTGTAATACTCCTTCACGTCCTCCGTACTGAGCTTTATTGTTGTTGGGTCGCGTCTCAGCATTGTGCAATACGGCCAATTTCCAATCGTCGAAACAACTCGATATCCAAACAACCTTATCATCAAAGTCTACGAATACACCAAAACACTAAAAGGTAGTGCAAAACCAATAAATCGCCGGATCCCGGCTCGCTCTCGCGGCTGGAGGCTTCTAGATGGACTTGACTAATCCTCAGTTCGAAGGCCATTCTTCTCAATCGAAACGTGTCACACAAACTAATATACTGCACGAGGGTTCTTGGTGGACATGTCAGACGAAAACACGTGCCGGATCTGTCGGTGCGAAAGCACACCTGAAGACCCGCTGTATCACCCTTGTAAGTGCAAGGGTTCCATCAAGTACATACACCAGGATTGTTTGATGGAATGGCTAGCGCACTCGAAGAAAGATTCTGTTTGCGACATTTGTCATGAAAAATACCATTTCACAACTCTTTTCGCCGAAAATGTGCCGGATAGGGTCCCGTTGAAAGTTATACTTGATAAGGCTGTGAAGCACTGTTTCAAACTGGCTTCGTTAGCAGTCATAGTGCTATCCACCTTTGTGTTCATTGTGGTGGAAGTACCCGTCTTCACCGTATTCACCATCAGGTCACTGCTCCGGTCATTATCGTCAAGTACGCGGAAGGAATCTTTTATGAAGCTTCTTATATTTGGTGATGCTGAGATAGACCTGAGCAAGCCCTGGCTCACAAGCGATAACCTGCTAGTGTTTCTGAAAGACACATACTTAACTGGACTGTTGCAGTTTTTGTTCTTGGTGTTGCTAGCTGTTATATTGTTTACCCAGCACGAATGGGTATCAAAGGACGAAGGGTTTACCACGATTTTGAACAGAAGAATAGGCCCCGAGAAACCGTTTAGGGCACTGGAGGCCCTGCAGGCAGAACTGCACGGGATAGGCGCTCGCAATGGAGACATACTGTTGGATGCTGTTGTCAGACCTGCTGTTCAGGAAAGAATACGACGGGCGAGATTGGAAGCTGAGGCCGAGGCTGTCGCGGAAGCAGCTGCAAATCCTCCACGGGAGGATGATGCTGAGGACGAGTGGATGGATTTCGTGGCAGAAGAAGACGATAATGCTCCCAGAATGCTGGACCAGGAGGGTATACAGCCGGAGGATAATGCAGAACCGGAAGGACTCAATGGGGACCGCGAGATACTCTTGCAGCAGTTTGTGGAACAGGTGGTCAGGGACGTGAATCCTGAACAGCGCAGAAGAAGAGAACAAAATAGGCTGCCTCAAAGAATAGTTGCGAATAGGGCCCCTGGTGCAGAGGTCCCAGTGGTACCAGTGGTGCCAGCAGTTCCGGAGGAGCCGGAACAGGGAATTGACGTAATGGTGAACATTGACTTTGATTCTTATACCGCCGTGCTCCCAGTGCAACTAGCGATAATAGCGAACATGGCAACAGTGTGTTTGTCGATGGCCTTGGGGTTCATGCCATGTGTTGCTGGAACAATCTCTTTGCCCATCTTTCATCTGTTTGTCCAGAAGCTAATCTTCGACTTTCCGTTTTTAGGGCCAAAGCTGAAGGCATTTGCAGGTATAATTTCACAAAAGGCTGGAGAAGTATTAGTGGAACATCCCTTACCTTCTTCCGTACAGGGAATTCTTGTTTATGCGAAAGAAAGCATTGTTTCCCCAATATTGGAGAACTATTGGGATGTTTTGAACATTTCAAAGACTCCAACCATCACACAGGTCGCAATCAGGATCGGAATAGGCTATTTGATTAATCTTCTGTTGACATTTGCAGTCATGAAATACTTTGAGAAAGGCTGTTCGAAACAACACCCACTGACTGGTGTCTACAGACGCTATTACACCACTCTCCTTGAGATTGTCTCCACGTTAAAATTGTTTGTGATCTTTGGCACAGAGCAGATACTATTTCCCTCGTACTGTGGCTATTTGCTGGATTTTGTGCTGTCTCCTCTCTTCACTCATCATGGAGGTTATTGGATGACGGCAGAGTTGATACCCGAAAGCTTGAAGTCCAGTCCATTTCCGCTGTGGAATGTTCGTTGGGTAGTTGGCACATTTTTCATGTGCTTATTTGCATTGTACGTGGGAATGGTTAGACGCAGAATTTTACGGCCAGGTGTTTTGTACTTCATCAAATCACCAGATGATCCTAACGTCAGACTGGTCCATGATGCTTTGGTGAGACCATTGTATTCGCAGATGTCGAGGATCGCCCTTTCAGGCGTTATATATTCCTTCTTCATTGTTGTTGAGATTGGAGCTTTGACTTGGGGTTTGAAACATATCGACTTCCTCAATCTTTTACCCTTAAAGATCGACCTGTTCTCGTGCTTTCTGGGATACTCTGTGGTTCATTTCAAGATTGACTCTGTGCTTGTGGAGGCCTTTGTTGCTTTTTGGAAGGCTTCTTTTACCTTTATCTGCAGTCAATTGCGGATGTCACATTTCATTGTCAATCACCCTGTACCCGAAGAGAGGGGCCGTGTTGTATACAGAAGTATATTTCATCAGCTGCTGCGCTCAAAGCCTGATTACAGTCAGCCTATGAGCTATGAGAGTGCTGTTGAGATGTTTAAAAGCAGTCCCGGAGTGAATGCAGCTTTCGTCCCAAATGGAAGTTATATGAGAGTGCCTGATAATGACAATGTCTCGAGGAAGTTTCTGAGAGAACTATTCGTTCCGGTGACCAAAGACGATGAGCTTTTAGACATTTCCAACTCCAGCAAAGCAAAATCAACAGACAAGCCTGCTGAAAGTACCCGCAGCGCCGAAGACTCTGATGATGAAGATTTTGCACACCCAATAACATCGTATACCGTTGTGTATGCGCCGCCATCGTTGGGAAAAAGATCACTGTTGCTTCTCGCTTCCATATGGGTAGCGGCAATAGGAATAACAGCTATTGGTATTGCATGGGAAAGGCTTGTCTCACGAATGCTTTATGAGCTGAAGCGAGGCTTGTTCAGACTTGGTGGCAGCACCCCTTATGCTTGGGATTCTCACGTATCAATGACAACAACTGTGATATCGTTGGTGATTTTTGCTGGTATCTACAAGGTGGCCAGTAACGGACAGATTGCTGAATTGGTACCCCCGAACTTCAATGCGTTAGTAACCAAGGCAGCACTTCATGCCTTCTATCAGTTACCATTGGTCATGGGACTGATCGAGTTCCAAAACGTTTTGTTCGCGCTTCCATTTTCCCAGGTATTTTCTTCTGAGATAGTGTCCTATTCTCTCCCGCTTTTCTGGCCCACGGACTTCTGGTCTGTAGGAAAGCTCATTCTCACGTTATGTTTGTTTCTTCCCGTTTACTGGCCCACAATGAAGCCATTTACTGACCCCAGGCCCACTCGACGCCAGCTAAAGATGGTGGGGCTTGGTGCTCTCATCTCTCTTTTGGGAGTGGCTCAGTTCCTGGTGTATTCCTTCTGCTTTTACAGAAGTGCACAGACGGAGCTCGGATTTGTTTCCTTTTCAATAGAATTGGGATACGCAGTCCGCAAGGACTTGCGCCAATCTCAGATTGCATCAACAATAATGCTACTGGACTGGTTTCTGTTTATGTACCTGGTATCTGCAGACGCCATCAGGTCGGTGATCACTTCCACGAACGAGAAACTCAAGGCTGAGTACTATGGTGTCGAACGGAGATTGGCCAATGCGAATTGATGGTGAAAAGATTTTGAGTTGTGAATGTAAAGCTAGTAACAATCAAAGCAACATTTAAATAACACAAATAAGTTGTCTTAAGCCTTGAAAACCGAGGTTGGATGCACACTGCGGCTTAGACATTGCAGATGCATCTTGGCTTGAGTCAGACACCGAGATTATAATATTCCGAATACCGAGCAATCCTACTAAGTATAAAAAATCCTACCATGACCTATCACGCGTTACATATAATAAAAATCTCTGCTTTTCTCCAGGGCTGGTCTCCACTTGGGTATACAATATAAAACGTATAATATATAATTTTTACAGAACAAATAAGATTGCACACTTTTGCGCTTTTCTGATGGTCTCGGCAATTCCCTGCGGGAATTCCTGCTAAGCCGCGTTTGAAATTAGGCGGGGGACTAAACTTGTTTAAAAAGCTTAGTCGCTGTTTTCTTATAAAGATGACCTCACCCCTAATCTTTTTTGACAAGTTAATACCCCGAATCCATCAACCGTTAATTTTTTTTCATGTCCTTGTCAGAGAAACCAGCCATCGTAGACTCCAAGTCTGGCTCTGAGGAACCAGAACTGGAGTCCGTCAATCATCCAATCAACATCAAGCGTTTGAAGCAGATCCGCATTGCACTCTTTGTCTTTACAGCTTTGGTGTTCAGCACTGCTGTGTTCAGTTTCGTGACTGCCGTTTGTTCTGTTCGCAACTCTTTTTTCTCTCACGATGATCATCATCCTCACTTCAGGAATCACCATGGTTTGGACCACGATATGCGCATGGAGGGGTTTCATGATGACAGAGAGTTCTTTAGAGTACATGACGCCCCTCACAGAGCTGATCGTCCCCACGAGATGAGGGTTGGCGCGGAGCATGAAAGACCATCCAGACTCCAAGAACACCACGATCGCCCAGAAGATGCAGCGAGAATGGGACGCCCAGATCATAACCCAGAGGATGGCATGTTCAAGAAACAAATGATCAAGCCATGCAAGTCTAAGAAGAAGAACCAGAGACACCAAAAAAGTCACGAAGACATCGAGGCCTTTTTGAACCAACTGGCTGTTGATAACCGCAGAGCTGTTGAGAACTTCTTGAACGAGAAGCCCGTCGAGATCAAAGATTCTGGTGATGCTCATGATAACGGCAAGGAGCTCCATAAGTTAGGTAAGCCTGCTAAGCTTGACCATGATGATGAAGTTCGTGACAGGGTATTTGACCATAGCGAACCTATTTTAGTTGGATTTGACGATAGGAAAACCGAAGTCGAAGTTGATGACCTCGATCTTGAGTTTCTTATTTAGAGAGTGAAGTCGAATCGTCAACTCGCTTGATCTCTTTGAGAGTTTTCATATTATCAACGACTCTCACTCGCTGTTGGGAACTTACCTTTTGGATTTTAGCCCTCTTTTTATAGTTACATGGTATAGTTGTGAAATAGAATCGCGCACCTATTTATCTGTTTCACCCGTATCTACATGGTTGATTAAGGACAAAATAAGCACTCACAACTGTCTCTGTATTGGAGTGCGTCGATAAATATCACGAACTTGTCAGAACCTGATGAATTCAACTCTCGTCGCTCAGCCGCATGGCTCACATCTTTCAATCCTCATGAAATTCCGCGATAGACTTCAGTTCGCCATTAGAGAGCCTGACCTCATACTCGTATTCACTGCAGAATGCACTATGAAGAGTCGAAGGATCACCAACCATCTCATAAGTGAACCGCGCCTCATCATCACCAATAAGGATCCGGTTGTACTTACCAGAGGCTTGTACAGCGTCAATTCTAAGTTGGATATCACATGACTTCTCCATAATAGTCATCAAGTAGCAAGCTTCACCAACATTGGATCCACACGTAAGCAATCCATGATTTTGAAGAATAATGGTTCTGTTGGTGGGACCTAGAGCTTTTGCTATTTCCACGCCCTCCACATTATCCAGAACAACTCCACCAAAACTTGAATAAAGGCTCTGGTTATTGTAGAAAAAACATGCATCTTGATTCAGGATGTCCAGTGGTCTACCAAGAGCAGAAAACGCTTTTCCAGCAACAGAGTGAACGTGACACGCGCAATTGACATCTGGTCTGGCCTCATGAATGGCTGAATGGATTCTGAATCCTGCACGATTGATTGTGGTTCTATTTCCACCAATATAAGTTCCATTCTTATCCACATGAACCATATCCTCAGGTCTTAATAGTGAGAAATGAACTGCAAGGGGATTGATCCAAAACGTATCTGGATCAACTGGGTCCCTAACCGAAATATGGCCAGCCGAACCCTCATTGAAGCCTGCTCTTCCAAAGATTCTGAAGGCTCCCGCCATTTCGTTGAGCATCCATTCCCTTTGTTTGAGCTTATCTTTGATCACGGGAATCCGATAAGGATGCTTGACGTCTCCAAAAACGATGTTCTGGCCGTCAGCCTTGACCTCCACATTCTGCGGCTTTTTGGATGTGACCCTGAAAGAAGAGGATTCAACGGGGTTTGTGGTACTGGTTGATGTAGATGATAGCATTGTCCGCTGTTAAAATAACCCGAATAATCTCACAGAGATGCGAACGTCGTTAAATTGACCTCAATAAAAGGTTCAGGTAATCAAGTCTAGGGGCATATAATAAGTCAAAACCCTTATCACGTGCTTGGACCCACCAATTGAGTGATAGCAGTTAGCAATTTCCGCAATGGGTAGCCTAAGCGTCTTATCTGTAAATCCGGATATCGGGGGTAAACAATCTGAAAAGTTTTTGAACTAAAGATATATTTTTGTACTCTATACCCGTATAAAACATTATAGCGACATGTCAATAACGTATCTTCCAAGGATTTTACCCTCATCCATCAGCTCAAAAACATCAGCAAGCTTGTCTAGCCCTACCACTTTGATGGGCGACTTGATCAGTCCTTTGGCAAATATATCCAGTGCTTCTTCGGTTTCTTTCACATTTGCAACAGATGTTCCTTTCAAGGTAATGTATCTGCAAACCTGATCGTAGAGTGGGTATCTGACTTCAGCACCAGAAGGTAGGCCCACGAACACAACTGTTCCACACAACCTAACGTACTCCACGGATTGGCACATAGCCTTCTCGGAAACGGAGACATTAACAACAGCATGTGCACCTCCTTCCGTTATCTTTTTGACCTCCGCACTGACATCCTCAATCTTAGTGAAATCGACAAACACGTCGGCACCTAATTCGAGGCAGTGGTCCTTCTTGGAATCACCACCATCTATTGCAAGTACTTTGTATCCCAGAGCCTTAGCATACTGGACAGCCATCGTTCCCAATCCGCCACCAGCACCACACACAGCAACCCATTGACCGGCAACAGCGTCACAGATAGTTAATGCTCTGTACACAGTAACACCAGCACAAAGAATTGGAGCCACGGAAGCAAGGTCAGTGCCTTTCGGAATCCTAGCAGCTTGTTTGGCATTGGCAACAGCATACTCCTGGAAAGTTCCGTCACATGTATAGCCCGAGAGGGTCGCTTGTGAGCAGCAGGCCTCGTAGCCCCGGTAGCAATAATCGCAATCAAAGCAGTTTCCATTCAACCACTTGATTCCGGCGTTATCTCCGATTTCGAAGTTGGTCACCTCCGATCCCTTCGCAACAACAATACCAGCTCCTTCATGGCCTCCCACCAGTGGTAATTTTGCCTTGATTGGCCAATCTCCTTTCCAGGCATGTAGATCAGAGTGACAAACACCGGTATATGCGATCTTCACGAGGATTTCAGTAGCCTTGATCTTCGGTACCGAGATACATTTTACAGTGAGCGGACAATCGATTGACTCAAAGACAACGGCCTTCTGGGTTGCGGGAATGGACATTTAGTGTCTGCTCTTGAATAGTGAAATCTAAAGTCCGTGCTTATGAGAATCGAAGAGATCAACAATCGAACATCAGGCCCAGGGGATTTGTTCCTACTTGTACATGTTTCTTATCTGTCCTGATAATAGGGTAATCCGAGATCCGCTTCAAGGGTTGTACTGATCTCTTCCGTTTTTGTATGGCACAATTGATTTTTTGGGAAATAATCTAAGATCATGGATGTGTATCTAATTACAAACGATACTAAATCTAGGAATTAAAGCCAAACCGCGTCAGAGGATGTCAGGAGGGGCCGCAATGCGCCAGAATTTGCCAAGATGCGCGCCTAAAACCTTTGCGGCAGTGAATTGGGCCCAGAAAAGGTTCCTCATTGATTATTACTCAACAACTCCGGTTTGCACTACATAATTTTCTCTTGTGTCAAAATTTTTTCAAGGTATGGCAACTCAACAGAGATACCTTTCCACTAAGTAACTAATCATATATTGAGTGCACCAACGAATTGTATACTGTGGGTTAGACTAGAAGAATTATTCCCTCAGAACTTGCCCGTGTAGCGTAATGGTTAACGCGTTTGACTTCTAATCAAAAGATTCTGGGTTCGACTCCCAGCATGGGTGCGCTTCTATTTTTTTTGCTTTCACTGAAGAGATTGACACAATCTCTCATAACGCGTTCAAATGTCTACAAAAATCATTTAAATTCAGCTATGCCTTAGGCTCTTGCTATCTAATTTACAATAGGGTTCCTCTCACTTATCTTGGATTACGAAGGGGTTGTTGTTTCGGAGCTTCCGTCTTTTCGAAGACAAACCATCATAAGTAGCAACTGTATCAGTGTTTGAAGTTTGAGGGTTGGGAGAAATGTACTTGATTGTCAATACATCTTGAGATGGAGAATCTTCTTCTGGTACTCCATTTTCCGATACTGAAATTTGTTCCGGCCTAGACTGTAGAACGGACACTTCTGGCTTAAATTCAGGCATTGCAACAGTACCTTTGGCCTGCGTAGAGATTGAAGAATGAGAAGGGGACATAACAGCTGAAGAAAAGCCTTCTTTTTCATGCAATGGTGGAGGGGACGTCTTGAGAGGAGTTTGCGTAATGTCATTTGCAATGGTTGCATCTATTTTTGTATCTGGGGAGGATGGTGCATCATTAGAATCAGATTTGCTAGTGTTGTCCCTTGAGATGGCCCGAAAACTGGGTTCTTCTATGATCTGAAGGTCGTCATCATCTTCATCATCATAGTCCTCATTTTGAGCAGCTGAACCCTGTGGCAGAAATGAACCCCTCTCATGGGCAACTTTGCCAACCATCTCCACATCACCTCCCTCAGCAAGAACTTGTTCTTTGAGCAAGTTCACGAGTCTGGACCTCAAACGAGAACGCAAAATCTTCAGTTCATCGCGCGGAAAGAAGTTGCCATCAACCTGCCTGCTTTTCTTCGGTGACCTCCGGGTGAGGCCCAAATACTGCTCGTAGTCAGAGAAGATCCTCCTCACATTGTAGATTACATGAATGCCACAATCGTTGAAGTTTCTCTGCTTCGGAACAGGGAGTCGTCTTGTTTTAAGTTGTCGCGTATTCAACTCAACTCCATACTTGTCTTGGGCGTAGGAGACAAAGAATCTTCTCAACGGTGGCATGAATGGATATCTGTCACCACCGAGCGAGTCCAGCACAGTGAAATTGGCCTTTGGCATTTCATCGACTTGACTGGGCTGAATTAACGAATTCAATCCCGATACCATCACACAGAGCCAGTGAAACTCATGAACAATCGGTATCACGATGAGGTCATTCAAAAATAGGTCATCCTTGTTTTTAAACCAACTTTTCACGTTTTCATAACAGTCCTCATTGTTGCCCTGGATAAGACGAGTATAGAAGAAACTGTTGAGAAGCTCCACTTTGTACTTGGATATTTCTTTCTCGAGATGCTTCACCTTTTGTAAGTCATATTTCAAAAAGAAATCTATCATAGCATCGTTAATCCAGTTGTTATTATAGAGGCAACTGAAATCGGAGTTCGTTATCGTGAAGGTAGAATTGTCATCAAACTTGAATTTCAATGACGGCTCAAACACAATCTGATCTTTGAGAGGGATGTCCTCGTGTTGGTTCTCTGACCGGTTTCGCTTGGTTGGAGTATGTGGTTCATCCATGAGTTGGATCTGTTCCGTCATGGACAGATCCTTAGGCGCACTAGACCTGGTGAGTCGTCTAGACAATGCGCTACTCTGCAGGGGAGATCTTTCGGTCGTATTGCCGTAGAAATCTTTTGTTGAGATGGGAGCTATCTCCTTTGTGCCATACCGCTCATTCAGCTCATGGCCAGACACAGACTCGAACTTGCATCGCGGCTGCTTCTTGAACAAACTGTACAGCTTAGACACCTCATGCAAATCTTCTCCAGAAACAAAGATCCAGAAACTCTCCGCATAAACCTCTCTCGTATCAGTCAGTTGTATATTGCAGGGAGCCCTGGTGGTGATCACAAAGTTGGTTCCTCCTGGCACATTGTCAACCTGGATCAGGGACATCATAGTAAGCGCAATTTCCAACTTAAAATGCGTTGGTCCCGGGCTTTTTATCAGAAGTACCGTTTCAGAAACTGAAAGTTCCATTTTATCACGAATCGTGATGCGGTTGCTTGTTAGTATTATCACCTTTTTGACTCCCATGGAGTCAGTGTCCGATTCCGCGAGATTCAGATGACTGGACTTCGGCCTTAAAGGGCTCTCATTTGCGGGGCGTCGACTGGGTGATGAACTGAAAGTGGAAATCTCTGGCGATTTAACAGGACTGGAGGACAACGTGTTCATCGGCTGGTGAATGTAACGCGCCTTTCTATTACTCTGGAACTTCTTAGGCGGTATCAAGTTGTGCAACTGCCTCGAGCTGAGGTCCTTGCCAGATTTGAACATCGTCAATCCTCTAGCAACTATCAGGCGCCTGAGCAGTAGAGGATTGTCAGAAAACTTGAGGACTACTCCAAAATCATACGGAGGTGTGTCTTTATGGTTGTAGGTCAAAAAACCAAGCGAATCTGCCACCGCCCCAATCCGGGCCGTTTTTGGCAGAGCCAATGTCGTGTGTCGAATACCAATTATACAATGGTCGTGTATCTGTTCCAAGAATTTTTCTTCGACTCGCCTTCGTTGGTGGTTCTTTTCTTCGGTCAATAAGTCCAGCTTGCCAGAGTGAACACACATTCCAGCTCATGGCAGTATAAGGTTGACATGTTGAGATCTCAGATATTACTTGTTCCAAGGAGTCTGGCTGTGCAGGCAGTGTCTAGAAGGGCACTTCATTCCTCGGCCTACTCCATGGCTGGCAACAACGGGCAGAAGTCGCCTTTGGAAGTATTCTACGATACTTTCAAGAACGAGTGGAACAAATCCTCGGAGCTGAAGGAGAATGTGAAGGCTCTGCAGAGTGCCACGGATAAAATGGCCGACAGTGAAGCTTTTCACAAGGCCAAAGAAGCATATGAGGCTGCGCAGAAGAGGAGAGGAGCTGCTTCGGAAGCTGTGAAGAAGACCGCCGAAGTGGTGGGAGATGCCGCTGTCAAAGCATGGGATTCTCCAGTTGGAAAGGTTGCGCGTACGACTGTTAGAACTACTGCAGAAGTTGTCGACAAGGCAATCGACCCCGTGCGGAAAACGAAGGTGTACAAGGATGTGAGTGAGGTGATTGATGATGGATCTTCTTTCTATGGTGGATACGAGACCAAGGACAAGAGACATCAGAGAAGAGAACAGGAGCTCAGCAGTGGAAAGAGACCAAAGGTGGTCAAATCTAACGAGGATTCGGGAACCGCATTGGTTACTACCAACCACAAGTCTAGTGATTCCAAGGTGAAGTTTTCGTTCTTCAAGCCAGAGTCTGCTGTTGGCAAGGTTCTTGCTGTTCTGAAAGAGAAATGGGACGAGAGTGATAACGGATTCATTGCTTTTTTGAGAACTGTTTTCGAGAAGATCGCAGGCTTTTTCGACGAGACTGAGGCCGGTAAGGTTGTCAGGGCATTCAAGGAGATTGATCCTTCTTTCAACACAGAGTCCTTTACTAAGGAATTGCGTGAGTACATTGTTCCTGAAGTGGTTGATGCTTTTATCCAGGGTGACGAGAAGACCCTCAAGAACTGGTTGTCAGAAGCTCCTTACAACATCATTGCTGCTCAGCAGAAGCAGCTCAGAGACCAGGGATTGTTCTCTGATGGTAAGATCTTGGATATTAGAAATGTTGACATTGCTGCCTCGAAGATTCTCTCGCCAAACAACATCCCAGTCATGGTAGTTGGATGCAGAGTGCAGGAGATCAACATCTTCAGAAGCATCAAGACCGGCGAAATTGCTGCTGGTACTCAGGAGAACATCATGCTCAGCACTTATGCCTTGGTTCTCACCAGAATCCCCGAAGATGTCGACAACAAGATCACTGACGGCTGGAAGATCTTGGAGTTTGTGAGAGGTTCTTCCAGAGAGTACACATAGAGAGAACCGAGCGATCAAAAAGTATACGCAGAATCGACATGTTGAAAGAAATGCAGATCATTCTGAATCTCAGCATCATTTCACTGTGATCAACTTCATCAAATAAAGCACTTTTGCTTTTTGTATATAGTTCACAAGTGTAATATTTGGGGTCCACGACCCTTTGACCACATAGATATCAGGTAGAGAGCTTAGAAACCCTTTCATTGGCTAACTTTCTTTGTGGATTTCCTCTTTTTAAACACAGGTATCTCGATCTCGTCTTCTTCTAGATCGTCTATATCAGGTTTTTTCTGCTTCAGCTCCCAATTTTTGGTCTCCTTCTCCGAGGCTGTATGTTCTCTATGGAAGGCCTTCTGTGCAATGACCTTTTCGGTTTGCGATATCGAGCTCTCTGTTTGCTCCACTGTAGACCATTGTGGGATCTTCGTGTCTTCTGATTCGTCTTCCTTGTTTTCAGCCTCCCCATCTTCAGGATTGGTGTTCTTTTTGTGCCATGGCTCAGCATATCCATATGACGGACCCTTCTTGGTAGGCTCCTTCTTTGTCTCAATATGCAGCTCCTTATTTATTCTGTGTAACTCGGCATCAACTATTTTCTTCTGTTTATCGTCTTCCCGTTTTTTGCGATTGAGATCATGGACGATCTTGGTGGTGAGATACTTGTGTTTGCTTGAGGCCTCATGGAGAGACCTGCCGAACTTGGTATCATCCACAAACTGAGCTATTAGTAGGTCTCCTGGTTATATAAATAAAGTACATCACATACCAAAGAACACGTTGTACACCAGTACTTTCCCATCGTATTTATATGTGGAAACCAATGGAAGAAAGAGACTCATACATTACAGGCAGGTGTGTCTGGCTGATAACGAGCCACCCCAGGCATAAATTTCAGCGATGAGATGATGAGCCTGTGTATACTAACCAGAAATTCTCTCCAGGATATAATTTTGAGACATCTTATCGTGGAAAATATACTTGTTAGATCAAGTAATATATGCTATCTGCTCAATAATGATCAATACCTCTAAGAAGAGAAAAACCAAGGCGGATTCCCTGCATTTCCCAGGATACACATTGCTGGAGGCTCCAGACTGGCCTGAGGACGTTTCGTATGAAACCCCCGAAAATAATGCAGAACACAGCAAAAGCCCCGAGGAAAGCCCTGTTTCCGAGTTGGAGATTCAATCTGAGGAAGCCAATATAAAAGATCACGCAGAAACCCCCAGATCTGCATTGGATGTATCTTACGAGTTTGGAGACAGCGGGTCCGCATGGAGAATGATGAAACTCAGGAAAACCTTCGAAACGGCTAGAGAGCGCGGATTGCCAGTAGACGAGGTGGCAATGGAAAGGTATGCCAGTCTTTTGCAGTTTGATATCGCGAGAGAGGAACAACGCGAATTGGATGCAAGAATAGGTGAAGCCGGCCATGTGAAAGTTCTAAAGCCCACTGGATTCTATGCTAAGGAAAGAGGCATCGATATATTTGAGGAAGAAAAATCTGCAAAATCTAAATCAGAGCCTGTTGCACTGGTCACTGAGAGTGAGCTCACTTCTATGAGAATCAAGGCAATGAGAGCCAAATTACGAAAGCTCGCGAATTGGAAGGAGCTTGAGGCACAGTATAAGAACTTGGAGACAAGGTTCAAGACTCAGCAGAAAGAGAAAGAGGCAGAAGCAGAATCCACTGACAAAATTATCAACGAAGACGACCTGACTGTTGAGCAGATGCTTAAGAGGGAGAGGCTTCAAAGAGGTAAGGACTCTTTCAAAGAATCTGCGAATCTCATTCTTAAAGACCGTGCTTTTGATGATGACCTAGAGGCGCAAGACGAGAACAGCTCCAAGCTGGCTTCGCTCAGCAAGGATGGCCAGATCAAATTAAAAGATTACAGTGTTGAGAGTGTCACAGAAGCTGCAAGACTATCGAAAGTAATGGATAGATGCATCTACTGCGTTGAGGGCAACCAGAATAGTAGGCTGGCAGTGATATCGGAAGGGTACTCTACTTATCTGTCCTTGGAGCCTCAACCTGAGCTCACCAGCTATGGTGCTGTCATTACACCTTTCAGACATGTAAAGAACACGTTACATTGCGAAGATGAGGAAGAAATTGAAATTCGAAATTTCATGAGAACGCTATCCAGGTTCTATTACGAAGAGTTGAAAATGGGTGTTTTGTTTTACGAAAATGCAGTATCGCAACTCAACCATGCTAGAATACATGCCATACCAATTCCACTCAAATATGACTCATCTACTATTCTCGGTTTTTTCAAAAGTGGGTTTTTGGAGGAGTCAGACGAGATCGAAGCTCAGCATAAGCTTGTGATCGAAACTTTACGAAAATCCGAGGCTCTTGGATCGGGAGAAGGCATGAAAGCTCTGATAGCAAAGGAAGCTCCTTATTTTCACGTTTGGGTTTCATTGGACGGAGGACTGGGTCATATTGTGGAGGATTCTCAAACATGGCCTCGAGGAGACCTGTTTGCAAGAAGAGTGATCGGTGGGCTTTTAGGAGTTGACAAGTTCCAGATCAACGCAAAAACGAAGCAAGTTTATTCTGGTGATCATGAAGCTGTTGAATTTCAAAAGCTTTGGTCTAAATATGATTGGACCAAGCAATTGAAATAGAAGAAACTGAACTCGGTCGCTGAGCCGCGCGCATATCTACAAGTAGTGTATTAACAAAACGCGATCGCTCTTTGACATAACCCTTGGCCTTGTCTGTTATTTGATTCACGGCACCGTGTAAGCTGTTTGAACAAGGTATAAAATTTAATCTACCCAACCATCGGCGTTGATCTTTGGTGATCTGTTTATTTTATTGTGTTAGAATATTCTCCATATCCTGCTCTCATATCATTCGGCCTGAGAACATTGGAAACTCCACATTGTTTTGGTATCACCATCGCGAAGACGCATAATCAAATACTGAGCTGAAAGTGATAGTGTACCGTGTATCCATTGTGGTTACCGATTTTGAACAGCAAAAATCTTGATTTGGTTTATTTTTGCAGCCTCAGAGGATTTATGTGTACCATTTGTTGTTTTTTGTTATTTGGTTCATTCGGAAAGCTGTACTGAGAAAGTACCAACAATAGTTCCTTCAATAAATAACAAGGCACTATTCATCAAACCACTACATTGAAACAATATGAGATCCCAAACAAGCAATTCTCCCACAGAAGCTCAGTCATTGAAACGGAGGAATTTGATACTGGCAAACCTCAAAATTGAAGACAACAAATATTATGATGAGATCTATAGTGCTGTTGAGAATGATCTGAACAGTGGAGTGGATTCCCCCAGGCGTGCACTGCGAACAAGAGAGCAGAAAGCCTCGGCGATTGTTCAGTACAATAATGAACTCAATTCTTCCCATTCTGATTCCCCAAGGCGACGTGGGAGACCCCCTATTCATCACAAGCCAATTTCGGCCTCTAATCCTCCAAAAACCAAGAGTCCATCAACTCGTTCTTCTCCCCAGGCTCGAAACGTTCTACGGCCTGGAGTCTATGTTCCCAAGCGAAAGAGAGGTCGTCCGCGAATACTTGGATATCATGAATCACGAGATGGAAGAAGAACTTTTTATGTTACTTTAAGGTTTAGAGGTCCTGGAGTTGAGCCTCAGGTGTTACATGGTCCTGACGACATAATTCCAACGCCGACGAAGAGCTCATTGAAGTATTACACCAAGTCTGTGGTTGCGGCTGTGGAAAAGGAGGATTTTGAAGAGAAAGAACTGCCTTTCCGCGGAATCCTGTCGTTCGAAAACAGCAACACTTATTTTACTAGACCCACGAAGGAGATCAAGGATAGGTTCAAAATGGCAAAGAAGAAGAGCGCATCTGCGTCTTTGCTTAATGGAGAGAAGTCCATGATTAGGAAGCCTACCAAAGACTTGCAAGTTACAGGAGAGGATAATCCGTATGTTCATATGCTCAGCAAGATTGAGTGCATCCATTTCAGTGGTTATGAGATTGACACTTGGTATACGGCTCCATATCCTGAAGAGTACTCTTCTAAGTCTGTTCTTCATATTTGTGAGCATTGCCTGAAATATTTCAACTCCGGTTACATCCTGAACAGACATTCTTTGAAATGCCCTTACTCTAGCCAACCCCCTGGGAATGAGATCTATAGGGACACCTCTGGGAGAGTTGCCGTATTTGAAGTTGATGGGAGGAAGAACACGATCTATTGCCAGAATCTGTGTTTGCTGGCAAAGCTGTTCCTGAACTCCAAGACATTGTACTACGATGTGGAACCGTTCATGTTTTATGTGCTCATGGAGCTGGACTCTTTGAACAACTATCATTTTGTGGGATATTTTTCCAAGGAAAAACTCAATACCACGAAATACAATCTCAGTTGTATTTTAACTCTGCCCATATACCAACGAAAGGGTTACGGAAACTTTCTAATCGAGTTCAGTTATCTGCTGACCAGACGAGAGTACGAGATGGGCACTCCAGAGAAACCTCTTTCAGATCTCGGGCTGTTGAGTTATCGAAATTACTGGAAAATATCGGTAGCCAGGGCACTCAAGAGCATTGTCTCGAAAATGCCATCTGGATCTGGGCTACTAAAAATTTCCATACAGGATCTTTGCAGCTATACAGGTATGATTGCGAACGATGTTGTTTGCGGTCTGGAGGAGCTTGATGGCTTAGTCAGAAACCCAGATACGGGAAGATATGGTATTCATGTTAATATGCCACTTCTTGATACTGTTATTGCCAAGTGGAATAAGAAGAGATACGTGAAGATAATCCCAGAGCTGCTTCTGTGGAAGAGTGTTATTCTTGGTCCTTCTGGTGGAATAAACACAACCACCACCATGGTTATCACAACTGGCGAGAACGGAACAACAACCACGTCTGAAAGTGCAACTTCAAATGCCAAATACGACGAAAAAGGCAACAAGCTGATGTCCAGCATATCGCTAATCACGAACTTCATGAGAGATGATCTGGAGGATTATCGTGACATAGAAGAGCAGACACTCGAAGAGATACAGAATAGACTGGAAGGTAAAGAAGGATACGAGGACGATGATGGTGACGATGATGATGATGTTGGTCTGTCTAGGGCTCATTTTCTGAGAGAATTCGAGGTCTGTCATCCTGGAATGAGCGTTGAGAAGAGAATAAAGCATACTGCGCCGGTGATTTTTGAGAATGAGAGCGACGAATACGATTATGGGAATGGTAACGTTGAAGCGGATACAGGTGCTGATGCTGACGCAGATGCTGAAGGAGTAGATGTGCTGGATGACGAGTATTCTGACGAAGCTGCTGCCGAAGTGGAAAGCGACGGGGCAGTATCTGAAGACGTTGATGACATGTTCACAGAAACAGAGTCTGTTCTTGAAAGAACCACAAATGGAAGATTCTCTAAGAAGATGAGACATTCGGCAAGATCATTGGCAAAAATCTCAGTGAGCCCAGCATCCCAACGTCATTTGCGCGAGAGATCATCCAATCAATTAGAGACTACGGCTACCCGTAACGGGTCTCGTCGTCTGCGCAACGGAGCAAGGTGATTTTCGAGAAGAATTAATGGTTAAGCAAGACATTTTGACGAACACGTAAAATATAATGCAGATTATATATTGAACAAATAGGAGAGTTAACAGTAGTCAGCTTGACTTGCCTTATCTCTATAGAAATTTTGGGTCTTGCACTCAATTGGCTCCATTCTTTTCGTTACTAGACGAATTGGACGAGGCAATTGAAGAAATAGAGAGAGATCTTCTTCCCCCTGTCACGCTTGAAGAAGAAAGAACTGAGGCAGTAGCAGGTTTTAAGTCGGCAGTGGATCCAGACACAGATTCAGGACCCGAGCTCTTTTTCTCGAGCCAGTCTATTCTAGACCATATGTCACTCTCTGATCTGGTCGGCAGAAGAATGGACAGCTCTGCAAAGCTCAGCTCTCTTTCTCTCCTATGGGACAACAGTTCATCCTCGTCCTCGTTCCACGGAATGTTGTGGTTGGCTGGTGCTAAAGCCTCAATGTGGTGGTGCTGGTTCTGCACCTGCTGAAGAGTCTCCTGGGCCAGGAACGACAGTTGTTTCGTGAGCTGCTCATCAATCACAGTTGAGGTTGCCAACATACTGGCAGAAATTCCTGAGCCGTTCATATGGCTTGAAGGAGGCAATTTGTTCGGTTGGGACATGGAAGCTGGGTTCTGATTGTGAAACGTCCATTGGTTGTATGAAGGAACGGAAACCGAGTTGTTGGAGTGAAAAGAAGAGTAACCAGACTTTCCTTGCGAATTCTGAGATACCTGGGAGTCATGTAGCAGACTCTGTTGTTGGCTATTCTGAATTTGGTGATTATACTGTGGCTGTTGGATCTGCTGCGACTGGGAGTGATTGTTGGTCTGGGTCTGGTGGGATTGTTGGTGGTCCTGGGTCACGGCCTGGAACTTGGTAACATAGTTCTGAGGCTTCTCAGGCAAGTCCTGAAGCGTTCTTTTGGGCATTGGAGAGCTCCCAGCCGGTGGTGAGACCGGCGAGGAGGGACTTTGAGACTTGAGCGCACCTGATCTCAGTCTTCTCCAGCGAAACTGGCAGGCGTTTGGGGTTCTGTTGTTGAAATACGACGCTATCTCTTTCCAGCCCAGCTTCTGTTGTTCTTTGAGATGTCTCAACAAGACGTCGTCCTGCGGGTCCCACGACGAGGGCGTTCTTGAAAAAACCCTGGTGAGTTTTGCATCGGACGGATCCATCAGGTCGCTTTCCTGATTCATTGTGAAATTGGCTCAGACTGTGGTGAAATTTCAAAATAGGTATCGTTTTCAGCTCAATTCAAGTAAAATCTGCCCTTTTCAGTTGTATTTTTCGTATTCTTTTCACAAAGTAGACAGACGTCAGAGATGGCCGTGATGAGGTGTGGCCCTAGAAGATGTTCTCTCAAAGAAACTTTCAGCGGCTCAGCAATATAAGCGCCAAAACTAAATCCAGAACAAAACTAGATTACTAAAATCAACAAGATGATTTCGAGGATATTCACCGCAACGGAACGGTGTATGGAGTATATTTCAACAAAGTGTCACAGGGGCTGAAACTTGGAAGAAAACGTCGAGGGAAATTTGGGAAGGGGGAGGGCTCCAGATTGGAGATGAGGTCGGGTTTTGGGTGTAAGCTAAGCGGTTTGAAACTGTGAGAGGTACGGGTTTTTGCATCTGTCTGAAGAGATATTTGAAATCTGAAAGTTTCACTTTAATCCAGATAACTAGTAATTTAATCTGGCCATTTTTCCTGACGAAAAATTCCAACTACTGCGGAAAACACTGGCCTATCTGTGTTTTCGAAGCCTCGCTTAATCAGTCCAGGACTGCCTCCAGAAGTTCGGAGCCAATGAGATGATCATCGATTACCCGATTGGGACATTGCCATCTGGTGAGTCCTGTGGTGCACGACCCGCATCGCCTGGCTGAGAGAAGAGGTGAAATATCAGAGAAATCATTAGTATTTTGGAGAGGATAGAGTATATTGTTGTGGGTTATGCTGAGACTGCTGAAAATGGCTCCTAGATATTACGATATAGGTATGTCATTTTTACTGCCGTGTTTTGCGGCCATTTTGGCGGTTTGACGTGTTCATGCTAACCTGTGTGTAGCTGTCAACCTGACCGATAGCATGTTCATGGGCTCGTTTGAGACCGGGTCCAAGGCTCGGCCGGAATGGTATCGTATTTTGGACCGGGCAGCGTATTTCAATGTGGAAAAGGTGATGATTACCGGCTCCTCTCTAGAGGAGTCTCGAAAAGCGATCCAGATGGCCGTTGAATATGAGGGCCCCGTCAAGCTGTACACTACTGTGGGAGTTCATCCTTGTACGGTCAATGAGTTTGAGAACGATCCTGAAGGTCATATTGAGCAGTTGCGTTTGACAATCAAGCATGGAGTTGATTCGGGTGTTTTACGTGCAATTGGGGAGATTGGCCTGGATTATGATAGGTTTCAACACACCATCAAATCTGTTCAGCTGAAGTACTTCGAGCTACAGCTGAAACTTGCATGTGAATTCGATCTGCCGTTGTTTCTGCACATGAGAAGTGCCTGTGATGATTTCATTGACACTATCGAGCCCTTTATCAAGGGAACGAGGCCTGATGGTTTGAGGTTGAAAAACCCTAGAGGGGTGGTGCATTCTTTCACTGGAGAGTGGGAGGAAGCCCAGAGACTTATTCAGCTAGGATTCCATCTGGGTGTTAATGGATGTTCTCTACGAACTTCTGATAGCATGGAGGTTGTGCGAAAGATTCCTCTTGAAAAGATTATGATAGAGACAGATGCTCCGTGGTGTGAAGTACGCAAGACACATTCCTCGTTTGGTCTGTTATCTGAGCCGCCTAACGAGTTCTATCCCCGGACAACTGGACTGGTTCAGCAAATCCCGCAAACAAAAAAACAAAAAGTGGTGAAGCTGGATGCTTTTCTGAAGGTTCCCCTAGTTTCCAAAATGAAAGATTTGGCAATTTCCCCACAAGTTGCGACTGCTATAGGCGAAACCGAATGGGAATTTGGTGCCGTCGTTAAAGGAAGAAACGAGCCTTGTTTTGTGGGTCAAATTGCAGAAGCGATTGCAAAACTCAAGGGAATACCCAGTGAGCGAGTCATAGAGACAGTTTATGAGACCTCGTGCAAAATGTTTGCATAGTCAGCTACTAGATATCCAAAACCGTGAAGATGCTGTTTCATCGAGTGAAAAGCGTCCTTTTCACAATCTGATCGAAGTTTAGACATGTTTTGTATTAAACGTCATTTAGTAGCATATAACAAGTTGATAGAAAAAACGTAGAATTGTGGTAGATGAAGGAGGTTGAATGATGGACACAACTGAAGGCGATGATACTGGCGTATGCCAGGCCAATTGCGTGAATTGAAGGAAGCAAGAGAGAAATTCGTGAAAAATAAGACACGTTGAGAATAAAAAAAAATCTCTAGAGGATGCAATCGATGAAGCTGGGAAAGAGAAATGTTTTTCATCTTCTTGGCTTCAACCTGTCAAAGAAGAAACTGAAGTACCGTAAGATCAAACAGACATTGATTGAGAAAAGGAGAACTGATGTCGTCAATCTGTGGAATTGTAGATCGGGGAGGTCCTCTTTACCTTCAGTCGATGTTTCTATTCCCCCTCTTCCACAAGCTCTATCTTGCTCTGATCCTCCTCTGTATCCATACCATCTTCCACATCGTCATCCTCGTCATGGTCTTCACCACCGAATGCCTGGGTAACACCCAGCTGTGCTAAAATGGATGCACCGGAGTTGTCTAGATACACAACACCGTCTCGAGACTGGAAAGAGCCGGAGGCCACCAAATCGCTGATTGAAATGGGGAATCTTCTGCCGTTCGGAGCATCCTCGTTGTCCACCCCAGAGTCGAAATCTAATTCTGGCTTTCTGCCAAACTTATCAAACTTTGTCTTGATGTCGACATCGTACATTGACTCAGAAAGTTCATCTGGAGTGGGGAACTTTGTGGATTCCGGGATCTGGGACTTCACGAATTCGTACCATTCTTCCAACGTACGTCCTTGCAGCAACGCAACTATCAGTATAGACATGTTATCACAACCAATACCAGATCCTCCGGAGGTAGGAGCGAGACATACGTCGATCATGGACTCACAGATTTGCACTAGAGTCTCGCCCTGCTGGACACCTCTTCTAACAAAATCAATGGCCTGTTGCGAGGTGAGACAATCCCAGATACCATCACATGCGAGAATCACAAACTCATCCTCTGAAGTGATTGTGTGCTCGACGATCTCTGGGAAGGCAGTCACCACCTGTTCTTCAGGTGGAAGCTCTGGTGAGTCCTTAAACTCAAAGTCACCTATACTACGCGATAATGCCAGATTACCGTTGACTCTGCCCATATCCACAAATCCACCAGCAGCACAGATACGGGTCTTCTCGCCCTCGTTTGTGGGCTTATGGTCGTATGACAGGGCCTTAGCCTGGCCCTTAACAGACATGATGGTTCTGGAGTCACCAGCATTACCACACACGATTTTGGTGGGGGTAATGATGGCCGAAGTGGCAGCACATCCACTTGGATCCTTTTTCAGAATAGGATCTGCTAGAATGGCGACGTCGGTAGCCAAAAATCCATCTTTAAGGGACTGGGAGTAGTCTTTCTTCTTGAAGGCGTCGGTTTCCTTGATGACATCGTGCATCTTGTCACCGGTGAAAATGGCAACTTTCTCACCTCCATGGCCATCATAAACACCAAAAAAGGCAATCTTATCAGTTGCAGTGCTGTCATCATCTTTGTTGAGGTTCAAAACCATGGCATGGGCATCTTCCATTCTCACTCTCCAGCCTTGCATCGAGGATAGAGCATATTTGAGATCGGCGTCTCCACCTTCTTCGGAAGACTATGCGAGGGTTAGTATCAAAATCGACTTGAACAGATGAGCGAAAATATCCATCAGGAAACACATACCTTCTCCGTGACGGGTTGGGAAAGTATTTGGCCCATATTGACTCCGTGTTATGAATCTTACACGAGACAGAATCAAATGGAGTGAACAAATCAGAGCTTGTTCGGTGCGAAGTTATCACAGTTCAATGTTGTACCTTGGATTCAAACAAGTCTTATGAACCTCCTTGTTCTGAATGCGTTGCTAGGTCTTGTTGTATACAGTCAACCGGTATTTGGTTGAGGGGCAAACAAGAAACACGATCAAGGTGACAATCACTAGCCGGGCGAAATCAAGTATATCTGATGAGACAACAAGCACAGTCGATCCAAATTCAGAGAAAGGCAACTGAAAAAAGGCAGCACAATCTGGGTGAGAACTCAGTGTTTGAAGGACACCGGTGTCTCGATATGTTTGGTGTGCCATTGACAATCCCCCGTCAGAGTGTCGTTTTTCATGCAAAATTCTCACTGGCAGCGGGGCGGAATCGAGAAATCCCGGCTTGTGACCGAGGGCCCGGAAAGGCTGGAGCAGGGTAGTGCAGCGGTGCAAATGAAGCTTGGTATATTTCGATATTTTAACACTGAATAGATGTTGTCACTTGGTTGTCACTTGGTTCACTTTGCTAGGATTGAGTACTTTGACTGTCTCGAAATGCTAGGTGGTCTTTGCAGGGCCACTTTCTTTGACTCACGACCGTGGTGCTTGTGGCCTCGAAACCTGCGAGGCAGGCTAATTACAATACCATCCAGGGCTGCTCACTCGGATGGGTTTTTCAAAGCCAACAAGGTAAAACAAGCCACAAGTGATGAAAAAACAGCCGTTGAAGCGCTGATACGGCGGCCGGGGATCTTAAATTTACAAAGCTACTACGAGGAAGTCTTGGAAAGAGCCCCAGCCAACCGTGCCCGCTTCCGTGGATTCTCGATAATGAACAAGAACTGCAAACGTTCTTTTGAACAGTTGGACCAGCTGTCAGTTTGTGAGCCTGTCCTGGGATCCTTTGTGGAAGCGCGAAATTCTGCTGGGGAGGTTGTTTGTGGCATAGTCACTAGCGTTGCGTTTGGTCGGTTTCAGAAAGACCTGGATTCCATAGAGATCATAACCCCAGATGCGGGTTTCGAGCTCATTAGGCCCAGTACCATTTCCTTCCATATATACGCCTTGTTCAGCAGCGATGAGATAGCAAAACGTGTTGAACAGGCTGATCCAAGAGGTTTCCGACTTTTGAAACAAGGTATCGTTGAGTTTATAGATCAGACTCAGAGCTTGGTGAAAGAGACCAATCCGATAGCGGTGTATTCGGCCCCGTTGGTATCCAACAAAAACCGGATGATATCGCCAAAACTAGGAGAAGTGGCGAGATTCTTGGACCAAATGTACATAGACAAGACCTTCTCGCCATACAAACACTACTTCGGTGCCCATCTGATGATGAACAACAACCCTCATTTGTGGAAAGTCTCCAGCAAACCCATGTTTCTGGCTCCTGGTGAGTTCAGTGACAGATTAACGTTATATCAGTCTTTACCTCTGACTCTGATGAAAAGCATTGGAAAAGCGCGGTCTCTTAACTCGGAAAAACTTCAACGATTCAGAGACTCGTTGCAGTCTGCCCTGACAATGGATAAAGAGAGTCCAGAATACATTGAGATGGTCAACCGTCTGGGCTCGGATTATTTCGGCCATATGATTGATCTTCTTAGGTATTATGTTGCATACCCCCATCCTAACCTGGAGGATGATGTTACTTCCATCGTTGGAGTGAAAATGTCACCAACCATGATACAGCAGATGCTGCGCTCCTCTGGATTCTTCTCCAGAATGGACAAGACTCCTCTCTCAGACCTCTATTTGCGGGACCAGAACAGTTTGGTTTTTACACCGGAACTTTCGTCTGCTGAGATCGATTACTTTAAGCATGTGAGGGCGTTTCTCAGAGCTGAAAACGCCCTCACCTCCTGCAAAGACCTCAAAGTGATTGGGTTCAAGTCTAGAAAAATGGAGAAGTTGGATCTTCCGTCGCATACCGATCTCGCAATTTCGGTGGAAGATCTGGGCATGAACAAATGGAAACTTAATGTTCATGTTCCTGATGTTGCCAGCTTCTATTCGCCCAGATCAGACAGGCTCTCGCACATTAAATGGGGATATCTCAAAGATTTTGAGACCTATGATGGCGATTCATTCTTTTTCAGCAAGCAGATTGTCAGGGACATGTCTTTCAAAGAGGGTGGACCTCCTAAGGAATGTATGACACTGAGTGTTATCTTTGACCCTGAGTCCTCTACTCCTTGGATCCAGCCAGACGTTGAAATCAGACCGGATGTGATTGAGTCATTAACGATTGTTGATGCAAATGATCTCCAGAGTGCGTACGAGAAAACGTCAAGAATATCGAAGCTGTTTGCACATTCCTCTCAATCTGAAGAGACACTAATGAAGCTGAGAATGATCATGGAGAGCCACAGACGCCATAGGCAGGATCAAGGATGGCTGAATGTGAACATGAGCGAAATTCTTTCCTCAAAAGATGAATATTTGGATAAGGTATTCGAAGATCATAAGGAGCAGCTTGGGTTATTGACCGGAGAGTTGGCCGCCTTCTTCGCGCATAAAGAAGCGGTTCCACTTCTCCATTCGTCACAGGAGAAGGTGAGTATAGTTGAACAGGACGGAGAAACTGATGGCATTCAAATTCGGTCTGGGACTCCTTTTGTTCCCAGCTATACTGCTACTTCCTACGATCATTTCTTACTGGACGGTGGCTTTTCTGGGCCTATCTCGATCACGAGTTATGTGGCTGCATTGAGGCTTCTAAATGTGCCTGAATTTGGTTTGATGGATACGAAGAAACCGCTCAAACCATTAATAAGTCTGGGGCTCCATTACGGATACTCCGAGTTCGCCAAGCCAATGAGATCCTACGAATCGTTGTTGAACCAATACCAACTGCTCAAGATAGCTCACCGATCCTACATGTCACAGCACCACGAATTCAAACACAACTATCTCTACTACACTGGACACCTCTCAGACGCTCCCAGCAAGCTGCCCGGAATCGCAGATCTGGGCCAAGGCCAGTGGGCCGTTTCCTTCAGCAGAAGACAGGCAGCAAACTATATTACCAGGGAAAGCCGCAGATTTCACGTTCTCCAGGGTCTGGAGGGCCAGCTTGATTTGAAGTTTGCTGCCGAGGCGCAGAGGATACTGCCGCAGACCCCTGCAGACAGCCTCGACCTCACCTTCTTCAAGTGTTTCATTTTGGAGTCGGAGTCATATCCCAAACTGGCGAAAGGTTATTGCGTGAATCTCGGAATTGAAGTGGAAATTCTTCTCTCTCCAGGACCAGAGGTGGTGATCGGTGACAGACTCATCTGTTCCGAAATCATCTACTTGAATGCCATAGAAAACCGCATTGTCTTGAGATGATACGAAACTATCTCGGACACCTTATTTGCATTAATAGAATCTTTATGTGATACTCTTTTCACGTCAATGATAATGTATATACAGCTGATGACTAGTACAGTTTCAGATCACCAGTAACCTCGTTCAGCACAGCCTTTGGGGCTGGACCAAGGCCCAAAACAGTAGCTGATCCACTAGGCACCTGTGTCCTACCAGCATCGTGAACAACATAAGCGTTGATATTCAATGACATTGCCTTGGCAAACAACAGGTCCATCTCGGCCTGGTCAGCACACTTCAGAGCAACTTTGGCCTGGCCCGTCTTTTCCCATCTCATTAGCAATGGCAGGTTCTGGGATGCATGTCCACTCGAAATGAGCTTATATAGTGCAACAGCGGCGTGTGCACATTGTGCAGCAGCCTTTCCTTTGGTCATCTCAAGGTCTTTCCTCACCACCAACGACATCTGACACTCCCCGGGAACTTCGTTCAAAGGGGTTGAGTCGATTTCAATTCCTTCATCATCGTAGTCATCTTCCTCCTCCTCTTCCGCATCCGTGAGAGATTCTGAGGTTGTGGGCGTCAAACTAGCACTCTTGTACCTAGGAGACTGAGCTCCCTTGGCTGGGGAAGATGGAAGAGCAAGCAGTGCACCTATGCAGCCACCAGTCAAAAGCGAAATCGCGGATACCAGCACCAGTTGTGATACTCTGAGATTTCCGCTCATTGTGGGGATTCTCCAGGAAAGAAACGGCGTGGTGGTTGTGAAAAGGTGGGGCTTGTAGATTCAATCGTTTTGATCAAAGTCGATCAGCTTTCCTGTGGAACCGGGATTGGGTTGCGGTTTTGCAGGGTATAGGCGGGATTGCCCTTGAGATGCGGGAGATATCGCAAACCTGAAGGGACTTGAGTACTCGGAGATTCCCCGCCGTTTCGGTGCTCTGTCCCAAACCAATAGGTACTCCCAGACATGTTAGGCGGAGACCCGACTTACAGAGGCATTATACCTCTTCTCACTGCATTCATTCTTCCCAATTAGCTTCCCAAGATGTTCAAAGTTGGAGTTATCGTGGTTTCGGATAGCTGCTATAAGGATCGTTCTCTTGATAAGGTCATTCCATGTTTGGAGAAATTCTTTAAGGACCATACAGATTACTCCATAGCAAAGGCAGCCATCATCCCCGATAGCGTGGACGACATCCAGTACATTGTGTCAAAATGGAGTGAGGAATCTGAAGATTTGCGCCTGATTCTTACTTCCGGTGGCACAGGATTCACTGTCCGGGATAATACTCCCGAGGCTGTGAAACCGTTGATCCAGAGAGAGGCTCCTGGAATCGTGCATGCGATGCTGTCGGAGTCCTTCAAGATCACGAGGTTTGCTATGATGGCAAGACCTGTTGCTGGCGTTCGGAAAAAAAGTTTGATAATTACGCTTCCCGGTTCTCCGAAGGCTGTTTTAGAAAATCTCGGGTCGGTTTTCCCCACAATATCCCATGCCTTGACGCAGATCGAGAACGTTGACTCAAGAGCATTGCACCGCAAGATGGCACGTACCTTGGATGAGGCCGCCCCTGGAGGAAAGCTTACATCAGAACATGATCATCATCATAATCATCATGATCACGAGAAACCAGACTCAAGAGGACGTGTGGGCTGTGGAATTGCAAAGCACAAGATGGTGTCCAACGATCTGGATGCTCCTGTAACTCAAAGAGCTCGTGAATCGCCTTTCCCCATGGTCTCTGTGGAAGAGTCATACAAGTTGATTTCCCAGCATACTCCGGAATCTGAAGCCATCACCATGAATGTCCAGGATGACCTATTCGTTGGAAGCGTCGTCGCAGAAGACGTCTTAGCACCGGTTTCCGTGCCCAACTTCCGGGCCAGTATTGTTGACGGATACGCCGTTGTGAGTTCTGATGGCCCTGGAAAGTATCCGGTGGTTTCCATCTCTCATGCCTCTGGTTCCAATAAGCCCAAAGTGTTGGCGTCAGGCCAGATTGCCAGAGTCACTACAGGTGCTCCCGTTCCAGAAGGAGCAGACGCAGTGGTGATGGTTGAGGAGACAAGGTTGGTGTCCAAGACAGACGATGGTTCAGAGGAAAAAGAAGTTGAGATTTTGGCTACGGGTGTCACTCCAGCTGATAATGTGAGGGCAGTGGGATCTGATTTAAAGGAAGGTTCCCTAATACTCGCCAAAGGTACTGTGATTGGAAAATCTGGCGGTGAAGTGGGAATCCTTGCGAGTGTCGGCATTAGTAAAATCAAGGTTTATCGCAAGCCAAAACTTGGTGTTCTCTCTACTGGTGACGAACTTGTGGATCTACAGAAGAAGACAGGAGAGTTGTCTTATGGCCAAATCTACGATAGCAACAGGCCCACGTTGCTCTCTACTATACGACAGACGGGTTTTGAGGTTGTTGATCTGGGAATTGCTTTGGATTCGCAGGAGACTCTGGCAAGTCAGCTAGCCAAGGCTCTGGATTCGGATATTGATTATCTAATCACCACGGGAGGGGTTTCAATGGGAGAGCTTGACTTGTTGAAACCCACGATTGAACGAGTCTTGAATGGAACCATTCATTTTGGCCGTGTTAAGATGAAGCCTGGCAAACCAACCACGTTTGCAACGGTTACAGCCAAGGGAAAGACCAAGGTGATATTTGCACTTCCTGGAAACCCTGCTTCTGCCAGTGTTTGTTATCACGTATTTGTTCTTCCCTCATTGCTGCTGAACTCGGGTTCGAAGCCGGTTGGTGATGAGATATTGCCACAGCTCCCGCTTGTCAAGGTAAAGCTTGCCGCGTCTACTCGATTGGATCCAAGACCCGAGTACCAAAGGGCTCGTGTTACTCAAATCGCCACAAACGGGGTTTACGAGCTAGTAGCTACGGTCACAGGATTTCAGAGAAGTAGTCGTATTGCCAGTTTTGCAACTGCAAATGCCATTCTCGTGCTTCCTTCCAGCGCCGGGCGGTCTCCGCAGTACGAGGCCGGCACTCTTTGCGATGCCTTGTTGTTGGGTCCGGTAGATATTGTGTAGAAAGACGAAAATAGCTGGAGATGAAAGGAAAAGGACGAAGAAAATTTGATTTTTTCTCAAAAAGCCGAGTAAAATGATTTGATTAAAAATGGAAAATCAGAAAAACTGGCAAACCGGAGAATCTGGGGAGTAGATGCATTTCGTACATTGCATGAAGCGCGTCGTGCGGCACAGGTTGTTCCGAGAAGTCGAACATTATAAATGGTATGCAGGCATAGAAGGTAGAATTCAATTATGTCCCGGAAAAATCCAAGCTCCACCACCAAATAACATTTAATAACACCCAATAAACACAGCGAAAGCTAGTAACACCTTTCTTGACGGTAATCATTGTGCGGCGTTCTACGCCTCCCAAAGACTTTTCCACTGGAACGGATTCCTGTCTCAAACCGCAAATCCTCGTCTCAGTGGCACATTTTTCGGATCAGATCAGACCTTTCCGTAAAGAGCGCCCCTCAACTGCCCGGCGGAATAAGGTCTCGTCTCAAAAAGGTAATGCTGTTCATAGGATCGACTTCCGTTTTGGGAAACGACTCCGGCGTCCCCACAATTCTCCCACGGATGCATCCCTATATAAATAAGGTGGAGGAGATTGGCCATTCCAGGCATACTGGTATTCTTTTCTTTCCAACGAATTATTCTTCGAAACAGGCAATTGAATAGAGTCTTGAGGTATTCATTAAATCATTATGTCAACAACAGCACAATCAATCAAGAAGCTCGACACGTTCGTGGGAAGCGAAATCAAGATCGATAAGGAATTCGTCACTGGAGAGGTTGCCCCCAATATTTTTGCCGGATTCTTGGAACATCTCGGCAGATGTATCTACGGTGGAATTGTCGACTACGGTAACACCAAATTGACCAATGATAAAGGTTTTAGGACAGACGTGGCCGAGGCTATCAAGGAGTTGGATATGCCAGTCATGAGATGGCCGGGTGGAAACTTTGTGTCATCTTACCATTGGCTGGATGGTGTTGGACCTGTTGACCAGAGACCAAAGAGACCTGAGCTTGCTTGGCTCAACACTGAGTCCAACGAGTTTGGAACCGATGAGTTCATGCAATGGTGCGAATACATGGGTACCGAGCCTTACCTATGTCTTAACATGGGTACTGGTACCCTGGACGAGGCATTGGCCTGGGTCGAATACTGTAACGGAGACAAGGACACATATTATGCCAATCTTCGTAGAAAGAACGGAAGAGAAAAGCCATACAATGTCAAGTACTGGGGTGTCGGTAACGAGGTGTGGGGTCCATGGCAGGTTGGCCAAATGACCAAGGAGAACTACGCCTTGAAGGCCGCCCAATGGGCCAAAGCAATTAAGCTCCTTGATCCTACCGTCAAGCTTGTTGCTTGTGGCTGTAATGGTGTTGATGAGTGGGACCAGCACGTTGTTGGAGAGACTTTTACCACCCATGACTTCTACTCCATCCACCTGTACACCACCTCTCAAGACCATTACAAGAACGTGTTCCAGCCAGCCGGTGCCGAGACCGCTATTCAGGTCACCTCCAAGCTTGCTGAGCTAGCCAAGATCACCAACATGACCAACAAGAAGTTTTTGGTTCCTCTGACCGAGGAACAGAAGAAGAAGGAATACAAAATCGTGTTTGACGAGTGGAATGTCTGGGATCCAATTAGAGCAGACGGTGAGCACGGTGCCGAGCAACAGTACGACTTTTCTGATGGTCTTGCTGTTGCCTCATGGCTCAATGTGTTCATCAGACAGGCCAAATACCTCGAGATGACCAACATTGCTCAGTGTGTCAATGTCATTGCCCCAATCATGACCAATAAGGACGGCCTTTTCAAGCAGACCACATATTACCCTTTCCAGCTGTTCTCGAAGTATTTCAAGAACGGACAGTCCTTAAATCTCAGCGTCAAATCTCCTATCTACAAGGGAGATGTTGGTGATTTTATCGGTCTCGAATGGGTCAAATACGTGGACACCAGTCTGGCTCTTTTGGATGTTAGTGCTGTCTATCAGCCAGCCGAAAAGGCCTACTACGTTGCTGTTGTTAACAGATCCGAGGACGAGGATGCTGAGACCAAGATTTCCATCGCGGATGCTGCTGACTCTCTGAATGTCACCGAATGGGCTTACTATCACGAGAACATCAGAGCAATCAACACCTTTGAGAAACCTAACGAGGTTGTTCCTAAGGAGTCCAAGGTCACTATCTCCAACAATTCCACTTACAAGTTCCCAAAGCACTCTTTCACCTTGCTGAAGATCCAAGAGTAAGCCGAGGTTCTATCATACATTCGGATTTAACCGTTAATTATACGTTATAACACTATAATACACAAAATCAAAAGTTCCATCTAGGTAGAACCAAGATCTTGAAGCTGATAATGATCAGTCTTTTTGAAATAAAAGCCTAGACTTCGAAGATCGTTCGGCTTGTAGAAACCACTGCTTATCGTTGTTCCCAACTTTTGTAGTAACCAATGCTTTAAATTTCGTTCATTTGCCACGGCAATTGAGTTATGGCAGTGAGGTTTTCACCAAATGAAGCCGAATAATGGAGAAGTTTTTGCTTGTTTGTGAACTGAAAACTTCGATATTTCCTCATAACGAACCCAAAAAGTCCTCCTTTATACTCCCAATAGCAACAATCTCATTCACGTCAGTTCTGGTACCCACAATCTTCAACCGCACCTTGCTTCCCTTGACAATCAGCTGGTCCTCAGACATGTATGCAGGCGGCGTGTTCGAAGGATTGTACTTCATATCTCCGGGAATCAGATGAGTACTTACAAAAACACTCAGCGGACCGACATCTGCAATGAAACCCATCTTGTTGACACTGGAAACAATGGCGTCAACGACCTCTCCCTTGAATGGCTTCCACACAACGGCTCTGTACTTGACTTCAAACTCAGCACTTCCCTCCGTGGGAATAATTTTGCCCTTCCCAACATCAATGCTCATACAATCTAGCACACACACTATGTAGCCAAATTGTCCGGTACATGTTCCCTCCACATCTGTCAGTAGCTTCTCCCGCAAGAACTGGTTCATCTGGGGCCCGAAGTACGACGGGTGCAGCGTGAGGTTAAGCGACAAATCTTTCTATGGAACGTGTTAGTAAGCAAAATTGCGCTAATGAGGCTACCGAATTTCAGTTTGCACTTACCAAGAAAAACATCTTGCCCGTGAAAGAAATATATCTCAGTTGCCTTCAGTCGTTAACAGCGTTGAAGTGTCGATGGCCCTTAGCACCAGGCATAGGGCGTGTGCACGACGCTCTGTGCCGATGCCTTGGGATCTGAAAAGTTCCTGTGGATGAAAAGCAGTTGAGCTAATGAGTTTAGCCAGGAAGTTGTGTTTGTTTTAGACCAGGATGTCGAACAAAATCGGAAATGTAAGTGCCGGCTTGGTAATATTTTTGTGCTCCTCCTCATGAGATACTAACCTTTGCGTAAAGACGGCTATCTCGTTCGCCAGAGTATGGCACCATGTCGACATATCAGAGGACCCCAGGACGATGGGTCGTATAGCTACCCAGGTGGCCATAGCGCTTATGGGAAAACACAAGCCTATTTATCACGAGACCCAGGATGTTGGAGACTACGTTGTGGTGTCGAACTGCTCGCATCTCAAAATCACCAATCCGGAATCTAAGACCTACTTCTCACACACCACCAGACCAGGTTCTGCCAAACACACGCCGCTTGCCAAACTCGCGGCTGACTCGGGATATTCTGAGGTATTCAGGAGAGCTGTAAGCAAGATGTTGCCCAAGAACAAGCACCGTTGGTCGAGACTGGCCAGATTGAAGTGTGTTGATGGAAGCGAACACCCATACAAAAATAACCTCATTGCGTTTGCAGACGAGCAACCCGAGGTGGTGAAGAAGTTGGCCGAGTTGGAACACAAGAAGAAGATTCAGGCGGAATATGATGAGAGGATTGCTGGAAAGAAGTTTTAGTTGGGCAAAGATTTGTATATAGAAAAGAATGTCATTGAACACTAACCAAGAAATGAATCTAGTAGTTAGGTGGTGGTAGACAGAATGGGATCGAATAACAGCAATTTTAGCATCTATAGTTGGAATTAACGGAGATTCAAACTTTTGCTGATTTTGTTTTGGGATTCGTTAGCGCTTTTCGAAATTTACTGGAGGTATTTCAGTTTTAGGAATTTCCTGAAAATTTCAAGATATCGTACATTTAGCTTATGTCCACTGATATAACACGGGTGAAAATTAAAAGATTCTACGGTATCAGAAGCACCAATTTTCGAGTTCTTAAATGTACACAGATTTTTATTTTTAACTTTTTCTAACGAGTACTCACCCCAGCCCTATCAGTATACAGTCTTGGAGAAATGTTCATTGCCATTAACTCCTGGAACAATAACTTTGCAGCATATGGAATGTGGATCTGGTAGATGTTCGTCTTGTTCTTACAAGAACGGCATTCGAACTGTCCCTTCTTCAAGTTGGCGATAACGGTCATCAGACCACAGATACCACAAACGTGGACACGGAATGCATCAGACGCGTCCATCAGTCTCTCCTTCAAGAAGGCAGCAGCTCCATGGGCAATCATACAATCTCTTTCCATTTCACCGAATCTGAGACCACCGTCTCTGGCTCTACCTTCAACAGGCTGTCTCGTTAGAATTTGGACTGGTCCTCTTGCTCTGGCGTGGATCTTATCATCCACCATGTGTCTCAATCTCTGGTAGTATGTAGGACCGAAGAACACCTGAGCCATCAACTTTTTACCGGTGTGCCCGTTGTACATGACCTCGAAACCTCTGGATTGGTATCCGTTCTCTCTAAGAAGCCTGGAAACAGCATCCACGGTCAGGTCCGTGAAAGGAGTAGCATCACCTTCATATCCTCTAAGAGAACCAACCTTACTCAGCAAACACTCAATCAAATGGGCCACTGTCATACGAGATGGAATGGCGTGTGGATTGATGATCAGATCAGGAACAATTCCTTCAGCGGTGAATGGGACATCCTCGTGTCTGTAAGTCACACCAATGGTACCCTTCTGACCGTGACGAGAAGCAAACTTGTCACCTATCTGTGGGATCTTGGTGGTTCTCATTCTCACTTTGACGAATTTCAGACCTTCTTGGTTGGTCGTCAGCAATACCTGATCGACGATACCGTTTTCGGTAGATCTCAGAGGAGTGGAAGCATCCCTCTTAGTGTGGTATTTGGTTCTCTGGCCCAACTCCTCTGTATCGGCAGGGATAGGAACAGTCTTACCAATAATGATATCTTCACCAGACACTCTAACACCTGGAGAAATCAACCCATCTTCGTCCAGCTTCTCGTAAGTACCATGCTTCAATCTCAAGGTATTACTACGGTTTGGCTTCTCAAACTCCTCCACGACAGACATGCTTCTTCTCTCCTGATCCATATACGACCTGAAGAAAAGAGATCTGAAGAGACCTCTGTCGATGGAAGATTGGTTCATAATCATGGAATCTTCCTGGTTGTAACCCGAATAACAAGCAATTGCAACCACAGCGTTTTGACCGGCTGGAAGCTCTCTGAACTTGAGGTACTCCATGGCTTGGGTCTTTGCCAATGGCTTTTGTGGATAGTAAAGAATGTTGGCCATGGTATCCATACGCACGTTGTAGTTGGTCAAAAACACACCCATGGCCTGCTTACCCATAGCGGACTGATAGGTATTACGCGGAGACTGGTTGTGATCTGGGAACGGAATGATGGAAGCGGCCACACCGAGAATCATGGATGGATGAATCTCACAATGTGTGAAAGAATGAGATGCCAGGTTCACAGCAGACTTGATTCTCTTAGCGGGATCCAACTCTGCTTGCTGAACAACATCGGTGGTAACAGGAGCCAGGTCTTCAGGAGACATCGCGATCAAAATGGTTTCCTCTTCTTCTGCGTCGACATACTCAACCACACCGTGGTTGACCAGAGACGTCCAGCCAAAAGTCTTAGGACCCTCATCTTCCTCTTCGTCATCGTAGACCGCAGTATCATCCTCCTCGCTGTTGATGATCTTGCGACAATGCTCTTTGGTGAGCTTCAGCTCACCCTTATGCTCGCTCTCTGGATCATCGTCCACCACGAAAAGAGGTCTGTAAACTCTGCCTGCATCGGTGAAAATCTTGAACTCCCTCTCTCTGATATCTCTGATAATGGATACCTCGGGGGAAATGTCTCCTCTTCTACGCAGCTGTCTCATGGTGTTGACCAAAAGGGCAGGCTCACGATGAGTTCCGACCCAAACACCGTTCAAGAAGACTCTTGTGGCATTTGCGTGTTCCTGGGAATCATACTCCTCCAGAGGCTCCATACCCCATTCTTCCAAAAGATAGTGCAGAGGATCGGATGGAGTACCAACCGAGATACATGTCATAAGCGAAAGGTTCTTAACAAGACCACAAGCCTGGCCTTCTGGAGTCTCAGCGGGACAAACAAGACCCCAATGGGTGTTATGAAGTTGACGAGGCTTGGCCAACTTTCCGTCTCTTCCAATAGGAGTGTTTGTTCTCCGCAAATGCGACAGTGTAGACGAATATGTGTATCTGTTTAACACCTGCGAGACACCAGCTCTGGAGCTCATGGCCTTCTTTTGCTCACCCCAGTTACCTGTGGCCAAAGAGTACTTCAGACCGGATGTAATTGTTGTGGACTTGACTGCAAGAGCCAAGTTGAATTCTTTGTTGGTCTCGATACATTTTTGCATGTAACGGTAGATGTCTCTGGAGAGCTTCTTGAACAGAATTCTGAACAGATTGGCAAGCAAAGGACCAGCTAGATCCAGTCTTTTCTTACCAAAATGATCTCTATCATCAGGCTCCTTTCTCTCCAAAGCACACAGCAACAATCTGTTCACGATGTAACCAAGGAAAAATGCCTTTCTGTTCTCGTAGCCTGGCTCTTGAGTGATGTGAGGCAAAAATTCCTTCGTCAAGATGTCTCTGGCAAATTGTATACGCTTTTCTTTTCTGATACCAACAGCATTACCTCTTCTTCCAATGAAATCGAGGGCGACTTCTCTGTCTTGGATGAGGAAACCTTCTTCAACACATGGCTTCAGCATCTCAAGCATCTGCCAATCGTTCTGGTCATAGCAGATATGTTCAAGAATTTCTCCATCGGGGACGACACCCAGAGCTCTGAATACAATCACAATAGGAATGTCCTGCTTAATATATGGCAACGTGGCTTTGATGGTTCTTCCAACAACTCCACCGCTGCGACCTCCTCCGCTTCTCATCAGCTTGACCTGCATACTGCTGATCAGACGCGATCCCTTCTCCAGCGCGGATCTAATCTCAGCAACATGAGAGATTGGAGATGGGGCTGCCTTTTTAAACACCTGAACGATGTTGGCAGCACTTCTTTCCTGCGCAATAAGAACCTTTTCAGAACCGTTGATCACGAAATAACCACCCATATCGTATGGACACTCTCTGACATCGTAGAAATCAGTCTCCGTCAAACCGTTCAAAGTACAGAATTTGGACCGCAGCATAATAGGGACCTTACCAATGAAAAGCGTAGGAATTTGCTCTTCAACGCCGGCTTCGGGAGCGGGTCTTCCTTCCCTCTCGGCCTCTATGGTTCCCTGTTCAACCCAGTTGAGTGCTGCGTTGGAGTTGTTTTCGTCATCAACACTCTCTAAAACACGTTTGCGCATTTCAATGTAGAGTGGCGACGAATACGTGAGGTTTCTCAAACGTGCCTCCTGAGGCAACATCGCGTGGGTGGTACCATCAGCTTCGGTCATCGTGGGCCGCGAAAGATATATCTTTCCAAAAGTCAGCTCATAACGACGGTTGATGTCATCATCCTCGGTGGCATGTTGAGCAGGCTGATCCAGGATCAAGCGCGGGTCTTCCCACACAAGTTCCTGGATGGCGGTCTCAATGAACTCGTCAAACGACTCTAGCTGCTGCGAAACCAGACCTTTTTCCTCGAAAAACGCAGAGATAACAGTCCAGCAGTCCTCTGTCGTGATGGCATCGCCAACCTTATAGACGTCGTCATCCAAGGCTGAAGCTTGAGTTAGTAATGCTACACTAGAGTATTCCAAACACAGAACGTCGGACTCACCTCCAGACATTGTGGCAATCTATTAAAAACGGGCTTTTGCAGTGCAATAGATCTCCGATAAATCACCCAATCAGATCAAACAGCCAGCACCAGCTCGATATAACCAAATATATCAACTGGATAAACGATGTGAACCAGAGTGTTTCCAACGTTGGCCATGTTTGTCAGAACTGGATGGAGCTTTTTCCATTCGGGAGGGGCGTGTGTGGCACATAGCACGGTTACCCGGCCACCATCCAATGGTCGAAAGAATCTTTCGGATTCGGGTTATTGAAGACGAATCAGTGATACGTTGTATATATTTTGTGCACAGATTTGCTTGAATTTGGTTTATCTTCTGGTTAAAGACTCCCGGCATCTCACCAAAAATACAAGCCAAAATTTTGCCATGTCTGCACTTAAACAACAGGTGAGGTTTATGGCCTCGTTGATCAGAGACAAACTGCCCACTCCAAAGCCCAAGAGCGCTGTCAGGGCCGACATATCCAAGAAAATCTACTTAAACTCCAAAGAGGCAATAGAGAACGAAAAACCTCACTTCCGTGTTGGTGGACGCAATCTTTTTTTCCCCAGCGCGCGCGTTGTGTTGCTGCGGAATAACGCCAGACTGACACCATACCAGGCCAAATTCATCGTCCCAAAGTCCTTCAACAAACTGGATCTCAGAGACTATCTCTTCCACATCTACGGCCTCAGGGCTCTGAACATAACCACGCAGATCCAGCCGCAAACAATGACAAGAGCCTTGCCGCTGCCATATTCGACCCGTCGTCGTAGTCCCCTGGTGAAGAAGATGACCATTGATATGGAGCAGCCCTTTGTATGGCCCGAGGAAACAGCATTTTTCCAAAGACAGGAGAAGATGGCCAAGGAAATGCAACAGTATGCAGACGAATCCAACAGATTGAGGTCAGATGCCGCGAAACCTTCCAAGGCATTCGAAGGTGTGGTATCTCCAAACCCTACACCTACCAACTTCGTGCCTAAGAGAGTGCAGAGGCAGATGAAGAATAAACTGGCGGCAGCTTTGGACGGTTACAAGCGGAAGCAGTTAGAGGAGTTGCTGGTGAAGAATGTGCAACTTTAGAGGTGGACATGTAAATAGACATAGGGTGATCCACCAAGGTCAACCCAACACTCAAATAAACCAAAAGATGTGAAGAACAATGTTTAGAAATGGAATCAATGCCACATAGTTGATAGTGGGCTCTCAGTGGTGGGCGTACTCACAGATCCTTGCCATATGGTGACCTCTTGACTTGAGTCAATCCACAAACCTGAGAGATCAAGGCAATATTTGTATGTTACTACATTCAAAGCGTCAACAATGAAATTGCAAACTGCAGATAGACCAAAAAAACAAATCAAAGACGAACCAGTAACTACTAACCTAACCAAACCATAAACCCAACCAGCCTTACCACCGTCCTTTGAATACAATAAAAGAGCACTTAATCAACCATCAACCTCAGCCACTGGCTCGCTTGAAGGACGACCAAACCAGCTGCGGCGCTCTTTTGGTTCTGTGGAGGCGGCTGTGCCGGTAGAACCAGCATGGAAATCTACAAGGTCGTCTTTGTCCACTACAGCATACCCTTCGGTGGACTTTGACTCCTTAGCCGACTCGGTACTTTCACTGGCCTTTCCAGTCCAATAACCAATTGCAGTTTCGTAAAACCGTGGAATCGCAGAAGGCAATCCAGAAAGCCCAAGTCTGTCACCCGTGCTGGCCAATGACTGCACAGATTCCTGTTCGACGGCCACCTTGAACTTAGGATTGCCCTTTGCCACACGATCAACTCCCCAATTGTAAGCCAGTACCAAAAGACACTGAATCTGCCTCAGAATCTGCCAATCTCTCGCTTTCAAGTCATTAATCTGGGTCTCCATGTCAGTCACATACGGCAAAACATACTCCATCATCACATAATCAGCACCCGACTCACGGTCAGAAAAGTCAAAACTTCCCTTTGAAATTCGTGATGCGATTTCAGTGAAGTCAACCCGATGTTCTGCATCCAAAGGAACCACAAACCAGCAGCCGATCACAAACTGCACTACTCCCGATAGTGGCAATGGGGCCACAAGCAATGAAAACGCATAAGTATAGGATACACGTTGATAAAGTGCATATACGATCCAGTATGAGACCCAATGCTTGAGCTCTTGGTCAGATCCTGACCCGACAGACTTGCACGATTGATAGAGCGGTAGCACCACAGAGACTGCAGTGGTCATGAGACTGAACATCAGTCCAAACATGATTCACAAAAACAGCCACAAAATATGGAGAACAATTGCCAATTTCTAGCTTTTCTTGGCCAAAAAACGTATATTTGTAGCGGTAGATAGAGTACTATAAGGGTGATTCTACTACAGACGGGGGAAGCGATAGGAGTTGCCTCCCAGGGGCGGTTACCCTGTTGTGGGGGAGTGCGTTGGCGCACGACAATCTCAATTAGCCATGCCACTACCATATTTGACAGATTCCAGAACTTCTCAGATCACTTGCTGTTCTAGGCCTAGTACTTGGCCCAATCGCTCATATAAACGAGAAGGTCGGTTAACATGGCATTAGTCTCACCAGGGTTGGCAACCCAGACAGTACATCCTGACAGTCGAGCCTTGTAGTCATTGGCACCGAGTGCAGCAAACTGGTCGCCGACATGTAGCGTGTTCGCCGGCCCAACAGGGTCTTTCTTAGACAAAAACTCCTGGAGAGATTGGACTCCCAGGGACTTGTCACCAATATCAACCCAAACATCACTGCCGCCATTGAAAGCGCAAAATCGGATGCGCTTTGCCGGAGGAAAAGCCCTCAGCCGTTTATCACAACGCAAAACTACCTCTTCAAGCTGCTCCCGTTGTATCTTATGGTTTTTCAATGGCACAATACCGACCCCCTTTTCCTTCCGAATCAGTTGAGCCGGAAGTGCCAGTTTCTCAACCAATTCACGCAGGATTGACTCAGCAAAATCAAGCGTCGCAACGACGTCGTGCGGCGCCCACTCCCTCATAGACTTTAAAGTCCAGTCCTCTTCTGGGACAAAGACAAGCCGGCCAGCCTCAGAGTTGAATCGGAATAAATAATTCGATTCTCCGCCCATAACGAACAAGTTCTCGCGTTGATCTGAGGTTAACAGGGGAGATTTGGCGACTGCTGCGAGAAGTCCGTGAAGTCTCTCCTCGTATTTCAACCCAGAGGGATCACTATAGCCAGCTGCAGTAACCACTCCAATGGTAACATCTTGAGATAGCAGAGATACTAGATGAGGTATGATCGGAGAATCATGCTCCATAGATTTTCCATCTTCGTACAAGGTCACGTCTCCATCGAAGGTGATAAGTTTGAGCTGCGATGATTGAGGCCGATGGAAACGCTTGGAGAGCTCCAAAATTTGTGCAGTGTTTAAAATAACTCTTATGTCATTGAATGAGGGTGCAACCAATCGCCGTTTGGAGATGGCCCGACGTTCATCTTCAATATAGAAAGCCTTTTCCAGCGGCAGTCGAGTGAAAAACAATCCAATAGAGGGAATCAATTGCTTGAGCCTAGCAAGTTCATGGGTACCGAGGTCTTGCATTTCCACTGAATGGTATTAGTAATTAGCCGTAGACTTGAGAAAGACTGAAAGTCTCAGCAAACTTCCAAGAGTCAGCAACAACTTACTCTGATCATCGATCAACCTCTCGATATCGAGAAAAATCTCCGCATAACGCCGTTTAGCATCAGCATTGATTTTCAGCTCATCAGTAACAGATACACCGTTTGTTTTGGCAGCGTGGAGAACGAAAGGTCCCGCCAGCAGACCCTTGATCCATTCTATAAGACCGTCTCTGCGGTGTTGCTTAAGAGCATCTAAATAATGTTAGAACCGCCACATTAAATTCGCAAAAACTATCGAAACTCACACTCAACACGATACCTGTTGCACTATTAGTATTTATCCGCCAAAGCAATTGAGCCAGGTACTTACCTCGAAGTCATTTGGAGAGAGAAGGAAGGGTGTTTGGGTTTGTGTCCCGAGGGGAAGGAAGTAGTTAGCAGCCACCCGTGCGGCTATAGATTGATGTAAGCACTACTATATTATTTGACTATAGATACTTCATTTTCTTGTACAAATTGCAACACAAAAGTTTGGAATTGGATTCGCTACTGTTAAATTGTTATTGAAGTAATTATCAATCTCGTGACGTTTACTTAATAAGCTCAATTCCAATTATTAAATAGGTCTTGAGTTATCATAACAAATTGCTCTAGCACCATACAGTGAAATTTTTCACAGAGCTTCTATCTTACAGCCACTTAGTCCTCGATCACAACCTTGATGTTTCCATTCGAAGGGTCACTCGAGGTGGCCATGGCCTTGTCAGCATCCTCAAGAGGGAATCTGTGGGTCACCAGCGAGTCCACGTTGATCACCTTGTTGGCAATCAGGTTGATACACGCAGGCCATGAGTCGTGGTAACGGTTGATGAACTTAACGTCAATCTCGGCAAGCGACAAGTGCATGAATGGGAAGTTGTTAATGTCTCCACGACCAACACCGATCACGGTTAGCACACCGGAACGTCTCACAACGTAAGCGGCAGTGTTGATGGAAGACTCAACACCGGTGCACTCGAGCACACTAGGTGGTTGAACATACTCAGAGTCACCGAAGATCTTGCGGATGGCAACGGCGTTTTCTTGGTTCGTCTTAGTAGTGTCAATTTGGTAAGTCAAGACCTCTGGGACAAACTTTTTAGCAAACTCAAGTCTCTTTGCTGAGATATCGGTGATCAACAATGGAGTGGCTCCCATGGCTTTGGCCAAGGCCAAAGTACACAGACCAATTGGACCTGCACCAGCAACCATTGCTGGCTTTCCGAGGGTCACACTGGAACGCTCAACTCCGTGGTATGCCACCGAAACAGGCTCAACAAGAGCTCCCTGGGCATAGGTCATGGAGTCGGGCAATTTGTGAAGGAAGCGTTCGTCATGCACCTTGTAACGCTGCATGGTACCATCGTATGGGTACACAGACGAAAACTCAACATCCTGACACAAATTGTAGTCTCCCTGCATACAAAGGAAACACTTTCCACAAGGAAGCTGAGGCTCGACAGCGACACGGTCACCAACCTTGAGCTTGGTAACATCGGCACCGACCTCGACAACCTCACCTGCAGCCTCGTGACCGAGGATACAGTTTCCAAGCACTTTTAGCTCACCAATGTTACCAGACTTCCAGAAGTGGATGTCAGAACCGCAAATACCGGTGGTCTTGATGTGCACCAGCACTTTACCGGAACCAGGCTTTTCAATTGGGGCTTCCACCACCTCGATACGGTGGTCAGCAGTCACCTGCAGAGAGGGGTTCTTGTCAATCTTGACGTAGTCTGAAACGGGAGCCATTGAATAAATAATTGAAGAGCTGGATGGACAGTGGCGTTGATCTAATACCTTGGGAGCTGGGAAAAAACGGTACGAAGTGCGGGACTGGCGGCCGTATTTATGCTATCTTTTACCCGCGGCTGTTTGTGGAGACATTGACGCGGTTAGCGCCCAAACTTTTCAGCGGGATGGGATCGATTGTGGGGTTTCAATAAGGTTTCCTAATTCGGAAGTGTAAGCGGGATTGAGGTGCCCACGACGTAAACACACTAATGGAAGTCCGGCATATCCTCTTGGAGGTGCAGGGAGCGCGACATTGTGATGTTGCACCCTATCTGTTGGTATTATGAGCCTTAGGAGTCTCTTGGACTGTTCTCTGGGACTGTTCTCTTAGCCCGTGATCTACAAAGCCTTTCGGGCACTCAGTTTCGGTCCCACATACCGCAAAATCACGTCCGGTACTTGGAGGCGTCTAAAATTTCCCGTTTCATCACAACTGGTTCATACACGAAAAACAATTGCTGCTTACCAACGTCTGTATCTTCTTTCGTTAAAGGTTAGAGGTGCATGGATCATCATTCTCATCATCTCTACTTTGACACATGTTTGCTCGAGGATACCGTCATGTCGGTATTTCAAAGCAGTTGATGATCGTGCCTGCTGTGCGATTCACTTCGAGAGTCACTCCACAAGCGGCTTCATCACAGCTGCCGTCTCGCCTGGCAGCCCTCCGTTTTGCCAAACCCAAGCTCTCTGATTTTTTGGCTGATAATTTTGGTCGTCACCATAACTACTTGCGTATATCCATTACTGAGCGTTGCAATCTACGCTGTACGTACTGCATGCCTGAAGAGGGCGTTCCGCTGTCGCCCGATGGAAGTCTTCTCACAACCCCCGAAATCATGCGGCTCGTGAGGCTATTTGTCTCTTGTGGTGTCACAAAAATTCGTCTAACTGGAGGAGAGCCTACTGTTCGCAAAGATATTGTCGAGCTAGTTCAGCAAATTGGTAAGGTACCTGGTGTTGAGGAGATTTGCATCACTTCCAACGGGATTGCCCTTCACCGCAAGCTGGCTGCGCTTCACGCTGCAGGGCTCACCTCGCTAAACCTGTCTCTTGACACCCTTGTTGACGGAAAATTTCTTTTGATAACACGGCGCAACGGACTGAACGCAGTTTTGAAGTCGCTCCGGACTGCGCTCGAGCTCGGAGTTCGCAAGGTGAAGCTCAATGTCGTCGTCATGAAGGGCATCAACGAGGACGAGGTGCTTGATTTTGTCGAGCTTGCACGAAACTCCGAGATCGAAGTGCGCTTCATAGAATACATGCCTTTCGATGGAAACAAGTGGCAGCTCTCCAAGATGGTATCGTACGAGGATATATTATCCAATATTCGAGCCTATCACGAGGTGCTGCCCGTGGACCACAGTCATGGTGACACCGCAAAAGTTTTCCAGATACCTGGGTTCAAGGGAAGAATTGGCTTTATCACGTCGATGACTTCTAACTTCTGCTCTACATGCACCAGGTTGAGGATTACCTCTGATGGAAATCTAAAGGTGTGTCTCTTTGGCAACGACGAAGTTTCGTTGAGGGACTTACTGCGGAGCGGCACAGAAGACGCAGAGCTACTGAAGTACATCGGTACAGCTGTCAAGAATAAAAAAGAGAAACATGCAGGACTCGGCGAGCTAGAGAACATGCCAAATCGTCCAATGATATTAATCGGTGGGTAGGTTCTACAGCATAAACAGCAACCGAAAAGATCGCACGATTGTCTCTTTTTTTGCATACTAACGTCTCAATTACAGGTAACTATAGAACGTTTGGCAGACTCGAGCAGAGAAGGCTCTATTCGACGAAGCAGAAGCTCACACACGTAAATTCACGTGGCGAAGCCAACATGGTGGACATTCACGAGAAAGACATCACTCACCGGCGTGCAGTGGCAGTTGGCAAAATCCGGTTCTCTAATGAACATGTCGTAGGGCTAATTCAGTCCAACGGCAATAAGAAGGGAGACGTTTTCAGTGTTGCGCGCGTGGCGGGAATAATGGGTGTCAAGCGGTGTTCCGACTTGATACCTCTATGCCATCCGCTTCAAATCACCAAAGTCAAGGTGGAACTTGAGCTCAATGCTGATGATAACTCGGCCACTTGTACCTGCCAGGTTGAATGCACAGGTAAGACAGGCGTGGAGATGGAAGCCATGACAGGTGTAACAGTGGCACTTTTGACAGTCTACGACATGTGCAAGGCTGTTGATAAGTATATGGTGATTGACGGAGTCCGAGTGGAGCATAAAAGCGGCGGAAAGTCAGGGACATTTGACCTTTCTGATAGAAAGTGACAAGCGTGCGGCGATAAATGATTATGTACACGACTCAAATGACTTGCTTGAAGTAGCAACCTTGCATTGACGCAAGCTAACCGCTGCCATGACCGGTCGTGAATTATCACAAAGTCGATTACTTGGTGTCAGGAGATGTCAGAGTAATATGTCGTTCAATGGGCCACGATTTGATCCGCCCGTGTACAGATTAGGCTCGATAGCAATGTTGCAGCACCGGAGATCACCGCAGCAATTACACCATTCTGCATATTAAGATGCAGGGAAGGTTGCTTATTTGTGTTATTATTATCTTGTTGCGGAGATATAATCGATGAATATTATGGTCAAGTGTGTATAAGTATACGATGAAGGGCCCTCGCTGAATTCTTTTAGTTCTAGCAAGTTCAACGAATTTGCATAAAATGGATTACGAGAACAGTTCAAAAGCCCAGAAAAGCCGCATTACAAGCACTTTATACTGGACGGTACTCGTTACATGTCTGGGATCGCTCCAGTTTGGGTACCATCTGGGGGAGCTTAATGCAATAGGGAGGGTCATGTCGTGCCGAGTTTCAGTCCCTGGTCCCTATCCTAATAGAGACTCGCCCTGGGAAAGCCTTGGATTTGCCAAGTGTATACCGACAAATAATGATCAGTTCGCTACAGTGACTACCTTATTGTCTGCTGGTGGTTTGTTAGGATCTTTGGCAGCAGGGTATTTGGCAAACAGGCTGGGAAGAAAGCCCGTCTCCGTGCTTAATTGCGCATTATATTCACTGGGAAGTGTGGTTATGATGATGTCTCATAACCTAGCACTTCTCTACACAGGAAGGTTCATTGTGGGGATTGCGGCTGGTTCTTGCCTGGTGGTAGCGCCTATGCTTATCAATGAGGTTACACCGGAAATTCACCGAGGCTTCATGGGTTCGATGATGCAATTCTCTGTTTCAGGTGGAATACTGTTGTCTCAGACACTGTCTGTTTTTTGGTCAAATGATCAGCAATGGAGGAACATGTTTTTGAACAGTTCAATGTTGGCCGTTGTGTCGTTTTGTCTGACGTTCACTACGGTTGAATCGCCTAAATGGCTAATTGTCAATCGCAGCGACTATTTGCGATCCACTGAGATATTGCTCAAGATTAGATCCGAGCCTGAAGAAATAGACGCTGATGTGGACCATTGGAGACAGCTGACCGAAAGGAAATACACCGAGGCTGACGAGTTAACTGAGCTTCTTCCTTCAAGATCAAGACGTGGTTCTATCAACCAACAGGCTACGGTCTCTACATTACAATTTCTTACTCACAAGGAATTTCGCGAGCAGGCTATTGCGGTAATTGGAGTGATGACGGCAGCTCAGTTGACGGGCGTGAATTCTATCACCTTTTACGGTGTTGATATCCTAAGCTCTATGGTTTCTTCAAGTGTTCTTTTGATCAATCTAATGGTCTCGCTGGTGAACTGCACTTCAGTAGGAGTTGTATCGCCTTTTGTGGATCGACTAGGAAGAAAACCGCTGCTCTTGGTGTCAATATCGTTGATGATGGTTTCCTCCGCAGTGATTGCATTTTCCACCACTCACGGCTACGAACTACTTGCTAGTGTATGTGTATTTGTGTTTGTGATGGGTTACTCTCTTGGTCTTGGTCCAGTGCCATTTTTGATTGTGAGCGAACTCGCAGACCATCGGTGTGCTGGAACCGCACAGAGTCTAGGAACCACAATGAACTGGGTTTCTTCCATAATAGTGAGTTATTTTTTTCCAATTTGTCTGGACGCCATGAAAGGCTACGTTTTTTACTTGTTCACGGCAATTGGAGCAGCATACCTTGCGTTTACGCTAAAGTGTATACCAGAGACTAAGGGGAAAGTTACAGTCGAGGCTGTTTGGGGAAGGGTTTACTAATAGAGTTCATAACGTATCATAAAGGAGGTATAAACCAACGAAATAGTAGGCTCATAGAGTTTGTACTCCTCACTGTTGTCCAGAACATGGCGAAAGAGTCCTTAAGTCAATTGTGAAGCCGCATCTAAAACTTCCAGAAATATGTCAATACCGAAAGAAAAGCAGCAGAGGCCAAAACAGCCTTTAAACTCGCTGCTGCTGCTTTGGAATCGGTTTTTCCGACTTGAATAGACTTCAGGGAAGTTCCGATATCAGTGTTGATCCTGGTGATATTTTTCTTCGGCGAAGGAAAGTTGGTGTTAGGCCGTGGTTTCTTGACGGTCTCATCATTATTGGTAAAATAGAGAATATCGTCTTCCACGTTGTCAACCACAACCTTTTGCACGTTTCCAAAAAAGTCCGTGATCAGAACGTCCGAAAGGTTTCTGCCAAACAAATCAGTACGAACACCTGCATTGGAATGTATGTCCTCGAACGTATAAGAATCTATCAGATCCTGGAGTGTCTTCTGCGAGTCCTTCTCGATTCCCTCCAAAAATTCGAGGTTATAATAAGTGAATCTGTCTATCACAGCAACTCCTATCTCGGTGTCGGAATGATGAGAATAAGAACTCTCGTGCAATTCTGAAGAGCCCACCGCGAGGATGTTTGGTGAGTAGAATTTAGAGTACATCGTGTTTGCCTGGCACGTATCGATCATGAAGAATATCTCATTGTATCTGTGTTTCTCTGCCATTTGCTCAAATGCGTCAGCAATATCGAAAGCGCTGATTTCTTCGGAATCCTGGAACTTGAGAAATTCGTCACCACCGTGACCAGTCATATAGATGAAGATGTTGGATCTCTCGTCCGTTAACAATCTCTTGGAGCGAGGATGCTCTGGTCCCCACCGATCCGTTAACAACCGTAAAAAGTTTTCCACTGTCACTTCATAGCCTCTATAGTCGACCTCAATGTTATCACCATATAGATCAATGGCTCTATCAGCGTTGTTGAAGACAGATCCTGGAAATGCATTCCGCGGATTGCACGCAACGTCATCTGAAAGCATTAAAATGATCTGCGAGTCTGGAATTCCAAGTCTCTTTACAGTTCTGTACATGCTCAGGACATTGGCCATATGGCGGTAGTTGAACCAGAAGCGTGACGTTGACACCAGAACGGCCCAGTTGTTTGTGTGTCTCGACTCTTCATTATCGGAGCCTCCGGTTGCGGATTCGAGTGCAGCACAGCATGCACATAATACTGACAAAACCCAGAATATCCTGATCCTCATGATTTGGCGTTGAAAGCTGTTGTGGCTATGGTAACAGCAATCAAGAAGAGCATTACAAATGACTAAACAAACACCACCAAAAGGTTGGGGAAGCTCTTTGTTCGCGCACGATATAACAAAAATAATAAACACACTACTTTAAAAAATTGCCCCAGCCACACCAATTACAGCTTTAAACAATAACGCAAGGATTCGCCTCCAGTCAAATCTACTCGAAGCTTGTTCAACATCGACATGCCCAGCTTCGAAGGCAGATCTGGTGACTCGGCCAAATTCAGGCCGTATGTCCAGGCCGACAATTTCAATACCGGGTATCCGATCCGGTATAGACCCGCGGATGGGATCATTGATATGGAGACCGGCAGAAACATCTCCATGTCGTTGCCAACTACCGCCAAGTTTTCTTCTGGAATTCCCAAGGAATTCAGCAGCGCCGGAATTCATGCCGGAGTTCAGATGACCAATTCGGTTGGTCGGAAGAACGTGTATTCGGATTTGGAGTTCCGTGAATACTTTGTGTGGAGCAACACTAAGGATCTTCTACAATCTCTGTGTCGTTCTTCGCTGAAAAACTACGCTAGGCAATTTATGTCTCAACCATTTGAGGTGAGCCGACTGTTGTTGCAGGTTGGAGCTTTCAGTCCGTCTGAAACGAACTCGGCAACGCCTTCTACTACTTTTGATGAGGATGAGGATGACGAGGAAGATGACTTCTTCGAAAGAACGGGGTCGCCAAGGGCAAAAAGGTATTCAAGCATACAAAGGTCTGTGCCCAAGCTTCGGGTTCCAGTGGTGGAGAACACTAACATCAACCCGCTCAGTCTGAATACCATCGACGTGATGTCAGCTCTCATATCCAAGGAAGGGTTTAGAGGACTTTTCAGGTGTACTAACACCTCGTTTCTCTACACGACTCTTTTCTTCACGATTGACGCATGGATCTGTGGATTTGTTTCACCGATTTTTGGCGTTCCTGATCCATTTTTCATTGACATTGTACACTCCACCAACCCATTCAGATCGTTGCTGCTGTCTGTGGCCTCTTCCTGTATCACGGGCTTGCTATTGGCTCCAGTATCACTGATAAGGACAAGATTTATTGCCACGACGACGAAGTCGCAGAATCGCTCTTTCAAGCGTTTACTCGGCCAGTTAACATGGAAACAGCTACTGGTCCCTCTGAGACTCATAGTGCCGACAATCAATTTTGAGTTGAGTGCTCATCTGCTAAAGACTTGGGTTCCTTACTTCTTGTACACTCGTTGTTCTGTTGACAGATACACCTCTCCTTTGGTGTTTTCAACTGTTGAACTGTTGACTTCAGTGGTGGAACTGTTTGTCAAACTTCCACTGGAGACGCTGCTTCGTCGTTCGCAAGTGGACTATCTGGTGAATGATCCCTCATGTCCAGAGGCATTGAGAATCAGCGAAAACGAACTCAGTGTGAAATTTGGAGGCTACCATGGATACTTTGCAACTCTTTACTACATCTACAACGGAACCAAGCCTGTGAGCCATAATGACAAGTTCAGCTTGGAAGTGCCCAGCTCAGACACAAACGTCGGGCTTGAGGGGCTTTTCAGAGGCTGGAGAGTTGGTCTCCTAAACGTTATAAGTTCTTGGGGTTTGAGTATCTTGCATGACCAGAGTCTGGAGAATGTGGAGGTGGAAAAGTTCTGAGTGATGGTGCATCTCAGATACGGACTTCCAAAGACGCGATATTCCATTCCTACGCGTTTATTCGGTGTTCTTGCGTTTCTTTTTTGCGTTACTTATCCTCCCAAATGTCTACGCTGTACATATTGACCACCTTTGTGAGATTTTTCATTAAAGCGCGTTGCTAACCGTAGCTAAAAGTACAAATAAGTAGAAGGCTCCAGCTAAGACTTGGCCTGCTTTTTCTTCTCATTCTCAGCAACAAGGTACTCACCCAGCCACTTAAGCTCGTCTCCCGCGACCACTTCCTTCTCCTTGACCAGCTGCTTCATTCCTTTGAGGAGATACGGCGTGATCTCGCGGTTCAGCCATTGCCGTATATCGTTGCCCCCAATGGCGGAGGCTGTATCACCAATCACCAGCTCCTGCTCTGCTTGGGTGGGCTCCATTCTCGGATTTGGGTATATTTCGCTCAAGTTAACGGTTGTTGGCGGTACTATCGGGTCGAGATAGCCTTCGTGCTTCCTTTCAACCTGAGCCGGTTTGGGGAAGATCAGTCGTGCACGACATAATCTGCATTCTCGTAAATTTATTTCTGTTGGCTCGTCCTACATTTGTTCATAGTAGCATATATATTAAGAAACACAAACATTATCATGCAATAGCATTCTGTCACAACAGAAAAGAAGTCGTCAAAAAAACGTAATCAATCACTGATGAAGGTGATTTCATTATAGGCGAGCCCCGATTCGGAAACGCCGAGTGCCTCGATATCGAGCTCCATCTTGTTACAGAACTGGTAGATGTATGGCCTTGTTCCCGCAATTCCACTTACCAGGTTCTTCACAAATGTGGGGATCTCGTGCATAATGTCGACTCTCTCACCCAGATTTGTAAGGCTGCCCTTAACAATCGCCTTGATAGGTTTATCATCTTGGTCGAAACCGTCCAGGTCAAACTCAATGTTTTTGGGGATTGACCAGCCAACCTCGTCGATTTCGCGATCATTGAACACCACACTGTTGTCAATAGTTCCTGCAAGTACCTTTGTTGTATCGGTGACGATTCCCACATTCACCCGTGTACGTCCGTACGACTGCGGGGTGGTGAACTCCATCATCACCACAGAGTGGGAAGGACTGATGTAATTAAGGAAATTCCAGGATGCAGCAGCATGGTGAGGCTTCATCCCTTGCAGTGCAAACACGTACATTCCCAAACCATCAATTTCGATCTTCTGTTCTTTAGATTTGAGATCTATAGTTCCAGTGATGGAACACCTAGGCCAGAAGATGTGACGCATGCTGCCCCATGGATTTTCCACATCCTCTCCATAGAGCGTAGTTCCATCCTTTCCGAACTTCACACCTTCAACAGTTTTCTGGAACACAAGATCCACTACACTCTCCTCGTTGACATTAGACCGCACAGTGTACTGCTGCTTCTCGGAATTGTAAAGGATCTGGACGCCTCCCTCATTGGCAGTGAAGTCGGATCCATTGATGTCAAAGTCTTCCAACTTGGTGCTGGTCCATACAAAGTCGTTGGGAGTGTCTTTGTGGAAGCACTTGAAGGTGAACTGGCCTGTGGTGTTTAAACCCATGAGATTCGAGTGGATGATCTGAGCAAACCCGCTATAGCCAGTGCGGGAACAATAGAAGTAGAAAGTTTGAGTCTCAACATTCGTGTAGTTTGGATTGAGGTACTTGAGATCGTCGTCGGTGATTGGATTCCACGGTTTGTGGGCATCAATGCCCGCCTGTTTCGTTACAGGATGTATTGCAGATTCGCCATACTCTGGCTCGGCCGTTCCGGCGACTACCGATAATCTGGAAATGGTTAGGACGGAACTCGAAAAGAAAATATGCAAAAACAAACTAAAATAAGGAGAGATGCGTGATTCTGGAGCTCTCTATGAAGGCCGCAACAAGAGGGGGCGAGCCCATTAGAAAGACAACCACAACGGCGTCAAAGCCCGGTGTTATACCGCTTCTTTCCCATACAATGTCCAATTAGCATTAATCTGTAAACATACCCTGATTGAACCCACTTTAGCATATTGTGTGGGTGTTTTTGGTTGTTAAGATAAACCAAAACTATGAGAACACCTGACTGCGAAAGTTTTTAAGGGCATGGAATGGAAGGCAATATTTGGCTGCGCACGATCATCAGCAGATGAGAACGGCCGTGTTCAGGGTATTTAGGGTTTAGCTCTTTCTACACAAAGATGGTTGTTGTACATGGACGTATATGCGGGAATGATCGTAATTTCCAAGAGAATGAGCGATTAAATATCCACTGGAACCGAAGCATCAAAATAAGAGGCAGGGTCAAGAGCACTTATGTCGCAAGAAGTGGCCTCTCCATCAAGCAGTATCTCTGACATCAGTAGGCCGGTCACTGGGGCGTTGTTGATTCCCCAGCAAGAATGCCCCGAGGCCAGATATAGATTGTCAACGTTGGTTTCACCAATTAGGGGCCCAGAAGATGATGGCACATCCAGAACGGGCAAATAGCATGCTTGGCGCTTGAGTATCTTTCCATTAGCGAGATGCGAACTCACCTTGCCGACCAGCTTGAATAGTTCGTCGCACTTCTCGGTCACCACCTCCACATCATCAGTTGTGGATGGAATAGGAACAGAAGTATCACCCTCTCCACATACGTACACCTCGTCCTTGCGCGCATAGATCTCGGGACTTGTGAACTGTTTGTTTGAGAGTTTTAGTTCTGTGAAGATGGCGTAGGGAGATATCTCAGAAACGTTTTCTGGTTCTATTGTAATCGAGTGAGCACGCAATCCTGAGATCGGGCAATCCGGCAAGATCTTTGACGTCCAAGGTCCTATTGTCATCAGTACCTTCTCGCCGTCCAGCTGAATTTGAGTATCTGCCGATCCATCAACCGTCGACTTCAAGGATGAGGGAGAGTAAAGCACCCCCGTGCAAGTACCTTCTTCATCCACCGTGATATCGTCAACTTTTCCGATGAGAAGCTCAACTGCACCCGTAGCCAGGCATTGCTTTAAAATATGTGTTGTGAACTGGTAAGGATGAACCTGAGCTGTGGTGGACTCTCCACCTAGATGATTCCAGTTCTGTACCACCTCAGGGTCCAGCCAATTGAGGTCTGGTGGTAAATTGGAGTTTCCGTCAACACCTTGGTCATGTATTTTTATACTGTTCTTGGTGACTCGTTTGGCCTTCGATGCCGGGCGCGCAGCGTTTTCTTTGGTAAGGTCTCCTTCAACGCTAACAGTTGTTAGCCGTCTGAAACCCCAGTTTTCCGCACCTGAGAATTCTTCCGCAAGATCCTGGTGAAGTTGGAAACTCAGCGGCACAATCTGTTGCGGAAATGCCCACAAAGCCAGCAAGCCACCAGCCTTTCCAGAGGCTCCACCGGCAACACGCTTGGATTCCAGGATTGTGATATGGTATTTCTCTTTGTCGAATTTGGGATGCCTCGTTAAATAGAAAGCACTGCAAACACCTATTATACCTGCCCCAACGATGATTATGTGAGTCTTGCCCTCATGCTTATTCGAGGGTGTGGACGAGTAGTATTCGTCCATGTTAGAGTTGTTCTTCGATGACAACCAAACAGAACAGACGCTCGAAGCTTCAAGTAACAAAAAACAAAGTCAAGTAACAACAAAGTCACTAAATTAGAGCCTGAGTTTGCAGAGAAGTTGCTAAATAGAAGTTGATTGTGGTACAGAAAGGAACACAAACGAGAGGGGGGGCCATACGAGAAAGTCGTGTAGAAACAATAAGGGAAAAAATCAACCCACTTTTGTGCGGCCGGGTAAGGGAAGGACAGATAGGAAAGATAACGGCTGCATATAAGGAAGACTCGGACTTTGTTTGGTCAATAGAAGTAATTGCCAATGGTGTTGTTTGAGATAGAAATTGACAGTGAAGGCCGATTTTGGGTGATTCAGATCTAGCTGTACTAGTTTCAATCATTCAAAATCTGGTACTACTGCTTATCTCGTTAATGTACCGTATTGTAGACTATCCAATATCTCATAACTTAGACCTCGACTATTTCATCTGTATGATATGGGTGCTATGATGTATTCTTGTTTCACTTAATTAACTTGAATTCTCCAGTGTACCGCCTCTTTCCTGCACTAGCTGCAGCTGCAGTACCTTCTTTGATTCCATCAAACTCCTTTTCTTAACTCTCTTTCTCTGACTACAATCCCATTCGTCATTAAATCAGTATTCATATTCCGCAGATTCGCTAAATCTCCTCGTCTATATCATTAACAATACCAGCAGAATCACCAACACAACGATCAACAGACCAATACAACAATTCGACGCCTTCTCGTTGTTTTTCTCGAGAAACCACTGGATTCGCCTCATTCCATTGCCAAGTTTCGAACCCACACGTTCCATTTCGTTCTCCAGATCACGAATCATGTAATTCTGCTCATCTAACTCATCTCCCATAGCAGTCGCTTGCATGTTCAAGTTCTGGATTGACCTGTACACCACATCTAGCTGTTCGTCTTGTTCCCTCATCACTTCTTGCTGAACAAACTGACGTTCATCTTCGTGGGAGATTCTGTTGGATACAGATGTAATTTCACGCGGCCGCCTCTGGTCACGTTGAGCCCACAATCGTAATAATCTGTCAAATTCCCCATTCAACTTCGCCAAGCTGGCTTCACGCTTTGCGATTTCTTCTCTCGTCACTCCAAATGATTCCGGGTCTTGTTTTGTCCGATCCAATGCGCCATGTAAATCTCTAATCGTCTCCACGAGTTCGGCTCTGTTGTTGTCGAAGTCGGCTGCTGCAGCGTCGTCCACGTCTGTTAGACGAGAAACATACCCTGAGAGCTGCTCCAGCTGCTGCGTAGCATCATGGCAGACATCATAAAATGGATCCATTTTCTTGTGTGTAAGCTGGTATATCTTGTGTACGGTTTGTGTGTAGATACTTCTTGTGATAGGCGTGGCATGCGTGGGCTACTAACCTGGGGAGTGCACGCCCAAGCTCGAGCTGACTCTTCCAAGGTTGATAAAAGAACATGTACTATTGAGATTAGATTATACCTCCTAACAGAATGGGCTTTATTGAAAATAGCAAATTGACGCAATGTGTCTTGAGTAATTAACTATACCCTTTAGGTTGTTATATAAGGAGCATAATATATCTGTTCATCGGTAGGAGGCTTGCATACAGATACATATATGTGTGGGGATAGGTGCAGATAGATAGCGATGCAGTTATTCACCTGCATTCATCCAGACCGGTGTAACCTCAACCGTATACTGATATCCGCCTTTACTATCAAGACAAATCCCTACGAAGTGGTCTATCACTGAATTTACAATCTTCGGATATAACTTCACCAGGCAATCTCAAGCTCACAGCTTCAATGATCACACCATCGCCAAGACGACTTCAGGCAAATATCCCCTAGGACATAGTACCTATCTCTCCAATTTTCAATACACCCTAAAAATCGCCTCTGTCTCGCAAAGATCTCGGTTTCCACTAACTTATGTTCCACCATTATCAATTTCCCTACTGCAATCTAAAATTCCAAGAGAATCCTCCTCTGCCACAGTCTGGCCGAGTTTGGCAATAAAGGCGCCACAGTGATGGCGGAGAGGTGGTGAGGTTTTTTAAAGATTATCTCATTTATTTCGCAAGACCCTTTTATCAACTCTTCTTCTCTATTTTTTCTCGGTTTTCTTCTTTGTTTTCTTCTTTGTTTCCTGTGATATTGTTGCTAAAATCTAAAATGCCGGCTCCAGCACAAGATTTTCAGGAGAATGCCGTTATCAATGGCATACAGGTATCACTGCAGGCGGTATCTGTTCCCAACCAGCAGATCGTCCACGGAAACGTGTTTCCACTAGCATTGATATTTACGTCTTCGGATATTTCTAACAGGTCTGCAACTGAACAATTCCTCAAGGATCTCTCGTCAAAAGGTGTTTTTACGGAGTTGCTTAACAAGCATGGTGCAGTCCTATTGAGAGGACTCGGTGATTCTTCAGCGGATGGTTTTTCGGCGTTTGTCAATGGTATTGAAAAGTCGCGTGGTCGTGTACCATTTGAGCAGATTGGACTCGCTGGAAAACGTCACAATTGGGCAGAGAATGTTTTCACTGCGAATGAAGGTCCCCCAGAAGCACGTTTCTTTCAGCACAATGAGTACGCGCGGTACACTCATTTCCCCGCAAATATCCACTTCTTTTGTAACAAAGCTGCTCAGCATGGCGGGGGAAGTCCTATAGCACATTCTGCTATGCTTTTTGAGCGGATTCAGAATGAATTACCTCATTTCATCAAGGAGCTCTCTGAGAAGAGACTTATCAACCAGCAGGTGTATCCAAGCAGGACATTTTCTAGTGCTGTCAGTAAAGGTAATGAGTTTTACTGGGAAGATCCTGACTCATTTGGTCATGAAATTAATCCAGAGGACTCCATTGAAACCAAACGTACCAAAGCTGAGAAGATGATCAGAAGATTGACTGACGATTTTCACTGGAATGAGGACGGAAGTGTGACATTGAAACAACACGTACCTGCCTTTCGTCAGCATCCGGTCACCGGAAAGCCCACCTTCTTTAACGGAGTTGTGGGCCGTTATGGTACTGCGAAATCCCACGGTGCACTTGAACCTCCACATAGAGGAAGCGATGGGGGGTTTTACTTGCCTAACACGTATGATAATGGGGAACCAATTCCGTTCGCAGATCTGGATAGAGCGCTTGCAATCTCGCGGGAACTGGAGTTCGTTCATGCTTGGGAAGAAGGAGATCTGGTGCTCGTTGACAACTACCAAGTTTCTCATGGAAGAGAGCCCTGGAAAAGAGGTGAAGAGCGCGTAGTGCTAGTGAGTATGTGGGATGAGGTTGGACCCAAGCCAAAAGAATGGACTGTTTGAAGGAATGTCTGAGTTGAGAAAGGTTGTCAGTCATATTTTAGGAATTCTCGGAAGGTTTCCAGAACCCTATTTTTATCCAGGCTAGACCAGTAGACCTAATGATCAAGAGGAAAAAGTAATAGAACAGCAGAGTGCATGTTAAATATGTGCGGCTGCATATCTGTTGGAACACACAACCATATAGTTTTAAGGTGCCGTTAGATCAAAGATGATTATCGCAGAAATGATGAGGAGTATTTCCAAATGGTTGCTCGGGTAGATTTCAATGCTAAAGTAATCCTAAATGAAGGTCTTTTGTGCATGCAGTCTATTGTTATATGGGTGACACGTTCAAGCAAGCAGTTTTTGGTGCCAGTAGCCCAAACACAATTCAAAGGGATGTACTAATGTAGTGAAACAGAGATGGAGCTAGGAAAGCAAATACTGTGGGTGACAGCAATATATAGTCTGATGACTGTTATATAGCTCCTTAAGAAGCCTTCTTTCACAAAGAGTGGTATGCCGAAACCGACACCCTTTAAAGGTGAGCTTGTATATTCCCAAATGGAGGGATGAATACTCCATTTTTACTTCCCTACTTCTTTCAAAAAACTGACTCGGGTAAAAGCATCCTGAAAATTTTTAGCTAGGTGGCTGCATACTGCCCTATATTGGCAATACTGTGCAGTAGTATAGTACTTGCTAAGCAGAATGTAATGCTGACAATTGGAGGAGAGTTATTAGTACTGTTTTGTGGGTATCATCCGGAACGCTACGATAATACAGTAAAATGATTTAGAAGGCCTTAACACTTTTGGAAGATTTCCAAAACTAACCTGTTTCAAAAACTATGATATTGTATTTTTATTTTCAAATTCTGCTTCTCAACAACGTCCGAATGGTAAGCGGTTCCAACTCTCCACACTACAGGTGACCTGCAACTCCAACAATTACCCAAGTCGATTCTTTCTCAGGTTTCCCATGTGTTGAGCCTGTTTCCGTTCACGGAAACAGACTGAAAGACCTAAACCATATTGGGGTTTGTCTCATGCTTTCGTTCGCATAATTCTTTGTCACCGGTCTCACAGATGGAGGTGCCACATGGAAAAAAAGACATCAGCGTGTATTCCTTTAGTTTTTGGTGTTGGTTTTTGGTGTTTGTCATTTCCTTCCCACAAGGCTTCATTTTCTACTTCTGTCTTAACACAGTCATTGTCTCGACACCTCTAGAGATGAAAGGGGTTGTTTCTGGGATGGGAATAACCAGTATCCAGCTACTTATAGCTTTTTTTTCCGCAGCTACTTCTTCGATTGTAGGAGATGTTGAGATTGGTTCGACACCTGAGATCAAAAAGAGAATGATGGTCCGATATCGCCATGCCTTTTACTGCCTTATTACCACAAGCCGCTCTGAGCATTGTGCTGACTTGGTTTATAGTAGATAAGGGGTTGGGGTCTCTGAAAGAGAAAAGGGCTAAAAAGCTTTTTAGAGATCGAGAACTGTGATCTTGCGAAAGCTTGCAAGGATACCTCTAATTCTGTTGACATAGTCTGAGTCTGAAAATTTAATATAAATATCCAGATTTGGTGTGTTAATGTTTCGAATAGTGAGATATCAAAACTCCTTATCAATATGCTGGCACTACCACACTATCTAGAACTACAGCCCGCTGCATCCAAGTCATCTGCCACCGTTCGCTCTAACTGTCTCATGCCTCACACCTCGGGAATCCTGGCTATCTGATTTATAAAACTTTCTCATATAAATATCAAACCGCCTTATTCCCAAAAGTGTATTCACATCTTATTTTTCACCCCTTTCATGCCTCCGGTTTTAAGCTTCACACTTATCTACACTTTAGAAATTATCAATGCGGCGGTCGAATCTAATTTGCCGCGCGGGAACCCCCATGCACCAACGGTAGCCGCACGTCGGCTACTAGACATGGGCTAGCTGATATGGATGGCTATATATTGGCCTGAGATCCAATTTCGTATCGGAGCCCCTTGATCTCCGCGAAAACCAGGATGACTGTACCAGTATTTATTGCCGAGGATCTTAGCGAAAAAGAGGTCAAAGTGGTTTTGAGGTCCGCAACCCAGCTGGCGGCTGAGATGGCGGCTGCCAAAATTACCAGCGAGGAGGTGGTGCAAAGTTTTCTGAAAAGTGCGGCCCTAGCACATGCGCGCACAAACTGCGTGACAGAGTTTTTGACTGATGCAGCTATTGCCCGTGCTCGCGAATTAGACTTATATTTTCGTGAAAATGGGACCACTGTCGGCCCACTGCACGGGGTGCCCGTAAGTGTCAAAGAGCACATACGGGTAGCTGGCACGCACTCGACTTGTGGCTACAAAAGGTGGCAGGACCACCGCTTTGAGACTGATGCCTTGATAGTAGAGAGACTGAAGCGTGCTGGCGCCATTGTGATTTGCAAAACCACCGATCCGCAATCACTTCTGGCTATGGAGACTGAATCGAACTTATATGGTCGAACGACGAATCCCCACAATCATCTGCTGTCTAGCGGTGGCAGCTCCGGAGGAGAGGGTGCTCTATTGGCGTCTAATGGGTCAGCTCTAGGAGTTGGCACTGATATTGGTGGCTCGATTCGGACTCCTGCTGCGTTTAATGGAATCTACGGTCTCAAGCCAAGTACCGGCAGATTACCTCATTCCGGTCTTGAGGGCAACCACGATGGAATGGAGAACATTATTGGATGTGTGGGTCCTCTAGCAAGGTCTGCGGAAGATTTGTCACTGTTCTGTCGTGCTGCTTTGGCAGATGAACCATGGCTGATCGAGCAATCCATTCCTCCAATGCCGTGGAAAACGGATGTAAAGGTGCCCGAAAAGCTTACGGTGGCTATCGTCTGGGACGATGGACTTGTAAAACCTCTCCCTCCAGTTCTCCGTGCGTTGGAGAGGACCAAAAGCCGACTTGAAGCTGCTGGTCATCAGGTGATAACTTGGGACCTGGTAGAACCGGAAACCGCTTACAAAAATACGATACAAACGTATCTTCTAGACGGAGGAGATGAGTATAACTCATTGCTCAGCACAGAGGATCCTGCCGTGGATTCTGTCAACTGGATCCTGAACTCCTTTGGAGTAAAAAGATGCTCTTTGGAGGAGACTTGGGCTCTCAACCGTGAGAGATCAAGAATCCAAAACTCTCACAATTCTAAATGGAATGCAGCTGAAAAAGTCCCAGATGTTATATTGTGTCCAGCCAATCCTAGTCCCGCAACTCCTCATGGCCAGCTTAGACACTGGAACTACACTTCCTATTGGAATTATCTGGATCTACCAGCTGTGGTTTTCCCTGTCACTACTGTTAGTGAAACCGATGTAAGCTCGACCCAATTCGATTATCGCAGTGACATTGAGCGTGGATACCACGAGTCATATGAACCGGCAATTTATAAAAATGCGCCGGTGGGCCTCCAGCTAGTTGGCCGCAGACTCCACGAGGAATTTTTGTTAGGTGTATTGGGGGAGATCGAGATGCTGAAATAGCTGTAATTAATGAGAAAGTTGTAATATAACGAAATAATATTCATTATATTTAACAGCGGAAGTGAAATTTCTTCCGATAATGATTAACAGGGTATGGAGATGTTACTTGAAGAACTGAACATGATGGTAAGTCAGTTTCGGGTGCCACCAAAATATAAAAAAATGTACTAATTATAACTTTTATTCAACTTATCGCAATATTCATGACTATAATCATTTCAGTGGAGTGAAGCCATTTGAGATTTATTAACAGGGCATGGATTTACGATGCAGAAGACAAAATCGAAAATCTGATAAAGGTCACCAAATTACGGATAAATAAATTAAATATCACTCAGACTTTTTATGAATACACTCCCTTCATCAACATTGTCAAACTGTCGCCAAATGATTGCCGATCAAAGTCCCAGTTGAGTGTGAATGAAAGCAAGCTTTTCGCTAGACTCATACACAATCATCTGAGTGGTCTTCCCCATCATATGGCCAGTACCTTTGAACATACGCAGAGCAATTGGGCGCTTATTCTGCGGATTTTTGTAGAGTACCTCAGCAGCCATTTTGAGCGAATGAGCTGGAACGACTCTATCGTCGTTATCAGCAGTGGTGAACAAAAGTGAAGGAAGTTCCTGGGTCTTAACATTGTGGTAAGGAGAAAGGGCTGTCAAGATCTTGTAGTCTTCCTCCTTGGAAGGATCACCATATTCGCCCTTCCAAAGATGACCAAAAGTAAACTGATCAAATCTTGGAAGATCGTGAATACCAACATCACTAATAACACACCCAAATAGCTCTGGGTTTTGCATCGTACAACCTGAGACAAGGAGTCCACCATTGCTGATTCCATTGGCGACAATGTAATCGCGGGTGGTAATTCCGCTAGAAACCACAAATTTCGCACCTGCCTTGTAGTCATTCCACCCAATTTGTCTTTTAATTCCACGAGCGGCTTCCCACCAGGCGAGGCCATATTCTCCACCTCCTCTAATGTTCACCACACACAGCACTCCTCCAAGCTCCTTTAAGAAGGTTGTCCAGAGAGGCTCATAGCGAGGTTCTTCTGGAACATTGAACCCTCCATATGCGTGAAGAAGTACTGGTGGTGGATGTTCACGTCTTTTGGATTTATAGTAAGAAACAAACATCCCAATCTCAACTCCATCAAAGCTGGGAAACGAGACTCTCTCGCACACAAAATCTGAGTCCTCCGACTCCTCCTGTTGTCTAACCTTTGCAGCGGTGTTGGTCGTGGAATCGATCGCATAAACAGTAGGATGCGAATCGTAGCCTTCCAGCTCCAAAAAACCGACATGATCTTTGATGCTGCCAGAATACAGACGAACAGAACTGAAGCCTGTATCGGGAACATCCACCAAGCCGTCTTCTGGAGACCACAGTCTAATGACATCAGCAGCGTCATGCATGTACATCAACATTATTTTATTGCCAACAGCAACAGAGTACTTGAGAGTGTCTTCTTCGTGTTCAGAAACCACAGTTTCAAACCCATCTTCCTTGGTCCATGAAATAATGCAGTTCCGTGGAGAATTTTTGTTGGTTTGAAAATAATATTTGTCACCAACGGCTTTCAAGAAGAAATAACTGCAAGTTGAAGAGTCGTCAATTGCTTCAAACTTAGCGGTTCCCGCAATCAGACTATCTACCTCGGCATGGAACACCTTGAACTCAGGATCAACCCCCACAGAAGCAGTGAACACGATCTGACCATCATCCGTAATACACTCGGCAATAGGGAAATCGACTTCATCACTCCAAATAAGCACATCCTCAGATTGCTGGGTGTGGAGACGATGGTAGTATACCGTAAGTGAACCGTAGCTTCCGTTGCTTCCCTGTTGGTTACCAGGCAGCTTGTGGTAGAAGAAACCTGCGTTTTCATTTGTAAATGGATACCTGAAAGTGAACTTGACATCAGTCAGTTTGTCATCAAGGAACTTTTCTTCTTCCGCATCGAAAATGCGGACTTCCTGCCAATCTGAACCGTTTGTCTGAACTCCCCCAACCCAGTATCGACCAGTGTGATCGCAATCGAAGAATTCACAACTTTTATTAACGCCAAAATCTTCAACTTTGAAGCACGTCTGTGGTTTTGGATCGGAATAGCTCTTTGATCTAACGAAATAATTCGCGTCTAAAACGTGGTCCGTAACCTTCCACCAGTAGTACTCTCCATATTTGCGTGGGGCTCCGTAGGTGATCTTGGGGAAGCTCTCTTCCACCTTCGCGGCATAATGCTCAATCAGAGACTTTGGCAAATACGAGTCTGTCAACCTATTATGGCTTTCCACATACTCCTTGGTCTCTTCGGTATCCTTTTCCATCCAGCGGTACGGATCATGAACCTTGATTCCAAACTTCTCCTCTACGAAGCTGGATCTGCGTGGCTTGGGAACTGAAGGCATTGTCTGTCAATATCTTGTTCTCACAACGTATAATTGGTTATACTTGTCCTGAATCAGCCAAAATAACTGTTCAGAATATTTTTGCAAACGAGACAAACTCGCTTCTTTTAAGCCGCCCAGAGCCCCATACTCGTCGTTATCGGCTCTTAGAACCGCCCAAATTTGGCAGACTGGCGGCTAGCGGCTACGCGATGACCCTAACACCGTGCGGCTACCGGCTCCGAAAGGTGATGTAAGCAGCCGCGGGAGTCATAATCGGATGCGCTTAGGAGATGCGGTAGTCAGAGACACCAGGCGGAGATTATATTATCTTCTAGGTATGTTTTTATGAGTAAAATTCGAGCAAAATGAGTCAATAGAGCGTCTTATGTAGGTGAGTGATAGGATCCATAAAGTTCGGAGTTGTGCGCAAAAAGAGTCACATATATAAGACTGCGTGGGCAAATTACTAATGCAGTGATATGAACCATGTCAGGTTAGATACCCGCGTGAACTGATGGGCTAATGTGGTAGGCGCATGAATAATAGTATAAATAGCAACGGATTGCCAAAAGCTTTTGGTGGAGGTCTCATGGAGCTAATCAGCACCAGCATTCATTCCCAACATGTCATATCCCCAGACCAAGCAAAATTCTATCAGGGTTTACAAAAAACGAGCCAGATACGACTACGAGACTGTGCACGGAATATTTGAGGACTCCTACGTAGTCCATGTCGCATTTCAACGGCCCGGAGATGGTCAACTGGAAAACCAGCCTATGGTGAGTGCAATGGGGTATTATCTCGAAGAACCGTGCCTTTATATACACGGAAACGCAGCTTCGATGTTGGCAAAGGGTACGAAAGAGGAGGCAGCTCTGCCAGTGTGTGTTACAGCCAGTCACGTTGATGGCATAATTTTCACCTATACACCCAATGGCCATGCATTGAACTATCGTTCGGCTGTGATACATGGAAACGCACAACTGGTGAAGGATGCAGATGAGAAGGATTATGCCTTGAAACAAATGTTCGACCAGATGTTACCAGGCAGGTGGGATAATTCTGCGCCGGTTGATCCAAATGCCGTCAAACACGTGCATGTCTTCAGGGTGACGATTGAGTCTGCCAGCGCAAAAGTCAGGACTGGTATGGGTGATTTGGGAACTCCAGTTCCTGGAGTGTTTGCCGGAAGCATTCCATATTTTGGTAGTTTGGGAGAGCCCGTTGCCGCCACTCCAGATATGGAAATTCCCAGTCATATATCAGATCTGGTTGAGACCAGATCCCGCAAGTGGAAGGAGTATGCAGAGAAAGTTTCGCATGATTGAAACAAAGCATAAATCTAGAAAGATTTGATAGAAACAGTGCCTCTGGCGTAATAGAAAAGTCTTTTTACCCGTCGGACATGCTTGGACATCTGATGAAACTATAGGACAGTGCATTCGTTCACCTCAATTTCTTTGATCTTGCCTTTTTGGCTCTCCACTTTTTCACACTAATAATGCGTAAAGTTGCAAGTCTTCAACTGCATCGAACCAGCTGATTAGTCTTTTGTCACTGTTGGCATCGCGAAGCTCCCATGTCCTCTGGATGATCTTCAACGTCACGGCCGTATTTCCAAACGAAACATCCATTGCGCCGCCAATAAAAAGATCTAGGAAAAATCCGTAGTACTTCCTGTCGCACATAGACCCAAACACACAGATCGGAAACACATTTCCGCGGTAGTAATTTTGGGGAATGCGCCGCATTAACGAGATGGCCTCGTCCACAGCCTCCATGATGTCTGGATTAGCAGGTGAAAAGCCTGAAATAACGCCTGAAAGATATACCAAAATTGCCAGAGCAAAGAGCTTTGTTGTGCTGTCAATGAGAGGGTCGTTTGGGGCAGTCTCACGAAGAGCAAGTCCCAGGGTTTTCTGGATGTGGCTGCCTCTCTCAATCAGTTGTGTCACCGAGAGGCTGTTTTTCGCCTGTAACCTGCGTTTCCAATCGTGAAGCTTTGCCACCTCATTCAGCTGTATGAACACTTCAGTTTTGCATCCCATCAATTCTTCCATTGGCACGAAAGATTTGGACCGAACAATTCGGTGGAGATAAGAGTCCATTCCACATGCTTTGCCCATTATTCCACATGAGGAAACATCCATCCAAATGATACAAGCTGTCAAAAACAATCTTGTCTGATTTTCGGGAATACGGGCAATCTCTGCGTTGTATAGAGGGCCACATTCTCGGCCTTCGTCAGTTATCAGTGACATCAAAGCCACACCAGCATTCAAATGAACCTCCCAGTTTTCGTATCCTCCCCGAAACAATTCATACGACACCAGCATTACCACTGCAGCAAGACTCTTCACATTTGTCTCGGGATCTTTCTCTATGCTGATAGTGTTCCTTAGCTCCTTGAGCGTGAGTTCGTGGTGCATCTGGAGATACTCGTCAATTCCTGTCTTCGCAGAAGCCATATGAACAGCTGCGATGGATAGGACTGCGTGGAACATTGCTTTAGATCGCGACAACAAGGGCAGGATCCAGTAATTCGAACCTTTGTAGTACTGCCATTGTAACGGAAATACCTTCTCGAGATAGTATAGCAGTAACTCGGCATCCTTGTCTTTTGACCACGTTTCAGATCCAGATCCAGCCTTCTTGATAGCAACTCCAGGTGCTGAAATAGAACCCCTTTTTCCCTTCGGATTCGAGCTTCGAACTATCCAGGACGGCTTCTCGCCATACCCAAGACACTCGATGCCGCTCTTAGTGCACCTGTCACAATTCGGTTGCACCTCGTCACACTTCTTCTTACGAAGCTTACACGTCCAACACCCTTTCGTTGACCGTGTGCGCACCATTTCTAAGCACTCAGCTTAAACTTGCAGTTTGAGATTTGAACAATCGTAAATCCGGAGATGGGCTCAATGTTGTTGCTCGGCTAAGCAGTTTCGATTCAAAAGATAAGCATATTTCGGTGCACGTCAAACTTTGGCAGATATCCCTATTATTCTGGGCTCATAACCTTTTATGGGTTTAACGATATAAGATCTATATTTGGGTGGTTTGTTTTAAGTATATTGCTCCTGAAGACGGAGTTCTTAATAACAAGGCTCCTTACACTCAATTTTAGATTTGTTTTCTTGTGGAACATGACGTGTCTGGGTAAACATTGGAAGTGAAGCTTGCACCAGTGGTTCATAACCAAGAGAAAGCCGAATTGGGTTAAGACCTTCAATTTAGAGTAAATGGTGCTGTTTGAGCTATGGTCCTGTACATATTTGGTACACTTTGTGCTGGTCTCAGATCAGATATAAGAAGCAGACTCTAGACAAATTTCAGTTCTTTGAGGTGGTTCAAAGACGCTCAAGGATCAATTTCAACCATCCTTTCTGCCAATATAATCATGCATCTCAATTCCTACTTCTGTGATTAAATAACATCTTTCAGTTAATCTGCAGGTTATTCAAGTTCAAGGTTTTTGAATTGCATGTCTATGCCAAATGCCTATTATTCATATTGTTCAAGCCCCTAATGTGTAGCCGCGGTCAGACGTCTAGTGTTGGCAAGAATGTAGAAATAAGTTAATGAAGACAGCAACGCCACTCCGGCCAACAAGGAATAACATCCTCCCACAGTCATACTATCAGTCATATATGCCAGAACTCCAATGCCGAGTGCAGAAAGCAAGCACCGACAAAGATTCAAGCAGGCAGCTGCCGCAGAAGCTCTATTCGGGAACAGATCTATAAGGATAGTCATAGAGGTACCAATAGACATGATTCCAAAGAAGCTTGTGAAAAACGATGAGACGCATACAGTTGCCACATGCACGACTTTATCTATGCACCAGCCAAACATGATCAAGAAAAATGGTGTTAGCATGGCCGGACCCATGACCACTTGAACTCTGGCTAACAATGCGTCGAAAGGGGCTTTCTGTTCATCTGGGTCTTGAGATCTAACCGTGTATTTTCTGTAGAGGCGCCTATAGTTCCAGTCGGCAAATCTTCCAGCAGTTACAGATCCACAAACTCCTCCCACTCCACTCGGAAGATAGCAGAGACCAACCTGGAGAGTCGTATAATTATAGTATTGGTTTAGTGAGAGGGACAATGTTGTCAACATCATGATCCAGCATGTGCTCAGAACCGAGACTGGTAACATAACAAGCATAATTGTGGGATTTTTGAGGATCAATAAGGAATCCAACGGGTTGAGAAGTCTTCTAGGTACGATTGTGCTGGGCTCTGGATTTGCCAATCTCTTCTTGAATGTGGGCAGAAACAGAATCGGTGCGTAGGAAATCCACCTGAACTGCTTTGGAGCATTGGAGCCGTTTCCTACAATGGCTCGATTTGTTTCGGGAACAAGTACATGAGTGATCAGCCACACAGCCCCAGCAGCAATCGTGAGGAACCAGAAAATACCTCTCCATCCAAACCCAGTGTCCAGCAAACCTCCCAAAAGACCTCCAAACGCTTGACCAATAAGCTGAATTCCCTGGTTTATTCCCACGAAGCCACCTCTATTTTCTCTCTCGGTAATGTCAGCAACCACCCCGGAGGAAACTGATATAGTAGAAGCTACCCCAGCTGCTTGAACGCACCGCAAAACTAGCAACCCGGCAAAGGAATTGTTCAAAGCTAGCCCAATATCAGCCCCAATATAAAGAATCAAACACAGCGCAAATGTTATACGTCTCCCGTACCTATCTGCAAGATTCGACATGAGAGAAGGCGCAATCCCCTGGAAGACCGAGTACAACACAACCGAAACATTCATCTGTTTCTCACCAACACCAAATTTCCTCTCAAGTGTCGGCAGGACAGGCAAATAAATCGGTGATGATAGCGTGGAAAAAATGCCAATCAAAGAAACTAGAAGCGTTATGGCGTACTTTTCTTTCTGCGTGTAGATAGAGTAGACAGGTGCGGCTTCGACAGTGCTAGCCGTGTCTTCCCCATCCTGCTGTTCTAAAGCCTTATCCTCATTCATTATCCAGGAATTGAAAAATAGCAGAAATAGCAATAGAAAGAACTCATTTTAGAAACAAATATCTGCTTTAAATACAATAGAGGGAAAGCTGACAAACCGGTTCCGTTGAGCAGGTGGGGCAAGGGATTCCCGGTGTAGTCGGATGACGGTTTGGTTTTGAGCTCCGGGGTTCGGAATTAGGCAAAATCCGTCTAACGGTTGAATCTCAGCCGCACGTGAGGATCCAAAAGGAATCGAGTGTTGAGGCTAAGGATAGAAAACTTGGGTGCTATTGGGTTTTCGTAGAAGAATTGATCATTAGATTACTTTCAAATAGTTTCTGTAGTTTTTCTTGTTTTTTGCTTTATTTTTCAGTGTCTTTTTCGATGACATACTTCATTGAGCCTTCCTGCAGCCGCGCGCTCGGCGATTTTGGCACTGCCTTTAAAAACAGTAGCTGCTGAAGAAGAATGGGGAAACCAAAAAAAGAACTAAAATAAATGGTTAATGGTGGAGAGTGAACATTTATTTGCAGCAATGTCAGTAATCAAGACAAATTAAATGACATTTTCTTGTGAGCATCCTCATATCTCATTGTGCTCTTTCAATTATAGTTTTACCGATTTTTCCAAAATTCGCATTTTTCTGATTTTCTAATCTTTAAAAAGTTTGTAACTGGCTGTCTAAAGAAGCCAAATAGAAGACAAATAACTTTATTGAGAGTTAATGAAAACCTCAACAAGAGCCAACACACGGTCTAGAGTATAGGTAGGGACAGATACATACGAACTAAAACTTCACCACATCATTGTAAAATCGAACCTGTTTCACGGTTAGCTCTTCTCAAACACTCTGATAGTATCTGATCGAAATATCATCACTGGTTTTTACTTCTCCCTTAACGACAACATCGTTACCAGGAAAGATATCAAATCCGTTGTCATGCAAGAACACATCTCTGTTCTTAACAATGATCTCAACGCCCTTGACAGGCTTATCAGATGAGAGCCTGACGTGACCATCGGAAACAGTGAATTTCACGTCACGGTTAGGGAATTTGAGATACTTCAATGGCTGAGGCCAGTCGGCCCCGGTGGCTATTGGTTTGCCGTCCACAACAACTTGCGCATACACAACAGCATCAACATCGTTTGGAATGTCGAGTCCAGTCACAAATTCCGATGTTTGATTGGCCAACAAAGTGACCAATTTAGGCTCCAGAGACTTGATAAGTTTGCCGGAAGTCACTTCGTAGACATCCACCAAAAGAGTGGCTAATTGGTCTGTAAGACCTGAGTTGACTCCCCAAATATCCACTTTGTACTCAGCATTGGTGTAATCGTGAGGAGGGCCGTCAGCGGAAACTGGAAGTGCTTCCTCTGCAATCTTCTTGATTTCGTTACGATACAGACCCAGACCGAACGTAGAAGACTCTCTTCTGACAGCATAGAATGCCAGCTTTGGCCTCTTGTAGAAATCCACCACTGACCACGATGCAATTGGCATACAGTCGTTGATTTGCCATACAATGGCTCCTCCAGTAAACCGTTTTCCTTCTCCACGCCATTCACGACGCCAACATTTATAGGCATATGACAAACATTCTGCTTGCATCAACTGGGTAGCGTAGATCCACGAGTCCAGGTCCATTCCAGTAACCTTGATATTCTCGATCACGTAGAGAGCAAGACGACGCTCGAAACCGTCTGCCTTGTTGTGGTGGTCCACAGTGCGTGATTGTGGGAACATCTCAGTTGGATCCGTTATACAGTCCTGGTAGGTCTTGATATTTGGAAGGGCCTCCATTCCGAACTCGGACACGAATCTTCCCCCCAGTTTGTACCAGTTCTGGTACTTTTCCTGAGAACCGTGCCAGACATTCCATTGGTGCATATCTCCAATGGTAGGGTCTGCTGTTCCCTTTCCGCCCCAAGGTGAGCCGGGATGGTAAGGCACATCCGGCTGGAATTTGGCTACCAGGTTGGGGAGTGTGACCTCATATATGGTTCTGGCTGGAAAGGAGGTTGCGGAGTAATCACCCGACAAGTCCTCTGGATCCCATTCCAGGTTGAAGGACTCAGCAACCTGGTAGTCCTCATTGTTGCCAGCATACAACACAAGCGAACAATGGTTGCGGAGTCTACGCAACGTGGTTTTCGTTTCTTCCTCAACACTGGCAATATACTCGGGATAACCTGGATATGCTCCACACGCAAACATGAAGTCTTGCCACACCATGAGACCAAGACGATCACACTCGGAGTAGAAAACTTCTTCCTCGTAAAATCCTCCTCCCCAAACACGTACCAGGTTCTGGTTACCGTATACAATCAACTGCAGCCATTCCTTGTAATCCGCATCGGAGAAAAGACATGGCATTGAGTGACCAGGGATCCAGTTGGAACCAGTGGCATAGACCGGAACTCCATTCACCTTGAAAAAGAACGAAGTCCCTGGCTGGCCCTCCAATGGCTCTTGAACCAGTTCAACTGTTCTGAGCCCAATTGTTTTCGTTTCAGTCTGAAGAATGGTCTCGTCAGCAGCCAGAAGCTCGGCCGTGAAGGTGTAGAGAGGTTGTTCACCCGTTCCAATCGGATACCACAGTTTAGGCTGATCAATCTCAAGATCCAAATCACTCTCACCGGCACCAGCAGACACCTCCAGGGTCTTCAAGGAGTCTCCAGAAGGGTCTTGAACAGACACACGCAGTCTAAAATCATGGCCCTCATCTGCAGTCTCGACAGTAGTTTTCACACTAACTTTGGCAACATTCAGATCAGTTAAATCAGTCTTAACATGCACATCTGTCATTAAGGCATCGTACGACACTAGTTTGATTGGTCTCCAAGGGCCACAGGTCATCACGGCATCAGCCCAATCCCAGCCCCATCCGTATTGCGCCTTACGAGCTTGCGTACGCGACGTTTCTCCATTGAAACAAACACCTTTTCCATGCTTTTTCTCCAATTTCCTGGCAGTTAGTAGCCCGGACTTGAAGTAAATTCGAAGTGTGTTGGTGCCTGTAAGATTGACAGACTTGGTGACGTCAACACGGTATTCCACGAACATGTTGTCTGTGGTCAAAATTTCGTGTTCATTCAAATAAACTGTGGCAAAGGTGTCAAGACCCTCAAAAATAAGCACATGGCTCTTTTTGTCGGCCCCAGAAGTCGAAACCGAAAAAGTAGTCTTGTATTCCCAATCACGTTCTCCGACCCATTGTATCTCTCGGGCATTACGGTCAATGAACGGGTCTGGGATTTCCCCATTGGCAAGCAGCTCGGCCTGAATTTGTGACACACTGGCATCTTTGCGACCAGAATGCCAGTCCGAGGTGCTGGCTTCTCTGTAAGCCCAGTCCTTAAGCAGGACGGTAGAGTTGGATGTGAGTGATACTGTCATTGAAATTTTCACGAAATCACACTAAAACACACGAAGGAGGCTTACGGAGAAGAAATGTGGCCACCACAACCAAGACACCTAGCACAATATATACCGTTTCTAAAAATGCGCTCATGCCGGAGGAAAAGTCTCGTCACTAGCGAGGAAGATTCGGGTGGTACGTCGCTGGAAGTCTGGGGTGATGACTTGCGTCCCAATCGGGCAGTTCTCCCGAGGTCCTGATAAGAAGGGTGGAATGTGGGGGGCCGGTGCTTCCCCGGAAACGCGATGGCTACCCCGGGACATTTTTAGTTGTTTATTGTTCGTCGGAGCCGTTTGGAAGTGGTAATGTTTGAGTGAGGATTGCTCGGACGGTTTACCATACTGGGACTGATGATGACTAGTTGAAAAGAGTATCAATGCGATTGCGAGGAAATGTGGGGAGACGTGAGGAGACAATGTCCATGACCTGGAAGCTGATACAGTGAGGAGTGACGAGAAATAACGAGGCTGTGACCGAAGTCAGGTGGTGAGCTAACAATGTAGTGAGCTAGCGAGGTAGTGGTGTGGTACCAGGAGCAACTTCGCTTACAAACGTAGGCTAATCGTGGTCTGGAATCTGAACTCATGCAAACCGTCTGGTGATGCACTTTTAAACCATGAGATTTAGCGAGCATCGGTAACTAGCATTGATTCTCCAAGCAGGCCTTTGATAAATGCTCTGGTGTAATGTAATCATGCAACAAAAGAGTTTAGTGTTAGGATCAGACTGAATTGATTGCTGGGAATAGGTGGACTGAAAGACCTGAATCAGTTTCTGTCTTCAGAAAAAGAGTAGAAGACTGCAAATATAGCTTGCACTAGCTTAATCAGAAAGCTACCAGTATCACCATAACCTACACCAAATTTACCCTGTTTGTCTACTCTCATTACTTTGCGTGAATAGCAATTGAAATTAAATTTCTTACAAACTAGAGTAAAAAAATCACTGTCGATTAGAAAGGACTATTCTGGAGGCAGATCCACTCAAGCAGCATTATCGATGACAGCGTTTTGTAAATTAGCCAGTGTCTCGGCAGCTGCCTTCTTTTCATCTTTGGCTTGCTGCTTTCTGAATTTAGCCTGTTCATCATGATGTTTGGCCACTTTGATACTGGTTTTCACAGGAGAAGAACCCTCGAAAAGAGACTCGATTTCCTCCAGGGTCAGCCGTTTGGTCTCGACGAAGAAGAAATAGATCACCACAAGCTCGATACAATCCCAGAAGACGTAGAACACGTAGAACCAGTACCGAATGTTTTCCATGGCTGTTGGAGCCGCAAAAGTGTTGACGAAAGAAGCAACACCCTGGGTCAACTGGAATAATGCCATTCCTCTGGCACGCATTTCAGAAGACAGAATCTCAGCTGGATATAGAGGCTGCAATGGCGTGTAACCAAACGAGAAGAACACGTTGTTGAAGATGTAGATGAACGCAATTCCAGCACGGCCCGCAACCTGGTTTCCGTTGTTCTCAAAAGCCGCAATACAGGCAGCAATCACAGTGAAAGACAAAATGAACCCGGAGGTTGCATATATCATCATGAAACGACGGCCAACACGGTCAACCAGAAGAGAGCCTGAGGCTGCAAAAACCAAACCAAGAATGGAATTAACAGCATTAAGCAGCAATCTAGTGGTTGCGTTTGTGATTCCAAGGTCCAAGAAAATGGTGGTCATATAGTAACCGACCACAGCGTTACCAGAGTACTGACCAAACCATGACCAGGCAATAACTAACAATGAGCGATATGCACGACTCTTGGTAGTGAACAGTTTGGGGAAATCAAAGTAATCCCGAATTCCAAACTTAGGCAATTCCAAAAACGAGATTTCCACTTGGGCCATTTCGTAGTCGACCAAAGGGTGAGTATCGTCTCCATCGGCATGGTACTTAACGAAAAAGTCACGAGTTGCCTGCTTTTTGTCCTTTAAATAGTTGAAACGGGGAGATTCAGGTGCCAGGAAGAGAACACCCACAACAACCATACCTGGACACAGCAATTGCAACCAAAGAGGGATTTTGAAGGATAGTTCAGAGCCCTTGTGGGAAATAGATGTTCCGTAGATGGACCAAGTAGCGATGATGGAACCCACGTAGTAAAACGAGTTGTACATGGCACTCAAATTACCACGCAACTCTGGAGGTGTGATTTCAACCAAATACATTGGACAAACTGCCGTAGCCAGTCCACATCCAAAAGAGAGCAAGAATCTTGCTCCGATGAAGGTGTGGATTTGATCACATGTAGCTGAGATGATGGCTCCAACGCACACCAACACACAGCCGGCAAAAATGGTGCGAACTCTGCCGATATAATCAGCTAGCCAGATGAACACAGTAGCGGAGATCTGACCGATTTGGTAAATGGAGAAAATAATACCGGTACCTGTAGCAGAGCCAGACAAGTGGAAGTAGTCAATGTACTCCTGCATGGTGTTGATGGATGTCATAAGTGAACCGTCAAATCCATTCATAGTGGAACACAAGTAGATGATAACACAAGTTGCGTAGAGTCTGATCCTTGGACCAGAAAACATTTTTACGGGTCTTTCTCTAAGGATCTTGAGATACCCTTCTTCATCGTCGAGGTCCACGACGGGAGCCTTCTCTGGCAATGAAGCAGCCTCCGAGGACACAGCTCCATCTTCGTGATGCGCGCTATCGATCATATCTTTCATTATATCAAGCTTTCCTAATTTGCAATTAAATGAGCAAACAGACTTGAAGCAAGACTTGCAAGAACTTTTCAAAGTGTGTGGGAAGTTTCCAAAGGGCCAAGCCTTAGACCTATATATACTTCGAGAAAGCGAACAAAACAGAAACCCCGTAACAGTACGAGACTGAATGTCACCTCATAGACAACACACCCACAAAAAACTGGGGAACACCTAAGTTGAATGGCTCTATTTGTCCGATTTTCCACTAGCCCTCGGCGCACGATCCAGAAAGTAACCCCACGGGGAAACTTTTTTACGCTGCCCTCGGACCATTCCACCCTTTCAGGACATGTCGACCTGCATCGATGAATCGTCCGACTGTGGAGAAACGGAGCAAAATGGCTCAGGGAGAATCAATCAGCTGTCATCTGGTTCAAATATTTTTAACTGTAACCAGTAGAATACTCCTGTTTCCCGGTTGAATTAGTCTTTTTGAAGGGGAATTATCATAGTTGTTAAGCCTCAATGTGGCTCGCGAGTTGCATATATCACATAAGCTCTGCATCTCTATGCAGATCATGCGCTGAACGGCGACTCCTGTTCCGAGGGCGTATTGTTATTCAGCAAATCCCGATTTGAAAGCCATCAGCCACGCCTATAAGTGCGCCGGACACTGCCCCCGTTTTACTACTATGACTCCGAGATAATCTCTACGGTCATGGAGGATGGATCAAGATTCATTCTTTTTAAGGCTTGTAACTCATGCCGGAGCCGGAAATTAAGGTGTGAGGTCAAATCGGGTGACTCTGCCTGCCGCAAATGTCTGGATCAAAATGTGGAGTGCGTTTTTGACCACAAGCGACTAGGCACTCGGACAGTGATCCTTTTTGAGCCGCATGAGAAGCTAACGAAGTCTAAAAAACATGACAGTGATGGGGATGGTAGCCAGCCACGAAATGAACCACATCAGAGGTCACAGAGACTGCGAGCCGGCCGAAGCCGTGCTGTCATCTCGAAACCTGCCGGGCAATTGTCTGGGACAACGCGACTGTCTGATTCTGTTGCACTGAAATATTATAATGTGGGAAGTTTTCCCAGCTCGCCAAAATACGATGAGAGACATGATGCTCGTGAAGGACTACGAGAAACATACTGCAGCAGAGTGGAGCCTTACACTCCATTCGTGGCCCCTGCTGCCTTCGACAATGATGCATATTTCTATCTCAGCAAGCTTGCAAAATGCTGTGTGAACATAGCAGCATCATCCTCGCCAAGTTACGATACCCCACAGTCGACCTCGGAGCTTTTTTTGGAGATCGTTGAGACGTTAATCGAAGCCGAGACAGAATGGTCCCATGATACACTTTCGTGTTTCTTCCTGATTCCCCTCAGAGTGAACGTTTCAACTTCAAACGTGCAACTGTCTTTAGCACGATTTAACGCTTTACATGATCTTGCTGGAAGAGATGATAATCTGGTAGTGGGAGCTCTTTCCGTGGATGCATGGACTTGCCTGATCAGGAAAGTTCCATTGCAAACAGATACATCTCTCCTACCCGTCTTTGAGAACTACCTGAAGTCACTAGCTCAATCCGCATTTAGCTACCATTTTCTAGCTGTTGGATTTTTTCTGTACCGATTTGAAGCTCTTCAGGCCAAATGGAAGAGCCATAAGTTTGAGCTCCTTCAATTGGAGTTTGACATGCTATTATGGCCTGCAAGACTAACCACCGACTTGTATGTGATTAGAGATGAGCTTTTGGCTACGCCAGAGGCATTTCTCTTACATGTACTGCACAACACGCTAATGGTTGCCTTTTATGCCACAGCTGTGATCAGAGGTGGAGAATATGGCTCAAATTTGTCTATATTTGCAGTTCCAGGACTGTACACATTTATAGCTGGAATGGCAAAGTCGAGCTTCAAATTATCGCCTTCAATGGTGTGCCGGTGGAGCATCGTGGCCGACTGCCAAATTCTGACTGCAAACTATCTGCTGGATCTTTATCAGGAAATGGAATTTGAAAAGTTTCGTGAGACCTTGTCGTATTTCAAGATCAACGGAATTATGAATCAACGAAAAGCACACGCAGTAAAAGCTCAAATCGATGCTTTGCTACAGGGTGAGACCTTTGTGGATGATGAGTCGGACGGAAGTCCTGTGTTTTGGGTATTCCGAGACATCCGCAGCATGACATTAGAGCTTTATCTGGAAGAGGAGAGAAAGAAGCGTACAATGAGATCCGAGGCCTTATAACACAGCCAAAATCTGGTGTAAATATTTAATGACCATCTTTGACGACACTGCTTTGAGCCGCATGTAACTAGAATATCACGTGATGATTATATCCCCGAGCCGTGCATCTTCACGTGAATGCATACCCCAAAAAGGGAACCCCTCCGAGTTTCAACTTCAAACTCAAAAGCCTTAAAGCCCTTATTTTTCCGATAGAGAAAGCTCAGTTTATTTTTCAAGGGCCAACATGGGTTTATTCTACGATAAATTTGTACTTTTCGGTGATTCAATCACCCAGATGTGTGCAGACCCCGCAGCAGGCTATTCTTTCTACGGGGCTCTACAAAACGGTGAGCTTAATGATAGTCCAATATGATGTTTTGCCGATTTCTAACCTTTGAAGACTATATGAGGAAGCTAGATGTTGTCAATCGTGGATATGGTGGCTATTCCACAAGTGAGGCTATTCATATCCTTCCTGAGATTCTTTCTGCAGAGACCTCTGATCTTTCCAAAGTCAAACTGCTAACCATATTCTGGGGAACCAATGATGCCGTTGATACTTTTCAGCACGTCCAGATTGACCAGTATCGTGAAAATATTGATAAGTTGGTTAAGCTCGCACTTTCCTACGATATCAAACCGATCGTGATTGGTCCTACACTTCATGACCCAAACTTGTATAACGAGAACTACGTTTCGGGCCGTTTTCTCTATGCCGATACTGCCACCTCCACCAAGAATAAGATTTACTCGGAAGCAGCTCGTGAGGCAGCTACTGCCAATGGCGTGCCATTCGTGGACCTGTGGCATCTGTTTCTGGAATATGGATCATGGCAAGAATCTGAAGCAGACGATCTGAAAGGCAAGGACACTGCTGAAGGGAAGAGTATCACCGATTTGTTAGCCGACGGTATTCATTTTGCACCTGAAGGCTATCGAATTTTGTATGCAGGGGTTGATGAGGCAATACGTAAGAACTACCCCGAATTGTACTGGGATAACCTGCCCTCACATTTGTGTGCATGGGATAAAATCGACAAAAAAAATATCAAAGAGTCGGTTTTTCTGGGGGAGAAAGTGTGAAAGGCCCGGGAAACGTTCGGTAATTATGCCAAAATTACGCAGAAACAAACCTAAGCCGTTCTTCTACCCAAACCTCAGGTAGAACGCTTGATAGGTATATCTACAATCATTTCGTATTTTATCATCACCGTTTATGCAACAATCAGAATTTTTTAATTGTCATTATTCAAGATTTATCGAGCAATAAGCGTTGAATAAACTAACAAAAAACGTGCAGAGTTTTAGATTCAGCATCGGCGCGGCTCAAAGGGGGTGTCACAGTTCACAAAAAAGACCCCATCCGGTGCCTCCTTGAGCCGCTCCAGTGATTGGTGATTTTTAGCCAACAGTACCTCTTTGTAAATTGATAAAACAGATCGAAAACCTAACTGACACGTTGATCAGTCGCAAAATCATGATCATAAGCTCAGATTTCAATCACTCGCAGTGATTGGCTCGCCCTGCTTACGTACACTTCTGCTTCACACGCAGGTCGGAAACTTTTCATTTTCTTCCGCGTTATCTTTTTGTTTTTCACAAACGCAATGAACAGATCTGCAACAAAAATGGTTAAGCGAAGCCTTCAAAAGCCTACTGGAGCTGTCAGGGTCAAGGCAGCTAAAGTCTCACACCACAAGGACAAAGTAGGTCCCGATGCTATTGATAAGATGGCCAACCAGGAGCTCTCAGAAGAACAGCGTGCGTTGAAAGAGCGAATCTTTTCTTTTTGCAGAGAAAATCTAAGCAATGATATTACTACAAAGAAACCAGCAATGTTTGTGATTCAAGGAGACGCTGGAACAGGGAAGAGTGTTATTCTCAACTCGCTCTTTAATGACCTTCAAAAGACAGCCAAAACCGGCAAGCTTGCCACTGATCCACTCGTCGGGTCTGAGAATTATCTCGTGGTGAACCACCCAGAGATGCTCAAGCTGTATCACCGGATTGCCAGCGGGTTTCCATATTTGACAAAGCGCGAGCTTGAACGGCCCACATCACTAATAAACAGGTTACAGAAGGAGCGCAAAATGGCCGATGTGATACTCGTGGACGAGGCACATTTATTGGCTAGTTCTAAGGACGCTTTCAAGAGGTTCTTTCAAGAGAATCATCTTGAAGAACTTATGAAACTAGCACGTGTTCTGGTAGTAGTCTTCGATGACAAACAGTCGCTACGTATGGGCTCATACTGGAATTTGGGTGATTCAAGCAAAGGATCTGAAAATGGTGCTTCGCTTTCCACTTACCTCGCCAGGGCAGCATTACACGAAACTCACAATTTAAAACAACAATTCCGTGTAGTTGCGGAGAAGGACATGCAAGATTGGATCAGGGAGATCTCTACCACGAAGAAGATTTTGCCTCACCCTAAGCTAGACCAGCAGAAACGAGATCAGGGCTTGGATGGTTTCGATTTCCGGATCTGGGATGATGCCCAAGCCATGTATGAAGCCATCCAGCAGAAGGATAACGAATTCGGTCAATGCAGAATTCTGGCCACTTATGATTTCCCTTACCGTCTAGACGGGAAAGACTACTTTGTGACTTGCGACGGATTCCGATTGCGGTGGGACAGATATACACCTCAAGTTCAAACTCCCTGGTCAGAGAGGCCTGATACCATTGAAGAAGTTGGTTCAGTTTACACGATTCAGGGTTTTGATTTGAATTACGTGGGTATCATATTGGGAAAGTCCATAGGATACGATGAAGAAAAAGACGAGATCAAAATCAGACCTGAGTTCCATGATGATCATGCAGCGTTCACCCGCAAGAAGAACATTACACAAGCAGATGAGGCGAAGGAAAAAATTATTTTGAACTCATTGAACGTACTGCTGACCAGGGGAGTCAAAGGTCTGTATATTTGCGCCTACGACCCAGCTTTGAGGAAGAGACTTCGTGAGTGTTGAAACAGATGCAGAAAGTAATGAGCCATGTGCATAAACTATCTGCACAACCATGGAGCTCTTTGTTTCAGGCCAGAAGTATCTATAAAGGCTCATATACACACATATCCTAGTAACAAATAATAATCGTTCCTGGTCTTTCCAAGGACTCAATATCCCGATTGCCTCTTTAAACCGCATCTGTATTGACCCACTTTATGGTCCACTTTATGCACCTAAGCCAGTGCATACGAAGGAGTGCCCATCCCAATGCTCTCTCCACATGACCATCACCCCAGAAAGCACTCGGCGAAAGATTCCGAGCACCTTTCAACACAAGCCTTCTTTAACTTTTTTTATTCTTCTTTTTCCAGTGCTGATAACCATCACAACGATGATGATGATTTCAAGACGACCTCTACTTGGTGGTCTGAAAAGGTTGCCGACGGCGTTCAGCGCTCGTCTTCAATCAACAGCCCCGGGCACCGAAGCGGCTGCAAAGAAGGCCAAAGAGAAAGCAGAGGACATTGCCAAATGGGAGGCTCAGAGAGAGCAGTATAATCCTAAGAAGGATCCTCTCAACACAAAGTTTGGTAAATGGTTTCAATTTGGATTGATTTTCACGATCGGTGCCACTGTCGGTTCTGGCTACATCAGCTACAAAGTTGGAGAAAACCCACCTTCGTTCTTGTTCCCTTCAAGTTCAACCACCAAACTCGAGGAATTAGTGCCCGCAAAGTATGGATCTGTTGATTCCAAAGTTCTTGCTGAGCTCGAATTGTTGCTTGGTTCCGACCAGATTTCCCAGAAACAGCAACAGTTAGATGAGCACAGCGACACCTATTGGAATTCTCACCATGCCGAAGCAGAGCAAAGACCTATTTGCGTGGTATATCCTCAGACTACAGAACAGGTGTCTGGCATTATGAAGATATGCCATTCGCACCGTATTCCGGTGGTTCCGTTCTCTGGAGGTACCTCTCTTGAAGGCCATTTCATTCCTACTAGAGGAGGTATATGTATTGATCTTTCTGCAATGAACAATATATTGGCGCTTCATAAGGAAGATTTGGATATTATGGTACAGCCCTGTGTTGGCTGGGAAGAACTTGACGATTATCTTAGTGAGTATGGGCTGATGTTTGGTCCAGACCCTGGTCCAGGTGCGATGATTGGGGGAATGATTGGAACTTCTTGTTCGGGGACCAATGCTGCCAGATATGGAACTATGAAAGAGAATGTGGTAAGTCTAACAGTTGTTCTTGCAGATGGAACTGTTTTGAAGACGAAAAAAAGGCCGCGTAAGAGCTCTGCTGGGTATAACCTGAATGGGCTGTTCATAGGAAGTGAAGGAACTTTGGGAATTGTCACCGAGGCAACTTTGAAGCTGTATGTTCGTCCAAAGTTTGAGCACGTTGCTGTGGTTAGTTTCCCTAAAATTGACGATGCTGCCAACACTGTTTCTCGTATAGTCGCGGAAGGTATCACCGTTAACGCAATGGAGCTGCTTGATGATCGCATGATGCACTTCATCAACGAGAGTGGTGGAGTTTCTCAGACTTACAAAGAAGCTCCCACGTTGTTTTTCAAGCTCGGAGGAGAGACCCAGGACTCTGTGAGATCGCTGGTGAAGAAAGTCCAGGCAATTGTGAAGGAGAATAACTGTGCTTCTTTCAAGTTTGCTGAAGATGCAGGTGAAAAGGCGGAGCTATGGAGTGCTCGCAAAGTGGCCCTTTGGTCTACAATGGACTACGGTCGCAAGAAAATCAGTCAGGATATTCAACTCTGGACTACGGATGTTGCCGTGCCGATCTCGAAGTTGTGTGAGCTTCTGGTTGAGACCAAGCAGGACATGGAAGATTCCGGACTGGCAGCTTCTCTTGTTGGCCATGCCGGAGATGGAAACTTCCATGCTTTTCTGCTATTCAAACCAGAACAGAGGCCAATTGCCGAGACTTTGGTAGAACGCATGGTCCAAAGGGCCCTAAAGTATGATGGCACATGCACTGGCGAGCACGGTGTTGGCTTTGGAAAGAGAAGTTTTCTTGAAGAGGAGCTCGGATCACAGGTAGTAGATGCTATGCGAAAGGTCAAACTTGCGCTGGATCCATATAGGCTGTTGAACCCTGATAAGGTGTTCAGAATTGATCCTGCTGAGAAGAGTGAGCATTGAAATGGTAAAAAGTTGGTGATACTGAGGGTCAACTATTGTGGGTAACACTAGGCTCTCCAATGGTTGTGATTGCCTGAAAAATTTGATCCTTCACTGTAACTTTCTCGAGAACAAAATCGTTAGAATAATAACGGTAAAATCATAGAGAAAACTGTGCAGTATAATTGTGTAGCCCGAACGTAAAGTCGTATTGGCCGGACATTTACTGAAATGCCAACAAAAATCATCTCGTATTCTTTTCAAAAAATCTAGCTGCCATGAAAGAGCTCCTTCCATCCAACAACTGGCATGAGAAGCTCAACCAGATTTTGCTGATTTCAAAAGTCCAACACCAGAAGCCCAGCATTTCTTTCCAGATGCCTCGTGTCAATTGTGGCATCGGCAACAGTTCTTCTCCGTGTTTTTGCACCTTCTTGGCCATCATCAACATCGGAATCGTCCAGGTTTTGGTCGTCCTCATGACTACGCACATTATTTCTGGTGGCGTTTTTCTGGTATTTTATCTCAAACCTGTCCTCAGTCTCAAGCTCTTCATGAATACGAGCCTCATTGGATCTAATCACTGCTTCCTTAACAAATAATCTCAAATACTCTGTACAGCATTCTACCGTTTTGGATGAAATCCGAGTCGCGTCATCCTCGAACGCTGCAGTCTGAAAAAGTCGCGCCAGCAACACCTTTGGAATTGTGGGAATATCTTTGATTGGCTCCATTAGTGAAGAAATCAAGGCTATTGCCACCTTTTTAATACCAATTAGACGTTTGGATGAACCTTTTCCCTGAAGGAGGAATCTATGTAGTCACTTCATATGTAGCCGTAAACAGGTTTAATAAAGACAAAGATGCGGCCCATTAATGTGTACCACACTACCATAATCAGATACGGATAGTACATTGAATCAAGAATGTTATTGGCATTGTAATGTTGTCAAAGCACTAAAGAAGCCCGTCTCAGCAAAACCGTTGATGTATTTTAGAGCTGAACTACACCGCAATAGGGCCCAGATCCAAAATTGCCCAAAATCCGTACGGAACAGCAGGATGGGATGGTGAAATCTGATGAGTGGTGTGGACCGTCACGAACAATGGGAGTCGCAACCGAATTCCCTCCTCAACCTCGCCAATTTCCACTAGCAATGGAATGGTAGCCCAATTTGCCCCCTCGTCAAGAGGACAGTCGCGTGTGGTATCTATTTTGCCGCTACTGAGCCTGCCCAGCGAAGCAGATCGTTTCGCGATTAGTTCAACCCTAGAAGCCTTAGATTCCTGGTCAAGAGCAATCGTGGGTATTCCCTGAACAAGATTCTCCGGTCGGGTGAATTTATCTGGCCTTGGACCAAGAGTGAACCGTTGACAAGGCAGTGTGAGCTTTACCATATGACCATGCTCGACTCCAGGATTAGCACTATCTTCGACCGGATCTAGATCTGACGAAAGATACGTTAATGTGGAGACGTTTATCTCCAAACTGAAGGACTGACTATTCGCAAAATTCACACAAAGATTGTTCGTAGAATTTCGTCTAAGATTGTCGAGCTTACCCGATAATCTGAAAATCTCTATCTCTGGAAGAACGTCGCTTGCACTGGATATTTTGTAGAACTTCGTGGAAAGAAAGTCCGAACGGTCCAGCTTAACAAGGTCACCTCGACAAGCCTTACATATGTGTGATATTCTTGTGGAAAGAGGATGAGACTCTGGAAACTCGGACTGGACCTTGCAGTAACTGTCCGAGTCGGTTGGCTCGAAGTCAGGATAGCTATTTCGTTTTCCGGCCATTAGGCGAGCCAATTGATCAGGAGTGACCCTTCCCACCAGATCATCTGAAGTCACCTTTCTAGAACTAAGGAAGGACCTTATATCTTTTTCCAGTGCATAGTGTTCTCGTAGTCTATCAAACAGCTCCGTATTCATATCTGCCCTCTGGTCCTGAAGGATCACCTTCAGCGGTCGCGGTCGGGTTTCCACGCCTGTGTCGTACGTCCAGTCACAATTTCCACATGAAAACAAAAAGCTCTTTCCCTTCGGACGACCTTCGGCAGGAGCATGTGTTTGTGATTTGGCACTAAGTGGAGCAGCACACTTAGGACAATCGAAGCAGTTCTTGGGACATACTCGCGTTATTTCGTGTGGATCGGCTTTGTGGCGACAACGAGCGCAGAATTTGAACTCAATCTGCGGCTCTGAACATTTTCGACACCTCAAAGCGCGGCAATCATTGCAAAAATAGAGATCAGACAGGGCGTGGTGTGTGTTGGTATCTCCTATCGTCCTGGGTAGTTTGTAGTCCATTGAAATATCTTCAGAGGATACCATTGGTTCTGAGCAAGGACAGAAGAGAGAAACAGGCATAGTCTCATATAATCATCAGAAAATGAGCCAAAAAAAGAGATATTTTAGACTGAAGTAGCTGAGATCATTTTTATTTACGTGAATATGCAATAAAGTATCGTTATTAATTATTATCTTCCGGGTCGTGTGCAATCTGATGGAAATTGAGCAGCTCCAAAACTCCACGAAACCTTTAACGATTCACCTTCTCTACTCTTTTTCGTGATCAATTCCTTTCCAATTCTCCCCAGAACTTGCTAGATATGCTTCGACCTAATGGTCTGATGCTGCTTTGTAAGTTTCCTTGATTTAGTCTTCAGAGAATCTAATATTGAGCACGAACACTAACCCTCAAACAGTGGCGTATCTGTGCACTGTGTATGCGGCTGGAACTTCTGTTTCAACCTCCCACAATGGCTCTATTTTAGAGTCGATTTATAACCCAAACATTTTATATGTTGGACTCGGTCGGATGGACCAGCGGTTTCACGAGTTTCTGGAGGAAAGCCCGATTCAAAAATACTTCCCCGACCAAGCCGACGTTGATGACCAGACATTGCCTGAGATTAGAAAGGTTATCTCCGAGAACGACGCGGAACTAGCTTACGCTCTAGCTGAAGAACATCTATTCGGTATGACTTACCCCAAAAATGTCTCTTGGGCTGTTGCGTGCTACGAGCATGTGGCTACAACCACGCGGAATGCTTCTGCCAACTTCATGTTAGGAGTGATATACGGATCTGGCCTATTCGGCCAAGTGGAAATGGATCATTCAAAGGCCTTGGTTCACTATACTATTGCGTCTGAGCTGGGAGATAGGCGAGCTACGATGGCTTTGGCGTATCGATTCTACGCTGGAATAGGCACTCCGAGGGACTACGTAAGGGCCATGATGTACTACCGGTCTGTTGTTGAAGATCTGATACCGTTTTTAGCGAGTGATAGTGACATTGGTGGACAACACCTTCCTGACTACAAAATACGATTGAGCGATGCTGGTGGAGGTCTATATGGAGAGGGAGCTTCATTAATCTCCAGTTCATATACGAATTTTGAGGATTTGGAAGACGGTTCCATCGCCTCAGAACATTTCAGCGACTCAATGCGCTATTACGCTCAGGGTCTTTACTCCCATTCGCTCGAAGAAGCATACAATTGTTTCAACACGGCCATGAATTCTGGGACCAGCCATGCTTCAGATCCTCTTTCTCTCTCTGATGATCCATCAGTACGGGTGATAGGTCGGTGTGTTGCGCATTTGGGCCATTTGTACCTGCGGGGTGAAGGATGTGAACGAAACTACACCAAAGCAGGAGATTTTCTGAGTGCGGCCTTGAATCTTGTTGATGACCCCAGCGTGGTGAGAAGGGCAGCTTATGATCTTGGCTTGTTGTTCAAAATTGACGGTGTTAACTCTGCTGAATGGTTGCCTCCAAAGGAGGCGGTTAGAGCTGCCTTTGACAACAAGTTTATCTCCAACCCCGATAATCCCAACTCATTGGATTCCAGCAAAGTTTTTTTCTATATGGCTCAATTGGCCGGAAATATGGAAGCAATTGTGGAACTTTTTCCGAACTGGATATCCATGCGAGATATCAGTCCGCAGGTGGTAAGACGGGGATCAAACCCGTATCATTGGCTCACTCTTGCACAGTATCATGAGCAAAATCTTGATATAGCGAATGCGGCTTATCTGTACAAACGCATAGCTGAATCTGTTGAAGAAGAAACCTCTCCGTTGAAATGGACCTGGTATCAGTTCACTCGAAAAATAGGTCGCCGTTATGATCTCTCTCTGATAGGACTCACAATTGCTGCAGAACAGGGTTATGAGTCCGCTCAATCCTCACTGGGCCAACTTTTACTTCCAATCAAATCTTTTTTCCAGGATTTGGAAGCTGAGTGCAAAGAAACGTATCTATTGGCTCTGAATTACTTCAGCAGGGCTGCCGACCAGGCCAATTATGATGCAATGCTCTTTCTGGGTGATGTCTACTACAAAGGAGTTACGATAACTTCAGATGGAACGAAAATTCCCCCAGACTACAGAAAAGCCGGTGATATGTACCATGAGCTTCTCCAGCGCAAGGAGTGTGTTCAGGCTTATTTCAATCTGGGATACATGTATGAGCTTGGAAGGGGATTTTCCCAAGATTTCCATCTGGCAAAAAGGTTTTATGACATGGCCGACGAATTGGGTGAGAAAAGCGATGATCCCAAGAATAAAGCCTACTTTTTATTGGCTTTCGCTAAGGCAAAGCTCTGGCTGAAAATGCATCTTGGGATACATAATTGGTTTGAGTGGGTGCCGAAACTAATGAGAAGCGATGATTTGTAAAAGGAAAAGGGACAAACAAAGCGACGCAAAATTACGAAAGTATCAAAGATATTGGAAAGGATGTAGAATTTTTTGGTTCTAATTGCCTTTTAAAATGTACAAAGCCCGTGATCTTGGCTATTGGTAAATTGGTGACTTTTTGGCGAACTATTGGTCCCTGTTGGATTGTATACTTGTTTGACCGATTGACCAACTAAGACACCAATCAGTCTTCTAACTTACCCTATTATCCCCATTTATTGGTCTACCTCACCTGCAGATTTCCAGTTTCCTGTCAAATCCTCCTTCCAAAGGGTAACCCTATTATCCCCGCCAGAAATTGCCAGGACGTTTCCGCTGAGTGACCAGCTTGCTCTCCAACAAACGTCGGGGAACTTGCCTTCAATCAGCGGGTGTTGTTTCCAAGTGTTAGACTTTTCGTCCTTGGTCCAGATCAACACAGTGCGGTCCTGTGAAGCTGACGCTATATAGGACTTTGTCAACAACGAGGGAGACCAGGCCACATCACGCACCCAGTCAGAATGACCACTCAATTTGGCTTCCTCAACATATGTCTTTGCTGCTGGGTCAAATCTCCAAATCTTCACCAGGTTGTCGCAACCACCAGTACAAAGCCTGCGGGCTTCCTGATCTTTTGCACCATTTGTTTGACCTAATGCTGATGATGGAGCTGCAGGAGGTGCCCAGGATCCCGAGTTCACGCCAATGGCGTGGGCCTGGAAACTTATAGTCGAAGTAGTTCCATCCTCCAAGAACTCCACCACACTGGCCTTTCCATCACTTGAAGTACAGAGAAGTATGGCTCCATATTCGTGTGGAGCCCACGAGACGCTGTTAACAGACGCTTGGTGAACTGAGTGCTCGGCAATCGTCACCCAGTTGTCGTTCTCCTCCTTCCAAACCAATACCTTTCCATCATATGAACAAGAGGCTAGAATCACACCAAATTTTGGATGTGCCCAGGCAACTTGCCAAACAGGACCATCATGACCCCTCAGAGTTTCCACTAGCCTGTGACTGTCACCATCCACCTCAAAGATCTTGATAGTCTTGTCAGAGGAACATGTGGCTAGACGCTTTCCGTAGTAATCCAAAACGGCGTCGTGGATCAAATCATCATGAGCATTACCAATTGTCACCTGAAGTAATTAGTATTGGTTTTGTTACGAGAGCCAGAAAAACATCTCTAATTCGGAGTTGGCTTCCAGCCGTTTACTGCTGGAAGTCCTGATTGGACGATCCGGCCTGATTCATCGCAATTTTCTAGAACTCAAATCAATGAGCGTATAGACTTACCATTTTTGTAACTTCACGCTTCCAGAATGGACCTTAGGCGTAAATTGGCGTTTGTTTCAAGTGAAAAAGGATTGTTTGTCCTTGTCGTGGGCACAAACAGGGGACCCGACTCGTGGCTTTTTGGGAGTTTGCACGATAGTAGCGTGAAGTGTTACCCGGATTGGCGATCAGATAGTGCGGCTTGAAGTGTGGGGATTCAGCTAGACTAACCGGAGAATTGACGATGGTAAATACAGAAGACAAGCAATAGGTCTATTGGTTTTGAGTTTTGATGCTAAGTGAGTTTATATGTCGGTTGTTGCTAGAGGGTATTGAAGTCGAATGGGAGACGGCGTGTGGCTTAGGACTCGGGCCACGCCTGAAAGCCACAAAACTACAACATTGTCCCTAAATCTTTGAGCACTGAAGTACAAACTCAAGGCTCTCGGAATTCTACATTTTTTATTCAATAGCCTCACTCCAAAGTGTCAAAGATCCGTTTTTCTACCTGACTATCGGCCGTACTCCCTCTGCCGGGCTTGGTCTTGGGGACTGGCTACAACTTTTAATATGTACTTCTCCACACTCTAATGCATGATTGTTGACGCATGCTGTATCAATTTCTCTCTAACACGATGTAATATGGTTTTGGAGTCTCCAACTTTTATTCTATTATCAAACGGATACTCATCAGACATCTCCCCCTATATCATACTATTTACGCGATAACACAGTACCGCATAACTCTAACTCTACAAAAAGCAGCTGTCGTTTTTATTTTAACATTAAATTTTCACCCCAGAGAATGCTATCTCTAGAACAGAAACGCTCGAAATTTGGTGATGCATCGCATCGTATATCATGCACTTATTCATGAACATGCCCTACAACATTTTCCTCTTCTGCGTTCACTCTACATTCAATTCACAAATAAAATCTTAACCTCAAAATAAACAAAACGGTTCGAAACAAAATCAAATAGAACTACCCTCCTTGACAGCATACTCAGGTTCCACCAACTTGGTGTGGTGAATACGATCAGCAAAGTCCTCGACCTCTTGCCATTCCTCGAACCAACCTGGACCTGTCCATTTCTTCATTGGTCTACCCTCAACAGGGAACAACATACACAAAGCAGTGTACACAGAAGCAGCTGAAATGTACCCAGCAAAGAAATTGAGGTCGTAGACATAAGTAGCACCGGCGGGAACCACGTGAGTGCCAGTAGCTCCAACAAATCCAACGATATTAGGGGCAATACCACAGATGTATGCACCGTATGCGCGGAAATTTACACCGAAACGGTTGTAGGTATAAGCTCCGGTGCGTTTGGCAGTGTAAAGATCTTCCAACACCATAAAACCTCTGCGCACTATGTAGTAATCTGCAAAAACAACTCCTGCAATTGACGACAAAAACACCGAATATGCAGACAAATATGTAGTGAACTTGTTACTGGAGGAAAGCAGTTTCCAAGGACACATTGCCAGAGCAATAACGGCGCAAATGAAGCCTCCTCTGCGGATATTGATATATTTTGCTAACAAGGCAGTCATATCTGTTCCTGCTGAAAGCGAATTTGCAGAGATGTTGGTTCCCAGTTGAGCAATCGAGAAGGCGAACGAGATCAAGAAAACACCAGCACGGTCTCCACGAGTGAAAGAGCTGAGGAACTGCGAAAGGACATCCAAAGGAGACCAATATGTTTCACCGTACATCACTGTGGAGGCTGAGGAAACCAAAATTCCGATCAGTGAGGTGATCGAGAAACAAATTGGAATGGCCAGCATCTGCGACATAATTGGTGCGCGCTTGGTGTTAGCGAAACGCGAAAAGTCGGGAGCATTCACGATCAAGGTAGCAAAGTTGGCCAGACAGTTCATAGTTGAGTTCACAAAGGCCCAACCAAACTCAGAGCCTGAGATCTTTGACTTCTGGTGAACCACTGGCCCAACTCCCCCGGCTCTCACTATGGTCCACACCAAGAACGCAATTCCGGCGACGGGCACAATGTAAGCTTTGATGGTGAACAAATGGCGAATCTGATGAGGTGGAAACCAGATAGCTGGAAGGGAGAACAACCAGAAGAGGAAGAAAGACAAAAACTGGAAAGAGGTGGTTCCACTGGATCCGATAGTGTTGTTGATGCGGGTGTCCAAGTCATTTCCAAATATCGCCTTCAACATCAACTGAACACATTCTCCTCCAATCCATGATTGGACACCATACCAGATAATAGCCATTACGACTCTGTTGATGACTGGCCAGATAGATCCAAAGACACCAAACGACGATCTGCAGGTGACTGGGAATGACGTATGATAATACGCACCCGACCTGGCTGCAAGTGTCACGAAAACACCTGTAATACCATAGCCGATCCACACAGTGATCCAGACAACCCACCATGACAATCCAGCCTGAACTCCAGTAGCTGCAATCTGCCAAGTGTTGACATTGAAAGAATCAGCAATCCAGAAGAACACGAAGTTGAACCAGGACCACAGTCTCCTTTCCTTCTCGACGGGCCTCAAGTCATAGTTGTACAAAAACAACTGAGACGTCGTCATTCCCTCTCCAGTTTCAATTTCGAGCCATTTCAAAAACCGGACGAAAGCATTCGGACGTTTGACTTCTGTGACATTGACATATGTGCCTATGCCGTTATCTGATTCGTTGCTGTCGAACGCTTTGCTCTTTTCGACAGTCATTATTGGTTTTTTTTCGGAAGTTTGATTAAAATGAGCAGGAAGAAGATTCAGAACCTTTTTTCAAGGTTCAAAAAGAGCGGGTTCCAAAACTTTTCACTGCGGTTGCTCAGCAAGTATGCACTGGGACTGCAGGGAAGAATTCAACACTGCCACAAACAAAACAGAGAATGAATACAGGAGAGAAGAATTCGAGCTTACTTCTCAGAAATTCAATAGACACTGAAGCCAATAATAATCAGCCTAAACAAAATATTGGGTTAATCTACATTTATATATTCGTCAACGGTCTGTCCTCGTGATAAATATCTGCCGATGCCAATGCCGCTTGGCTTAGACATGCTCGAGCGCTATCGCACCTAACATCACCTTCCGGGCCTTTATCGGGCCACTGATAAAAACTGTAGGCAATCAGTGCTCCGAGAGATTGGCCTGCGCATATCTTTGCAGAGTCAAATACCATTGGTTTCTGAGAGAAATTAGGGAAGCTGCAGCAGAAAGATGGGGTCTTTGACGTCCAAACCTTATCGGGCCATCGCGGAATTTGCAGGTACATTCAAAGCATGGCGGTAGCAGCCAATAGGAATCGTAAATATACACCAAAACGGGTTTATAGAAAAGTGCACAGTTTTTTACAAGCTGTACAATAAAGTAACGCGACTTCCAAACCGTTGGCAGATTATACATACATTTGGCCCGGCGGTCCAAGAGGTTACCGAACTCACTAGCCATTAAAGTCTGACCATTTGCGCGCGGCTGCGTGGAGCGCGAAAGCGCCCTGAGCATATTCCGCTATCAAGACTACGATGGCTGGTTCTGCACCGGTTAAAAGATCATGACGTATCCACATCCTGTAAGTTGAAAGTGTTTGTACTCTTATCGTCGTCAGTATCATTTAGCGATTATCTCCCATTTTTTTGGGCGATTTTCATCACTCAGCCGTATCTCTATGTATTATGGTAGAACCACCTCTTTTGGGCTGCATACTTTTGACAAACAAACTCTTCTTGCGTCTCGCCGCAAATGGCCCGAAAATGCACGATTTTTCAGTCCAACGGCAATGAAGAAGATCACGCCCAAAAGGGAAAAAACATGCCTTAATCACAAGGACTGTCAAAAATGGACCAGTTGGCTGCTTGCTAATGAGGGGAAAATATAGCGGTAAATTACTTCTCCACATTTAACTATATTGTAATTCCCTTCTAGTAAAATTTTTAGATTGCTTCTATCAGCGAAAAAAAAGCTCCTGTTAATTCCCTCAGGGGATTGAAATGCTGCTATTGATACTGGATCCAAGGGTCCAAGGCATTAATAGCCTGCATAGACAAAACCCTGACGGCGCAACGCCCCAAAGAGACTAATACTAGCCAGTGAGTGGCTAGTGAGAAAATTTTTTGCAGAGTTGTTTGTTTGAATCAAAAAACAATATTATTTCTTTCCAAAAGCGTCTAATGTAACAATACCACAATATTGGCCTGCTGAACTTTCAGATAACTACTGCATGCGCAAATACATCTCGGGCGATCCCGGATGAACCGTAAGTTTGAGTGAGTGAGACAATCAATTTATAATGATTGGTTCACGACTCGAGATTTGATTCTGGTAATTACACGGCTTGCTACGTTTTGTACGATTAATCAGCGCACTCCCCCGGCACGGATCATTACTCGTGAACCGTTATCCGTTGGTTGAAGTGTGAAATTCTCCAGTTCAGAGTTGTCTTTGCGGCTGTTTGGTTTGGGGTTTGTCGATGGACGAGTGTGGATTCTTATTTGCTACTGTTTGAGGTTATCTGATACCTTTAGGACGCTTTTCAGTGTTTTTGCACCCATTGCTTCACACACACTTACAAATGCCGAGGCTTACACAACGCGACGAGCGTGATCTTGATTTTGAGCTCGAGGATTTGGTTGTGCGATCTTCGACTTCATCGCAAAAGACTGTTCAATCAGATTTAGAGTCAGGTTCACATGATAGAATCAGTCCGAGACCCAGCTTAGTCTCCCGCATAAAGAGGTTTGGCCGATTAGCCTTAGACGGCCCCGACACACCCGAGGACGAATTTCCTCAATTCAAAAATGATCTTTTGCAGCAATTTGAGCGTTTCCCCGGTCGCATTGCCAATGACTTCCCACTCCGGCTACGGTTGCCTTTTGCGTTGGCATATTTCGTTTTTTGGATTCTTTCTGTTCGATACGTACTATCGCCTGCACTGACCGAGTTGCCTACATACGCCAACGAGAGTGGTGAACGTGTCGAAGTTGTGAGCTTATCGTGTCGAGATGAGCGATCTATGTGGCTAGGAAAGAATGCCGAATGTGGAATGGACGCTTCCAAATGTCAGCCATTTGAGAACCGAACAGTGGTGTTCAGGTGTCCTGCACTCTGTGACACCGACAGTTGGACTTACAGTTCGCTACCAGTGGGAAACGAAACCTACAAATACCGCGGTTTTTATATTGGTGGAGGTCCTGTCTCTAGTTCTTCTGACTCCAATGACCTCTCACTGCCGTACAGGGCCGATTCGTTTCCATGTGGTGCGGCCATCCACGCAGGTGTGATATCACCTTTATGGGGAGGTTGTGCCAAGGTTGAATACACAGGCTTCCAACCTGGTTTTCCAGCCACAAAAGGACACTATGGTGTGTACGATTCTATTGATTTTGATGCTTTTTTCCCCGCCAGTTTTAAGTTTGTGAAAAATACAGGATGTACAAACTGCTACGATATGCGGTTTGCTGTGGCCATAATCAACTTTTTGCTGGGTATTCCTGTTGTCTATTTTGGTTCTGGAGCTCTGGCTTATTGGACTATGGTTACGGTGGGATTCTGGACAGTCCTGCTTGCAATTGACCCTCCAATCATTGTGAATGTTGGTGATCCCGAAAGTCTACCCAGTCTGGTGTCTTTAGGTTTCCAACGTTTTTTGCCTTTCTGCTTTATGGCTTACACGATTTGGCATCTTGCTATTCGCAGGACATTTCAAATGCCAAGTTCCCCGGTCCTGAAAACGGTTTTGTGGTATCCTCTTTTTTGGACCGGTATCCTGAACAATCTCACATTTGACCGTTTGCCTGTGGATAGGTTAACGGTTGCCGACATCACCACTCAGCCAGGAGCCCTTGTCACATTTTTTGGAATTGTTTCGCTGATAGGCACATGTGCCGTGATTCAGGCCTACAAACTTTGGCTTTCTGGCAGGTTCAAAATATACCTGGTGGTGTATTCCACATTCGTTGTTGGACTGTGGATATTGGGCTCACTACATGGGCTCAATCTAAGAATCCACCATTATGTGTTAGCACTTCTTTTGATTCCAGGTACTTCCACCCGTGGCACGACGGCATTTCTTTTCCAGGGTGTTCTAGTGGGATTGTTCGTTAATGGAATCAGCAGATGGGGATTAGCCAGTGTGGTTGAAACTGCCCGCGCACTACGCCGGTCTGATCCAACCGGCGCTATCAAGCCTCCAACCATCACCGATTATTCCGCTGGAATTCTCTCCTGGGTTCCTGTCGAACTGGACAATCCGCGGATCGTTGACGGTGAAATAGTTGCGCCGCATGACCGTCTTTCAGGCTACGCCCTGCTTGTTAACGATGTGGAACGCTACAACGGCGGCAATACCAGCGTGGACCTGAACCAATTGATGGCTGATGATCCAGAACTCGGTCAAGAACTAACTGCTGCGCTGGAATTTGGAAACGGATCGACGCAACTGTACTTGCGCGTTGCCAGAGCTGCCTCAGACCGAACCGGCGATTTTTCAGCAGCCGCACGACTAACTTGGCCGTTGGGAGAATTGACCGTCGCACCAGCCGGAGCAAGCATCACGTGATGTTCGATAATTGCGGATCGCGCTACGTCACAATGACGTCAGGAAGCAAACCGCCTAAATTGCTATTCTCTATTAATAGAAGCCACAGATGCCTATTCTTCAACCGGGCCACTTTGTCCCCAAGGGTAGACCCGGGACTGAGCGCCGAGGAAGATCTGAGGACCTGAGGACTATCCCTAAAAGTCCATTTTGAAAGTTCTAGGCCTTTGTGGGCGCTTCTCTCGCGCACATATAGAGGCGATTTTTGCTTTACAAAGCAGGGGAAGGTTTCAGATTTAATCAATATTTGTATTGTTAGGCGCCTCAAAACGTTAAAACTAAAAATAAATCTCATTACCTGCTAAGCATTTGAAACAAACAGCTCTAATTTTTTTCTAGACCCAAGTCGACTGGTAACGAGGTTCTAGGAACAGAAAAGCCTCCGGTCTATGACCTACAGGCTTAAACCCGCACCCATATATCCGTTAGTAAACATACCGCAATCTCACTCAAACCCCTTCGAAAACGTCATTTTTTTTCTAGATGAATTCTGAGCCTATCGTATACTTAAAAATAAAATTAAACCGCAAATAGACGACCAATTTGGCCCTGAGTAACTTTCCCACATCTGGAATCGATCCCCGTGGTCATATAGGAGGCCGGAAAAACAACGCTTCGATGAATGTGGGCGGGACTAGTCTTTCTCTTTTACCCTTCTGCTCTTCTCTTGTAACTTTTATTCTTTGTGTTAAAGCAAATATTTCGTGGAGTATTTTGGTACCGCAAGAGCATAGTGTCCTCGTTTTCTTCAGCTACGCTTCTTAGACGGTTATCATCTTTATTCGCACACTTCGCTTTGTCTTGCTCGTTTACAGGTGAAGAGGACAACCGGTGTTTTTTTTGCGTTGATCAACGTCCCGGCTGCCTAATCCCTTTAGAATCAAACAAGGAGATACACATACTGCTCGGTGATATTCTGGGAAGTTTTTGGATCCTCTTTGCTGTTTTCGGTGTATTCATCATATCTTGTCTCCAAACCAGCCACGGTCGCGAAAGTGAAGTACTTTGGCTTTTTGAGACTCCAAAGAGATATTGACTTGTCCGACTGCTTTTGATCATATCCTGAGTTTTGCAGAAACTTTGGGAAACTTTTGGGACGCTTTTTGCCATTTGGACTGTTAGTCTTATTAGTACGGTTGGGCTCGTTCCGTTGACTTCGGAAAGACCTCCTACGCTTTGACTCCTACAACTGTTGGACTCTCTTTCGCTAGCATCATGCCCATGGTATCAGCAGAATCTCCAAGATTCTCATTCCCATCTTCTGGTGATGACCATTTATCCAAAACGGACTACTTTGAGCCTCCCACCTCTGCTACCACATCAACCGCGGTTACCGGTCTCAATGCCGACTCGAAGAAGAGGCCACTACAACATCCACAGCTCCAGCCGCCCAGATCGCACCAGAAGAATCAGGACTCACTGAGTTCTGTCAATACAGAATATACATTGGTTGATGACACGCCTCACAAACACTCGATAAGAACGAACTCGGTGTGTAGTAATGACACACTTTTTGAGCGGGCTCCACCACCAGCGTTTGCCAAATCGCATCGTCCTAGCAAAAGCGAGGTGACGAAGTCACCAACCCTTCCACCTTCACAGCAGCATCACCACCAGCGCCATCATCATCAAAATAGTGATCAGCATCCACAGCGGATCGCCCAGCCCATATATCCAATCTCTGCTATTGACTCGCACTTCCCACCACCCAAGATACTTGTGCAGTCTCCTTTAGCAAAGAATCAGTCGCAATCATCCTGTTGTGGTCTTTCACCTACTTGCGAGGGTTTTTCACCACTTGTGAGAAAGCACTCAACTCAAACGGATGCCCTTCAGTTCAGGTGTGCGCCTAGATTCAAGGACTCAGCCTACGATATCCCAGTTGAATGCAGCTTCCTGGATGCAGGTGAGATTTTCCCGCTTATTCGCTCGAGTTTGGAGGAAGTGTCTGACGATGGTCTGCCAAACGTGCTACTGGTTGATGTGAGACCATTCCCAGACTATTGCAAATCTCACATCGAAGGTGCCGTCAACGTTTGCCTGCCTTCGACGCTCTTGAAAAGACCTGCTTTTAGCCTTGAAAGGTGCATTGCTACCTTGACTTCAGAAGAAAAGTTGGTTTTTACCAGATTTCTGGAACGCGGAGAGTCATCAAAGCTTCCAACGCTGATTCTCTATGATTCATCCACCGCTACACGCTCTGCAGCATCACTTTCTGTAAGCAAATTGGCCTCGAAGTTTGTCTCCTCTGATTCATGGGATTCGGAGATAGTCGTTCTTAAGGGTGGATTTCGTGAATTTCAGAGAGAGTATCCCAACCTTCTTGGCTCTGGTTCACCTTCGCTGTTCTCCAAGATTGGAATGTCCGTTGAAACCGCAATGGACCATCTCAGTGTTGACGAAAGCAGTGAGGAAGACCCATCAATAACGCCAAAAACTCCAAAGCGCTCGACTCTCTCTGCGATCGACCAACTTCCTCCACAACGCATTCAGTACCGCAAGTCGATATCCTCTTCGGAGATACATACTTTGGCTCCAATTCGCATTCCTTGTCTGTCGCGTTTCGTCCTTCCTGATCCCAGTGAATCGCCTTTATTCAAGTCCCGCCACAACGAGGAGCTTCTCACCGCGAGGCCAGATGCATCACATGTCTTGGCCTCTGAATCCACAGAAGAACAGCTCCCTCCGTGGTTGGAGTCCATTATTGGCGATGACAGAGGAGCGGCTAGTTTGGCTCAAAAGTTTCACAATTTGCAACTTCAAGAGCGCGAGCGGCTTACGCAAGTTCTTTCTCGCACAACTGCTGCAGATAATCCTGGAGACTCTGCCGTGCCATATATCTCATCTGGTATTGAGCTGGGTAGAAAAAACAGATACAAGGATATCATTCCTTACGAGCACAGCCGTGTGAAGTTATTCCCTAACATTCCTGGCAACGGCGTGACGGGTGAATCCACAAGCGATACGGACTACATCAATGCTTCGTATTTGTCTGCTCCTGGGTCTGATAACAAGTACATTGCTACGCAAGGCCCCTTGGCAGAGACTATCGGCGATTTCTGGCGCGTTGTGGTAAACCACAATACCTCACTTGTTTTGTCTCTCACTCCACAAAAGGAAAATGAGGTTGAGAAGTGTGCTCCATTTTGGGTTCCGGGTCTTTACAAATCTGATGGCTTCGATGTTCAGGTTTCTGAGCTTGAACAGACAAGCGATTTGAGACTTCATCCCGAAAGCGACTCTTCTGTTGTTTTCAGACGGTTGTTGATTCACATTGACGGGTTGGCAGTGGCTCACGAGGTTCTCCAAGTGCATGTTCTTTCATGGCCAGACTACGGTGCTAAAATTAACACCAAAGATCTTCTGTCAATTGTGGCTCTGAAACGTTTTGTTTCAGAACATGCCAACAACTCTCCCGTTGTGGTTCACTGTTCAGCTGGTTGTGGTCGCACTGGAGTTCTGTGTGCAATCGACACTGCAGTGGACATTTTACTCTCTGCTCATGAAGAGGCCTCGGGTTTTGATCCTGTTTTTGACACTGTGATGGCTTTCCGCAACCAGCGTATCTCTATGGTTCAAAACTTGCGCCAATACATGCTGATTTATGACGCGATTATCCTCTTTTTCCGCATGCATTGCGACCTTCAGCAGGAGCTTACTGAAGTTTTCAGTTGGGGGAGTGATACTAATGCGATCATTAAGCATTTTGTCGCTGATTTGGACCGCCAGGACTAAACCTGTGGTGGGTGGTCTGGTCCAATATTATATCTCGGTATACTTGGCTAAATGCTATCAAAACCATTACTCAATATCCACGAGCAGGTGAGTGCGGATTATCCTTACAAAACGATGATTGTCTCCAATTCCCCTCACCAGATGCTCTGCTCTCTCCTTTCATGACAACCTTTTTGACGTCCAATTTACGTTTTGCTATTCATGTTTTCAATGCTTTTGTCTTTTTTTTATATACTTGGTGTGTTTTGGCATTTGATTTTTCTTTGTTTACGAGAATAAAAGGAGATTTTCGTTATTTGGCTTTGTCATTTGTAGAGTGGTTATTTGCGAGAGGCCTTAATCCTAGTCTTTGGCTGAGTCTTAGCCTGACATTCAGTCTGAGTCCCATTATCATCTGTTAGCTATCGGGTATCAAACACTGGCTGTTGATTCTTTCTTTCGGTTCTTTCTCATGGTTCAGTCTCCAAGTCGTCCCATCAACCCAACACCAGCTCATACACGATCACGACCATGTTGATCGCTATTAGCGGAATTCTCAACAGCGTCCGCGTCGCAGAAATCAGGTTCACAAGTCTTGATTTGACATTCGTATCTCCAGGCTGCTGGAACTCAAATCCCGTCGCAACCGCCCCACTACTTCCCCAGCCGATCCTGTTGAGGAATCTGTCCTCTGAAAGCACTGCGATCGCGTTCACCACAAACAGACAGCTGTAGAAAAGCGTGCCGAGTCCAAACATGAGCGCAAGCAATTAACCCAGTCTTGAAAATTCAGCAGTGCCTTTTCTAGACAAGTTCAAAACCACGCGTCTATGCGTTCCTCAACGCTCTAAAGCTCCTGCTGGCGTTCTGGACATTCACGCAGAGCAGGACAGCGGGTCACGTGATTTGGTCGTGTATTCCCTATCAATAGGGGCATTTTGAGGAGTCTCCAGTTTATGCAGCGACAACCCCAGCAAATGGTCGAATGAAAGGAGAATAATAACACTTTTTCGATAATTCTAGTATGCATCAAAGGGATAGACCCATCTACTTGTCGGATGGCTTGTTTACTTGGCCCCAATCGTGAATTTTCACTTTGGCCATCACACTACCAGCAAAATCGTTCCAGATGTACATGCTTAAATTGACTAAATCTACAGTTCGTCATGATTAGGGCTGGCCTCCGCCTCAAACTCCGTGGAACTGGTATTTTCCACGGGCGGCTCAGTAGCTGTCGAAGCATCGGCCTCCGCTTCAGCATCCGCCTTATTTTGTTTCTCAGCCACCCGGGCTTTCTTCGCTGCGGCTTTGGCCTGCTGTCTCACGTGCTTAGTGAGTCTCTCTGCCAAAGCTGAGATTCTCTGTTCGTGAACTGACTTCAGTGTTGAAACAATTGCTTTCAACTCCATCACCTCCTTACCAACCTCCTCACGAATCACAAACAGCTCTTCACGTGAGCGGGCAGCTAGCTCAGCCTCGGCAGTATCATCTTCCTTGAGCGGCGCTAGAGCCTCGAGATTGTCACTGAGTTGCTGGAAATGCTCCTGGATTTGCGCCTCTGAAATTTGTTTCGTCTTGACCTTGATTTTGCGACTTTCCTCGTCAAAGTTCAGTCCAAACTGAGTGTAGTTGTCATACAAAACGCTGGCGTCTTCTGACATAGTCAACATTAGTTCTTGAAGCTCGTGGATCGTATCAAGGCCCATCTGGTGCAAACGACCGAACTCCTCCTTGTCAAGAGGAAGATCTGCCATCTCAACAAAAGTCTCGATCTTGACTTTGAGTACCCGGATTTCGTCGAACCGATCCTTGATATCCTTCAGAGAAGCACCGTCGCTTTCATAATCTAACCATTCAACATGCTCACGAACGGCATCGGATGCCTCATCCACCATAGTGGGTGGGCCCTTCTCCACTACATCGTCTGAGTCGAGATAAGCACGCAAATCGTACACGGCAGCCTCATATTCGTTGATCATCTCGTCACGTTGCTGGCGAGATTTATCTTTCCTTAATAGGTCCTTGAGTCTCGCAGCTGAAGTTTGTTTGGAAGGAAGTCCCATTGGCCTAACAGAGGCGTATTTCGCTTTGGTGCTGATCACAACACGTTTCAATACATCTTCCGAGGAAGTGTTGAAGCAAAGAGCATTCAATCTCTCAAACGACAATAATCCACGATCAAAACCGAAGGTAATATTATAGCCAACTCCACCTGGACAGGTGGTTGAGTTTAGCTTGCTCGCTTCTAGATCAACCTTCGCATTGTACTGCACATAGAGCAAACCATCCTCGTAAATATCGGCCGAAAAGGCTGTAGAGTCGGGTGATAATGAAACGGAAGTCTCGGTTGGGACATCACCCTTCTTCAAAACAACACCGACAACAGAATCATCCAACTGCACTCTATAATCGTGAACAGCATGTTCAATCACATGGATCGGCTTTGAGCGGTACATCTTGGAAAGCAAAACTCCACGCAAAGTAGCACCAAGAACAGCAGCTTCATCAGCATTGACGTTCTTCGAGATTTTATCTTCGCCCACAAAAGCAGCAAGATGACGTTGCACGAACGGAACACGAGTTGAGCCTCCGGCCAAAATCACCGATTGAATCTCGGCATTGGCGGCTACAGGATTGAAGGTTTCCGAAGTAGCCTTGATGACAGGAGTAACAATTCGAGTCATCAAGCTTTCACAGGCTTCCTCAAACTCATCTCTTGTAATTACTGCTTTGAAGTCTTTATCATCATACAGCAGTTCCAAGGAGACCGAAGTCTCGGAGTTGGCACTCAGTACGAACTTTGCCTTCTCAGCAGACTGCCAGAGACGCGTCATAGCCCTAGAATTGGCCTGAAATTCTTGGGTACGGATCTTTGGATTGGCTGCCAGAAAATGGTCTTTGAGTAGCTCAAAAACTGCATTTGTAAGAAGATGACCGCCCACATTTGCATCATAACCAACACCTTCGATCTCCACAGTGGTGTCTGTTTCGTTTTGTCTGAACGATACCAGCGTGGCCTTGACAGAGCCAGCACCCATGTCGTAGATCAAGTGATACTCCTTGTCCTCTCCGAACGTTCTGGTGGAAGCATAATTAAGCGCAACGGCTGTACCGTCATCTACCAGTGCAACAAGATTCATTCCAGCTATCTCCACAGCATCCTGGATAGCTGCCCTTTGCGCCTGAGTAAAGAAGGATGGTACCGTAATTGCCACATCAGTAACACTAGAGTATCCGCCAGAAACAGCAGCCTTGAGGTGGGCCTCGGCTCTGTCGCGGATCTCTCCAATAGACATTGCCAGCAGTTCTTCCACCGGAAATGTCAGATCTTTGGCCACCTGAAAGGCAATCGTGTTGCGTGAGTTCTTAGACTCTACTAAAGTCACTCCCGGGTGGGTTTCGGTATATTCTTTGGCCGCTGGATCAGCAAGAGACCGTCCCAGTAGAGGCTTCAAGTGGAGCATACAGCTGGCAGGGCTCCGTGTGCACGTTGTTAAGGCCGAAGATCCATAGGTTCTTTGGAGGGCCTCTTTCTTGCCCGAAATAGGGGAAATTGCAAGTCCGGAAACATCCTTGCGCTTGGAATCAGGCGTGAGCACAATCTCGAAGTTTACACCCGGAGCCACCAGCGCGGCTTTAGTGAACTCGTAGCCAAAGTCGATCCCGAGCAGGAAAGAGTATCCGGGAAGAACAAATGCAGCAAATAGCAGCAGCAAAGTGCTTTTTAGTCTCATATCAAGAACTGAAATCTGGTGCGAGTTGGTTGCGTTGTAGGAAGACACGTTGGATAATCTGTAGATAGAGAGGTACGTGGAAAGTTCGAGGTCATCGAGATCACGTGATCAGCTTAATGACGCCTATGGCATTGAAGTATGGCTTTTCAACTTCGGAAAACGAGCGGGAAATACGAGAAAAGACTAGCCAATGTCATGAAAACAAGCAACGCAATATATCTAATAATTTATCAAGACGTTCCATAAATTGGGCGTCTGTTAGGAGGTTCCGTATGGTTCTCTCTTGGTGACCGGTCTCAGAATGGCAGTGTCGTGGACAGATCAATCCCGAGGGAAATATTTCAAACTCACCTCCAACCACACCAACCAAGGTGGCTTGTTTTCAGGTAGCGTTCCCAATCGACTTCAAAAGCTTCAAGGAAATCTTTTGACAGTTATGAGCTCGCGAAACTTTCCTTCGCGTGGAGGTAAGTGCCTTCTTTTCACATAGTCACACCACCTTCCCATGCCAATACTAACTCCACATTCTATTAGACGGCCAAGATCGCGGCAACCCATATTCGCGCCGCAGGGGCCACGATTATGACCATAGAGATCGTGATCAGGGGTACAGAGGTTATAACGATAGATATGATCATAGGGATCATGAGAGAGACCGAGACAGAAGAGACCGTAATGGTGCCAATGGAGGAAGGCATTGGGAAAGAAGGGCTCCAGGCGGGTTTCCCTCTCGGCCCAGAGATCGCGATAGAGATCGTGATTCAATTGACAGAGATCGTCACCGTTCCCGAGACTCTCCCTCTGTTCATTACAGCGAAGAGGTACTCAATTCTGCAAAGCCTCTGGACTCATATACCCGTGCCTCTCTTTGGGACAAGGTACCGGAAGGATTCGAGAAAATCCCGGCTTCTCGGGCAAAAGCCTCGGGTATTTTTCCAGCGCCAGGGGAGGTGAGAAATTTGACCGATATCAAAAAGCTGCTTCAATTGGAGGTGAATGGTCGTCAGTCCCCTGGTGTGGGAGACGATAAGATGCTGGCTCCAGCTTTATCTAGGGCAGCCAAAAGATGTATTATTAGGGAGTCACAACCTCAGCCTAGAGAATTGGAAATTGTGGAGTTTCTCAAAGAGTTCATTTTCTCCGTGAAAGGATCAAAACCGAAGATTAAGTCGTGGAAGTCGCCTGATAACAAGGATGTGATCGTTGAGTTTGGTGAGTCTGAACTTGCCACATTGGCACTGGCCCTGAATGGGCTAACATTGCCAGAGTTGAGCACTGTTCTGACTGTGACTCGTCCAGGGGAATATGTCTTATATCCGGAGGACGAAATATCCAATACGTCGAAACTGATTCTTTCAAACATACCATTGGACCACAGACTACTGGATGTGAAGGATGCATTGGTCCCCGCTGGCTCTCTCAAATCTTTCAATCTTCTTACTGATTTGGCTACAGGAGATTCCAAGGGCATTGCATTTATTGAATTTGAGGAAACTGATGATTTAGACGAGAGGATTGAGAAGACGACTGCCCTTAGTCTTGGTGAAAAGCCTCTCATATGTTTCAAGGCATTCCAGGGTCCTGTTCAAAAATCCAGCTTTACATACGAGACGATGGTTGATCTGGCCGGATCAGAAGATACAAAGAGTCTGCACAAACTCTCTAGAGTTCTGGTGTTCTTACAGTGTATTGCAATTCGGGAGCTTGTGTCTCCTATAACTTACGAGGAGGTTCAGGACGACTTCTATGATGGCTGTGCCAAACACGGCAAGGTTGAGCTTTTGCACATACCGAGACCCAGTCCCACATATAAAGATGGCGATGAAGTTGCTGCTGAGGTTGGAAATGTTTATGTCAAATTTGATACCGAGGAATCTGCAAAAGCTGCTTTGGAGGCCCTGGGTGGCAGATTGTTTGGCGGGAGGTCTGTGATAGGTGCCTACTTTGATGAGAAAGATTTTGATCTCAGACTGTTCTAAAGAAGAAAAATTGTTGCTTTGATAAAACAGGCTTTCCATAAGCCAATTGGCTGCTAATGTGGATTATTGCTGCCGTATAAGATAGTTGGAAAACAAAGGTTACTTGGGAAACCTGATTACATCTGTAAGCTTTAATGTAGTGCTTCAAGTTGGGTATTGAAATTTCGCAAAATCGTTCAATTTATACTAATGCAAATTATTTGATGGCATGAAACCACATCACACTCTCATTCAAGGTCCTTGAGTCTATTTCCAACTGTCGGATCATGTGTATGTTTGCATAGAAGCTCGTACAGACTATCTGGAATTAACGGCAGAAAGCTGATAGCCAGTTTGATCACCTCCTTAGCCTGCAAAGGGGGAAACTCTCTGAGCAATGTCATAGGGTTCTTGGAAGCAAGAAGCTTGCTTCTCATTAGTATCATTTGGGCGATCACCAGAAGAACGTTCATATGGCAGCCATATGCAAAGAGAAAGTCCCACAGCTCCAAGACCTCAACCAGGGGAGGGGTGCAAGCGCACAGAGTGAGAATTGAGGGCAAAGCATAGATTTCTGCCTGTAACAGCTTACTTTGCAGAAATTGCGAAAGTTTTGGATCGACGATCTCCAAGCATTTATCAACCAGCTTGACACCAGTATGAACACCGGTCAAAGTGGGCACCACGTACATGGGGATATATCGAGTCAACAATCCGGAAAATAAAGCAAACGCCTCCGGCTCGCTCTTGGCAGCACAGAGAAATGGCGCTGCCAGAATGTTCATTCCCTGGACGTATGGAGATAGGTTTTGGTGGTTTTTGCCGGAGTGTTGAATGGCCTCTATTTGGAGGGCATGAGAGTTCAGACACCGGGTCAACATCTCGCTGCTTACCCGGGTCTCCAGCAATTTGTCTCCCTTGAGAGTTCTGTGAATATCGTTCAGTATCTTGTCGAAAGATTTGGACTTTCCAGCCTTGACGAGATCAACATAGGTCTGAGCCTTCATTGGGGGTATCCGCAGCAAGATCGACCACACGTACACTCTGTATGGACAAAATCCGCTGTCATCTTTGGCCAGACCTTCGATCAGGATGTTATGTCGTAGCTGCGAAAGTCCCGTAATTACCAGCGTCTGGTGGCTTTCTATAAACTTTTCCAGGGCGTCCTTCTTCCGTATCCTTCTGTCGTTCGAGGATAGCAATGAAATCTTGCGGTTGAGCTGGCGACTGTGCATATTTGTAGCGCTGTGTGTGTGTCTTTCGAGGCGTATGTCAGACATGGTATCTCAGTGGAATATAATCAAAATACTTTGCACTTTCGAAGAAATTTGGAAGATTGTTCAACAGGAGTTCCTACCAGCTCAAAAGGTATTGAAAGTGATGATGCGTTTTGTTTATGTTTCCCGATTGGGATGAGCCGCATGCATCATGCAAGATGCATCGTAGATGGTTCAGCATGAATATGCTTGTATCCAAGGACAGATACCGAGAGTAAGCACAAGGCAAGTTCAGAATATAATGACAGTTATGTAATGAGACTAACCGCTGGTTCTAAATATAAGCTTTACACTTGCGATAGACAACCAGCCCTCAATTCCATGGCATTACTCAAGTTGAAATAACATATTATTAAATAGTAAAAATTTTATAGGCCACAAATCAAAATCTATGCTACATTTTGTTCTCATTGAGACCTCGAAGTTAGGGTAACGAGGCGCTTGACTCCAACCATCCAGTTTCCGCACTCGTCAACATGATTGGTTGCGATATCGGTCTGTATGGCTTGCGCAGTGGCATAGTCACCGCTAGCAAGAGCCTTTGACAACTCCACCAATCCGGCCACAGTTGGCTCCGAAAGCAGATCACCGTTGTTGAGGTGATCGTAAAGAATGTTTAGCCTCTTCTCAGCATCCGTCACCTGCTTAGCGTACTTCTCTGGAATCTTGGGCTTGACCTTCTGTAGTTCGGCATCCAAGATCTCAAAGATAGGCAACGCATTGACTGGGATATGCGAACGGTCTCCAGCTGGGAACTTCTTCTTCGATGGGGGAGGTGGTGGAACCTCTTCCCTGGCCTGTGGCGGGGCGGCATGGTGGTATGCTGGAGGCGTGAAGGTCTGAGGAGGAGGTGGCGCAAACCCAGAATTATCGGCAATGACAGTTTCCTGTTGCCTTGGAGCATATGGGTTCCTTGGTGGTGGTGGGGCCACCGACGAAGTGGGAGATAGCGGTACCTGATTGTTATAGCTTATTGGCTGAGGTGGAAGAGAAAAGCTGTTTCCAGTTTCTTGCTTCTGCTGTCTTGGAGCATACGGATTCGGTGGGGCAGCGACCACTGGAGAGGATGGCACTCCATTCCCATTGGATCCGGTCGCCGCTGGCAGCTCTGACTGCAACTGGGGAGGGGGAGCATACCTATTGGAAGGTCTTGCCGGTGGGGCAGTTGGCTTTGGTGGAGCTGCTGCTGCTACCGCTGCTCCTGCTGCCGCAGGAGAGTTAGTCGTGTTCTGGCGACTCAGTGACCTGGGTGGAGGTGGCACCACCATTGGCTGAGACGCCGATCTCACAGGAGGTTGGGTTTGGCTCTGGCTATTTGCCTGTACCTGCTGGTAGTCGTAAACAGATGAAGCTGCGGGGGTAGCAACTGGAGTGCGGCGTGGCTGTGCAGTTGCGATGTGTGAAGGCAAATCATTCCAGCCGCCAGCATCCCTTTTGATCGAAGACTTTGGAGGTGGTGGTGGGGTGGCCGATGCTCCTGCCTGGTATCCATACTGCGGATAAGTTACACCAAGAGCAGGTGGAGGTGGTGATGAAACCGATTTCGCTGGTTGGGCCTTCAGACTTTCAAGTGCGTTCATTGGAGCGCTTGGAAGGTAAGGGTTGTGCAAAGCAGGCTTGGCAGGTACTGGCGAAGCAGAGAATGCAGCCGGTTGTTGAGGATAAGATGGGTAACCCTGAGGAGCACCGTAGCTCTGTTGAGCCACTGGGACAAAAGCATTCGCTGGAGATTGCACACGAGGAGCAGTATAAGCTGAAGTCGACGCAGCCTTCGCATTGGCCGAAGGAATCGTGTACGATGCCTTGGACTTTGCTCCATATCCAACATTCCGAGATGTTTGAGTCACCGGCACGTTTGTGGCCTTGGTCAGACGTTGCTTTGCAAGTTTAACTTCTGCAGATTCAGGGATCAGACCCAAAAGTTTCAGAGAAAGGTCATAATGACCATAAGTTGAAAGCAAGTCGGAGAACTCCAAGTAAGCATCTGTCAAAGACTTCAATCCTTCGCCATCAGCCTTGCGGACATCCTTCGAAATTGACCTGTAAACCATCACCTTTTCAACTACTTCTCTGAGAGCCAAAAATCTAGCATCTGCTGGTGAGCTAGCACCTTGCTCGGACGATTTCAAGAACGACGCTTCAATATTGCTGAGCTCAGACAACCATATCTCAGAAACCTTGTCCAGAGCATCTGCAGCGATAAAGAACGAAATCGCGATTTCACGAGCATCTTCGATATCGGAGGCAATCAGGCGTTCGCCAATCTCAACGAAATAAGTGCTGTACGACTCTCCAGAGGAGTGAGCAACAATAGCCGAAGCGATCTCCTTCCAGTTTTTGAGATCACCGTTCTTAACGACGTCGCTAAGATCATTGTTAGAAACGCTGTACAGAATCCTGGCAAGCGAAGATTTCTCGGCGTACTTCTTGAAGTAAGCATCTTTTGCAGCCTTCTTTGCATTTTCAGAGCCAACAAGTGAGAGAACCAAAGCTTCCATTATCTTGTCATCCTTGACACACAAAGAAACAGCCTTGTCCAAGTCGCCCTTCAGTATGTCCAGCTTAATCTCCTTCACAGCATCTGATTCATCTGATTCGAAGACCTTAAAGGCGCCATCGATTGTGAATTCAGTAGTTGGTGGAATGAATGAACTTTCTGTGGTGGTTCCAAGAGACGAGAAAAAGTCATCGTCAGTCTCGGCAGGTGCCTTAACCGCAACTTTGTCTTCCTCTCCCGAATTACCATTAATTGAGTCCTTGACTGGTTCCAAAGCAATCTTCTTTTTAAGCAATTCGAGCTTTCCGACCTCAAGCAACTCTTTCAATAACTTCCAGTCTTTGCTACCTGCAGCAGTAGTCTCCTTCTCTGAGCACAATTCATTGAAATCGCCATCCTTCAAGGCTGTACTCAACTTTGTGACAAATTCGTCCAGCTTTTCATCTTTCGCGTACTTCTCTATTTTCACAGAGCTCTTTCCGTCTTTTGGGGAGAATACAACGATCTTTCCACCAAACCCAAAAGATGCTCCGACAGGACATTGCAACCACTTGGGTGCCTGTTTAACAGTGAACTCGGGTTGTTGGGTCTCTGTGTGAGAAATCTCACTCCAGAAGTCAACCTCCGAAGTAGCATTCACCTGCTGAGAGACTGGTGGTGATGTATCTTGCAAAGATTGTATCGTGATTTTCTTATCAAACGAGGCAGTTGCAAAGACTTCCGGCAATTTAGGAGCAAACCTTGTTTCGAAAGCCCAGTTTGGCAACGATGGATATTCTCCTAGCTTGATTCCCTTCACTGGGTTCCAAAGGAAGGTGGAGTTGTCCTTTCCACTCGAAAGCAAAAGTTCAGGGTCCTGTTTACACCAATCCAAAGACAAGACTCCCTTCTTGTGGCCAGTCATGATTGTTTCTGGAACATTGGAATTTCTCAAATCCCAGGTCAAAATCACAGGAGTACCATCGGAATCAGAGGCTGTCACCAGCTTTGTGCTCTGGGTTGGGTGCCATGCAATTGAAGTCAAATTGGCCCTTCCAGAAGGACCTGTGTACGACAAGTGCAGCACCTCCTTCTTGGCTTTCAGATCCCAGATGGAACCATAACCAGTATTTCCGGCCGAGGCAAAGATGTGGCTCATAGAGTTGTTCCAGGCAATGGAGGTCACCTCGTCTAATGGTGACATGGCCTTCCCTGGAGACATAGCTGGAGACAGTTTCTTGGTGTCCCAGATAAAAATTTCACCTCTAGACCCACCGGAAGCCAGTACATGGCTCTGCAATGGATTGAAAGCCAGGGTTTTCACCGGACCTGTGTGCTTCTTGCACTCGTGGACCAGCGAAGACTGCAGGCTAGAAGATGATATGAACTTAGCAGCATCCCAAAGAAGTATATTGCCATCCTCAAAAGCGCCCGCCAATAAGCCATTGTCGTAATTCTCAAAAGGGGCACTCCACGTCAGAGAATGGAATCTGTTGGACACAGAATCCTGTGCAACAGGTTCCTTCTTGGATGGATCAAGAACATCCCAAATCTCTAGAGCCGAAGAGGACGAAAAATCAGCATCAACAGCTCCCGCAAGGGTACCGGTAGCCAGAAGAGGCAAGGAGCCTTGAGACCACGAGATGGCAGCTGTGCGGTTGATTTCAGATAGCTTGACCATTGGAGTTATTTAGATCACTGTCGCGTCGTGAAGAGGAGGTGAAATACTATGATATATTTCCAAATAGACCAAAACAAAAAAGCTTTTCCAGTTCTTCCAATTTTCGAATGTCTCCAACCTCAGAAAATAAAAGCAAAAACAATATAGAACCAGATCACTGAAAAATCCCGTCCAACTTTGTTATGGTAACACCTGTATATCAGCAGGTACAAATAAGTTCACAATGCGGAAAGATACAAATGTCCCAAATTCAGGTACTATCACTGCAATGCAACCAAATTGATCTATAATTCGATTGATGTTGTACAACAGATATCAACAGTGGGAAAGCAAGCAGTGGATCGGCTTCAACGTGATCTGAGTCTCGATGGATTACGTTGCAAGATTCGGGTTTCTCTGGTTATGGAGCACTGGCGAAAGATCTGGGATCTCATGCCTGGTTCAAAATTTGGTGAGGTTTGCTAAAAATCTGGAGATGGTTATTGAGGGATATATTCGGTCGTTTGGGTGTTACTAAATATCAATTTTGAATATAATGTCAAAGCCCGTTCAATTGAGCAGCCCTGTAACCGCTGTTCCAGACGAAGAAGAAGTGGACGAATGGTGAGTGTTTGGCTGAGTATGGTGGGGCAATGATGTAGTTGCTAACGAAGCATATAGGGATAAGAGGATAGAAAAAACGGGATGCGCGGGTAAGTGATGTACCATCACAAACAAATATATTGCTGAAAACGGCATTAGTGTAACGCAAGCGTGAACCCAAATGCATGCTTGACAAGCCTTGGCTCTCAATTAGCTTCTATTTGCTTCTTGCTTCAGTTTACTAACGGCAACGTCCAGAGGAGAACTTAAAACTGCAATTATGTCATTACGATACCGGGGACTGGAGGAAATGTCTTAGCGAGGTAAGTTGATCTTCGCCAAGCTCGAGAAACCTGATTTGAACTTTGGAGTGTTTCCTAACTTTACAGATGGCCGCGTTCCGCAAGTGCTGGGATGCCTTCAATAACAACGCGAGGACAGAGACGAAAAATAACGATCTCAAAAATTTTTAAGTAAACCTCGATTCCTTATTATGACTGGTGAGTTATCAGAGCTGCTCGTATATGTCTGATGAAAGTGTTAGGACCAAACATGAGGAGTTAGGGTTACTTATTGGAAACTAAGAAGGATATTCTTGAGCCGCACCCTTTCGCTGATTGAACCAAAAATGTCAATTTTGACAAATCAAATAGATAGAACCCCCAAATCGTTAATAGCAAAAACATTGAAATGAGTGAATGAAAAACAATTTTTTTGAAATTCTGACGTTTTTACATTATTCCATTGTCATCATGATTTACGAGAAAACTCGAATTCTGTAGAATCTTTCAGTTATTTCACTCATCTAATGAATAGCTCTCCATATTGGTGCTCATTCAAAAATTCTTTCCAAGAAACTATGTCGCTTTGGGTGTTTATTTTTATCCTATTCTTGGCATCATTATAGTACACTGGTATATATTCATTCATATTCTTACATGGCCGAGATATTCGCCTTGGACCTCGCCTTCATCTTGGCTATTCTGTCTTTCAACTGATTGGTAACCTCCTCAGCCCTCTTCCAATTCTCGTCTTCGGTGTGTTGCGCGATCTTACCGTAGTTATTCTCCTTTTGCTCAAATGATTCAGCTGATAAAGAAAGACGTTTGACCTGGGCGTTCAGATCTGGTCCTAGCGATGGAACAGCGTTATCCACAATATACGGATTGACCAATCGCGGTTGGATAGGGGACTGACTGCCATGTTTGGGAGATCCGTGCAAGGTTGCCCTTATACCAGCATCCTGTCTGATTGGAGAGCCCAGGGGAAACGTAGCATTGCTTTTCTTGAGATTGTCTAGCTCCTTTTCCAAATACCGAATTCTTTTTCTGGCACTCTCGTTATCCTCGCGGAGTCTTGATTGCGTGGTTTCTCCGGCCTTCTGAGCAACAGTCATTTCTGCTATCCGCTTGCGCAAATCATCATTACTCAGTTTGAGCTGTTCGGCTTCTCTAAAAAGATTGGTCTGTTCGGACTGAAGTTGCGAGACTTTCACGCGCAAGTCTTCAGACTCTGCTGTCCAGTTCAACTTCTCTCTGCGCAATTCCTCGAGTTCCACTAGCTCCGCACTAGTAACAGCTGCCTTGGGCTGTGGATTCCCAAAGGAAGGAGCAGGGACAGGCCTAAACGACTTTCTGGTGAGTTCCTGTTTGTTGGAGACAACGCTTTCAGTTCTCTTTAGAGGAGACGTTGGTCCCCTCTTGGTTCCCGCCAAAGACATCCTACTGGTGAGTGGCTTTCTCGGCGCCGTAAGAGGTGCGGGTTTTGAACGAGCTAGCGCACCTGAGTCGGATACATCCCGCAAAACATTCGACGAAGCGGCTGATGCTGATTGGCTTGCAGAAGAAGCTCTGACAGTGGCACTCTCACAGAAATCAGTGATCTTTTGCTTCAACTTCGGGTCTATGCCCTCTAGATATTGATTCAATGGCCTCTGACCCACAATCTTCATCAAAGTTCCAATTACATTACAGGCCTGATCACGAACAGTGGCTTGTGAATCACGAAGAAGCTTGATCATATCTACCATGATGGCATTGACCTGCTCTCTGGTAGGATCGTGATCAAGAGTGGTTAGACATCTCTGCAAAAAAGCCGTAGATTCTTCACGAACGGGAGGAACTTTACTCTTTGTCGCTGTCAACGTCTCCTCTAGTATAGTGGCTAAGGCAGAGCACGCAAAACATGCATCCAAAGCACCCTTGAGATCCTCAACCAGTTGACGTTTCTTTTCCTTCAACCTGTCCAAAAGCGGATGCAATACCATTGGAACATACTTTGCAAAATGTTTCCTGATACCTTTTGCAATCGCCTCTATTATGTTGGCCGCAATCTGTGTAATTTGAACATTGGCATCCTTCAAGCTTCTGGATAGAACACGTATAATCTCAGAATAGTCACCATCAGCCATCTTGATAACACTTTTATCCAAAAACTCAGTAGCCAGATCATCAATAGCCTCTTTTCTCTCCTTCCATGAGGCAGATGCCATTTTTGATTCGAAATTGGCTGGGACTTTGCTCAGAACATTCACCGGCGCAGCCATGTCATAAACATCTATTTCAACAGGGACAGCAACAGGCTCATCTGCCATAGAAACATCACCCATCTCAGTATCTTCAACAGAACGTGCTTTCACCCGAAGGCTTTTTAGAGAGCGTGTAGGAGTAATTACAACATCCTTATTCTTCTCAAAGGCCGCAGCAAGATCCTTTTGAACAGTGGACTTCAGCGAAGGAAAGACCAGCTGCTCGAAGACAATACCAACGTATGAATGGAGGGTAACTGCCAGCTTGATAGCCTCAATTCTCACGTTTTTATCGGTGGATTGAAACATACTTTCCATGGAGTTCAGGACTAGCTGTGGAGGCATGATTTGCGATCCAAACGCCTCATAGCACTCGTTCAAAGCCTTTATCGCTGCTGAACTAGTCTTTGCAATTTTGTGAGTCGTATAAGGAATCAATAACTCGATGACAGGCTCCGCCTTATCCATTTCGATAAACAACAGTATAGCTTCAGTAGCGGCGAGTTTCGTCGTGGATTTAGCTGCAGTCAATCCTTTTTCACACAAAGCAGGAATCACGGATTCTCTCAGCGAGATGGCAGCTCCTGAAAGGCCAAACTTGAGCAGCGAGACAAGAGCTGCCATTGCAGCCTCTTGGGCAGGAGCGTTGATATCTAGTACGAACTTCTTGAAGGATTCGGGATTGTGTAAAAATGGCTTGAAACAGGCTTCATTTTCATCACTGGATAGTTCAAATGATCTCTTGATCTCATCGTAGGCTTCTTTTCTGGCCTTCCAGTTCTACAACAATGATGTTAGTAAAGATGTCGCACAGTAGAGACGCGTCAACTAACTTACTTTGTGAACCAAGCGCTCCTCCAATGGGAGAGCTGCGTAATCGGGAACTTCCTGGTTGGAATTATCCGCATTCATTATAGGCCGAGATGGTTCTACCAGGTAAAAGCTAGCAGTATTTTGCTAAGACGATGTTACAGCAGAAGGATGGGTTTGATGATGTTTACGTTTTGAGGTGAAGCGTTGCCATGGCAACAACAATTATCGATCCAAGCACTACTTTTAATGCAGACACGCCCTAAGGTTTTGGCAGTCATATAGCAGACTTCACTCTCAACGGAAACCGAAATACGCCGTAAAAGACTATAAATAAAGAGGGGTTTATTCAGTTTTAGTTAGGATAATTGCTGTAGGTCTTGTACTGGTTTCCGACCGCCAGGTCGTTGATCTCCTCCAGAGGAGGCAAGGTGAACCCCCATTTCTCTTCGCCTGGTCTGACCTCGTAGTATTTTCTCAAATCGATACCATGCGACTGGTGATTGGCCAAATTGACCCATGGAATCAGGGCAAATAGCAGTTGTGAGTTTGTGGAGTTTCTGGCGGCCATATCCTGGTGGTATGGCGACAGTTCTGTCTTCCCATATGGAGACTGTTTCTGGGAGAGCAGCTTCTTGACCTCGTATCTGTCTTTAGCCACCTCCTTGGAGTTCTCGGTCCAGCCCCAGAATCTCTTGGTGGAGCTTGTGTATGCGAAGCAGAAGCCACCAACGAATCCGAGCAAGCCAGCAGCTCTCAGAAATCCGGCTGGAGGCATACGAAATGTGCGGCCCTGAGCTGGTTCCAACTTCTCAAATAGAACCAGCAAACCAGGTCCTCCGGCAGTGGCAGCAGCCCATGTCAGGTAGTCGGATGGTCTAAAGTAACTCACGATACGTGAGAATGTAGGATCGGAATCGATTAACTAAAAGGTGGTGTTAGCAGGGGATCAATAGATGAGTAAATTGGCAATAGAGTTGGTGACGGCATTTTGCTTGCAAGACTAGCCAGTAATGAAATGTTCTGGAGAATTGGAAGACCTTTTAAATTGATTCGTAGTTTGGAGGGCCACCAACGTACGTCCGCTAAAAGACCACAATCACAAAAAGTTCGCCCGATCACACTTTTATGTATAGATCACATACCTCGTAACTCTCCATGTTCTATGTCAAGTATATTTTGTTGTGGTGGAGGTTCACGTTTGCTGCAATAATGCGTAGTCAATGCTTCGATATCTTCAAACCAATCACTGTTCAGCTCTTTCAAACATGGTTAGGCAGCGATGGTCACTTTCAAAAGTGGCAAGCTCTGATGTTTTGGTGGGTGCACGTCTCACAAATGCCAGGCTTGGCAGTTCAAGCCAACAAGGGGGGGAGAAGTAGGAGAACAAGGTCTATTCAACCTACAATCAGTCGAGTTAGTTTGAGATTTTTTTTGAATAAAACCGAAAATCATGAGTTTGAAAGGGTTTGGCAAGGCCATTGCTAGGGTAGGTGTAATTTTGATGTTTCCCAGTTAAGCTCCTCAAACTGGTCTATTTGTTGGGAGGCAGAACCCCACTTGAACAATAGAACAAAACAGCCGTGGGAGTTTGTCGCCGAAGCTGCTATTTTGCAATTATTTTTGTTCAAGTTATTCCGAAATACTAACAAATTCAGGTGCCGCAATCCTTTCGCCAAAAGCTGAACATGGGCGAGAACACCGTGGATCCCGTGTACGCCGATGCTGAAAGAAGATTCAAGGAGATTGAAGAACAGACAAAGAGACTGAGTGATGAATCCAAAAGATACCATAAAGCAGTAAATGGGATGTTGGAGCATCAGATTGGATTCTCCAAGGCCATTGAGGAAATCTACAAACCAATTTCCGGCAGACTGTCGGATCCTAATTCGACGATCCCCGAAGGAAACCCCGAGGGAATTGAGGCTTGTGAGCAATACAGAGCTGTTGTTTTGGAATTGCAGAACACTTTGAAGCCAGACTTGGAGCTGATCGAGTCCAAGATTGTCGAGCCATCCCAGGAGCTGTTGAAGGTTATCCAGGCTATCAGGAAGATGGCAACCAAAAGAAACCACAAGCAGTTGGATTATGACAGACGACTTAACAGTGTGAAGAAGATTAAGGATAAGAAGGAGATCACCCCCAAAGATGAAGAGAGACTGTACAAAGCTGAAGCTGAACTGGAGGTCGCTCAGCAGGAGTATGATTACTACAACGACATGTTGAAGAACGAATTGCCAATTCTCTTCCAGATGCAAGCTGATTTCATCAAGCCCATGTTCATAAGTTTCTATTACATGCAGCTCAACATCTTTTACACTTTGTCGAGCAGAATGGAGGAGATGAAGATTCCTTACTTTGATCTTTCAACTGACATTGTGGAAGCTTACGCATACAAGAAGGGTGACGCTGAGGAGAGAGCCGAGGCTATTGGTTTGACTCACTTCAAGACCGGATATGCGAGATCAAAGCTCGAAGCTACTAGAAGACGTCATGAAGCGGCTGTTGGTGGAGGAGCTCCTGGTGCACCAGGTGCTTATGGTGCCTACGGCACTGCTCCTTCTACTTATGGTGCTGCTCCTGCCGCATATGGCGCAGGTACCGCTGCTCCTGCCTACACACCTCCAGCCACAGGATATGGAACTTATGACCAAAAAACACCTGCTTATGGTCAGCAACCTGCTTATGGCCAGCAGCCTGCTTACGGTCAGACTGCTTCTCCAACCAGTTACGGTTCAACGCCTGCAAGTATACCATCACCAGTAACAGCTGGTGCGGAAACATGTACTGCACTTTACGACTATACGGCGCAAACGGCAGGTGATTTGTCGTTCGCTGCTGGCACCGTTATTGAGATTGTTCAAAGATCAGCAGACGCTAATGGCTGGTGGACTGGAAAGATTAATGGAGTCCAGGGTGTTTTTCCAGGTAATTATGTGCAATTGAACTGATCAACGGAATTGATCCGCTCAAATGGTTGGTTGAAAGCAATAATGTTTCAATCTTTTCCTTTCAATTATACGCCCTTTTCAATATGTAATTACTATATAAGGCAAACTTCCAAGGTAATATTGAAAGCCAAAGAAAACCAAGGCAAATGTATGGTTTGGCCATATAGTGGCTGGGACTCACCAGTAAGAGCGGCAACATTTGCTACGTACGGCAAATGACCAAAGGTTATACTATGCTTGACTCTCTCTCCAGTCTTCAATGGCTAAGAGTATACTGTTGGTATATCTTTGAAATTTAATTCCAACGAGTACTCGGCTGTGTTCCAACCAAGTTTCGGCCAACTCCGCCAAATGTTAACTGAGCCGCACGCACAATGGCAGACTAGGGCCAAACTATCTTTGACCCCAGGTCTTGTTCTCCCCTTGTTTCCTCACCATTCCTTCTCTTTGCCATATCTGAAGTATGGCTTCAGTTTCAGAATTGTATCAAGCAACTGCAACACGGTTTAGTGTTGCAGGGCGGGTACTTTACATCCCATATGTCTTGTTCAGGATCTTTTTGCAATGGGTTCACTTAACATTTCTTGACACAAGAACAACGATCCGGCATCGCGCCTCTGTCCTGATGGCCTCAATATTCATGGCCGAAAATGACTCCAAGTCACTTTCTGAGGCTCTTGACTCCACAAGGTATCAAAACAGACTGGCTTCCACAAATTTGACTCGTCCCGTTGATGAGGAGATTAGGTACATCTTTGATCCTATAGAGAACATCATTGACATACCTAGGCTGGCCAGTATTGTCTGGCTCAGAACGGATTATTACTATGATCGTTACGTTGTCCATGCCTTGTTTTGTTTCTTGCACAGGTTTGTGGGTACCAGAACGCCATACTTGTACAGACCATCGTGGATAAGCAAGCCGACTTCACGTAATTCACCAGCTCAACAAGCCGATTTTGAGGAGCTGGACTTCCAGCCAAGAGAATATTGTCTGAATTCAATGTCTAGAAAAACTGATAGTCCAGGGGTCTCTAATTTCGTCTCTCCTGCTATCAGAGATAGAGAATCTCGTGTGGCTTCTAAGTCAGAACAAGGGTCATTTGCAAACGCGTGTCCTTATATCACCACACAAGAGCCTTTGCTAAATTTTGAGAAGATTTCATCCTCATACATGTCACCAGAGAAGCCTTACAAACCTATCTCACAGGAAGGTCATTCTTCAGGGGCATCCAGAACCAAGAAGAAACTGAAGATTCGTTTCAAGCGTGTGGTTGATGTTCCAGTACTCTCAGTCACTGACTACCAAAGTGTGAGACATGCAATAGAAAAGCTCTTGGATCAACCTGGCTATGATGATGGTTCCATAGGACCCAATTTGGTAAGGTTCGGTTGGCATTGTTGTGCTACGTATGACAAAAGAGACGGTACTGGCGGTTCAAACGGAGGAACAATGAGGTATCTATAGACGATTTTGAACGACATTTGAAAAATACTAACGGCGGCATTTGAAGGTTCCCACCTGAACTCACGGATCCAGGAAATACCGGACTACACACTGCAAAGGCATATCTTGACAAAATTTGGCACCAATTCCAATGGATCACCCATGCGGATCTGTACACGCTGGGCAGTGTGGTTGCGATTGAAGCAATGGGCGGACCAACCATCAACTGGAAACCTGGAAGGATTGACTGTGCAGATGATCAAAAGGTTCCTCAAAATGGACGACTTCCAGTAGCAACGCTCAATGCAGACCATATCAGAGAGGTATTCCAGGTGAGACTAGGGTTCAACGATCAGGAAACAGTTGCGTTGATTGGAGGTGGCCATAGTCTAGGAAGAACCCATGCTAAATACAGCGGTTTCAATGGGAAGTGGACCGATAATCCAATCAGGTTCGATAATGAAATGTTTGCGGTTTTGCTAAACGAGGTCTGGACAACAACAGAGGTCCCTGAGACAGGCAGGATTCAATACATGAATGAGGACCGCGCTTTAATGATGCTCAACACCGACATCGAGCTGTTGAATGACCCGGAGTTTGTCCAATGGGTCAGAATCTATGCGCAAGACCAACAGAAATTCTTCGATGATTTTGCTCTGGCTTTCGGCAAGTTACTGGAACTGGGAGTCAACAGGGATGAGGATGGAGTAGCTAGAAACAAAGTTTAGGATCAAGGGTATTATTTTGCTATTAAGTACACATAAAATCTGAAAAAGATAAATAAGCAACACATTAGAACCCTTCGCCATCAAATCATCTCCAAAGCATAAAAAACACCGTATTAAAAACAAGTAGCGAGCAAAAACTCAACGAGCTTCATCCTAAAGCTATTTCAGCCCTAGGAAACCGTTATCACCATCCAGAACATCCGTTATGGAACTGGGCAGATTATCTGTATCCAACAAGCCCGACTTGGCAGCGTTTTCATCGATATCGTTGGTGAAACTGTCGTCAAAAGTAGCAGGACCTCCTAGGAAGTCCAGCATCATGTTCATTCCTCCGCCTCCAGTGTACTGTTCCACATCAACTGGAAGAACGGAAGAAACTCCCTCAAGGAACCAAACTCTGTCCTTCATTTCTGCAGTAAAGTTTCTTAGTAACTTGTAGTAGCATCTCATGATTCTCATTGCAGAGATATCACATCCGATCAACAGACCCAAGAACGACCTGTCCAGAAGCGCAGGGAATGCAAAAACCCTTAAAATGAAGTCGGACTTCTTTCTTTCTTTTTGGAGTCTGTTGAGATACGCAAGAGTTCGCAGATATGGCGAGTCAAAAGCAACAGGATACAGATCGCTGATTTCATCATCGAAACATTCTAGATTGGAGAAGCGAGCAGGAATTTCACCTTCCTCGTTCATTCCAAATCCAATATCGCCCAAATCACCCAAATCAATGGAGATGAACTTGTAGAAACGCGATCTTTCCGTCAAAGGCCAAACTGCAGTTAGAATAGTAGCAGCACCTCTGACATGGAAAATCCAAGCAGATGGTGGGAGTGCCTGAGGTGATGAAGATGAAGGTAACGAGGCATTCGCCAACGAATCCATGATCAAAATCAAAGCCGCAGCAACCAGTGCATCGGTATTCTCATCAGACATCTCTAAAACAGCTTCTCTCAATAACCGCAACGCATCACCCCTGTGACACGTTACGCACTGGTCCAGGCCTCTTTCGGTTCTCGAGAGGTGGGTAGCACTGAATGCCAACACCGAGTGCATCAGAAAGGGATATTTGAAGGCAAGCATTGGGATGTCGTCACTCCAAATTTTCTCTTCTGAAATGCCAGCTGCTGTCACCGTGGGCCAGACCTTGGTGGTGTAATGATGCATGAGTCTCAGATCGAGCATGTTGAGAGCTCCAGTGTAACCAAACTGGAGGGTTGTTAGTGGTGAAGCGAGCGGAGAACCAGCAGTCAAAGGTGGTGAGTTGGTGATCGTAGGAGAAAGACTTGGCTGCAGCGAAGGTTCAGTCAAAGAACCCGAATTCGAGCCCAAATCGCCTGGAAACGAGCCGAGTTTTGCGTCTACACCAAATCCAGTATTCGGCGTGGGAACCAGAGAAGGTATTGACACATCCTCCACCTTAACCAATGGAACGGAACCGGCCTCATCCTTCTTATCTTTCATAATTGGCGAAATGTACACGCATTCCAGACCCATGTGCTCGCATTTGGCACAATGTGGTTTTCGTTCATCACTGAAATCCATGTTAGTATATGCAGTTTTGAATTTGTCCAAGTTTCAAATATCAAACTTACCACTTCACTCTTCTCCGCTTGCAAGTGGCGCAGCCCTTCCGACTCTTTGTATGGTACCTTTTCTTGCCAGTAGAAGTCTTTGAAACTCTTCCCGACGCGGTAGGCTCTTCCTTAAGTGAACCGAAAACACCGTCAGCATCCCTCCTCAAACCGGCAAGCAAAGCAACAGCCGTGTCCGAGGGATTGGCTTCCAGATCAATGACGGATTTCATTCCGTTGAGAAACTCCAGAAAAAAGTTTTTGAACGACGCTTTGGTCGTTTAGAAAATTGGGTGGTGCGAGAGCCAGTCCAGCACTTGGTAAAAACGCAAACTGGGCGGTGTGTCAGCCAAGACTAAAAATGAGGGTGGAGTCTTTGAACCTGTTGAAGATCAAGACGGAAAAATTTTGTGAAAGTAATTTCGTAATAACCGAGTAGGCTTTGAACGAGTGGGATACGAGTTGTTTGATAAAGTGTTGGGCTGTCTCGTCTCGTTCCGCTCGCATAGGGCCACGTCTGGGTTTTATTGTGGTTGAAACACGCCCTTTCATAACATTTGAGAGGCGGACGACGGAAAATATAACGAGGCAGCCTACGAGCATAGAATACAATGCATTTTTCTTCGTCAAATTTTTTTCTTCTCTATCTGCTTAATGATCATGAGGGTCCTCCTTTGGAGGTTCAGGATCAACCGTTATCATGGTGTCGATTCTGAGAATGGCAATACACGCCTCAAGAGCACTCTTCAACGACTTGATCTTACTCTCAGTTGGTTCCAACACTCCATACAATACCTCATCCACGATCTTTCCTTTGATCAAATTCAAACCGTAGTTCTTGTAATTCTTCTTCTTCAGATCAGCAGGTGCAGCTTTCTGGGATGACACGTGATACGCACGTAGTTTGGCAACCAGGTCCGAAGAATCCTTTGCAGCATTCACAGCCAAAGTTTTTGGGATAACTAACAGAGCGTTGGCAAACTCAGCAATTGCAAGCTGCTCTCTTGAACCCACAGTTGTGGCGAAACTTTCAAGATATATGTTCAAGGCCACCTCCACTGCACCTCCACCGGGAACAACGTTGCCGGATTCCAGCGTTCTCTTGACGACACTCAGCGAATCGTGCAACGATCTCTCCATTTCATCCAAAGTGTAGTCGTTTGGACCACGCAAAACAATCGAGGACGAGGAATGCGCTTTAGTGCCTTTCACAAGAATACACTCGTCATCGGAGATTCTCTCTTGCACAACCTCCTCGGCATAACCGAGATAACTGGACTCAAAAGTTTCGTCTCCCTCGAGATTACTCATGCTTCCAATGAAAGTGGCACCAGTAGCTCTGGCAATTCTCCTGAGGTCCTCTCTTTGGCAACGCCTCACAGCCATGACACCGCTCTCGACAAACTCTTTTAGACAGAGATCATCAATGCCCTTAGTAGTCAGAACCACATTGGCACCAGCATCAATGATCTTTCTGATACGTTCAATCACTATTCCGTATTCTCTTTTCCTTATCTCCTCCAATTGCTCTGGATCGTCTATGTTGATCTGAACTCCCATGGCCATACGCGCCTTCTGCAAGTTGATATCCAAACAGGCGATCTTGGCACCTGTCACCTTCTTGACCATAGCCTGAGAGGCAACAGTACAGTTCAAAGCATAACCGTTCACCAACATGGACTCTATAGCAGACTTTCCGTGTGCCTTCAAGATATTCACAGCCTTCACCGGGTATTTAGTTTCGCCCTTCAAGTTCGTGGTCTTCACCGACATCATGGCATCAACCACCATTTTACTGAAGAACTCTGAGTCAGCACCAATGATTTTACTCGACATCGACGTCTTGGCAATGTTAATCAACGATTCCCTTCCTAACACACCCACCGGTTGCGAAAGAACCTCATTTATGTATTTGGTTGCCTCTCTAAGTGCAACTCTGTAGCCTGTGATGATGGTGGTTGGGTGAATCTTGTCCTTGACAAGTTCATTGGCACGCTTCATCAGCTCAGCAGCAATGATCACTACAGATGTGGTACCATCACCGACTTCACGGTCCTGCTGTTGGGCCAATTCCACGAGAATCTTGCCGGCTGGGTGTTGAACGTCCAGAAGCGACAGGATGGTGGCACCGTCATTGGTGACAGTGACATCACCGATATCATCAACAAGCATCTTATCAAGACCAACCGGTCCCAGAGATGACTTAACGACATTTGCTACTGCCTGAGCAGCAAGTACGTTTTGGTTTCTGATATCATCGCCACTGACCTTCTCTCCTCCAAGGACTGTCTCGCGTTAGTAAGTGAAAATGCATGCGAGTTTCAAACACGTATTGAACACGCATTCAAAGGGGATAAACAAAAGAACATACAAAGAGTGTCTGAACGAGCAGCAGAAAACATTTTGATACAATATTAGTTTGTAACAAAGTGGAAGAGTGTGTAGTTAGCTTTGCTCGATTGATTCACCTCAACTTGACTACACCAAAGTCGCGTCCGCCGACGAATTTCATCGTGATGAGTATTACTCAACTGGGTGCTGATACTTACGCTAATGTGGTGAACGCACGCGATCGGGTGGAACCTGAAAATAGTAATATTTTAGGTATAAAACTATAAAATGGTGAGACGGGAGAGAGAGAAAACAAGAGAAATAAAGACGGGAGAAATCACAGAAGCCCTCTGGTTAACATGGCTTCATGAAATGGAGATGTCCTCGAGTGATCTTACTACTAGCCAGCCTTCCTCCGTGTCATCATGTGTAACCTGTAACCAGTCAAGATGAAGACAAATTAGTAGAAAAATAACAAACCAAAATCATTCAGAGTGTTTCCAGGAACACTTCAATCCAGAAATAAAATCTCGATCCTCTTTATAGGATAGTGCACTTCTTATTTTTCTTGATCACTGGAGGTTCTAGAGCGGCGACGATGGCTTCGTCAAAGACGTTTTTCAAGCCTTTTTGCGTCAAGGCTGAGCATTCAACGTATTTGACGGCTTTGAGTTCCTTGGCCAGCTTCTCACCCTGGTCTGGCGAAATTGGTCTGGCATGTTGTCTTTCGAGTTTTTCCAAGATGAGAGAATCGTTTCTCAGATCTATTTGGGTGCCGACGATTAAGCAAGGCACCTGTGGGGAATGATGGCTCACCTCTGGGAACCACTTCTCCTTCACGTTCTCGAAAGAAGGTGGTGAGATGACTGAGAAACAGATCAAAAACACATCGGTAGATGGGTAACTCAGAGGACGCAAACGATCGTAATCTTCCTGACCAGCAGTATCGAAGAGACCAAGAGTGTATGGTTCATCACCAATCATCACGGTCACAGCGTAGTTGTCAAAGACCGTTGGAACATAATCTGCAGGAAACTTGTTCGTTGTGTATGAAATCAGCAGGCATGTCTTTCCGACGGCACCATCACCGACAACGACACACTTCAGGGACTGCATTTTTGATTAGAGTATCGATTGCGAAAGGGGAGCGATGGAAATCACGGATATTTGGACTGACAGGTTAGTATTAAAATCAAATAATGAGTTATTTCATTCCAACAAAGCCGGGCAGAAATCTAGGAAATCTAAAATCCTGGTGGGCACAAAGTGGAAATGGTGATTATTCTGGTCGAGCTCAGAGCCCACCAGAACAACACACGCGTCCAGCAGGGCAGTGGTCGCATGATCTGATCAGCATGCGCTTTGGAAATAAAACGCATGGAACAAAACAATCGTTCAGGGCCCACTATCAGAATTGGATTGATCCCAATAGTGTGGACATTCCGGCACAGGTTTCGAGGTTGTAGTGTACAACCATAGCAGAACTTACTTGTAGGAGCAGTAAGGGTGAGACAACCGTGTAATGGGTACTTTCTCAGTGTCAACTAAAGCTCAACCTGTTGTTCTGGAATAATCACCAGCTGTATCAACTTTACCAAATGATCTCGAAGATTCAGTTCAAATGAAATAAACCGTGAAAATCGAACAAAGATCGCGATAGGATAACAAACCACCAGGCCCGGAAGATGGAAAGGAGACGTTTTGTGGTTTTTTTTCTGGCCAGTTAGTGGCACGGCGAGAGATGGCAGAGGCTCATGTTTACGTTTATGTCCTCTGCATACACAGTTTGAGGCGGATTTTGACAGTTCCAACCTGATATATTAATCTTTTGCTAGTATGTATTATTACCCAAAAGCATTGCGTGGTCAAATCACCTTCTCGAGAAAGTTGTTTCTAAGATTACGGCCAGATCATCTGGTAGCAGAGGCTTGGAGAGAAACCCGTCCATGCCACTCTCGAGACATCGGTTTCTATCCTCTCCTGCAACATTGGCAGTCAATGCCACAATCCTCGGCAAAAATCTTTCGTCTTGTGCGTATAATCTGCTGAGCTCTCGAGAGGCGGTAACCCCATCCATCACCGGCATTTGGATGTCCATTAGGATCAGGTCGTAGTTAGAGCCTGTAGATTCAACTTTTTCAGCACATTTTTTAATTGCCTCTTGGCCATCTTTAGCATGGTCTGCAATGTAGCCTTTTCTTTCAAGATGCCGCAAAACGACCTTTGTGTTCACCAAATTGTCCTCAGCGACCAAAATGGAGAGAGGATGGTTCTGGGCCATGTTGGAGTCAGCAGAACCAGCTCCTGTGCGCCGTTTGGAACCGGTCTCAATGGAGGCTTCACTATCAGCCTTGGACTCAGAATTGGACTCAATTGTGGATCCAATCTTGTATTCAGCTTCCAGTATTTGGAGCAATTTCGATCTCTTGAATGGAATCAGTAAAATCGAGGAGATTCCGGTACTGCTCAGCTCATGCGGGAAGGAAACACCAAACTGGGCGGTGAGGATGAATGTAGTCTGCGGGTTTTTTGTCTTCAGTTTCGAGCAGGCATCATAGCGATCAACTAAAAGATGCATGTTGATGAATACAAACTCAAAACCTCCATCTTTGCTAAGAATTTCCATACCACTGAACGAATCGCAAACGGTAACCCTAAACCCTAAACGTTCTATCTCCTCCTTCAAAGCAGTCCTTCCAAGTTTATTTTCGCCAACAATCAAGATCTTTTTATCCTGAAATTGAGGATACGTTGTTTGCTCCACGGGGACAATATTGGCTGCAAAGGTGAACCAAAAGGTCGAGCCTCTGCCTTCAACGCTCTCAAAAGTGAGATTACCGCCCATGAGATTTGCCAGACGCTTGGAGATTGCCAATCCCAGACCAGCACCGCCGTGGACTCTCCTGGAAGACCCATCAACTTGACTGAACATACCAAACACTTTCTCATGCGAATTGGCAGGGATTCCAACCCCGGTATCCTGCACGGAGATGCTGAACTCATAGCGACCCTCAGTTCCCACGATACGACAGGTGGTTTCTATTAGCACATAACCCTCCGTTGTAAACTTCACAGCATTTCCAATCAGATTTATGACTATCTGTCTGAATCGAGTTATGTCTCCTTTAATCATGTCCACATCACCGCAGCGATTGCAGTACACAATCTCCAATCCTTTGGAAGCGGCTTGCTCAGAGAGCAGCTGAACTGCGCTTTCAACGCATGATATGACAGAGAAAGGCTCATCTTCCAGCATTATTGAGCCATGTTCAATTTTTGAGAATCCGAGAATTCCATCGATAATGTTGAGAGTTACCATGGCAGAGCTCTTAATCGTTTCGACATATTCTCTCTGCAACTCCGTCAGACTGGTATCCAATAGGAATATAGCACAAGACAGTAATGAGTTGAACGGAGTGCGAATTTCATGTGACATATTGGCCAGAAAACTATCTTTCTCAGAAGTGGCATCTTCAGCGGCCTTTTTCGCTACGAACATCTGATTGTATAATTGGGCTTGACCCAAGGAGACTGCAGCTTGCGAGCACAACAGCCCAACAATATCCGTATTCTGCGAATCATACTTGACCATGCTGGATACTGGCTCGGCTTCCAGATAAATGGCTCCAATCACATCCATCTGGCTTCTGATTGGGAAACAGAGAGCAGAGCGAACTCTATTATCTTCAAAGTATGGATCATTGTCAGAGTAATGGCCATCGAAAAATAACTTGTCCTCTTCTCTGTTGATGACCTTATTTTGTCTGATACAGTCATTGAGCAGATTTACCGGACAAATGTCTGACTTTGAGGATATTGGATCCCTATCGAAAAACTTGAGTCCCGCATCAGCGGTGAAAACTGCTTCCAAGTACCTCTTACCACTCTCACCAACGAAGACTATAGCACCAAATTTAGACCCGGTAATTGTGGTTATGCTTTCTAGAGCCTTTGCCACGATTAATCGAGGATCTGTAGATTCAGAAATATCGATACACGATTTAATGGCCAGGGTCATGCTCACTGTGCTGAATGCATCATTGGAAGACTCGGAGTGCGGAGCTGCAGGCGTGCATATGTACTCCGCATCAGTTGGATCTCTCTCGTAGTCATCTTCCGTGTCATAAACATCATTCTCGCGGTATATCCAGCCTGTTTCGGTAAATTTAAAGTTCCTGTTAAGGGACCCTCTCCTGCTCTTATCTGCTTCAGAGCCAGAAGAGAAGCTTTCATGGCGGAGCTGATTAATGGGTGAAGAGGAGGTAGAGGGTTTGAAGGTCAAGCCCACCATTCCCACACCTGCCCAATCACTCTCCTTCAACAAAGAGCCATATTCGGTTAACAACTGATCCACTTTGATCTGGGAATCCCATTCAGTGTACAATTTAATGGCCTCTCTGAAAAACTTTGCGGCACGGATTCTGCTGTCTGCAGTAAGAAGCCAGCGCCCGGCCTCTTCACAGGCCAAAGCATGATCGTATAGTTTATTATACTTGACTGCAGCTGATACAGAGGCTTCAAAGAGATCAAGGATCTCCATCTGACTGGAAGTTTCCTCTTTGGCTCTGACAAGGGCAGTGACCAGCAAATGCTTGGAAAGAAACGCAGAAGGGTTGAACTTCGAAAACGTTTTGAGGTCGAGACGAAAACTGCTAGACAGCTCTGTAGCAACCGAATCATTTGCATCCGCTTTTATCAATGACAATAAGCCCCAAAATGTAACGATTGGAGTGAGGAACGTTACTGGAAGATCTGGTGTATAAGCCTTGACCTTCTCTTTCAATATTTCTACCGCAAGTGCATGTTTTCCCAAAACAGATGCCAGCATAAGTCTGAAAGTGTAGAATCCTCTTCTCATGTCTGGAATATGGACTCCTTCGACGAAGTCCACAAACCATTCCCTCCTGACGCCAAACGCATCCTCGTCAAATCTCTCAAATGGAACTTCACCTTTCAAAATCTTCACAGCCGTGGAGCACAGTGACGAAGCAGCACACTTGCTGTTTTCCAGTCCCTTTGGGCCCATGAACCGTGTGTTTTCTAGTTTCTGGAGTATTTCCGTCAAAGAAACCCCCATTGAAAACCAGCAGATGGTCTTGAAACCATAGTCAGAAAATCGGTTGCTGTTGCTGATGCTGTTGAATGGCAGACTTGCAGAAGAGACGAAAACCTCAGAATATCTTAAAATATCCACAACAGGTTCTACCAAAAGTCCGATAGTGAAGCAGAAGCATCTGTACACTTGAACTGCATCATTGGCTGGAGCCTGATTGAGCAATCTGAAGGCCAATTTCTCATATTCAAGAGCACGCAATAACCCAAGGTTGTGGTTTTCCAATGCTACGTAAGAAGCATAAATTGAAATCATGGAAGCAAAGCACTCCGAACGACCATAATCACTCAGTTTCTTCACTGATAACGTCAAAATAGCCCCTCCAAACCACAGCTTACCGATTTGAAATCCGACGGTTAAAATCTCGTTCATTATCAACTGGTGAAAATACACCTTTTTGTCAGTAAGGGGAGGTAACATTCCTAGTCTCCTGATTTCACTGAATGAACGAGGTAGCGAGGGAACGAGTGTGCCCATGACATATTCCTCGCACCACTTCTCATCATCATGAATCTCACTTCCCAAAAGCTCAAGAGCTTCCAGTCCAATCTTGAAGCTTTCTTCCAGACGTCCAAGTCTGACAAGTGAACGTAGTTTGCAATGGAGAAATTGAGTCCTGTCAATTGGATCATTGTAGTCTTGAACCAGACTATCCACCAGCTTCAGGCCCTTCTCATACTGTCCATAAGCAAACAAAACTTGAAAAACAATGATGTTGAGTCTCTTCAACAAGTCAGAATCTTTATCTTTCTGTAGAAGCTTTTTGGCACTTTCGAAGTATCTCAGAGCCAGCTCGAAGTCGTAGCCACCATATGCAAACCAGCCTGCTGTGGTCATCACATCAACATAGATTGGGATATCTTCATCTTTGGCAATTTCATAAGATGCCATAAAAAATTGAGCCAGCTCAAAATATGTACTCGCAGTCACAGACCGATTTGACAGCGATTCGTATAACCTCAGGCCACACAGTCGTTGGTATGTCCGTAGATTGCCAGTTTTATTCAGATCCTCTAAAATGATATCCTGGAAACTTTCATGAACAAATTGAAAGGTTGCAGCAGTAGCCATAAATTGAACATCTTCCGCTGTAAAATCAACTGCAAACCTTTCATCTCCAACAAGATGAAACGGAAACTTGTAAAATATTGTGTTGGCCGATATGGCTCCCCATGACATGGCGACATTCAAGTCACTGCAAACGTCTCCCAGAGATTTCTGGCTAACAGTAACCAAATCAGCCAATGAGAATATCATTCCACCGGAAATACAAGCTGCGTATCTCAATGTCGTGGTGTCATTACGAGGTTTAAACGATCTTTCGAAGAGATTTGAAGCGCTCGATGGCAGTGATACCTTATTCAAGACTTCTTTGTCGACTTTCAACTGAGTCATTTTGACTGTGTGACTGTCAGATATATCAGGAGCAGGCATCCTCAATATCCTGTTCACTAGCATTGCTCTTGTAGTAATTTCCACCATCAATGGATTACCATTGGTGTATCTCATGAGGATGTCACTCATCAGCTTCACCGAAGGGTCTTCGTACTGAGGCAGGAGTCGCAACATGAAATCAACAAAAACATCTTTAGAGCCAGTCACAACATACGAATCCTTGGCAATTGCTTTATTCGTCTTGCTGACATGCGCTTCCTGAATGCAGTTTGCAGCATACTCTTTCAGCGAATCCATCCCCAGATTATCCAATGGGATGATTTCGTACTCTATGAAAGAATTCGTAAAGACTTCAAAGGGAGTAGAGTCTCTGTAGAACTTGTACTGCTCGTTGTTGGTCTCATACGAGCCAACCAGTACTAGCTTTGCCTCAGTGGGTGCGTATTCTGAAGACACAAATTGATAGATCTCCTCCACTATCATGTACTCTCCCGGCGTTGCTCTGTGTATATCATCAAAACATACGGTCAGCCCTTTTTTGGAAAAAAGTCCAAACATACACTTGATAGTATGCTTGTAAGTAGACTCAAGCTGTAAAGATAAGTACTCGCTTCGCAACAGCTTCTTAGAGTCCGGTAGTGTTTCAAGGTAGCGTTTTCCCAAAAGCTCCTTCAGTTCCGGGATCACATTGAACATGATGGACATGTCGATTTTGATATTGTTCACAAGAGCAGATCTCCACTTGGCAATGTTTGTTCTGTTCGAGCCCATTATCTGGTGAATAACCTGTCTCAACACATAGATGGGGGACGTATACACAGATCCTGTCTGTTGGAACTTGTCTGATCTCCAATAAGCATAAAACTCGTTTTTGCCTATGACAATTGATTTCAAATCCAGCAGCATTCTTGACTTGCCGACTCCCCTTGGACCTGTTAACATTATAGCTGAAGCTGCTTTCTCGCTGCCATATAGCAGCTCGGTAACTCTGTTTATATCGTCTTCACGTCCATATGTCCGTCTAGGGAACCGAAACTTGTAAGCCGGCAACGGATCAGGAATCTCCTGGAAGGCATCAGAAGGGGATATTTCTCTGAGAACTTTGTTGAGATCTCTCATTATTATACTGGCACTTTGGTATCTACCATCAGGTTCTTTCTCCAGCAAAGCCAACACTATGTTCCGCAAATTAGGTGGGATCCACTCATAGGCGGCATCAGGAATGGTGGGCTTCTGCAGGACGTGCATGATGCTTATGCGTGATACATCATCAGTAAAAAACGGTAAACGACTGACCAGCAGCTCATAAAGAATAACTCCAAAAGAGTAGAAATCAGATCTGAAATCCATGGGTCTGTTCATTTCCGATGTGCTTTCCGGAGACATGTAAGGGATCCAGTCACTTGTTTGTTTTCTGTTTCCTGCTCTGAACGGATTCTTCAAATGCTCTGACCTCAAAGAAAATGCAAAATCCCAGCCTCCTATTTGGATATTGTCATCTTTATCGATATATATCTTGGTTGGAATTAATCCGTTGTGAGTGAAGCCCCGAATGTGAACATTATTGATCACCTCCAACACTTTCAAGCCATACCTCAGAACCATGACCACATCCCCACGAGAACGTGGAATCAGGGAGTGTTTATAATCTGCATGTACTGCCAATCCAGTTCCAGAACCCATTTCTCCAATGTTTTTATCCACAATCGGTAAAACTGTCGCCAGAGTAGTCGCTCTTCCTTCGGTTGGGTCCACAGCTATGAGCGCCAGTCCCTTTGACTCAGGAAGAAACACTAAGTTGTCAATAGATAAAACGCCTTTCATTCCAGCTAAAGTCGATCCTTGAATATCACAAGACGGGCTGTAGAGTTCTCCATCAAGCATATGTTCAACTGCCTCAAGTCCATGACAATGCTCCGAACATACATACCAATGGTTAATCAGTCTAGCAATACTTCCCAGAGAAGCTGCTGGTGTGAAATATATAAGCATTTTTCTCCTAGTGGTAATTTCAAATCCCATATAGGCACCGATGAATCCTTTTTTGGTCTCTGGTAATCGTTTCTCTAACACATAACCTGGTATAGAGTCTTTCTTAACGTACCCTTCGAGATTCCAAGCATTGAGCTCCTCTATCAAAGTCTCATCTGTAGTTTTTCGCACCAGCAAAGTATTCAAGTCTGCCTCGTTAAAAAACACATTGATATTGTCCTTGTCGCTCAGAGGGTTGTGCATGCCGCTTTCCATCGAAAATCCCTTAAGATCCACAACATTCGGAATGGCTGTCGAAGGTGGAACGGCCACCATGGGTCCAATCATACCAATAGCGTCTGATATATGAGGTGATGACATTCCCTGTGGACTATCAAGATAGTCCGAGGCCATATCAGTGCCCGCAAGAGGCGACATGTACGAACACAAGTCGTCCGAGACCACGTCCGCGGCATCAAGCAACGATGTGGGAACCGGAACAAACGTTGGTTTTGTGGTTTCCTTTCCGGTCAATTTGAGGAACGACATTGTGTTTAGATATTTTCTGTTGATAGGCGTCTAGTGTATTCTTGGAAGAGATCGTGTAAGGAAGATCTCGGGCTGAGCAATCATCAAAGGGATGCGGCTCGAAGGGTAAAAACAGCAAACCTAGATGGGGACCTCGAATCCGGCTCAAAATGCTTCTAAAGGCACAAAAAGAACAGGCAAAAGACAGCAAAACTACTCAGAATCTATGAAGCAGCCACAACCTTTCTGGAAAATATTTTCAACTCCAGGATTTATAAGGGGTTCAACATCTAAGCAACCCTCAGTCCCATTTCAATGGACACACATTTAGGGCGATATGCATAGGAGCGTCATCTGCGCCTAGCCGATAGCGTGCATGAACTGATGTGAACTTTAACGCGGGTTGGTACTAAATATGATTCGCTACGAATAAGCTTATTTGGAAATTTATGAAAGAAGAACTTTTTGAAGCAAACCAAATTCTTCTATGTGTCTATTAATCTTCGTCGCTTTCGCTCTCGCTCTCAGCTTCCCTCAGCCATTCGACCCACTTTCCGGCCTTAGACCCAAACTCTCCTAGACCCTTGGCCTTAGCACCATCCCACCATTGGTAAATCTGTTCCTCTTCAACAATATCCTCTTCATAGAGAACGTTCAAAGAAAGCATTAACACACTAGCACCTGTATCTGCACTCTTGAAGTCTTCGCAAGCCTTTTGCAAAATCTGGAGTAAATCAACCTGGTCTTCAAGTTCAAAAACTTGTCTCTTGAATAGAGAACCCCATTGATTGAAAACCTTCAATGTAGCTTCCTTCACACCCAAAGTCTGGGTCTCGATGAAATGCTCGACCCTTTTGGTCATTGCTGAACATGTAGCCAGTCTGACCTCATGATAAGTCACATTCATGCTCATTCTCAGTGTGTTTAGCTCCAGTAAAGCGGTATCGATATCATGGTTGTTCTCCATCGCTCTTTCCACTGTGGCAATGGCTTCTTTTCCAAATTCCTCTTCATCGTCGTATTCCTCATCGGTCATGGTGTAGGCCGAGTTTATCGATTGTGTTCTCTTCTTGCGTCTCATGTTCAGCTGACCAGCCACAACTGTGGATGCGATCGACACATCCGACATGTTCAATCCCTTCATTTGATACACAATACCGTTGTACACTGCACCATTGGCGGAATCATCTTCGTCTTCGGTGTCAGATTCGTAGAGGAAACCAACACCGTTTTGGCCAACAACTGAAGGGTCGTGGGTAGCACTGGTTGGCCTTTCCTTGTGAGACTCATCTTCACTTATATCTGACTCATCGTTTTCAGAGCTTTCATCTTCTGAATCTAGCGATGTGATCATCGAGTCTGTGAGTTTTTGCACAGGAACCTTGACGATCTTTGTATTATTAGGAACAATCACGTTCTCGTCAACCACCACCTCGAATCCAATCACGGATCCAGAGTCCACCATCACATTAGGCCTTACTTCAGTGTTCGCTGCAATGATAGCATGTCTGATAACACATCCATCGCCAACCACAGCACCATCCCAGATGTACGAGTGTTCTATAATCACGTTCTTCCCAATCGTACAATTCCTTCCAATTACAGAACTTGTCACCTTCGTTCCATCTCCAATGAAAGTTTCAGAGCCAATGGCCACACATGAGACGATCTTACAGGACTGTGACAGTATGACTCCTTCCTCCTTGTATATGTGCTTCGACTCGTGGGTGTAGGTCTGGTCATCCAACAAATTCCGATCTGGGGCGATTGGATAGCACCATCTCTCCAAAACATCCTGGCTCACGGCATCGTAAGTCTGCCACGATTCGACTCTTGCGGCGTAATCGTCCTTAGTTACATGGGCATAGATGTTCTTCTTTAACAGATCAGAACTTAACACACCCTTAATGAAGTCTGATCTGAGAGATTGGTAATCAAAATTCTCCTGGAAAATCGCAGGAACAGCTGGCGAACAGATATCGACGTGACAATCGATCAGGTCGTTTCTGATCTCAAATTCTCCCACATCCTCCAAGATCTCAGGGTCTATGCTCACGGCAGACTTGGCCCCAGAAACAGCCGGAATGTCCTGAAAGTAAAGGCATCTGCTGCTAGTCTTGTCCAGTATGAAGCACGAAGGTTCCACATGACTTCTTGTTCTGTGCAAAGGAGAGGCCTCGGTCAGAACCATAGTAACAATGTGGTCTTTGTCAGCTATTCTCCTAGCTCTATGTGCAGCAACAACTTTGTCTAGCTCCAAATTGGTGATTACGTCACCAGATACCAGCACAAAATCGTTTGTTATAAGACCACGTGAATCAACGTCTCTCATTGCATCACCCACTGATTTTGACTCCAGAGACATGACAGTTTGAATCTTCTTGAATGGTGAAGATGATGAAACCCACTTGGACTCGTCGATGTAGCTTTGGATTTGGTCACCGTGAGCAGAGCACATTAAATAAACCTCGCTGACATTAGCCTGGGCCAAAAACTCAAGAGTGTATTCAATCAGAGGCACATTCGCCAACGGTAGTAGACACCTTGGCCTCACCGAGGTCAGAGGCATGAACCTGGTCTGGAAAGAGTCAGTTAGCACAATGGCCTGCAAAGCAGGTTCATCCTCTTCCACATGAGTTCCCGAGGCCTTTCTGCTGGATTTAGGCGGCATTCTTGGTTCAAAAAATCTGAATTAGTGTGGTCTGGAAACCTGATCCAAACCTTTAATGATTGATTGAGCCCGTGATGACTCTCACTTTTTTTCCGACCAGAGAGGGCGTGTACGAACAAACTTTAGCTTTCGTGGTTTTGGCCGAAAGTCCACTCTTCACGAGCCTAAGAATCCCTTGCTTAAGGGTTACCAAAGACTATATTCTAAAAAATAATCGAACAATGAAATTGATCCCGAACTGAAGCACAAAAAACTAGCAAAATCGCAAAAAAAAAAGGACAAATGCTCCAGGAGGGGTTTGAACCCACGACCGTCGCGTTCCTCACACGACCGTGACATCGACATAGACGTCCCAATTGTTACGGCTATAAGCACGAAGCGCTAACCTCTGCGCCACTGGAGCATCTGCAAACCTTTGATCACAAAACAACTGGTCATATGCAGAGGGATTTTTGTTCCCGGGGCTCCTAATCTTTAGTCTTTTTTTTGCTTGAGTGAGATCAATTGACCAATATTTCAGTTATTCTTGTATTGATCTAAAATATTCAAGCTAAAATCAAAGGATTTTATGTACTCATCTGGTTTTTGGATTCATGGTTAGGGAGATTGAGGTTGACCTTGGAAAAGAGATACTGCCCGGAGACGAGAAGCGTTACCTACAAAGATGAATTGAAAAGGAAGCCTGTAGAGGCCCATAAAGGCCCTTAGAGTTGTAGTGGTACAATTATATGGCTGATAGTTGATACCAGGTCCTGATGTTTTTGAAAAAACAGCAACAGTGACGTGATTTATTGAATATGCCTCAAAGCCTGTGGTGATAATTGTGGAATTCTGGATTATCTGAGAAAAATTCATAATTCTGTAACAAGCATACTTCAAAATTAGCTAAAAACCATGATATTTGCAGATTGCGAAAGTTGCTAACAAACAGCTTCAAGTTGAGGTCGAGAAGCTATATTCCAAAACTCACAACTAAAAAACCACACATTTCACCTGATTGAGCCGCAATCCTGGATTCAATTTCGAGAACTCAGATATCTCCAACTAACTGCAAACTCAACCTCTGAAAAAATTTAAAAAACACCAAAGAAACAGAGTTAGGTGGCTCTGAAAATATACAGAAATGCGTTCTTTTTACAAACAAGTAGCGAATATTCTATTGAATGTTTGATCGGAATCATGCAGATGCCTTCTCCTTCTCATTATGTACAGGTTCGTCTTCACGGTCTGGTTCATCCAAACTCAACTTATCCTTGACAATAACAACTCTTTCTCTCTCCTGGCTGACCTCATCCTTGATGAGTTGCTCCTGCTCCTTGACCACATTGAGTCTCTGTTGGTGAGTAATGTTTTCATCGTCAACCTCAAGCTCTGTCTCATGGTAGATTTCTTCTGGTAACGAACTCAAAACTGCTTCCAGCGCTGCATATTGATTGTCGTAGTACGTCACGTCACCATAAGTGTATGCATTTGAAAGTAAGAGGAGAGTTGAAGGAATCTTTTCTCTTAATCTCATGTGTAACCAGTTCTTCAAATGGTCTCTCAGATCCTCAGGAGCAACTCCATGGACCTTGATACCACGCGAAGCGCAGGCCATCTGAAGCTCTTGAACAGACAGAGACTCGACATGCTCATACATGATCAGCTTGTCGTCGTTTTTGATCTTGAGCATCTTGTGTCTGATTCTATATCTCAAGATCTGGTCTGACCCAAAGGGCTTCATATTTATGTATTTTGCCATTGCGACTAAAACAGATCTGGAAACATTGTCTAAAACAAGATCATCTTTGAACAATCTTGCAACCCGAATAAGCTGTTCATGGGAAATCTCCTCTTTCGAAGAAGACCTAATCTTGCTGTAAAAGTCTTTGAAATCCGCTCTTTGTTCTGGCGTCACGGTACTTGGCAGTTTGATGTTGGATCTACTGTTTCTCAATACCTCGCCGACTTTCGCCCTAGTTTTCCTGAGAATTTTCAACTTCTTTTCCTTCTCCGGCTTAGACTCGTATGTGGAAGGCAGCATATTTGGAAAAAGCTTCAAAGCCACCGGTAACAAAAGTTCAGCAAAAGGTACCAGAACAAAAACTGCAAATGGAAATAATCTGAAAATGTCATTTGTAGTTCTCTGAAGTTGTTTGTACTCTCTTCTAGTCAACTCGTAACCAGAGGCCATTTTGATCAATAGCTTACTGGAGATCTTGACCTCTAGTCCTAATAACTTGGTTCCGTCCCAATAATGATGGGCTTCGTGCTTCACCTTTTCCCAGACGGTGAGTTTTTTTGTATTTGGGGTTGGAGTTGGAGACGAGCCTGCTGTCGAATTAACAAATCTAGTTCCCGATGTCGCAAATGCTCTTCTGGGGGTTATTCCAGTTTTCAATCTAGAACAAACAACTAAATTGTGTCTGAAAAGTGTACCTCTTAATGGAGCATACACAGCCCAGCTGGCTAGACCTGCCCTAAATATGACACTTGACATCATATATATGGCGAAGTATGGTAGAACGGAGTGTTGCTCGAGTTAGCTCTATTGTGCTTTAACCTTAACATCGAGAATGGTACTTAGTGCCTGAGTATACTCTGCTCAGACCACAATTTACACAACCACTCATCGCGTATCGCACGCAGAAAATTTACTAGAGAACTTCTCAGAGATGCGGTAGACTCCATATTCGAGAATTTTTAGTTCTTGAGCTTAACGGCACGATATTACTCACGCGTTCTTTTGAAGTATGGCCAAGAGAAGTAGAAACGAGCTTGCTGCCGATGGGAAACCAAAGGCCGTGGCTTCGAGTGCTTCTGCTGAAGAAGCCACTGAGGTCAAAGTTGTTACTTCAGGTGCTTTGCAGGGTGATGAGTCAATGTCGGGTGCTGAGATCTCGGAGCAAGAAGAAGGAGAATCCTCGGAGAGCGAAGAGGAGGAGGATGAACAAGCTCCTCAGTCAAAGAGGACGAAACCGCAGCTTGCCGCTCAGGATGTTCAAATCGCAAGAGAGGCTGCAGAGCTCTTCAAGTCCAACATCTTCAAGATGGAAATAGACGAGTTGTTGAACGAGCTCCGCTTAAAGGAATCACACGTTGAGCTTGTTGAAAGGGTGTTACACAGACTTCACGATGTCATACGTCAGGTGCCCGAAACCGGCGATCTTACTTTGGCAGAAGCTGAGGAGAAGTTCGTAAAGGGAAAGCACGGTTCTACGTCAATTCCGTTTCCCGACCCTAAACCATCTTCAAATATCAATTACAAGTTCAAATATCTTTCTCCAGAGGACATTTCGTTGGTGGGAAGTTTTGGTCTGAAAACTGGTGTGCAGAGACCTGGAAAGATGGTCGTGGATGTTGCCTTGACCATGCCACAATCTCTCCTTCAGCCAAAAGACTACTTGAACTACAGGGCTATATACAAAAGAGCCTTTTATCTGGCTCACTTGGCTTCTCATTTGACGTCTTTGTGCAAAAAAAATCGTCTTCCAGTGAAACTCTCATACGAGTTTTTGAACGGAGACGTTCTATGTCCGTGCTTGAAAATAGAGCCGATCAACCCAGAAAAGAAGCACGAAGAAGACTTGATTTTTACGAGAACTAAGATCTCCATCCGCATTCTGGTGGGATTCGAGTTTGGGATTTTCGAGGGCAAGAAGCTGCTGCCAGACAGAAATTGCATCAGGGTTCAGCAGGAGCATAAAAGCGAGGATTTACCACCAACACCACTTTACAACTCATCAGTACTCACGTCCTGCACCTTCAGCTACTATCTGAAATACTTGTACACAAACAAGAAGTCAGCCGAGGCTTTCAGAGATGCTGCTGTTCTAGGCAAAGTGTGGTTAGCCCAACACGGCTTCAAGTCTCACATCCAAGACGGAGGATTTGGCCATTTCGAGTTTGCTATTTTGATGGCAGCACTTTTGCAAGGTGGAGGTGAAAATGGAAACAAGATTTTGCTTCATGGGTTCTCCAGCTATCAGTTGTTTAAGGGTACTATCAAGTACTTGGCAACTCAGGATCTTTGTCATGATGGTTATCTGTCTTTCACCTCTCTCATTGGTGACCACAACTCGATATATAAGAAGGAAGGCTTTAATGTTCCCACGATATTCGACAAGAACACAAAGTTGAATATCCTTTGGAAGATGTCCAGATCAAGCTACGAGGCTTTGAAGAAGCAGGCTCAGGAGGCCTTGAGATTGCTGAACGATGTTGTCAAGGACAGATTTAGAGATATTTTCATTTTGAACAGCACGGACTCGAATTTCAACTTTGATTTGTCGTTGAGCTTGCCAGTGGACAGATCTCTGGAGGGTACTCTTTCATTTGGTTCTCTCGAGAAGATCCAACTTCTGACCTTTGAAAACTTCCTCACAAACAAAATATTCAAGTTGGTACATCGCGCTCTCGGAGATCGTATCTCCGAGGCAGTTGTTTCTGTGGAATCCGGGGCTTCTGCTAGTTGGTCTTTGCAGAGGCGGAAGCCATCAGATGACTCTAAAACCTCTACAGTTCACATAGGGTTGTACTTGAATCCACAGGAGGCCGATAAGAGAGTGACAAGGGGCCCTGCTCTGGATGATAAAGTTGAGGGTGAACGGTTCGCTTCTTTCTGGCAATCAAGAGCTCAAGTCAGGAAGTTCAAAGACGGAACTATTCAGTATAGTTGTTTGTGGAGTCCACCACCAGACGTTCCAGTGATTGTCAACATACTGCAATATGTCTTCCAGCTCCATCTTTCTTCTGAGCTTTCCGATGCTTTAGAATACAGTTCGAAATCGTTTACAAAACTGTTGCCAAAGTCGTCTGTTTCGCTTCCACCAGCTACCCTATTCCAGAACCTCAAAAACTCTTTTGATGCTCTTGCTCAGCTCACCTTGGACATGGATCTCCCATTGCGAGTGAAGTCCGTGTCACCTGCCTCCACGCAACTCAGAAACGCGTCAATTATACCTGCTGTCCCATATGCTATTGGCAATCCCGATTTCTTCAACGATGTCGTGATCCAGCTGGAGACCAGTGTCAAGTGGCCAGATGAGCTCTACGCTCTGGAAAACACAAAGACTGCGTTCCTGCTCAAAATCCACGAAAATCTACAAGGACATGACGGGTACAGGTCCTACGTGACTAGACCTCTGGACTCCGTTCCCTACAACAAAGCCATCACACAGTTAAGGATATTAACTCCACAAGGCTATGGATTCAGTTTCAAGATTCTCACAGAAAGAGATGAGACGCTGTATCTCCGCGCCGTTGAAAATGGCGAAGAAAAACAGAAGACTGAACTACAAAAAGTGTACATTAGTTTCCAACAACATTACATTGCTTCAGTGAAGCACCATAGAACCGTCAACAGGCTCATGACACGTTACCCAGCCCTGTCAGGCACTGTGAGATTGTTCAAGCATTGGTTGGACTCCCAGCTTTTGCTGAGCCATTTCTCAGAGCCATTGATCGAGCTCATTGCATTAAAACCATTTGTCGATGCATCGCCGTACCCCACACCTAACGGTCCCGAAGTGGGGTTCTTGAGAATATTGCAATTCTTGAGTCTGTGGAACTGGAGGGAAGATCCTTTAGTATTGGACTTTTCTGACCAGACTGAAGATGTTACGAGCGAATACTCTGACCGTCTTTCATTGCAGACATTCCAACTGATCAACAACAACTTCCAAATCATGAGAAAGCAGGATCCTTCCGGCTTGAACGTCCAATTTTTTGTTGGCTCTAGAGATGACTTGAGCGGAAAATTGTGGTCTAGTTACGTGCATGTCGCCATGGCCACTAGGTTGACCGCTCTCTCCAAGGCTGCTGTGGGATTGCTTAAGAACCAGACAGGCAAACTTATCGAAGAGTCTGTTCTGAAGCTTTTGTTCACCCCCGCCTTGGAAGACTACGATTTCGTGATCAGAGTCAAGACCGAAGATAACAGCACATCCAGTGGATGTCTTGCTACTACCAAAAAGGAGACTTTCAAGAACCTGGTCAATGTGCTCAGTGAGTTCCCAGAGACTCCCAAAGAGGTCGAGTCGGCCAGAGACCCAACCGTCGAGTACACCAAAGAACTGAACAAAGTCTACGAGAATTCCATCATCTTCTCGAGCAACAGGTACTCAGGTCCAAATGCTGGTGAGAATGTGATCACCGGTCTGTACAATCCGGTTGTGGTTCAGGGCGAGAAGAAATTCAAGGTTGGTCTGGACTTCAATTTCAAGCCATCCGGTGAGGGAAAAGTTTTGTTCAACAACGACGCAGTATTGAATGAAATCATCACCATGGGTGGTGATTTGGTGAAAGGATTCGAGTCGAAATAATGGCATATATATTAAAATAATGTGAGCCTGTCAGGTTTTTCATCTGAGGTCCGGAAGCAAGTCATAGTGTTAACCCGTAGAATATGACAGATAGGCAGAGCTGGTGATGGTGTGAGCGATATCAATCTACGCCAGATAAGCTCTACAACCTGCACAAACGTATCACGGTTACCTTACAAAAATCACCATATATATCCAAGGCTCTTGATCGGATAGACACAAAGTCGTTAGTCAGCCTAATTCCGATGTCGCAGCCGAACGAAGGCGCCATTCAAGAGGTCACCGATGACATACAACTGAACGACTTACGGGTGCGAGACCTGAGAAGGGCAGAATTTCAACGGAACTTTGCACAAACGACAGAATTGGTCACTTACAGCTTGATTCTACTGCTATTTCTGGCCGATGAGTCGATACTACGGGCTGGTATCCGAGTTTTTGTTCAGCTGGTAATCACCAATCCGTTTCTGCAGACGAACGTGAGAGCCACCGATCATACTAACGATTGGAAACGGATCATTGCCAAGAAGCAGCTGCAGATGCTGATGATAGTGAACTGTTTTTGTATTGCTGTTCATCTAATGTTCCCGCCCGGGCACGTTGTGACTGACACTGGTATGAGGCTTACGGATTACACCCATGGGAGCACTACCCTGGACATTATAGGGGAACGGAAGTTCCAGCATTGGTTTTTCGAATACTGCTATGTTTTGATGCTGGATATCATAATTTTTTCATTTCAAGCTTTGATGTTCTGTGTTGAATGCATACATAACCAGAATATTACCACAGAAGAGGAGCAAGCGCAGATAGAGGGATTACAGGAAATACCGCCTGAAGGCTCCAAAGAAAGAGCCGACCAGGAATTTGATGGCTACATGGGAAATGTGGTACTATTCTCCATTTCCCCTATGAAGGTTCTCCAGATAGTGGCGCGCTTTTCAAGAGGTGAAAACACGCCCGAGATTGACTGGACATCTGTTGCATCATCTAACGCATGACTACGAACAAAATTTATTAACGTTTTTTGAATGCTCTTTTATTCTGCTAGTTTATCGGACAACTCTTCAAATACTCGGCCTTATTTTTCAAGATCCTCACACTTCTGAAGAAGATCTCTTCCGGTGGAATGGCCCCCGTGCTCTCGACATTGTAAATGAAGTGCGTTCTCTTTCTTCCAAGCTTGACCTTACCGTTGAACTCATCGTGTCTCAACACCTCTCTAGATACGGTATCTTTTCTAGGATCCGCAACGAAGGCTTGGCCCTTTGAGTCGATACCAATGACCCCACTTGGGAAACACTTCTGGAACTTCTGTGCGTCCGTTCCCGTGATTGGCTGTATGATGTCAATCTGTGGTAACAGTCTGTACGAGGCGGTACTGACAGGCGAAAACTTGGCGTGGTCGGAACCCAATCCCAATATACAGTGAACTCTCAGCGACACCTCCTGGCCATAACGTAGCTTCACCAGCAAAATATCGGGATCACAAGGAACAACGGGCTGGTCGGCGAACACCTCTACCTGTCTTCCTTGGGGCTCGAATACCAGATCCCTGGCGTAGACACTCATCGTCTTGTCCTTCTCCTTGCACTGAACGTCCAAACTCAGCACTATGGTGTTATCATCTGTGAATTTTCCATCTTCTGGGGCATTTGGATCGACCCAACTGAGAAGTTCGGGATCCACTTTCAATGGAATCATACCAATACGGTGGGCAAGGACTTCGTCTTGAACTACCGATGTGTTGTTGTAAACATAAACGTGCTCAGCAGCGACACTGGGCACCTCAGCAAGCATTATTCTCCTAAAGGCATTGGCTATCGATGTATCGATGTTGATCAAATCAAAGTTGGCTTCTCTCTCAGTTATATGCTTGATATCTACTCTGAGCTGGGACTTGAATGTGTCGAGGTCCCAGGCATGTTGCTCGCCGTTGGTAGAATAACCCGGAAAATCTGTGGATGTTGTGTTTGTCACACGGTCATGTTCTATTCCGATAACATCCGACATTGTTGTTGGTGGTTTAAGCGATAATTCCAAATTTTGATTTATCATCAAAGCTTGAAACTTAATGCTTTAAAAAAATTTTTGGGATAGTGAAAAAGGGCGTGTCGCGATACTAATTACCGTGCGATGGATGGCAGATCTTATTGTCCGAGATGAGGGAAGGGCCAGGAGCAAAGATCTGCCATGAAGGGGAAGCTACAAGAGGCTGTGTTAAAAGGTCAGTCTACTCTCGAATTCCCTCAAGATTGCGCCAGTGTACAATTCTGAAGGTATTGCAGACTAATATCAGTCCATTGAACGTTGGAAGTCTGTTGATAGTATTATAATGGAAGACACCCTCGCGACAGTGTCCCCAACCGTCACAGAGGCCGAGCCATCCGCGGACGTGGCAGTGAACTCAACCTCTGAGAAAAGCCTAGCTGTGAAGACTGAAGAAGAAACGGAATCTATTCCGAGAAGTTTGGATCCTTCTAAGATGTCGGTACCACCAGCATTGCCCGTGAGAGCACACGATGATGGCCTTGAGCCAGCACAAAATAGCATAGCGGACACTACTGCATCATCTGTGAGGTCGATAAGGTCAGACGGACTAGCATCAGAAGCTATTCCACCTCAGTTGCCTGCCAGGCATCCAAGAGGCGATATGGAAGAGATCGAGCTAGATTCTCCCAAACTTCCACCTCGAAGAACTGAAGCCTCGCCTCTTCTGTCTCCTCCTCCAGAACTACCCTCGAGAAAACATAGAAATGAGAGAATAACAAGTCTTGCCAGCGACTTCCAATTCACCGGTTTTGCGCAAAAACAGCGGAGTATTTCCGGACTGTCTACGCCTGTTGAGCCCCAATGTGAAGAGATTGATGCTTCCAAGTATAAAGCTGATTCTACACTTTTCGGGTTCGTCGCACAATTGGAACTAGTTGATGAGTATGTGGAACTCTTGAGGGATACTGAGGATGCTGCTGACGATTACACAGTGGACCTTGGTTGGGAGGGAATACTGGCGGATTTAGACGAGAGAAGAGGGCTCGATTCTTTGTATGAAGATATGGCTGGGGGGAAGGCCAAAGGATTCGAATGGTGGTTCACTAAGAGTTATTTGAGTGAGTCGTCGAATCCAATCGATGGTAAATGGAGCAATCTATTGAACTCTTTTGAGTTTGGAACCCCAAACGATGACAAAGTTCGCCAGTTTCTTCAGTTCTCATTGAACAAAACCCCAGCTTCGGAACTGGCTTACCGAATAATCAGAAGTACTGAGTTCTTGGATCCTCTGTTCTTAATTTCCACGTTGGAATCCGAACCTGGACTCGCAAAAAGTCTAACATCTGCGCTCGAAGAGGAATCTCTATTCGGTAGCGTCTCTCCTCAATTCCAAACGCAGATACTTTTGAGAGGATTTGATCCATTGCTGGAGCAAATAGTGCTCAAGATTCTAGAATCACAAAGTTTTGATATCGGAAGCTTCAATGACCTTTTTTCCGGAACGCCTCCAAGCATATTCATCCCCCATTACGCTATCTGGAAGGAATACCACAGTCTAAAACATGGCCTGAAGTATCCAGAAAAATCGAGACAGGTATCCACGAAACTTGCCAACAAACAAAGACACCTTTTGAGCAAGAAAGAGAAGAGCCAACAGCAGTACAACGAATTGCTGAATAACTACCAACAGCTCAACGAGGAGAGGTTTCACAATGAAAGATTGATCGGAAATCTGTCAAAGGCCAACGATAAACTGAAGGCAGAACTCGCAACAAGAACGCGGGAACTGAATTCCATGCTTTCCAACTTTGACGTTATCAAAATTAACAATGACAAGAACCTTGGGATCGCCAAGATCAATTTTGATCTCTCGAAGGAAGTGGCCGGACTACAGAAAGACGTTGCTGCATTGAAGCAGGAAATTGAAAAGATCAAGAAGTGAAAAATGAGGAAGAGACTGGACTGGAAAGGGAGACTGGAATCCTATCGACCCTTTTGGTCAACCTACAGATTATCAAAAAATAATTCTCAACTCAGCATATACATACATCGAGCTGGAACTCCGGCAGAACGTCCACGATATCACCATGAACACCACACTTGTAGCCTTTGCATTGATTGAAAATCTCGTATTGCTCGTTCAAACTGAAACATAAAAAAATAGCTTCCCAGATTGGATGACTGGTTCTCCACACCACATCCGCCAACCAGCCCCTCGCGACTGTGTGCTAACTATGGCAGAATCAAGAGCTTATCTGTACGCGTTTGGGGTTTACAGAGATCTATTTCTATTCCGCATACAGAAAGGCAGAATCGCTTGAGACTTCCCCGTCATGCCAGTGGTAGAGGTACTTTCTGGGGTGCTTACCCCGCGGTTTGGTACATGCCTGGGATCTTAATACCTGCATCAGAGTTTCTCCAGATTTTCTCAGCGACGGAGTTCCATACGCTAATGCACATCGTCCCGTAGGTGCGAAAGAGACTAAAGTTGAAACAAAGAGTGCTGAAGCAGGGGGATATGCAGAATGGAGGCCTAGTATTTTGTGGAGATCGTGCTGGGATAATTATCGACAAATATATATGAGAGAAACAATCTCAGTCATTGGAACATATAAAGGTATTAGAGGTTGTGTGCCACCTTACTGAGCGTACCTGTTAGCCCGGAATATTTTACTAGTTTAACTCCGAAGGTGGCATCAGGGGGTGTGGATAAAACCGGGGAGAAAAACCACCAACTACCGACCCGTGGTAACCGGGCGGGCACAGGCCTAAATTATAGCTCTGCCACCGCTAAGGTCACGATTGTGTTTCCTGTACACACGGAATCTTCTTTCCGCATTGCAAGCAGAAACTCGATTTAGTTTACCCCGGAGACTATTTAGTCACACATGCGAAGTAGCGGGATGGCTTGCATATTTTGGTCTACTTCAAAGCTTAAATACGCCAAACCCTTTCGTAGCAACCCTCCTCTCATACATACGTCATATATAATCCGGGGGATACCAATTTGGGAGAGAGTGTCAGCCTCAACCCAGGTTTCGCTTGTTTTCGTGTTTGCATCCAGAACAAAGCAATTCCTTCCTCTCAGCTTGGTGACCACTCCCATATTGAACTGTAAAGATTTGCCATTGAATAATATTTCTCGTTTAAATAATAAGGCCTGGGCTAAATAGACGCGTCGTACCCGGGAGATTCAATGCCGTGCACCGCACAACAGCCGCGGAATTCCGACCAGCGACCACTCAGAGCAATGATATGCACGATGATGTAACAGGTGGTAGCTCTCCGCATCCTGCGAGTAGAGCTTTACAGAAGAGTTTACACACCCACCCTTGAAATTTAAGCCTGAAGGGTGGGTGACCTTCTTTGAATAGCTTTGCATAAATAAGCAACGATCCCCCCTTTCGTGCTTGACAATAGCGCTATTTTATTCTGATTATATCATTCCATTCTTTTTTTTGCCGCTACCTTTCTATCTTCAATCTGCACACGAAGCAGTAATAGACCATAGATTGATTGCTGAAATTTCGGAAAGCCGTCTTTGACAGAAATCCCTATCAAAAATTGAACGTGAAGTTTTGACAGAACAATGTCGGCCCCTAGCGAGCAACCCCAGACTGGTCTGTTTGAGGCCGCGTCGTCTGCCTCCTCGTCAAAGGACGAAAAGAACCTGAACTCGGACGTGGAAGGCTCCCATGATGCCGAGGATAGCTCCAAGCTCGATAACGTTCTTTCTCAATACTCAGTTGAACAGGTTATGAGTATGGGAAGGAACTATGCTTTGAAAAATGGCTTGGAACCTGAGTTGTTTGCCAAAGCTGCAGCTGTAGCAAGAGACCCTTCTGGTTTTAACTCTATGGACTTTCTATCTGAGGACGACAAGCAAGGTCTTTACGAGGAAGAAGCTCACCCTTGGAGAGTCCCCAAAACACTATTCTATCTCATTGTCATGTGCTCCATGGGTGCATGTGTACAGGGAATGGACGAGTCCGTGATCAACGGTGCTAATCTGTTCTTCCCCCAGGGTTTTGGCATTGATAACGGCACTAAGAGAGACACTTGGTTGCTGGGTCTTATCAACAGTGCTCCTTATCTGTGTTGCTCATGTGTATCGTGCTGGCTCACTGACCCACTGAACAAGAAGTTTGGTAGACGTGGAGTCATCTTTGGAAGTTGTGTCATTTCTGCGGTTACATGTATATGGCAAGGATTCACTAACACTTGGTGGCATCTGTTTATCGCTAGATTCATGCTTGGATTCGGTATTGGTCCTAAATCCAGTACCATTCCAGTTTATTCTGCTGAGTGCGTTCCTCATAAGATCAGAGGAAGTCTCGTCATGATGTGGCAGATGTGGACCGCCTTTGGTATCATGTTTGGTTACGTCATGTCTCTTGCTTTCTACTACGTTCCAGCACGCGGAATTGGTGACAACGGATTGGCATGGAGACTCATGCTTGGGTCTGCTTGTTTGCCTGCTATTATCATTTGTTTTCAGATATACGTCTGTCCAGAGTCTCCAAGATGGTTGATGGGCAAGAATAGGCATCTGGAAGCGTACACTGCACTCAGGCGTCTGAGAAAATTTGACATTCAAGCTGCTCGTGATTGTTTCTACCAGAATGTATTGCTGATGGAGGAGACAGCTTATGAAGGGGTTTCATTTTTCGGAAAAATCAAAGAGATGGTTACTGTGAGAAGAAATAGAAACGGTGCCATGGGTGCCTGGGTGGTGATGTTCATGCAGCAATTTTGCGGTGTGAATGTCATTGCTTATTATTCTTCGTCAATCTTTGTTGATTCAGGATTCTCCGAACTCCATGCTTTAGTCGCTTCCTGGGGTTTTGGTATGCTGAATTTTGTGTTTGCCATTCCTGCATTTTTCATGATCGACAGGTTTGGCCGTCGTACCCTTTTGTTGTTCTCATTTCCATTAATGTCTGTTTTCCTGCTGTTGGCGGGTTTTGCATTCTGGATTCCAGAAGACTCGCCAGCCAGAATTGGAATTATTGCCTTGGGTATCTATCTGTTCACAATAGTGTACTCATCGTCTGAAGGTCCTGTTCCTTTCACATACTCTGCTGAGTGTGCTGCTTTGTATATGAGAGACTTCACCATGTCTTTTGCCACTGCTACCTGTTGGTTCTTCAACTTTATTCTTTCCTTGACCTGGCCTTCTCTTCTTGCTGCCTTCAAACCACAGGGAGCCTTTGGTTGGTATGCTGCATGGAACATGGTTGGATTCTTCCTGGTTCTCTGGTTGTTGCCAGAGACAAAGGGTTTGACTTTGGAGGAGTTGGACGATGTTTTCGACGTTCCTTCCGACCAACATGCTGCTTACCAGACTCGCTTCCTAATAAACGCCGTCAAGAGAAATGTTTTCAAGCAGGATGTCAAACAACTACCTCCTCTTTACAAGCACCACAGAATGGCTGTCACCAATGCTGCCTGGGAAGACAAGCAGACAGTGGAGCATGTCGAGTGAAGTGTATTTCCTTTTTTAAAATTTATTGGCCCTGTTTTGTCTACGGTTTACCTCTCAATATTTCAGCTATTTTAATAAGTGTTTGTAAAAGCGATTTTCAACGGCGTTATGTCTACATTATTCAGAATTCTCATCATTCACTAGTACGTCCTCACTCTCTCGAGTGTCTTCACGTTCAGAGGGTGGTGAAGCCATTCTGGCAGAATTGTCTAGAAACACAAATTCCACCCAATTCTCCAAAAGTTGTATTCTCTCTAAAAAAAGAGTTTCAGTTACGTGCTCGCCCATTCTGCGGTGAAGAATCGTTGCGATTGCATCCATAGTCTCTGGCTGAAGGTACTCTTGCCGTTCAAACCAGTCAGACATGTTTTCAGTTATGGTATCGGTAGGTGTCTGGACCATATAATGTTGATCATCTGCTTCGCTCGTCGAATCAGAGTCCGATCTTTCGGCCGGAACTATCACCGAATTGGTCCTTCTTAGATCTGCATTGGTGATGCCCCGTGTGGCCCTGTTTAAGGCCAGCTTATTCGGGGGAATTTCCCTCAGTGGCATTTTCTCACTGGTAAATTCGAATATATAGAAACTTGAAAAATGCAATGATCACGAAATAAAGCGAAGATAGCCCATTTCTGTGTTCTGGGCATTTTGGTCGGCCATGTCCGATTCCATTTTCTGGTCTGTTGAGATCTCTAAATTACCATAGTAGAACATTAAACCTCAATTGAATATACAAACCATGCAGTTACAAAAGAAAAGACCTTAGTCTTATGTATCAAAAGCCGGAACCCAACTTAAAAACTTGAACCACTTGGGCTCCACCAAAATGCACTCAGCCTTGGATACCAAAATAGCCGGCTCTTTGCCGACGGGAACAGTCTCCACTGTTCCATGAATAACGCATTTTCTTCCCTTCACACTAAACACATGCGCCTTTAATATCACCGTCGAATTTGGGGGAGCCTTGTTCACAAAGTCGACACTCAGTTTGGCTGTGACTCCTCTCTTGCTAGGAAGCAGTGGGAACCCACAGAAGCACAATGCTTCATCCATCAGAGTGGATATCAACCCATTATGGATCTTCCCATCGCTTCCAACTAACTTCTCTCCAAGATGGTAAAATGCGGTGAGGTCCCCGCTCTTCCTGTCAACAAACACGGCCGGATCTATTTCGAGGTGTTGGGAGTCATACAGCAATCCTGTACCCACATGGTCTCCGTGGTGGGCCTTGGGTATCACTCCGGACAAATTGTAGAATTTGTATTTTGCAGGCGTATCTTTTTGATATTGTTGGAACAGCTTATTGTTCTGTATTTGTTTGACTGACAGAGGGTCTGGTGTATATGCCTTGAACAGTATCTTCGAATCATCTGGCCAGGCCCTCACAAAAGAGGCGTATCCGGCGCCAATCGCGGCAAATCCGACAAAAGCTCGTTTACCAATATTGAACATGTTGTTAAGATTAATTTAAGATAACTTATCCAACGATGTAAACGATATCGGAGAGATGAAACAGCATATATATTCTGTCGTACCCGTGGTCTCCCCGCGAAATTGTAGCTCCAAACTTAGTGTCAAAACCAATAATCGCGCCGCACTGTTGAACCATGCAGCATAAGCATTTAGTTTATTCATTAATTTTTCACATTTGCCTGTTGTGTGCGCATATATTTCGTCTATTAGTTGAGAAGCCTCTTTATTACTCTGTCCCATACCGTCAAAGGCACTAGCCTGCTTAGCCCGAAGATGACGGCTGCAAGCGCCCCAAATTCGAGCTTCTTCAGAATGCGTTCGTGGAGTTCTTCCCTTCGTATGGCCTCGGCATATCCTATGTCACCTCTAAAAGAGACCATAGTATACAGCGGTAACCAACGATCTCCCAAGGTCCTGCACAGTAGGGCATCGACCTTTTTCCGTAGAAGAAACCAGGGAGAAACAACCTTGTGCGACATCTCCTTATAGTTGTCAAGTGCCAGTTTCAAAATCGCCTTCAGGTCGTCTTTCCTGAGCTCGGTATACTTTTCAAAGGCAGCAGACCTTCCAGAGCTTGACTCGTCAAGCAGTGTCAACAGAATGCGAACATCCTCAAAGCCACAGTTCATTCCCTGGCCATAGAAGGGGACCATCGAATGGGCTGCATCGCCAAGCAATATGGCTTTATCAGAGAAGTGATATGGATCGCAATTCACTTGCATCAGCGCACCTCTTGGATGGTTGTCAAAGGCTGACACTATTCTCTCATGGCCAATTATCTTCAAGGCATCTGGGAATTGAGATTTGAAAAACTCCAAGGCTTTAGCACCGGTGTCCAAGTTCTTCTCGACCAGTCCCCATGGCCCAAAGAAAGTGGAAGTAAAAGAACGATCGTGATTTGCCAGTGCAATAAGCATGAATTCATGACGTGGCCAGATATGTAAATGATTCGCGTCAATTAGGAACTCACCATTGGGGCCCGCAGGAATTGACAATTCCACATAACATGTGTCAATGTACTCCTGCTTGTAGTTCATCCTGACATGTTTTTGAAGCTTGGATCTTGTAGCACTATAGGCACCATCACACCCAACAATGAAATCAAATTGGAAGCTTTCGCCATTTGATATAATCGTGACTTTCTCGCCCATCTTCAAATCGTCCAGCTTAGAGTGGAATCGGAGATCCACCATGGTTTTTCCAAGTTCTTTGTTGATGTTCTCACACTCCTCTAGCAATCTTATATTTAGCTGCCTTCTGTCTATGGAGTTGATAGCCTCACCGTAAAGTCCGTATTGCTGGCTTTCTTGATTTCCAGCCAAATCGTGAATCATACGACCAGTCATGGGTATGATGTCCTCCAAGACTCGATACGCCATTGCTTCGTCCACATACTTCAAAGCGCGTATTCCTCGGTCAGAAACGGCAAGATTTATTGACCTCAGGCTTCCTTGTTTAGCCACATCATTTCTGGGATCTCCTCGCATTTCGAATACGGTCACCGGGTATCCTTTCCTGGCTAGTCCAAGGGCAGCTAGACAGCCCACTAGTCCACCTCCAATAACCGCAACTGTCTCGTTTCTGGCAGCCATGACCTAAGCAATAGTTAAAGTGAACAAATTGTTTTATTGAGCTTCTGAAGCACAACAGGTCAATCTCCCAGAAAATACAGAAATGAGTAATCCTGCTCACCAGGGAACTCCAAATTTGTGATATTTGGAAGGCCATGATGACTCCGATGAGCTCTAAGCGTGGGACGATTCAGATTTTTCGGTTTACACGACGAAATGGGTCGATATCAAGTCAAATAAGGCTACGATTGGTTTGAGAACTTCTTATAAATAGCTGTCTATTTATACGGAACATCCTATTACTTCTGTAAATTTTTGTCTCAAGTAGTTCTCAAGTGCTGCACTATTTCTACGGACACTTTCTAGTTTGAGACACGGTGCCTATCCAGGTAATCTGATAAATAACTAGCTATTTAGGAAATCTCTTGAAAAGCAAGAATATTGTCAATTACCAACTTCATCTATCAATTAAGACCATAAATGTCCATTTACTGATTCTCAATTACTCTCAAATGACTATTCATTCAATCACTTAAGCTAATCTCCTGGTCTGTCTCAGTTCCTCAAATAGTCTCTCAAATAACTTCCAACCTTCTCTGCACCCGTCTCTAACGCACCCTTGAGCGCGTTTATATCCTCGCCGATGTACTTATCAGCAAACTCCATGATCTTTGCTTCCAAATCATCGTTGTTATAGGCATTGGAGCTCTGGTGCTGGGAAAGCTGTTCTTCGTCGTCCTCGCCGTAATAAGCAGATGAAGAGATCGCAGTGGCTCCAGAAAACGCCTGTAATTTGGCCTTCGCCTCCCTGGATGCGTTTTCATCGTAGGAGTTGATGCCGAAAACTTGGTCAGAGGAGATACCCTTTTGATTGCCGAACTTGGCATTAAGTTCACCCGAGTAAGCTGGCTCATTGGTGTACTTCTTGACGGTCTTGGCTTCTGATGGCTGGCTGCTTCCACTACCCACCATGCCGAATCCCAACCTGGTGAACTGCTGAGTGACCTTTTCCACGGGAGCTGCTGAGGCCACAGGAGCAGCAGTAGCGCCGAAACTTGCTTTTCTTTGAGCTGCTGGTTGCATGAAGTTGTCCAACTGCGCTAAACTGTCGTCTTCAGACTTGTCTGGTGTGTATCCCAACGACTTGGCTTCCCTGTCGTCTTTCTCTGCCTGTTTCTCCAACTCATCGAAATCGACATCTGCAGCAGAAACCTTTTTAGCGGATATCCTAGCTCTGCTGCGGCTGGCTGAACCAGAACCCAAAATGTTTGCCTTTTTGGCGCTGGCAGCAGTCTTGGGCTTAGAGGTGGTGAGTATTCTTGGCGCTGGAGCAGTTGATTTGGGAATAGAGGAAACAGACCCAATACTGGTCTTGCTGCCGTTCTTTGTGCCTAGAGGAGTGATTGGCCTCGAACTCAAAGGCGATGGGGTCGAGGTGTTTGGCTTTTGCCAGTTGCTGAAAAAATCATCAGCTTCAGGCTCAGGCGACACCTCTTCATCAGCGCCTTCTCCATCCAGAATATCAGGGTGGTTCTTGAAATCCAGCAACGCCTTCTTTTCCAATTTCTCCTTGTAGTTTGTGGCAATCAGAGACTCGTATTTCTCTTTGGGGTCTTTGGTGAGATACGAAGAACCTCCGTTTTTAATCAAAAACTCTTTGAACGCGCTGTTTCCACCGCATTTCATTGATCTCAATTGTTTATAAGTCCATTTGCCATCCAGGACACTAGACTTCACAAACGTCACATGAACGCCCAAATTACGATGGATAGCTGAACAATCCAAACACAAGAAAATACCGAACGGAATAGAAGTCCACGTCGGATTTTTCGCAGAACAGTCAAAACATTGGTTGTTCGCTGGATTCTTCTTCAGCTTGTTGAAAACAGCCGTGACCTCTGCTTTTGTGGCGAATTCTTCAGACATCTTTGCAATCAAGGAAGGTGCTGCGGGATCGACAGGAGGTAGCTGAGTGTATGTGATCAGTTGGGGTTATTTTTGTGCACAAAATTGTATGCAATACAAGTTTTGAAGCCCTTCAAATATATCCAGAGAACCCAAACTCGTATCCAGAACCGGTTCAGATGGCTGCGATATAGTTGATCGAGTTGATGATTCGTGTCCGTGCTCTGAATAGATGTATCAACAGCTTTAGAAATTTGCGTGTGCCACCCAAGTGTTGACAAAAATGGACTGGCGCATGCTTTACCACACTGATATTGTTGTGTATGTGTATTCACGCGAATATGCGTAGCTGTATAAGTATAAATTTATTAGAAGTCATCACAGTCATATCGGATCAGACAATCAAGTCCTCACGCTCCCATCCTTGCATCCTCAGGGTCTCTAGACCTTTAGATGGCTGAGGCTTGTTCACACCTTCTATCTTCAAGGCGAAGGGATTTCTATCTTCACCGTTCAGTTTCAGATTGGCAAAAGAGTGGTTGACCTCAGCATGCTTAGCCTCATCGGCTCTAACATAATTAATGAGATCCCTCATGCTGGCATTATCCTCCATTCTCCAGTATCTCTTTGCAATATCAGGAACCTCATAGTCATCTAGTCCAGCGATGAGTCCACGGTCAATATCATTCAGACATCTGGTGTATGTCAAAACAGCTTCTTCCTCCAAGTAACCGACAAACCGATGGCAGATCTTTGGTGAGATCAAATAAAATGCAAAAAATAAATTGCAAAAAACACCTTGGCCAACATAGAGCAGTGACCTGGCAAACCAGCCGGGGTTACCTATTTGAAGAAATGTCAGAAGATGCATTCTTTCATTGTACGCCTCTTCAAGAAGCGTTTCCACAAATGCCTTGTCACGCCTGAGCATTCTCAATGAGTGGAGGTGTCTGATAAACCCAGCAACAGACCCCGGAACTCCAGCAATACTTTCTAGGAAAACGATTCTTGAGAGCCATTGCTCTGAAGTCAATGTATATCTTTCAGGATGACCTTCTGCAATTGCGGTCTTGATCTCTTCCTCGCTCACATTCTCTGCATGTTTGTATCCTGAAAAAAAATCAAAGGAGGTACGAAGACATCTCATTGTGAAGAAAGCGACCCAATCAGTGATGGTCTTGGTTGGTCTATGACCTGGAGTCACCTTGTCCATGTCCACTTTGTTGTAACCGGGATGCGAGAACATGAAATCAGAGATGAACTCATTGTCTGCATTTTCGATTGCCGTGTGATTAACCTTTTCATGGTCTCCCAAGACAACCTCAGGTTTTGAGGCAGGTGTAGCCACAATGGTCATCAACCGTTTGTGCATCAAGGAAGAGATGCCAGTAGCACAGGCCCTTGTATAGATTGGTGTTCTGATTGTGCGAACTAACATGATGTAGTATATTATTTTGTTGTTTATTGAATATCTCGATCTATAGTAATTCTCTTCGAAATGTTCACGGAAGGGTTCTGCTCGACCACCTTTATACAGCTCTGCTATCTACACATGACCATTTAAGTTTTGTACGCTCTATGGGGAAGAAAACGTAAAAAACGAGCAGAATAATCAGTTCCGATTTAATCCGTATCCACAAATGCACCGTGGATGAGAAACCCTCTGTATAATCAAATCTGCACAGTGGGTCAGCTATCGTTGCCAGCTAAACAGGCAGGTGTGCCCTTGATGCTAGCCGAATTGCCTGCCAAATCGAGAATCGGACCAAAGACGCCGCGAAAGTTTCCGAATTTACCCATTGGCGGCTTATGGAAGGCTAAGTTTCGGGGTTTAGCCTAAGTTAGGAAATGACCAAACCCTCACATAATAGCAAAAGACGGGGTGGATTACAAGGCGTTGGACTACAGCCGTTTGTGCTTAGAAATCCACACTATTGTCGTAAATTGGGATAGATTGCACGGAAAAAAAACATTCTCCTAAAGACGTATAATGTTGCTTTATTTAGAGATCAAATTTTCATTTCTTTGAAGGCTTTTCTGCTCAAATTTGCATCCAGTTGCACACACCGACTTTTCATTAATATGGGGGTGTTTTCGAGACCCGTTAGTCGTGCGTAGAAAACCGCGTAGGTGAGGGTCAGCCACCGTAGCAGATCGGGTAGGTCTCAAGCGTTGATGACTGACCTCGAGCTATATTTTTGACCCGTTTTAAGCCAAGGGCATATACTAAATCTAAACGGTTCAAGATTGTTGTTTTTTGCCATGACCTCTCATTGGCCCAATATTGACAATCGCAGCAATCTCGCTTGCAATTACGATGGCTTAGATATCAAGTAATTTTGTATGCACTATGCTATATACACTCATTCAACACAAAATCGGACTTTATCTATCACCGAGCCACACCTTGGTCATGCCTTGGTCATGCCTTGGCAGCAACTGGGATCGGTGTCTTATCTTCGATTTTGCGCTCCTCCTTGGTAGGTGGTGACTTAACGACTGTACTGGACGAAACCTTCATTTTGTTGATGGGCTCTCCTTTGACAACTCTTTCCATTTCGTCTCTGGTCAAAGTCTCGTACTGCAACAAAGCCTCGGCCAATCTTCTTAGCTCAATGCCTCTGAATTCCAGTAAATTCTTCGTTCTTGTCTCAGAATCAACCAGCATGTCTCTAACCTCCTTATCAGCCATATCACGGAGACTGGGTGACCAGTTCTTGTCGGTCAGATTTACGGGGCCAATCTTATCAGACATACCGTACTGGGTCACCATTGCCCTTGCAACGTTGGTGGCATTTTCCAGATCAGAACTGCATCCACTAGTCACATTGTCTGGCCCATAGATCATCTGCTCAGCGACCTTTCCTCCCATTGCAACGTCCAAACGGGCATAGCATTCCTTTCTGGTGATGTCGTGTTTGTCCATCTCCGGAAGTTGGAAGGTTATTCCGAGAGCTCTTCCACGGGGCAAGATGGTGGCCTTGTACAGAGGGGTAGCACCGACAGTGTACATGGCGGCAATGGCATGTCCAGCTTCGTGATAAGCAGTTGTCTTTCTCGATTCCTCGGTCATCACCATGGCTTTTCTAGCGGCTCCCATAAGAACTTTGTCTTTGGCCCATTCGAAATGGTTCATATTCACGGAGAGGGCATTCTGCTGAGAAGCATACACAGCAGCCTGGTTGACTAGGTTCATTAGTTCGGCACCAGACAAACCAGGAGTACCACGGGCAATGATGCTGGGGTCCACATCTTTAGCAGTTTCCACATTCTTCATGTGGTGCTTCAGGATATCGACACGGCCTCTCACATCTGGGAGGTCAACGTTAACAACTTTGTCGAATCTACCGGGACGAGTCAGAGCCTTGTCCAGCGATTCTGGGAAGTTAGTCGCTCCAATGATGATTATACCTTCAGTTTGAGAAAATCCATCAAGCTCAACCAAGAGTTGATTCAGAGTCTGCTTCGCATAGGCCTGGTCCTTGGGGTTTCTCTTTCCTCCAATAGCATCCAGCTCATCGATGAAGATAATGGCAGGAGCCCTTGCACGAGCCTGTGTAAACAGCTCTCTCACTCTTTTAGCACCAACTCCGACGTAAAGCTCATCAAACTCGGATCCAGACATGAAGAAAAAAGGAACACCAGCCTCACCAGCCGTGGCTCTGGCCAACAGCGTCTTACCCGTACCGGGTGGACCAGTGAGTAAGACTCCCTTCGGCAGTTTACCTCCCAAGCCGGTGAACTTCGAAGGGTCTTTCAAGAAATCAACAATTTCCTCAAGCTCTGCACGGGCCTCATCAACACCACACACATCGCTGAACTTCACCGTAGATTCGGAAACATCGGCAGTTTTGTCATCAACACTGGTACCCTTCAGAATAGTTCCGTTTTCAACAAAGTACGAGAAGATCTGGTAAACACCGTATGTAGTCAGACAAACGGGAATCAGCCATTTTATCCATTTGGAGATGGACACCCAAGCGCCCTCGGTGACCACCACATGAATAGGATCCTGTCTCGATCCGTAAGAGCCAGGAAAACCGGAGCCCAATCCATTACCTGAACCGGCTAGTTCGGCCCCCAAAGAGCGCGACACAGCTTCAGCCTTAACAGTTTCGCCCATCTTCATCAAAGCCTCAATGTATAACTGGACACATTCTGGAGAAGTGGCGATACCTGGTGTCTCATATCTAGAGACCACGATGTGTGGATAGTTGGCTTTCAATAAGCTTGAGTAAAATTTCGCTTGAAGATTTGGATCCTGAAGCGATCTATTCGCCAGCTGTTCTGCATTAGCCAGACGAGCTGTTTGGGATGTTGAAGCAAAACGTAGCGTCATCGGTTTGATCACTGGAGATAGCCTTCGACTGGTAGGTATCACCGAACTCCAAATCATTCTGTTAGGGCTAGAAACGCCCAATCTTGCAAAGTTTCTGAGCATTTTGTGAAATAAAAGAGAAAAAGGAGAAAAAAATTGGGCAAACTTCAGAAAGTTTCAGACAGCTCGAACTACTGTTGTTGCCAATACGAAAGCTATCCTCACTTACTATTGCCACCAAAAGCTCAAACCTGGACTTTTCCGAGCTAGTATTTCAACCGTGTTTTTCTTTTGAACGTTCGAGGTCTTGTAACGCCTCTATATGATCACTCGTGTCTAGTCGGAGAATGATTTGGTATTAGGTAGTTAACGCAACCTTCCTTTGAGGGGTTGGATGTTGGACTGAGGACTGGGAACAATCCGTCAGCGAAGCGTGCACGTGGGCATTTGGCAGATTACGAGAGCAGATTAAGTGAGAGAGCGTGAATGTTAAAGATAGATATGGGTATGACATACATAAATTTTTTCTGCGATGGTGAAAAAGCTAAAACAAAGTCAGCAGATCAATGTGAAATATGAGATAAACAAGTATTCAAGTTATATATTGGAGGAATATTGGTACTCCACTGTATTAAAGTTCATATGCAGGTCAAATAACGCGAGATGTGCAGGCTAACCAGACAGAGCGTAGTGTACTCCTCTGACTGGATAATGCCATTCCATTAATTTCATTTAAAGTAATCATAAATTCATATATAGTTCGTTTCGTCAAGCTCTTTCATTGACCTTAGTATGTTTTCGAGATAAACAAATCACTAAAGTCAGAGGTGTTGGAAATGTCAAACCCACGCTCATTCGCAAGATGCAGAAGACAGATGAAGAAGTAACTTGTGGAGAGATCTTTTCTCTTCGTATCCGGATATGTCGCAGCCACCTCTTGGACCATATTTGTGAAATCCTGCTTGTCTCCATTGCTCATCTCGCTTTTCTCTAGATTTCTCCATATCTTGCGTTTTAGTGCGCTCACATCTACTCTCTTGGCAACTTTGGCGTAGTCCATGTAGTCGTCCCGTGCCTTTTTGCCGTGGGTTATACTCTGGGTTCCAATGAATTCTTCAGCGTCTTCATGGCGAGACTTCTCGGCAACTTCTTCGTCAAACCCTGGAACATCACTGAAGAAGTCCGAGGTCGGGTTCAATGGGTAAGGTTCATCATCTTCATCCGGCATGTCTAGAAAGGATGCACTTTCCATATTATACGAAGAAGGAACGTCCATCTCTTTTTGAAAGATAGAGATCGTATGCGATGGTCTCAAAAATTGACTCACAAGAAGCTTGGATGTGTATAGTTGTTGTTCTTCTGGAAGAAGATACTTTGTATCATTCTCGAATTGTGCGTCTGGTAATAAAGCCTTTGCTCGGGCAAAAAGTGACTTTGGAGTCGGTTTCTCGCCCAACATGTCTATGACGGTTTCGGCTCCCTTCTTTGTCTTTGGCTTCTCCTTGGCCTTGGTCTTTGTTTTCCTTGAGCTGGCAGCAGCAGCATCCTCTTCTACTTTGATCTTTTCCTTGATTTCTTTCTGCTTTACAGCTTTCACTTTCCAATGTTCTTTTGGCTCCCAATCGTTTTTAGCACTAGCATCAAAAAAGTCCATCACGTCGTTGTCCAGCACGCGCTCAGCTGGCACTTTCTGTTCTGTAGGTTCGTCGGCAAGTTCAAACTCTGGAATAGAGTCCAGATCGTAGTTGATATCTGGCAGGCTGGCCAGTTCGTCGTTTTCATCCTGGTAATCAATACCGGTGGAATCTGCCGTAAAAGAAGTCTGTATGATCTTGCGGAAATCGCTTGCGGTCTGTGTTTGGTTCATAACCTGTTCCAACTGGTGCAGGGATGGGCACACTTCGAGTTCAAGAAAGGGAGAACCATCTGGAGGATTCAACAGACCTTTGATGGTACTCAGATCCACACCGTGATGCGATGTTGTCTGGGATTGGCCCATCTCTTCAACTTCTCTATAGCTCCCGCTCTTCCCCGACTCGGCCCCTGCAGATGTATCAAAGACAACACGACCAGCGTAGTCTGTCTTCAAAGAGTTCAATAGGAGCGACTTTGCACCTCCTTCGTCAAAATCAGTCAAAGTCTTTCTAAATATGGGGTCCAAATTGAGTTCCTGGTCTAGTTCTTTCAGCTTCAATGCCTCAGCAGGAAGCAATGTGTAAGTCTTTGACTTACCGGACTTCTTCCTAAATTCAGGTGTTGAGTTCTGGAGTTCTTCGTCGTCGGCCATCTCGATGTCAGAATTATTCGGATCATCCTCCCCATTTGCGCCCTCATCTTGTCCATGCGCCAAACCTGTCAACAGACTTCCAGCGGCAGACACGGCAGAATCAATACGTGAAGTATACACCTTCATACATCCATCAAGCGTGGCACTTGCCACCTGAAAATTGATCTTATTGCCTTCCTTCAACAGGTTCATGTCGTGGAAGTAGTCTATGAGGGTCGAGTTCCAACTGTTCTGGGTATTGATTTTGTTGTCAGAGGCCATCTTGATCCAAGTCTCAAACTTTGCCCTAATATCCTCATCTTGCTCCGTAAGCTGCCCGTTTATTTCGTCATCTTCAAGGTCCAACAACCGTTTGTGCCGCAACGAGGAGGACAAGCGCTCGTCGTCTCCAGTGGTGATGAAACTCGCGCTTGGCGCGGGCCTCATCTTTTTGTGTTGAATGTTCATGTCACTGAGAATGTCAGTCCGAGTTCATAAATGTTTGCGAAAACGACAGAAGAGACCCAGTTGAAGGGGAGGCAAGAAGAAAGCTGGTTACAAAGACGTAATCACATTCACGTACACGCTAGGATGATGATATGAAGTGCGCCAACCAATGCTCAATGCATGGGGCTCAAAAATTGGTTTCAAGATTATTGAGGCTGTTGCATATGATTTATGCATGAACAGCCAAGTTCAGATATTTTATTGTCTTTAGATTTTGAATAATTGAAGAGGTAAAAATCAGGTGCAAATGAGAGCTCAGCTCTAGCAGCAAATCCAAGACTAGTTCCCAATTACGATTGAGACGGAAGGTCTTAGATAATCATATGCTGTATATTGCATTAGATTGCCAAAACATTTTTCACCACAGGTTTTCACCACATTTTTCCCCGATATTCTTGCTTTTGTCTATTTTCTTAGACTTGCCAAGTCCTTTGTTTTGAAAAAAGGCAACTTTTGAAATGCAAACAACACATCAGAGCTCATAGACAGCCCATGTCATATATAACAGTTTCTCAGACTCTGCTCAATCCTAGAAACATACTCCTGCATCTTTTTATCGTCATCCGAAGCAGAACGGAAAATGTCCCGAATCTCATTGGTCTCAATGGCAAGCTTCTTGCCCACTATCATCACGTCGTGAAGAACCACTATGCGCATCAACTCCAGCTCGTCCGTGGGGATCTCGCCGACATGAATCTTAGATACCGTTGGATCTTTCAACTTAGCCACCAAATCCAGGTCCAGAAGTTGTTCGACAGTCTCTGTTTCAGCCTCAGGAGCATCCGTCAATACCTCGCTGGAAGTATCTGAGTCAACGACGTAAAACTCCGAGTTGCCTCCAGCACTAAGGCTATTGGAAGAAACAGTAGATGAGACATCGTTGGAGTCGCATTGATTACTGAGAAGGTAATCCCTGCCAATAGCACCACCTGGGTGTCTTACTCCAAAAAGTCTCTTTCTCATGGCCAGATCTTTGACCTGTAGCTCTGCAAGTGCTATTGAAACACTGTCCATCAAAGAGAGACACAAAGTTGTCGATATGGTAGGCGCAGCCAGTCCATATAAATTTTGCTCCGACATCCGCTTAGGCAATTCCGCGTACAATAATGCCTGCACTTGCGGATGCTCGGATAGTGGCGACTTTTTGGCACATGTGAGGACGATCACCGGGATCGCGTCCGGAACATGCTGCATCATGGTGAGCATCTCTGGGCTGTTTCCACTGGCAGATATAAGAATCATACAGTCACCATGATCTTCTCTCACTATTCCTAGATCACCGTGCAAAGCTTCAGAAGGGTGAAGCAATGCTGAGTGAACGCACAACGAGTTCAATGTCGCCACCGATTTCGCAGCTATCTTGTACGACTTGCCCATTCCACACACTATGATTTTCCCACCTGAATTCAGCGAATCGTTCAAAACGCTTATGGATCTCAGATATTGGTCTCTTGACCACTGTGAGACTTGGAATTGGGAGGCTAGATGCGAGATCGCTCGGCCCTGGGTTGACAATATGGACTCCAACACCTTCAAGGATGACGAAAGCCCGGCTTTGTCATCAGCAGTGGGAATGGAAACCACCGACGTCCTCCTGCTTAACATGTTGAATTCGGACCGTATGTGATTAGAACCGAGTGGTTAGAACTGGGGGTTTAGAACTGGCTGGTTAGAAGATTCGGTGTAATTTTCACCGGACGAGACTGAACAGCGACTGTGGCCAAAGCTAAGAACGAGAGATGACGATGACCTTGGGCCCCTATCACTCTATGAGCAAATTCTAGCAACAGATTCAATTGACTGGCACGTGAGCGCTTCAAAGGTGCAATTCTAGACAGTAGCACCAGTTGCAGATGTTTTTCCGTGAAAGAGAGAATGTCAGAGAAGGCCAAGGGGAGGCTCGGACTTATGCAGAGATTCATTCTAGCCTTTATCGATATTCTCGGCATGAGTTGACCGTGGCTGAACGTGCGCTTACTAAAGCCGGGACTAAAAGCCACAAGAGGAAAGCGAAGGGTCTAACGGATTATTAGGAGGGAGATAGGGAATGGATTGTTTCAGAAAAGGTCAAGTTATACTTTGTTGGAGCATATTCTTAGAAAGCTATCGAAATAGAGCTTTTTATTGTCAGAATAGTGGCAGTTTGTAGAGCTCGCAGTCCACTTAATGTTGGCCAGCCCCGGGGAATCTACCATTCGGGTCGATAAGCTTCAGCCAGCCGCATACAATATGGCAGCGCAACCTTTTATTCTATTATCGACTAAACTGTATTTCGAGATGATACTATGATGATTTTCGGTTGCTACTCTTCATTGCTAATCTCTATTGATGCATTCGTTGCTAATCTTTTATCTTTCCCGCAGTATCCCATACCTAAAACGGATAGCAGCAGACACCTCATCTCTCTTGTAACTTCCCTGAACGAAGTATTGAGCAATTTCACCCAATTGCACACAATACGAGGTACGATGATGGAGTGACTGGTGACACGTGCTTTCAATGGCAGACCCCGGAAGCGACCGGAACAATTCATTGATAGTGCACGACCTGTCATGAGACTTAATTATAGATGTTCTGTAAGACAAGAGGTGTCATGTATTCTTTTACATCACTTTCGATTTGGTTATTTTTGAATTTGGTATCGAAGAGTGCGATGATAATATGATTTTTTCAATTGCGAGCTCAAGCGGCTTATGGGCCTTGGTCGTAGTCTATTCCTTACTATCATTCAAGACTGCCTTATCGCTTCCTATCACTGATTTGAACCTAGAAGATCCGATAGATGAAATCACCATGTTGGATATGATGAAGTCCTCTTCGTTGTTCCGAAATCTTCCGCCGTTGGTGAGCCTGCCTGCAGCTTCAGAAAGAACTTTGGTGGCCGGAGAAGTTCCCGATTACGTGCTTGATTTTGCCCCCGTGGTACATCTCTACTCAGAAGAGAGATATCTGCCGTATAATGTCGAAAAGTTCGTTTCCAACTTCCATGCATGCTTCAGAAATGGCTCCCTTGTTCCAGGTGGTGAGAGTCCCCTTAAACTTCAACAGTTAGAAGAGTTGGATAAGCATATTGTTGACTATGACACAGCCATTTTCATGACTGCGGATTCTGACTTTGATAAGGACCCAGAATGGATCACTGGCAAGCACAACATCCCCAACGTTTATGATGGGGCAATTGAGGATGCTCCAGCTACGCTCATTGTTGTTGATAAAGGCAATGGCTGGGTGGATGCCTATTGGTTCTTCTTCTACTCTTTCAACCTTGGCCCTTTCGTCATGGGATGTGGTCCATATGGCAACCACGTTGGTGATTGGGAACACACTTTGGTGCGGTTCTACAACGGTGAGCCCAAGATAGTGTGGATGTCCGCCCATGGTGGTGGAGGGACATATTTCTACGACAATCTGGAGAAATTGGAGACCGCGCCCAAACGGCCGGTCATCTTCTCAGCAAGAGGCACTCATGCCAACTACGCAGCTGTTGGCCAGCACTCTCATGATTTGCCTTACTCTATGCTTTCTGATTTCGCTGATAGAGGTCCACTGTGGGACCCTTCTAGAAACTATTTGGCGTATACATGGGACGGAACTAATCTGTCTTATGGTAACGGGTCTGAATACGGAAGAGAAGAGAGATTAGGCAAGTGGCTCTCTTTCACGGGTCATTGGGGTGACAATGATATGGATCCCAAGGACCCCCGCCAGCATTGGTCGCCCTGGCAATGGAAGTACATTGAAGGCCCCACCGGTCCAATCACCAAGAACCTGCTGCGTGTGGCCCCATGTCAGAGCCTCAAGCACTGGAAGACCTGGGGTGGATGTCAAGCGAGACGCTACCCCAAAATGGGAGAAGGTATTGAGAGCGAAGGCTCTCATTCTTGTGGAAACATCTTCAGGAATGTCAGGCCTGTTTGGCTCAAAACACTACTACACTATTTGACTTTGAACGGCATTGGCTGTTACCTTGCGGATTTGTTTCTTGGCTGAAATTCTCGGGAGATTCTCCAATTTCATGAGCTTTATGATTAATTTTTGCTGGTTTTGTTGGCTAAGGTGGGTGTATTGAAGTGGTCCCTCCCAGGACCATGCCAGTCTTATGCAGAAGTTGTTATTTTAGAATTTACTTGATACAATTGATATGGTTGATGTTCTCGCCATGCTCAGACTAAGTTTGTTTGATTTCAACGTAGATATTGAGCCATTAAGACATCCTTGTCTAACAGCCTTGCCTTGGCTTGTTTACCGAATTTCGCCCTCTCGCCGCCACCATGGAACGAAATCTGAATCGGAGGCCAATACTGGTGTTCCCTAACCTCAATTCCCGACTAAAACCCGAAATTTCGTACCCGTTTAATTCACCACGCCAAGGTGGTGATATTTCGAGGCCGGCGTAGAGCTTATCCTCTCAGCGTATTTATCATCACGGCTCCTCTCTTTGATCTCATCACAGTGGAAAAAAATTATAGGCCTTATATAATGTTCTGGCAGGCTACAACAAGCATCGGCATTTATTCGCGAAAAAGGTTGTTATTTGACTTTATCCCGTCATCTGCTACGACTTTAAGGCCAGTGCGTGTTGCCCCCTGAATTATTGAACTAGCGGAGTTGTGAAGCTATCTACCACCGACCCCACGACAAAGCAAGGTAACAAACACACCTGTATATGAGTTCTTCGATATCCCAAACGTTGCAAAATCAGTGGAATAAAAGCATACAGGAACCATGTCGCATAGGAAGCTACAGCAGGAGATGGACCGAGTGTTCAAGAAAATCAATGAAGGGTTGGAATTGTTCAATACCCTCTACGACAGACACGAAGGTTGTACGAATCCATCGCAGAAGGAGAAGTTGGAATCGGATTTGAAGAAGGAGATCAAGAAACTGCAACGGTTTAGAGAGCAAGTGAAAAACTGGCAGGCAACCAATGATGTGAAAGACAAGGACAAGCTGAACGAGAACAGGCGACTTGTGGAACAAGCCATGGAGCAGTATAAGATTGTGGAGAAGGGCTCGAAAACTAAGGCATATTCCGACGAATCGCTCATGAATGCGGCATTGGATCCAGAAGAGCAGGAAAAGTATGAAGCGATAGATTTTGTGCAATCCTCGTTGGATGAGCTGCAGAGGCAGACTGAGTCGCTAGAGGCGGAGCTTGACAAGATGCTTTCCAACAAGAAGAGCAAAAGGGGAAACTCGTATGCCAACGAGGAGAGGAAAGCCGAGATTGATGCTTCTTTGTTCACGCATAAGTGGCACCAGGAAAGGCTGGAGACCATTCTGCGTGTTTTGGAAAACGGCGCACTGCAGCCAGATGGTGTGTTGGGAATACAGGAGGACGTCAAGTACTACTTGGAGTCCAATCAAGAAGTTGATTTCATGGATGATGATACCATTTACGACGATCTGAACCTTGATGCCATTGAAAATACTGTGAACGACCTGTACACGGTTCCGGAAGAGGCATCTGCTGCCTCCACGCCGGTGAAGGCCAAGATCAAGCTGGATACCAAGGAAGCTGAAGATCAGCCCTCGCCTGTGCCCAAATCGGTAACGGTGAAGAAGCCGTTGAGTCGGTCTGGTCCTGTTGTGGTAGGAATTCCAACGCCGTCGGTGACGCCGGCCCTGCCTTCTAACTTGAAGCCGGCCGTGGTCCCAGCGAAGCCTGCTGGAGGTCTTAAATGGTCTGTGGCTGCTTCAGCCGCTACCGCTACCTCAGCTGGAGCTTCTTCTCCGGCTGCTAGTGCATCGCCTTCTGCCACAGTGTCGCCATTGACCACATCCAACGGGTCGGGTCAGGACCATTCGCCGGTCTTAACGGCTGCTGCTGCCTCTGCTCACGCTTCTCAAATATCTGCCGCTGCAGCAGTGACTGCTGCTTTGAAATCAGATGTTGAGTCCAAGCACCAGCTCACTGCTCTGCCTACCTCCGTTCCTTCTGTATCTACCACTATGAGCATCAATGCCGCCAATGCTGCGAGTGTGCTGGAAGCCCTCAAGAACCGCAAGCAGCACGAAGTACCTGCTCAAGAGCAACCACCTGTGAACCCGCTGGCCGTTCCTTCGACTAATGGGACAAAGAAATCGCAACCGTCAACCGGAGACTCTTCTCTGGAAACTGATGAGCAGCTCGCATGTCTGCCTTCTGGAATCCAGAGCATCATTCTATCCTTTGTGGCAGCAAGACAGAACGCTGATGAAAGCGCTACGCCGATCACAGATATTGCTTCGGCGGTATTTGTTCCACGCTACCACTCCCCTCTGCCCACGGAATCGATTCCTCCACCTTTGGAAGCCCAGCGAGTTGCACTGATATGGAACTCCATCAGGTCTTCCGGTAATCTGCAATTGGCTGCTCAAAACGTGGATACGGCAACTTTGTTCTACGCGTACTATTTCTCCCAGACGCCTTATGAAAGGAACGTCTCTGAGGCCGTGTTGAACTCAAGGCAGTGGAGAATGCATCTCAGCAAGCGGATGTGGTTCCAGAGATCCAGTCAGCCTAAACTACTAGGAGAAGGCTTTGAGATATCCGATTTCAAGGTCTTTGATGCCACTAGTTGGAGTCTAAAGGAGAGGATCGACTACAAGTTTGAGTACGATCAGCTCTCGGCTGTCTCTTCCAGTTTTCCCACAGTATAGTTGATGTATAGGGTGAAAAAATAACCATGTTACAATGCTCTCGACAATATCGTTTTCCTCAACTAATTCGTGTAGATTATGAATACAGAGCACAAAAGGATTACCTGCATAGCTCCAAAACTTTTCACCACTATTTGATATGCTATTTAGACCATTGAAATTTCCTTACGTAGAAAACTCCTCGAAATCGGACAGATCTTCGTCAATTTCACTCTCACTCTCATCCTCGCTATCAGAGCTCTCCACCTTCTCTCCACGCTTTCTGGCATCCTCTCTTCTCTTCTTCTTCTCCTCCTTTTTGGCTTTCTTAGCATCTACATTCTTCTGCTGCGCCTTTTTTCTCTCCTCCTTCAGCTTCCTCTTGACTGCGTGCTTCTGTTCCAGTTGCTTGATTTCTTTGTCTGTCTTTGCAATGAATGCGTGGTGTAGAACCTTTCCTGAGCAGATACCTTCCTCGATCTTGACCAGGTCCAGCTCCATCCGGGGACCCAGTTCTGTCAGTTTCACAGCCCGCTTTCTGACATTCTTTTTGTCATCTTGATCAGCTGGCTCTGCTGCTGCTGGAGTCGCACTTCTGTTTCTCGCTATCACCGTGACATCCTCCTTGATATCCACAACCGAGTCGTCTTCAACCTCAGACTCACTTGTGTATCCGACAGCATTGGCATAAGGGTCAAGGATTATGTCGGACATATCACCAACCTTGGCCAAGTTGGGCATTCTTCTGGCGGAGTTCTTATTCAAATTGATTAGACGCTTGACACCCTTGGAGACATCGACCAGCTTGGTGTCGATAGCGTAATGACGGATTTCAATAATTCCAGTCTCGCGGTCCTTATTCAACAGCAAAACTCTCTTTATGGATCCCACTTTGGTGCTCTGAGGAGATATTGGTGGAAACAAGTTCTGGAACATCGTTATTAGCAACTTCTCATGAGCTGGTGAGTCCTTTGGGTTGGAGAATCCATTCATCACCAGCAATGGTGGAGCAAGGAACTCTGGAGACTGTTTGCTGATGGACTTTGGATGTTTCAAAAATCTGGCCACATCTTTGCACAGAGAATAGCTTTTAATCTTGAAGCAAGCAGTTGGACCATGTGGGGTTCTGGCAATACGTAATTGTGACGAGCCTGTGTCCTCTGATTGAGAGAAGATCATGAGCTGAGACACACCAAGAGGCCCGGCCATCACCACAAAGTCCTTCAGCTTGTTGGATTTTCTTTCACGAAGACTAATTGCTGTGTGTGGCTGCATCATATTTCTTGTATCTTTTACTAGTTGTGTCAGCGAATGGTTCTGCAATGCTGTTCCAAGATGGATTACCATCGACTTGGGGATCTTAGCCAGGTCCTCATCCGTGGCCTTAACGTGCGTTCTTGTCTTTGACTATAAAATTAAAAGTTAGAATTCGTTGAGAAAATGTGATAATCCCGAATATACTTTACGTACTCTTCTTTTCGCCATTTTTGGGGTTTTTAATATAGGTATATGAAGGTTTGTTTCTGAAAAATCACATCTATAAAAAAATTAATTTTTCAGTCTCAGTCACGTGCTCATCTGCATAAATTTTTTTTTGTAGTGATGAGGTAGATTTAATCTAGATTGTTCCCTTCTTATTCAGAGCTGTGTTCTCCAATCATGTCTTCTACGAAAAAGGAGAAGAGGAAGGTTGATTCCAAGGTGACGAAACCAGTCTCCAAGTCATCTGTTGATGTCGAAGCGATCAAGAGGAAACTAATCAGATTAGAGGAGGAGAAGAAGAAGAGACAGCAGACAGTTGTCAAGCCACAGACAGAACAAGAACCAATAGAGAAGACTTCGGATTCTGAAGACGAAAATGTAGCAGAAGGGGAAGAGGAAGAAGAAATTCCCAAAGATTTCTCCTCGTTCGGACTGCACAGTGATATTCTGGAGTCTTTGGTGAAGCTGAAGTTCACCTCTCCAACACCAATTCAAGCGCAGTCCCTTCCACACAGTCTACAGGGAAGAGACATTATTGGTCTAGCCCAAACTGGTTCAGGCAAAACTGCTGCTTTTGCCATTCCCATTTTGCAAGCTTTGTGGGAAGCGCAGTCTCCATATTTCGCATGTGTGCTCGCGCCTACTCGAGAGTTGGCGTATCAAATCAGAGAAACCTTTGATGCCATTGGAGCGAATATGGGGGTCAGATGTTCGACTATCGTTGGTGGAATGGATATGATGGAGCAGTCTAGAGAACTCATGAGAAAACCTCATGTGATTGTTGCCACACCGGGTCGTCTCATGGATCATCTGGAACATACAAAGGGCTTTTCTTTGAGGGCATTGAAGTTTCTCGTCATGGATGAAGCTGATAGGCTGTTGGACATGGATTTCGGTCCAGCTCTCGATAAGATTTTGGCAATAATTCCAAGAGAAAGGACCACTTATTTGTTTTCCGCTACTATGACCAGCAAGATCGAGAAGCTGCAAAGAGCCTCTCTATCCAAGCCAGTAAAGGTTTCGGTGTCAAGCAAATACTCCACGGTTGACACATTGCAACAGTCATTGATGGTAGTTCCTGACGGGTACAAGAATACGTATCTGGTGCATGTGTTGAACGAGAATTTGGGCAAGTCCACTATCGTGTTTACGAGAACGGTTGCGCATGCCCAGAGAACGTCCTTATTGGCCAGGATTCTGGGATTTTCTGCCATTCCCCTCCATGGTCAGTTATCCCAGTCTCAGAGACTGGGTGCTTTGAACAAGTTTAAAGCTGGTGAGAAGCAAATCTTGGTGGCCACCGATGTTGCTGCTAGAGGTTTGGATATCCCTTCTGTGGATCTGGTTGTTAATTACGACATCCCTACGGATTCAAAGGCATACATTCACAGAGTGGGAAGAACTGCCAGAGCTGGTAGGTCGGGAAAGTCAATTTCTCTGGTTACGCAATACGATTTGGAGCTGATCCTCAGAGTGGAAAAAGCTATTGACATGAAGCTACCGAAGGATACCCCAGACAGAAACGAGATTCTGGCTCTGCACAGCTCGGTGGACAGAGCCTATGCTGAGGCAGTGAGAAAGGTGAAAGAGATACATAGTCGTCGCAAGCCTTAGGATACTTAACGAACCAAAACAGTTTTTCTCTCTAAGAAATTGCACTTAGTTGCTTCTAAGGTAGACAGTTATTTGGTCGTGTATTGATCCACTATTTAGGGTCGTGCGCTGATCGCAAAAGAAAACAGCGTCCATCAACCTTCAGATTTCCATCAACGATTAAGCATTGCGTTAAACTTTTTCTACTCCTAGATTTCCACCATTCTTACACTTTTAACTACGGAAATGGGGAAGGGAGCTCTCAAGTTTGGTGGCAAGTCCGGTGTTTTGCCGGTGCCTCGTCAAATCATCAGGAAACCGTTTAGACCTGTGACCGTCAAGCCTAGTGCTAATCAAGGATATGCTGAAGGTATTCAGCATCCAAAGGGCTCCAGCAGGGATATGAGATTCCCAAAGGTGATACCCGTTTCCGAGCAGATAAATCTGACCGCTCGTGATCCAGCCAAGAAGTACACCGAAGAAGAGATTTCGAAGATGCCATTGCAACAGCAGTGGAAAGTGAAAAATTCTGAGCTCCGTAGGACTTTCTTGAAGGAGACATATTATAAGGATTTAGCTGCTATTGAGCTCAACGAGCTTACAGAGTCGAAAAGGATCGCTAAGGAAGAAGCAAAGAACAAGCTGGAAAGGCAGCACGAAGAGTCCAATACCACCAAGTTGACGATGCCCAGTCTCGACGATATGTTGAAGGAAAAGATCATGAGAGAAAGGACTGAGGAAGAAAAAGAACTTTTGCATCAGGCACGTGAGTTGAACAGGATTCATTGGGAAAAGACCACCAAGACCCAGAGCGCATTGAGGCTATTGGAGCTATACAATGCCAGTTCTGAGTTTGCCGTCACAGAGGAAGAAGTCAACCAACTGGTGGATGACGCTTTCACCGAGAAGGACTCGTATGCCTCTAGTTACAAGATCATGAGATCGCTAACTGCTACTGCTGCGGCCCATGCCAAGGGTGTGGAAGATGTTCTCAAGGATGCTGTTGTGGGCAAGCTTGGAGGAGGACCTTCTTTGAATGCTTTGAAGGATGCAGTTAGCGGCGTTGATGACGAAATTGTCCGTGAAGCTCAGGAAAACTACCACAAGTCTCTGCTGGAGAAGGTTGATTCTGAGGAGCAGAAGTGAGGGCCAAGAGATAGCTAAACCTGTAAATATATATATATAACGATGGAATCACACAGAAAATCGTATTAAATCTGGAATTTCAGAATTTCGGCTAACCTAAACTTTCAGTAAATGAGGACTGCCAGAACGAAAAATGGAGAAAGACAGAAAAGTACGCAAGAGAAAAGAAAGTATATACAGCGCTGGTTCGTGAAAAAGACGTATTTATATGGATCCCCCTTATTTCAGCAAGGTGTCGAAAGCTGGGATCAAAGTCTGAGCCAGAGCAAAAGAGAAGACCAACTTAGGACCTGTAGTCAAAAGCTTTGGAGTCAAGCCCTTGAAGAATGAGGTGATACCCTCGTTCTTGGCCATGTTCTTCAAAATGGTGAAACCAGACTCGGGGTTCTCGAAGTTTCTGTTCTGAATTCTGGTCTTAATCACGTCTAATGGAGCGGATACAATCAGAGAAGAAGAAGCACCAAAGATGGAAGCGACAAAGTTTTGGTACCAAGAAGCACTGGTGTAATCGGACAATCCGAAAATGTACTCCTTGGCAAAGGCGTTACCACCAAACAGCGCGAACGAGCCCGGAGCATTTCTAGCAGCGGTCCAGCCCCAACCACGGTAAAGACCGAGTCCTTCATCCTGGATGATCTTGACGAAACCACGGCCCTTGAAAGACTCTGGGTTAGTCTGACGCTTGATCTTCAAGACGTCGAGAGGCAGCAGAACAATCTCACCAATTCCGATCAAAGAACCAGCCGAGGCCGAAAGCAAAGCTTTGCCGGTCTTTTTACCAAAATAGGATTCGTAGGTGTCCGAGAAATTCTTGGTCAAGAACTCATTGGCAAACGGCTGACCACCATACTTGTACACTCTCTGTAAGATCTTGTAACAAGCAGCATAACCCAGACCGGGGAAAAGAGTGAATAATCTCTTTCCGAAGGCTTCCTTTGCATGGTCTCTGAAAATTACAGAGTTCAATTGAGCACCAGATGTGATCTTGGTGTGGTTGCTCATCAGTCTCTTGGAGATGGTGTCCACCGGGTGGAAGACTGCAATCTCGCAGATACCAGCCGAGGCAGATCCCAAGACTCTGGCAGCGGCAGACTGCTTCTTATCGGAGGATGATGGAGGGGACATCTTGAAGGATTCTACACAAGTCGAAGTGAACGGAAAAAAAACGAACAAAAAAAATGCCCTTGGGTTGGATTAGGGTGTTCGAGCTGTTATCTTTCATCTGAAAAATCGCCCATGCAAAAAAAACGTGAAAATGTGTGACTCTCTTTGTTTCGTGTTTTAATTAATTTGGCGCCGCACAAGATAGCGCATGATAATGCTTTGGGATTAAGCTCTTATCTATGCATCGGAATTTGAATTTTAGTGAGATTTCAAGATTCATCTATTACCAGAAACGAAATTTGCCTCTATATAAAAAGCGACTCTTCGGAACGTCTATTTCTTGATATCCTCAACGGCAGAGGCGTGGGTCTTCTGGAATCTACCGGATGGGTCAGCATGACAACCCCAGTCGGCCTTTGGAATCCATCTCATGACAGTAGAGGCAGCGGCCTTTTGTGGGAAAAGCTCGTCGAACTTCAGACGATAGAAGTAGGCCTCCTTGGTGGTTGGGACATCATCACCCCACTCGGCCTTAGGGTTGGCAAACTCCTCGTCAGAGACGCTCTTTTCAGCCAGGTCCTTCAAACCGTCAATCCAGGAGTATCCGACACCATCCGAAAACTGCTCCTTTTGTCTCCACAAGATCTCGTCGGGCAAGTAAGGCTTGGCAGATGGATCGTCGGAGGTGTCAAAGGCCTTTCTCAAGATGTACTTCTCGATCTTCTCTCCGGTAATCTGTTTGTCCTTTGGATCTATGTTCATACACACCTCCAAGAACTGTTTGTCCAGGAATGGAACACGGGCTTCAAGACCCCATGCCATGGTGGACTTGTTGGCTCTCAGACAATCAGCCAAGTGCAAGTTCTTGACACGGGTTACACACTCAGTGTGGAAATCGGCAGCAGAAGGAGCAGCAGCAAAGTACAGGTATCCACCGAAAATCTCGTCAGAACCTTCACCCGAAAGAACCATCTTGACACCCTGGGCCTTGATCTTACGGGAGAGCAGGTACATTGGGGTGGAGGCACGGATTGTTGTCACATCGTAGGTCTCGAGGTGGTATATGACATCTGACAGAGCGTCAAATCCTTCGTCCAGAGTGAAGTGGTGCTCGTGGTGGATGGTACCGATGAACTTGGCAACCTTCTTGGCCGCAATCAGGTCAGGGGCGCCAGGCAAACCCACGGCAAACGAGTGCAATCTAGCCCAGCCATTAAGAGCGAGGTGACCCTCACCGTCCACACCGGTAAGAGTACCGGAAGCATCAATACCCTCTTCCTGGGCAGCAATCTCCTTAGCTGCCTTCTGAGTCTCTCTGGAGGCAATAGAAGCAATCAGGGAAGAGTCCAAACCACCAGAAAGCAAAACACCGTATGGAACCTCAGCCATGAGTCTCTTCCTAACGGCCATCTCCAAAGTAGATCTGACCAGCTTGTAATCGACTGGGGTGGTTGGGATCTTCTTCGCGTCCCACCAGGTTGGCTGGAAGTAACGCACAAGCTTGTCGGTCACGGAGTCGTAGATATGACCTGGGGGGAAAGCAATGATGTCGTCACACTCGTCAACAAGACACTTCAGCTCGGAGGCAAAGAAAACAGTACCCTTCTTCTCCGAAGACCTGCCCATGTAGAGGGTGGTGATTCCGATGGGATCTCTTGCAGCAATAATGCGGTCCTCTTGCTTGTCGTATAGCACAAAGGCAAACATACCATCCAGATGCTTAGGAGCATCAATATCAAATTTCTTGAACAAAGGAATGATAGGTTCACAATCAGACATCGTCTTGAATGGGTAGTCCTTCAGCTCGGCTCTCAGCTGGATGTGGTTGTATATCTCACCGTTAACGGTCAAGATGTATCTCTCGTCATCAGAGACAATAGGCTGAGCACCTGCATCAACACCAACGATCGAAAGTCTCTCGTGACACAAGATCGTCTTGTTGGCGACGACGTTGCCCGACCAATCTGGGCCTCTATGGCGAATTCTCTTGGAATACTGCAGAGCCTTGGGCTTGAAAGCCTCAATATCCTCTTGCCTGAAAGCAGCAAAGATACCACACATGTCTTTAGCTATGGAAGATGCGGTGTGTGTTGGGGAACAGGAAGCCTGGGATGGAGACGTTGGAAAAAGAAAAATTTAGATTCTTTGGAGATTGTTACTCACCGTCCCGGGATCGCATCTGCTGCCGTTTTTTCGGGCATGCAACGCTCGTAACCATTGACTCATTTGACGTGCGCCGGCTAGGTTTCTGACATTTAATCTTTTCGGTAAACTAATTGGATGTGCACGACTTTATTGCTTACGCAACGAGCCGTACCATTGTGCGGGTGAAAAACCACGACAGTAGCCTCGTTGCTCTATTTTTTCTCTAGTTTTTTTATGGCAGGATTTTGGAAAACAGTATCCAAAGTCTCAATCCAACGTCTGGTAAAACCACCTAGTTGCCAAATCAATAAGTACAGTACCTCCAACCACAAAATGTCTGTTGAGGAGAGCTTGAAACCCCTTTTCAGTGCTATCACTGAACTGAAGCCTAGCTTCATTGATCGTTTGTCTCAAGCTGTGAGCATTCCTTCCGTTTCGAGTGACGAAAGTCTGAGACCAAAGGTGTTTGAGATGGCTGAGTTTTTGAAGTCCCAGCTTATTACATTGGGTGCAGAAGACATCCAAATGAGAGACCTTGGAATTCAACCCCCTCCTGTCGTTGATCCCAAGCTGCAACTGCCACCAATTGTTCTCGCAAGATTCGGTCAGGACCCAGCAAAGAAAACCATTTTGGTTTATGGTCACTACGATGTTCAACCCGCCTCTATCGAGGATGGTTGGGCGACTGAGCCTTTCACCCTTGTGCAGAAGGACGACAAGCTTATTGGCAGAGGCTCCACTGATGACAAGGGGCCTGTGATTGGCTGGTTGAACTCCATCGAGGCCCACAGAAAGGTTGGTCTCGAGCTTCCAGTTAATTTGGTTTGCTGTTTCGAGGGTATGGAGGAGAGTGGTTCCCTGGGACTGGAAGAATTGGTTGCCCAGGAGTCTGACAAGTACTTCAAAGGTGTTGACGCTGTTTGCATTTCCGACAACTACTGGTTGGGAACCAAAAAGCCTGTTCTGACCTATGGACTCAGAGGATGCAACTACTACCAGATCACTGTGTCCGGAGCTAATGCTGACTTGCACTCTGGTGTTTTTGGTGGAATCATCCACGAACCAATGACAGACCTCTTTAAGGTGATGAGCCAACTGGTGGATGTCAAAGGAAACATTTTGATTCCTGGAGTGAACGAGATGGTTGCGCCAGTCACCGCAGCCGAAGACAAGCTGTACGATCCAATTGAATTTTCTGCTGAAGAACTGAGCCAAGCTGCTGGTGCCGATACCGGTTACTTCGATGATAAGAAAGATATCCTTCAGCACAGATGGAGATTTCCTTCTTTATCTCTTCATGGTATTGAGGGTGCATTCAGCGGTGCTGGTGCCAAGACCGTCATTCCAGCCAAGGTTGTTGGTAAGTTCTCCATCAGAACCGTTCCAGACATGGACAGCGACAAACTTGACCAATTTGTGTTTGACTTCGTCAAGGCCAAGTTTGCTGAGCTAGGCACGAAGAACAAATTGAACGTAGAGTTGATTCACGGCGGTGCCTACTGGGTTAGCGATCCTTTCAACGACAACTTCACTGCTGCGGCCAACGCCACCAAGCTGGTGTGGGGAGTCGATCCCGACCTCACCAGAGAGGGTGGATCTATTCCAATCACGTTGACATTTGAGCAGGAGCTTAAGACTGGTGTCGTTCTCTTGCCTATGGGTAGAGGTGACGATGGAGCCCATTCCATCAACGAGAAGCTGGATGTGCCCAACTACATTGAGGGAGTAAAGACGCTGAGTGCGTATTTGCATTACTATGCGGCTGGTGCCAAATAAGATATTTAATAAGTGGATCAATATATAACCATCAAATATCGACCTTTGTGAAAAAAAGTTTCAATCGTATGGCCCATGTCTTTTCTATCGTTGGTCACGTGATGCAGGCTAAGTCCTATCAGTGAGCCACATGGGGCCGCTGTAGACAAGACATTAGTGTTCAGTCGTTTGAACCGGAACAAGCCTGCAATCACTCTTTTGAAATATCTGAGCCCATTAACTAGTTATGGCACTCCGACTCAATGAATTGAAATTAGACCAGGAGTTTGAGGCCAAACTCCTTGGCGATATGGACGATGTGAGAGAAAGGGCCATTTTGGAGAGGCAGGCTGTATCGCAGGCAGACCTACCTTCCCTTTCCTCCCAGTTGCAACAGGAACTCCCGGAAGCGAAATTCAGATATGGGTTTGGACCAGCACCTGTTGATGATAAATTTGTTTTTTTCTTTGATATAGACAATTGTCTCTACAAAAGGTCCACAAAGATCCACGATCTGATGCAGATATACATTCATAGATTCTTCAAGAAGACGTTGAAGCTGACAGATGAAGAGGCTCATGTATTGCACAACAAATACTACAAAGAATATGGGCTGGCCATTGAAGGTCTGGTGAGACATCATAAAATTGATGCGTTAGAATACAACAAGGTGGTTGATGATTCGCTTCCACTTGAGAAGGTACTAAGGCCCAATCCGGCATTGAGAGAGATGCTGTTGAGAATAAAGGAAAAGGGAGTATGTGGAAAACTCTGGCTGTTTACAAATGCTTATAAGAACCATGGAATGCGTGTTGTGAGGCTCCTTGGGTTGGGCGATGTGTTTGATGGAATGACATTCTGCGATTACAGCGAGTTTCCATTGACTTGTAAACCTATGGAGGCGATGTTCGCCAAAGCGTTGAAGGATGCAGGGTGCAAAGACAAACAACATGCTTATTTTGTGGATGACAGTGGCTTGAACGTGAGGGCTGCTAAGAAATTGGGATGGGGTAAGGTGATACAGTTCGTTGAAAGGGACGAGGATTTGCCAGATCTGATTGGAGAAGATGATAAAGAGCGCGAAGGTATCTATGTTATAAGGAATATTCTAGATATTGAGAAGGTGGCAGCCGAGTTGTTCTAGAGCAAATGCGCACTGTTGGCTAGAGTGGCTGCTCGAGGGCCTTTAAAACACACTCGCCTTGGTGATAGATCTGTCCAACTTGTGTTCCACTGCCGCGAGAACCAGCAAACAATCACCATGAATTGGATCCGACGAATTGCTACCACCATAGTTAATGAAGTACTCTTTGGTCAGAGACACTAACGAGCTTTTGAATTTGGAAAAGATTGCTTCTCTCGGCTGGATTTCCTCTGGCTCGAAGATGCTTGATTCGCCCACTGCCCCTGTATGAGAGTGTCTCAACTCGTCTGTGACCTTTTCAAACTTCGTGAAGTTCGGAATGATTGCATACACCAGTCTCTCAATCAATCTGATACGCAATTTGGCATAATGAAGGGGTTTCTTCCCGCTCTCAGCAGATGTTCCCAACACCGAGTTGCTCCAAACATTCAGGAATAGCAGTAACGAGTGCACAATCGTCTCCAAGGTGTTTGTCTCGTTTTCGAGGTCGATCTCATAAGTTATCAGTTGAGCAGTTTTCTGTTTGATTTCATCGTCGTTTCCATCATATTCGTCATAATCATTGAGGGTGACAATGCTATCCAGACACAGCCAATACACGGCATATTTGATAAAAGGAATGGTTCCATCCGAAATGTTGCTGATTAGTCTGTATACGAGATCAGGTTCGTCTCGGGGTATACCTGATCTGAGCAATTCGCAAAAGCCCTTGAAGTCGCCTTGCGAAACAGATTGATCCTGATACCTCCATATCGTGAGTTTTGTCAAGCAACCGTTCAGCAACTCAACAGAGCTTGGATTTCCAGATCTGGCTCCAATCCTGTCAGATAAGTAGGGCTTCGTCACTCTGGCATCCAGGAGAAAGAGCTCTATGATATAGACCATTAGTTTGAATATTTCATAATGAGCTCCACTATAATCTTCAGTTTTGCTGGTTGCAATTGCAGCCACGAGAACTTCAAACTGAGCAACAGTGATTATCATAGGCAAGGTAGGATCCATGCAGCCTAGTTTGAGATGCTCAGACGGCCTCGTCTTCCTCTCAAGCAAGTCAGAAGAACCACCTAGTTTTCGCACATAGCTATAAATCGTCTCCATATCAACATTCTTTAAGGACATTGTTCCGTTTTCGAACGAATGAGATATTGCTGTTAGCTTTGACATTCTATTATCAAACTCTCCCATTGGAACGACTTCCGTAACAGGTTTCTCTATGAAATAGAAGTCTTTCAGTCTGTCGGCGTTTCCTTTCAGATAATTGAGGTAATTCTTGTTTTTTGGGTCATTGAGAACTTTGCTAGATATATTTTCCTCCTCGGCCTGCTGTTTTTCAGCGTGATTTATGGAAGATAATCTGTCTTTTTGTAGCAGCTCTTTGAGCTCTTCCTCCTCGTTGATCTGATCTAGCAGACCATCGTCCATATCTGGTGGCAAATCACGAAGTTTTTCGAAAGACTCGGGGAATCCAATATCAAAATCAATATCATCGAGTTTCTGGTATATGTTTGTCTTTTTTTTGGGTGTTGGAGACCTAGAATCCATGTGTTGAGTGGTGTGTCTGGGCTTTCCAGACGGCTTTCCAGACGGTTTGTCAGTCTTCCTATTAGAACTATTCAAACCGAGCAATTCACCCATAACGTCATCGCTATCTGAGTCAGACATTTAAGACACGTTATGAGAAAAAATCTGGCCAATAACCTTTGAACTCGTCTGATAATGGTGGTTTGAAACTTTATCTTCTGCTTGCTTGAAAGGTTCACGCGTCCCCGATGAGACGGCACTAGGGGCCTCCGCCGCATCAAGCTGAAAAATCTGTAAAACGGTATGATAATTTTATATGTACAGACAGATATGAAGTATGGGTGATGTATATAAGACAGACTGGATAATGGTGATTTTTCAGGCAAATTTATGGTTGAATGGGTGTTCCAACCCTCGTTCTTAGAATCGTTCAACTAGCTTGACTCGCTTGACTCGCCCGACTGCAACTCCAACTCCTTCAAAACCTTCCTATCTTTGGTATACAGAAATGCCGATAATCCCAGAACCGAAAACAAAATCGAGGTAGACACGAATCTGAACAAAACCTCCGTGGTATTGAGTCCCTGCTGATTGCGTGGTCCCCACTTGCCATACGCAAGGAAGTAGGCTGCCTTCTTCTCTTCTGTGCTCATGAGCTCCCATGGTAATTCCTGTTTTCCCTCCAGATAATAGACAGTATCTGCTCTCTCTTCTTCGGAGAGTTTTTCCCATCTCACTGGCAAATTTGCAAAGTCTGGCGAGTACAGTTCATCGTCGTCAGTCTGCCAGTTGTCTGTGGAGGTTGATGTTGCAAGGGTTCTTTTCAGACTTGGCTTTGCCAATATTGACTGGGTTGAAAACAACAATCTATTGCATTTCAACGTTCTCGGTATAGCCCTCAACATTGTCAGAATTTGTAAATTTTGTCTCTACGACTGATCTGAATCCGATTCAATGAAGTTTAGATAGTACACCAGAATAAGTTGGCGATGCCCACGCCGAAATCAATGACTGGTCTAAACGACACCTAGTAGCTTTCCACAACAGTCTTCAAAAGCCAAAACCACACAAAATGAGCTCGTATCTGGACATTTTGGTAAGTTTGATGCATATTTTTGTGCTGATGGAATTTCAGTCGTTGAGTGTGATATTTCAGGTGCTAACTGTTCACTCTCATAGCAAGCATTCGAGACCTCTTCTGAACAAAGAGTCAGTCCGATTCTGAATGTGGACCACCACGGCTTTCTTGCGGTGATTGCTCTTACGATTGCAATTGTGCTGATTTCATATGGATTCTCGTTGACTGGTGCATCCAAGAATAGCGCCACACAGTTTGTTTCATATGCGGTTCTGGCGTTGGTAGCATCGATTTCGCTGGGGTAAGAGAAATGACAATATGATACGATTCCATTCATTTTACTAACAGTATATCTGCAGATTCGGAGTGATTCTACTGGCTTCGGCAGTTGGTGTTTACACTTGAGTGAAAGACTGAGGAGGCTGAGTATGCTACTTATATGAACGATGGTGTGATGGAAAGGAGAATTAAGACTTCAGTCTCGTTGTGATTGATAATCTTGCATTTTGTTATGACTGAGCGCCTCTCAACTCTCCTTCTGGTGTGATGATCTGCCTGATCTGAACGTAGACGAGTAAACCACGTAGAGTGTGGGGACGTACAGCAGCAGCAAAATTCTCAGAAAAGAAGCAAACGTGGGATTATCATGATCAGCGTAAGGCAGGGCCACAAATAGGAGTGCCATCTCACAAAGAACCCTAACAGGGAACATGATCATGGTAGAAAACGATTTGAGGTATCTGATGGGTGTCGACACCAACCCAAAAGTCCTCACTTTGTAAACCACATAAGCATACCGTATCGTCTCTGAAATAGACTCTGAAGCTATGAGTAGAGCAAACGCGTTGTTTCTGGCGACACGTGGGTATTTCCAGATCGTTCCATACGAAACGATAGCCCTGGTGAATGTTCCAAGTGCCAGATTCACCAGCGACGGAGTCCTTGTTCTAACATTCGGCTTCCGAAATATCACAAAGTAGTTCGCCAACTCTATCACAATCAAAAATTGCATGGCCAAGAAAAAGTCTGCAATTCCACCAGGTAGGAACCTCGTACCCACCAGAGGAAAGAGCACCAGCAGTCTCATGAGCACTGCCAGCCACAAAAATGCAGATAAACCATTCGTGAGCAGAAGATATTTCTGTAGGTTTGAGTGACGAGGAAAGATTCTAGACATCTCGTATGGAATATTTGCACTCTTCACTGGAGGAAGAACAAAAGAGAACAAGACACGAAACGGGTTTGGATCTCAAAAGAGGTAAATAGCACGTTCCATAATGGCAGAAAAGCTGCGGGTTGATAAATTTCAATCTTCGATTCCATCTTGTTATTTTCCGATCCAGTGATTTCAGCCAAAAATGAAGATTAGCAGTCCGTTTTTGCTCTTGCTGCTTTTGTGCAAGGTTTGGTCATGGTCTGCAGAGGATTATGAGATCTTTGAGATCACGGAACAGTTGCAGAAGGACATGGGTAAAGATACTGACTTCTACACGTTTTTGGGACTGACCAAAGGTGCAGACTCCACGTTTGATGAGATCAGCGCTGCCTACAGAAAGCGGTCGAGGCAATTCCATCCTGATAAGGTGAAGAAAACAGGGTTGAGTAATTCTCAGTATAAAAAGGAGAAGAAGTTGATGGGCGAACGATACGAGAAGCTCAGTGTGGTGGGCTCGATATTGAGAGGAGACAGAAAGGAACGGTACGATTATTTCTTGAAAACTGGATTCCCGAAGTGGAAAGGAACGGGCTACTATTATTCCAAATTCAGACCCGGGTTTCTGGCTGTTCTAGGCTTTTTGTTCGTGTTGGTTTCTGTATTCCATTACATTGCCATTAAGATCAACTCCACTCAACAGACGAAGCGCATTGAGTCGTTGATAGACGAGATCAAGAAGAAGGCCTGGGGTGGGTCTGGGATCCCCCCAGCGGATATGTCAGACCGCAAAATCTTCAATCCAAACCTCAACAAGACGTTCGTGGTGAAATTTGACGGATCGGTGTTTTTGGTGGACGACCCTACTGCTCCAAGTGCGCCAACTTCTGGTGACGGCATTACCTATGGTGACGATGGTAAGGGAAACGTTGTATACTACGATGAAGAGGAACAGGCTCGCAGGAGGAAGAAGTTGGCTGCTGCGAGGCCAAAGCAGAACGAGGTTTTGCTCCCCGTTACTCTGGAAGACGTTCATGTCCCTACCTACCGCGACCTATTGCCTGTGAGACTCTTGCTATTTTCATGGAACTCCTCCGTTGCGAGGTACATACCTAGCTTGCGAATTGTGCTTACTGCTCCCAAGAAAGTTCAACAGCAGGCTGAGCCCGTCAAGAAAGCGGCACCCAAGAAGAAGGGTGTTAGAAAGGAATTGCCCAATGGAAAGGTGGTGTACAGCCGCAAGAGGTAGTTTACTATTTCGTTGAAGAGTTGTGATATTGGTCAGTTGCTTTATTTTGTCCACATTACATAGAAAACTGTGCTTCTGATCAATTCAAAGTACACCCTTAATTCTTTCGTGTTATTTGGTTCATAAATGGCAATAACTGGAAGCCCAACGACACTCACTCTCTGCTCCTGCCTCTGCTTATCAGGCTAGGCCCGGACTGACTGTCCTCACTTCCATCATCGTCATCGTCGTCATCATTCAGGTCATCATCGTCGTCATCATCGCTGTATCTGGACATTGGACGCAAAGATTCGCCCAGAGACTCGTCCTCGAATGTCAACGAGGGAGAATCGTCAATACCCTGGGCATCTATCTCTTCCAAAGAGCCCTCGTCAAAAGACCCGTTTTCGTCAGAGTCGGAATCTTGATCTCCAAGAGGCTCGATAGGGATATCGTAGTCGTCCTCTATAGCCTCCTCGTTATTCAATCCAACCGCAAACTCTTCGCTGTCTCCGTTATCCAATAGGATGACGCCATGCTCTTTATCTAATTGTATGTTTTGGTCGCCTATGCTCGATGCTGAATCCTCGGGGTTGATTCCGCCCAATACCTGGTTGTACATATCTCTGATCTGGATCAACTGGGTATTAATAAAGTCTGACCATTCGGAAAACCGAGGTGCAGGTGTAGTTTCGCCAGATTCGGTGATCTCGCCAAATAGATCTTCGTATAGCTCATCAAAGATGGATTTGGACGTTCTCAGATATACTGCACCTAAGGAATCGCTAGCCTTGGCTGTGGAGACTGTGTGTGCTGTTTCTTCCGTCTCCTCTTGGTTCAGGTGGATACTTTCCAGGATGTTCTGGAACTTCACAATTTCTTCTGCAATCAGGATCAGATGGCCCATGTACCCGAGCTTAAAGCCAGTGTTCTCCTCGTGTAATTCTGAAGTATTCAAGCAGAACAGGATGTATGCTGGAAGATTGAACGAGCCAGGGACTTGGTCCAGAGAAGAATCGTCTATGATTGCCTCGTCCGAAAAGTCCCCCAGATGCCCAAAGAAAGACGAAACGAGAATCTTGTTGATACCAAGGTTATCCTGATACAAAACTTCTTTAGCATCTCCTCGCGTCTCGTCGTCCAAAAGCCTTCCGTTGAAAATCTGCTGGATCAGGTCGAAAATAACGTTGTGCATGAAGTTGTTCCACGGGAATCTGTGCAGTTTCAGCACAATCTCTCTGACAGCACGGGTCTGCAGAAGCTGGTACTTGAAGAAACAGCCCACAGACATTCCAAAAGGAGTTGGAATGTAGTCTTTGGGAGTCAAACCGAGAGAACTCAGACTCTGCATGTCGTTGATCTTGGTCGAATTTGAAGCAGCTGAGCTGAGAACGTTGATGGTGGAGACCGAAGTTGGCTGTCCGTTGTCGAGCGATAACTCATCAAGCTCACCAGCAAGTCTAGACTCTGCTATTTTGTTATAATCAAACACAGTCACTCCATTTGGATCTGGAGAAGTATTCACGATGTCATCTTTAAGCGCATCACGAACCAACATCTCCGTCTGCTTCACATCGCGCCATTGGTCCCTCTTGAGTATCAGATAATCGAGCTTTGCAGATCTGTTCATCAACGCCATGTTGGAACAATGAAGCAGTTCGGCTATCAATTCCATAACTTTGAAACGTTCGTGTCCCAGAGGCTCAATGGCTTTTCCTATAGAACTTTTCAACTGGCGATTGTAGACTGGAGTTTTATCCAGCACTGACTCGCCATGGTCTTCGTTGAATTCGCCAGTCTGCGAAAACAATCTTTCTGATCTCAAGCGATAGTACTTATCTGTAAGATATGTATCCACGATTTCGGGAAGATAAGCACTGAAGATCTTGAGCATGGTTCCCAGGTAAATGGGGTCTCTCGGACTCGGTGGAGGGACTTTGATGTCTCTATCACCGTCTTTCACGAGATCGTCATCCTCGTTGTGAACGGAGGTGATCCAGTCGAAATCGTCATAGTCCGAGTTGTTCTTCCTGATCACCTCAATGATCACCGAGACACACGTCACCAACCCATAGGCTCCATGCTTAACTATAATTTCCATTATTTCCAAAACACTCTCCCTGCCAACCAGCTGTCTCGTCAAATCATTAGGACCAATGTTGGGATTGTGTGGCTGTGATTCCCCTCCGTTCAGAGAGTTAAATATGTCCCCGTTGTTCATGCCCTGTTCTGTCATTCCACCAAAACTTTCATTGGCAGTATTGGTCTCGTTCCAGAAGCCAACGTTGCTGCTTATTCCCACCAGACCGTTCAGAAAGACACAGAGATTGTCCTGGATTGAATGGGACAGATAGTTCACCCTCACCAGTTTCAAGGTCTCGTAAATCAGGTTTTGGTCCAACAAAATGTCAATGAGACCGGTCGGATAGAACGGCCTGTCCAGTGAAATCATCCGTATCAGAATGTCAGATGCCTGTGGGAAATACGGCACAAACGACAGAAACTGCTCTGAAAGACTTCGTGTCTGCTCCGGCTCCTGGCTCTGCTCGAGCCTGATGAAGTTCATAAATCCATGGATGTTGAAGGTCGAAAAGTTGTCGACCAGCTTCAGGAACTTGTTGAATGTATTTGGATTATGTGTTTCGATAGCGCGGTTCATCTCGTTGTCTTCCTCTGTTCCGCCTGGAGGTGGGATATCTGCGTTGCGGACAAAGATGCTGGCAGGTCTGTTGAGTATGCCTCTCCAAAGCTGCGACAAAAGTGAAAAATCCGAGGGATTCAGCAGAGCTTGCATAATCGAGTTCGTTGTAGTCACAGTCAAGATGTCTATGGCTGTTTCTGCTCTTTTGATAGCTCTTAGAAGTGGGTCGTCTTCTCCAATCAGCAACGGAGAAGAGTCCTGCTCAGGTTCCTGCTGCTGCGGCACATCTCCTGAAGCTTTAAATATCATCTCACTGACATCAACAGAAGCATTTCCTAGCGGAATATCCAAACTGGTAAGCACATATTCGATCAACACCCTGATTACGTCATCTTGGGATATGTACTGTATGAGCTTAGCGTTCCTCGCGCTGTTGATTTCCATCACCAGGTTCTCCTGATCTAAAAGCTTGTTGAGCAGCAATTGATTCAGCGGCTTTGGCTTCTGATCCGAAACTGCCGGGTTTGGGGAAGTCGTCGGCGAATCGGCCTCCACCGCCGCGGGCTGCTGTTGCTGATAGGGTTGTGGTTGGCTTTGATGCTGTTCCTGTGATAAAACGTCGTTCTCCTGGATCGAATGAAGTAACCTCGTTGCTGTCATCGTTTGGCTGGAATTTGGAGTTGTGGATGCCTGTGGGGACACACCAAGCGGCAACCGTTGCTGGTCCATCTCAATCTCCACCAGGATCCTGTTGATAGAGGCATTGGAGTAGGAGCTGTTGAAAAAGGGCCATATTCCGGACATTTTGGTGAAGTTTGGATTTCGCGGTCCGAACCGTGAATTCGGGAATTTTTCAGTTTCTGCGAAGTGGCGGGTGGATGTGGAACTAGGTGGTGTCAGCGTGCTGGCAACCGTCTCTAGGAGTTTCCCCTGTGTTCGCCTTAACACCGGGAAACTCTACTGGTAGTGCCCTAACAAAAACGACATCGATTGTTTCAATTTGTTTGTCCACCGTTTTAGTGTGGCGACAAAAAAACTCGTTGACTTGACACAAAAGTCGTGCGCCGGTTGCCTCCCGTTCATTTCACCTGGTTCTGGCTCCAGCAAAGATGGGCAATTTAAGATTGTGTGTGTTCCTCTGATTTCCCACACCGCTTACCCTTGTTCCCAATTTCATCTGCTCAACCCTGTGGTGTATTGTTTTTTCGGATTCATCTCACTATCATGGTTTCTGTAGTTGGAAAGTCTATCGGTATCCTTGGATGGTAAGTTCTGATCGTGATGATTGCTGTGGATTATTTACTTTACTAACGATCCGTAATTGCAGCCTCTACCTGTTCTATGCTGCTTTTGCCGTCACTTATATCTGCCCATTGGGCGAGCAACTGGGCAAGGAACCCCTTCTGATTTGCCAATCCACTCATGATGTCTACCACAAGGTCAATCCGTACTATGCCACCTACGTGTCTGCGCCAGTTGCTCCTTACGCCGCAAAACTGAGTCCAATTGCTGGCCAAGTCAAGCAAAAGTTTGACGATTCTGTTGTCGCCCCCGTTTCTGGGTTGTATGAGAAGCACCTGGCCAAGCATACTTCCAAGGCTGGTGGGGTTTACACTGCCCACTTGAAGCCTACCGTTACCAAGGTTCAGTCTCTGTACTCTAGCAAGTTGCATCCCCATGTATTGAGCTATGGTTCTAAGGGATTGAAGTGGATTGACCAGCAGGTTCTGCTGGGCTCTGCCAAGACCCGCACTGCTGCCATTCACGGCTGGGCTTTCACTCGTGCCAAGTCAGCTGAGATTTATGAGGTGACCAAGGCCAAGAGCATTGAGGGCTACCATGCTGGTGTTGCCTACACCAAGTCGACTGTGTGGCCCAAGACTGTCAGATTCTCGCAATTGGCGTGGTTGCATGGCACGATCTTTGGTACTAAGGCCTGGGGCGTCACCTCTAGTGCCTATGTCTCTCACGTCCATCCATCTTTGATAAAGGCCTACTACCTCCTCAAGCTGGATGTCGTTTACGGCAAGTATCAGGAGTGGTTAACCTCACCTTTTGGCCAGTACCTGACCTCCACTGCAAGTAGTATCACGTCATTCGTCTACACCAAGGTGTACGAAGGTTGGGTAGTCCTGAGCGGGGCCGAGGTCCGTAACAAGATTGGTGAGCAATATGCAGAGATTGAGCACCAGATCGAGGAGAAGAAGGAGTTCCTGAAGGGCGAGTTCAATAGGATATTTAGCGCTGGATTTAACACCGATATTGACCGTTATTCCCAGAAGGTAGAAACCCCCAAGGCCGAATCTACCTTGAAAAAGGAGGTCAAAAAGGTTCCTGAGTCGTCGAAGTCAGCCTCACCTTCATCAAAATCATCCACTTCAACGACATCGTCATCCTCATCCCCAGCTCCTGTTGACTCGGAGACTCCAGATCAATACCAGAAGTACCAGGACTATCTTCTGGGAACCTCGAAGAGTGCTTTGGAAAACTTCACCAGAGATGTTGAACGTCTTGAGATAGAGATTTCTGATGAGTTGACTTCGAGTATGAAGCCTAAACTTCAGGCTTTAAGCAAAACTGTCAACTCGGGCTACGAGGAGGTACATTCTCTGCTACATGAAATAGACAGAGTATGCGAAGCTGATGAACAAGACTGTCCTCCCGTTGAGTACGTCTCAAGACAAGATTTCAGAGACGCATTAGCCAAACTGGCAGACAATGTGAATGACAGAGGCGCTGCGGCTAGGAAAGAGCTGGATATCTATAGCGAGAAGCTTTCCCAGGATATCCTATCTACAAGATCTCAAATATTGGAGATATTACAGGATTTTGCGGACGCTTCTTTGCAAGAATATTCGCACGCCATTATGGATGCTTCCGGGAAGGAAAGACCAACTGATAATGCTGAGGACACTTGGGATGAATGGAAGAGATTTCACAACGTGAAAAATCAGATATTCGCAACCAGAGATGAGATTCTCACGACTGAGCCAAAACTCGAGAAGTTCAAGAAACTTCTTTCTGACTTGAACACCACTCTTTACGTCTTGGTGAATGAAAGCGGTCAATATTTGGCTATCCTAAGAGCTCAGGCTAACCTAAAGTTCCAGGCGAGAGAGGCGAGAGAAGCAAAAGAGAAGGCTTCCAAAGCAGAGGTTGAGTCTGAAGGAACTGCAGGTAACGAAGAGTACGACGAAGAGTACGAGGATGTTGAAACAGAAACGGTAGTCAAATACATCACCATGACTATTGATGATGACGGTCACACGTTATCGTCTAGTGAGACTGTGGAAACTCCAGTGATTATAGATGATGGTTCCGTTAGTCATCAGAAACACTTTGCGATTGAAGATGAAATTGCGGACGAGACTGTTGATGGAGCTGTTGACGAGGCCGTGAATGTTGAATCCCCCGTTACTGAAGATACGCCCATAGTTAAAGAGGAGGCTGAGGACGAAAACCTGAATGAAAAACTCAGGGACTTTGAAAGTATATACAGTGCAGAGTCCGGAGAATCTAGCGAGGTTTAGGGTGATATTGCTATATGACTGAATGATCCCACGTATGTAAATGTAATTAATCTTTGTAGCAGACCAGATTACGTGTAATGTATGAACTTGAATAGTCCATCCAAGAAGACCGTAGGGTTAGCCAATTTGGGTAGCAATAGATACAGGAGCCCATTATTCTTCAGGCACATGATTTTCAAAAAAAATTGGAATAGAAATAAAAAAGAAAATAAGAAATTCCGATGCCGGGAGTTGAACCCGGGTTTGCCCGGTGAGAGCGGACCGTGCTAGCCGTTACACTACATCGGATTTGTTATATCAATATATTTTCAGGGTTCAACATATTGACATGAATTGCTTGATATTTCTGCGGCTTGGACATAATAGTGGTAACACATTCAAACGTATTAAAATAATCAACTTAAGTAACGATAATTGATATCCAATACCTTGGCTACGTAACAAATAACACAATTTGTTAAAAATCGGCTCGTTGCGTACTGGCATGCCACTGTCAATCAGGACCTCTTCTTTGCGGTTTTTGATTTGACAGAATTGTCCATATACAACAGCAAATTGTGCCTATATGCTTGTCAGCTTTGGGAATGTTCATGAGATCAGAAGGACTATACGGTGCCAGTGTTGCTTGGTACCCAGTGGATTCGAAAGTTTTAACGTGGGACTAAATTGCTTTTAACATTTTGATTTTTGATAACAGTCTCGGCATACATGCAACAATACTAGTTACTTGATAAATAGTCGATTCGGCTGGTTCAAAATATCCCGGGGAAACAGCAGATATTAGTGATCCGAACCGCAAGGCTCAAAAATGGACCAGTTTCTGCCTGTCATCTCGCCACAAGGACAACAAGGTTGATAGTTCAGGGTCGACACGCTTACAATTCAGAGAAACTAAGAAAAAAAAAGACTCTGATCAACATCCTGTTCATGTTTGAACCATTTGCTCCTTTTGGCGTCTTTTTCATCGGCTTCTCGACCTTAGCTGATGCAAAAAAAGAAGTTAGTTCCGATGCCGGGAGTCGAACCCGGGTTTGCCCGGTGAAAGCGGACCGTGCTAGCCGTTACACTACATCGGATATTTCCTTCTTGGATTATGCGGATTTCTCAGATACCTCCAACAGATTAAATATTAATGCGCGGGCATAGCACGGCTGGTAACCGGCGATGTTGAAGAGCACTAAATTGAAAAAGGGGCATCTTGCTTAACATTTCAGTCCTTTCAAAGAATGAAGATATATATCAATTGAGTGGTTGTTTATTCATGTGATGTTGCCAGCGTCCATTCTTTTAGGTTGCAGTCTTTGCTAGTCAATTTGGGTGTAATTTTGTAAATTTTTGAGAAAATCCAGATACGAAGACTTTTTTCAAAAAACATTAATGTAGAAACCATGCAATTCTGGATTGTTATTTGAGTTATTATCCTGAGTGTCCTCTCGGAACACATTATTGATCTTTTATGGAACCTTTCGGACGCTTGTGATTTCCGCCTGGGCTACCTGAATGAGCGATAGACTCGGAAATGAAGTAGCAAGTAGCTATGAGAAATAACAGACCCGATCTGGTAGTTTTTGACCCCTGAGCCGGTTCTTCAATGTGTTCACAATAAATTGGTTCCAACAAAACCAATGTGTCGAAATAGGAAATTGGCCTCGGCAAAGAGATGCGTGCCATCTGTCCAATGTTTAGCCCCTTCCAATCTCCACAGCTTCTCTAGCCAATTGAATTTCCGCATCAAGACTTATCTCATACTGCAGCGCATTAATTTATTTTTGCAACAAAGCTATACCTATTACAACCTGTTTGCCGAAGCTCGCGAAACTAGGCTCAAAAACTTTGCCCGATAAGGTGCGGCTCATCCCTCCCGATCCGGGAGATCATTATCAACATGCATGTCGAGGTCTCCGCACAGATCTCGGCAAGCCCGAAACGGAAGTACACCTCGAATTCGAAAGACAGTTGATAAGGAAGATGTGTCTGGTGGATATATAAAATGTAGCAGTTATAGCAATTAGATGGAGACTATCATGACTATCATGACTTTCATATCTTTATCAAAATCAAACTAAAATGTCACTCAAACTCCATGCAAGCACCGTTGACACCACTAGTGACCCAGCCAAGTATGAGCTTTGGAAACCTAAGATTGCCGCATACAGAAAAAAGCTTGCGGACTCTCTTGTAAAGGAGTGGCTAATCCCGGAAAGTGAACTTCCTGCTGACCTCGATGCTACACCTGTGAAGGCAACAGAATTTCCTTACAAGTATCTTAGCAAAGAAGAGATAGCTATTACTGACACTTCGGCAACAGCCTTGACCAAAAAGCTTGCTTCTGGTGAGCTTTCTGCTGTTGATACTCTGAATGCATTTGTTAAGCGTGCTTTAATTGCACACCAGTTGACTAACTGTTTTATGGAATTTTTCTATGAAGATGCTCTTGCTGAGGCGACCAAATTGGATGCTATCCTCAAGGAAACCGGAAAGCCTGTCGGACCATTGCACGGACTCCCAATGTCTGTCAAGGAGCATTTCAACTTCAAAGACCATGTCACACATGCTGGTTATGTGGGCTGGTTGGACAGAGTGTCTCCAGAATTCGCGGATACTACCAAACAGTTGATCGACTGTGGAGCTGTCATTTTTTGTCGCACCACCGAGCCTCAAAGTCTGATGCATTTGGATTCCTACAACAATATTGTTGGACGTTGCAGAAACCCTAATAACACTTTTCTCAGTCCAGGCGGTTCTTCTAGTGGAGAAGGTGCAATGGTAGCCATGGGTGGTTCGGCTTTGGGTATGGGCAGTGACGGTGGTGGATCCATTCGAGCTCCTAGTGCCTTTTGCGGAATCTATGGACTGAAGGCTACGGCCCAAAGAATTTCCATCAAGGGATTCACGGTGTCAGTTGCTGGAATCGAAGGGTTCATCGGGGTCATTGGGCCTATGACCAGGTTCGTTGAAGATTTGGATCTGTTCATGACTGCCATTCTCAATTTTGCTAATCCATGGAAATATGATCCCTTCTTGACGGTAGTCCCATGGAGACCAGTTGAAGACCCCAAACCAACCTCGCTGAAGATTGGTGTTGTTTTTGACGACGGCATAGTTCGTCCTCATGCTAACATCAAGAGAGCTCTCGAGACCGTTGTGGGAAAGTTGAAGGAACAAGGAGTGGAGATTGTTTCCTTCAAACCACCCAGACACGAGGAGGCCATGAGAGCTATCATGAAAGTTTACAGTGGTGATGGAAACGAATGTCAGAAAGATGCTCTTGCGATTTCGGGCGAACCTATCAACCCATTGACCACTTGGACTTTGAGCTTCGGTGATGGTGATGAAGGTATGCCCGTCCGTGACCTCTACAGAACCTCTGTAACCAAGGGAGAGGTTCGCCAGGAATACCTGGATATGATGAACAATGAGTCAATTGACTTCATTTTATCTCCAACCTATGTGGGATGTGCACCTGTTCCAGATACTCTTCATTACTGGGGATACACCTGTATCTACAACTTGCTGGATATGCCCAATGTGGTTTTCCCAACCGGTCTGTACTCCGACTCTACCCTGGACAAGCCTGAAAATTTCAAGCCCAGAAACGAATACGAGGAGTATGAGCACAAGTTGTTTGAAGATCCAGCTATTTTCGATGGCGCTCCCCTGAACCTCCAACTCACCGGAAAGCGTTTCTCCGACGAAAAACTCGTGAAGGCAGTCAAGGTTATCTCTGAGATCATCAAGACATAAGCATCAGCGACAAGTTTTGCAGTGAATATCATTTGAATAAATTGGAAGAGTTAATTGAGTTTCAAAAATCTGATATCTTGAATATGGCAAGAGCAATTCGTAGCTCTGGTAATGGTTTTGTCTGTGCCGGGAGTACCTTATTAGCGCTCTTTGGTTTTTCAGTCTTTGTGAACTCTCTTGCTCAAGGAGGCAGGTGGCATACCTACCGTTCTTTTCAACGAAGAACTAGGACTGCTGTGCGACGTGTTTGGTTCCGAAGGCTGCAGAACCGACCGTTTGACAGGCATGGACTTGGTGGGATCGACGGTTCTTCTTATGGAGGGCGAAATGAAACTTGGGTTAAAACGTTTGTCATCACCCAATACCACGTTATTCTGTACCTCTTCCGCGGCCCTCGCTGAGAAAAAACCCACAGTAGCTGGTATTCCCTTGGACGTGGGCGTTTCCATTTGTCTTTGGGATATTTCATTTGGTGTAGGACTGTTGACTCTAGCCGAGGTATCACTTACTTTGGGCTGAGGCTCTGTTTTCACCTCTATGTTCTTTTTGTCATCCGCAGCCTTGTTCAGCAACAATGTCATCTCGTAATCGTCGATACCATTCATGAAGTCCTCCGACTCAGGGATTTCGCCAAACGAATCGTCGAAATCCTCCTCCGTGATGACAGCTTCTAGTGCAGTTTTGGACTCAGTCTCACGCTTGGAACTGTTTATAGCAACATTGTTGTCATTGACATTTGCTGGAGCCAACGCCTGAATTCTGGCAACAGCAGGAGCAGATATTGCATGCGGAGCTGGAGCTATATTTTGCGGCTTCACCATTGGACGACCATCTAGACGACCGTCTGGACGCCCAGCGGGCCTCACCAAGTTGTTCTCATCAAAAATCTGAGGATTGGTCTTCACCTTGGAGATCCGGGCTAGATACGCCTTATCGTACAAACAATTGCCCATGGCATTACCGAAACATCTCAACGCCCGTTTCAAGCCATCCGTCATGGCCTCTTTTTTGCACTTCTCAAAGGCCATTGCTCTGGTTCTTGCATTTTCTATATGACCATAACCTATGTCCTCGTGGAAAGAGCCATTCTTCAAAGTCACTCTAACCACAGTCGATAGTCCCACAGAGAATCTCCCACCCGTCTCTTCAACGTAATCCACGGTTGTCTGTCTGACCTCAGAGTTCCAGTTGTCAAATCCAAATACCCTATTTGCCAGGTTGATGGCTTTCCAGCCTTCTATGTATGAAACTTTGGCTCCACCTTGTCCTGGCCTCGTAGCCACGTACTCTGGCCCTAGTTGTTTGTCCAGCTCTGCCGAAATCCGTTCCCTTTCTTCTGGGGCGTACGGTATGGGCACCTGAACACTGTCCAATTCTTTTTTCGCGTTCATCCGAGCTTTATATTTTTTCCTGGTTGCGTTATTGTCTAAGTGTGGTAACGCGTTCAAAATTCGCCTCTGTGAACGCATCTGTTTACATGTTCCCGGTACCACAGGGTTGCACACACTAAGGGATTACCCGGCAATATTTGTGTTTGGGCTTGTCAGTCCTTGTGAGCACAGTTAGAGATATCACCAAAAGATACCATCGAGTGATTAGTCGTATCTTGCTCTGCATTTGTCAGTTTGAAGCCAAATTTGTTTGCAAAAACACCCAGAATATTCTTGTTCCTGGCCTTGTGTTTTTCGGTGCCTCAAAAATCTTCAATCGACCTCCGCTAGAAGTTGAAGATTCAGCCAGATCAGACTTGATACTCAGATATGGCTGCAGGACCAACGAGTGCCTCGGCCTCGAAGAGCTCGGGAAAACCCGTGTATTACTCCTCAATTGTCACGAAGACTCACCATAAAAGACTGACCTACTTCTGGAGACTGTCGTTGGTGCTGACTGGAGCCGTGACTTTTTCAACTGTTCTGGGAGCTCGTGCCAGCATCTGGTCTATCCTGCCAAAATTCTTCTTTATATGGGTCGGATTTGCGGTGGTGAAATACTCGCGAGATATAACGTTACAAATTGGCTCTCCTGGCTACAAAACTCTCATATCACAGTTATGTGGTGAATTGGTCACCAGCAACATGCTGACATGCTTAATGGCATATTTGTTTTCTGGAGGACTGTTTTTCTCCTCGGTTTATGTTCAGTTTTCATCTCTGTGCTACTATGTTGCTTCTCCCACAAAGACAGTGAAACCCTCCATAAACGATCAGTTCGTCTACTTCTGGTTCTACTCCACTCTGTTTGCGGTCTCCTATGCAGTTCAACAGTTGGTGCTGGAGAAGAACAGATTGCAATTCCAACATGGTGTCTACAGAGAGGAGCCCGAACCCAAAATTCTGGCGGGAATAAAGCCTTCTTTGGTTTTTGGGGCATATTTCAGCGGAGTATTGTCGCTAGCCCTGCCAATTGTGTATCTCGTTCTGAGGACTCATATCTATGGGGTTTGGCTGAAGCCTTTCTGTTGGGTGTTTGGACTAAATACCCACAAGGTAGCATTTGACGTTTCGTTTTCGCTTATATTCAAGATATTTCTTGCTAGTGTCTTTCTGTCTTCTTCCTGGGAGATCATCAACCACATATTTGATGCCTATGCTTCTATAGGATGTCTCCACAAGGGCCAGCCGCTTTCGTCACAATCAGATGACCCAGCCAATACGCTTCTGTCTGGATTGAGAGATGTAAAAAACCCGCTGGCAAGAGTGACGGCTTTTCAAGAACTGGCATTTTTGGCGACTTCCAAGGATTCGTCACACAGATCTATCTTTTACAACGGTCGGTTTAAACACTCGTTTGTGTGGAGCTCGATCCTGGAAGAGTGCACCGTGGTGATCAAGGCCAACAGCAACAGAATGAAGAAGAATCTACAGGAGCAAAAGAAGACCCAGAAACTCGCTCCAGCTGCTCCAAAGCATGAAAGCAACCTATTTGGTAACTCAAGACACATGGCTGCAACCACAAATGACCCTGATGATACCTCAATCTTCGATACCAGTGGATTGTTCCCCAGCTCTCAGCCTAAAGACGTTCAGGCCCGTCTAAGGTCTGCAGCCCAAGAAGATGCGGTTCCACCTGTGCCACTGCTCAAGGATCTGGAGGAACAACTCCGTCCATACTTGACCACCCTCAAGACTTACTACAATGAGTTCCTGGCATCAGGATTGGGCATACCGTTTATCACCACTATTGCTCGTGAAGCGTCCAGCAGGGTCAAGAACCCTTCAATCACAGGCAATGCAATGATCACCATAGCGTATGTGACGACTCATGCCATAACAGAGGATAAGAAGAACGTGGTTGGTCCAACGTTACCAGAGGTGCTAGAACTTTTGGAAATGGGTGTTAATGCCAGTTCTGAGTTTCTGGAGTTTTGCCCTGTTCCATTCACATCGGAAGAAGCTTCGGAGAACGTGATCTCGGACCTTCATAATCTGGCACTGCGTCTGTTCTTTGATCTCACGGTGAAGTTCAATGCTAGTCTGAATGACCTGATTCTCACACCCAACGTGTTCAAGCTGGCCAAGTGGTGTATTGATTTGGCTATCGATCAGCAGAGGATGGAACAGGAAGACGTGTCACAGGGATGAGTCGCGAGAAACGTGAAGTAAACATGATATCAAGAGCTGTAAAATGGACATGAGCGTGAGATTGAAGGTGAGGACAAACGAACCTCGGCAGCGTCTCCTCTACGGAGTCTTGAAAGAAAAACATGATTCTAACTATAAACACATGGAAATATAGAGAATCCAAAGGGCAAAAAACTATTATTCATCAAAGTTTGAGTAAACACTGGCACTGATATCATTCAACTCTTGTAGGTTGTTCATCGTTAGTAAAATTTCATTCTCAACAGAATTGTTGGTCAAACTGATAGACTGTTTCGTGATCTGTGCAAGGTATGCCGCCAGCTTAGCCTTGGGAATGTCATCCGCTGCTAGCAAAGCATCTGCATCAGCACTTTCATTGGACAAGTCTGCCTTTGGAATCAAGGAGACTGCAATCTTATCCATTGTCCTTGCAATTCCAGTAGTGGCCAAGCTACTAAGCACCAGAGTCAATTCCGGACGAGCGAGATAGCCCTCCAGCTCTTGCAACAAATTGCTAAGACTTTCCGTATTTTCCACGTTGCTGTTGAATCTGGTCAAAAACTCCAGATCATTGGTCTGCTGCAGAAGGAAGAATTCCAATTCTTCTGGTGGCAGGAGAGATTTCAGCATGGTGGATTCGGATTCATTGGAGTGAACAACCTCGTAAGACGCAGAAATTGAGCTCTCCAGACGTTGTGGCTTGGACGAGCCAGGTGCCAAAACAACAGACTCAACCAGGCTCTGAGTCCTTTGAATCAAACTAGCAAACTCAACCATCGTCAACTCTTGTCTGGGGTTCAACTCACCCCAGACGTCTTCGACGCATGTTTCCACTTGCTTCTTGATCTCCAACCAACCCTTGTTTAGCAGCCACCAACTAAAAGACAAAAATGCCTGCTCCGATATGCTTTCATCACCACCGCTTATTTCGTTATCGATCAACTGAATCCCGTTGTTTTGAGATGCCAGTTTCAAAGCAGTCTCCAGATAGGATCTTCTCGACAAAATGTTCAACTGCAGATGCAAGAAAACGATCAACAGGGATTCGGAATAGGCTAGCGTAAAGAATCTGGTGATAGTTTGTAGTTTCAGCTCGGACCATAGTTGAGTCTTCGACTTCTGTTCCGGGGCCACCAGGGTTTGCTGTCTGGTCGGATCAGATGGTGCTAACGAGAAGTCATCGCTTAATATGGTCGATGAGTTAGTCTGGTTGTTGTTATTAGCGCTTCCACCACCAGCTCTATTAAGCCTCTTGGACTGTAGCTGTCTTGTGATGGACTCCACCGGCAACTCATGCAAAATCGGCTCAGCCAATACTGGCAGCAGACTCAAGAAAGTCAGATAGCAATCTCTTTGTGTCTGCTGGAATCTTCTCTTTATCTGTTCTTTTGCGAAATTCTCCTCAGTGAGACGCTTTTGGAGGGCCACCAGTTTGGAGGTCAGGTACTTCGATCCAACGTAGAGAATGGCCAACAAACCCGTCGAAATCAGGAGTCGTCTTCTGTTTCTGCGGAAAAACCGGGTCCAGGACTCGAACATGCTGGAATATTTGAATCTCTTGGTTTGGGTTCAAGGTCTGAAATTTTGTGTAAAGACACACAAACAAGGGTACAACAAACACTTCGCCGCGCCTGATTATTCAACTCCTTCAAGAGGGATGGAATCGGTTGAACCAGTTCACACTTGATGCTGAGTCAAAGTTGCAGGTAAAAATTCAGTGCGGTATCGCAAGAATAAGGCTGATCAACAGTAACTCTCAAGCTAAGGACAACTCGCACTAGAACCAAGTAAGTACCTCACAAGTAGTCCAGAAGTAACCCAAATGTATTCCAAATATACACCCTATTTCCAAAAATACACGCTAAAAGATCCAGAACAAAATCAAAAGAACGATCAACACTAGATTCACGGAAAAGGGGTTGGTATTGGCAAAGAAGAATCAGCAATGTCTCCACCCGACTAGTCTACACGGAGTATTAGCCGCAGGTCGTGCCCTAACCTGTAGGGTGCTCACTCCTCATTTGGCTACGATTTTTAGAATATTCATTAATTGATGGTAATTGGTATAGTATACATGATCAGTGAGATGAGACTAGTGGGGCTGGACTCGCATAGTGTTATTTTGGGTTTTGTCATTTTCTGTCACTGTTTCGCTTTCTTGGTGTCATTCTTCAAAGAAGTCTCATCTGAAAACCTTTTGTGTCTTCCTCTGAAATTGGATTTGCTGATAGCTGGCTCCTGATGTCTCCCATTCAAGTTCGACTGTATTATCTTCTTTGTCTGCTCAGTCTGACTGTGCTGCTGGGTATCTAAGCCCTTCTGCTTCTCCCTGCACTGCTTCACCTTCTGGACGTGTGACTTCACTCTGGCCAGTTCGTCCATGATGGGGCTGTTTGTGGTGTCAACACCTTTCGACTTTATATACGCAAACATCAGCGAAGTCAAAGTGTACGATATCGTATTCAGATATTCTGCCCTATCCAGAGGATCTTTCATACTCTGTAGCTGCTCTTCCAATGGCTTAGAGGCCAGCATCTGTACTTCTGGTGTGAGCTCCACTAGAGACTTGTCCAGCATCGATATGAACGATTGGATGGTTTGTATTCCCTCCATCGTTGAATTTATGCTATTTTTAGTGCTATCGCGAAGTTTCGTAGTGAGGCCCTGTCAAGAGGTCCAGCCACTCAAGATCGAAATTTGAAATTTTTATGGCGTAGCGTTTTTTTACACTTTGCACTACCAAGGGCGGCGTGCCAGAGTTGAGCTCTTCCGCATGAGCCAACTTCTTCTCCGTATCTTTCACTCATTGAGTAAAATATTCAAAGAGTATCATCGCCAAAATGACTCAGTCTGATATGAAAGTTGTGCTTATTTCAAGCGACGATGAACGATTCGTTGTTGATCGCAAAGTTGCGGAGAAGTCCCTCATGATCAAGAATATGCTTAAACATGTGGGTAACAATAACAACGACGACGATAGCGACGAAGAAGAGGACGACGATGATCAGAACTCCGAACCATATGAGATTCCAATCAGCTCTGTGCGCGGATCCGTGATGAAACACGTTCTGGACTGGTGCGAGCACTACAAGAACGTTGACTTCCCCACGAACGACGACGGAGATTTGATCGCAGAACACCCTGTCAGCGACTGGGACAAAGAGTTCCTGACAGTCGACCAGGAGATGTTATATGGAATCATTTTGGCAGCTAACTACTTCAACATCAAGCCGTTGTTGGACAGGGCATGTCAGCAGGTGGCCAACATGATCAAGGGAAAGAGTCCAGAGGAGATAAGGAAAACTTTCAATATCTCCAATGATTTCACTGCAGAGGAGGAGGCTGCAATCAGAAGGGAGAATGAATGGGCTGAGGATCGCTGAACAGATCGCTGAACAGATCGACCAGAGGGTGAAGTGACAGAGCGTGAAGTTGGCATGAATCTGCTAAGAATGGTTTTTTTAGGCACGAGGTGAAGTCTCGCCTACAAGGAGTTTGAAGTTCAAAATTCAAAGTCTACGATTGGTGGTTCGGTGTAGATAAGTGCTTGTAGTAGCAGCCTTCCATGCGAGCATAGCTCGGCATCTCCACCCATTTAGAAAGAGAAGGTAGTCGGAGTCAATGAACATGAATTCTTAGTCGAATTCTTTATTCTAAATCCATAATTACGTTTAAGTTCCATCAAATTCGCCCAATTACGTGAAGTTTCGCATTCCTCTTAAAATATCACAATCAATCTTTTAGAGTGGATTAATCAAGATTGAAATTCGTGTTGCATCTACTACAACACTCCTTCCGGTCCCACAACTTATTGCCCATACTTTGTGTCTGTCAAATTTCCCAATTGAGAGTCTGGAACTTCTTTTTACCTCACTGGATTAAGGCTTTACATTACGCGAAGAAAGACGATCAATTTTTTGGTCCTTGAGCGTTCAACTGGCCTATCAGCATCCCGAGGATTCTAACAAGACCTTCTCTTTCAGACCAAACTGAAAGCTCAATTTGCCAACTGCACTTTGGATAATCTGGCAGGAAATCCAGATGCGCATCTGAACCAAAGTTGTTCAACCTTACCATGAAATTTTTACACGTAAAACAAGGAACGGAAGGTGAGCAATCCAGTCTCAGCACCCAGACATCACACGGCCAGAACAAGCTCAAGCGGCTATTCAGCATGGGAAGCTCGGATTCGGTTCTTCATTCGCATGGCAGTCCAAGCATCAAAACCAAACGCAAGCCCTCAATTCTGCCCACAAATAGCAATCACAAATCCGAGGGACTAACACCAAACAAGGCAGATGAGCTAGGACTGCCTGAAATATCATCAGTGAAATCGCGCTCGAAGTCGCGGCAGAGACCGACTAAGACTGCGAAATCCGATATGGCGTCTGTAAACGAAGATAGCAGCAACATTTCCATGGCTCCGGTCAAATTGACGGAGGATTCGTTTCCCTCGGCTCCCCCATATGTCACCAAAAAGATACTGACCGATGTAACCACGGGCGATGAGACTTCGACGTTGGGACATGCCATTAGTAATAAGGTGGATAAGATTGAGAGCATAACGCTGTCTCCCGAGACATTACGAAAAGGGGACGAGCAAGATCTGGAGGATTTGAGTGCCGATGAAGACAACAACAAGACAGAAGGTTTTCTGAACACGATCATCACTGCGCTGCATTCGATGAGGTCTCATTCAGATGTGAATTCTATAGATCATGATGCCGACAAGGATAGTGCTGAAAAGAGGAAGAATCTGAACGATATACTGAAAGATCTTCGAAACAGTGGAGCCACACAGCAACAATCGCAGTTGTTGATCAACGAGATCGAAAAACAACAAAGATCTCAACAGAGTGAACTCATAAGCCCCTCGTTTGTGCCTTTGAAGCAGGCCCCCTTGACTACCATGGGAAAGGGTAACTTGAATTTATCATTCTTTGATAAAGGCTCTGAAACGAACTCTAGACAGCATCTTCTGGAAGATCTTACCAGTACAAGCACACCGAGAAAGAATCTATCGTTCACGATACTAGATTCCAAAGGATCAGAAAGGAATTTGTCCCCTCGAGGACGTATGGAGAGGAATCCATCTACAGACAAGAGGAAGAACTCGCGCAATCCTGTTTCCGCATCTACCAGAACAGCCCTAGATGCGACAAAAAGCGGGTCAGATTCAAAAGATACCAACGGAGCTGGCAATTTGAACGGGGAGACAGATGAGAATGCCAAACTGAAGAGACCCCGGAACTCGTTTAGGTCTTCGAAGGGCCCACCTACTCTTACAGACAATACCGACAATGGCGAGGAAGAATCGACCTCTGTGACAAATGGGGTTGTGCCTTCACTAGCTGGTGCTGATACCCCTATTCCTGATGAAAAACACCAGGCTGAGTTCCACCAATTGTTTAAGAACATACCCAGTTCCGAGAAGCTTGTTGGTGACTATGTTTGTGCAATGCGGAAAAAAGTGTTGATTCAAGGACGACTATATATCAGTGAGAGTCATGTCAATTTCAGGTCGAATTTGGTTGGTTTCGTGACAAATATGTCTATTCCAGCAGGAAAAATAGTGCAGATTGTGAGGAAAAACACAGCTGGAGTCATTCCGAATGCAATTGAGATACGAACATTACATGATCGATACGGCTTTGCCTCGTTTGTGAACAGAGACTCTGCTTTCGAGATGCTGACAAACGTATGGGATAAGGCCTTGCATGGATCAGAGAGAAGGACCGATGTGAGAATATCGTTGAACGATTTCTCAGATGATGAGGACGAGTATGACTTTAGCTCAGATGAAGAGAGTGTGAGTAACAACAACCATAGCAGGTCTGGTTTACTGCTAGACAGTGACGACAATTCCGATGACGATCAGAGTGTTTCTGATCAATCAAACATGACCAGGAGCGATGCCGAAGAGAAAGACATTAGTGGTGCCAATGGAAGCACCGGAGGTGATTCTTTCAACGGAATACCAATGGTCGGACCAAGAACGCATGCTGTTACTGATAACGGTCATCAGAAGGAAGCTGGCGAGATCGAGGTTGCCGATGATGTAATCAGTGCCCCTCTCGGAGTGGTTGCTAGTCTTCTACTTGGAGATGATACTTCTTTTGCCAAGCAGATTTTGGTTGCACAGAAAAATTTTGCGATATCTGATATTCCACCATTCAGTGGAACGCTCAAGAAGCGGTCTTACTCATACACAAAACCACTGGGAGGACCGATTGGACCCAAGCAAACTGTTTGTAAAATCGAAGAGTCCATCGAGAAGTATGATCTGAACGGGTGTGTCATTTCAATACAGTCTACACAGACTCCAGACGTGCCTAGTGGAAACTCTTTCAAGGTGCGGACGAAGACTTATCTTTCTTGGGCCCCACAGAACCGCACTCGTGTATATGTGGTGACGATGTGTGTTTGGAGTGGGAGGAGCTTGATCAAAGGCGCAGTAGAAAAGGGCACGATCTCAGGACAAAAGGAATCGATGGAAATTCTGCTGAAAGAGCTGAAGAGCAAAGTCGCCAGTGGTTCCGCTATGGGACGGTCCGGTTCTTCACAGAAGAAAAGGAGGACGAAGTCAAGCTCGAAATCTTTAACAGAGCCCAAACAGGTCGAAGTGGTGCCCTCAGAGCCCGTTCAAACCGGCTGGTTGGACATACTGTTTTCAACTACAGGAATCCAGATTGCGATCTGCATCACGCTGGTGGTGTCAGTCTACTTGGTGTTTCTCCATCGCCCCGCAGGACCCAAAACGGGGTTCGGGCCACCGTCAAACAGGCCAGAATACTTTTCGCGTACAACCTTCAGCTCAGATAACTACCTCCGCGACAAGAGCGAGTATGAGATCTGGGATTGGATAGAAAAACGCAACGGCGATTCCGATTCTGCATTTGTCAATAGCAACGCACCAGGAACTCCTAGCGAGTTCCGCAAAAAACACTCCAACCAGCAACTAAAGGAGATGATTACGCTTCTGCAGGAGCGGCTGGCAAAACTGCAACAAGACATGGAATGAATAAATAAAATATGTCACCCAATTTATGGCTCAAAGAGCCCGCAATCATCGCATATCTGCACACCCACATGAGAGCTCTTCGGCGTCTGACGTCATCGGCTCGGAGGCTGGTACTTTGTGCATTTCACGCCCGTAGCACTTGGGACCAACTAACACATCTAACCGGCTTTGCATAGCACAGGTTTCTTCAGCGACGTCAATTTACCTGTTATTACGAGTCGTTTTGCGTTTTTTTGTTTTGTTCTTCCATTGCCTGAGTCCTTTTGTTTAGTTTAGTCCAGTTCAGTTGACGTACAAACAGCTGGCTTATTCCTCAGGCCACATACCCAGAATTTTATCGATCTCCGATTGGCAACTACTCGCAGCAGGCTACACAACGATCTTTGCCCAGTCTCTTCTGGAACCAACCGGGTTTTCAATTTTGAGGTGAAATTTATTCCGGCATACGAAGACCCGGCTTGAGAATTTCATGACTCGCGTTTCAAGCGGAAGTTTAGCGCTTCCGGCATCCTCCTTGGATCCTTCACAACCAAAACGGCCCATAACACCTCAGGACTCGGACACGGGCTCCACGGGGCCGAAAGGGTTTTCCTCGAAAAGAGAGAAACTGGATGTCCTTCAACAGGAGTGCAACGCGCTTATCTCTGAACTGGAGTGAGTATGGAAGTCTTGGGAGACTTTTGACACTTTGCCTTTACCACTACTAACCTCTACAGCTCGTCGCAAGAAGATGCCGAACTCATAGTGAAAAAGCACATCAAACAGCTCAAGAGGTACAACGAGCTCAAGGATGTGGCACTGAGTCTTGTCTCTCTTATAGCGGACCAGAAACACCTACCGGTTCAGGAGATATTGGATGAGATGAAGGTGGAACCAGGTGATGATTGATGGAGCTGTTTATTGCTGGAATGGTCGCTAGTATGGCTAGTGACGACTATGCATTTTACAAAGTTTCCATTGAAATGTTATATTTTTCTAATGACCCACTGGTTGAAATCGCCAGTTTATGTTGCCTGCCCGTTTTCCCAGTTCTTCGCGTTTTATAGATTGGCAATTGGTCACAACGATTACTTGTTGCCGTTGCTTTGGCTCTCTTCACAGAGATGATGAAAATACTTGAGGATGCAGGAATATTCGTCATCAAGTAGCTTTTTCGTTTTGTCACTTTCGTCTCTATTCATGTCTATTCGTGGAGATTTTCTTGCAAAAGTTGACTATAACTGCATGCAGAGCTTAAAAAAAAAGATCCTACGGTTACTATGTTCATTTTGGTAAACAAATCTTGAAAATATAGAGAAATGTGGAACAGAAACAGACGCTAGTCTTTTATGACTTTTGGGCCACATTAAGCTAGACTTGAAAAGTTTTTTCAAGCTTGCCGTAAGCCAGTATGCACACTTGACAGCGCTCTTTTGGTACCTCGGAGGACATTTTGATCCAAGAGTGGGGATTTCTTCTAGAAGCTCAGAAGATCGAAATCGTTGTTCCCCGAGTTCCCGTTTGTGCCATTGGTTCCATTGGTTGTGGTGGTAGCGGCTGGCTGTTTATTGGAGAAACTGCCCAAAAGATCGTCGTTGGTTGTTGGTTTGGCAGCAGACGTAGTCTTGGTCTTCGCAGTCATTAACAGTGAGCTGAAAGCGTCATTCTTTTTGGGCTTGGTCGCTGGGGTCGCTGGGGTAGCCGGAGATGCAAATGATTGGTAAGATGGTTGTGAGTATCCTGGCTGAGGTTGGGCCGTCTGCGAGAACCCTGGTAAAGGCTGAGGCTGCGCCGGATGGGAAGATGCAGCAAACAAGTTTGCCAAGTTGTTTGGGGTCAAAGGATTGGCTCCAGGAGTAGCCTGAGGAGCAGTCGATGTGAGCGAAGGCACGTTTCCGGAGGAAACCACCGGTGCCGCAGCCTGGAAGTCGTCAAACTCATCATCATCATCATCGTCATCATTCGCAGCAGGAGCAGTAGAAGTTCCGAATCCGTCAGATAGAAGATCCGGAGTAGCATTCACGGTGGACGTCTGTGTGGTGGCCTTGGAAGTCCTTCTGGCCGGTTCTTCATCAACGACATATTCCTCAAACTCCTTGCTAGGCGCCTGTCTCTGCTCCTCGTATCTCTCACCAAAGACACCACCATCACCGAAAACTCTGTTTGTGAACCCGTTTTCGTCCTCGTCTTCATCGTAGGCAGCATATCTGTTGTTGCTGGACCTGGCCCCGGCCCCGCTTGAGCTTCCGCCGGAATACCCGTTAGTGTACGTGCTGGAAGATGAAAGTCCGCCATACTTCTTCTGGTTCTCCCTTGCTTTCTTGCGCTCCTGCCTTATTGCTGATTCGTCGTTCAACAGAGTTATCAGTTGCTTGGCCCTGGTGCGGACATTAACACCCTGGTCATTACCCTGCGAGTCAATGTAGTGGAAAGATCTCAGCAATGTGATCAGATTGACATTCGCACGAGCGTCATCCACAAACCTTTCAGATCCGTGCTTGATTAGATATTCCATGAGCTGCAACGCCTTGTATATCTGTCTCCATTCGTGAGCCGACTTCTCCGTAAACCGCCTCGAAATCATCGCACAAATTTCTTCTCTTTCACGATAGTTGTAGGTTCCCTGAGAAATTTCAGCCATCAGAGTTGAACTGGCTCCCCAGGGTTCGTTGTTGGTGGCTTCGCGCACTTTGGCTTCCATCTCACTCAGGTTCAAGACGGCATTCTGGGCCTTGCGGACGTAGGCCTTGACCTCGTACAACGACAGATTATTAAGGGTCTTCCCTAGATTGTCCATGATGAGAATTGGCCGCTGGTTCTGTCGAAAATTCGGAAAATTCGGAAACTCGGCTTGTGAAGATGCCACGGTTATGAATCTTTGGCTCTAACAAGTCTCACTCGATCTATCACGTGGGAGTGGTGCTTGCTCGGGAAAAAAGACCGGTATGAAGTTGGTGACTTGAAATTAATTCAAGACTCAAATCTAACGCTGAGATGCTATTTTGGATGAGCAATCGGTGTGTCCAATGGATGACACTTGCCATCCCTTCTGATTGAACGGATCGACAGCCCTTAGCAGGGGAAGAGATAATCGCCCCGTGCTCCGTAACCTGGCACTTTTGGTGACCCGTGGGAAAGTTGACAGAATTCCGTTATCGCTATCGGCTTGCCCCACTTCCGTATCCTGCCCCCTTATACTGGAGATATCGAATACACTTTAACCCGACAGTTTAGTGTATTGTCCAGTGAAAAATGGGTATCCCCGAAAAAACTACGAACAATTTGACCGAGCTGGCTCAGCTGCTTGAAATGGCTGCGGAATTGGGCAAGCATTTAGGAAACGTTGTCAGTTCAGGTAAGTAGGCGGTATGATAGGCCCGAGGAGGGTTAAGAAGCAGTGTTATTTTGGGCTAACGTTTCTGTTTTTTTAGATGAAAAAGTCTCCAAGAAGACGGTTTCGATGCTGATGAATGGTATCTCCGGCTTGAAACTGGAGGCAAATGGTGCTTCCAGGGGTGACTCAAGCGACGACGAGGCAGTCACCCCAGATGAGTCTCCAATTCTGGCTGCAAGAGAGGTCCAAGATCTCGTCGATGGTCCAGAGCCTGATTACTACGATGCATTTTGTCAAAAATATATTGATTTTACCTACGAAAACCCAACCACTTTCCACGTCGTTGTGGCAATCGGCGAGCTGCTGAAGCAGAATGGGTACACCTATTTGCCCGAGAGGGCAGATTGGTCCGTTGAGCTCAAAAGCCCTGGAAATTACTACACTACCAGGTCTGGGACGTCCCTGGTTGCGTTCTCTATTGGAGAAGACTGGGAGCCTCAATTGGGAGCATCCATTATTGGTAGTCACATCGACGCTCTGGCCGCCAAATTGAAGCCTATCTCCACTAAAGACAAGGTTTCCGGGTATGAGCTTCTTGCGGTGTCACCTTACTCCGGTGGAATGTCGAATGTTTGGTGGGACAGAGATCTCGGACTTGGTGGACGGGTCGTTGTGAGAAAGTCGTCCAAGGAAACAGATTCCGGGTACAAAACAGAGGCTGTTCTGATCAACTCGACCCCTCATCCTATTGGCCGTATCCCAACGCTGGCACCACACTTTGGAGCCCCATCTCAAGGTCCTTTTAATCTGGAGACCCAGACGGTCCCTGTCATTGGGTTCGACGATGGAGAGGCAGAGGAGCCTACCGAGGATGAAAAAAAGTCGCACTTGTATGGAAAGCACTCTCTGAAGCTTCTGAGATACGTTGCCAAACTCGCTGGAGTGTCAGTTTCCGAGCTCTACTATTTAGACCTTGATCTCTTTGACGTCCAGAAGGGAATCAGAGGAGGACTCAGTAACGAGTTTCTTTACGCACCAAGAATTGACGATCGCATCTGCTCGTTCTCTGCGATCAACGCTTTGCTCAAGTTCACCAACAGTCTCAAAAAAGACTCGCCCTCTAACCACCTCTCGATCGTCGGACTCTACGATAATGAGGAACTGGGCTCTCTGTCCAGACAAGGAGCCAAGGGAGGAACCGTCGAGTCTGTGGTGTCCAAGATACTGACGAGTTTCCATCCCAAGACCAACCTCAGCACCGTATATGCCAACTCCATTATCATCAGTGCCGACGTGACCCATTTGTTGAACCCCAACTTTAGCAGTGTCTACTTGGAAAACCACAAGCCTCTTCCAAATAAGGGTCTGGGTCTTGGATTGGACTCTAACGGTCACATGGCTACTGACTCCACTGGCGTGAGTCTGATGGAGCAGATTGCTGAGATAAACGGCGATACACTACAGTACTTCCAAATCCGCAACGACTCCAGATCTGGTGGAACCATTGGACCTTCCTTATCCAGTCAAACTGGCGCACGTACCATTGACATGGGTATTCCCCAGCTTTCCATGCACAGTATTCGTGCTGCGTGTGGCTACAAGGACATTGGATTGGCTGTGAACTTCTTCTACAGCTTCTTCGCTAACTGGAGGAAGGTGTACGACAGTTTCGGGGACCTGTAAATCGTTTCTTTTTGCTCGGCGGATCAATCCACGGAAAAAAACTGGAAAAACTCTCGGTACTTTTCTCCCGTCCAAGCGTTTCAATGCGTTTCATCCAGACTTGTGTGAATGAGCGCATTAAGCGTGTACTTTCCTTTTTGTGCTTCCGCATTGGGCTGGTATCCCGGCCTGTAAACGGGAGTACTAGCCGGGCCTATGGCCTGTAAAGGGGATTATGACTAAGGACACGTTGTTGGTGAGGAACACAAAAGCATACGAAATAATTAGACTAATTAAAAGCACATGTTCCTGTCAGCCCTCATGCAACAAATATTCTCTACCTCTAGGCCTTTCTCGGGGGCTGCTCCCCCACCACGGTGACCTGTATCGTTCTCGCGAGCCTGTCCTCCGCCTGCAAAATTTTATACTGTTCGCAGTAGTGTAACACCATCCCGGTACTGCAGGGAGACCCTTCGCCTATGGACCCGATGACCTAACAGTGACGTCGTTTCTTTTGGAAGTCTGCGCAGATTCTGTTACAGCTGGCCAGTATATAAGAACGCAAAGGCAGCCTCGAGAGGAATTTGTTTTACTGTTGATCTTTGACTACCATTGTTATAATTATCTCTACATCATGCCATCAGCCGAATTGCAAACCGAAGTGTGTCTTTTTGATCTAGACGGAACGCTGATTGCGTCCACCGGAGCCGTGGAAATGGCGTGGCAAGATCTCTTCAAGAAGTACAATCTGGACGGAAACGACTTTTTCAAACACAGTCATGGTGTTCGTACCGTGGAGGTTTTCAAGAAGTTCTTGCCTCAGTTCGCTGCCAATGCCCAAGAGATGGCTACCGAATTCGAGTTCGGTATCTCCAACGACTGGGGCCACTTGGCCGTTCCTATCAAGGGAGCTGGTGCTCTCATTGAGTCCCTCCCTAAAGAGAGATGGTGTATTGTGACCAGCGGAACTCCGGGTATGGCGCACAGCTGGTTCACTAAAGTTTTGAACAAGGACGGATTTTACAAGCCCGACATTTTCATCACCGCCTCGGATGTTACCGAGGGAAAGCCTCACCCTTCTGGTTACAAGATGGGAGCCGATTTGCTTGCACAGAAGGCGGGCAAGGACACCTTTGCTCAAAGAGTGGTTTTTGAGGACGCTCCTGCTGGTGTTCAGGCCGGTGTCGCTGCCGGAGCCAGAGTTATTGGTATTACCTCTTCCTTCCCTAAGGAGGTGTTGTACGGAGCTGGTGCCACTTACGTCGTGGAAGACCTTACCCACGTGAAGCTGGTGAAAAACGAGGGTGGAATCATCACATTTGCTGTGGATTACATCTAAATGCGCAGATAGAGCTGAGCTAATAAAGGGCATGGGACCGGTTTCCCGCGGTATCCACGTTTTTATAGAAAATTTGGGTTTATAAACATTGCTTAAGAACTATTATAGAATTCGACTTCTGAGATTGGTTATGTAGAAACGACTGAGATTTTGGATCTAGCCGAGATCAGATTGTTATAATTCAAAGGATTGGTTGCATTCGAGCGGTCCACGCTTTTGCCGGCGAAAAAGACCGATGGGACGGGCTAGATCAACACCGTATCAGGCTTTATATGCACATCTGTGAAAGGTGTGCTTGCTGTGGGTGATGTCGTTTTTTCTGTCGGTTTAAATTTGCTTTTCAAACCTGCTGTTTAGTGCTTTTTTAAGTTCATTGAGCTTCCTTTTAGTGCATAATGCTACTTTTTGAAAAGTCCCATAACCTCAGACTCTCGGTCTTCTGTTTGATAACAAATCTCTCCCGCGGTAAAGCAATCATCTACAAAACTGGTCTGGTTCGGTAATATTTGTCTCACGGACTCTATATACATATGTTCTGTGTTGTTGTTTGCTAGGTTCCAGCCTCTATCCTTGTTGCTTTTGTTCAGGCGTCGTGCGGCTGAAGATTTTTATTTCTTTTTGGCAAGAGGCAGAATTGCAGCACATGCCATATTCTCGGACAAACTTGATTCCATAGGTCCCATGCAGTTGAACTTTCAGCCCAAGGTTTGTGAGTGAATCGGACTAAATCCAGGATGGTGTACAAACCAGAGAGGGCAAATCGAACTTTCAGTTGCATAGTCTTCACTATGGCGCGAAAAAGGATTGCACTGCAGATTTCAAACTTGGTGCGGGAGACGTGTTTTCGTTATGTGTTGTTCACGTTGCTTCTGTTGCCTCTTTCTTCTCCAAAAACCACCTGTATATCTCAATGATCACTTCGAACGTGATCAGATAGATGATGATCCACTCTAACCGTGCACCGTTGGCTTCGTTCAATATTCCCGTCAATGCAGTGGACTCATCGATTGCATAATCCAATTTTCTGTTCAAAATAGATATTCTCGCACTGATATCTAAAATTCTAGAAACGTCCGAGTATATCTTCTCCAACTTGGGTTCTGACCAGTACAGATCCGGGGTCTCTATGAGCTCTGAGTAAAGATTTAGCTTACCTCTCAAAAGCATGAGTCTTCCACTCGACTTCAAAACGTCTTTGGCAGTAACGCTGAGTCGCTTACCTGTAGAAAGATCCTCTGTATACTGTCTGGTCATCAAAAGATGTTTCTCGAGCGCGGTCTCCAGTACGGCCAGTCTTGTGGACCTGGCTATACCAAACGAAAAGGCAGCTTTATCCAAAAGACTCTCAGATAAATTCCCACATATACAAATTATTTCTCCATCCATGAACGAGGTGGAATGCTCTGGAGTATCGGCAAACTCCACAAAGTCCAGATCCTCACTCTCCACATTGTAAGGTCCAATCATCGCCTCTTTCACAAGTGGCAAAGCTTCCGATATGGTAGTAGACTCGGATAGCCCCCACGATACAATCGAACCAGTGCTCAATACAAACACCTCTTTTCCTTCATATTCGAACTGAACAGCCTCTTTAGGTATCAACTTTTCAGCCTGGAATCCTTGTCTTGCCAGAGCCTCCACCGCCTTCTTCAAATCATACGATTCACAGTTCGTCACTGCTACCACCGGCTGCAGCGGAATCCCTTTGTATGTGTTATCGTGGTCCTTCAATCTTTGGGAGTACGCGATCTTGGAGGCTTCAGATTGACCTGGAATAGATCTTCTGAGAAAGTTGGAGGGTCCCTTTTTGGCACTTTTGGGCATTCTGGAAGTGGAAGGCTTGTTGCTGGTTGTTGAGTAGCGACACAATCTCCATGCCAATGATGGTATTGGAGACCGGATCTGACTCCATATTTGGGCTCGCAGCAGCATTTTTTTTTTGATGTAGGATTGGTAACAAAGTGTACAATCCCTGTAGTAATCTTGCAGCGGATACTTAACGTCTACTGTATCTTATTCTTATTCAACCAGATGAGGTTCACACGACTGGGTCTAGACACGCAAAAATATTCCGGCTGGAAATACCCAATCGGGGACTGTTATCGGATGGGGTGTCAGCATTTGATTATCAACAGAGTTGCAACCAGGGATTTGGAAAGAGATTCAGACAAAAATTGTTGGAGTTTTTGACGACAAAGTAGCTGTATTATATTCCAACACCTAAAAATACGCGGAACTACCAAGAAGAGTAATAGCCCAGTCTTAACGGGTGCATAAGAAGCTTTTCATCAGGGCTCCCAAAGTCGCGAACCGCCCGTTGCCGCGATGGGCTGCAGCCATCAAGCGCTCCTCTGCATTCGGCATGACTCAAATAGATGTCCAGATAAATATATAACTACGGGCTCGAGGCCAGACATGTCCATTCTGGTGTTACCCTGAAACCTGTGACCTCTTGATAACAAACTATCAGCAGCATGATCCAAGAAATCATTAAGTCGCTTCTCGACCACGAGGAGCTTCTCTTTGTGATCCAATGCACGGTAGTGGCATTCGGTGTTTTTCACTACATCTTGTACCCTCTTTATTTCCACCCTCTGGCCAAAATCCCGGGTCCAAAGCTGGCTGCTTTGACTCAATATTACAACCATTACTACACATGGGCCGAGAAAAGGAACAGATGGGTTCAGTCGCTGCATGAGAACTACGGCCCTATAGTGCGTCTTGGCCCAGACGAAGTTGACATTTCGGATGCTGCCTATATCAAGGACATCTACACGGGAAATTACGACAAGACCTCATTCTACGAGAATTTCTGCAACTATGGCTCGTTCAACACTTTTTCGTCGCTTGGCAAAGAAGCACACAGGCAAAGCAGGAAGATCTCGTCCAAGTTCTACTCCAAGAGTAACGTGACTTCGGCCAAGAATCAAGAAAAAGTGCGCGAGTCGATCTCCAGCACCCTGGGGGTTATGGAGAATTATTTGGGAGAGTCAATTGATGTCTTTTTACTATTCCAACAAATGGCCATTGACACTGTATCTAAGTTTGCGTTTGGTAAGTCATACGACCCGTTGTTGAGCGACCCAATGGGCTGGGGCGAAAAAGTCATCCATAATTTCTCATGCACCGCAGGAACTTCGTTTTGGACCACCAATATGCCTAGATTCTATAATTATGTGGTTCCTGAGCAATTGCAAAAGGCCGGGGCTTTTGTTCGTGATTGGAATTGGAAGCTTGCTGAGAAGGCATTTGAAAGGGCATCCGAAAACGATGATGAGGAAACGCTTGTATCTGTGCTGATGAAAGGTGGAAAAAATGTTCGTGCAGTTGCTTCTGAGTGTTTTGACCATGTGGCTGCTGGCCATGAGACTACCGGGACAACTTTGGCATATTTCTACCTGAACATGGCTAGGTATCCCGACATCCAGGAACGACTGATCTCTGAGTTGAAAATCAGATTTGGCGAGCCACATGGACTAGAATCATGCTATCTGGCTGATGTTGAGGAATTGCCATACTTGAATGCTGTTCTGCTTGAGAATTTTCGCCTTCACGCCGCCATTCCTGGAGAAGAGCCAAGAACGGTCCCTGCATCTGGTTTGCAGTGGAGAGGCAGCAAAGAGACCCCCGAGGTGTTGATTCCAAAGGGAACCACTGTTACCATGCAACCTTATACTGTTCATCGTGATAAAGAGGTATTTGAAAATCCGGAATGTTTTAACCCAGACAGATGGTTCACGGACGAGTCTAAACTCAGAGAAATGAACAGACGCATGATGCCATTTGGTGCAGGGTCCAGATCATGCATTGGCATGCACATAGCCCAAGAGGAGATAAGATTGATCATAGCATCATCGTTCTTGAGATACAGAGTTAAAATGGATCCCGCCTTTGATTATGTGAAGAACATGGAGATGGCAGATAGGTATACTTCTCATCCAATGGGGGATAAGTGCTTCATGGTGTTTGAGAAGATTTGAAAGAGTCTTGCAGTCACACGTTAATCATATTTTCTAGTTCTACTCTGGCCAGACCGAGAGAAAATCACAAAATTTGTTTTACATGTTTCCCATAATTGTTTTATTTATTAAAATTCACATTATATCCCATTGGGTGTTTAGTTCTCGCTCGTTAACCCAACCTCAACTCTGTACTATGGGAGTTGGATCCACTGGGCGCAACGCGATATCCTCACCTTCCTGTACAAAAACATCCTGATTCTCCTCATCGTCGGTAACATCATCTTCAGCAGCCAAGTCCTGACCCAATTGACTTTCGAAGTTCCCAATTGCGTCGCTGTGGAGTCTGCTGAACCGGTCTCGTCTCTTCTTAACTATGAGCTTCTTATGGTACACTTCGCTCAGAATCAGTGCCAGGGACGAACCTGCAACATTGGACTGTACCCCTGTTAGTATCATCTGAATCATAATAGCATATTTCGTCTTTCACACTTACCACAATATCATACACATCAAAGGTCCTGTACGGAAGCAATCCTTGGAGAATCTCGCTGCCTATTCCAGCTCCCACGGTGCAAACCAGAATGCACATGTTTCGCAGCATTCTGATTGAATTGGAATCCCATATCCAGTAGAATAGACCGGTTAAAATGAAAAACGAGCAAAAATGGAGAATCTTATCGTGCGACTGGAGAGAGATATCGGCGAACCCCAGATATGCCGCACCGATTACGGAGAGCAAAAAGCCTGGAGAAGAGTTAGCATTTCGGTTCAAATCTGACCAATCGCGTGACTTACCCAATAAAATTCCTTTTCTTATTCTCATAAGAGCATTCGAGTTGATAGCTGATATTTAAGGCTATCGATCAATCAAACTCTTGAACTGGGTTTTCAATTTCTGTAGGAGATTAATCTGACCAGCTACCCAAGTCACTAATCTAATTTAGTGCCAAACTCATTGTTGATGGGGTCTCCAGATTGGTAGCATCCGATTCGGTGAAGGCGCAACTTGTCTTCAAGTTGTACAATTCTCTCAGGATTCAGGTTTGGATTTGGTTTGAACTTAGTTTTGAGTTTAGTTTTGAGTCTGTTTTTTGATTCACTAATCTGATTCTGCCTGTCTGATATATCGATACCAAATCGTGATACCGAACTTATTGATTTGATACCTCGATCTCCCGACCTATAGCCAGTGATATGTCAAGTTGTGAGTGTTTTTTTTTCAAATTCAGAAAACCGGAATCGCGTTTTGAATCATTGTGGAAGTGTATTTGTTGACAACGTACTAACTCACCTTTTACAAGCAACCAAAACGTTGGGAACGCCTCTAACCCCTGAGGAGAAGCGGTATTTCACCCAGGTTTTCAAATCTTTAGACCCCCAATCCACGGGCTCTATTAGTGGGTTGGCTGCAAAACCATTATTAGAAGCCTCTAGACTTCCTCAGCTTGTTCTGGGCCAAATATGGAACATTTCGGACCCAGATAACACTGGTTCGTTGGACCAGTTCGGCTTTTGTGTGGCCATGAGATTGATAGGACACGTTCAGCGTGGAGCCCCTTTGAGCGAGAGTCTGGCTCACCAATCTGGTCCGGTTCCTACGTTTTCTGGAATGGCCGTTAACCCAACCGGTGGCCAAACGGGACCACTGGGAGGTGGTAATCTCTTGGGTGGAACTCCTACAGGGTCGCGGGTCACTTCTTCCGCAAGCTCCATTCAACACACTGGAACGGGTGTTGCATCCGGTGGAATTGTTCCTCCCATTTCTACACAAGCTTTGACCAATTTTTCACAGATGTTCGACCGTGCTTCGGGTGGTAATGGTTCGGTTTTGACTGGCGATAAAGCAAAGGATATCTTCTTGAAAGCGAAACTACCTAATGTGGTGTTGGGTCAAATTTGGCAACTGGTAGACAGAGATCAGAGAGGCGAATTGAGCAAACCTGAGTTTATTGTCGCGATGCACTTGATCCAATGCTTTCTGGGTAAAACCCTGCAGACGGTACCCCAAGTGTTGGCTGCAGACATATGGAGAACAGCCGAATCGAGTGTTCCAAAAGTGGCTTCGCCTTTGGCATCGCCTCCAGTGGTTGCGCCTAAACAGGCTCCCGTTTATCCCCAACAGACTTCTAACTGGCAAATGAGCCCAGCAGAGAGAAAGCAATTCGACCAATTGTTCGACCAACTTGACACTGCCAAGCAAGGAAAACTCAGCTCAAACCAGGTTGCCCAATTTTTAATGGGATCCGGTCTGCCAAATGAAGTTTTGGCTAATATTTGGGAACTGGCAAACATCAATGACTCTGAGAGCTTTGGTAAGCAGGAGTTTGCGATTGCTCTCTTCTTGGTAGGCAAGAAGAGATCTGGTGTTGATCTTCCTGTATCTGTCCCTGTTCAGCTGATCCAATCTGTTGGGACTGACTCTTTTGCTGCCCCTCCAAAGGACGCTCCAGCTCCAATCGGCCAGGCGCCATCCCAGTTTCCTCCTGCTCCGCAAGTCCAAGCTGCTCCCAAGAAAGAGAACGATTTTGAGCTGTTGAACGATCTTTTCACCGGAGCATCGATCTCCAGTGCAGCTTCTCCTCAGAGAACCGCCAGCAGCCACGTTACTCCTCAATTGACTTCTTCTGTCACTGGGAGCAGAGCTCCTTTTGTGCCATCTTCGAACTTTGGTCAGCAGATGGTGAGCAAAGAGCAACAGAAGCAAACGCCAGTACTCCCAGCGCCAACTTTACTGGAGGAGTCTGATGATTCAGAGGAAGAACCGGCTTCGAGAGTCCCTCCAACCATACCAGGTCGTGATCAGAAACCCCGTTTTGACAGTCCCCAAACCACCGGAGGTCCTAACTATGATGCTTTGAGATCTTTCAGCCAACAATCTACTGGAACTGTCAAGATATCCAGTGCTCCAACAGCGCCTATATCTAGACAGCCCACTTTCCCATCAACCCCAGCCGCCCCTGTTTCCAACGAGGCTGACAGAGAGATTTCCAGCAAGCTGACTCAGGCTTCGGTAGACATTGCTAACTTCTCTAATCAGATCAACTCATTGACCAACCAGACCACTCAAGCCAACGAAAAGCGTGAGAAGGCCAATCGTGAGCTCCAGAGAATTATGTTAGTCAAGCAGGATATCCAGTCCAAGCTGACTAAGTTGAGGGCATTGTATGATCGCGAAGTCCAGCAGATCGCCGAGGTTGAATCTGTATTGATTCAGTCCAGACAGGATACTGAGAAACTCAGGCAGGAATCTTCTGTTGCTGAGGCCAGTTACCATGCCGAGCAAGCTAAGCTTCAGAAGATGCAGGTTGAATTCGAGGAAATTCAGAAAGAAAACCAGACCATGAAAGAGAGACTTGGTGTTTTGAGTGCGGAGAAAGTCGAATCTTCTTCTCAGCTTGAAAAACTTACGGCTCAGTTGAAGCAGGCACAAAGTTTCCTCTCCGTCTCTCAGCAACAAGTTGCGACCTCTCAACAGGAAAAAGATGCCATCACGAGCAAGATAAATGATGTCTATAAGGCCATAAGTGAGGTTGAGGCTAAGAACGCTGCTTTGCTAGCTAAACGGGAGCAAATTCAGAACGAAACAGATGAGTTGCATTCCAAACACGGAGACTTAAGCGTGGAATACAGCAACAAATCATTGGAGTATAGTAGCAATGCTGTTTCCGGAACCAACCATTCTTCGGCAACCAGGGGTATTGGTTCAGTTACATCTTCAGCAGGCGTAGGCGCTGCTGTGGGCGCTGGTATTGCTGCTGTGGGAGCTGCTGTTGGTGGGGTTTTGGGCCACAAAGCGGAGCAACCAACCGATTATTTCAATTCGAAGTCGATTGATCCAGAAACCGAAGAACCCACTGCCGAACTGGAGTCAGATGATGGTTTCCCAATAGCTGAGAATTCTTATCCGACAAAGCAACAGATTGACGAAAGTGTCCCAAGCGTGAGTGTTGGATCTCCATCGATGACTGTTGGTGCTTCTACCGATGGCAACGATGATACCCCCAACAGTTCTCCAACAAGTTCTGAGGATTTCGAGCTCAGCCATCCCAACCCAAGTGCCAGCTCTCAAAGATTCAACTTGCCGTTTGCAAGACCCGAGTCTGCTACTTCGAGTGTCCAGAACAACGCTCCGTTGTCTGTGAGGGGTGACTTGGATGTTTCGATGCCTACCTCTCCTTCTAGTACTATTGAGGAGGAGACCGCATCTCCATCCGATGTCTTGGCATCATCTGCTCACACAGTTGAAGCCTATCCAGAACAAGAGTCTGAACAAGCACAGCCTGTGGTTTCATCTGGTGGTGAGTCATTTGAAATGGTCAATGCAGATGATGCTCATGAATCCAGAGCTGCTAACCATGATGGCTCGCCTTCAACCACTGAAGAAGAAGAAGATGTCAATGCTGACACCACACCAGATGTTGATTCAATCACGAAGACAGCCGAAGATGATTTCCCAGAGATACAGCCTACTGAAGCGATTTCTGCAGTGATGCCAGGCAGCCTACCTGGTGAATTTATTACGGAGCCATCATTGGCGATATCCAAAAGCGTTGCGGAACAGAGCATTCCTCAAGTCTCTCGTGCTGAGGAGTTTCCACCTTTTGAAGAAAAGGAAGTGGACGAATCCGACTCTTCTGACTCTGATACTTCAGACGATGAGTTCCACGACACTGTTATGCCAGAGTCTCCAGAAAAACAACCAACTGGTACTACTGAAGCTATCCCAGAAGTTGCAGCCACTCCTGTTGGGTTCAATCCTTTCAGCTCAACTCCAACCCAACCATCTCAGCCAGACAACTTTGACCAGGCATTTGAAGGATTGGAAACCGCACCTGTTGGAAACGATGATTTTGACGATTTCGATAACCTGCAAGAGGCTGCTGCTGAGAATTCTTACGAGAACAGAGAGTTTGATGAGCATGCCCAATTTGATCCGCAGAACTTTTTTGCTCAACAGCCTCAGCAAACCTCTGGATTTGATTTAGATGCTCAGCAACAGGCGAGTGAAGCATCTGCCGCCCAAGTCAATGATGAATGGGAACAGATATTTGCTGGTTTTGGAAACGCCCCTGCGGGTGCACCGGCAGACCCACCCGCGTACCAGCATGCTTCGTCTGAAAGATCTACTGAAACGGCTCCCGTGTTTGGAGCTGGTGTTACCAATACTTCAACTCATGCACCATCTTCGCAGGCTCACGAGCTGGCGATTGAGGAGTTGGTAGCCATGGGATTCGGCAGAGAGGTGTCTACTGATGCCTTGCAGAAAAATGATTGGTCTATAGAAAGCGCGTCCAACTATCTCATAGACAACGCGTGAGTTTAATGACTCAATTATTTGAACAATTCAGCTATTTTGAACACTTTTATTCTCTTTCTAATGAACTAAACCAATTATTTCACTGAGTAGAGCTCACATGGAGATGACATGTAATATTATATAAGCCCTTATGTAATCACAAAACCCATGATAAGGAGATGGCGATTGCGAGTGGGGCGTGGAGGTAAACGTTAGCTCCTCGTTATCTCGAGAACAAACAAGGCTTTTTTGGTGAAAGTGGTATCGATTTGACCAGCGACAGTTTTCTTGAAAGAGTATTTTGGCATTTTTGAAAGACAGTCTCTTTTGAAGTCCTCATCGATAAACGTCGATACTCATAACACCTCCAACCACAAGCCCTCCCTCGACACCATCATGAATGACCAATTCACCTCGGTTCAATGGGACAGGGATGAACAGTCGGATTCTAAACTTCATACAGAAATGCCCATTCCAGAAGACGAAGATTCTGACACCAATTCTCACACCGGGTCGGCTGTGCTGCCAGACGAAGCCTCAAACGATGATGATACCGCATTGAATCCGCACAAGGCAGAAGTGGGCCTTGTGACTGATGGTTCTGCCAACGGCACTCAGAGTGCCACGACTGAACCAGACTCCATCTTCATTGATACCGTGGTTTCCACGCCAGTCACGGAATACGATGGCCAAAACTACTTCATATCATACCTGGTGGAAACGAAATCCAACAACCCTGCATTCAAATCAAAGAGTTTTTCAACTAGAAGGCGATTCTCGGACTTCAACTTTTTGTATGTTTGTTTGACCAGTGATTTACCCACGTGCATTATACCTCCTCTGCCCAACAAGGAGAGACTGGAGTACCTGAAGGGAGGACGGTTCGCAGAGCACTTCACCGCCAAGAGATCTTCTTCTTTGAACACATTCCTATCCCGAATCTCTAAACATCCGGTTCTCAAGAATGCAAAGATTTTCCATATTTTTTTGGAGGATTCGGATTATTGGAATACGTATAAACAGAACTTGAAGATTAGCAAGGACATGAACTCAAGTGCTGCTGGTTCTGCAGGAAACCCCGCTGATGATAAGCTGGAAGCTTTTTCTGATTATATCATGAATGCATTTAAGAAGCCGACTTACGAATCCAAAAATGCAAAAGAGTTCCAGGAGATTCTATTGAAATCCAATAAGCTCCAGGACAACCTCAACAAAGTCGAAAAGATCTATCAGAGAGTTACCAAGAAGCAGGGTGATTTGGCACATGATTTTGATAAGTTTGGGAACGAGATTATGAAACTCAATAAACTTCTGGCGAGCGATTTCAAGACTGATTTGCCTAACGGTGCTGGGAATAGTGATACCCGACTTTCTGAACAGTTCAGTGCTTTCCACGAAAACGTTCGGAAAGTCTCTGAATACACAACAGTGTTGAATGAGAACATTGACTACCATTACCTAACCTCTTTGAAGGATCTGGACCATTATATCTCGCAGTTGAAGCATTTGATCAAGCTTAAAGAAGCGAAATCACTAGATTTTGAGATGCTTTCGAGCTATCTAGACAAGGCCGTTGCTGAAAGACAGACTTTGATGCACGGAGGAGGAGTCACTTCTTCTGCAGAAGGAGCTATAGGGTTTCTGTCCAAGAAACTTGAGTCCATCACGTCTGGGTTCACGCACTCATATCCTGTGGCTCAGGGCAACGCGACCAATGAGAGAGTGGCTAAGCTAACATCAAGGATTGAGTTACTTGAGAAAGAGAAGGCCGCTGCTTTCAAGATGTTCCAGACGTTTGAGATTGATATCCTAAACGAGTATTCGCTATTCGATACGATCAAGAACGAGGAGATATTCTCCGGATTACAAGACCTGAGTACACATTATCTGGAGTATTATACGAGCATTGTGAAGGCTTGGCAGCCCTTAGATTTCGGGCCAGTAACGGGCGAATTTGATTCTGCGATCCCCTCGAAGTTGAAGGATGACGATCCGTTGTTTGAGCACAGTGACATTTCAAATAATAATGCGGCTATTGAAGACAGCCTGATAAAGATCCAAGAGCAGAAGCAGAGAGATCCTCTGCCGCATCCACCACAAGAGATGGATACTCAGATTGATATTCACGAAGCTGCAAACCAGAATGAAGTCCCAGAAATTGAGCATAGCGAGGTTGAGGATAATGTCCATCATGTTCGTGATGGCCCATCATCAGATGAAATTTATAAAAATGAAGTTGAAGAGGAGGAACACCTTCACAGTGTCTCGCATAGCGAAAGTTATAACGAAGAGACGTCAGAAGAGGAAGACGGCCTTTTAGGGGTTGATTTTTGATTATAAGAGAATTTACTGAGATTGTTTGATTATGGCTATGGCTAATTGAGGTTATTGGTTATTACTGAGCTACACGATTGCCTTTGAGTTTACAGAACACTTGATTTTTGCTTGTCTTGCAACTTGGTTCCTGGGTTTTTTTATATATGAATATAAGAATAAAAACCGAATTATTACGAAGACTTCTCTTGAAAATGCAACGGGTTCAATCTCGCAGATATCACCATAGCTTGTGAATAAGTCACAGTCCTCTTTTACACTATTCATTCTTAAAGTAGTTAGCTAGACTCCTCTATAAACCCATCACCACCAGAATCATATATACCAACCCTCCCTTCGCCAAACATTTCCACAAATTGATTTCTTGTGAGATAATTTTTGTACTCAATTCGCGGGAACTCATCCTCGATCAGATTGCGCGTCTTCTTGGTGGTTGGCTGGGGAGCACTGTCGTTCTCAAGCAGATAGAACTTCCTCAGTAGCATCACAGCCTCTCTATTCAGTATGCCAGGATAGCAACAATAACCTCTTGGAAAAGATTCGACTTCAGCTTGATCAATCTGAAGCGATAATACCGAGCCGTTTCCACCAAACCGATCGTTTCCGCACCCGAAAAAGACTCTTTTGATCTGGAGTTGTCTGAGAGCCGAGGCACACATAATGCAGGGTTCCACAGTCACGTAGAGGTCTGTTTCTTTTAGTATATCTTTGTATGAATTCGGATTAGTGCTCACAATTTGGGAGATCCCCTCAAATTCAGCATGTCTTGTCCCACATAAGGTCTCGTTTGTTTTATTGGATCCTTCTGCTATCACTTTCCCGCGGTGTACAAACACACATCCAACAGGTACCTCTTTTTCATCCAGAGCCTTCTGTCCAACCTCCAGGGCTTTTCGCATGAACCGAAAATGGGTTGAAAGTTGCTCCATTCTATATGATGTTCATTAAATCGTATGTTTTGTGTTGTTCTGGAGTTCAGTTTGAAGTCTCTCTTAGTGGTAAAATGTACTCTAAAGTATGGAGATGTGAAATTTTTGAAGCTCATCGCGCTCTGTCTGGAATGGGCCAGGCTGGGCCGCTCCATGAGATCTGGACAAAACTACGAATAGCACAGTAATTTTTGAGAGGAAGTAGAATATTTGGTTTTGGTACGTATCTAGATAGTACTAGAATAGTAACAAGGGTTTGATAAGAATTGAAAAAGTCTGTTGAGCGTGCCGTGCCGTAATGGCTTTCCTTGAAGCTGCATACTGTGCCTTCTGCAGATTGTTCTCCCTCATTTCAGAAATTCATAGAAAACGGGAAATTTTTCAGATTTGACGCAACTGTTGAAAGTACTGAATCGGGCAGCTGTGGTTGGTATTCAGCCTCGAAAACTAATACCCCTTAGATTTGTCCAGAACAACGCAAGTTCCGGAACCGCTGTTGTGGTGAGGTCCTTGAAGTCATGCATTAGCGTTCCCAACGGCGCAGGTATGGCTCAGATCAACCTCCGTTTTCTCACTGCCCCAGCCATCGATTTGGACAATAAATTGCACAGAAAACAAGGTATAGATATTTGAATCTATGTATATGTATATATAAATATAAAAATCTATGTTTATATGCCCTACTCTGTCCTCTTGCTTATTATCTTAGTCTAGATAAGCCAGCTCAAGTAGCCGCATCCAGATAAGGAAATCCCATTTCTTTTTCCCGTCAGTCACACACCCTTAATGAGTTTATGGAACTGGCGTTGATTGTTTATTTGCGACTAGTTATATTAAGTGTTATTATAGACAACTCACCAGCTTGAGAGTACAAAAGCATCTTATCCAACTGGTTTAATCTCGTGAACTTTTCGTGTTGGCGGTTCCATATTGATCTTCTTGATTATATCTTCTTATCGCGTCTGAGATCATATCATATACAACCAACTGCAACAGCTGCTGCCTCACCATGGAGTCTTCTAGTATATCCACAATAATCCAGAACATCTACATCCCTCCTGCCAAGAAGATTTCCATTCCGGCTATACCTTCACATCACCCTTCTCTCATAGTCCCAGATGCTCTGTCTGATGTCTCTCACCAGAGATCATGCGGGTGTTCTGGTGAAGCCTGTATAAAGGATACGGCCTGGTTTTATGGACCAGGTGGTGAGGTGATTTCACGGTCCAAATCGGATATCTCATCTACCGATACTGTTGCTGCTCAACAAATGATTCATTATTCTGATGGGCGCCAGTTGTGAAATGCCTTTCAAACGCATTTGGCGTGTTGGAGTTTTGCGAATTTGATTTTTTGCGGCGGTATTGCAACTCTTGCGCTATGTTGAATCCGCTTTTTGTCTTTTCTTGTTGTCCGATCGTCTCTTCTGCTTATTTTTCTTTGGCTTTGCTGCCTTTGCTTGATCCTCGGTCATCATGGATGGTCCTGGACACTTCATCTAAGCAGGCTGCATATATAAATAAACTAATCACTCATAAATTTTTCATGAAACTTGGAGGTAAATGATGTGTAGACAGATGATCACGATGAAGGCTAGACGGCAATAAATCGCACAACTTCGTAATATATTCATGAGCTTTCCACCACCTCGTAGACTGCCAATCCTGGTGTGAATGTCTTCCAGCCATACGTTGTATCGAAATGGTCCATATCCAGATGCAACCAAGTCTTCCATTTTCTCTTCAAGACAAGGTTTCTATCTTTCAAGGCGTCCGAGAGCTCATTCTCAGCACTTGCGATGGGTGAGATCAGTATCCCCGGCCGCTGACCCAAGAGGTTGACAATCACATCAAAAGAGCTACCCATAGCATCCACTATGGTCAGCCCGTTCGAGTCAGATTCGGACAAAATATTCAGATCTTTGAGGTTATGATCAATTCTGTTGAGCACTTGCAAATTCTGATGTCCATACAACCACACTGGTGGACTGTAAGTTCTCCACCAGATCTGCAAATCTGAAGATCCTGTTAGTGCATTGTCAGGCTTCGTAAGCTGCTCCATGACTGTCACTATTCCACCCTGATGCAAAGAGCCAAAAAAAGCAGTCATAACGACATTGTACACAATGAAAAGTCTCAAAGCATACTTCGTAACCTTCTTCTTCTCCGAAGACAAATCCATACAACACGCCAACAACGGCATGGCAGGAATGATAAATCTAAACTCCTGGTGAGGAACAAGACTCAGTGTCAAAATACCAGAAATAGCGCTCATAAAAGGCACCGTTTTGTAGTACTTTGAACCAATTAAAAAGACTAGAGCCGGCCCAAGCATCAACGGAACGTTGACCAACAAATGTGTCAGTCTCGAGTGGATTCCATGCTGAGACAGATTCTCAGAGTCCAAGTTGTACAGAAGATTGTTCAGTGGAGTAACCACCAAGTTAGACCAATCAATGGTCCCTGTAAACATCCAGGTATCCAGAACCACACATGCCAAACTTGTAGTTAGGAACCCAGCAGCCGTGTAGACCAATGAAATGGGTGACTTTTGGAAGAATTTCAACACGAAGATCCCGGGAAAAACCAACCAGCCTACAAATGTGACTCTGTTAAAGATTCCGGCGCTTACTATACATCCGTAGGCAAGACAATATTGAGCGAGATTTGAAATCCTGGAGTTTTTGGCGATTTCACACTCTTCCCTAAAACGACCCATGATGTAAACCGCACCCAGAACCAACCATGTCTCCACCGAATTCGAAAACGCATGCGATTGATACACCAACGTCACAAAACTTGTGGAAGTGAACAGAAGACTTTTCACTCTCTCTGGTTTGGTGGGCATAATTCGCCACAACGTCCAATCGGTGACCATCCACGTTATAAGAGTGAACTCCAATCGCACAAAGTAGTATGCTGTTATGAGTGGTAACTGGAAGTATTTCACCAATTGAATAATTGGATAGTAGAAAATCAGCAATGGAGCAAACGATCTAGCAGATGATTCAGGCTCAAACTCCCACGGATTCGCAACGCTGCTTCCGTATACAAGCTTCGCTATGGGCTGAAAACTTTGGAAGTGCTCATCTGGATGGATGTACGAACATTGCAGGCAAACAAACACTTTCGCTGCTATGCTGATGATGTAGACAGTTCTCCAATTGAAAACGCCCATAACTTGTTTTGAGCTTAGACCCTGTACAAAAGAGAGAACAAGATATAACAGGTAGAGTATTACGACACGTTATTCATCTATACAAGTCAGTTAGCAGTGTACCACTCAATCGGGCGCGGCTCAAATTTCATGACGATAACTCCACCATTATATCGTTTCCAAATCGTTTCATTTCTTCCGGTATCCTGAACCTGTAATTACAGCTTGATAAGCCATAAAGCCATTCAACACTATTGACCCATCCATGTTTGCCATTTTCACGCAAATCTCGCTCCTGCAGAAACCCCCGCGCATTGGTCATGAATCTGGACCATTGGTTCTCCTTTTCACTAAATGAGTAGTCCGCAAAGATCGCCATGGCGGCATAATAAAGCATTACAATGATCGCCATTGGATCATTTTCCTCGTTTATGAGGTGTCTGAACTTATCAGTTGAGACCGAGCCCAAAAACCGGAAAAAAGGCATAAAGTATTCAAATTTGATGGACAGAAACGTCACAGCCTTCAGTTTCATGATAGACGTCTCCAGTTCCTTGTAACTGCTCATGTCTATTTCCTCGGAAAAATAATATTCGTTAAGCTGGTCCATTAAGCGTTTCGTGAAAGGATATTCGAGGTCAAGAGGAATTGGTTGGGCGTACTCGCCCAAATACAACAGCGGTCTCATTCTTGGGCTTTCGATCGCCCAAGGCACCAGTAAACGGTTGATAGATGTGACAGCTTGACAGAACGCCAATGCATCGGTTTCCTCGGAGCCCAAAGCCAATTCACACAGCGTAGGGTCCAAGTGCACATATGCGAAAAGAATGTTGTTGGTAATATATAACGCCTCTTTCTCTTGCTCAGTCATCTTTTCCAGATCGAGATGGCCCAATCGGTTTGCAAAGTTTCCGGCGTGCCAGACGGCCTTTTTGAAATGAGACACTGCCACCTCTCTTAATCTATTCAGACTCAACGCAGTTTGAGAATCCCTGCCAAAGCATTTAGACCAAGAATGAAGTGTCCCCAGTGCCATTGCAGACTCTTTGTACATCTCAAAGTTTCGAAAAAGTACCGGGGACATCTCCTTGAAAGAATTCGAGATCAAAGCGCTCCTTCCCAGCGAAAATATCCAGACGGTATTGTTGACGAAGAAATGAAGTGAGTGGAGATCTGCTTTAGAGCAATTTAACACACCGGTCATAGCCGTTATATCCAGGTCAGGCTGCAACGTGTAAATATCTTTCCTCACCTGTTGAAATGAAGTCTTCACACACCAACGAGCAGCGGAAGGATATACACAAGCTCGATTCGTTTGCACGCAATATTCGCAACTGGGTTTGGATTCGTCACACTGATATTAGAATGTTAGTAGCCATTGATGAACGAAAGAGCCCTTCATTAGTGAATGAAAACTAACCTTTATTTTCAGCTTTTTGCAACTGGCACATCCCTCCCTTGATCTCCTGGGCTTCAACCCCGAGCCCCGGCTCATGTACTGCGAGAGACTATTGGACATTGCGTTTACCTGAACTTGGAACAATATCGATAAATGCAGATTAGGGGTGAAGGCTTGAGTTGGAAGATTAAACCCCGGTTCCGAGGGTCTCCCCGTAATGAGTGGCGTGGTCGCACAAATTATTATGCAGCCATGCGGTACAAGAGCTTTTCTTATATCCGAGGATGGCGCAGCCTGGCCTGCTTAACGGGAAACTTTCCGGGGGATTTTGACTTAGGCAAATCCGGTCGGAATTATTGGCCGAAAAAAACAGAAACTAAAATAAAAACGAATCTAGATTAGGATCAACGAAGGAACCAGAAGTTGAATGCTTGGCGTGCATGATTTGTCATACTTCGTTGCTTCAAAGAAGAGCATCTCACGTTTGGACTAAAATCTACAGCAGGAGCACACAGTACCTTGTGAATGTCTTTGAGCAGTTGAATGAATTTTATCATATTCACAACGACGCTGTATGTGTTCTTCGCTATAATCGTAGCACAGCTAAACGAGCACCGCATTCAGATATTCGTGCTCCAAACATCTTATCTCAGATGTTAGGCGCTTATATAATCCATATTTTATACGCGAGGATGCGTTAGATGTACGGCTAACTAATACTCAAATATTCAGACGTAAGCGCTTAGATGATCCATGTATAGTTGACCAGGCTGTGTTTGCTATACACGGCTAACTAAATAGTCAAACTCAAATGAGTGTAGTTGTTTATATAAATATGAGAGATGTATCAAGTTTTTCAAAATTATCTTTGTACTTGTAGCCAACCCGACAGCCCTATCCCACACCCAATTATGAACGCATACGAAATCGCAGCTATCGTGCAATTGATCATTTGTCTCTTCCTGGAAACATGGCTTGTACTTCTCATGTCCAAATATTCCCGTTTCAAAAGAGCCATCAGATTCGAAAGCCAGATTAACCACGAAAGTGGCATCGAAGACCACTTGAAAAGAGTCACTTCCAGTCTTCTTATGACTTTCTTTCCACTGACACTGTTTATCCTCGTGAGAATAGGCGCTGGTGCGGCTGTAATTGCATTTTACAGCCTCGAAAATACCGCTTCAGAAAAAACCATCTCCAATCTAGTGATAGCAGTAACCGTGATGGAAACGTTTGGTATTGCCTTTTTGGAGAGTACCCTTTTCCAGCTGATGATATGCATTGCATCTCTTGGAGACTCGTCTTTTGTGCCTAAGAGTAAAGGTATAATAGCACGTGCTATTTACTTCTTTAAAGGATCAACTGACGATCAATTACTGAACAAAAATACAAGTTTGCTTACTACAGTGATTTCATATACTGGCACGGTAATGATGGTGGGAATCATACTAAGTGCTGCTGGAGGCGGTTCGTTGTCCTCTTCCGAAGGGACTGAAAGCTCAACCGCTAGAAGCCTTCTAAGAGCCGGTTCCGTCCTCTTTTTGGTTGCTTTTATTTCCATTTTCGGTCAATTGATATACTTGATTTTTATCGACGAAGGTTCCAGATTGCGCGACAAAAGGATTTCGATCAACAAAAAAGATCAGACCTTGCTCAAGGTATGTTTGGCAGCCGCTCCCTTCTTCATCGTGAGATTAGTTTATTCTCTCTTGTCTACATTCCAGAGCAGCATCTTTGACAATAAGTTCATAATCCTGTTGGGAAACTGGAATTATTTCGTTGGTATGCAGCTTTGCATGGAGCTATCCGCGGCAATAGTACTGCTTTTTGCATTGTCGCTTCTGCTGAGGTCAGAGAGATGATGCACCCCCAGATGTACCCCATTAGCCGTAGTGATGCACATCAGTAACGGATGCAAACGAATCTTGCGATGGAAAATCTGGATTTTATATAATTTTTTGATATTTTTCAATGATAACCAGTGACGAGAATCTAATGGTAAACTCTAATTCCCGTAAGCTGAAGAAAAGCCTTGAAGTGACATTCTTTACAGCCCGCTGCACTTCACCAGGTACACCCCGAGACCCCAAGTCTTGATCAAACATCTATTTTTTAGCACAGCCCCACTCAAAGGATCACCACACCGATGTTTTATCCGTTTTGATCGACTTCTGTTTTACACAACTCTATTTGAAGCACATCCATGGTATTGGAGTGCGTGAGTTGCTAGAAAGAGTACATGGACCCGCTTGTGGCTCAATTGCAACGCCTCAACTCAAACGCAACAGGGAACAAACCTACGATCATGACGCTAGTATCACACTTTGGCACTCATATGATCCATGCATAGTAGGCCAGGCTGTGTTTGTTATACACAGTTCGCTAACCAGTCAAACTTGACGGGTTTGGGTTGTAGCCATTTATATAGATATGAGAAATGTATCAAGTGTTTCAAAATTATCTTCATTCCCAACTAGAAAGCCCTATCCCATACCCAATAATGAACCCATACGAAATCGCAGCTATCGTGCAATTGATCATTTGTGTCTTCCTGGAAGCATGGCTTGTGTTTCTCATGACCAAGTATTCAAGTTTCAAAAGAGCCATCAGATTCGAAAGCCAGATTAACCACGAAAGTGGCAATGAACACCACTTAAAGAGAGTCACTTCCAGTCTTCTTATGACTTTCGTTCCACTGACACTGCTTATCCTTGTGAGAATAGGCGCTGGTGCGGCTGTGATTGCATTTTACCGCCTTAAAAATACTGCTTCAGAAAAAACCATCTCCAATCTAGTGATAGCAATAACCGTTATGGAAAATTTTGGTATCGCTTTTTTGGAAAGCACCATTTTCCAGTTGATAATATGCATTGCATCTCTTGAAGACCCGTCTTTTGAGAGTAAGGGTATAATAGCACGTGTTATTTACTTCTTTAAGAGATCTACTGACGATCAACTATTGAACAAAAATACAAGTTTGCTTACTACAGTGTTTTCATATACCGGCACTGTAATGATGGTGGGAATCATACTAAGTGCTGCTGGAGGCAGTATGTTGTCCTCTCCCGAAGGGACTGAAAGCTCAACCGCTAGAAGCCTTCTAAGAGCCGGTTCCGTCCTCTTTTTGGTGGCTTTTATTTCCATTTTCGGCCAGTTGATATACCTTATTTTTATTGACGATAGTTCCAGATTGCACGACCAAAGGCTTTCGATTAACAAAAGTGATCAGGCCTTGCTCAAGGTATGTTTGGCAGCCGCTCCCTTCTTCATCGTGAGAATAGTTTATTCTCTCTTGTCTTCTTTCCAGAGCAGCATCTTTGACAATAAGTTTATAATCCTGTTGGGGGATTGGCGTTACTTTGTTGGCATGCAGCTTTGCATGGAGCTATCCGCAGCAATAGTCTTGCTCTATGCATTGTCGGTTCTGCTGACGTCACAGAGACTTGCTCAGCCATAATGCACCCCAAGTGTACCCCATAAGTCCTATTGATGCACGGTAGTAATGGATGCAAACGAATCTTGGGTTGTTAGATCTGGATTTTATTTGATATTTTCATATTCATTAATGTGATAATTAGTGACGCAAATCCAACGGTAAACTCTAATACCAGTAAGCTGAAGAAAAACCTTGAAGTGACATTCTTTACAGCCCGCTGCACTTCACCAGGTACACCCCGAGACCCCAAGTCTCAATAGAGCATCTATTTCGTAGCTCAGCCCCCGTCAGAGGATCACCACACCGATGATTTATCCGTTTTGATCGACTTCTGTTTCACACAACTCTATTTGAAGCACAGCCATGGTTTTGGAGTGCATGAGTTAGGAAATGTAAATGGACCCGCTTGTGGCTCAAATGCTTCGGCTCAACCCAAAAGCAACAGGGGCCAATTCATGATGCCAGTAGAAGTTGATTATTAGTTACTACAATGGACGCAAGGCTACTAAAAGCCTACACGTGAAGTTTCATTTTATCTCTTTCGACATTTCCACATGCTTTCGAGATCACCGGAATCGTCTAGATCCTTCTGGCAACAGTCCTGCTATACTCTACCCTCTATATTGTATCTCAACGGCCCAAGTTCAAACAGGACTTGAGACTTAAGACTTCCGATACTGACGAACAACTCCAACTCCACCGGAAATGCGTTGGGTTCAAATTTCTCCAAACCATTAACCCGTTGCTTCTGTTTCTGGTTTTGCGTTTAACTGTTGAAATTCTTTTAGTGGTGTTCTATAACACTGATATTGACCATGCTATCGGTTTGGGAATAGCTGCGGTTACAATTGGGTCTATTTGTATTGCATTTCTATTAAGCTCGCTCTTCCAGCTCATTGTTTGTATTGGTGCATTGCGCTCGTCAACTTACATATCAAGACACGGAGTAATAGCGAAGCCCGCTATCAAGAACGACAAAGGGAAACGAGACTTCTTCTGCGTGCTCAATGAATTTACATAGCTCTTTCTCATTTCTGAAGTTGCTTTCATTATTGGGGGTTCTCGTACAATACCTGAACCGAACGGTTTAGGCGTTTCGAGGGATTTAAAACTAGTTTCATCGTTGCTATTTATGGCGATTGGAGATACTTTTTGGGATTATGTTTCTGCATGTAGTTTTCAGTAGCAATTTTTCTAAATGTCTTTATGCTTGCTTCGGTAAAGAGATCCGTGTGAACCGCTACAAACCCAGAAGTTGGGCAGTCTTATAGGGACAGGAGATCTTTGAGAGGGACATCAGTGAAATGGGACAGCAATTCTTTTTGCGCATAAGAAAATATGTGCCACAAAAAACTCTTGGAAATATTTGCAAAAAAGTTTAATCTAACTCGTAAAAATATTTACAGAATAGACTTTACTCTGAAAGTCCCAAAGACTTCTTGAGTTCCTCATCATACTTCCCAAAAATATGAGGAATGGATCCTCTGAAAAAGTGTCCTTTCCCAGTTTCTGTAATCAAACGCATGTCTTCTTCATCCAACGAGAAATCAAAGATCTGAAGAACATCTTCCATTCTCTCCACTTTGGTGGTAGTTGTTAGGGGCAATACTCCAGTCTGGTAAACCCAGCGAAGGAGAATCAAGGTATTGGATCTACCATATTTGACACTCAATTTCTCCACCAAATCATCCAACGGTCCCCCTTTAGCTTTGGTGAGGGGATTGAGAGGGCCGTAAGCCTCTACCACCATCTTCTTCTCCTTCGCAAATTGAACAACTCCAGGGGATTGGTTTTGAAGATATGCCTGGTACTCTATTTGTAAAACAGATGGCTTTATGGTAGCCAACTCATAAAGCTCGTTTAGTTTCTCGGAGGAAAAGTTGGAAATGCCAATATTTTTGGCCAAGCCCTCGCTTTTCAGTTTCTCCATCTGAGCCCAGTAACTTGCCAAATTTTCACCCGGTAATAAAACCAGTTCACTGTGTAGCAAATACAAATCCACATAGTCCAGCTTCATCGTGGAAAGACCAAGTTTCAGAGACTCATAAGGACCCGAAGTTCTGGGAATATACCCAGTCTCAAAGCCACAATGAAACTTATCCGTAACCCAGAGGTCTTCTCTCTTAACAATCCCCTCTTTCAGAATAAGTGCAATAGCAGCGCCGACTTCCGGGTGTGTATCGTACATTTCGGCCGTATCCAGATGTCTGAAACCGGCTTTGACTGCATCTACCATGGCGGTCACCAGGGTATCATAGATCGGAGTTCCCACCTGGGGTTTTGACCGTGCCCATGCGGTCCCTGAGCCGTATCCGATGGCCGGGATCTTGTCACCAGAAATTAGCTCGAAATACTCTGGACTAGTCATTTGAAAGAGAATCAACTGAGCAAGATTCAATTGAGTTGGTAATAGAGGTAATGGTCTTTATAACAGCTAATATTAAAAAGTGCAGTCCGAAGCCTGCATGAGTAATCACCAAGCCCGCATTGTGAACTTTTCACGCACGACCCACGGAAGGCTACAACCAAGAATAGAAGGTTTGTCTGCTAGCGAGGTATATTAACTATAAAGGAAAACAGGGTAAAAATCAGTAATATAATGAACAGTAACCAGTTTCAGAGGAAAAAAGTGAGCGGAACAACCACTCTAACTAATTGGAAGTTCACCACATTGAGGCTACACCAGCTTGCTAGCATCCTCCTTTTTTTCAGTTTCTTTGATTTCTTTCTCAAGCTTCTCCCTGTAATTGTTGTTAGGATGTACAGGGTTGTTCCAACCCTTCTCTTCATTGGAATCCTTGAAAAAATTTGAGAATGGATATGTTGGCAACGTTTTGAGAGGAGTATCCTCTGTGATTAGACCCAAGTCTAATTGCCTCTGAACCAACTCATCCAGATATGGTACCAGGTGGTCCCTGAAACTCGCAAAATTCTTGTATTTGCAGATTCCTTCTGGAGCCTCGAAAATAATTTTTCTGATCAGCGAGGGGATCAAAGGTTCGTCCTTCATTTCGTCAATGTTATAGAAGACCGGGTGGTTTGTGAAGATAATGGCATCTGACTTCGGCAGTCTTCTCAGGGTTTGTCTCTCAACTCTGACGTTGAACTCTGTAGGCTCAATATCAGAATCTACTTTGGCACCATCCTGGAGGGCATACACGTTATTGCACAGCAATTTGTGATCCCAGGAGATGTACCAGGAAGCTCTTTCCACTAAATCTGCAGGTGCCATCTTTGCAAACCATTTCTCCATAGAAGGCTTGAGCTTAGATTCGTAATAAGGAACCTCTGAATGGATGATATCAAGATGTTTTCCCAACTTATTCTTGATTCCAAAAGAACCACCGGGAAATGGAACGGCAGCAGCCATGAGATAATGCTTACCATCGTCCTTATTCTTCAGCACGATATAAAAATCCTCTTTGGCCATTTTGGAAACGTAAATCAATGGGTGCTCCTTCAAAGGCTCGGTCATATCCAACAGCTCTCCGGTTAACTCATTTTTTACGTGTTGGCCCTCATCCTCACTGGTGAATAGAAGTGGGTAGCGCTTGAGCATGTGGTCTCTCACCATATCCATCAATTCACGGCAGGCCAATTCTGACCCAGGAAGCCACCCGATATTCTCATCACCATACCTGTGATATACTCTCTCCTTCTCCTTGATGTAATCCACGTAATATTTGTCCATATCCAGCCAGTGGTTTACGTCCAGTTTGAAAATAGACATGGTCTGATGATAAGGCCATCTAAAAGGTCTCCATGGTCTATCATCATAAGTGGAGACTTGTTCCGGAGTAATGTACAGCGGTGTGGGCTGTGGAATCGGATCGTCTCTGGAAGAATGATACTTTGGTTTCTTCTCAAGGGTAGGGGTGCTTTTTCTCCCGTAGTCTCCCCTTATCATTGCCTCGATGTACTTCCGAGATAAGAGCAATGTGACTGCAACGGCAGAACCACCGGCTATCAAGTAAGCATAACTGGTTTCACCCATTTTTGGGAGTTTGTTGAATTAACTGATAAAATGTTGCTTAGTGCTATTCAATGGCTACATTCAAACTAAGGAACCTTTATCACTTTTATACGTTTTCAGGCAGTTCATGCACCAGGGACATCAACACCAAAAAGGGAAATCGGATTCTTATCTGCATTTGAGTTGTACACACAATGTTTGTTATGGTGTCCAGCTTTGCGTGTTTATGTTTGCAGTTTTGTGATTGGTAAACACGGGCATGGAAATGCGACCTGCAATAGATATTTACTGCATTCAATACTGCATGAAAAAGTGGTTCCACCTTTTGGGAACAGGTAACGGTGTACATCTGCGGGCTTCGTGTCATGGATTCTTTATCCGTTTTGGGATGATTGGTGGGAGCACGTAAACACTAATCAGAACTGGTGTTTGCACGAAACGAGGGCGATTTCTCTAGATGGTGGTTTACACCCGCAGTCCAAGAATCTGCCAGACTACGCCCGGAATCTTGTTATAATTGCTTTTTGATGCCTTTGGATTATATCATAATTAAACAAACAGAAGTAATGAGTTGTAAATCCGCCGCCACAATCAAAGACGTCTACCACGACGACCACCCTTTCTTCTGGTAGAGTCGGATGGGATTGGGGTAACATCCTCGATTCTTCCGATCTTCAAGCCGGATCTGGCCAAGGCTCTGAGAGCGGATTGACCACCTGGACCTGGGGTCTTGGACTTTGTTCCTCCGGTGGCTCTCAACTTGATGTGGACAGCGGTGATTCCGACTTCCTTGCATCTGACGGCAACATCCTGGGCAGCCAACATGGCAGCGTATGGAGAAGACTCGTCTCTGTCGGCCTTGACCTTCATACCACCAGTAGCTCTGCAGATGGTTTCCTTACCGGACAAGTCGGTAACGTGGACGAAGGTGTCGTTTCTGGAGGCGTAGATGTGGGCAACACCAAAGACGTTGGCACCAGCACGGGTCTGGGATGGACCAAGAGTAACGTTGTCTAATTTGGGGTTAGTAATCTAGCTGGGCTGCGAAAAGGGTGATGAGACTATCGTTGTTCGTGTGAGGTCAGGATGGGAGGTGTTCAGTTCGTGAATTTGCGATAATAACCTTGCCATCAGCTGTTAAAATAAACAACCAAGCACTGGGTTTGAGATACAACGTCAAGTTTCAACTGGAAATGATGGCATGCTGATCCCTGTGCTGCTTTCTGGTGTTTGAAAAATCGTCAACTTCTGGCTTAACCTTAAGTTTCACAAATCACCAACTAGTCCAAAAGGACGCAATTTTAACGAAAACACATATAAACAACATGATAGTGCAACTCTTCTCAATTTAATACATACTAGACATGGTTGGATGTATTTGGATATGTGGTAAGAAAAGACACTTGGTTGAGCTTTCCTTTAAGAATTTTCTTTTTCGTCTTTGACCGCCAACAGTCTTAGTACGATCACGTGATTTGGTAATTAATTTGGTTATGGCACTAAATTGTATGTGAGTTTTTCGCAGTCACAGAAGTTGGGGAGGGGAGTTTCCTCATTGGGAAATATCACGAGGTAGGTTAAGGTTGTATGGATAATAGGTATATAGGCCTACTAAAGAGCATCGGCCTGGTATTAGTCGACTACGCAATATGTTTCTGAAATATTTTTTGATTATCTAAATGTACATCTTAAACAGAGTATCCAGTTTAGTAAACAAAGCCCAAAATCTTACCGGAAACGTGCTTTCTTCTGGCCTCCTCGTGGTCCATAATTCCGGCAGAGGTGGTGAGGATAACGTAACCGAATTGTCTGGCTGGCAACAAGTTGTCAGTCCATCTCTCGATGTCACCGATCTTGACGTTGAATCTTGGCGAGATGACACCACACTTGTTCAATCTACCGTTCAACTGCACAACGATCTTACCGGATCTGTGGTCATCGATGTACTCGAACTCACCAATGTAACCGTGCTTTTGCATCACAGACAAGAACTTGATGATCACCTTGGAAGAAGGTCTGATCAAGACCTGACGCTTTCCGGTCTTCTCGGCGTTGTTGATAGCGTTCAAGGCATCTGCCAAAACTGATGATCTGGTCATTTTGTGTAATTGGGTTTGGATAGGTAATTAAGCTGTTTTGTAAGACTGTTGAAGGTATGAAGCTATATTTCACCAGCTCTGGTATAATCGTGTACTTACTAGATTATTCAATTTTTCACAGTCACAACAAGATTTCCCAAAAGGGAAAAGCCATGAATTTTCTCCTTGTCTGTGCACGACATTCATCTGAGTGCTGGGAGACTTTTGCAAAATGTACACCTTTTGAGGTTTGGTATAGTCTTTCTCTCTACCTTCAACACTTGAATTATCTTTAAGATGCCAGTATGTATTATTGAGAACGTTTAGTGGGATAGATGAGGTTTACCGTTAGGTATTGTGGTTTGTGATTCTGAAGGGCGAAAGTATATCGCTAAGTTTCAAGGAGGAAACTTTTCACCAACCAAGGGAGCGTTGACGAATGCTCCATAGAAAGAGCGACCAAGGGCCATCAAAACATCATGGACTACCAGACCTGAGCATGTTAGTTGAAAATATTGAAATTCAAATTCAAAGCCTGGGAGATCATCCACTTTACTACAAACCGTTTGTCACCACACACTTCACAACCACCCAGGACCTATACTAACTCTTCACTAGTCTCAAAAATCGTTCAAGACCAAGCAAAAGTTGGCTAAGGCTCAAAACCAAAACAGACCCTTGCCTCAATGGATCAGATTGAGAACCAACAACAAGATCCGTTACAACGCCAAGAGAAGACACTGGAGAAGAACGAAGCTGAACCTTTAAGCGGATTGTTTATTTGATAATGATAATTAACAACGCATTGGTTCTAGCTGTACAGATGCTGATCAGGTGAAGATCGGGTCAGTCTATAAGGCTGGGATGAAGATTTTGTCTAGGACAGCAATGTTAGTTGTTGCAATTGATGATAAATATCACGCATATAAGAATTAGGTTGAATCAGCTTTAATAGGAGACTTGTAGAATCGTGTGGCGAAGAAAGACTTCAAATTATCGCTCAAAGTCTGACAGTTATGTTTACCATATTAGAGACTGGTGTCAAGGGTGAATAGAAACGACTGTACAATCGAAGAAAGAGTTCAGATGAGAAATCGATGCATTGCTCAAAGTATTTCCCAAAATTGCTGAAATCATGATCAAAGCCATTGCAATTGTTTAAGCCAAAAGCTCAGCAGCTAAAGTCAATAGTTGCAGCCCAAGTCAGCCATGCCCTAACTTCTGATGCAGATTTTACACTGTATCCATCTAATATGGCTCAAGCTCCTAAACCAAAAAGTATCACTTGGTTCTTGGAAGTGCGCATAGTCTGTTAATGCTATTATGACTCAAATCACGGAGTCCAGAGTCAAAGGTATGACCTTATCTGGGACCTTGGCTTCCTGCAATTTCATATTATTCAATCTACTCTCTCGCTCTCTTTCGCTCTCAATAAATAAAAACCATAAATATGTGAAATATATAAGTGCGTGACAATTGGACAAGTGGGACGTAAAATTCGTAAAATCATAAAGTGGTGATCAAATGGTGATCAAGTGAGAAATCTCAAGCTGATTCTGGAGGATTCGCATCTCGACATTCTATGACATGTTAGCCGATTGAGTCAAGATGATGCGATCCAGAACCAAAGAATACATTTCCGATGAAATGTCTAGCGGAAACAGTTTCGGTTTCAGGTGGTCCTCTGCAGCCGCAGCAGATGCGAGAGTGGGATTAGTGCCCAAAACGTATTCCACGTATGGTTGAACGCATCTCTTTCCCGACTCCGTTTGAAGATGTCTTCTGAGGGCATCTGTTCGCGCAAAACGACGACCACATCCCCAGGCTGTTTCGGATCCCTGTTTGTCTTCTGAGAGGGAACCGGTACATTGGAACCGTTTTTCACCAGAATGGAGATCTTCATGTCGTTTTCGATCATGTTGTCTTGCAAAGGTCTTTCCACACAATGAACAAACGAAGGGTCTTAGGTTTGTGTGCGTTTTCTTATGACTTCTCAAGTTGTAGGGTTTGCTGAAGACTTTACCACAAACGCTGCAATCGTATGAGCATTCCGGCGTAAAAACAGATTCCGGGAAAGTCCTGGATGTGTTCTTGGCAGACATCGAAACTGCGCGTGGTTTGGGACGCTTGACTTTTGGTCTTGATAGCGTGAACTCGGCATCCGAGCCGCAGTCATCGTCTGCATCTCCATCCTGTGAGTAGTCGTCAGACTGCGGGGAATTATGCATCGACAAAGAGATCTTTCTCCTGGGTACTCTTGTTGTTTCTTTTGACGTCGCACCTCTGTCGGTAATTATTATTTCCGGCATTTGCAATTGTTCGGCTTCAAAGGACGGCTCTGGTGGTGCACTTGAGGTGTCTGAGAAAGAGCTATAGGAATCATCATCATCATCATCAAATAACTCCAAGAAGTCCTGAGTGTCCGGGATCTGTAAGTTTGGTCGATCCATATACGCGTCTTCTTCGTTATCGGAAAAGATTGAGGAAGAAATAGAGGCCTGCGACATATTCGACAGCATTGGTGTCAATGTAGTACTCGAAGGATTGCCAAATAGAGTAGCCGAGTCCTTGGCCGCAATGTAGTTGAAGTTGCCAAAAGTCTGGTTGTAATCGTGGCGCATACCCGTATATGTGTCCTGTGATTTCGCACCATATGACTCAGGCATACCGCTATACAATTGGACCTCCGAATCAGAGATCACGAAGCGGTCGCCATCAAAAGCAGGATCAACATAATCGAGATGCTCAAAAGGGAAGTCCATTTTAATACATACGGCTTAAATATGAAAAAAATGTTGGAATGTGGTCAAACAGGACTGTGAGGATTGCCACTGATATAAATAACCAGCCTCAATTAAGGTAATCTTCGCCCCAGATACGGTATTCGAGCGTGCAGCGTATGTAGCTTTGGCCATGCAGCTTAAGAACGAGGCGAAGAAGGACAAATAGAAAGGGCAAAAATTATGGAATTAAAAGCTGCGCCGCGCGCGGGTTGAATCAGGCATACACAGGAGTACGTCCCATAAAACATGACCGAGTAACTGAAAAGCATTTGTCAGAATTGAAATTGATGTCATTGACCCCCAGCAATATCCTAGAGCAATATATGTTTCAACCAATGGGCAATTAGTTGTGAAGTCAGTGCTCCGTATGATTACGGGTGATCTGTCCTAGCACCGGTCATTAAAGCTACTCTCAAGAAATGAAGCATTTGCCACCAACCAACCTCGTGCATGAGCACCTCAAAACCAGGAACAGATGCGGCATTACCCTTCGGGTATCGTCAGCCTCTCACGCATACTAGACTCGGGTGATTCTGAACCACAGTATGCACTCCGACTCTGCGATTACACACATATCAAAATATATCACCTAAAACTCCATATTTGACATCTGTTGATAGCTCCGCCTCCTCCATCTGAAGCGCACGCATATCTCCAAACTTTACATCCGAGATGCGTTTATCTCCGGATTTAGTGCGTCAACAAATATGAATTATTGTGCAGCTTGCGTTGGGTACTAATGCCGCTTTTTCCATGTCGTATTCTCATTAGTTGCTATTGATACGCGCTGTAGGTACGCGTAGGTACGCGGATTTAATGTTGTTTTCCGCTGTTTTGTAATAATTTTGGGACCTCACTTTCTCCGAAGGTGGCCGATCGGTTTTGTTTGCCGCATTAGGATCCTATCCGCGGTATAGGAGGACGTCTCCGATATACCACTGTGGAGTAAGAAGCAAATTTGTGGACCGGCATTGTGCAAGCACTTTGCCGACTCTGCCGTTTTGAAGTCTCGAATGGTGTTGTTCCAGAAGGTTTACGGCTATCTCATGAGGAAGGCTCCTGCATTTACTTGTGAGAGTGCATAACAGATATTGAACCATTTGCTAGAATAATAAAGTCAGATGTATATCGATAAATGTCTCAAAATTTCATTAAAATGCTGATTAAGTGTTGGTTACGTGTTAATTGCTCAATCGCGTTTGATTTAACCCAGATCAGTTGGGTGATGTCATGTAATTCGAGACTTGATATAAACTTGAAAAAACTGAAAATTCTGAAAAATTTGCATAAACAGAGAAGACTTTGAATGCAAAGAACAATTGCATTGCGTTTTCAATAATGAGTACAATCACAATCACAATTATGAATATGAATGTGAATATCAATTTGACTATCAATTGTGATTCTTAGTACGAGTATGTATATATAATCGATTGTGCTGTTCTTAGACTGGTCAGCTATAGATTAAACTATCTAAGGCACTATTAGCTATAACCCTCTCTAAGTATGATCAGGTGAGTAGACTCTAGTGTCTGCTCAATTCAATTTGTGGCTTTGTATGCTGTAATAGCCACAAATTGGTATGACGGTAAGTTAGCTGTACCTATCAGCATAAGCCCGTGTTGGGAAGTGGTTTTGGCTGTGAATGAAGACCATTAAAGCAATTGAACTATCACCACCAAAATATCACCTACTCCACTCTCGATCAGGCCTCCTTCACTACAGCCTCATTCACGTACTTCATGAAATCCTGCAGCGAAACGTCATCCGTCAGAATAACCGCTCCTGCATTGGTCGCGGCTTTGGCAGCATCTGTCTTGTAACTCGTTGTCGGATTCAGTTTCGAGTACAAAAACCGAGCCTGCGATCCTCCTTCCTCGGTATCAATGAACCGTGGCAACGGGAAGCGGTCAACGAGGATTTCAGCAGCCTCCTGTCTCGGAAGTTCAAGAAATTCCATGAAATACTCGTAATCGTCGCGCTCGTGATATCCCAGTCTTCTCCAATCAGCGATCTGTGATCCATGGTAAATGAGAATATGGAAGAACGTATCCAGCAACAATATGCAATCAGGTTTGATCGAAACCGAGTCCAACAAAACTGGTTCGGGATCCCGGTCAAGTGAATAAGAAGTTAGTGTCGGTTGAATCATTACCAAGGTATTGGAAACTTGCTCTGTCAGGAAAACATGCCGGATATACGCAGACTCATCAGGCGAGTTGTTGAACACCTGCACGAACGGGGACCGACGCAAATGAAACATGAACTGAGGGAATAACGACAGGTGCGTGCTGAGTCGGAAAGAAGATGGGTCTGCCTTTCGATAGTCGCCGAACTTGGTGCATAGCTCCACTAGCGTTTTGTCCAACCACATGACAGCGTCGAACGAATCGTCCTTCAGAATCCGGCTGACTGCTTCACGAGCCACAATTACAGCCGCAGCTTCTTGGTCAAAAGACTCGCTGACCTGCTGGCCCAGCTGCATCATGGCGCGCGAAACTGTCGTGACATTCAGCCGCATGGTTCCGTCTGCATGCTGGTAATGCATGATATACTGGATATAGCAGAGCGGCGTGTGCGCAGAAGTTTGCGAGTTGGTATTGGCCATGTCAAAGTAGATTGCATAGCTCGAGTTCGATGCAGCTGAGCACAATTTCCATGCGGTTGTGGCACCGGTTCCCACCTCACGATCACCAACACTGGCGTTCTTGGTGTTTAAAGACGTGGCATGGCCCACCAAACCAAGAACCTTAAGCTCCTTGGAGACCTTCACTTCAAGCGTGGCATTGAGAGCAAAATCGAGCTCGATTCCAGGGCTTTTGACGAAAAACCGCTGCAAAGATTGCTTGAAAATGGCCGTGGAGAAGGAGTCACTCAGAATAACGGAGCCACCGGTCATATGTGGCAGCGCCTCCATCTCGCTCATTCCAACCTGGTCGTAGGATCCGATAAAGAAGTCGAGAGTGTGCCCGTTTGAAGCCGCACGCTTGGCCAATGTGTCATAGTACGCCTTGGCCTTTTTGTAGTACTTGGCGGAATCGTTGCCGATATCGTGGTGCGATCTGATTGGTTCTTTGAGAGCAGTCCCCACAATCTTTCCTGGACCGTGAGTGCATGCTCCTCCAGTGAAAACGAGTATATGGCCTCCAGACTTGGGGAAACATGATTCCAAGATTCCTTGCGCGACAGTGATGGCCGCTCCCGTGCATCTCTCTGGTCGAGAGTACTTCGGCAAGGGGAACGAATCCTGAAGCAACTGCTCAAAGATTAGCGTGAACTGGAACTCGCAGTGTGCCATATCGCCGATGTACCTCGCACCAGGGTACTGCTCCACAAGCGTCTGGTCCGGCCTAGTACGAAGATCGTTCGACAAGAGTCCAAGCGTTTTCTGCACCTGTGCAGCAGTGTACGATTTCGCACCATTGAAACAGCTGAACGCGTTGGCCTCCGTGTTGGTACGTTCGTGCACGTTCACGTTCTTTCCGTACGTGATCATTCCCACCAACGCGTCCTGTGGAAGCATGTTAAAATTGATCAATAGCGTTTCTTTCAAAGCAGCCAGATCCTCAGCCTCGAGACATATGTCTATCACAAAGAGAAACACTGGAGGGTGCTGTGCAGGTTTAGGAAGCACATACTCCACCGACAGACACTCGCCGTTGAGTGCATACGGCACTCCACCACTCTGCTGGTACACCTGCGGGAGTGCATTGATCCGTGCGCAGAACGGACAGCTCCACGAACCGGTTTTAGTATCTACCTGCGCGAACGGATTGAGTATGGCCTGGCATTGCCGACAAACAACCGGGGGTTCCTGGAGAACCACCTGATTGTCTTTGGGCCTTAGTGGTTGGTAAACACTTGCCAACGGAACAGCCAATCGTTTGGCTTCCAGCTTTGTTGAAGGGAAAATATTCCACGAAAATCGCAGACCGGTCAGGTCTTCAAAATCCTCTGGGTCCTGCAGTTTTGGGGGGTTGTTAGCTTGAAATTCGGCTTGTTGGTCCGTCTACCAGCTTCCAAACACGTACCATGATTACCTCTCGGCAAAACTCGGTTATTTCCGAGAATTCTTCAGGAAAATTAAGACACACACGCTAGAAGGTTGATTAAGCCTCCCAACTTTAAAAAACCAGGAAAATACCCGCTTGATATTCGTCAATTCTTCAGATCGACCATGTAATGAACCATGCGGAACGTTCAGATGTGAAAAGTACACATGGTCGTGCATATCCGAATCATAACGGTTGCGAGCCCGCGCCCTGGTAAATGTTATCTGAGGTCTCTTATAGTTTTATAGTCGGATTGGTTGGTGAAATATCCTACTCGCCAGTTTTTGACGCGAAATATTCGGATTCAGGTAAGTCCAGACTCTTATCCATATCCACACAGATTACTATGACGATAATCATGTATTAAAACTGGGAATGTTGTGCCACAACGTTCGCATCTCTTGAACAGGCATGACTGTGACCACAATCTAATCTTCTCACCGAGAAATCTGGGCCAAACTGGAAAATTCAAATGAAAAATTGATACTAACAAAGCCAGACCATGATAAGGAGGGGGCTGACTCTGAGCCGTGTTATAAGACGGTTCAACCACCAATTGGTGGATGACCATCAATACTCTCTTAGAAGACTGAAGGTGAAGCAGGACGAGTCAAAATACTACCCTTTGGCCGGAACCCTGCGCTTCAAAGAGAGGAATCCCAAGATTTTACGAATTCCTGCTTTCCAGACCATATTTCAAGAACTTGAAACGAAAACTTTGGAGGGAACCAATTACGTCCTACAGGGCAAAGTCGTCAGCATACGAAGGGCTGGTAAAGGAATGATATTTTTGGATTTGGAGCAAGACAACCACAAAGTTCAGATCGTGGCCTCCAACAAGATGATGAAAATGGATCTCCAGGCGTTTGTGGAGGTTCATGGGGATATCAGACCTGGTGATCAGGTTTCGTGTGTAGGATTACCTGGAAGGACTAATGTTGGTGAACTTTCGCTTAAGACATTAGAACCTCTTCGACTAGCTTCACCTGCTCTGCAGGCGTTGCCCCCGAAACTGACAGATCAGTCGAAGATTCACGGGAATAGAGTCATGGATTATCTCGTGAATAAGTCTTCGCGCGATGTGATCCTCACCAGAGCAGAGATCATATATGCTATAAGAGAAATTCTCAACGGGCACAAGTTTTTGGAGGTTCAAACACCGTTGATTGGATCCTCAAGTACAGGTGCAAATGCCACCCCATTCACTACCCAAAGTGTGCATATCAAAGACAATGACGACAAAACGCTGGATTTGCACATGAGGGTTGCGCCGGAAATCTGGCTGAAAAAGATGATCATTTCCGGTTTCGATAAAGTGTACGAAATCGGTCAAGTTTTCAGGAACGAGGGAATAGATGCGACTCACAATCCTGAGTTTACTACATGTGAATTCTACCAGACTTTTGCGACGTTAGAAGACCTTATGGCATTGAGTGAAGAGATGCTGGACCATATTATGGTGAGGATCATGTCTGATCCAAGATTGGCTCTCGTGGCTCACCAGCCCACTTTGGAGCTGATATCGGCTATAGATGAGAATGGGGGACATTTCAAAAAGCTCGAGTTCATTCCTACTCTGGAGAGAGAAACAGGAGTCGCCCTTCCATCAGAGCTGACCACAGAGACGCTTGTGGAGTATTTTGAGAGGCTGAATCTGCCGCTGCCCGAGATCAAGTCAGCACAAAAACTTCTTAATTATCTCAGCGAGAAGTTCATTGAGCCACTTTGTGGGTCATGTCCGACCTTCATTTACCACCAACCAGCCGTTTTATCGCCTCTGGCAAAGTCCACCTCCATCTCGTATGGGGATCAGTCGTTCGAGATATCACGGCGGTTCGAGATGTTTATCAACGGAAGAGAGTACATCAATGCATACGAAGAAGAAAATAGCCCATTCCAACAAGACGAAAAGTTCAAGCTGCAAATTCGTGCCAAGGAGGACCATAATGATGATGAGTCAATCATACCAGATGAAAAGTTTGTGGAGGCCATGGAATGGGGGATGCCTCCAACTGGGGGCTGGGGAATGGGAATTGACAGGCTCACTATGTTGTTAACAGGATCCTCGAGAATTGACCAGGTTTTGACCTTTGGGAAGATGAGCGATGTTATCAAGCAGTAACCGATTTATAATCATGTATATAAAGTAGTCGAGAGACGCACGTTAATAGAGTGCGGCGCTGAAATGAGTGTCACACACATGTGCAATCCCACAAAAATTTCAAGAGCCCTTTCCGTACTCCAGAAACACCTCTGTTGAACACATTCCTCTCACCAGAATCACTCTTTTCACTCCTGTTTATTAGCGATTTACAATGTCTGGAACCCTCATAATACCGGGAGACACTATCGAACTCGGTACCGAGTCCGGTGAAACCTCTATTGGCCCCGGTATCACCACCAACCCAAAGGATCAATCCATCGTTTATCCCTCTACAGCAGGCCTGCTAAAGAGCATATCAAAGAGGAACAAAACCATTGCATATATAGAACACAACACCAAGAGGTATATCCCGACCATACACGATTACGTGGTGGGTGTGGTGATAACGGTATTTGGAGATGGCTACAGAGTTTCCCTAGCCAACTACTCGCAACCGGTTGTGCTTTCAGCCTTGGGATTCCCAAACGCCACGAAAAAGAACAGACCCCACCTCAAGGTTGGTGATGTGGTCTATGCAATCGTTTCTTTGGTTGATCGCGACGTTGAAGTTGAGATTGAGTGTATAGATCCCGTGACCGGAAAAGAGGGCGGTTTTGGCCAGCTGAATGGCGGTACACTGTTTGATGTCAAACTCGCTTATGCCAGATACCTACTATTTAATTCTAATGCGGAGATTCTGGAAGCAATAGTTAACAAGTGCCAGTTTGAGATTGCTATAGGATCGAATGGTAAGATATGGATCAACACCGAGAACGTCAAGACCACTGTTGCTGCTATGAATGCAATTGTGGAGTCTCAGCAGTGGAAAAAAGAGGAGATTGTGAAAAATGTGAATAAGATCTTTAAGGATGTTTTATGAGGAAGGTGGACATTGAAAACCGTAAAATATACAAGAACTGTGAAAGTTTTGCGATTCTTTGCTGTCGCTCTCAAAAGCATCGGGTGTGAAACTGAAAGTTACCAAGCATTTCACTATCAGTCTCGGAGGCAATGTATATTATCAGCAGAGAATTCTATATACACGAAAAACAACGAATTCACGTGTATGTTCTTTGCTATATCGAGATTGTAGAACGTTGACCAAAGGTCCGAACAGCACAAAATCGTTGCCATCTTGGGCAATGAACTGGCATAAGATTTCCTCATTAAGCCTTATACGAGAACCGATACGACTCAGTGTAAGTCTGTAGATCACTCTGCGAAACGTTGGGCATACCCGCCTTCTCGCCTACAACCGAGGCATGCACCACTGGCAGGGACAATCCAAAGCCCACGCTTTGCTTGTAGAACTCCGATGACACAAAATGAGACTTGCTTCCCTCGTTGAACTTGGCCAGATACCTCAGCAGCATTTCTGGTTCCGAGTCTGGGGTAGAGGTCTCTGGCTCGGTAGTGGATTCCTCTGTCGTCAGGATATCATAGTAGTTGTTTTCAAACATTAGATCGCCATCAACATCTCTCGGGATCTTCTTCTCGCGTCGTTTGTAGTTTGGAGGAAGAGAGAGATTGAAGTAAGGATCCACCAATGGGATATCGTGTTTCATGTCCACAAACTCATCGACCAGACTGGATGCATAATCCAGAAGTTCCTGCTGCTGAACTTTCACTCTCTTTGCCGTCTCCAACTGAAGAAGACTAAATCTGTGCTCAAACTCATCCATGGGCTCCAAAGTTTCATCATTAGCCACATCCTTTGCCGAAACAACCGGTTGTTTCCTGTAGCGTGAATTAACCTGCTGTGGTTTCCGGGACTTGAAAGGCGAATTAACAATGGCCTCGCTCCCGCTCTCAACAACTTTTCGTCTGATCCGGTCCCTCGCAGAGCTCGCACTGGACGTGGTAGCACTTCTGACACGTTGGATAGCAGAAGGTATCGGAGTCAAATCCATAGAAGCGCTTTGATTCTGGGGTGTCTCTGGCATATACCGCAAGGTAGAATTCATGTTGAACTCAAAAGTCGTATTCAAAGTAGACAGCTTTCGTGGAACGTAGTATTCGTTCCAATAATTGTCAAAACACCCGGGATACGGCTCAATTCTCTTGATAATCAGTTTAGCCAATGTAGGGTCTTCATCTGTAGTTTCCTCCAGTTGGTGCAATATCTCCTTCTTTATGTCCTTGAGGTTCTCATCAGTGAACCAGTGTGTATAACTTGGTCTCAACCTGAAATTTGATCCAAAATAGTTATTATGCAGGTAATAGTCCGTGTCCAAATCCCACAGCATAGGCATTCCCTTTTCCCAGACGTAATTCCCTAAAAACAAGTTGATAGCCTCTTGTCGCTGGGCATCCACGAACGAGTTGCTATAAAATCTCTTCACACTCTCGATCATGTCTCTGGAATGCGATGACCATTGGTTGATCTTCCGATATGTCTGCACCGTGTTAACCAAATGGGATCCACCATACTGAAGAGCAATCGTGTCTCCGTGATCGTGGAACATTTCTGTGAGAATATTGACCGCGTCAGAGTCATACTCTAGGTATGTATCCTCAATGAACCCCAAAGCATGAAGCTGGTGTCCCAGAGCTCGTTTCCCAATTACAAATTGGGCGGCGTTGGTTCTATCCAAGCAATCAATACAGTTTGTCCTGCAAACGCCCTGTTGCAATTGCGTCGTATCAACCGTTTTGCCATTGTGGAAGAATCCAGTTGTCTTTATAGTCTTTTCTCCATAGCTTTCCAAATACTCTATGACTTCCTGACCTCTCGACTTCGACGCCCTAGACATATCCCAAGCGGTGTACTCAATCTTGTTTTCCTGAGGCAAGAATCTATTCAAGTATCCCAGCATATTTTCCAACTCCTTGGAAAGTTTTCCTTCCCTTGGTGTCTTCTCACGCTGTTTGACGAGGTTCAAGATCTGAACTGGGGTTCCATACCTCTTGAAAAGGTCATCGAAATGTAATGCAGCAGAAGAGTAGTATGGATCAACGACAGCGATCTCAATAGGTGGCTTTGCCATCCGTAAATTGGGAGCCGTGTCCTGGGACCAATATAGGGGTATCGAACCACGATGCTGAACAAAAGAGGTGAACCGATCGTTATTATAGAAACCAGCACTGGAAGAATGAAACGAGGTCGTGAGGGTATGCGATACTATCTGCTCAGTCTCAACTTCATTAGCAACGTTTCCTTGATCATTCACACCCCTCTTAAAGAATCTAGCTCCGGCAAAGAAATGGGACCGTCTGGCAATCAGAGTGATATACACCTGTTCGTCAAAAATCGAGATCTTGGCCTGGTCAACAAAACCATGAATAATAGGCTGGAACCAATCATAGATCCGATCAAAGGATTTCATCACAGGCTCCATCAGTGCGGCATTCCAGACGAACCGCTCGTTGAATTCAAATGCTTTCACCAGATTCTTACTACCTATACCAAGCGACTGCTTCTTGTTCCTCATGAAATTCACTTGAAGTGAGTTGGTGACATCATAGGTGTAGCTGAAATAGAACGTTTTGCTGAGATCCAGGTTTTGGAAGGTTGACAGAAATCGCGCCTCTTCAGAGTTCCTATCAGGCTTCTTGAAATTATTCGTGACTGGAATGAGCTCCGTTCCATCAACATGGTAGATGTAATGGCCACCGATAGTGGCAACGGGTCTTCGCTTTGTGATCACACACAAATAGTAGTAATCCTTGGTGAACTTGATGAAACCTAACAAGCCAACAGCAGTCAATCTCTTAGTTAGACCTCCATCACTGCTCTCCTCCAAACCGGACAGGACATCCATGATCTCATTTCTCGTGAAATATACATTGTCTTCCATTATAATCAAGCCAGAGTTCGACGTCAAATCGATTTCCAGAATGCGAAACATCGTTTCCCTCCCATTACTCCCCACAATGTACATCCTCTGATCCGTGACATAGATAGTGTACTTGGTCAAATTGACCTTTCTAGGTTTTGTGGTCACCTGCTGGTCCACATGATCATCCATTGGCGGGAAATAAGAGCCCTCATTCGGGATCTCCGTTCGGTCGCCCATACGAAAGGATTGTCGGATAGGAAACAAGACAAGTTCTGTGTTTACGCCTGATAACAATGCGTAGTGCACGGGTCCAAAACAGAAGGTAGTGTTTTTCAGCTAATAATTTTTAGTGGGGGAATCTTTTTTTTACCACCTTTAAAGTGCATTTGAACAGGGCTAGACTAGGATACTGAAGAAAGAAAGCAGAGGTATAATGGGAGAACCCAATGAACCCACCACCAAGGTGCTTTCTGAAGCCCAGCTGAGGGCCCAGGCTAAGAGACAGGAGAAGCTGGCCAGGCGCAAAGTGTATGGGGACCTACTTGTCCAAGGCACTAACGACTCTTCCATCGTCTCCAAGAGGTCTGTAGAGAGACTTTATGGCAGCGTGATAGCAGCAGCCAATGGAAAGAAAGCTCCTGAATACTTCAAGCCGTTTGTCAGAAAGCCTCAGCGAAGATCTCCGGTCATCAACCGAGGATATTGGATCAGAGTACAGGCGATAAGCAGGATCTTAGATGAGATTGCATCGAAATCTGCAGACGGCACGATCATCATAAACTTAGGCTGTGGGTACGATCCGTTGCCCTTTGAACGTATTGATAATGCCGAAAATGTGTTTTGTATCGATGTTGATTATCCCGAGTTGATCAAGAACAAAACGCACATGATCACTAGCTCGCCTGAGATACTGGAGATCATTGGACCGAAAGTTTCGCCCAAGCATCCGGCAATTGGCATCCAGACTGAAAGATATGCTGCGGTAGGTTGTGATCTGCGTGATCTAAAACTTTTCAAGGAGGTGCTCAGCTCATTGGGTGTATATGAAAGCAACACAACCAGCATCTTCGTTGCAGAGGTATCTCTGGCATACATGCTGCCAGAATTTGCAGATCCAGTCATTGCTGAGACATCAGCTGTTGCCAAGTCCCATTTTGTCCTATTGGAGCAAATCATGCCTGCCGGAAAAGACCATCCCTTTGCGAGAACCATGCTCAAGCATTTCAACAAAATCGGCACTCCTCTTGGATGTGTTTCCAAATACCACAACACCGAGCTGCAGGAACAGAGATTTAGAGATCTCGGATTTTTGTTCGTGAAGTCGACAGACTTGTGGACATCCTGGAAGGAAACAGACGCAAAGACGAAACATCTTATTGAGACCATTGAGGGGTTTGATGAGTGGGAGGAGTTCTTGCTATTTTGTCAACACTATGTTGTTCTTCATGCAAGTGTCTCGGAGATAACCGAGGAAACAATTCCGAAGGTCTTTAAAAATGAGAATTCACTTCAAATTGGAGCCTTACAGGATGATCAACATGTGCTTAAGAAGTTCCTGGCTGGTGCTGCCATTGACGAAAATTCTGGTGATTTCGTTTTGGTTGGAGGAACAGATACGCAGAGAACTAACAATGCCAATCTTCTCACTTTGGACAAAGATTCTGACTTGAACATCATTTCTCACAAACTTCCTGCAAGAATGTGTCATTCGTGCGTCAATGTTGGGGACGGCGAGATGCTGCTTTTAGGTGGAAGAACTGCTCCTCACAAATTAATGAGTGACTCTTGGAGATTGAAATCGTCCAAGAACAAAATATACAAGTGGATTAAAGACACTGACATGCCTTTTCCAAGATCACGCATGGCCGTTTCGAAGGTGGGAAAAGACGAGGTGCTGGTTTTTGGCGGACTCGAAGAAAATTCAAGCCAGTCTGCATTCATGGTATACAATATAGAGTTACATGAGTGGACCCCACTAACTTGTGACAAAAAAATAATCAGCAGGGAAGGTGCTGCAATGTGTTTGAACGGCAATACAGGTATAGTCATTGGTGGAATGGTTGATGGAGCCATTTGTCCTACGGCATTTTCGTTCAAATACTCCAAGAATGATAGAAAAATTGAGGTCATTGATCATGTTGAGAATGTGGCATTTGCGAGATATGGTTCGAAGGCCATTTATTTGGCTGATGACCAGACACTAGTTATCGGAGGTGTTTCGAACGACCATGTCCTGGGGCAGACGGATACCGTCATTAGCGTCTCTTTTGATCTTGCCAAAACTACGAATAGACCAATTCCTGACTCATTCTACAAGGAATGCCCAATGCTGGTTGGAAATGAAATATTTGAGAGAGACAATGTTGTTTACTCCATTGGTGGTGGAGCCGTGTGTTTTTCGTTTGGATCGGTTTGGAATGGACTTTCCAAGTTTTCCTTGAAAATATCCAAATCGTTCAATTGGGAGCTGAAGTCTGAGAATGTTTTTGAAGAGAAAAAGGAACAGAAAACACACTACTCGGAGAGGTCAGAGACTTCAATTGAAACCGTCTCTTCCATTACAGTCTCCTCATGGAAGAATATACAGCGGAATAATATTCCTGTATTGATCAAGACTGTGAATCTAGGAAGCTGTATTTCCAAATGGAAAAATCCTGCTTATCTGAAGTCCAAAGTGGGCCAACAAAATGTGGTGGTTCACGAGAGCTCGGATCATCAGCTCAACTTTCAAAAGAAGAATTTCAATTACGCAACGGTTCCGTTTGGAGATTTCGTTGATAACGTGTTTGGCAAGTCTGATAAGAAATATTATTTGAGAGCTCTCAATAACCAAGAACCAAAAGAGAAGGCTGCGAAATTCGTCGAGGACTTCCCAATGCTGGCTGATGACTTCCAACTACCCGACTGCTTTGAGGATGTGATATCCAACCAACACTCTTCCCCTTTGCGAATCGCATCCCCAGGAACATCCATATGGCTTCATTACGATGTTACGGCAAATATTCTTTGTCAGATTGTTGGCACCAAAAAAATTAGACTCTTTGCTCCATCTAGTGTTGACCAATTGGCGTTCCCTGCAGGTGCATCATCTTCAACCATTAACAACATTTTTACGGAGCCCTCAAACGAAACAGCATATACCTGCACCATGGAACCTGGAGATATCTTGTTCATTCCTCGACTATGGTTGCATGCAACGAATCCTGAAAAGCCTTCTATTTCTCTGAACTTCTTCTGGAAAGATCTGGAAAATGCTCTCTATGCTGCAGGCAAGGACGTTTACGGGAACAGAGACATTGCGGCTTACGAGAACGGCAGACATGCAGTCCAGAGGGTCAAGTCTTTATTTGATAATGTTCCCGAAGATGTGAGAGAATTTTATCTGAAGAGATTGGCTGAAGAGATGTTGAAATGAGGTTATGCATGCTCCTGCTCACCGTGCATAATGTGGGGTATCACCTTTCATCGGCATTATGTATAGTGAGAATTCTGGCTGAAAAAAACGTTTTATGAGTGGTAATACTGACCCAAGGGCCAGAAATCTACTCTTAATATCAAATATTGATCAATTAATCAACATACCTTCAAGTAGGCACAATTGAAAATGCGTGATACCCAACTATTAATCACTAGTTAGGGCATCGTCATATGTATGTAAGTTTCGGAGTCCATTCCATGGACATACCAAACGTCTAGTGCTGGATTCAACACCACGATCTTATTCACAATCTTCCTAGCCTATCCATTTAGGCATCCAGAACACATCCACTCGAGGCATCAGAGACCAGCTTGGAGTACTTGGCCAAGGTTCCTCTGGTGTATCTTGGAGCAGGAGCAACCCATTCGCTTCTTCTCCTGGCAAGCTCTTCTTCACTAACAGTCAAGTCGATAGTGTTGTTGTCAGAGTCGATGATGATCTCATCACCATCACGCACAAGACCAATTGGTCCACCTTCAGCAGCCTCTGGAACGATGTGACCAATCAAAAATCCGTGGGATCCACCGGAGAATCTGCCATCAGTCAGCAAAGCACAGTCTTTACCCAAACCGTAGCCCATAAGAGCGCTGGATGGCTTCAACATCTCGGGCATACCTGGACCACCCTTTGGACCTTCGTATCTGATCACAACAACGGTCTTCTCGCCCTTCTTGATCTCACCGTTTTCCAAGGCAGTGATGAATCCTTCCTCCTCGTCAAACACACGTGCGGTTCCCTTGAAGTAGGTTCCCTCCTTACCGGTGATCTTAGCAACGGCTCCACCTGGAGCCAGAGAACCGGTCAGAATTTGCAAATGTCCACTGGTCTTCAAAGGATTCGAGATGCTTCTCACGATATCCTGGCCGTCAGGCAATCCAGGCAAGTTCTTCAAGTTCTCAGCAACAGTCTTACCTGTACAGGTGATGAGATCACCTTCAATCATGCCTTCTTCCAGCAAGTACTTCATCACAGCTGGGGTTCCACCATATCTTTGTAGATCGGCCATCACGTACTTACCGGATGGTCTGAAGTCAGCAAGCAACGGCGTCTTGTCGGAGATGTCCTGGAAGTCCTGAATGGAGAGCTTGACTCCAGCAGAGTGTGCAATAGCAATCAGGTGCAAAACAGCGTTGGTAGAACCTCCAGTGGCAATGATATAGGTAATTGCATTTCTGAAAGCCTCGCGGGTCATGATATCTCTTGGCTTGATGTCCAGCTCCATGATGTTCTTGATCGCATAGCCGATATTGTCACATTCTGTCATCTTCTCTTTGGAAACAGCAGGATAAGACGACGAGTAAGGCAGCGAGATTCCCATAACCTCAGCAGCAGATGCCATGGTGTTGGCGGTGTACATACCACCACAAGATCCTGGGCCGGGACACGAGTGTCTAACAATATCCTCTCTCTGTTCTTCACTTATCTGCTTGGAAATGAACTGGCCATAACTCTGGAATGCAGTCACAACATCGATTGGTTCTGGGGCCCCTCCTCCGCAAGTCGACTGTCCTGCCATGATAGTACCACCATAGACCATAATGGAGGGTCTGTTATGTCTGGCAAAAGCCATCAACACACCAGGCATGTTCTTGTCACAAGAAGGAATACCGATGTTGGCATCATAATGTTGACCCATCATGATGGTCTCAAATGAGTCGGCAATGATCTCTCTACTCTGCAACGAGTATCTCATACCAGTTGTTCCCATCGAAATACCATCGGAAACACCGATGGTGTTGAATTGCATTGCCTTTAAACCGGCTTTGTTCACCGAGGCGCTACACCTATGATTCAAATCCAAAAGATGCATGTTGCACGGATTTCCGGTCCACCAAACGGACCCGACACCGACTTGGGCCTTGTTAAAGTCTTCTTCCTCGAAACCAGTAGCGTACAACATGGCCTGAGACGCACCTTGAGACTTGGGCTGGGTGATCAAAGACGAATATTTGTTCAGTTTCTTCTCGGCATTCTGAACAGAACATGATGCAAAGCACCTGCGCTGCTTTCCAATAGCTTTTAGCATGCTCATTTTGGTTGGAAACTCGGTGAGGTACTGTTGACAGCCTCCGCAACGGTGGTGAAAAATCTTGAAAATGAGTCTACACCTTTGCGGTACACGACTTTGCAAGCACACGACCGGCCAATCAGATACCCCGCGAATGCAATCAAGGACAAACGGTCCTACTGATACCGTTTGTTTTTACCTCTGGGTTGTATAATTTGAATATATATTAAACTGAAAAAAGGCAGCGGGCCCGAATGTGGCTGGTAAGTCGGAAAATTCGACTCTTGTCTTCAATGCTCATGAGTTGGTGTACTTGTGGCTCTCAGAGTATTTCGAGCAGTACTTCTGGGTGGCCTTAAGAACACACTCAGTAGCCTTTTTCGTCCTCTTGTAGGCATCTTCGTCGAGGAACACCTCGGCCACTGGAGTGGTCTGGTACATACCTAAAATGTAATCCAACACGCCCTTGAGATACACCACCTTCACGTTTGCATCTGCCTCTGTGACAGTCAAACCGAGGTAGTCAGTGTAGAAAGTTTCACCTCCGTGCTGGTATTGCCCAATGACCTCCCAGAATGACACACCATTAGGCGTCAGGACGGAGGCCCTTCCGGAGCAGGATGGACCAGTCAAATCCCACGACAGAACATCCATGTTCAGGTCGATTGAGTTGGACATCAGCTCCTTGCGGAACTTCCCGCCTTCTTCTACCAGCAGAAGCAAAGAGGGACGATAAAGCGTTTCTGCACAACCACACGCATCGACATGGGCTTTTGCAAAACCGATCCAAATGTTCTTTGGTCCATGAGATAAACCACTTGAGGAGAAAGTCTTGATCTGCAGTTCTGGTGGGATTGGGATCAAAGGAGTCCCGCCCCTCAAGTCACCCTCGACTTTCGCAGTTTCAGTGTTCTGTTGCTTGAACCTGCAGAGACCATAATCAAGAGAACACTTGATGACAGTCAGAGGATTCAGTTCATATATAAAGTAGATGGCACCCTTGGAATGGGCAGAGTCTTCCGTCTCTTTGTGGTAAAAAAATGGGGTCCAGTTCTTCTCCTTCTCCTTAGTGTCCTTTCCATCAATCGAAAACACCACGAGCTGGTTGTCGTCTTTGGTAGGTTTTCTCAGCGGGAAGAACGCATGGACAGCTCTCTTTCCTTTAGCCTTATTGGAAACCATGTTAAACACCACAATCGGCTCCTGGGAGTACTGCCCGTCCTTCCAGATGATCCTAGGGTCTTCAGGGCCTGCCAAGGCAACGTTCTCCTTATCGTATTCGAAAGGAATGTTCAAAGTGACAGGAAATTTCAGTGAATACTTGTCCTCATTGGCACCTTCTTCCTCGTCATCAAACTTGGACTCGAAATCTTCATCAGAGGCATCCACGTATTTGATTCTGTGACCTTTGACCTCCTTCCAGTACTTGTCAAACAGCTGGATCCTCACAAAACTTACCGTGGGAGAATCTCTGTAGCCAGAAGATGTATACACAATACGACTTGTGAGCATGTGAAGCTTTTCACTCTCAAGCCAGACAGAACCACCACTGAAGCGGAACCATCTCTTGGAGACAACTTCACCTTCTTCCATATCCTTCTCATCTGCAACGGTGACAATCTGTTTGTACTTAGATTTGAGCAATTCTCTCCTAACCAAAGCCAAGTCATCCTTGAGGTCAATTGGTTGAGAGGCAGAGATCATCCGGTTAGACTTAGGACCGGGTTTGTAGGAAATATCCTCACATTTAATCTGGTCGTAGTTCGAGATCGTCAACTCCGAGATGTCAAGATTACCCACAAAACTCTCCACAGTGATATTCTTGAACTCGGCCGAGGAGAATTTCTCGCTGATGGGGGTTCCGGTAATGTCCTTTGAGTTTAGATCGCCATAAGCGTAGACGCTCAACAGGTTCTTAAGCTTGGACTGTTTCAGGGCATCCGACCAGGAGTCTGAACTGGCTTCGAAAGAGGTAGAGATGAACAATGTGATTACCAACACTGTCATGATCACCGCCACCCGGAATTTTATCCGGGGGCTCAGGGTTGAAAATGTGGCCTTCAATCCCATGATTTGATGCTTGCTCTGATGGTTGTAATGCTTGCGCAGGGCGAGAATGGTGAAACTGGAGCGTTCAAGTTGCCCTTAGCGAAAAATCAAGACCAATCTTATGATTCAAACTTCAGTAGCTTCCTGAGTGGAAAAATCCCTTCAAAAGTGGCAAACTGGTCGATCTACTCTTGTTAGAGCGTATCTCAGGGCCTTATCAGAGCAAAATTCAGGTTCAAAAAGCAATCCAAAGCACGTTGTTACTCGAAGTTGCAACAAGCTAATCACAATATATGAATGCTTCGGCGTTTGAAACTGCGCTGGTTTAGGTTCAAACTAGTGGGTTTGGAAAGAAAGAGGGAGAGTTTGATGAAGAGGAGATCATGGGTCGGAGGAAGCTTTGCTTAGAGCCCTCTTCTTCGGAAAGTGGCTGGTGCGTCCATATCGACGCGACTAAACTACCAAAAAAGTCCTCTTCGCTCAAAACCGCAGATCCCACATTTTCTCTCACACTGCAAAAAACGGCTTATACCGTTGATTAATTGCAGCTCACATTCCAGTACGGGAGTTTATTCGATGTCACAACAGATTGGATGGATAGGATATGGCTGCAATTGCTAGTAGGTTTCGCCGGCCATTGCAGTCGACTACGTTTACATGCGAACAAATCCTTCGCTGAAACCAAGCTTTGCAGGGTCTCAGCTAGTTGAAAACGGCTTTTCGTCACGCGACTACGTTCCCTTTTCCAACGTTAACTTTTCAGTGCTGCACCGAGTTAGCGCGTGTGCACGCATGTGGCTAGAGAGGTGTGGCGCGGGAGTCTTTGGACCCTGTTCGTACATGCAAATCATTGTAAATCCTCAATTTTTGGGACAAATTTGTTAGACCCAATGGGAATAAAATTAGACAAACATCTAGCGCTTAACATGGTTTATCTAGCGCAAGCTTAAAAAATTCATCTTTCAAAAGAATTAATGACAAGGTATCATCCTTCAACTTTCCAGTCTAGCTTTGGACGAAGCGATCATCACCCGGAATTTGGTCCTGGGGCACGAAATATTCTTTACGGATCGTTTGAGATGGGGGGGGGGGGCCATCAAAAATTCCAAATTGGGCGAGGCACGCAATCGCTTGAGTTTTGTTCCCACACGATTATTGTAACGCGTCGCGACACGACCTCTGTTGCAAAACAAACAAACAAGACAAGCCAAAAACAGCTTTGCGGTGGCGATTTGTCTTTGTTGTTTTAGGTAACTATTATTGTCTAGAAACTCCTTCTTTGCTATAAAATGGGAAGACTACCAAATAGACCAACCAGCGAACTTGGAACCGGGGCTGGGCTTCCGGAGCATCTTCGACCCAAGCCTGTGGCTGACCCGATGGGAATCCTTTCGAAGCCCTTCAAAGTGCCTATAAAGGCTTTCGGGACTGACGGGGCTCGCAAGTCAGAGCGCAAGAGGCCGCGGGTATCATATGCACTAATGGATATTGATTCCAACAGTTTAAACGACGATATGGTGGACGAAGATGGTAACATCAGCCGCAAGGTGAAAGGTGCCACGCTTTCTAGACGGTTCATAGGGTCCGCAGACAACACAGCTGCGATACTAACTAAGCGTTTCATCCTCCCACGTTCTTCGGGCAAAGAGAATGATGTCTTCATGAGGCCGCCACCGCCAGCTTTGGGGACTAGGCGGACCCCAACAGTCGCACCGAGACCTCTTCATGATCCAATGAGCGAATTGGCAATTGTTCTGTATGATCCCACCGTGGACAAGATACCAGAGATCGAGCTCTTAAAGGAGGAAGAGTCAGAAAAGGTTAAAGAAGAGGAAAAACCTGCAGAGCCCGAAGTTGTGGAAACGGCACCAAAGCGGAAAGTGCACAAGTCGCTTAACGAGATCTTGGGCATCTCACACGATTACTCCGTAAGTAAGAAGTACCCCAATGTGGCTGTTGTGATTGACCCAAAACTGGCCAAGATTTTGAGACCTCACCAAATTTTGGGAGTCAAATTCTTGTATCAGTGCACCTCTGGGATGATAGACGCTCGCGCTAAAGGGTGTATCATGGCCGATGAAATGGGATTAGGTAAAACGTTACAGTGTGTCGCTTTGATGTGGACTTTGTTGAAACAGGGTCCATTGGGAAAGAAGACAATTGATAAGAGTATCATTGTTTGCCCTTCATCCCTTGTTAAGAATTGGGCGAACGAGTTTGACAAGTGGCTTGGCAAGGGAACATTGACTCCGTTGGCGATTGATGGTAAATCCACAAAGGGAACTGATGTGGCCACCTCAATACGGCAATGGGCTCTGGCCGCAGGAAGGAATATTGTGAGACCTGTGCTGATCATCAGTTACGAGACTCTTAGGCGTAACGTGGACAATTTGATGAACACGGAGATTGGTCTCATCGTTGCCGATGAAGGTCATAGACTGAAGAATGGTGAATCGCAGACATTCACTGCGCTTAGTGCCCTCAACTGTGTCAGAAGAGTGATCTTGTCGGGTACTCCAATCCAGAACGATCTATCAGAGTACTTCTCTCTGTTGAATTTTGCAAATCCCGGCCTTCTGGGGACAAAACTTGATTTCAGAAAGACCTATGAGCTCCCCATTCTTCGAGGTCGTGACTCGCTAGCTGATGAAAATGAGCGCAAAAAGGGTGATGAAAAGCTGCTTGAATTGACACAGGTCGTCTCCAGATTCATCATCAGAAGAACAAACGACATTCTTTCCAAGTACTTACCCGTCAAGTATGAATACGTCATCTTCTGCAAGATGGCTCCAATGCAGGAGAGGTTATACAACCACTTTATCACTTCCCCTGACATCAAGAAGCTTTTGAGGGGTGTTGGATCTCAGCCTTTGAAGGCAATCGGTCTTTTAAAGAAGCTGTGTAACCATCCCGATCTTTTGAACTTGCCAGAAGATATTGATGGTTGCGAAGACCTCATTCCAGAGGACTATACCAAGACGTCTGGTCGTAACAGAGAAGTGCAGACATGGCATAGTGGAAAGATGGAGATTCTCCAGAGGTTTTTGTATCAGATCAACCGCACCACTGATGACAAGATTGTACTGATCTCGAACTATACTCAGACTCTTGATTTGATAGAGAAAATGTGCAGACAGGCGAGATACGGATGTCTTCGCCTGGACGGAACGATGAACATCTCGAAGAGGCAGAAGCTGGTCGATAGATTCAACGACCCAGAAGGAAAGGAGTTTGTGTTTTTGCTAAGTTCTAAAGCAGGTGGGTGCGGAATCAACTTGATTGGTGCAAACAGACTGGTATTGATCGACCCAGACTGGAACCCAGCATCTGATCAACAGGCACTGGCGCGTGTCTGGAGGGACGGACAGAAGAAGAATTGTTTCATCTATAGGTTCATCACCACGGGAACTATCGAGGAAAAGATATTGCAGAGGCAGTCTGCCAAATTACAGCTTTCTTCATGTGTGGTTGACTCCAACGAAGACGTGGAAAGATTGTTTTCTGGAGAAACCTTGAAGAAACTCTTCTTGTACCAGAAGAACACTGCTTCTGATACGCACGATACGTACAACTGCAAAAGATGTGGAAAAGACGGTAGGCAACATATCAAATCATCAGCGATGCTGTATGGAGATCCTACGACCTGGAACCATATTCATCCCGAGAAACTTTCAGAGAATGAGGATGTGTTGTTGGCAAACGAGTCTAATTTTGACAACATCAGTTATTGTTTCCAGTACATATCGCATTGAAGGTTGTCATAATACAAAATCTCTTACTAAGTCGCACTCGCAGCTGGTTTCTTCGACTCCAATGTTTCCAGAACATAGCACTGGCTTCAGAATCACTTCAGCCTCATCTAAAATCTCAATCAACGGTTTATCCATGCAGGATCCCAGAACAAACGCTCATGCTCGTCCTGATCGTCTATCCACAAAATTCCATTGGAAACCATATCATCCACTACACTTTTGGCCCTGTAGCTCTTCCATCCGAAATTGTCTCTCAACAATCCAATAGACACAAATCCCATTAATCCACACACTTCAATAACTTTGACCTCGTCCGTATTCAAACTCTGTGGGATTGTCTTCAGATACTCCTTCTTGCCTATAGTGACAATCTGTATTTCATCACCAAGCTGTTTTAGATACTCCACACTTTTCATCGCATCTTCTCTCGAAAACTTACCGAAAACAGGATCAGCATCCGCATTAAGCACTTTCGTAAGCTCCGAAACAGAAAGCAACCCGCCATTGATATCTTTTGTCTCCTGGCATATCTGGAAAATTCGCACTCCCAGTCCATAATAGAATGTGTCGTTCTTGGAAGCGCCCTTTCGGCTTTCCTCGTCTCCCTTGAGAACCCTCAAAGAGTCCACGTTAAAAGAGCGACAAACGTTGCTGAATTCTATGCGAAACTTTGCATTGCTGCTGATTTCCTCACGATGCTGTTTAGCAAAGGAAATGAGTGCATTTTGAAAGACCTGGATTTGCGTCTCCAACTGATTAGCCTGTGATTGTAGAAACGACTGTCCCAAATCCTGGAACTGTTTCTGTTCTTGCGAAATATTATTAAACGAGTTCAGTCCCAGTTTCTTCATTCCCATAGATTAATAACGGCAACCTTTGTTAACCGCCCAAAGCACGATTCTGGTTGGCTGTTTGAGCGTTCAATCCCACTTTCGGCGGCTGAGCTCTGCGCCACACGCGATGAGTAAAGGACACTGCCATTTTCATCCACCCGTCCAACTAACGCGCTTTTGCCAGTTTCTCTACAATACTCAAAATGGCGTTCAGTGGATTATCATCACAGACTCTCAACTATGCCAGGATTTGCTTCCTATTGTCATGCGCTTTCTTCGTGCTGAAGGACCCTACCGCCGTGTGTCGCTACTCTATGCTTGTTCTTCTAGCTGGATCGTTCAAACTGGTATGCATCTCATTTTCGCATTTTCCCGCACTGACTTTTACTAATATCTTACTCACTAGCCCCTCGTCAACTTGGAGCCCCAAGACCCTCGAAATGGTGTTATTTCCCTGTTTTTGCTGATGCTGGCTGTCTCGGATCTGGTGCCTCTTCTGGAGTCAAATGTGCAGTACTTTGAATCGGTGGTTCCCACGCGTGTGCTCATTCTGTTCACTCTAGCTGGTTTCTGCTATTTTTCGAGTTCTATCTATGTTGCTAATAGTCTTGTATTTGGCTATGTTTTCATGGAAATTTGGTTTTCATTGATGATATTCAGTTCTCTTCGCGATGAAAAGTTTCAGAGGATGAAGAAGTTGTCTGAGAAAATTCAGACTGCCGAGGAGGAAGATGACGATGAATATCAGAGGATTGTCCATGATGTTCATGAAAGATCCGAACAGAGTGGATTATAACTTATGAAAGGGAAATATCGGGAAACCAAAGGGCTAAGGCCTTGTACTTATACTTTTCAAATTGCATATTAAGCGGCCAGCTATGCTATTGTTACAGCTCTCGCTATCTCAATGAACTTTAATAGGTTCTCCACTAACTTGAATATTTCACCACTTTACTTCTTACCCAACTGAGCCGCAATGACTGCAGCTTCTTCAACACCTCTGGCGATGGCACTTCTGAGACCTTTGTCCTCCATAACCATCAGACCTCCAATAGTGGTTCCACCTGGCGTGCAAACAGCAGACTTGAGAACCGCTGGATGGTCGCCCGTCTCTATAACCATACGGGCTGTTCCCTCCATAACTTTGGCAGCACACTCCTTAGCCGCAGCATACGGAATCCCCATTCTCACTCCACCGTCGATTAGAGACTCCATCATCAGTAAACAAAAAGCCGGTCCAGAACCCACCAGTGACGTTGCCGCGTCCATGTTTTTTTCTGGAAGAAAAATGGCTTTCCCCACAGGGTTGATCAGCTTTTCGATTAGCTCACGATCTGGTTCTGCACCTTCATTCAACGATATAACAGCCATTCCGTAACCAAACTTTGCTGGAGTATTTGTCATCACTCTGGCTACTCTAGTAGAGTACTTTTGCAGCTGGTCAATCGTCCACCCGGCCGCAAGTGAGATAAGAAGCTTTCCCTCAATCGAGGTCTTGACCGACTCCAGGATTTTCTCGCACATGAATGGCTTGCATCCAAGGATGACCACATCCGACTGACTAACAGCCTTATCGTTATTTCCACCAAAAGAGGTATCCACGTTGGGAAATGCATGTTTAACTCTGATGGCAGATTCCTCAGACCCAGTGCAGCAGATGAAACCTTTTGGGTATGGAGTAAACTCGGACTTAAGTATGGCTGACAGCACAGCAGTGCCCATAACACCGGCTCCGAGGATGCACACGGTGTATTCGCGATCTTGAAAACTATTCATCTTTTTTCGATGGCAAGTGAAGTTGGTGATTGTTCGGCAATTGGCATGAGGGCAGAAGTAGTCCAATTCTCGTCAAAAGGAGTAGTGTATTCTCCAAACATGGACTCCGGTGGACTGCAGAATTATTGCCCTCTGGAAACCAATATAAGACTTGGCTGATACCGACTCAATTTGAACAGCCTTAAGTTCTCGGGATATTCAGCTTTATTTCCATTTTTGATAAATTTGGTGCTGATGGCGCCTCCTAAGACTACTAGGCTTAGGAAGTGTACCAACCAATATATTACCACACCATCCTGGGGCCTGATTTGGCTTTTAATGAGCGTCGAAAGGACTGGCTAGAGCTGATTTTTGGATATGTGACAGTTTCAGAGAGAATTTTGGTAGCCAAATCTGAAGCAAGAGTTGTATGTTTAGTTGTAATTGTTTTGCTCTTTAGCTTAGCCGTTATACTTATTATGCATGCCGTCTACAGAGATTCAATGACAATGATGTATCAAAGTTTTCATTAAGTGTGGTTTTTTCTCGTGAATGTCATCTATCTGGCAACAGGTTTCTTGGAATATTGCACCCTAGAGCTGTCCACCTTGGCCCGTGTAGTACCGGGCGGAGCTAAATTGCTGGTTCCCTGAGTTGGATCTACTCCTGCCAACGGCAAATCCTCGAGATAAACCGTGTTATCAGCCATGGACAAATTCAGCAAGTTATTGAAGGTAGTGGCTGAGGTGGCTGTAGATGATGTGGACCCCACCATTTGCGAAACCGTTGCGTTACCTGTGAACCCTGCATTGGAGCCTGCCACAGACCCTGAGCTCACCATTGGTGTTGAAGAAATAGTGACCGTTTTGGAAGGTAACAGCGATGGGTGTCCGACTGCAGATGCACCTTCGGCTATGTTCACATTGTAATTGTGGCCCTCCGAAGGCGAAAACTTCGGTAGTGTTTGGAGAATATTGAGCGAGTTTCGCAAAGACAGTACTGTACTAAGCAATCGCGACGAAATGATGGAACTCACAGCAGGCGACATGTAAACACTGGAGCCAATAATATAATAGTCCGCGAGCGGCTGCGTCTCTGTGGGGCTAGTGCGGTTTTGTTTCCGAATGATCCAAAAGTCCGGCTCTCGGACGGAGGCAACCACAAACTCCACTCCTTTCATCTTTTTCAGCTCCTGGGCTATATTCTCAGGCGACATGTTCTGGAGTTGTTCGTTGAACTGAGACTGCATCTTCAGCACCTGGTTGTTGGCGGTCCTATCGAAGAACGGCGACTGAGAGAAATACTCTAGCACATTATCGGTCCTTAACCCAAAGGCATTGATCCACTCCGGCGACTTCCATTGGAGTTCATCTAGTGGCGAATTGGCGTCCATGGTGGGTGGTCTGGGGAATGAGAAGTGTGAGCTTGAATACATGTGGTCTTGGTAAGTGTAACCAAAAGTCGTGCACAAACAGATTAAGTGCATCAACCAAGGACCCGGAGCTCAAATGGCAGACACATCGAAGGCCTCGACAAAATTTGGAGACTCGAGTACGGAAGTTGACTTCGTGACAAACCGTTAATCTCTTAGCATTATTCCATTTCTCCATGAGTATCATATTTCAGACGCTGAAAACGGTGCAGAGGTCACAAATAGGCCAGTTGGCCATCCCTCTGAGACAGTACTCGCAGATGGTCACGTTCTCTAAGGGCCAAACACCTCCACCAACAGATACAGTTCCTGATGTGGCTACGTTTCTCGAGAAAATAGGTCGCGATGCGCAGGAGCACACAGATGCATTTGAAAATGACTGGGAAACCTTTTGGAAGCTCGGTTCCGCCGGTATGAAAGAAAAGGGCATCGATGTTGCTGCCAGGAAGTACATCCTCGATTGGCAGGAAAGATATAGAAAGGGTACAGAGCTTTACCATATCAAGCAAGGAAAGAAGAAATTTGATGGAAAGGGTGAGAGATATTTTAAGGTGTATCGTGCATTAAAACGTCGTGAGGCAAGAATTGCCGAGAAGGAGCTTAGAGAAAGGTGGAAGTCCGAACATCCTGCCAACTGAAAAGCGGTTTCATGAATCTTGTTTATAGTTACATTATATGTCGATCGAAATGGTTGAACTCGGCTGAAAGCATCTGCTGTAGTTCGTCAAAATTGGAAGTGAGCCTGTAGGACAAAAACCCAAATTACTCCAAATTAAAGAGCTTAGCTAGTGCTCATTTATTTCATGATGCTGTCAGCTTCAAATTCCTATTCTATTTCTTATCCATGAACTTGGCCAACTCCTCCTTGAGCCATTCCGCCTCTTTCTCCATGACTTCCATAGAGCGTGGTTTGCGAGTTCCGTCATCCTCAACTTCCAATTTCTTCGCCTTTTTGAATGTTCCACCTAGACCGTTCTCATTCTCTTCAAGCATACCGTAGATATTGTCACCATAACCATCTACAAAGTACCGTGGAATAATATGCGTGTGCACGTGAGGAACAGATTGACCCGCAGCAGCACCATCTTGCATCGAAATGTTGAGGGAGTCAGCCTTGTAGACCTTTTCTATGAATCTGTGGATCAGTTGAATCGTCTGAATGTAGTCCAGGGATTCCTCATCCGTGAGGTCTTTGAGCCTTGGAACCACGCGTAAGGGAACAACCAGCACCTGAACTGACATTAGTAATCGAAGGAAGCACAACAGAGTAAGTCGAATCCGAAGGATCAGTGGTCACATTTTAACTCTCAACTCCACCTTGAAGAGGTAACCTTCAATGTTTGAACATCAAGGGAACGCCTTCGAGTGTGCCTCACCATTTATTGCTCCGATATTCACCTCCTTCTTCCAAACCCCAAACTTGAATTTCGGTTTATACTCACATGGCCGGGTACAATCGGCTTCAAGTTCACCACGGCATACGTAAACTTGGTACGCTGAAAAGTTAGTGAATATTCCAGACCGGCTCCCTTCCAAACCCCAGAATTAACTCACATAAAACACCTGAGATGTCACCGAGAATGTGGAAAATAAAATCCGAGAAGCCATGACTGGATTCTAGGAATTAAAGTCTGCAGCCGATTCCTACTAACACAGATGCATTACGCATGTCCCATTCCTGACAGCTAAGATGGTCAGTAGCCCTGCCCATCGGTCTTTGGGAATGTTAGCTCCGCATAATAGAGAGCTCACGACGCCACTCTCTTCAAGGCGGTCTTCTCTTCAGCCGTGCTTGACGTCTCTGCTTTCAACAAACATCAAAGACCAAACAACAGCAGGAAATGACCGACGTTGGTGCTAGAGTGGCCAAGACTCGCAACCGTGTGCCAATTTCGTGCAGCGTTTGCCGGAGACGCAAGATGAAGTGCGACAAGGCCAAACCACACTGTGGTGGTTGTATCAGAAACCAGACTGAAGCCCAGTGCAAATATAACGACCAACCCTGGACATATCTTTCGAATAAAATGCAGCTTTCCAATGAAGTGATTCGGCTCAAAATGAAGATCAACAAGTTGGAAAAAGTCATTGCTGCCAACAATCTGAGTGTTGATGACAGTCTGGAAAACGACAACTTCACACCTATATCTTCGGATGGATCATCACCCGAAGTTGACCCTGCCATAGAGCTCTCTGAGAAATTCGACACATTAGTCATTAAGGAAAACAAAGTGATGCATTTTGGGTCCACCAGTTTCATGGCGATCTCCAGCAGCGACACCGCTTTGGCACAGATTTTCAGTAAATACGGCCAGAAACATTTGGAAAGGTACCAGGACTACCTGAGACTTACCCAAAGACTCTATTTACCAGGTGAAAATACCAGCCAGAGTTTGCAAGAGGAAAGACGGCTGGTGTACGATGACGTCGACTTTTGCCTTGAACGTGTGACCGACCCTTCTGCCATTATTCCCCAACAAAATGGTAGCGCCAGCAAAGTTGAGGAGTATCTTACCTCTCTAAATCAGATATTGCCTCAATTATCATCAATGAATGCTCTTGTGGACCATTTTTTCCGCAAGGCTTATCTCATGTTTCCCTTTCTGGACGAACATACCTTCAAAAAGGATGTCAGTCTGGTGCTTTTCGAAGGTAGCGATGGCCGTGGCTTTCTACGGGTGGTACATATGTGCAATTTGTGCACAGTTCCGCTTCTGTTATTGGTTTTGAGAATCAGCTATATGTCCTTGAGCGTTTCTGATTACGATATGCAGACTTCCTCGGTTCAGGACGTACGTCTTGCACGGATGGTTCGGTCGGGATTGGCGATCGGCCCCGAGTTTGTGGAATTTGCCAAACACTGCGTTTTAATCACTCCTAGCGATGACAACGTGATGAGGAAGATCACTTTGAAGAACATCCAAGTTTTGTTGTATTTACGTTTGTATCGATTGCATTCTCCAGAGGACATTGACGAGAGTTTCGATTCCACTATTATCCTTTCCATGTTAATCCAGATGGTCCGAATGCATGGATTGTATCGTGATCCATCGAATTTCACCACAATCTTGCAAGACGAAAGGATGCATGTCATTTGGAGAAGAATCTTTTACAAAATTCTCAGTCTTGATGCTGCGCAATCCCTTCACTTTGGATGTCCTTTGAGCTTTGAGGAGGAGAACTGGGACACCAAGCTCCCCGAACTCTCGAAGGATGAACAAGATGTTTACGAAGCTTATGTTACCGGTGCTCAGGTTTCGTCCACCCCCAAACTCAGAGCCGTCATAATGGATCACCAGGTGAACAAAGACATAGCCCTTGAGTGGGAAGCAGCGAAGTTGATGAGGAGGTCTCTCAAGATCACGCTTTCCATTCGCAGGGCGCCGAAGAAGTCTCAATTGACAAATTGTATTCGGGAAATAGAATTTTTCCTTGAAAAGAAGTTGCCTTCATTTGCAGAAATGCTTGATGGAAAGGGGTTTGCGCCAAATCCAGGACGGTATGCACGTGAGATACCTTCCAACATGATTGCATTCTTTGTGCGATTAAACCTTTCTGTACTTGTCTATCTCTTGACTTATCTGCTGTACATATCATATGAAAGTGATAAAGAGGTACAGGAAGAATATGCGATTAAGACACTGGAAAAGTCCCTGATCATATTCAAAGTTGCAATCGCCTTCATGGAGTACGTCAACACCGATGAACTTTCTTGTATCGATATTGACAAGTTTGATCTACAAAAGGCGTTCTATAGCGGTTTTGAGAAATTCTTGTCTTCGACGATATTGATATCAGGACTGAGAGCACTTCAGTTCGTTTTCTCTGTCAACCTCCGTTTCCAAGACAAGTGTTTCTGTTACGACAATCTGGTGCGCAACTTTGGCAACAGTGCCGATACTCTGAGTGTTTTGACTTGGTTCAACCAGGAAATATTAGATGTCGACACCAACAACACCGTTGATGACAACTTCAACCTGTTGCTATTCCACTATCTGAAACTTTTTTACTCACTGTGTCGCACTATGCAAGAGTCGCTGACGCACTGTTGGAGAATCTGCATGATTTTCAAGTTGTTTTTCAACCATTTAAAGAAGAATTACCCCGAAAAGTTTAACGAGATGAACCGCCGCTACGATATTGTTCACATGAAGTACAAGTCGATTCACTCGACATCATCGCCGGAAACTTTCAAGAAAGCTTCACCCTCAAGCGGATACAAAATGGAGCCAACAGAAGTTCCTCCTACTGACGGACCGAAGACATCGAGTTCTGGATCACTCGAATATGAGGTGTTCCAAACAGATGATATTGGAGACGTCGGCTTCAACGCTGATGACGACGAATTTTTTAAGCAGCTATTCAGTGAGGCGGATCTGTTCAATCAAAATGGATATGGGTATTTTGACTTTACGGCCCTGGATCAGCAGAAGACAAAACGAGTCAAAAGAGACGTCGGCCCTGCGGTGGCTATCGATCCTTCTCTCCGAGATTCTGGATTACTCTCGAGACAGGAGAATGCTTCGGAGAATACTGTGGAAAATACTATCAACCCATTCGAGACTGTTCCTGGGGGAACACCAAGCCAGCCTTCCGATCTTTCGATTTTTGGAATGGATGGTATGTTGAGGGGTGTCTTTTCACCAGAGTCTGTCATTCGTCCCACTCCCGCGGACTCATCAGAGAGCAATGGGCGGCCATCTGCCTCGACTATGACTTCAACCTCGACTTCCAATTATTCCCCCGAGAATCCAACCGGGACCACGTTCGTGACTGAGACCGAACTCAAGGACGCCAACGACGTGCAAATTCAGTCGCCCTCTGATGGTTTTCAATTCTCCTTCATGGGATCGTATACTTGAACGTACTAATTGTGCTTTCAAATAATTGTTATTATATTTAATTGAAATTTAACTGATGTTTAACCGATGCTTTACTGAGTGCTGTGTGTAAAGTAATGGCAGAGACAGTGTCATCAACTCAGCTACTAATCAGGGCTACATTGTCTTGACTAGTGACCACTCGATCCCAGGTCTTTGTGTCTAGCAATTGCACACTCTCCATCGAGCAATGGCAGCATTTTCGCCTCTGACAGATCCGTCAATTGGACCTTCTTTGAGGAGTCGTGGCCCTTTTGCTGACCCGGATTATACCCCAGAGTTCGGCAGTGATTCGATCTCAGAGTCCAAGATCCTCGTGATTGGGGCAGGAGGACTAGGGTGTGAGATTCTAAAGAATCTGGTGCTGAGTGGCTTTAGAGACATACACGTTATTGATATGGATACGATAGATGTTTCCAATCTGAACAGACAATTTCTGTTTCGAAAAGAAGACGTGGGGCGTTCCAAAGCAATAGCGGCGTCTGAGTTCGTGATGAGACGCATTCGGCGTGGCGTGCGCATAACGCCTTATTTCGGCAAAATCCAGGATAAGCCCAAGGAATATTATCGTGGATTTACGCTTGTGATTTGTGGATTGGACAGTGTTGAAGCACGAAGATGGATAAATGCCACTTTGGTTGATCTCGCCGCAGAAGGTGATATCGTCCCAATGGTGGATGGAGGCACCGAAGGGTTCCGAGGCCAAACAAGGGTGATAATACCAACTATTAGCTCCTGCTACGAGTGTTCGCTAGACCTTTTGCCTACCAAGAGGACTTTTCCTGTTTGCACGATCGCCAATACACCACGACTACCCGAGCACTGTATAGAGTGGGCTCATCAACTCTTATGGCCAAAAAACTTCCCCCAGCGCAAGTTTGATGCGGATTTGGAGCAGCATGTTGACTGGATTTACGATCAGGCGCTTTTCAGGGCAAATGAGTTTGGAATTGAAGGCGTAACCAGGAGTTTGACGTTGGGAGTCGTGAAAAACATCGTTCCCGCGATAGCTTCCACGAACGCCATTATAGCGGCTTCTTGCTGTAACGAAGCCTTCAAGTTTGTGACCAGCTGTAATCCAGTTCTGGACAACTACATGATGTATTCTGGTGACCAATCGGTGTACTCCTATTCGTTCTGTCTGGAGAAGAAACCCGATTGCCCAGTATGCGGCAGTCTGGCCCAGGATTTGACAGTACCTAGATTCTTCACATTGCAAGAGCTACTAGACTTGGTGGCGGAAAAACCAAAGTTTCAGCTTAAAGCCCCTTCTGTGGCTACATCGGACAGAAACCTTTACCTGAGGTTCCCCGAGCAACTGGAGACGTTGACTCGACCGAACTTGGAACTGAAGCTGATCGACCTCATTTCGGAGTCTGAGGAGCTTCTTATCACTGACAGGAGTTTGCCATTGTCGCTGAAACTACGAGTCAGGTTTACCGGGGATAGTGAGAGACCCAAAGATTCTGGAAATCTTTCATTGATAAGGTGACGGTGGTTTTGAGCCCTGGTCAAGACTGTGCAACCAGATTAATACCTAAATGGGATCATACGATAAGGGGTTTCGACGGAAAATTCGAGATTAAAATTTATCTAGCCAACTCCAACCAATGGACGTTTTCCCAGCGAATGCACGATAATCACACTCAATTGGCCAATTGGGACCAAATTAGACCAATTCATGTAAAATAGAGCTCCTTTTTTAATTATTTTCACGATTTGTGGACAGCCTACGTTGACCTCAACCAGGCGAAAAGGATTTTTTCATCTTAGGCTTCTATTCTTCTGAAAAATTCTTTATCCAATTGGAGCAGTTGGAGTTTGAGGCCAACGTTTTGGCCCTACAGTAGAATCCATGAGATTTTGAAATATAGTACCTATTCTCTATACAAGCGTTCTATTAAGAGTCCATCAAGGATCCTTGTTCTAGAAGAAACCTAGTGCGACCTAGTTAGCCTTGGAGAAGTACTCCTTGGAGGCATCAACCTCTGGCTTGATGGTGGCAGCACCTGGAGTCCAGTTGGCTGGGCAAACCTCACCGTGTTCCTCGGTGAATTGGAAGGCCTCCAAGAGTCTGAAAGACTCGTCGACGGATCTACCGACAGGCAAGTCGTTGATGGTGATCTGTCTCAAAGTTCCAGATGGGTCGATGAGGAAGATTCCTCTAAGATCAACACCCTCTTCTGGGATCAAGACACCGTAGGCCTTGGACAAAGAGTGGTTCTTGTCGGCGATCAATGGGATCTTGACTGGGCCCAATCCACCCTCAGCACGAGCGGTGTTGGTCCAGGCGAGCAAGGTGTACTCAGAGTCGGTCGAGGCAAAGAGAATCTCACAGTCGGCAGCAGCGAACTTGGCAGCGGCCTCGGAGTAAGCAATGATCTCGGTTGGGCACACGAAGGTGAACGCCATTGGGATGAAAGCGAGCAGGACCCACTTACCCTTGTATTGTTCGAGAGAGACCTCCTCGAAGACACCGTCGACGACGGCAGTTGCAGTGAAGCCTGGAGCTGGTTTTTGAACGATTGGAGCCATTTTTGATAATAATTGATTCGAAATTGATAGCGATATTGGAAAAGACTGGAGTGAAAAATTAAGGGGGGAGGAATCGGGTTACTTATATAATGCGTGGATGGCTCGAAATCGCGCGTCCGGATCGGGGAAACTGACTAATTTGTAATGGTTCTGGATTCGAGATGGCGCACGTGAGAATTGGCTTTGGAAGGCAAGGGACAGAGGTGAATATTCGAGGTCGGCGTTATCGAATTTCGGAAGGAAATTGCGAGTACGTTTCTGAAAGTACCAGCTAATTTTTGGTGCTGAAAAATTACGACTTTGATAAATTTGTAATCGTCCGTATTGGCCCAGACTCCCGATGCTGACTAGTAGATTAAGGTTTCGGTGATTGAGCCTTGCGCATCGGCCATTAACGCTGGGCTACCGGAAGTATGGAATAGAACTAGAAATTTCTAGTTTAAAACTTCAGCATTTGTGGCTTATTTGACCATTATATTTATGATTTTACATCAATTGCCACATTTATCGCAGATCAGCATCGGTTTGTTCATACTATCATATCGTTATCGTCAGAACCCTTCATGCGGCGTAATATCAGCCCCGGCACGTCTCATGAGGACCTGCACGTCTGGCAATAAGGATAAGGGAACCAGGCACACAAGCTGAGCCGTTTTGACCACAACTCGCAATAGAATTGGCATATCAAATTCTCGGATACATAGACGGGCAGCTGCTACAGAGCAAGTATCCCAGGCATGAGCAATCCCATCTCTAAAGGCTGTGATTACCCCCACCGTGAACACAGCCATCCGCTGTGGCAACACTGTATTTGCAAATTGCAGCCATTGTTCGCCAAGTGACTGGTTGAAAAACGGCATCAATGGTATCAGAAGGGCTATGAATACCTTGATTTGCTCCACAGGCCACTGCACCAGTAACATGACTACCACCCACCTCCACGTATGCGTCAGAATAGACTCTAACAATGCCAGTGATTGTCTCCAAACCGCGCTTACGTATTGCACGAAGTCACCCCTATATGGGATACTCATCACCTGTCTGTAGTAATCACTACGTTGCTGTACCCACTGTCTAAACTGCTGCGGATTTTGACTCCATAGCCTGTACAAGTGAATCGTCTGATGAATGAGCCTGACAGGATTGCACAAAAGCAACAGTAGCTGAACCACTTCAGCCGTCACTTGTACCTCTGAAAGAAATCCGACCCCAATTATGGCACCAGAGATCACTTGCTGGAGTTTGGTGAAGCCCATGAACCACCCAACAATTTGCACCATAACCAAGTTCGAAATTACATATACGAGACTTGGCCACAACTGATGAATATCTTCAACAACGACATCATCATCATCAACATGAAGCTGAGTAGCACCAACGTCGCTATTCTCGGCTTGATCAAGTATACCCATCTGTGTAATTCCTCTCCATTGATCAAATTTTTCGGCCTCGCTCTGATGAAGCAATAAATACGGCTTCGGACCGTCAATAAAAATGACATGCGAGTGATCCACTGTGGTATGCTCGTTGTTGAATGAAAACTCAAAATCGTGTGTGATGTCTGTCATGCCATTGAAAGGCTTCGGAGGCTTCTTGAAAATCAGTGTATCATTCCTGATTACATGCACCAAACAATCCGAGAGTTTGGAGTCGAATGCGAGAAAATGCCCGTCTTGAACGAACAAGTAGTCATTGCCTTGCACCGATTGCAGTATGTTTAACGCCGCTATCCGCACCAGGAGCGCTGCGAAGTTGGGACACTCACCCAGATCAACTGGCAAATGGAGCTCAAGTGATGTTTGACCGATCTCATGTTTAACACGAGAAAAGTCCACCAGAATCCGGTTTTTGTGCATTTGGAAACAGATTATAGAAAGAAGATAGGTGTACAGAACTTAAGACCAGGTGCACTCATCTCTAGGCTGAGATAGCTCGGTGTTTCGGGACTAGATCCCACTTCTAAGGGTTTTTATACCTTTAGGCATAGTTGGGTTTAGCACTACCATTACCCGGCCACCACAAGGAGGCCTCGAGAATCTGGCCATTGCAGTGAAAAGTTGAACCTGACTACTTGTTCCTATCCATCACCCTTTGTGTCCCCCAGAGCTGTAAACGCTCGTCCCATTGCCTTTGAATTTACGCGTATCCGTTATATACCACGCCTCTTTATTACCGACCAGTTTAGAGCAGGAAGATCGAATCTAGTGTGGCCACCAAGAGCATATCGCGCACACATCTCTAACAAATGCTGCAGAGTGTGAATCCCGCTCTGATACGGAGACCCGTATCGGCATGTCGGCAGAGAAACTTTGGTTCGTTTATCAGAAGTGTTCTCTGTCTTGATCCTCCGCCATCACCGAACGACCCTACACCTGAGAATAGGTTTCACCCATGGGACTCATCACCGGCCTCTGATTTGCGCACAAGAGCTGCGTTTATCCGTACCAAAGCTTTGTGTCCCGTAACCAACAAGGAGATCAACTACACTTGTCCCTATTCGGGAATCCCAACCCATCATTCTAGAGAAGCTTGGGAACAGGACACGGAGTATCATGCGACCAAGCGATACGAGCTTTTGAAGCTCGTGAATATCTACGAGCATGACCTCAGAAGTGGACGAGAGTTTCCGGAGTTTGATTTTCCCGAGGCGCAATATCGTGAGAGTCTGGTGAATTTAGCAAACTGGGACACGTTTTTCTACACAAGACAATTTGTTTCCATGGACTCAGACTTCCAGTTGGCTGCGGTCACCAAGATGCTCAGTTACCCCATGACGATTGCCGCTTTGTTGCATCAACATTCGCCCTACTTTATGAAGCCAAAAGGCCCAATCACCTTGGAAGGGCTGAAGTCGCTGGCGGCATTGCGGTATACGCTGTATCCCGAGGCCAGGGTCTCCAGTATGAAGGATAGGCCCATCAGACTTTTCATGCTTGGGGCCAGAGCCGAGTCGCAATTGCCCGGTCATGTTTGGAAACAATTATCCTACCTATTTCCTAACCTGACGTTCGAGCTTCATTTTATTGGGCCCGAGGCTCTTTTGGATCGTGAACGTGGCCAATACGCCTATTCTGAAAGACCCGTGATCCAAAGACTTGATGATAGTATGGTGTTTGTGCACCACACTGAGTACTTCCACACACTCCATGAGGCCCAGGACTTTTTTCCTTACGATCCATATCTCGATGTGTTTTTCCTGTTTCACCCAGGCCTTTCTTCCCCTCAAACTACTGACCTTTGGAGGAAGTCCATGCCAGGACTGCTGGACTCCAAGTGTGCGCTTTTCCTGACTGGCTACCACGAGACTGACATCGACAATGACATCAAATGGCTCGAGGACAACTACGCGGATGAGATGGACTTGCTCATGGAAAAGAGACCTAACCTTTATGGCTCGACCAAGTGGGAGCTCAATGATATGAACCCCCACGAAGTATTTCAGTTCAACCAACAGGTGTACGGCTTCAGAGGCAAGCGTTACCATGCCATCAACCAAGACTGATCGTGTGCATAGTAAAACCTGGCGCTCTTAGACGTTACAAATAAATGCCTGTCGAGGCAACGGCTTGTATATATCACTGCCATTTATGAAATGTCTACGGATACTTAAAGGAGTAGATGACAATGAGCGTAATAGAGGAGTAAAACATTTGGAGTGTGTTTATCAAAAGTCGTTCTCCGCACAATAAAGCCGTTGCATGACAGGTGTGGGGATAAAACGGCTGATGACAAACTCTAATATACAATTATGGCCAAATGGAATGTATAAAAATGGGCTTGGATCCTGTGAGAGGAACCCAGTCCTTTGATTGAGAGTATCAAACCACAAACAGCCAATCAATTCCAAGCAAGGCCTTCAGTTTAACTCACAAATGTCATCTTATCCAAAGTTCACCATCTACGATTTTCCCACCGGACCGTATCCCGCGCGTGTGAGAATTGCCCTCGGGGAGAAGAAACTCGAGCATTTGGCAGAATTTGAGCTTATTGATCTGTTTAAGGGCACCCATAAGAAGCCTGAATTCAGAGAAAATCTCAACTTCTCTGGAACGGTTCCGGTAGTGAAATTTGAAAATGGCGATCTACTTGCGGAGTGCACTGCCATTACTGAGTTTCTTGACTCTTTGGACGGAAACACCGTGTTGACTGGTCTGACTCCACGTGAGCGTGGAGATATTCACATGTTCACCAGACGAGTGGAGAACGAGTTCCTCGAGCCAATTTCTCTTTACTTTCACAACGCGACGCCTGGTCTTGGTCCTGATGTCGAAACCTACCAGAACCATGAATGGGGTTTGCGCCAACGTGAGAAGGGATTGCGTGGAATGCGCTACTTCAACAAATTACTGGTGACTCGCGAATTTGTCACGTGTGATCGTTTCACTATGGCAGACATGGCTCTTGTAGCCGCTATGGTGTTTCTCGCCGTTGTGAAAGAGCCGGTTCCTGCTGATTGCGATGCTTTGTTGGCTTGGTGGGCCCGTGTTCAGCTGCGCCCTAGTGTTATCAACAGAGTGACCATGTCGCAGTAAATCGCAGATGTAAGCACTAAGAGAAGCAAATCATAGACATATATATTTAGAGAAGAATAATACAAAAATGCGATTAATCTTGATAATATAACATGAAAGCAGATGAAGATGAAGCTTTCAAGGCAACGCTGAGAAGGTACCATAGAGAAACTTCATAACTGAAAAATTTATTCAATGCATTCTGGCGTAAAGAAAACGCAGTGTCTATTTTTATAAAACGACTAGGAGAAGGTGTTGACACAGGCGGTGTGACATAGCCAAAGACGAATATGCGGGGATCTAGAGCAGGGATGGAAGAACAGCTATAGAATAGCGATTAGAGTCTGAATTTCGAAACGCTCCGAGGAAACGAACCTAGTAGGCTCTCTGAATAAGTTGAGGCAACAAGAAATTAATTTTTCACCAAGATCAAGTAATCGAGCGTTCTGTCCAAATGTCAGCTAATGCCCTCACCAGAAACCATAGCCATCCATGTCATGAAACATCGTGCCAAAACTCTGTTTTCGATTCACGGAAAAACGACGGGAATTAGCAGCTTCTTCATCAAGTCCATAATACTCTTCACTGGTAGAATTGGATGGAGAGGCCTCGGGAAAGTAGTTGATCACATCCGCATCGATCTGCGAGAAGATATCACCAAGAGCCCTGTTGAAGTCAAAATCAACGTCCTGATCAACACCTATATTATCCAGCCCTGCAGCAAAACCTATATCCTCTGCCAGTCCCGTAGCGGAGTCCTTATGCACGTCCTGTTCCATCGTCGGATTATTTCCCACACTCTCGCCAATAGGAGCCGGATGCGAGTTATCGCTGGGAGACTCTTCCCCTCGACTGAAGCCAATTGGCGAAGGAACAAACTTTTGTCCAGAGGATGATTCTGAGTCAATTCCAGCAGCATTCATGGCTCTAGTAGAAACCGATCTCTTTCTGGTGGGCGTGGCAACGACAGGCGAAGGGGTACTCTTGGAGCCATATGCCGTTCGATCAGCAATCGTCTGTACGTCGTAGTTTATAAACCTGTTCTTGGTCGGCACTCTGGAGTCCGAGCCAGCCAGTTCAGCGTCGCGTTCAATCTTCACCATCACCTTCTTCGGCGCTTTGAGGGTCTCAATGGCTTTTTCCTTTCCGAGCTCATCAAGCAGGGTGACCATCGAGTTATTGGCCCCATCCTTGGTGAATTTGTTCGAAACTTTCATCCACTTCTCTACACGGGTAAGGATTGCAGACATCTTCTTCGCAACAAGAGACTTCTTCGATATCTCAGCTAGAGCTGTCGAAACCCGCTCGTATTCGCGCTCAACGTTGATCTCGAGATCCAGTCTCTGCGAGCGAACCAGCAACCTGGATCGAATCAGAGCCACCAGAGCATGCATAGGTCTATAGTAGAAGAATGTGGGAAAGTTAGGAGTCTGCTCGCAGAGATTCACAAACGAGTCAATCACCTTCTCACCAGCACGAATCAGCCTGCTTAGGGTTTGCATGTACACCTCAGTCAGAACATCCTGCTTTGAGAGAACACGGCACACCACGTAGTCGTACATTGTCATGAGCAACTGGTAGTATATGATAGAGAGAAGGTTTCGCTCTTTGCTGTCATGGGCCAACAGGCCACTCTCCGAGGCACACTGCTGCATTCTTTTCTCGTAGCTGATCATAATAGCCCGTAGACTCTCATGCGGAAGTGCGTTCGATTGCCACGAATCATCGACAGATCCCGGGGGTACGCTTTCCTCACGCTTTCCAAAATTCTCGTGAGAAGGTGAAACACCATCTGGACACAAAAAGTCAAAAATCTCCTGGCCAATCCCGATGAGTCGAGCGTAGTAGCAGAGGAACATGTCGTTCCGGTTGGACTCGCCCATAAGAAGCACCCGGCAACAATTGTCATGATGCGGAGTCCACGTTACCACCTTAAATCTTGGAAGTGATAGGCCTAGCGAGCCGCAGCAAGAATACACTCCCACGAAGGCCCGTACCATCTTGCGCTCCTCTGCGTTGGATTGGAGAACGTTTGAATTGGTGCGAATGTGCTCGTTTCCAAGATCAAGACATAGCGACAAGTTCAGTGCAGTGAGAAGATTCATTTGGTGTTTATAGGAGCCCCATTTGCGTGGAGGAGAGCACCAGAGCGAAAGGACAATGTACACCTGGATTAGACTCGCGGTGATATCTCCCGTAATTGACACACGCTGCGCCAAATTTCGGTCCAGATAGTACAGTAGCGTGTCATGAAGATCAGGTTCGTTCAGACAAGTTACGGAGATGAACCCTAGCAGGACAAGCGGTTCGTTCTCGAGGAGGAAGTCAAAGGTATATGCATCGGGCAACGACACACATGGCCAATAGCACAACATTTCCGAGCAAAATGTTTCAAATCTAAGCGCAGCATCGTCGTGAGTCAGAATCTCCAGTTTGAAGAGTTCCTTGCAAATATTGTACTCGTAAGGGATAAATGGTAATTTTGGAACGGACTTGATGGGGCCTTCCTTCATACTATTCATAGAAGAGGCCCATTGCGAGTGGCCTCCTCGAGACTGTGAGATCACATGCGAGAGCATATGCTGAAGCTCTGACAATTGTGATTGGACCTTAAACATTTGATCTGGAGCTGGCGACTCGTCCTCGGAATCCTGGTCCCTCTCGTTTGTGTGCGGCGTCTCAAGTCGGGGTTTCTGGTCCATTCCCCGCTGGAAAGAGGATAAAATATTGAAAGCATCAGTTATTGCATTCTGAAGTTGCGACACAGGCTTATCGGAGGCCGTCCTTGTCCGTTTGCGCGGCCTGGAGCGGGCTGATGCCAGTGTTGGATCACTCGTCATGGAGCACATGATTCCAGCAGCATAACACCTCCGGCAAGAACTATAGGTGGGATCCTCAAAAACGCACCTCATCTTGAGCCGATGGCAACGTGCACATGCCTTTAATCGCCTGAACTTGTTTGCAAAATCGCCTGTGGAATTGGAGTTGTCCTTGGCCCCTGGAGAAAGCGGCTCGACTGAGCCTTCGCCAGGTTGGGCCTTTATTGGCTCGTGACTTACCGAACTTTCCATTGCAAACGAAAATACACTGTTCGCTCCATCTGATCCAATGGCGTCCCTTTCTCCTTTTTCTGTTGTGTCTTGTTTCATTGTGCAGCTCGAAATGGCATGAAACAAACGTACCGTGTAAGCAGTCTCTGATCGTGTGTATCACCGAGTGGAAAAAAAAATAGTATCTATTTCTCCAATTCGCCGCAACCGAATTTCTGGTGGTGTTGATCTGGAGAATAAACAAGCAAAAGAGACTGAACAGTTCAAGGTTGTTCTGTAACTAGAGTTTTATAAAAAAGATTTAAGGCTGCCAAATTGGCTGTACACAGGGCTCGGAGAAGAGCGTCGTGCGGCCAACCACGCAGGCGTCTGATGTAATAAAGTTTGGGCGTCTAATCTAGCTATCGACCTGGCGGTTAAGAAGAAGAGTTCGGGAAATTTATTTGGTGCGACTTAAATTCATTTTATTTCGTGTTTTCTGTTCGTTTCTGTCGTATAAATCATAACTTCGATTTAGCCTTCTTTACTTGCTTAAGTCGGGCAGCTACCGCTTCTGAGGCAAGTCTGGCGGCATAAGCCGCACGCGAGGATTTTGCAACTGCGTTCGCTGAAATTTTGTCTTTCTCCCTTCTGGCTAGGATTTCTGGAATTGCCTTGGAAACAATTGTTTCAGAAATTAAATTTATGCTGATATCAGCCTGATCACAATTAACCGAGTGAATTGCTCCTTCCACCAGTCTGGCCTCGCAATCAGGCATCGTATTTTGCAGAAAGCTGTTGGTCCGTGCAGGGTTCCAGCGGGCTTTAGCGCCGATTACATGAAGTGAAGGAGTGGGATTTCCTTTGAGTAGAGGTGCCAAGAACGTAGATGCTGCAATCCCACCGGCATAATTGCACATCATATGGTCCTTGAGTGTCTTGTTCCGCACCGATCCGTCGGCTTCCACAAGTCTGTCTGTATCCAAAAAGTCCTGAAGAGGTCGTTCTTGGAACGAACGATGAAATGATTTGGTTCTCCAATAAGTCGAGTATGAAGTCTCGTCTTTGAATTCGGTCTGAAGCATTGCATACACCTTGGCCATGATCAATGAAAAACCGTCCCAATCATCCTCGGCAATCCAAACAACCGGTTCAAACAGACATGCTCCCACAAACAGCTGTGGCGACATACAAGTAGCACAAAGTGCTTCGTAACCACCCATAGAATGACCAACAACAACTGTTTGGTTACCGGCCTTCCAGAAACATGAGGCGCGATCCTGCGATTCCCTCCGCACAATTTCCAGAATATCACGCGCCCCGTCTTTCCACTCATATTCAGGGCCTAGTTTCATCTGATTCACCACCGCAGAGTCCCCCTGGTTGACTCTGTCAAAAGTGATTGCTGAGTTGATTCTGAATGCAGAGTCTTTGCTCGAGCCCAATTCAATCAAACGTTCAATGTGATAATACCAAATTGCACGATTACAGCAGTTTCCAGAGTCAAAAATAAGGTTCACCAAAGGGCCTTTTTGTACCTCCTCCTCCTCACCAGTATCGCCTGCGTTGTCAACCTCGAACACAGTGTACACCACGCTAAGTCGGTCCGCTTCAAACAGCGTCGACCATCGAGACGACCGTGGATAGGCTCCAGCAATAGTTTTGTCGGTTTTAGTGTATGACATAATTGCAAATAAGCATTGGCTATTGTATGAACTCAGAGTCCTGGACGACTGCTCTCTCTATATATATTCCAGACGAACAGCCGAGGGCCATGTGAAGAGTGTGGGGTAATGTCGTGCAATATACAAGAAATTGAATTGTGCTTTCCACTACAGATCCCATCAGATCTCTGTCTTGTACCCTTGAATCTAATCAGGGCGGCGGCGTCAACCGAATTGCATAATCTTCCGATTGAATAGGTTTTAGTCTGAGCCGCTATATTTACCATTCGAGATTTGCCACTGGATATCCGGTCGTTTGGATGACTGCTGATAGTGCAGTTCCCTCTAGCGGGGCTTCAGGGCTAAAGAGTCTCACAGCACTCACTTTATTGGTGGATGAGCTCATTGAAGACTACACCGTTACACCTTTGTCTATATCAGAATATCTAGAAAAGGCTGTGAATTGCTACTCAGAGTATAGCCGAAATGTTAAGTTTTTGAAGAATCCACAGTCGCAACAACAAGCCAACTACGAAGAGCTGTTTGTCTACTACACAGCCGCCTCCAGAATCTTATCAGTGGTGATACCATCTTTACCTGAATACCGGACCTTTGAAGGTAACACACAGGATCCAAAGTTTGGGCTGTTTAGTGACTTTACAGAGTTGTTGTATGCTGAACGGAACAGGATGGATAGTATCAAAGCGTATATCAGGACTCATTCGCTTCCCGATCGTGATGATGAATTGCTTACGAGATTGAGGAATCTGAAAGCTCACTCAAGTGTCAGTGTGGAATCAGAATCAAAAACCAAGTCTCATACTCAACTGGAGTCACGAGTGACTTCTGGGTTCAAGACCAAGACACAGTCTGTCTCACAATCACAATCACAATCACAATCACAATCACGATCACAATCACCAGTGAAGGCTTCAACGACTCCCGCCATAGCTGCCCCCAACCCTCAAGCTTTGAAAGCAAAATTTGATGCCATTGAAACGTCAATTTCGGCTAAAGCACTCAACAGCCTCCTCTCTTTATCACCTTCTGATGTTCTCGTTATAGACCTGCGGCGCAGAAGAGACTTCGACAACAATCATGTGGAATTTCCTGGAATCAACTTGTTGTCAATTGAGCCAGTTGCAATTAGACCAGACTATTCAGCAAGCGATGTACAGAAGATGTCTCTTGCAACCAATCCGGACTCGGAAAGGCAACTCTTCGAAAATAGGTCCCAGTTTGAGCTCATTGTGGTATACGATTGGAGCTCTACCACCTCTGCATTTGACACTATTACGCTGAGATTTTTAAATATCCTAAAGACAAGGTCCTCAACGGCTTATTTGAAAAGACAGCCAGTTCTTTTAGAGGGCGGTTTCAATGAGTGGTTGCAGCTAAACGAAGATGGACTTCAAGGCTATATTCCTCATGGTGAGATCATTCAACCGATTGACATTCCTTCGAAACCCATGCTTTTCCGCAAGAACAGTCTTGCTAGACGTTCTTCACAGATAAATGAGCCCGAACGTCTTGAAGATGCCTACTATAGAAAGCAGCCTGAGCAGTATTCTTCAAGATCAAGCAGCGTTTCTGTTCCTGGATCACCTGGCCCGGGCTATGTTCGCACCGTTAACGAGTTTTTTGCCAGTCCGAATCGCGAGCACTCGCCTTCTCAAAATGAAGCCATTTCTCCAGTTTTCCCTCACCAATTTGCACCACCTTCTCATAAAGCTTCAGTTCGCAAGTCAAGCGCTGGGTCTAGCTTGTCACAACCTCCATCTCAAAGCCCAGTTCCACCTCCAAAGGTGTTGACCAGACCAAAACCTGTGGCATTGTCCAAATCAGAACATTCCACAACCCTTTTGAATGCACCGTCTAAGACGAGATCTTTCCAGGAAAAGCTGGATGTGATGACTGGTCTGGCAAATCTTGGAAACACATGTTACATGAACTGTACTTTGCAGTGCCTTTTTGGAACCAAGAAGTTTGACGAGTTCTTCCTCAATGGAAGCTATAAGTCCCATATAAACATCAACAGTCGGCTAGGTTCCAAGGGAATACTCGCCAACGAATTCAACGGGCTCGTGACAGAGATTTTCATCAAGTCAAATCATTCGCATCCTACCTATATTTCGCCTCTGCGCTTCAGAAAGATCATTGCATCTTTATCGTCGAGCTTTAGAACATCGGAACAGCAGGACTGTTCTGAATTTTTGAACTTTCTGCTGGACGGTTTGCATGAGGACTTAAATGAGTGTGGAAACCATCCTCCTTTACCTGAATTAACCAAGGAAGAAGAATTTAGACGAGAAAAACTGGCGATTCGCGTGGCTTCCACCATTGAATGGGAGAAGTATCTGAAGACCAACTTCAGCATTGTGGTGGACATATTCCAGGGCCAATATTTGTCACGACTACAATGTACCGTTTGCAAGAACACTTCAACCACATACAATGCCTACAGCATTTTGTCTCTGCCAATTCCCGAGACCTCAGCAAGGACAAAGATCTCGCTTGGACAGTGTTTTGACCAATTTTGTGCACCTGAAATACTCGACGGAGACGACAGATGGATGTGTCCTCACTGCAAGGTCAAGAACCGGACCACAAAGACGATGATGATCTCGCGATTGCCAGAAGTGTTGATAGTGCACTTGAAAAGATTCAAGCTTGGAAGCCAGATCACCAAGCTGAACACCTTCATAGACTACCCGTTGGAACTCTCTCTTGATAAGTACTGGCCCAAAGTACAAACCGAGCAGGAAATGCACCAACTCGCTGCTCTTCCTATGCGGAACCAAATGGCCCCTTTCAACTATAAACTTTTCGGGGTTGTTAACCATTATGGAAACCTTGCTACTGGCCATTACACAGCATATGTCGACAAACGCGAGGACGGCTGGTGCTATTTTGACGACACCAAAGTGACGAAACGCAGACCGCTCGACAAGGTGATCAATGCGGATGCATACGTGCTTTTCTACGCAAGAGTATGAGAAACAAAGCGGTCAAAAACATAGAACTATCATCAAAACTGCGTGTGAGCACTCAACACTCATTCCCAGTCGTCTTCTTCATCATCTTCCTCAGCAGGCTTGGGCTCTTTGCTCTTCTTCGAGCTTACAACCTCAAGCGTTGAGCTGGACGCGCTTTCCAACGAGAGTTCGCTCGATGTGCGAGGCGAGGTTTTGGAAGTGTGCTCTTGAGATTTTGAGTCGTTAGTGGACTCTTTAAGTTCGCCAGCATCACTTTTCTTCTCCTTGGCAGCCTCCTCCTCTTCATCATCCCAATCAAACTCCTCTTGAGCAGACTTACTACTCCTCTCCAAAAGAAGCTTTCTGCGCTGTTCTTCCTTCACGATTCTGTCCTTTTCGTAGCGATATTTCCTCCAGAAGTCCTCGTTTGAAATGGAGGCTGGAACCAACGAGTCATGCACCGCTTTCAGAGATGTAAACGCGGCGAAAAGGGCCTCAATCTCGTTTTGCTCAAACGGCTTATCCGTCTCCAGGAAATGAGCATAATCCTCTGGGTCTTCCAATTCTCTCAAATAAACCTCTTGAGACGATCTGAGCTCCTGAAGTTGAATTTCAGCGCGTGATGAGAAGGCTCCCTCTTCTGGAACTCCAAATAGCACTTCAGAGTTTTCCAGAGTCTCGTCCCCATCAAAAGCATTGTCTTGAGGCAACTGGACCTTGATGGCATCCTTCAAAAAAGAACCCAGCTTGGTGGCATAGCCAATTCCCAAAGTCTCAATCTTCTGCAAGTCATCATCAAGTTCATCCAGATACTCATTTGTGACATTGGACAGGTTCTTCAACAATTCCTTAGGTACGATTTTTGGCTTCTCCGTAGAGTCGGAGCCCTCTCCGCTTTCTCCCACCGCCAATTGCTCCAACTGCTGTTTTGTTTGCTCGATACGAGTCTTGGTCTGGTCCAGGTAATCTGGCAAGTTCTTCTGAAAGTTGCTCAGTAAACCGTTGAATGTACTCCAGCCGCGCTTACCCTTGGCCTCCAGATTGTCGTAGAGTTTCTCCACGTTAGCCTCCAGCGCAGGCTTGGCTGCGTCACTTGTGTTCGCCTTCAGCGTCTCCGTAGAGTCTGCCATGGACTCTTTCTCCGGTTCGTAGAAATCCATTGGGACTAAAGAAAGCACCAAGTGCTGCAGCTGGAACGGGGAGAAAGAGATATGTTGAAAACGCGAGTCGTGCGTTGTATAATTTAACTCACGTGTTTTGTTAGCTGCATCCACGACCTTTCGGTCTATCTTATCGCGAACTTCTTAACAAGACCCTTCTTTCCTCCAACACCGCTCTGTTCTTCAAGATGTCTCTAGCAGCTCAGGGAAAGCAGTTTCAGGAAATGAGCCGACCACAACTTCATTTACCAGAACCACTCACGCCGCCGCTCAAATACAACGCCGTTCAGCCCGGACTGTTCAGAGGGGCATATCCTCGTCCAATCAACTATCGCTTTCTGGCCAGTCTGGGACTGCGAACGATCGTGTCTCTAACCCCGGAGCCTATTTCTGAGACAACTGATGCTAAGCTATTTGCATTTTGCGAGGAACACGGAGTGCAGCGAATCCATATCGAATGTTCCTCGGGTGGATCCAAGAAGGGCAAGAAGAGAGCAATAGCTATCGACTATGCTGCAATCTGCAAGGCAATTGAGATTGTCATAGATCGCGATAACGAGCCAGTATATGTGCACTGTATAAATGGTGGGCAGATCACATCTCTGTTCGTGGCGTGCCTTCGAAAGCTATCGTTCTGGTCCTCGATAGCTATCTTCAACGAGTTCATCAACTACTCGGTCACCATTAACCACAACGATAGAGTTTTCATTGAGAATTTTGAGGCTTCTATTAGGTTACCGAAGAATCGGGTTGATTGGGTTTGGAATGGATTGAGCCAGGGTGTGATAGACAACCACCCGACGTTGAAGTTCTACGACTACGATGAGTGAAAAAGGTACTGTTATCAGGTGTACTGGGAGCATATACTACTCAACTCAAGGATATGGCTAACAAGATGTACAAATAGATCTAGTGTGAGTTTTGTATGTGATTATGAACGTTTTCAAATATTTTTCATGAATGCTAGCAGAGGTCCTTCCATTTACGGCCCAAACAACATGCCAGCCGCAAGATCAACGTTATTAGCACACGAAATCAATGCTTCTTTGGCCTGACTCTCTGGAAATCCCATTTCCACCAGCTGCCTCACTTTTGCCGGATCTGCAGTCGATTGCGTGGGAGCCGAAGATGGGGCAACGGCGGCTGGCGTAGCAACGGGCGGTCTTATGGATGCATACGCCCGATCTCTGGCAATACGAGCTTGTGAATTCACGTCTGATACCTGAGCGGGTGTAGGGTCTATTGCCCCCGAGGAAACGATATTTCCGCCCAATTTCTGGGATCTGGAATCATCATTAGCTGGCGGAGAGACAAAACCCGTTTCACCTCCAGCAAACTCCAGAACGTTGCGTTTAAGATTGATCACTCCCTGGTGTCTCCTAAGCATATCAAGACCCAATAGTAAATCCACACTCGAATCTAGAACGGTGAAAGAACATGGGGCATATACATTACCAACTCGTATAGGTGCAGAATGGATTCTCCCCAAAATCGGTTGTGAACCAACACCAACCGCTACTCCTCCGAATCTTTTGTCGACCAAGCGCGATAGTTCACATTTTTCAGCCAGTCTAGGCGAAATAATCGTTTGTTGGGCACCAGAATCAACGAACGCTTTCACAGCATGACTGTTTACTTCAACATCCACATACAGCATATCCACCTGGGTGAAACTCTCTGGTGTCATTTCGTAAGCTCTTTCCAAATTCTCATCGATATTCGATTGCTGGATCATGTCTAGGATTTTGCGCTGGTTTTCCTCGGAGTTGGGGTCTCCATTCAGTTGTGGCATGCTGTTTCCAGGAAGCTGGTTGGTCTGATATTGCCGCTGGTACTCTTCAAAGAACCGCTCTCTATCTTGGAGTATTTCGGCACCATTGGGGGCATTTGCTAGAAACATACGCTTCATTTCGGCGTTGCCGAGGACTTGTTGTCTAATGCGCTCCACCATTTCGCGCGCCTGAACTCTGTGATCTAGGGGATTGATAGGCCCCACTGATCCGGAAGCCCTCTTCCGAAGCACAAGCAGATCACCATCCACAACGCCTTGCTGCTCTAGAGACGCCGATTCATCTGCCAGCTCGCGCCCGCTCGCCACCAGGATCTGGTCCTTAGATGCCACCCCGGTTTCGGACTCCAGATACGCCTTGACGTCCAGCAACGCCATTCCATCAGGCGAATCGAAATTTACTATTTGCTCAGAGCCCTCGATTGTTATAGTCAAATTCATCTTTATTATGCAAAAATCTTCAAGGAAACCCCACAGTGTAGACGAAACAATTCAGGGCTTTATCGTGCCCTTGAGGGTGCTTTATATGGTGCCTCGGTGGCGATGAGATGCGTTATTAAGCGCCGAAAACGGCAATGCGGCTACCTTTGGGCGCTTAACAGATCGCCACCTTCACCGCCATCTCATACTTGGGCTCGGAGAAAACACGGCAGATGGCTAACAGGATACTCAGATCGAAGTCTAAAAACTTAGTAATCCCTGATGTCGCTAGTGTTAAGCTGGAAACGGTAAAAACCGTGAAGCCACGGGCCCGGAAGGCAAAGACGATCGACGATGAGGCCAAGATCCCTATTACTATAAAAAAGGTTAAACCCTTACCGGTCGAGCTATTCGAAGGAGAATTGGACTATTTCCGTGCTGCTGGGCCATTGTCTTCGGAATTGCCACCCGTGTTTGTGAAAACTCACGATGTAGAGTGTATCAAGGCGCTAGGGGCTGTTCTGGCCAAAGACCCTACTCTGTTTCCAACCGTTATCTCTCAAAACTTCTCTGTTTTTCAGATTGCAGATATCGAACTTGCAAATCAGAGGCGTGACGACGATAATGCGTACTTCGAAAAACTCGCAGACGGAATCTTGTCCCAACAGGTTTCCGGTAAGGCTGCAGAGTCCATCAAACGCAAGCTTACTTTTACACTTACTGGTGTCGAACCCCAGCCTGGAAAACAGTTTTCAACCCCAGACGCAAAGACAGTTTTAGATGCTACTTTTGAAACTCTGCGGGGGTGTGGTTTGAGCACGCGCAAGGCTGAATATATGCAGGGTCTTGCGGCGATGTTCGTTTCGGGGGAACTGAGCGCGAGCTATTTCAACTCTGCTTCTGATGAAGAGATTTCCAAGAAGCTAATCTCTATTCGCGGTATCGGTCCGTGGTCCGTGACAATGTTCATGATCTTTCAGCTTCGGCGTTTGGACTACTTTGACATCCGTGACCTTGGTGTTCTGCGTGGAGGTTCGCGGTATCTGTTGGATAGACCCACCCTCTTCGAAGAGGTAAAGTCCAAGCATGTGCTGGCAAAACGAACCGCACACCTCATAAACAAGAAGAACGTCAAATGGACAGCTGTTGACGAGGGTTACGTCGAATTCGTCGCCGCGCAGTTTGCACCATACCGCTCGATCTTGATGTTTCTTTTTTGGAGACTCTCTGGAGTCAACATTAATGTATTGGAATCATGAATTCTTAAAAACTCTTAAAACTGCTGAAACTCGTCAAATTATCCCCCTATCTTAGGGTTTTCCACCAGGCACAATCTGTAAACGTTAGTAAAACTTCAAAAAGTTTGCAATCCTCACTAAACTTACCATCGTCACATTTCTACCATTAAGCAGCATGTTTTTTCTGTGAAGTTCGGTCCCGTCAGACTCAGTCTCGACAACATCTTCCAGCACCATGTTGACGAAGTCGTCGAACCCAACAAGCGTCCCGACAAACTCGGTGCGGTCGGTCCTGATGACCCACACTTTGGAACCAATACACTTGTCCACCAGCTCCAGCGGTAGCACGTTTGATTCGTCCATTGTGATGATTAGAATTGTAGTGGAGAAAAGAGTTGATGCTTTTGTGCGTTTTGGAGGTTGAGACAACTGAAGAGGAAGTTGTAGTCGTGCGCCAGACAAATAAAGATCGTGCCCCCGCAAGGGGTCGGGATGGGCGCCTGCTCTTTTCGGATACCCAACTGTCAGCATACGTTTCTCTTCTTCTCTCTCCACCAATATCCAATAGTCTAAAGTGAACAATGTCCTATTCAGACAAGAGCGTACCCAAGCACCTGTGCATTAGGCCGTTGACGGTGTACGATGCAGCGCAATGCATGGCATTAGAAGAAGAAGCATTTCCCGAAGAGGAACGCATTACCTCGGCCAAGCTTGACTACAGACTGAGCGTGTGTCCTGAGCTATGCTCTGGGTTGTTTTTTAGGGAATTCGAGCCCCAGACGGAGTCTGAAGAAGGAGACGATGATGTTCGCGAATACCGGCCGCCTGCCCGTTCAACGATCAAGAAGGAAACGTTGATAGGTCAAATTCTCGCAACCAAAGTATATGACGATGCCATTACAGAGCGGTCCATGGAGGTCCCGAAATTGACTTCTGAGCTTCTTCCAGATCCTACTGTGGTTGATAATGACAAAATCGGGCATGTCGAAACAAGCCGTGTGATTGGAGTCCATTCGGTGATAATCAGCTCGAAGTATAGAGGTCTCAAGCTAGGGTCCTTGTTGATGAAAGACTATATTCAGAAGCTCTCACAGCAAGATGTGGGCGACAAGATTGTGCTGATTGCACATGACTATCTGGTGCCTTTCTATCAGAGTCTTGGTTTTGAGAACCGTGGAGAGAGTAAGTGTCGGTTTGCGGGAGAGGTGTGGTTTGATCTAGCCATTACGCTCTCTCATGATGAGGACGATGAGTAGTGTTGATGTTTAGTGCTGCGAGAGCGGAATTAATATGTTAATATGAGTATTGGCTGTCTGTAGGCATAGTAGGCAAAACAGATGTGGTATTTGATAATCATAGTTTATGGACTATGCCATTGTCAAATCCTCGTATGTTGCAATTGAAAAGGGAACTTGTTATTAGCAATTACTATTTCAAAAATTAATATTTATGAATAAAAACAGATGAGAACATTGATGTAGCCAGATGCTTTATCCTTCTCCGTTTGGAGCGAATATCTTAGCATTGACATGGGATCTTTTGGGTATAACAGCGCATCTGATGGTTGATTGAGAGTTGTCTTGATTTCTCTATTGTTCTCTCTTCTGACGTGTATTTTTGATTTCCCCAGTGAGATGTCAAACTTTCACGTTTCACGAGTAAGGATCGAAGAAGTCCTGGGCAAACGTGTTTCTAAATACGCGCATTCCCATAGTGGACCCAGAACCAAAATTTCCCCGGGATCTGGCAACGACAAACTCGCGCTCCTTGCGCTTAAGCTTTGGCTGAACCACGGTGAACACCGTGACGGCGTACAAAAGACCAATCACGAGGTCCAGGCGCCAATGATGATCCAAGTACATGGTGGCCCACCATTGCAGATTCACAAATGCCAGCATCGCAAACTTTGGAGTAAGCCAACGTGAGTAGTAGGTAATAAATAAACACGCCTGAACAGCCATGGCGCTGTGGAGCGATGGCAGAGCACCAAAGACGATCGGGGACTTGTGGAATCCGTTCGAGTTGAGATGGGTTCCAAGCGCAACATCCACGCGTGTAAGTCCAGCAGCATAACCCTGCATGGAGTAATCAGCAGCAGCATCCTCGCCATGTAAATGAATGAACCATGGGGGAGCGTTGGGGAATAACATATGGGTACAGACTCCACAGATGTTCTGAAATCCAAGGCACAAACCAAAGTATTTCAGGGCCCCAGGTGTTTGGAAAACGTACAGCCAGATCGCTGTGAAGAGTGGGGAAAGAAAGTGGAGCAAAACGTAGGAAAACCACGCGATCAGGTCCTTGTAGGTCGCAAAATTATTTATGAACGAGTGCTCGATGTTAAGCAGGAACCACGAGGCAGCCACAAGAACCACAGGAGTGGCTCTAAAGCAGCCCACCGGAAAGTAGACCGTTTGTTTCTGAACCTGCAAGGACTGTTTGTTGGCAGACATCTCTATCTGGACCTCGTCATCGTCGTAGTCGTCATAAATGGGTGAATTTGACGAGCTGAGAGTGTTTCTGACATATTTCGTTTCGTCAAAGTAATAAAAGTATGTCCATAACAAAAACGCAGTAGACACAAGTAGACCGAGCGAAACCCAAGACGATACTTGGTGAACGTCAAACATGAAACGGTCAAGATTCTGCGCAAAACGAACATGGATACGCGGTCTCCATGAGTCCGGTACAATCCCCGCGTTTTTGAACATAAGCAGCCATATAAACACCAGTGAAAAATTTAGCCAGAAATTGAAAAACAGTCCAAAAATAGTTCGCCTGTTGATGCCGGATTGGACGATTCGCACCACGAACTGCAAAGGCAGTTTGATTAGTGTGGTGGGCGTCATGTTGTCAGTATGCTGAACAAAACCAAACTGGAAGTGCAAAAAATGAGCGTTTTGTAAGGTAGCTATTTGTCTATAACGACAAAGCCTGTTTTGTGGTCTGTTCGCCTAGAGTAAGAACAAGACAAGACTTGCGGCGTTTGGACGGTTTTGCCAGCCAGTTATGGTTGTGTCAAGGTCTGGCGAAGCAATATCACCGACACAAGCAAAAAAGCTCTTGTAAAAAAAATCTTTGTCGCGAAGGAAAAAATCAAAGATTCAAACAAACAGCTACGTGCCTGGGACTAAGCCTGGTACTAATAGTCTGGAAAACCGGATCTGTGCGTGCACTAAAACCGAGGTTTGAGCGAATGAGCAGATCAGAGACAGATCCGAGGCTGAAACAAAAATCCGAACGATAAACACAAATCAGCAAGAGAACAAGATCGGGAGTGTCGATTAAAAATAGAACGAGGCTGAATGTTTTTTTTTGCAACCATCTTATCAGGCCGGTTTGATGCCGCGTGAAACCTCGGAAGACGTGTCTGTCCGTCCTGGAACTGCGTTACCGGTTGCCAAGCCTAGTAAATCTGGGGCTAGACGCTCATGGTGAGGCAATGTCATACCCTCGGAATCCGGAAGCGGATTGGGAAGGCGGTGCCGCTCGGTTAGATGGCAGAATGAAGTGCAAAGTTTATTCTGAGTCAGCACACGACTAATTTCAAGAAGAGATTTTGTCACGTGACCAGGAGATTGCCCCTTCTGATCTCAAACCCTTTCGCCTGTTGTGTTGCATGTTACACCCTGCAATCTAACTGATGAACGTCGAACTCAACCGCAAAAAAGTGGCAGTGCTGCTTGCCATCAATTCCACACTACTGTTGCGATGCTCGATGCTACAAAGTACGCTGAGCGTGGACCCATCCCAAATAGCGAAGCGTGAGCATTATTCAGACTACCTCAAGCGCATCCACACCAACCTCCAGTGTCTGGTCGCGCTGAACGACTTGCACACGAACCCGACCCCGGCTCCAAACTCGGCGAAAATCTTCCCACAAATACTGTCGCCGCCTCCGGCAATTCCAGAGCTCCAGAACCACTACCAAGTTCTGCAGACGCTTTACCAGGACCAGACGAGGATGGCCAAACAAAACTTCCAGTATCCAATGCAGGGTCAAATGCGCCAGCCACAGGTGGCACAGGTATCGCAGCAGGTGCCTCAGCAAAATATTTCGCCTCAGGTTCAAAGTCCTGACGTGTCGAACGCTCTTTCCCCTCAGCAGATACTGAACCAGGCGCGAGCTGCGAACAGGTTTGATGATGGGATGTGGTGAAGGTCAAAGGCTTAAGAGACTGAAGGGTGCATTGCATTTGGAGAGGCCTGGCCCCGGGGCATGGGAATGTCGGTGGTCCTGGTGTAAAAAACACCGCTCCATGTATAATAGCATATGGGATGAAACAGGATGTCACACACTGCGAACTAATGCGCATTTTACATTTCAGCCATTACATATCACATCTGATTATAATAAAGTACAATATCGTGTGATCAACCATGTTATCCTATGTTTTCCCGGATATATCTATCAGTTCTCGCATTCAAGGACTGTCTCCAAGGACTGTCTCCAAGAACTGTCTCCAAGAACTGTCTCCAAGAACTGCCTTGTTTGTCCCGCGATACATACGATGAGTTACTACCATCTCATGTCCTCTAACTTGGTTCGTTCTAATCTTGCCAAATAAACCAAAATACACCCTAGTATACCGCATTATTCCGTATATCCACCGTACTACCCCATACTATCTCATCTGAAAGTTCCGCTTGAACTTTCCCCCCTCCCACTACCCGCTGCCATTTTTTACTCGTGCCTAAAAAAAATATTTAGATAGAACCGCAGACTCTACCCTATAAGATACTATACTCCTCGCCTCAATTCTCATGTCGAAATATTCGAGTGCAAACGTGCAACTGGTAGAGGATGTGGAGTCCTCGATCCAAGCCTCGGATCTTGTCCGATTAGCTGAGCTGCTGACTGACCATAACCTGATCCAACTGGCTCAGGCATGGCAGTCCTTCTCCACCGCAAACCAACATAGGAAGCTACGTGACTGCACTCTCGCGCTGACAAAAATTATCGAGATACCAGAGCTTGCCAGTCAGGCGAAAGTTCTTCTTACTGAAATATTGACGAATCACAACCGCGCACTGCACAGGTGTTTGGACTCGCATAGGCCTCAGGTTGCAAATCCGGCACTGGATTTACTGGCAGCAGCTGCTCGCTTCAAAAACGGTGCTCTATGCGATCTGGTCGTTGGGATTGACCTGAAAAATGTGGCATTGGCCCCCTCCAAGACAGAACTCTCGGATCCCCAATATCTGCAGGATTTTGCCTCCACTACGAGAGCCCATTTTGGTGCTCTCTTCATAGACATACTGAGGTTCTCCCGGCCAACTCAGAGACAGGACTTCATACTGGCTCAAAATAAAGCTATCGGTATCTGGTTCAAGTATATCGATACTCATACCACTTCGGAGTTAATTCGCCAGACGCTTGAAGTGTATGGTGCAAAGGTGCTGGGAGAACATGCCTACCGAAAGACGGCCAAGGCCAAGCTGATACCTGCTTCCGTACTGAAAAAACTAGTTGATTTGTTTGCACTCAAGGACGTTCGAGATGATGTTCTTGGTTTCATGATTACCCTCACAACTGACAAAAGCCTAGGTCTGGTGTATGAAGAACCTCTATCGCAACAGCCTCTCACGATTGGCTCGCAAGATTTCTTCGTCAACAATAAGCACATCTTCACGCTTCTAACCGATCTGAAGCCTTGGGTTGACGAATATCAATCGAGGCTGGTGCTCAAAATATTGCATACCCTTCCAGAGCTGATTCCTGTTTACAACTTCCGGATGACGCAGGTGATAGGGCCGCATGAACCCAAGCTTAGTTCGTTCTGGGTGGGCTATTCGCTTTTTTTACTTGGCCTTATAAGTTCCGATTGTCATGTTCCTGTTTTCTCTTCATTGGACAGCTTGAGTTCTGCTGAATCAACGTTGGAGCTGGTTCTGCCCTCTCAACTATCTAAGACTGTCGTTGCTAAGAGTCTGGTCCATGAGTCCAAGTTAATTCGCCAGATCGTTGCAAATTTGTTTCTGGCCTCTTTCAACAGGTTCACTCAAATTATATCGAATTTGGGGTCGTCAAGGGCTGATCTTGCAGTTTCCAAGACCCTCACAGACTTGTTCTTTGCCAAGCTACCAAACGTTTCAGTGGTTGTGGGCGCCTTGAACGATGCTCCTAACGATAGTATTCTGTTCCTTGCCTTATCCAAGGTCTTGCAAAACTATCTGGAAACTTTTCCTGTGTCTGTCACGGCCAATTATCTTGATTCTCTCATCTCCAAGGAGAGCTCTAACGGATTGGACATCGCAATTCTCAACACCCATTTGCAGATTCAAAAAATGTCTGCTGGTTCTATAAAGTGGTGGAATAGACAGGGTGGAGCCTCTTCTCTCTTTACTACTCTTTGCAAGCTTCCTGTGACTCTGGGTGAGTCGCTTTTGCCAAAGGTAGCGAATGTGCTTGACGAAATGTGCAGATCAACGTCTATCTTCACGGACCGCAAAACAGATGAACATATTTGGGGAAACCAAGCGTATGCTTTGTGTCATTCCCTGTATGTATTTGCAGTTCATTTCAAGTCTGAGCCAGACGCAGAGACCCTGCTGCAGAATGTATACTCCCTCCTCGATGAGACCGTCTCCAGATGTGCTAGGGCTCCTTATGGATACATCGATAAGGCGGCAAAAATTGCTCCCACTGCTCATTTGAGTGCTTTCGTGGTTGCATTATGCGAGCAGCTCAAGTTTGTAAGCGATCCAAGAGCGAGCTTGTGGCTAGTACTGTTTTTGAGAGAACTAGCTCTGGCCAATGAGCCAGTCCAGGAAGCAGAACTGGAAATTAGTGTTCCCGAGGCCTATAAACCCCTTTTGGATTTCCAGGACTTTGAGAAGAATTCAGAAGCATATAGAGCTCTTTTTGCGCATGAAAGTGTCTGGGACTTGTTGATTTCTGCTCCTTTGAAGACTCTTTCTGATGCTCTTCCAAACATCATCACCAGTATCGAGGCTGCTGGAATTTTGTCTCGGATTAAATTTTCCTTGAAAGGCTCGCCTACAAAAGTTGAACTTGATTGCATTGAGTCGCTTTTTACTCGACTTGAGAATTTTGCGAGTTCAAATCCCGACGATTTTAGGGCTGATGCTCAAAAGTTCTGGAAATCATTCTATCTCTCCAGCACCAATTGCCCTTCTGCTGAAGTCCAGATCTCCAGATTTACTGTGGAAATGTTGTACGAGTTATCACAATCTTTAAAACTCGATCTCGCTGAGTTTGCAGCCCACGTGGTGTTGCTGATCTCCACTCTCACTGAGAGTGATTCTACGCAGACCAAGCAGGTTCTGGCTAATTCAGTTTGGGCTCTAGACAACCAGTCACTTCTCAAGGTTAGCAATGTCACTGAGCCTGTTGTTTCTCATGCCATTTTAATGACACTTGTGGATCGTCAAACTTTGATTCCCTTCTCGCTATTCAGATCACTTAGTGGTGACGTGCGTCTGCGTTCTCAGTTAGTCAGATTCCTTCAAATTGAGGACTACCATGACTTAGAGAAATATTTCAAATCGTGCATTTTCACAGAAACTGAGATTGCACTTGAACTGGTGATTTTTTACCCAAATCTGGCTCAAATTGTGAGTGATACGTTCAAAATTGAGAAGTCCAAGTTTGAAACTCTCTTTTCCAGCAGAGCTGGAGTGAGGCTGATGGACCTAGTGGAGTCCCAGTTGGACTCTGCTGAATTCACCGAGTTTGTGCATGTTCAGGGCCTTCAGAGAGTCAACGAAAAGCACTTTGAAGTTCTCAATGTTCTACTTGTGCCTCTTTCAAGAACAATCTCCAAAGATGAGAAGGCTGATGTTATGTCTGCATTGGCAGCCATTCCTCGATTCAACAACGTTGCGTCGCAGGTATTTTCAAGGGAATATCTGGAATTTATTATGAGTATTATGGATCAGTCCGACTCTTCTCTGGTACTATATTTTAGGACCTGGTGTGAGAGATCCACTCTTTACATCACCAAGATGTTTGCCGAGACAGTTGGTGAGCTTCCCGAGGAATTCAAAGCTTTTCTTGATGGTTTCCATGGTGTGGCTCATAAATACTCGGAGTACCTACCTGCTCATCTACTTGACTCTCAAATGGAAGTAATTCTTGGATCTTCGAAATGGGTTTCTAGCGAATACGTGGTTCGCTACGTCGCTTCTGTTCTTCTTGACTCCAGCAAAAAAATTAACGGCTCCAAAATTTTGCAAATCTTTGTGAATAACGAATCGAATGCTTTGAAAACATTACCCACGAAAGAGAATTTGCAAAGCAGATTCTACTCCAGTGTCATCATTTTTGCCATATTCAGATCCAATGTCTCCAAGCTTTCGTCTCGTGATCTTCAGACCAAGGTTGTGCAACTCTATCTGGGAAGTACCAGACCTGAAGACTTGGTGCTGAAACAGATTCTCAACCAGATCGAGTCCAAGATTGCTATCTCGTGGGTCGACAATGTCACTTCCTGGGACTTCCTCGAGGACATGTCGTCTGCAGAACTGGATGCCACGGGAGAACTCCCGCGACTAGTTACTGCTGACAAGAGAGGCAATCTCACTGTTAATATCAACAAAACGTTGATCAACAACGCTATTTTGGGAATGGAGTTCACTCCTGGGCTGCCCAGCGATTTTACTAAATGGGACGACTGGATGAAATTCAACGAGAGTTGCAATTCCCTGAGTGACTTTGAGAATGCTAATTCAATCTACAGGTCCCTGAAGTATGACGCGGAGTTTATGATGCTCTTGTCGTTGAACAACGAAGAGTTGGTCAAGATTGAGGAAGCGGGTTCTGTGAAATTTGACCTTAAGAACCTGGCGAGCTCCGGACTCCTTCAGCTGATTGTTACTAATCTCGCAAATGAGGATAGTCGCATTCGTCAAGTCTCAGAGAAGCTTCTGAGAGGAGTTGCGTCCAGCTTGGAAGAAGAGGAGAACGAAAAGGATGGTGCCGAGATGGAAGTAGACGCTACTGAAGATACCAAAAAGACTACGGGTCACAAGTTTCAGAAGGACTCGGCGATCTTCAAGGTCTATCTTGGAAATTTGCTAAGGCTCTACGGTGACTCCATCCAAGAGGACGGCAAACGCATTCCTAGTGTCGTGATTCTCATGCTTTCGAACCTGGTGTCTATTATTGCGGATCCTTCTCATTTCTTGTACGAAAAGGTGTACCATTTCTTGTTGGCATATCCAAAATTCAAGGCCATGGAGCTGCCATTGTTCAAAGCAATCGCACTTCAGTTTTCCACCGATGATAAGGATAGCGGTATCCGCGACCAAGAAGGCTATTATAGGCGTCTGTCTTGGTTGCTTTCTACCATCAAAAACTCAATTTGTTCCGAGCTCGATCTCAAGGTGTTGTCTAGGGACGCCTTTATGGAGTGGCTTTTGAACCTTTCAGCGTCTCCATATGTTGCTTCTTCATTGCAGTTGCAAATTTGGGGAATCGTCTCTAAGATCCAGAGTCTTCCAGGCGGATCTGATTGGTTAATCCGCGGCTACGCCGCTTTGTTGACTCTGGAGGCTAAATACTTGGAGGCTGAGCAAACAAATTGCGTTTCTACCAATACTGCAGAGTTAGCGGCCCAGAGAGTAAAGGCCTCAAATTACGAGAAGTTAGTGATGAGAACGGGATTGACGGTGGTTGGCAATAAAAGGATCAGAGAATGGACATTCGATGATGTTCCTAAAATTTTGAAAAGAGCGCATTCAGATGAGGTCTAATTATAGTTAATTAAAAAGCATTATATTCATTTTAGTTCAAATTACACTAAATTTCCAGAAACGGTCAAAAAATGACCAGCTGCATATGCATGTATGTGCGGCTGACTATTGGTTTCAATACACTACATGGAGGTCGGAGAGTTGTCTCACCGGAGGCCATAGAAAGTACCCTCAGATGTCATATTTTAATGTTATTTAATACTATATACACATATCGCTACATCTTTGTCCCCAGTGACTAACTGTAGATGTGTTTGGTGATGCTGGCGCTGCTGGCACTGCTGGCTCAACATTGGCGAGCAGGTCTGAATCTGCGAGAAGTGCGGCTCAAAAAGTCTTATCAGCAGAACATTATATGAAATCATGCCTTGTTCTGTTCGTTTGGGGAATGTAAGATAACAAGTGCCCAGTCATGGTTTTAAATTTGCTACTATTCCGTAGAGTTCAAAATTCTCAAGTTTTCAAATAAATTACTAAAGTATGGTTCTTGAAGAAGAACAGCAAGTTTTAGGTATTCATCTAGGCGAGCACGAAGCACCTGGAATTCTAGAGGATAACTGGTTGATAATGGGTAACTCCAGCAGAGATCCGCGGCACCAGACTGAACTGGTCGATTCGTATTTTGAGGTGATGTTGCGGGAGAATTGGGAAGAAGACTCGTTTTCTGGGGGACTAGCAGGAATTGGAGCCAGAGAGGATCTGGCCAACGCAATGTACATTTTTGGTGACGACGTCATTGAAAGTTTGATCAGGCTTGAAGATGTTTCCGATGAAAACATTACCCCACCGGATCACCATGGGGAAGGCAATAGTGCGGAAGGCCAGGCGGTCAAGCAAGACACTGGTCAAGACGGCCATCAAGACGGCCAGGAAGACCCCCACCAAGATGACCCCCACCAAGATCTCGACTACAGGCATGCGAACTGCTCCGATGTTGTTGATATTTCGAGCAAAAAAAACCCGCAAAGAGTGGTTCGTATAATCACTCCAACAACTGCTACATTTCCGGAAATGGACTCTCTCGCTTACGACCCCATCTTCAGACCGGAGCTTCCCATGTTCAAAGTCACCATCAAGGAAGATATGAGTTGTTTGAAAGGGGACCATCTCGAGAAGATGAGAACACTTAGAGAGGTTCAACGCATTATCGGTAGGAACGGCCGTGAATTTTTGACGGAGATAAGACTGACGTTTGCGGATCAGTACGCTTCATTCTTTGAGCATGTTTCTCTGCAAGATCTCTGCCAGCCAGAGGTATACTCAAACAATCCAAACCCGCACATCACCAAGTTCATCGATGCATTTTACGGGAAAATATTTGGCTGCAGTCCGGATGTCTATTTCAAGCCCATTGATTCATATCCACCAGAAAAAAACGCGTTTTTGATCAGAAGAATGGTGCTTTTCCTTCCGCTGGAGGACCACAGGCATCACGTTTGCGGCCTGGAGTGTGTGCAGCAGACTGAAAGTGCAAAGATTTTGATCAGAAAAGACGATAATCCTCCGCAGCCATATGTGATCAATGTTTTTCCACCATTGTTGTATTTCCAAGTTCCCAACCACATCACGCTCCCAGATTCATTGCGAGACGAATCCTACCTGTATCTACCGTACGTGCCACCAAGTCGCGAGGTTACTGCTTATACTCCAAAAGTCGTGAGAAGAAGTTGCAATCAGGACTTGGCTTCTCGTATAGGCAACGAGGCACTCTGTCCAATTTGCACAAAACCAGGCTACTACTCCATGAACGGATCCAACTACTTTCACCACATGAAGACCCAGCACGGTATCTTCAGCAAGGGAGAAATCATGCTGCAGCCTCTTTATTACGGGAAACACCCTTCAAGAAAGACAAAGCGTTCTGGGTTCGATGAGTCCAGAAATATGGGAATATGTCCTCTTTGCTTTCTGGAGTTCCCCAATAACCCTATGTCTTATCTCTTCGAAATCAATCCATGGGCCGGAAAGGGCAATAATCCTTATCTGAACTATCTGAGGCATTGCGAAAAAAAGCACCAGATGAAGATCCGTCGGGCTTCACGGCGTTGAGCATGAAATAGGCCGTTTTTTTCTTCGTTTGCTTGACAAGATAACATCGTTGGTTTTTTTTTAACGCATTATAGGCATTTTTTTGTTATCGCTAATTAGCCCATTTCAATAGGTGCACCTTTCTCTGCATACTCTGATAAGAGTACTCCGTCACCCGCTCTTCATGCTTTTCAAATTCATTATCTACTTTGCTTTTGTGTATTCAATATATTCTGGTTCAGACTATTTAGCTTAAACCAACTTTTTGTCTAGTTTTCCTAGTGTTGGCCAGGTGTGCCTGATTTTCACTTCCCATCTCAAGTCTCCTCCGACTCCGTCAGCAATTTCTCAAACGAAAATGGACTGTACGCATAACCCTCACCCTCAAAGAACTTGGACATAGCCTCTACCCAGTGCAATCTCAGGGAATGTAACATGGCCGAGGTGCCCTCCATCACCACCAGAATACAAACGGTCAGTACAAACCACATGCCAAAGAGCAGCACCACCATGATTACCCCAGCATAGCCATTGTCTTTGTACGAGACGAATGAGTTGGAAATCGTCATATCCCACAAAACTGCAGAAAGCTGGTTGTGGGCCAATGACAATGCCCATAGACGAAGATACGAGGCCGTGTGCGAGACGCAGTTAAGGCAGAACTCGATCGTATGAATGACCTGGTGGATCATCACATCTCCGAAATTAAACTCCTCATCTGGCTCTTGGAAATCCTGGATCACGAAGAAATCAGAATCTTCGGCATCTTCTTCTGATTGCAACAGGTTGTCGAGATGCTCGTGTTCGTGGATATCGCTGTATCCCAGAGCAACAGATTGGCTATTTTGGCGACGCAACGTTAATGGCTTGTACAGCAACAACCAAGGAACACAAACCAGTGCGATGATCACCAATACCACCTGGACAAAGCTTTGGCCCTTGTAGAGCTGGGCCTCAATGGTTCCAGGCGAAAGGAACATGTTAATCAGCATGTTAAGCAGACTGGGGGCCGGCTTTTCCACCTTAATCCAGTCAATTGTCCACTTGTATACAATGGTGAGCGAAAGGTAGCCGAAAATGCTTTGCATGAACAGTAAACCAGGAATGAAGTTTCCGATGATATCCACCCGCGACTTGAAAAACTTGTAGTTCACCAGCGAGAAGTAAAAGGAGTAAGACATGTGGGCAAACCCCATGAGAATCGAAAGCTTCATCTTATAAGAGTTGGTGAAGAGAAGATTGTTCTCAGTTCCGTGCCAGGCGTAGTCCAGACCAAGGAAGTATGTTCCAGTCTGTGTAGCGGTGATGGAGTCGCCTGCCTTGAAGTCGTCTGGCCATTTCCAGCCACTTTTGAAGAGGGTCATCGACTTCGAGAACAAATCATTGTAAAGAAGACCAGTATAGATGGAGAAGGCACCCATAAGAATGAGGATATATCTTCCACTGTAGGCCATGTCGAAGATCTCATCTCGGTTCTTCATTGCACCGATCTGCTTCTCTTTCAATACCAGTACCAGAGCAGCCAGGAACAGCACCAATCCGTGACCCACGTCACCAAACATAATGGCAAACATGAAAGGAAAAGTCACCACCGAGGCCAGAGCAGGGTTGACTTCGCGGTATGTGGCCACACCGTACGCATCAATGATGTTCTGGAATGCGTCTGTAAACTTGTTGGTTTTGTGGTATGTTGGAGGTACTCTGTTGGTTTGCAGCTCGTTCACCACGGAGTTCACATCAGTTCTTGAACGGTCCGTAACATCTCGCAAGGCATTTTTCACCATCTGGAGATCGTTCTTCGGGATCCAGCCCTCCGCGATCAGACACCTTCTCGTCTGGTCGTAATTAAACAGGTTCATTGTTACGTAGATCGCCTTCTCTCGCTTGATCTCCACCTTCCACTTCAAAAGTTCGTGAGCAATCTCCTTGAGCTCCAGTCTCAGCCGGTCCTTTGTATGAACAAGAACCTGGTTCACATCATCAACCTTTCCGTTCAAGTCATCCAGTTGTGCCTTGAACACATCGTAGTTGCTGTCTACATCAAAGATCTTTCCGTCCAGGGAATCAACCACCTTCTTGCATCTTCTGATGAGCGTCTCCCCGTGAGTGAAGATGATGAAGATGTACTTGTAAACGTCTGTTCCCGTCTTTGCGTCTCTGATGGGCTCTTCGATAGGAACATAATTAATGTACAAGTTTCCTCTGAGAACCCTCCACAGAATTTTCTGGAGAGCAAAGAACCGGTCCCTGTCTATGGTACCGGCCAGAACGCTCATAGTGGCAGAAAGTGCGCCAAAATCAGTTGCTTCTCTGTTGGCATCCGTGGAATGACGTACAGGCCCGTAGCCAAGCTCCACCTCGATTTCCTCCACCAAGAGACCCTCCGTTTCATCGGATGAAGGTCTGAGGTTGCCTAGAGCAGTCTCGTCTTCCACCATCTCGAAGCTGTTAGAACGCAAATCAAAGAACTTCCTCGACCCAGTCAGAACATGCCTGTGTTCCAGTAGCCCTGCGTGTCGCGCCAAAAGTCCTTCTAAACTGCCATCAAGTTGTCTGACACTCGTATCGTATTGATCAATCACCTGGACAAGGTCGTCCAGTTGCGATGTGGTGGGTGTGTTCGTGTAGGCCATTCCACCATGTGAAGAAATGTGCTCGTAGCCCGTCAAAGGAATCGAACTCTCTTGTCTCTTCAACACCTCCTCCAAATACCGCAACTGTCTCTCTGTATTATCATACTTGCGTATTTCACCCACAAATGACCTCTGAAACGTGCTCACGTTTGAATTCAGGTCGCGAAACTGCACGTTCCCGATATCTCCCAGCACGAATACCACCTCACGTGAGATCTCAGTTGCCACATAGAACTGCACCAGCGACATTTCCGCCGAGCCTGGGGTCTTAGTTAGTATACAACTTCAAATTGGTGCATAAACGGGCTTGATAGCACATTTCTGCATAGAAGTAGCTGGCAAACGTCTCACGCAGATCGCTCTCCTTCGACTAAAAGTCAGGCCGGATGCAATTGGCACAGCCAAGAAAAATCACTCACGGAAAATCGCCTCTTCTGAAGATGACATTATCACCTAGTGGACTGAGGTTGGAAATGAGAAAAATAGACAACAAAATGGGCAAGATCAGTCAAGTGAATCTATACACGTAGCTTAGCCAGGTCCGCTCTCCTTGCGAGATTCCGCCCCGTTGAGATTTGATTCGAGCACGTAATTGTACTGAGTGGTACACGCATATAACCGGGATTATGTCGGTTAAATGATTGGTAGGGATGCAGGATTTGTTAATATATGGCAATTTTTGTGCTAATTGTATCTGGCCCTCTGTTTGAATTGTCAGATTCCGGCAGAGTTTAGCCAAAATGTCACTGGTTATGGAACCCCCATGGTTTGAGTGCACTACCACGTTCCCGACCGTCTGAGAGGGACGAGAGAGCATGCCGGCTAGAGGGAAAAGAACCTCATTTCGACAACTCTACCAACTCTTGGATACTATACAAAACAGCTGTAGGATTCCACCTCTCATTCTTGCAACCCAGATCTCCAAAGCAGCGGTTAGTTTTCGCCAGACAGTTTCACTAACATCACGTGACTAAAAGACTTCTCTGTATGTGCACTACCTCGTTGCGCCCCTCTTGCGGCGTTCTCTTTGTTCGTCTCCAGCTTCAAACTTAAAGCCACCTATTCTCCCCCAATTTCCTCCGTTTTGCAGCCAGTTTTTTGGGTGAGGCTGCCTTAAGACAACAAATCCCGACACCTGGTGCGACCATGTCGCTGGATACCGCGCAGGTACCCGATTCCGGAGTGGACTACCTGACAACCAACTACCCATCAGCCATATCCCGAACTTCATCCCTCCCGTCGTCCACCTCGGGAAGCACGAATTTGCGCCATCTTTCGTTCTCGGGGAGTGCAGCCGGTGCTGGAAAGGAGTTTCTGCAGAGTTTTATTCTGCCAGACCTTAAAGCTGTTGACTTTCTAAGATGCGAATTTCCGCCTGGTTTGGCTGTGTTTGACCGCGTTGTTCTTTCAGGTTACGAGATATATATAGTGGAACAATGGGCTTTGGACCGAAAAGTGGGTACTGTCATTACGACGTATACGGGAGATCCCAATGACGAGGTTTCGGCTTATGCGGTAGTGCTTACGCGCGACGAGTCGGAGTGGCCGCTCAGTTTTCGCTCGTACTTGAGCGAATTGTTGGACTCTGCCTATGCCAGGCTCAACAACACAGACTCAGGCTCGATCTTTATTACCAATCTGGGTCAGCTGACCGATTTGAGTTTGATCCCCGTCCCAAACGGTAACATAGATGAGGTTTGGGAGCTGTTCTTAGTGAACGAGAACCTCAAACGATTCGGTTGTGGGAGTAGATCTGCCCTGATGCTGGCGAGTCCGAGCAAAGCCGCCGAAGACAAGTTCCGCCAGATGTTCCGGGTGCACTCGTCTGTGGCCATCAACTATGCCTCGGTAGAACTGGTGATGATCCTCCAGGTGTTTCTGTACTATTTCGATCTGCTAAATCCCATCTATGGTGATGGATTGCTGTGCAACAAGACTGTTGATGCCATTGACGCATGGAGGAACTTGTATGGTTCGCGGTATTTGAAGCCGTCGTTCAAAAGGACTGACTGTCTCAGTCCAGCCACTGTGGCAGGGATTATCGGGATGGTTCTGGTAATTCGCGCACGGTTAGATGAGGTTGGAAACAACGTGGTTGCGCCAAAAGATCCACTCAACACTGAAAAGTTCCGTCTTGCCGTTGGTCAGTTCCAGCGATATGCCAATAGGTTGTACAGCTCGATGCCGGTATACACCGCACCCAGTCTCGGGCTTGTCACTTCTCCAGGCCACGAGAGAGACGCTCTTCCGGTGGTCCTGAAGCTGAACGCTGCAACGATTGATCGGCTTGTCGAAGCGACCCTTCCCAAGAACCAAACTTTGAAGAATGATTTGCTGAAGGTGAAACGTATGTTCAAGAACACTGTTTCGGATCTGAGCTCAGGAAAGACCCTCCAAACTCTCAACATCGCCAGTCCCGTGATTGGATCCGCAGAAGGAGGTCAATTGGGACTAACTTTTGACGAAGATTGTCTAGATCTGGACTACGTTCTGCAGTATATCCATGGAAAGAGGATGATGTACTTGTGGAAGGGCAAAGGCAGTGCTGTTGATCTGGACAGTGTTCGTGTTTCGAGCCTTACCCTCAAGGAGATCAGCAAGACGGTCCATGTTCGTGCAAGAGCCGATGTTACAACATCGCCAGATAACTCTGAGTTATTTCACAACAATATGATGCCCACCATGAGCTCCCTGGTGGATGCTGGTGACAGGCTACAGCATGCACTGCGCAGTGAAAGTATGACGAATGGCACCAAACCTAGTGGTCTTCTCCCCAATGGAATGGTTTCGAAGAAGAACGGGTCCAGAAGCCGCAGTGATTCGGTTCAAATCACGAAACAGAAGTCTAACACTATTATCGATAGGGGTAGCTTCACGGATTTGAGTACGAACGGAGACTATCCGAGCAGTTATAACGGGCCGGTGGGGCAGATTGGACTGAAAGCTGCACGGCAGGAAGGTGTGGATGCGGCTTTCTATTCTCGCCTGAACAGGCGGTTTTCCTTTCCGTTGGCTCCAGAGGATTTGAGCTTGCCTACTATTGGTAATCGTGATTATGCCAAAGACGAGACAAACCTGTCTGGAACGCCATTTTTCACTCCTCGCAACGAACTCAGTAGTTATACTGTCCCTGCCACTTCGAGAGCCTCTAAGCTGCGCAGATCGAAGAGTTTCTCGCTGGTTGAAGGTGCTCTTCTAACTTGGCAGTATCCGTTCCTACCGTCGCCGGAGTGGCTTGCCAAGAGATATCTGGTTGTGAAGGCTGAGTACGAAGATGAGTTTCTCCGGAGCGACTACCAATTCAGAGAGACTTGGAAACGTATTCAGGCATGCACCAGGTCCACCATAGCCAACAACCCGCTGAAGCAGGTTTCGTTGAATCATGTTGTTTCTTCGAAGCATCTGGAAGACATGCGTGAGTCCGTTCGCACATCCCAGCATCTTCTGGAAGCCAAAGCCGCTGACATCGAGCTTCTGAACTCGCGTCTCAAGTACGAACTCCGTTTGCTTACGCTGAAGGTGAAGGATGTGGAGCAGAATCTGATGCAACTGCGGAACTTCAAGATGAAGGATCTTATCGAGTCCATGCGTTACTATGAAGCCAAATATATGGGGCCAGAGGCGATGGAGTTGCAGGTTCCGCTGGAAACCAGAGTCAAGTCCGTTGGATCGGACGATAATCCAGTTACGGCCTTTTTGCTGTATATCTACGCATATATATTATGTGCCATCGGTAACATATGGTTCCGAATTGTCCCCAAAGTCAATGCAAATAAGATCAAGTCGCGTTGGGAAAAGGTGGATCCAAATGGAAGGTTGGCTGAGTATTTTGCGAAGCTAAATCAGAGGGTTTCCAAGGCAGGAGCCAGTACTTATGTGGCATGTCCAGCAGTGTTGCCCCGAGGCACCGGTGAAGATTGCTCATTGGTTTTGGAAGAGGTACAAGAAAACGGCAAGCATGGAAAAGAAGAGGCAGAACAGGAAAGCGATAGAAAGCATGCACTTTAAGCTGAAAGTCCACATAATAAGAGTGGTGCACCAAAGAAAGACGTCCCACTACAGGAATAGCCTTGACGCTCTACTAACTGAGATTCTAACCAATGATGTTCGGTCTCTATGGACCGCTAGTGTACACTATATATACATAAAAGCCGAGCTTGTTTTGTGGTTCATGGTGAAGATCATTCGAGATAGTGGAATAAATGATTCATCATTCTTTCTCTCCATCGTCAACCAAACGAGCCTTCGAGGCTATTCTTTTCTTAGCCTTCGCTTTTGCACTCTCAAATTCCTCGAGCCGACTCCTCAGCAGTTGCACTTCCTTGTCCAAAGACTCCATCTTCTCTCTGAACAAATCATCATATCCACTCTTGTGATGCATATCGTAGTTCTTTTTGGTCGACACAGATGCCTTGATCAATGCAAGCAGATCTTCGTCTTTCGCCAAAACCTCCTCGTAACACTCGTTGATATAGTCTTGTCTCTGTAATCGCTGAAGGATTTTCCAGTTGCCTGCCTCAAGCCTGGCAATTTCCTGAGATTCCTCGTCTAAATCGAGGCTTACGCCAGTCTCTTCGCTCGATCCACGGCTTTCCGACACCATCAGATTCAGGTCCTCTCGCACATTGGCGCCTAGCTCTTTGAGTTTGGCGTCTATTCTGGCGCTTTCAGAGTACTCATCCTGTAAAATCTCTCCCAATTTTCCCAGTAGCGTTTTTACATACACGACATCGACCGGAGAGCCCATTGCATAATACAAGGCAGGAAATATGTTGATTCCCCACAGCGTTACAATCAAACGCCAGCTTCAAACGCCTGGTATATTCGGCCGGGTAACCCATTTTTTGACGCCTGGTCTTCGGTGCGGCTGCGCGGCTTCTGCTCAGCGTCTAGTGAAGCTTACTCGCCTACTGTCACATCCTCTAAACGAAATTCGAAACGTGAAATTATAAAAAGTAGATGTATTGGCTGGACAAGAGAGACTCCCGTACCAACTCGACAAGATCCTGATATTACAACGGGGACTGAGTTCTACCGCGGGAGAGGGTAGATGATATTTGTTTTCTTATGTCGATGATCTTCTCAAGACCTATTTCTTTTCTTTCTTCTCCTTCTTGCTCTTCTTCTCCTTCTTATCTTTCTTGTCCTTCTTGTGCTTCTGCTCTTTGGCCTCTTCTTCGTCGTCGGACACGTCTCTCTTACGCTTCTTATCCTTCTTATCCTTCTTGTCCTTCTTCTCCTTCTTCTCCTTCTTTTCCTTCTTTTCCTTCTTCTTAGGCTTCTCCTCCTCATCTTCAGAGTCGCTCTCATCGTCTGAGTCAGCGTCTTCCGCCTTCATGGAAACATCGGCAACGGCATCAGCATCCTCGTTGTAGGACTTGGAGGAGGAAATCTCAACCTTCTGCTGGTCACGTGCGATTTTGGAAGTAGTCCTAAGATCACGACCTTCAAGCGCACTAAGTCTGGACTCGACCTTGGCTCTCACCTCGAGCCCGTAGTCACCAGAATCATCACGCTCCTCGGCAAGCGCGTCATAACGAAGCGCAACGGCAGCCTTGGCAGCAAGCACACGGGCAATCTTACCCTTGTTCTTTCCGGTGGCTTGTCCAACAAGCGAAGCATGGTATAGAAGACCGTACTTGGGTGTGTCATGTTTGGTCTTCAAGGCTCTGAAAAGGGCTTTCTCGGCTCCGAGGATCTGAATCGTGGAGGCTGGGGCCTTGGCAAGAGACATTAGCGAACCGGCGTGCGCAATCAATCTAGCACCAACAAGCTCACCAACAAGCGAGGTTAAATTAGGAGCAATCGCCTTCATCCTCGATGACAAATAGTTCGACAGTTGTTCACGATACGCAGCAAACTCAACGATCTGTTCGGCTAAAGCCTGTATGTTCTCGAGATCGATAGGTGTGATTTCGGTACCCATCGAAACTTCAGCAGCGGTCTTCACCTGCTGCTCAGCCTCTTCTGGCAAAATTGCACTCAGGTCGACATCTGAGGCGTTAGATCTAACTCCCATGGTCAGTATAATACGAGCATATGCCACAGAGTCGGTGATGATCTTGGCCAGCTCTGGAAAGTGCCATCCGTACCACTCCTTGCATCTCATGGCGTAGGTGTTCAGTTCCTTGTCCAAATCATCCAAAAGAGCGATAGCCTGCACAATCATGGTGTCCACCTTGTCGGCGCTGAACTTTAGCTTGTGACGGCCCATGGAGTGAGCCAGACCAAGAGACATGGTGGAAAGGTCACGGTCAGTCATACCGGGCAAAAGTTCCGGCAGGTACTCCCTCACAGCTCTGTAGAGGTCCAGAGTCACGGCATCTGACACAACAGACAAGTTAAGTCCCAACTTGTTGATGGAGTTGGCCAGCTTGGTGTCCGAGACAACCAGAGTAGCCTTCTTGGAAGACTTAGCCTCTTCCAACAACTTGGCCAGCTGGTCCGAGACTTTTCCCTCAACGATGGCATTGGATTCTTCCAGGGCCCCAGCAGCAGATGTGAACTTGGAGAAGGCTGCGATCTTGAACTGGCTCACCACCTTCTCTGGGGTGTTGAGGTCAGTGATCAACGACGACGACTTGTAGATTTTCTTGTCAGTGGCCTTCAGCAGGGCGTAACCCGCAGCAGTTTCAGTCAGAACAAAAGCCATGGTTGGATAAACGGCTGTTCGAATATTTCAACCTTTGAAGTTAAACTGGCAACTGTTTCAAGATGGGAGAAGGAGGATGTCTTGTTACTGGGGCCCTCTGAAATTTTTTTTCTTTCCAAAAATCTCTGCATGGTCACGTGAGTGGTTGATGCACGACACGGATTGAGATAAGGCTGGCAAAGAGACGAAATGCGACTCAGTGTGTTCAAGTTTGATTTGTCGCAATTATATTTGAACGCAAGTGTTTCTGGTGGCTTGGATAACTTTGGTTTTGTCTTCATGTTTTTAGTGTGGCCAGTTTGGATAGCTAAGCGGTAGAGCCAGCTACTAGATTTTGGGTCGCACAGTGGAAGTTAGACCACGATATCAGATTGAGAAGACTACAATGCCTTGTACGATTGTCAAATAAGGTTTTGTGGAATTGAGTGATACCATGTTCATTTGCTGTCTGTCATAGAAACCCTCAATTCTACGCCGCATATTGGCTTCAGCATTATTAGCCACCTCCTTCACCACCTTGACGGCCTCGTGCGACTTTCTGAGGTCTCGTCAATTGCCTCCCTTTGATCTCTAACCCAATTACTTAGTCTGCCGTGAGAGCCTCAGTTTTGTTCTGTTCAAGTGAGTCGATGCATCTCAATCGCTTTGCTTCAATAAGATCGTGGATACCCCAATCCAACTCTTCTTTGTTTCCTCAACATTCACAGCCTTATGAAATATCCGAGATAGTTTAGTGGCTAGAATCCCCGCTTGTCGCGCGGGGGACCGGGGTTCAATTCCCCGTCTCGGAGTCTCCATTTTTTTTTGAATTCAAACAAAATAATCCAACAGAACCCCAATGTTATGTCTTACAATTTTTTTTACAGTTTTCAGGTAAACAATTTAAATTAGGTGTGGTAGATAGATGCGAACGGTCCATTGGACATGGTAATGAGTGCGGCCTAATAAATGGCCTGTGAATGGCCTATTGGCCAAAAAATGAGTGCCTCTGTTGTATTTCGTTTTTTGTTTCTTTGCTGACTGGAATCCTACTTCCGCTGAACTCCCCACTTATCGTAGGCGTATAATCCAGCGACAGTGAGAACCAATCCCAGCCATTGGATGTTGGTGAGAGAAGTGCCCTCCACCAGAATGGACCCCACGATAACACAGATCCGCTTCATGATGTTGGCAATGGAATAGTTGATCGGAGAAATCATTCCGAGAATTTGGAATGCCACTAAACTCTGCGCAAAGTGAGACGATCCGTTGATCAGCATAGTCCACATCATTGGGGTTCCCACCAGAGAAAGTGAGAATGCGTTGGATTTGGAGTTGGAAACCTCAGACATGATGTAGATGGGTAATGTTAGACCGAACCCCACCAGAGAACAGTAAAACAAAACCGTGACTTTGTCCAATTTTTTCTCTGTCTGCTGGAAGTGGTTGCTGAGATTTAGCGAAGACTTGTCCGTCTGGAGTGGTATCCGTTCTGGTCTGGCACTAAGTTGTGGTGACATTTGCGCTGGTGTCATTGAAATGGGCAGAATGGGTGTGGAAGCCGCAGACTCGGAACGAACCACCTTCAGGTTCGATCTGAAAGTCTGGTTCTGGCTGAGACTCAACGACTTGGCAGCTTCCGAAAAGAAATCGCCAGAATTGGGCTTTGCTTCGAACGTGAGAATACGCTTGGCAAAGATGTTCTGCGACACAAAAATGAGCATGGAGAGAAATGCAAACATAATGCCCTTGTAGAAGAGGTCATCGTTGATAGCCAAGTTATTTTTCAGGCAACTCAGCATGACTCCACTGACAAGCGGTACCAGTGTGAGGTAGGTTTTGGTTGAAAATTCCACCTTGAAGAGCGACCTGTAGATGACAACCGTGGTGATGGGCGACAACGCCTTGATTGTGTGCACCAAAGATACGGGTATAATTGATGTAGCCTTGTGCGAAGCTATGTGACCCACAAACTGAAAAATTCCCATTGGCAGCGTGGTCATAAGCACAAAACGGGTTGGTTTGGTGAAGTCGTGAAGAATCGAGTATGACTGCGAGTCCAGATTGGCTGGGAACGTTCCCGTAGGGAAGATGTCCACGATAGACCTTGGTCTCGCAGCATAGAGCGAGTTTGGGTTGGTTCTTCTCGTGTTGAAGGCACGATCATAGCTGCGAACCGCACACACCGTTAGCAGGCAGAACGCGGCGTTGAGCAGGAATTGGATTTCAGTCAAGGTGACTGGGTATGAGAATTCGCGAAGGATGGACTTGGTGGAATTGTTCGAGACGACACTGGTCGAATACCAAATAGAACACAAGAAGACCAGTTTCCAGTCAATCACAGGCAGAATCCGTGTGTACCTCTCGAAAAGCCCCGAGACCCGTTCGATGGGTCTCTGGAGCCTTGTCTGTTTTAAGTACAGCATGCCTGACATTTGAATCACGACGATATCCGTAGCCAACGACGCTTTTCAAACAAAAACAACGCTGAACAATTGATCCAGATCAATATAGGAATGAATTCCAAAAAAATGTCAAAAAAATATGCTTCAGGGGCGGTAGTGGGTGTAGATCTCAAAGATCTGCACTGTCGATCAATCGGATTTGACCTCGACGGGGTTGCTTCGCGTGAGGCAACTTTTAGCGTGAGACAAGCGAAGGGAACGATACGAGGTGGCCTTTTGTGTGCACCGGTAGTATCAAGAGATTGAGACAAATAATCTAGCGAAGAAGCCGTAGTTGGTTGTAGGAGAAAAAGTTCAAGTGTTCTAAATATGACATGAAAAAAAAAAACAGTCTAAAAAAGAAACACCAGGGAGGCCAAAAGGGTAATGGTTATGGTGCCCTGGAATGAGATTAAGCCCCATCCAGCACGCGTACCTGGATGATATTTCAAAGTCCTGGGGTAGAAAAACGAGTTAGGGAGGAGTCTTTTTCTCTTTCCCTGATAAAAAATTATCAGGTGAAATTTCTACGCTTGACCTATCTTTATATCACGTTTTTTCATCCCCCTAATTCTACTATACAAGTTCACGTGTGGCTAGCGCGTGGCTGGCGAGTGGCTAGTGCATGGCTGGCGAGTGGCTTAGATCATGCACGTACGCGAGCACATTATGCGTCTGAATCAATTGTCCGCCGCACGGTTCCTGCGGTCCACCTTATTCTTGCCTGGTGCCTTTCCGTGGAACTTCTGCGCGGCAAACTTGTACGCGGCTTTTGTGTCGAGTTCACGGCCTTTGTCGTCTCGATAAACGATTTTGATCTCTGGATTGTAATTGGCCATTCTCTTTTCCTGGATCTTCGCGTTGGCCTTTAGGAACTGTTCTCTCTGTTCTTCTGCCAATTTTTCACGTTCCTTACGAGTCAACCCTTCTGTTCCTGCAGCTTCGACAGGCTGTAGTTTCACCAACTCCATCTCTGCGTCTCTTTGTTCCCTGGAACGTCTGTTGTGGCTTGCAGTAGTGCTGATCTCAGATCTTTGCTCAAGAAATTTTAATGCAGACCCGATTCCGCCCGACCCAAACGCCTCTGTCTCGCTCTTTTTGAGCTTATTAAGTATAGAACTTGTCGGTGTGGTCACATCTGGTGAGTTTGCAGTTTCGGGCACATCTGCACCATTAGAAACCTCGGGTTTTGATATCTCTTTGTTTCCCAAGTCCTTCGCTTCCGCCTTCACAACCGGTCTGAATCCACTTAGAAAGTCCAGGGTTTCATCAACAACAAATGATTCGCTCGTATCCATTGTTTCAGGATTGTCCGCCTCTTTCACGTCCTCAACGGACACCACCTGTTTCTTCAGTCTCTTTCTCCTCTCCAGACTAAGAAACCGCTCCAGCTCCTCGTCGTCTTCAACTACATCAGCACTCTGTAGCTCAACACGTGTGGGCTCCTTGAGTTGTTCAACAAGTTCATCATCAACATCCACGGTCTTTGACCGCCGGTTTTCCTTCTTCTTTTTAGCCTTTTTGATCTTAAACGTTTGATAATCTGACTTTTCTTGCTCCACAGAATCCTCAAAGAGATCGCCTATTGGCTCGTGCACCAAATTCCTCGTCTTCTCTAAAGCCCTATCGCTGAATTCTTTATCCTCATCATCTTCGTCATCATCATCGAGATCACGACCCCGTTTCTTTGCCTTAAGATATTTTTCCACTTTCTTTTTGGTTTCAAATGCATCATTGGTCAATTCGTCGCCATCATCAAATATAGATCCATCTTTCAATGTCATAACCACGTCGCCGTCGCCATCTCGGTCTCCATGAATGATAACTCCTTCAAGATCATCCGTCTCAACGGGTTTTTTGGGCCTTGGCATTTTGACCGCTTTCTTCGAGACAACATTCTTTCCAAGCTTATTCAACCAATCATCTTCATCCACTTCTTCTCCAAAATCCAACACCGACACAGGCCGTTTCTTCTGTTCTAATCGCTGCCGCGTGTTTTCCACGCGCTCAAGCACTTGCTGAGCCTTCTGCTCTTGTTGCTTTTTCAACTCAAATTCCCGCTGGTTCATAGTCTCTTGATCCTCCCGACTTATTTCTGGCCTTTCCAACGGTCTCAGTCCAAGTGAAATCCGTAATTTATTTGTTTCATCAACGCTAAGTTCGCCCTTGGCTTGGGAAGCGGTTGCCGGTGTCGAAGACTGCACCGGCAACGGCACCGGCACAGGTATGGGCTTCAATCCCAGCTGCGCTCGAAGTCTGTTTGTCTCTTCTAACGATATGGATGACTCGTCCATGCTGTTGAGGAAATAGCCAGGCACAAACCACCTTCTGAGATAATGCACCTAACTATCAAGCATTTGAAAATATTTTGCGTGTACAACCAAGAAGTAGTGTATACACCTATTTCTCTCGCGCCACACCTGATTGCCAATTTGAGCAATCAATGTCCTAAATGTCCTTCTCCGCAAAGCTCCCTAGGCCCCCAAACTGATCACTCCTTCCTGCTTCGCTTCCTTTTTCACTTTCTTTCTCAACACTTTCCTCAAAAACTGCACCCAAAATCACCACCGCAATGGTTCACTACTTAATTGACGAAAGAGACCCTGCTGAGTCCGCCTTGGAGGCTCCATACCTCAAGCTCTACACTTTGGCCACTCCCAATGGACAGAAGGTGACCATCTTCCTTGAGCTTCTTGGAAACGTCGATTACCACGTTCGTACAATTGACATCCGCAAGAACACTCAAAAGGAGGATTGGTATTTGGAGATTAACCCCAATGGCAGAATCCCCACACTCACCGATGTGGACGACAAGGGTAATGTCTTTCATATCTCTGAGACAGCTGCAATTCTGTTGTATCTTGCTGACAAGTATGACAAGGAGCGCAAGTACTCGTACGAGCCAGGCACAAGGCTATATTATGAGCAGCTTGAGTGGACATTTTTTCAAATGGCTGGCTTGGGCCCTATGAAGGGCCAAGCCCACCACTTTGTGCTCTATGCGCCTGAAAAGGTGCCATACGGGATCAAGCGTTACACTGAAGAGACCCGTAGACTGTTTGGAGTCCTTGAGATCAGACTCGAAAGGAACAAAACCGGGTTTTTAGTGGGAGACCATCTCTCCATCGCCGACATTGTATCGTGGCCATGGGTTAATGGCTCCGAGAAAATCGGCATTGACATCAATGACTTCCCAAGATTGTCACAATGGCTTGAGAACATTGGAAAGATTGAGGCCGTTAAGCGTGGATCCACAATTGGATCATTGACCGCTTGAGGCTGGTTAGAATGCCATTTTTCTGGGTTGTATCTAACCGATGCAACTCTATGGTGTTTAATCATAGAAATCAACGGGCGTTCCCAGTTTTACATCTAGAGTGTCTTATTATACAGTTCTATGCGAAATTTCAGCCTGTCGACTGTGCTTAAGGGTGAGGTTCCAATCAAGCCCCTTCAGCAATGCCTCTGCTACCGGATTGCAATAAAAAGAACGAATTCTCGAAGGCGTGTAATTCGTAATATCGTAGCCACTACCCCTTGTATCCACTATGTTCATTTTGTCTATCTGGCAATGGATGAGTGGGTTGGAAGAGTTGTCAAAGTCCCGCCTGCCCTGCTTCGTGAACCCATTGGGACTGGCTATCATAAAGAAAACCCGACTCCGGTCTCGCTCTGGAACATTGTTGAGATATGTACCATTAATCTCACGTATCATTCGCGTATCAATTGATGTTTTTTCGTAGCATTTGCACTGCACAAACAGCTTCACATGGAGGCTCTCTGCATTTTTTCGCTCCACAAGTGGTTTGATTCGCCTAGAATTGACCATGATGGATCTGGAAGCCACCGGGGATTCCACGGGATCAGCATCTTTGAATTGGTTGAGATCCCAATTGGCACGAGCATCAACTCCTCGGTCGTGTGCTCCTCCTTGGTGCAAGATATTCGATAGCCATAGATTCTCCTGGAGTAGTTCCAACGTTGTGAGTTCATATACATTTCCCTTGAACACAGTTGAATCGGTAGAGACGCCTCCTTGGTGAGCATACGAAAGATACGCTGCAACGCTCTTGTACTTTGTCGCAGGATTGGTCTTCGATTTCCGTTTTTGTTGCGCTGGTACACGTTTTGCGGGTCCTTCATCTTTCACAGTTTCCTCTAAGTCTCGGGGCTGTGTTATCGACAGAGATCGTGTCCTGTAGACTCTTGGCCGAGAAATCAGTCCTGTCAACAGTCTTCCATAGTTGGACTTCGAGTGCGGTATGAGCCGCGTTCCCAGCTCGAGCGTGAGCAGTATCATAGTCCACTAGTCTAGTGGCAGCAACTTCCTGAGTTCTGGCGCCAGATCACACACAAAAACTCTCGAAAAATTCAATGTCGTCTGCGTTGAGAAGGAAGCCTTTTTAGTTGTGCCATTTGGCACATTTGGCACGCGAATTATTCAGATACGTGAATCGTGTGTCGCCCAAATGTTTTTGGCGTCTGATCTCTGGCGCCTGTTTCTGGCGGTTAGCCAATTTCGGTCTATAACAAGTAACTGCAATTATCAAGGTTTTCCGGTGTTTGTTGGTGTTTTCATGGAACGAAAGGACTCAGAAGCGTCAACTACGAGTTTGACTGAGCCCATTGTTCCGCGGGGCGCTTCCCGTGAACAAGCTACCTCAGGGTTGTCATCTGAGACGGCACCGATAAGCGCGCTAGAGATCGCCAGCGAGATGGAGACAACCATCAAGGGACTTCTGGCAAAGCTGGACAAGTCAGATGCTGATCTGAACCACCAGTTCCAGGTGATTGAGAGTGGTCTGGCCAGTCTGAAAGCAAAGGTCGAGAGGTGAAGATGCGAGGACACGATGTTGACATACACTGGATGCCTGTACGGGTCTTTGAGCCTCTTTCATCTGTCATAGACTATTATATACATGATTGACGCTGATTTCTGTTAAATTTCAACCTAGTTTATATGTAAAAGGAGCTTACCCGTAGCACCCATAGTTAAATATGTGTCAGTACACGACCCATCCGTTACATTTTTGCAAGAACCGCAGTAACTTCTTGTTCCTTTGTTGAACGCTGCGATACCCACAACATGGCCGCTGCTAAAAAGTCGAAAAACCAGCTGCGACGTGAGAAGGCTAAGGCCAAGAAGCTGGTGCCGACTGATCTCAAAACGCCGAAAACAGTGACTACAGCGCCAAAGAATGTATCAACCGAGGACAGCCCAGAACCAGAGCAGGAGGAGTACGTTGTACATATGGATGTGGATGTGGATGGCATTTTGGAAGATCCAAATTTCGCCGATTTCAAGCGTGTATTTGACAAGTTTAGGGTTGATTTAGAGCCTGAACAAAAGGTCAAAGATGAAGACAAGGCCAAGGGTGATTTGATGTATAGTGATGACGAGGCCAAAGACGAGGACGAGTATTACGTGGAAGATGAATCAGAAAATCATTTGAGTAAGAAACAATTGAAACGCATGGCTAAGATCTCGATTGCCGTGTTGAAATCGGAATCGAAGTCACCCGAAAAGGTGGAATGGTTCGATAAAGATGCTCCAGACCCACGGTTGGCGGTGTTTTTGAAAACGCTCCACAACGTGGTTCCCGTTCCGGATCATTGGTCATCGAGGAGCGGATATCTTGGTGGAAGACGTCGGAGTGAGAAGCCAGGATTTCAGCTTCCAAAGTTCATTTTGGATACAGGTATATTGGAGATGCGTGACTCTACTAAAGAAGACGAATCCACTCTTACGCAGCGCACTCGTGATCGTGTACAGCCAAAACTAGGCCAATTGGATATTGATTTTGGCAAATTATACGACGCTTTCTTCAAGTTCCAGACGAAGCCCCCACTGCTTGGGTTTGGGGACGTTTATTATGAGGGTCGCGAGACTAGAGACGACAGCTATCGTGATTTGCGACCGGGCAAACTTTCGGCTGAACTGCGCAATGCACTTGGTCTTCCTCCTGGAGTTGCACCTCCATGGATTCCATTGATGCAAAGGCTAGGTCCGCCGCCAAGTTACCCCCATATGTCTATGAATGAAGAGAAAGACGTGAGTGTTGCGTCGAACTTGGGTAATCCGGTCGAAAAGACGGCGTGGGGCAGTCTACAGCCCGATGAGGAGTCTGAGGAGGAGGAGGAAGATGAAGAAGAGGATGATGACGACGAAGAGGATGACGACGAAGAAAGCGCAAAACACAGATACACCGTCCCGATAGAGCCTGCAGGTGATGTGCCTTTGGAGACCATCGGGGCAATACCCGTTTACGAAGCTCAAGAAAGTGAGGATGACCAGGATGAAAGTAGGCCGAAACGACTATATCAGGTGCTGGAAGAAAAATCCTCGAGACAAGACGGTCTGCTTGGTCCAGAGCAGATAGAATACGATCTCAAGAAGCCCAAAATCAGCCAAACTGGGGTCTCTGAAAAATCCGCCAATAATAGCCCCGCTCCGCGTGCAAAAGACAAAAAGTTTCGGTTTTGAGCATATATGTCGGACTACAGCCGTGTAATAGTGTATAATTTGAATGTGTGATGATCCATTGCTGGAATCTTGTAAATTGGCAATCTCCCTCAGTTAACAGCCTCTTCTATCTGCTCTGCCAAATTTCACCCGGTCCCCCATGAACCCTGCCTCCCCTTCTTTCCACCCTTAAAGGCCACAGTGGTTATCTGCGCTTCAACGAGCCCGAATAAAAAGAGGATTTTTTTCATGATACGACGGGTGTTGCAACCCGTATATCAGTCTCATTTATCCTGTACAGGTACATTGGGTGCGTTTGGCGGCTACACAAGTCCACGCTCGGCTGGACATCCCAGGTGTTACCCTTCCCAGCTCGTGAGAAGTTTCCGTCCCCAGCCCTCTACAGCTTCAGACACCATCCCTACACAGCACACCTCCAGACCCGAAAACCGACCAATGGGCTCTAAGAAGAGAGTAGCAATGGACGCTTCTTCTGAGATATCTGGCTCGCTACCAAAGAAGGTGCGTGGATCTGAGGACACGGCTTCATCAACTACGGCCTATACAGATAGACGTAGAACGGGGAAGCTACAAATGGTGGATGTTTATACGTTGGAAAACGTTGTTAGACAGCTACAAATGGCCATGAAGACAATAGTAAACATTGCTCCTGGTTCTGATGAGATCAAGTCGCTTTCGGACAGTTCCACAGAGGATCCTGAGAAGGTGGAGATTCTGGCAACCTACTCTGCAAGTGCCAGGATGAAGCTGGCGACTCTGTTGAAGGATGCAATTGAGAATGGCAGGCTCAAAGATTTCTATGAAGCGATCACTAGTTATGACGGAAGTGCTGGTGCTGAAACGTTCCAACTTTCCGATGTGGAGCTTTCCAGGCATGAGACTCCAGTCCCCAAGAAAAACGCCAGTCGAACTTCAGGAGGAGATTATCCACCTCCGCTGGTTCCCATAGCAAGTCTGTCACTATTGGCACGAGTGTTTACCCATAAATCGCGAGTGAACAACAAATTGTCCAAAGATCTGGCTAGGCAGTTGCACAACGAGAGGCTGGAATTGACGGGAGATTCCGTGTTGAACACTTGTATTACTATGATTCTCAATGAAGAATTTCCACAGGCCAGTGAAGGCCAAATCACTGTTTGGCGATCCAAGCTGGTGTCAAATGCAAATCTCGTGAAATGGGCGCGACTCTATAAGTTCGACGAGAAGCTCCACAAAGAAACCCAGGAGGCTTCTTTGGAAAAAGGAAAGCAGAAAATATTTGCGGATGTGTTTGAGGCGTATGTCGGGGCTCTTTCTATGGAAGCAGGAACGGATTTGAAGCGTATCCGTGATTGGCTGTATGATTTGTCGCGACCAATGCTTGCTTCTTTTGCCAAAGAAGGTCAAGGTCTGTTGTATGATCCTCAAGCAAAGGTGACTTTATACGCTTTGATAGGCTCTGCGAAATTGAGTCCTCGTTATACCATCCTGGTTGCTGGTGACGGAAATGACGATAGTTTTGAAGTTTCATGTACGATGGGAGGAGAGGAGTTGGCACGGGCCAAGGGCAGGAGTTATAAAGAAGCAAGCTCTAAAGCAGCTGCAAAAGCGCTAGAAGACCGTGAGGCGTTGTCAAAGTATAGTATGGAGAGAAAGTTAGCGACACGTGATGAGCAAAAGGTGACGGGAACTGAAAAGCCGGTGGATATTGCATTGGAGGGATCAGTCGAGGGAACAAAAAAGCAGAAAAAGTCCAAATCGAAGAAGAATCCCGAGGAAAATCAAGCTTGATTATCTCTTGATTCGGATTAATTAAAATGTATATGTAATGTTATGAGCGCGCATCTGTTTTATGTGCGGCGTTAATTTTGTGAGAACACTTTCGTTAAAGATTATGGGTTTCAAGGCGAATTGAGAATAGCATTTGCACGTGGCCGTGCTTCTGATTGAATAAGCGGTCGAATCAAGGATATCTATGCTGAAATCGTAAGTCGATTGGTCCATTGAAGCCGCTAAATGCAGAGGAGTTGCAGTTCTGTTGGATGGAGTGAAAAACGATCTACCCAGATACACATCTATTTAGAGCCTGATTCCACAAAATGAAGACAGCTCGGTGGTCATTTTATGAAAGCCTGTGATTACCTCCACTGTTCAGCAAAAACTGGCGAGGAGATTGCCAATGTTTTGGGCGAAACCATAAGACTTGGTCTAAAGAAACCGCAGTCAATCACCAGCTCTGTCAATCTTCACCCCTTTGCAACAAAATCGATGTTATATCATCATATAAATCGGTACTCTTTGTCGACAAGTCTAGAGCCAAAACTTTTACAAAACCACCATATTCGCCAAATCGTTATCGGGCTTTGCTTAACATCTCTCGGCCTCTGATTCGGCCGTTTGAGCCTCAGTTTGGTGGTACACGTCGCCTCATCTCTGATAACGGTGAAAGTTTTTTTTTTCAAGCCGGTAGGGTTCGCTGATAGCGTTTGACAGCAGTTGACAGAGCTTTTGAAGAAAAAGGTTTGGGAGCGAAAGGCAGCAGATCGAGAAACATTTCTTGTGTACTTGAGGTCCAGCCTATATCCAGGGTGTGTTTTGTTAGTTCTAGTGCATGTTACTCAGGTTGCTGAGAACACCCAGACTAGCGAATCGTTTGAGCAACCAGATTGCTGTATACACTTCCAGAAGGGCTATAATGTCAGTTGAAGACGTGGGATTGGGTCTTAAGAGACCCTTGTCGCCTGGTGTTGGCGGCGGGTGTAATGAAAATGTTAAGGCTATAGAGAAGAACGGTACTAAAGATGTGTCCGGCAGCCCGGCCCCAAAGAAACCGAGAAACTCCAATAAAAAGAAGAGAAAGTACAACAACAAGGAGCAGGAGCCTACTTCACCTTTTGGAGTGCTGAAATTTGAAATCGAAGAAATTATTGCGGAGAACGGGCTTGGTTTGGAGCAAATTGCCAACCCCATGACAGCCATTCTGAACGATGTGGAGATCAAGGCCATTTACAACCGGGTTGTTTCTGGAGTGAAACTGTTGAGATACGCATCAAATGGTGATTGTATTGCGCTGATTCCATCCCCTGAAAAAGCAGTTAATCCTGAGCAAACTCACCAGATTGTTCTCGTTCCCTTTGGCATACCTGGTGAAACGTGCAAGATCAACATCCACAAGTCGCACCCCAGTTACTGCGAATCTGACCTGCTGGAGATTGAAAAGGAGAGTCCTCTAAGAGATAATTCGTTGATCAAGTGCAAATACTTTGGAGCGTGTTCTGGGTGTCAATACCAGGCCGTTTCGTACGACCAACAGCTCGAGTTCAAACGCCAAACCGTGATCAACGCATACCGTTTCTTTGCTCGTCAGTTGCACGAACAAAAGAGACTTCCCGAGATCGGTCAGACCGTGGGATCACCACTTGAGTACGGATATCGTACCAAGTTGACTCCACATTTCGACATGCCCAGAGCGGGACTCAAGCCCGGTGCCACGCGACCAAACCTTGGCTTTGGCATGAAGGGCAGACCGACCTGGAGAAAAATACCGGACATGAACCCAGGTGCCATCATGGACATCGAGGAGTGTGTGATCGGAACCCCAATCATCAACGTTGGAATGAGAAACGAGAGACGCAATTTCGAGAACAATTATACGAAGTACAAGAAGGGTGCTACTTTTCTTCTCAGAGAAAACACCCGTACCGAAAACGATCCGCTTGAGGACGGGTCCGTGGACCCTTCAGGAGAAATCTCCATACTAAAAGAAGAAAATGTCACCTATGGTGAGGTTTTGAAGACGTGTGTTACCAATAATGGCCAGATTGTGAAGGAGGTCGTGGAAGGCTATCAGTTTGAGTTTGTTGCCAATGAATTTTTCCAGAATAACAATTCTATTCTTACAAAGATTCTGGGACACGTCAGAGAGAGTTTACAATTGGACCACAAATCGGAGAATTATCTAATCGACGCGTATTGTGGTTCTGGTCTCTTCAGCGTGACGAGTGCCAGCTCTGTTGAGAGGGTTGTTGGTGTTGAAATCAGTGAAGAGAGTGTAAGGTTTGCCAAGCGAAACGCGGAATTGAATGGAGTGGAAAATGCAAGTTTTATTCAAGGAAAAGCCGAAAAGATTTTCCAGGGAATTGACTTGCCTCACGATAAAACTTCCATCATATTGGACCCTCCCAGGAAGGGTTGTGATGAAATTTTCTTGAAGCAACTCGCAGACTTCAACCCCAAGAGAGTGATCTATATTTCCTGTAATGTGCACTCTCAGGCTCGTGATCTGGAGTATTTTTTGACTCAAACTGAAAACGGTGCGAAGTTCAGAGTGGATAGTATCAAGGGTTTTGACTTTTTCCCGCAGACCCATCATGTTGAGGGTGTTGCTGTTTTGAGCCGGAAGTAAAGTGAGAGAAGGAAAGAAGAAACTGAGTGAAGCTGGTTGTTAGGAAAGGAAACATTGAAATAAGTGTGTAGCAAAAACCAACTAGTTTGAACTGTCAATGACAAGACCAGTAGGGTCTGTTGGAAATTAATCTGATAACTATTTCTGGGATTTCCTATGACTGTTCTAATATCTAGAATACCTGCTACTGTCTTGAATTACTAGTTAGTATATTCTTGCTAATGCACACTGTATTAAACTAGTATTGACGTTGTACTACAGAATAGCATTGCCTAATAAAGCCAAGGGTCTCGTCTACAAATTTCCAGCACTCTCAAATGATTGATTTGTTAACAAAAAATATTTTTGTCTTTTACTCCAAAACTTGAAGGTGAAGGTCATCATTTTCGAAGAGTGGCACTGTCTAAGGCAGTTATTGTCTTTTATCCTTTTAAACAACCGGTATTTCGAGCTAAAAAGGGTATGCTAATAGCACATTAGCATTTCCCAACATAGGAGGGATTCCCTGCTAGGTTCACAAAATGGACCATTGCATGCAAAAACCAGGACTAATTCCTAGCCGTTCACATTGCCGAATTTCATTGACTTGCACTTGGTCTAATATTATGTCGCGGTATAAATGTTCCCTACAAATTTCAGCTACTCTCACCATTGTCTCCTTTCAGAAATCCCTTAATCAAAACGACTATTGTTCTCCTATACCGACAGTGAGCATTGTTCATCTCTCCCTCATTATTGTCTCCTCAAGGCCACAAGTTTGTGCCCCTCTGCCACTGCATGAAAGTACATCCACAACTACATTGAGTGTGGAGACCCCGTCACGACTACTCTATAACCATTCTAGCCACTAAACCTCAGATGACGTACCCTGGACACAAATGCTTAGCTCTTAAATACCCAGACCTTGTTTGTGTCAAAGGGTTGACAATTGCAGACGTCAAACGTGCGTTTTGGGAAATCGATCCGGAGTGCATTTGGGGCAGTCTTTCCGGAACTCAATAGCTTCCTCGTCTGCTGCCGCCCCTACAATAAGGTGGGCCGGGGTGCAACCAGAAGGAAGCACTTCCCAATGTGGCAGCCGTACATGTGTCTGACATCATCACCCCGCAAAATATGCAGCTCCCCCGGAACCCACACGCAAGAACGCGCCCCTCGTTTTGTGTGCGGGACGTAGACGGGGTAACTGTGCATATTTCCTGGGGTTCAACAAACAGGGATTTTCAGTACATCAGATTTTACAGATATAGTATATAGACTTCGGATATCCCGCGTTAAATTGAAAAGTCCATGCTTCAAGTAAGCTCAACAGTAGTCTGTGACACTATAGTATACACTGTGATATACTGATCTCTGTTGTGAATATACTGAATCAGACGTCCCCTATTTTCTCAGTGGTTGTATCGTTTTTATCATGGCATTTCTATCTCCTCTCTGGTACCAGTTCTTGGTGTGCTGTTTCGCCTCGGTCGGTTCTTTTACTTATGGCTACGATCTGGGAATCATAGCCCAGGTGATAGCTTCAGAGTCTTTCATATCTTTCTATAACAACCCAAGTTCTATCGACACAGGTCTTGTGGTCTCCTTGTTCACGGCAGGAGCTTTCTGTGGTGCCTTCTTTGCAGGGTTCATGAGTGAATATTTGGGTAGACGTTTGACCATCACCGGTGCTGCCATAGTGTTCCTATTTGGTAGCGGACTCCAAGCCGGTGCCCAAAATATGAAATTCCTGTTGTCTGGAAGATTCATCGGTGGTCTGGGTGTCGGAATCTTTACTATGATTATTCCACTTTATCAGGCCGAGCTGGCTCACCCTCGTATTAGAGGTAGTGTGACAGCCCTACAGCAGTTCTTCCTCGGAATAGGTTCATTGTGTGCATCCTGGATTGGTTACGGTTGTTACCTTGGATTCGACACAAACAACCAATGGCGTGTTCCATTAGGAATTCAATTGATCCCAGCAGGTATTCTGGGATCGTTGATTTTCTTCTTCCCAGAATCGCCCAGATGGTTGATTGAAAAGGGTCGTTACGACGAGGGCCATGCCACATTGGCAAGACTCATGTCTGGTGGCGATTTGGATGCCCCTGTTGTTCAAGTTGAACTGAACGATATCAAGAATGCTATTGATGATGACAGACTCAACCGTACATCATGGTTGGATATTATCAAGAAGCCATCCAATTTCCGTAGGGTGTTCATCGCGGTGTCGTTGCAAGGCTCCGTTCAGATGACTGGTGTTTCGGCCATTCAATACTATTCGCCCACTATTTTCGCCCAGATGGGACTCTCCACTGGTCGTACACTTCTTTATCAGGCCATCAACTCAATCATAGCTTTGATTGCCCAAGCGTTCTGTATTGCTTTTGTGGACAAGCTTGGCAGACGTTGGCCTTTGATCCTGGGAAATTTCGGAAACTGCCTCTGTTTCATTGTTGGATGCATTTTATTGGCTCAATTCCCACCATGGAAGGGTGAGCAGCCAAGATCTGCCCAAATCGGTTTTATTGCCTCGACCTGGATTTACAACTTTATCTTCTCGTGCACATGTGGTCCTCTTTCGTGGGTCATTCCAGCCGAGATTTTCAACTCGGCCACCAGATCCAAGGGTGTGGCCATTGCCACAATGACGTGTTTTGCCATGAACACCATGATCGGTCAGATCACTGATAAGGCTATGAACGATGTTTACTACAAGTACTACTATCTGTTCATCATCTGCAACTTCACTAATGCGATATTCTTCTGGGCAATTCTGCCTGAGACCAAGGGGACTCCTCTTGAGCAGATGAACAACTTGTTCGAGAACGCTCCTTGGTTCGTTCCAACTATGAAGAGGCACAACTATTTGAGCGACTTCGAGACTGAGGTCAAGGTGCAGCAATTGAAACATGAAGATGATGTCAAGCCTTCGTTTTCACATAGGGATGAGGGTGATAGTGTCAGTGATCATGCGTGAACTTTGATTTTTGAGGTTAACGTTGGTAACAATTTATCAAGCCTTGACATTTCCTAAACGATTGCTATCATGCTTGAACTTTTGCTGCTATATTTTTTTTTTTTGATTTTGTTCTCTGTTGTCCAGGACCGGGATCTAGTGATCTTAGCTATTTGATTCACGGTAATCGGACTGGATGTCAAGTTTTTGTCTAGGTAATTATCTTATCAATTTTCTATGCTTGATTTCCATCTAATTTGAGTTATTTCGTAGATAAGAATGCAAGTTTTGTTGCCTGCAGCTCCAGATGAATCTGAAAAAGAAAAAGCAGTTTTGGTCTTGCTTATCTTTCTTTTGGTCTGATAGCTCACAGTTATCAAAAAAAAACAGAGGGGGCATTCTGGGAATCGAACCCAGGGCCTCTCGCACCCAAAGCGAGAATCATACCACTAGACCAAACGCCCTATTTCTTGATATTTGAATTTTTTGGGTAAACCACATTGCATAAAATTGTTGGCACACGGAGGAAAGAGCCAGTGCCTACCAATTTCAAAACCAATCTAAATAACAGTAATTTTAGGCAATGAAGAATGGTCCGCTGTATGCCAATATTCAGTCTTGTCGTTCTAACACCTACAAATTTCAATGCACCCGCGTTTGAATTCATTTATACACATTGATCACTCCGCTCCTGTCAGCTGAGATCACCATCTCGTAGGGCTTGACTATGGTAGCAATGCTAGTGATAGCATCATGGTGGTTCTTCATCGAATTGAGCTGGTCCTGGTTCAACAGCGTTGACCTCGTTTTCATGGTCTTCAGTTTCTGAAGGCTCGAGCTTGACGGCGGCTCCTCAGACGAGTATCTTTCGCTCACGATAGTGAAATTTGGCGTTATTTGGGTAGATGAGAAGATCGTTGCAGACTTGGCAGTTCCTGAAACAACAGCTGACTCTTCGGGGGTGCTCAAATTCCAAAACAGTAACCTTTTGTCATGGGTTGAATTCACAATATAGAACGACTTTTGAAGATGGTTCTGCTGGCGCCATGACGATTCAACGAGTGCAATCGCAGTACCACTCTTGTCTTCTTTCCTATCCTGGAGGGTAAGCATGTCGAAATTCGATTCCAGCTCGAATTCTGTCTCGTCGTTGTTCACATCGATTGCAGTGTAATCTTCTAAAGAAAGGTTCACGCCGGACGAACAGTAGGCCTTTCTGCATTGCATTTTCGAAACATCCCAAAGAGTCACATCAGACTCACCAGTCCCACCAATTACAAACGCAAATCGGTTCCGTTTAAGCCCGATCTCAAACTCTGGTGGACACGCTTTGATCTCGTGGATCGGGAACCCACCCTTCATTCTAACCGACTTCAGATGCAGCTCGAATCGCAAATCCCAGAGATCGAGAACACCAGAATTGGTACCTATCAACATCCAGGATCTCTTATGATCAATGCAGAAGCTCCGAGCAACGCCATGGGACAATTTGTTCTGTAGGGTCACAACCGGATCCATGGTTCTGATGTCCAGGATCACCACCTTGCTAAGAGGTGTTAGCAAAATAAGATAAGGTTTGTCCATCGTAATTGAGAAACATATGGAACAAGCGTACTCTCCATCACCAAACTGAAATTCTCTCACAAGACTCAGCCTGTTGTATCTGCTGAAATTCAGGTTTTTCTCGAAACCAACTCTGAAGATCTTAACACTGCCATCTTTCAAAGCAACAGCAAAACAGTCTCTATTGTCGATGAAACTCAAGGCTTTCACGGCAGAAGAAAGCGATACAGAAAGAGACGATGAGCCGGTCACATTGCTTTCCAATTTGAGAGAATCCCAAATTTTGATCTCACCATCTTCGTCACCCGTGACAAAGTAGTTGTTGCTGGGAGACACGGCTACGCAATTGATACTGCTTTTGTGCTCCACAATATGCGCTACCAAAACACCTTTGGGAGACCATCCATGTGGCTGATCAGTCTTTGCCTTGGCGTTATTGGTGACATTGAAAGTTCTTCCAGTAGAAGGAAGGTTGCTCAACGTAGGCCCAAACTCGGAGTAATCGTCCAACGAAGGCTGGAAAGTGATACTTCCCAGAAACCCCAGGATGTAAGGGTTCTGTCCGTTATAACTGTGGTGAACCTTCGTGGTAATCTTCTGGAGCATCACCTTCTCATCAGCAACAATGTGAGCAGAATGGCTCGTGGTGGAGACGGTGTCCAATTCTGCAAACGCATTTTCCTGGTTTGCATGCAAAGACGGAGCTGCCTTCTTCATGTTGCCCAAAACCAGTGACTTAAGTCTCTTTCCAGCCTCAGTCTCGGTCTCTACCGTCGAGACTTGTTTGGAATTGTCAGAGGAAAGACCATTCGATGGGCTCGTCTTGGGAGCTTCTGGTCTCACAGTAGGAGTCTCCGAATCTGTGAATACGAGCTCTGACTTATGGCTGACATCGAAAAACACGTTCCTGGGCATAAGGCTAAGTTTCTGCACCTCTTGGTCCATTGGGCCGGCATCTGTGGTGTTGGAGTGGTTATTAGATCTTGCAAGACGGAAAACATACCCCCGCAAAGTGGCTACTTTCCATATCTCAGTTTCAGCTAGTCCCGACGCTTTGAGTCTATCTACCCAGCCTTTGTCCTCTTGAGATATTGGGACGTCTCCGTTGCTTATAACGCCTGACTCAAAGTCCTTCCGATTCTGGTGGGTGCGTGATGTGTTTCCTGCTGTCTTCTTAGTCAAAAACGTGACCCCAGCAAACCCAAACGAATCTTTGCGACCACCACGAACCTGTTGCCAGAACAATGTCTTATTTGCTTTCAAAGACCACACTTTAGCCATGTTATACACGGATCTCGAAAGCGGCTTGTGGGTGCAACAATAGAGAGTTTCCCAGGTGAAGTCTGTGAGTTCGTACTCGAAGAACGGTCTAATCAACGGATAGAGCATGCAATAGAGATCAGCCAATGTCAGATTGTCGGCCACAGAGATGATGAAACACAGAGTGGAATGTCTTATCCACTCGTTTGGATGGAGAAGCAGTTCCGCAATCAGTTTGACAGCATCCCACAGATAAGGCTTTCTGATAAGCCCAAGCTTGGCCAGCTCAGTGAAGGCCCTGACAACGTTTATTACCACGATCTCATCCGAGTCAGCGAGCGTTTGAACCAACAGAGGCAGAATGTACTGCTCTAAACTGGTGACTCCCACAAAGATGGATATTCCAACAATACTCTCCACAAAAGCCACTCTCAACGGCGCATACTTATCGTTCAGATAGGTAATCAGGTGGCTGAGTATGATGTCATTGGTCTTTTCCTTTCCAAAAAACCCACAAAGAGGCAAAATGTTTCTCAGAAGAGAGAGTCTGACGTTTGGATCCGAATCAGTGAGAACATTCACCGCCAATTTCTCAAAATCTGACTCTAGCGAACGTTTAGGGGTATCGAAAACAGACTCAGTGTTCACATATCCCCCCTCAGTCTCTGGATCAATTGCGGAACTCGCCTCCACATGTAATTTCAGCAAGTTGGCCATCTCGTGGAACCTTGTTGCGTTATGTGCCAGATACGGAAGTACACCCGCAAATACAGCTCGGGTATAGGCACCGCTTGCCCGGGGCCAAAACGCATGCAACCGGGGAATGATGTACTCCGGAAAAATGAGTGCGTTCACCGGGGTAATGGCATTCACCATGGACAATAGTTGCGTAATAGACCTTAAGGCGGCCGCCTGAACATCCTCGCAAGGGTCATCCAGCAGGTAAATGAGATACGGCAAGCATCTATCGAGCTTCCCCTCATCATGTAGTCTTTCCGCGAGAGCTATGATCAGATCGCAAGCCTGAATTCGGTATGACGAATGCGTTGTGTTTCTCACGCTGTGCAATACTATTCCCAGTATTAACAGCGCAGAACTATCGCCGTTGAAGCCCAGTCTCGTTGGTAAAGGCGTGTGCCGCCGCAATCCGGGGAGATCCAGTCTTACCGGAATCGCTTCCTCTTGCAGTAAATTAGACGGGTGGGGTAAGGTTCCGGACACATTTCCAGTTTCGGTATCAAGGTCGGAGGCTTTTCTGTTGGCAAAGCCGAGGAAATGCAATATTTTGTCAAAGTTGTCGTAGACGGTTCTGATTCTCATATCGCATTGCTCGAACTTTTGGTATGGTGATTGGGGCTTGTTCGACCCGGGCCCTGCTAGCGAGGTCATGAATGTGTGAAGAAACGAATAAAAATGGTCCGGAAACGCCGAATTCCGGTACTTCTCCAAATACTCAGCCGCACTCAATCTCGAAGAGGGCTCCAGGCTCACCATACTTTGAACCATCTCCCTTATGGTTACATCGTCAATTGCCTCCAAGTTCGGTCTATACTCGCCCCGTTTGTACTTAAACAGTTGCGAAAGCGTGAATATCGGTGATCCCTCTAAAAACAATTCAGCTATCACACATCCCACACTGAATATATCCATCTCCTTAGTCAGGGTTGCCCGGCCTGAGATGGCCTCTCCAGGTGCCAGAAACCGTTCTGGTGCAAGATAGCAGATATGACGCTGGCTTGTGTCGAAATAAAACGAGAACTCACTGGGATTGTCCTCGGGCATGAATATAGGCTTGAACGGAGCAAAATCTGCCAGTAGGACCCAATTCCACGAGGTAACCAGAACGTTCTCGGTCTTGATATCGCCATGGAAGACGTCTCGTTCATGGCATTGGGCAACAGTCACCAACAACTGGTAAACCAACCATCTTTTCTCGATCTTCTCAAGAAACGGCCGTATCGAGATTCTGTCGTAAAGGTTCGACTTGATAAATGGTCGTATTAAATAACCCGCTCTGGAACTGTCTATGATCTTCTCGTATGACAAAGCATTCGGCACATCCGACAAAGTCAACCTCTGGTCTTCCAGTCTGTTCACCCATTCTTCCAGATCAAGACCTCCAATTGGCTTGATCAACACCTTCACAATTACGTTTCCGTCTGTATCCAGTGCCTTCACTGTTTTCAAGAATCGCGCACTCCCCACGGCCTTGGAATACTGCACGTTGTTCAAGAAGTCAACGTACGCCGAAACCGCTACAGTTGCAGCGGTCGGTGCCAGCAGCGATAACTCTGCTCCCATTGGGGTTTATTCGGTGGATTTATATGCTTTGGGTGTGAAACTGGGGCTGAAACCAGCAATCACGGGACCAAACATAGACTTGGACTTAGAGGAAGCAGCGGTGTGCGCCGCCCAATCTCCCCACAAAAAGAACAAAAGGTATTCTTAGCTATCAATGTATGAGCAAGCTGGACCAGAACTGTTCCAACTGACTAGAAATATTTTGGTTTTTGCTTCATCATTCTAGTTTTCTTGAATTCAGCCACTTCCTCCTGAAGCAACTCTTTCAGCTGGCCCAGTGTGGTCGCTGTCCACTCGAAGCTGAAGTCAAACGGCTTGGAGCAGACGGGCTCGTCGTCTGGATTGCGAATGTTGGTCAGGTACCTGTGTTCCAAGCACTGGTCCACATCATAACGCTCCTCACAGTTCCAAGTCAGCAATTTTCCTAATAAGTCATGAGCATCTGGGGAGGCATATGGATAAACTTGCTCCCAGGATAAGCATTTGTATTGAGGCTTGGGGGGAGAGAAAAAGCTCCAAGCCTTTTTTTGTTAGTCGGTCTGAATCGTAATTTTGGGCTTAGTTCTTTGACTTACCATGTGAGTCCCATAACGAACAATTGCCTCCTTGCCAGGCGTTCCTAGAACCTTCAGGATCTCCTCGATCTGGTGAATCTGGTCACTTCCTACAAACAAAGGTCTGCGGCCATATAACTCTCCAAAGATACATCCCACTGCCCACATGTCCACTTTGAGGATTTTGTTAGTCAACCAAAGCGTAATAGCGCATTGAAATAGCACAATGTACTCACCTTCCTTCCCGTAACTCTTCCTTGAAAGCATCAACTCGGGGGCACGGTACCACCTGGTGGCCACATAGTTAGTAATCGCCTGCGATCTCAATCCAAGGTTCAAGTATTCCTTTGATATTCCCCTTGCAAGCCCAAAATCGCAAATCTTGAGCGTTCCGTGAATTGTCACAAGGATGTTGCCCGGCTTGAGGTCGCGATGGATCACCTCTGCCGAATGAATGTACTTCACACCACATAAAATCTGGTACAAAAAACTGGAAATGTGGTATTCGGAAAATTGTACTGAGCTATGGATTACTCTAGCCAGATCATAATCAATCAATTCTTGGAAACAGTACAATCCATCGTAAGGCTTGAGAAGAACGATGTCGAGATCAACAAGACCAACAATCTGTATAACTGTTAGATATATCTCTCAACAACAAATAGAAAATAGGTCTATAATCACATTCTTATGGCCCTTGAAATATCTCATCAATTTCAACTCTCTGACAGCTCGCTTCATTAAAAGTTCCTTGTTGAAGATGTTGGAAACCTTCTTGATGGCGAGCTGTGCCTGACCCTTGGAATTAAGATCAACAGCTGAGCAGACGGTTCCGTATGAACCTTTACCCAATATTTGCTTCACCTGGTAGCGAGAATCAAGGTAGAAATCCGCCTTTTCGAAAATGGTGTGGTCTGGCTTGTTTCGAGTGGCGTCCATTGTCTTGGTTTCTTAGAATTTGGAAAATTCTGGAAATATGAGATAATTGGCTAAATATAGGATGGAGATGAACGGTAAACAGTGTATGAACTTGTAAACCAACCAATTTTTCGGTTTTAATGGAATATAATGAGAAAATTTAGGAAGAATAGGGGGGAAGAAAAGGTATGACGCAGGGGTTTCAGTCCCAGCCGCACCGAGCCGCACACACAGAAGCAGGAGCGTTTTCATGCTACAATAAAGGTTGAAGTTGAACGAGAAAATGATCGCTAAACGATGCAAAAAAACCTTCATATCGTAGCTTAAATAGCCACTTGGATCGAATATTCTTGAAAAAATGGTGAGAAAAGAGGCCGCCTAAATGGCGAAAACGGGAGCTAACAAAGTGCATAGTGAACTTCCACAGGTCAGATCTAACAGCGTTAAACCACACTCATCTACACCAGGAGCTAGTTCTCAACTACATTTATAACCAATTTAACTCATAAAACAACGCTGTAACGCTGGTTATCACCAGCATACTAAATGTACGAAATCCGCGCAATACCAAAACCAAAAGAAAGAACCGAGGAAATGAGCTCCCATTGCAGCAACCATGAAATACCAAATTACTGATACTCATAGCTCGCAGAACACCCACCGTCAGGCACATGACACAGTTCCAATTGCTGGAACTTGACAGAGCACTTATGGAAGTACAATCCACTCACAGAGCCAGTCAACTGGTTGAAACAAACGTAGTAAAAACCAGCAAAAGATGCACCTCTAATGTCCTTGACACTCGCATCTGGTACCAGGAACACCTCCTTCCATCTCATATACAGGTACTCGCTATTGAGGTAGTTTCTGTAGATCTCCTCATTTGCCGAATCGTTCTCGGTGTTGAAATCGAGCTTTCGAAAGCTTGGAAACCGACCCCAATGCTGGAGATCATTCCTATAATTTGAGCCCCACGAATCTCTGTCAGTAAAGAAGGAGAACTTTGGACCCACGATCTCGCCTTTGAAGAAAGTCGTGATCTCAGGATGAAGTTCAGTCAGTCCATGGATCGTCAGAAACCCGCACATATACGAATTCTCCAGATCCACCTCTTTGAGCTCAACTTTGACCTCATATGTGGATAAACCAGATTGTTGTGAGCCAATAAACGAGGTATGGGGCTTCAGAAACGAAGATGTCTTTACCCGGTGTTTCTTGGTGAAAAAGTCCTGGATTTCAGGCCTCGAAATAGATCTCTTTGAGACAACTTCCTGGTTATCGGATCTCA